GGGAGGGAGGGAAATCCGCTGCCAGAAATGCCGTACGTCTCATTGACTATGTACATTCAAGCAAAATCTGATATCATTGTTCGACAATAATTGAAGAACTTTTGGCCCAAATTCAGAGATGTCATCCACCAAGGTCTGAAATTGCGGTAGAAGCAAGATCTGAGCTTAGAATATATTCATGGTGCGTGAAATCGTTGTGTATTATTCACCAAACGGGTCTATCCACGAGTTGGTGTACTCGAGTTGTTGTTTCTACTACTGTTGTACCTGTAGCTGCATCCGTGACTCTCCTTAACGTGCAGACGCATAATAGAATGAAATCCTTCTGCTAAGAACGAATAATGCCCCCTACCCCCTGGCTCTTCTTCTGTCTATGGCCCTATTCCAGCTTCCTCACGCCCACGTTTTAATATGTTCTGCTACTCTAGATCTTTGCTCTCAACTTCCCGCGGTCATCCAGACTTCCCAATTGCCTTCTGAGTAACTTCCCTGTCGGATTCCTCGGAAGGCTGTTCACCAATTTCACACCACCGCGCAGCTTCTTGTACCCGGCCGCCTTGCCCGCTACGAGATTCTGGATCTCATTAGCGAGGCGTGCGTGATCGTCAAGACGGACGTTGGTTGTGGGAACGACAAAGGCGCGTGGAAGTTCGGTGGCTTCAGAGTCGTCCCAGGTCGAGGTCACACCTACGTCCTGGACGAGGGGATGTTGGCCGATGATTTCTTCGAGTTCGCTTGGGGAGACTTGGAATCTGTAAGAGAGTTGTGAGTCAGTCATTCAGTTAGCATGACGTTGGACCGATGGATGGGCAGCAAATCTCAGGGAAGAATAGTCGTTAGAAGGCCACCGACTACGGAAAGGATTGAATGTACAGGGGAGGAATATTGCTACGCATACCCTTTGTATTTGATCACATCTTTGATTCTGTCGACGATGATGAGATATCCATTCTGATCCAGATACCCGACATCACCAGTCCGATACCATCCAGGTGCCAACATACTCTCGCGAGTTGCGGCTTCGTTGTCTTTGTATCCCCTGTGTTGTATTTGATTGTCATTCACAAGCCTCCTCATACCGTTCCGTTAGAAGCAGCAACAACAAACACAAATATCGGGGATACGAGAAGGAGGAAGTCACATACATCATGATTGTCGGAGTTGAGACGCAGATTTCTCCAGGTTGTCCGATGGGAACGTCTTGAAGCTGGTCATCTAAGAAGCGAATGCCGATGTTTGCTAGCAGCGTGCCCGTAGCCACGAGTGGAGCGCCCTCGTCTCGAACGCCACTCTGTGAGATGCATGAGGATGTTTCGGTACATCCATAAGCTGAAGTATAGTTTGATGCATCAGTACGTGGAGCTAGAAAATGGATGGTCCTCGTTCATAGTTGTCCGTAACCATCCAAATCGATGGACTAAGTTAGAATGGGCCCACTCACTTTGGCATAGAGCGACCCTAGGAAATTTCTCTCGTAATTTCGCAGCGACATTTGGCTGCCAGGATACTGTTAGGCTCATTCCTTCGGTGTCTCTAATTCCGTGGACTTACCTTTAGAACAGCTCCAGCACAAGAGAAATACTCCAGATCCGGGTATTTGTACTTGGTGACGATTGGAGACTCGGACAACGCTAATGCGACTGTCGGCACCAGTCTTGCTAGAGTTGCTCGTTTGTCTTGTAATAGCTCCAATCCAATAGAGATTGTGAGCTTGGAGACTTGTGGTAAAATGTATGATCTGGGATGTGAATTACCTTGCAAAATGTTTCCATGTCAAATGCATGCATCAGGCTGATGTAGCATCCCAGCCATGGACCCATCAGAGCACAGACATAAAGTCCGTAAATATGTGATACTGGCAATGCAATCAGCAATGGCTTTTAGAAATCTAATTGAGATACTGAGAGTGATATCCTTACAAGGCTAGAACGCAGGTCAGCAGGTACGTCGACGATGTTTCCTTTGCTAAGCTTCAAAGGGGTACCACTCACAGGAAAGAAGACCTCTCTCATATCTCCTCTCCAATTATCCATATTATGATACCGGAGCATTTCACAGATCGCAATCAAATTGTGATGAGAGAGCATAACTGCTTTTGGCAAGCCTGACGTGCCACTGGAAAGTACAATTGCCGCACATCTTTTGCGAGCATCCTGTCCATCCAGTACATACGCGTTTGGGGATATTCGAGTTGTTTGTCGCAAAAAGTCGTCGGGAAACTAGAAAATCACGTTTAGCTTTGCGTTTCTAGCCGTGACAAGTGTTCTGCAGTGGGGTCATTACAGACCAGCGGATCACCTTGTGTCCTCCGGAGAAGGGTGATGATTTTGGAACTCTCGTATTTTTTCCCGCTCAGCCGAATGGCTTCGTCCAGCTTTTTTTTTGCTACAAAATCCACAATGAATAACTTTGGCTTGACAACTTTGATTGCAAAAGCCAGTTCTTCAGCAGTGTTGGAGTGATTGATGGTGCTTCTTACGAGTCAGCCAATCCGGGCGTTGAATAAAGAGGCTACAGCCTTACCTAACAATGCCACCGGCTGCCCATATCGCGTGAGTAGCAAGGATGTAATCTACCTGTCGAAGACTTAGCAAGCTGCATTCTCTTTTCTTTCCATAGCACAAAATGACAAAGATGCAGAGGGACTTCGGTCGCTGGGGAGACTTACACAACTTCTCGAAATAATCGACACGATATCATTTTGCTCGAGACCGTAACTGTTCCGCAGTTCATTGGCGACTCTAAAAGCTTCTCCTCGGATACCTCCATAAGTTGTTTGTTTTTCAGTCAATGTGTCCTCGCAGATGACCTTCTCCGGATCAGTATTGCACACGTTTTCTAGCATGAATTGCGTGATTGATCGGTCTGGGCGCAAATGCACCTTCAAATCAGAGTATACGGGAGCCATTCGAAAATGCTCGAGTTTCAGAATAGGGCAAGGGAGAAGATTTGCTTTGAAGAACTTTATAATATTGGTGTGAATGCTACTTAAATTCCTGGTTCAGGGACGATATTTCAGTCGCGCCCTAGTTTGGAGTAGTGGCTTTCCCTCTGGAGGTTGCTAAGGATCTGAAGCGTTCGAACTGGTAATTCCGAGTCGGAAAAGCGAAGTGAACAGCTAATTCCGAATGAGATCTCACCCAATTTCTCTTCGAAGATAGAAACACGGGAAGGCCAGAACACTGACTCCTGCCTCTCCCCACATGATATTTGACAGATATTTCCCTTTGAATATGATTCACCAAAAATGTCGTCTTATCTTTTCGATGCCTACATGCCCATATCCAAACCAGGCAGACAAATCTCTGACCAGTCCGACGAGAAAATCTCATCGACCGGCTCCTGGCAGAAACTCTTAGTAGGATTCGCAAAAAGTGTCATGTAGTCAAGTCCTAATCCTCCATCAGTGTTGAGCACATTCAGCCATCCTTTATCTGCAATTTCGCCTAGAACATCTAGAGCCCTTCTTGCTGCTCCTAGACGATTCGATAAGTTCTCGAGAAATTCTATGGCTCTTTTGAATGATGACATCGGGCGAGTGGCCTCATTCGTCAACCTACCCCTGAGATGAGGTACAAGATGACACATGGCTTCCACAACGCATTCGATGGCGTTGAGACCGAAGGGAATGGGGTTCGTTCTTGTGTCCATATAAGCCAGAACGGCTTCGATCGTATCACTGGCTAGTTCCATACATATCTGCGATCCTCGTGAATCAGATGCAGATGTATGCTGCCACGATTGGCGGATCAGCAGTCGAAGAAGATTGATCCGCTGTGGTTTACATCAGCAACGTCAAATTGTGAAAAATCAGAACCGGCGGTAAAACGGGGCGACCCACCACATAGGAAACAAGCCGTGAACGAATCTGAGCTTCGGTCTCTCCGGCGGCCACATAATTCGGCAGCAGGGAGGTATCCCAACGCAGACTCTCGTGCGTCTGCCTTTGAGCATGAAGAATTCGGGCATCCAAAACCTCAATCTCTTCTATAGCATTGTCTCCCTTGGCCACACGAACAGCAAACAAGGAATCCCAGACCAGAGTCCACAGGCGGGCCCAAATGATTTCTGTCTGGACGTATCTGTTGATCAGTTTCCTTCTTTCCATCTCAGAGTACATTTCCATATCAAGTATATCGTTGAACAGTGCAAATTCAGTATCCTCAACATCGCCCACCATGATTTCAGTCTCCCGGATAGTATATGGCTTCCAACACTTTTGTGCCACCCGCCGATCCACGTAGAATATAGTCCACCACAACAACCGACGGGCACGTTTTTCTACACCAGAGCAGTCTCTCCAAGTGCACTCGTCGTTCAGACCGATACTGAATGCAAGTTGAATGGCAACACCGATTGCACGATATGCGGCTGTCAGTCGTTCGATATGGATCAAGTAGATTGCCTTGACGGTATGATAACGAACCAGATCCAGATCTATGTTCACACTTCGCGAACAATAATCTCGTATAGAAATATCTTCGGCCATCAAGAGATATTTCCAGCCTGGGGAGGTGGAAACTTTGTCTTGGTGACTCCCTGGGTCCAGATAAGACGCCACAGCGAGAACCATACACATCAACATAAGAAATGTGCGCATGGAAGGCTTGACCAGCAGGCAAAGGTTACCTTCTCCTCGTGCTTGGTCCTTCTCAATCTGTGACAGGCTTTTTCTGAATTCCACCTCGTCAACACAAGGGAAAAAATAATTCAATTGCTCAAAGTATAAGTTGATAAGACGTTTGAGCCATGGGAGGGTCGGTAAATTGCGCAGATACTGCGCCTTCCCGGTCTCGTTGCCAGACAGCATGTGCTGACATGGAGTCGGAGGAGATTGCGGTATATACTGAATTGCCGGAATTAATGCCTTCTTCAAAGCATTTATGTGGGAACTCAGGGATGTGGGAGCGGCTTGACTGGGAGATGTTGCAAATATTTCCGTGTCACAGGGTGCATCCCGGTCTAAGTCGACTGGTTCGCCGTGTAAGGCTTTATCCATTCCGCTGATCTGCTGTTCAAGGCTTCTCAGACGATCCAAAATTGCCTCAGTCTCATGAGCAGGAATCCCCTCAGTTCCAACCTGTGGCGAGGACAACTTCGATTGAGGACTAACCGTTAGTTCGAGTGCGAATAAATTCTAGCATGAAATCTCTCGACGTACTCATCTTTCGCAGGCACGGCAATCTTTGCTTTTCGTACCCTTGCTCGCGCAGGATAGGTGCAAACTTTGCCTTGACGCCGACAACTCTGGCAGAATGAACCTCCAGCGCACTGGGATTCCTCAGCTTATGCACTACTCAAATAACTTCCACAAGAGGAAATCATACCTTGGTCTTACTCTGTCGACACGGGATGCTGAGCCGTCTTAGCATATACAATCCGGGACAACCACGAGTTTCCTAATATTTTCTTACCATGCTTTGCTGGTATACTTTCCTCGAGTTCTGAGACTTGACGAGGTTGCAGAGGGAGGTGCTAGAGGTGTCACGTCCATGAAGTGGGCAGGTTCATCTTGATTTCCAGCCATTGGGACTTGAGAGAAGGGCATGATTCTTTAGGATCGCGATTTCAATTGACCACAACGATGGAAAACAAAGCTTCATTACCCTAGCCGGAGAAGCGAGGGGGCCGCGGGGAAAGCTCCATTAGCGCTTGTGAATCCGCCTGGGATATCGAAGTATGGGGGATGTTGCCATAGCGCAAACTTAGATTATGGCACCGGAGGTCAAATCTACATGCCGGTTCCCCCCTTTTCAAGCCGCCTTGAAAGCTAAAAGCTATCTGGAACCTCAGGGCCTCCTAAACCGTGTGACTGAAGTCTAGAAGACATCGCATCCGCAAGAAAATGCCGATGGTAAGTGCCGGTACCTACAAATGCCTCAGCTATGAAGCTCACCTATTCTTACGACTCAAGATCTCGCTTCCCTTCCCCTCGGTGGGAAGAGGCCTTTTTTATATCGCTCTACGGAGGGAGGCGACCTCCTTGTGACATTGAGCCTTGTGTCGGAAATGTGGAGCTAGCGGTAGTTACCCTGTTCTATCAATATTTCCGAGCGATAATGACAAGATTCATGCATCGCGTTCTCATCTACATTGATGAATCAGCTATGAGCCCCCGGTCTAACGTCTCATACATCAGGTACTTAGTTCTTCGCACCTCAACTTTTCTTTTTACCAACGGCTCATATGGATGACGATCAAACAGTCGTGTTTCGTCCGCCTGACACATCCAAGTCCATAATTGAAAATATTTTGGAGGTGACACCGTTGGCGTCTACTTCAGCGAAATCTACACTGTTCACCAATGCTCGGCCCCTTTGGTATCCCCCGGATGCTCGCGGCATATATGGAGGGATATGCCTTGCTCAAAGTCTCAACGCCGCACAGGCTACAGTCCCACAAAACTTCGTCGTCCATTCTATGCACGGTCAATTCGTCCTGGCTGGAAATGCAGACAACCGGCTCTTGTACCACATTGACAATGTCAACAATGGGAAGAGCTTCGCCACACGAGCGGTCAAGGTAACACAGGGAGTGCGGACCATCTTCATCGCCATCATCAACTTCGTCCGAGAAATGGATCCAGGGCGGAAACACATGGAACATTCCGAGCCCATCCCACATCGCATCCCGGGACCTCCTCTTGAATCGGGTTCCCGAAATGATACTTTTAAAAAAGCTCCCTATGTGACCAAGAAAGTTGGCCTTACCAACAGCCACTCCAGGCATCCCCATCAGAAACGAATTCATCAGTGGAGTAAAGCAAGTGACAAAATCTCGTCATCGGGAGGTATTCATGCGCACCTTCCAGCTCTAGCATATATCTGCGACAACTACTTTGTCGGCACGATCCCTCACGTGCAGAATATCTGGGACTTCGTTAGGCCTCCACAGACTGAATTTGATGTGGGCGGAAAAGATATGTCCGAGCAATCCACCATTCATAAACGAATCCCCCATTCAGGCGAAAAGAGTGAACTACGTTTACCCCGAGAAGAAGAATTACGTGTTGGAATGATGGTTACGCTGAGTCATACGATGTTTTTCCACAATCCGCGTGCCACCAGGGTCGATGAATGGATGTTGTCCGAGCTGGCAAGTCACTGGGCTGGCAATGGGCGAGGAGTCGCCACGCAGAAGATATGGTCGAAGGACGGCGTGTTGATTGCGAGCTGTGTTCAGGAAGGAGTGGTTCGGCTGGCAAACCAAGACACGGGTCAACATCTGACACAGTGCTCGAAGAGTCGATTGTAAAGAGAGACCATATCAACCGCCAGTACTTAGTATATTCGAAAGGCAAAACCACAGTTGTTGACAAGGAGACTTCCTGTACAGAGAGGCCTATCAACCACTGAGCATCGTATCGTTGGTTAACCGTTTCTCCACACTTGTCCTCCCTCTTCAATCTTTGAGCTGCACGCTAGGAAATATCCTGCATCCCCACTTCCGACCCCCTAGTTACCCCCACGGCTCTCTTCTTAGCCTCATCAGTCACGAGCTCATAGGTATACTTCAAACTAATTCCGAAGTTGTCGAAATGTGAGGCTTCAGCCAAGGGGGAGTTTAGCCTCGGCCTAGGCAACGCTCGGTGCATCATTATGAAAAGATCACTGATGGATGCCTAGTCAAAAGTCTTGTCCTCGATTCATTTCTGTATGCTCTGAAGTTACGAACCGCAATTGCAGTCTAGGAGCCCCTAACGGTAACTGACCTATATTATCTTGCTACGCTTATGTGAGGATATCTATCTGTGATCTTTTTCTATTCAGAAAAACCATCTTACTACTGCATGTCCATTAGTTTTACTGGACTTTGAAACACCGCTTTCTATTTGGGGAATCTTTCAAAGCCCACCTGGTACCATTCCTACAACATGTCCAGTCTCGAAGGCATCCGAGTTCTCGAACTCGCGGGTCTCGCTCCTGGGCCCTTCACCGGCCTTATGCTCGCCGACTACGGCGCGAGCGTTCTGCGCGTCGACCGCGTCACTCCTCCCGCGACACCGAGTCCCGACGTTCTAGTCCGGGGTAAATCATCTGTGACTATCGACTTGAAGTCACCCGGTGGGCGCGATTTGTTCCTCAAGCTCGTCCCCAACGTCGACGTGCTCATCGACCCCTTCAGGCCTGGTGTGCTGGAAAACCTTGGCCTCGACCCAGAAAGAGTGCTGAGGAAATTGAATCCGCGGCTCATTATCGCGAGACTCACGGGGTTCCGGAGAGAGGGCAAGTACGCAACCATGGCGGGTCATGATATCAATTATCTGGCTGTTTCGGGCGTGCTGTCTATGCTGGGGCCAGCGGATAAAGTTGGCCCGCCAGGCCGTGAACGTCCACTTCCACCGAGTCCACCGGGAAACTTACTCGCCGATTTCGCGGGCGGAGGTCTGATGTGCGTCACGGGCATTTTGTTTGCGCTGGTCTATCGGGCACGGACGGGCGAGGGTCAAATTGTTGAGGCGAATATGGTCGATGGCGTGTCGTATCTAGCAACGGCGCCGCGCCTGTCGCAGAAAATTCCAGGCCAGTGGGATCAGCCTCGGGGCCAGAATATGGTCGACGGTGGATGCCCGTATTATAATGTCTACGAATGCAAAGATGAAGGGAGATACATGTCCGTTGCCGCCTTGGAACCCCAGTTCTTCGCGGCGTTGTGTAAGGGTTTGAAGCTGGAAGAAGAAGACTGGGGTGGTGGCAAGCGGGACGACCGAAAGACATGGCCGAAGATGAAGACTGTCTTCCGGAAGAAGTTCCGAAGCAAGACGCGCAAGGAATGGGAAGATATTTTCGACGGGACGGATGCATGTTGTCTTCCCGTTCTAACACCTGACGAATTAGAGTCAGGAGGATATCAACAGCGCACTGCAGTGGGCTTGTCTCGGAGTCCGTCTGTGGACACAAGTCAAGACGGATGGAAGATCAAAACATTGGGGCGAGGTGAGCGTGGTGAGGATGCACTTCGAGATTGGCTTGGATGGAGAAAAGGCAAGGATTATGCGATTGAGAATGGAGGCTTCGTGGTGAAGATTTCTCCAAAACTGTAAACAAGATAAGCAGAACCCTTCAGACTTGCCGAGGTTTTGCGGATAAGGTAAACCAGGACGGTTGAGTCGTTTATTCTGATGGCAGTCACGGTCAAAAGAATTGCACCAAAATACCATGGATCTCTTTCAACGAGTCTTGTACCTCAAGAGCATCGTTATTTATCATAAGTTAGGCTCTTGTCGTCGATTTGATCGATATATCTGAACCAACTCATCGATAGAAACTTCTTGCCGAGCATCCCAGAACGCAGGAATACTTTTCATCGCTTTAGCCACCTTTTTAAGACTTGTCATGCCTCGTCTTGCGTGCTCAGGCGGCACGTTTTCACCAGAGACACTGAGCGAATTGTTGAAGACCTCAAGGGATATGGGTCCCTCGTATCCTGTCGCAAGTACTGCTGCGGCGACGAGTTCCACTGGCATGTAGCCGCCTCTCGAGCTTTCGAACGGGTATAGACGATGGCCTCGAGACCAGGGCAACAAAGCTGGAGTCTCCGGATCTGTAGGCGCTTGAAAATTTCGAGGATCAACGAGTTCTGCGTCACCGACCTGGAAGAAGAATATCCTCTCGCCTGGGACGGAAGCGACGAGAGAGGCCAGAGATAGGCATAGCAGCTCGATGGACTCCTCCACAGTGGAATAGACGCGCCCGTGGAGAGCAGAGTTGTAAGGATCAGCCCACTCGACGGCAAGAACGTTGAAAGCATCTATGACGAGGCCAACGTTAGGTCTGTTGGCCGCACGTACTGCTTCCCAGGATGCCGACCAGGTATTTCTCGTGGCCCATGAGAGACCCTCGTAGCCTATTTTCAACATCCGGCCACCGTCAGCCCTGGCGAAGGCGGCAGCCATATCGCCCATCTCGGCCAGGTCTTTAGCCACCGCTTTCAAGTCTGAAGTCACACCGGCGTCGGAGCGTATACTCGCGCACATGAAAACAAGGTCCGTGTCAAAGGCTCTCATGAAAGGAAATCTTTGGGCCACCAGGTCAAGAGTCTCTCGCCGTTCCACAGGATCTTTGATGCCCTCGACCTTTCGCAACGGCTGCGTACAGGATATCCTCATCCCCAGCGATTTCACCAAGGCACCTAGTTTTCGAGCCACTCGGAGGTTGTCTTCAGTGGCTTCCCACAATTTCTCTCCATCTAGACCGTGCTCCTCAAGGTACGCGGCCCAGCACTCATCAAAAAGGTCGATCCATTGGAAACCTGCTTTGGCGGCAGCCTCCAAGCGAGGTTTTAGTTTATGTTCCCTCCAGTTGCCCAAAGACAACGTTGCGATTCCAAGCTCATTTTGAATAGTTTTGGGCGGCCAAGAAATCGGCCTAGGAACGGGCAGGGCAGTTCTCATCGTGATGGAAAGCTAGTCAAACAACATTCTCGCCGGGCTGGTTGGAAACAGTGGTATTTTGTGAGGCACCAGGCAAATTTCAATGGTTCGACTCAGACGCGTTTATTCAATGGCGTGTGCGTGATAGGCCATGACCGAGATTTGATATAGTTTGCCGTTGTTGTACCCGATGACGGAAATGTTTGTCCGGTCGGAGACCAAATTAAAGCGCCGTCTTCAAGAGAAAAAGGGGGGGTTGCGAACTAAAGTTTTCTCGAGGTTTCCAATGCCGAAACCCTCTTCCGCGGACTATTCGACAGCGTGGTTGGCTCCAGGGAGTGAATTCAGAATTCCATCGGCAGGCTACCTCTATCTCTCAAGAACTGGAATGGAATTTTGAAGTGAATGCGAAATATCTGCGATGAAAAGGAGGCTGATTCGCAAAAGCGGCGTAAGTTGCTTACCAAATCAGGAAGCGGGTCAGCCGCTCGACCATTTGAAACTCATTGAGACTTTAGGGCGGCGTCCCCTGAAATCTGAGCAAAGTAGAGAGCATGGAAAGTAAAGTTCAATCAAGATGGTCTTCTCTTGCCAATAAATAGCCCGATGTGTTCATTGAAGGGCACCCTCTCGTGATACATTCACCTTTCAGCCCTCGCCCAAAGCACGCCGATACACTGACTGATAGAGGACGGAAGTGAAACATTTCCAGAAAACTTCGAAGAACTTCCTCGGAAACGATGGAACCAAAAGGCCCTGCAGTTTTTCAGGCCTGTTCTTACAGTAAATCCATCCCTTTGGTGTATACCTGACCGAATCCACGCCGTGATATCAATCAGGGTCCGCTTACGCATGCAGATGTGAGAGACGAAACTTGCCAACGGCACGAGTCCAGTTCCGATATAGAATTGCTGGGTTTGCTCCTTCCTCATCCACCCTGGCGCACATCTATCAAGACCTTCCTCAATATCCCACCTCTGTTGCCGTCAATATAGTATCACCAATCGACATGGATTCGTCAAGAGCTGTACAGACTCCCATCCTCAAAAAGAGACCGCGACATTGGACAGGATAGTCATGGCTCGCGAAATTTGGCTAGTCGAAAGTGCAGGGTTCCTCATTGCCGCACAGAAGTTGACCGACATCGATCGAAGACGGAGCTGATGGGTCCCTAGGATGGGGGAATGGCTATACAGCGAGAACGGACTTCGGAATATGAGTGACGAACTGCCTAGCATCAGTCAATCAGCTGTCCCCGTACTGCGCAAACGAGCCCTCTTTTGTAACCTGGAAATCAAAAAGCCTTACGGACATCCAGACCCAGTACCGCAACTTGGCGTTTGGCCCGTGACCGGATTGACGAAATTGTCGAATCTGGCACGAGAGTCTCGGAATAAGACGGGCAGAGGCGGCGAATTGCAGTTTGCCAAAGCCTTATTACGTGCTCCGAAAACTCTTCTGCTCGATGAGGCTGCATCAGCACTCGACTTTGATTCAGAACGTACGATTCAACTTGTATTTGATTGCGCCGCCATTGGGAGAACAACTATTGCAGTGTCTCACCGTCTCAGCACCATCCAGAACGCCGACCGAATCTATATCTTCGATCGAGGCACGATAGTCGAGGTCGGGTGTCATGCTGAGCTCATGAATCGTAAGGGAATACCAGGAGCTGGTCAGGTTGCAGCAATTTGGAAGTGGCGGAGATGAATGAAGCCGCGTATTACTTTTCGTTTGAGGGCTGAAGGTAGTCAGGGGATCTAAACCAGCGAACGAAACAGGGCTCCTTGGCCATCAGGTGGGATACCGGACAGACAGCAGATTCAGTTTGACTGTTGACGGTTGGTGGAGCGGAAGACGTCTACTTCGTTCGCAATGATATAGAAATCAGGACCATCCAATCACGTGCACTCGCGTTCCCTCCGCGTTTTGATACCGTACGGTTACATCCGGCTTTCTACGTCATTTCAAAATCCTAGGGCACCCAATGACTCCCACGTCCATTTTAGTACTTGGAGAAATGCCTCCAAAGATTTTTGTCGCATTTGGTTCTCACAGATACCAAAGGACAACCGCAAACCTGAGCCGACGAATGGCTCCCGGAGGTCATCGACGTCGCCAAACGCTGGGTCAAGGTCTGGATAAGGAGGTATTCACTTCACGTCTCCGATATGACTCCCTCTGACTCGATGCTGCGCAGGTTCACCAAGTTGTGCGCAAAATCATCGATGAACGCTCCCAGTACGGTGATGCCACTACCCGACTGTCTTTCGCAGTAGTCTATGACGAGATCCGAAGCTCGAACTCCAGTCTCAACCGAAAACCCAAGAAGGTACTAGAGGACAGCATCGAACGAGTCCTCGAAACTATTGAACAGGATGCAGAATCCGATTCCGAAAATCTAGCAAATGACGACGATCAAGAGGGTCAACACCAGCGAGGAAAACAAAGGCCATCTTCAAATGGCCTCAATAAGAGTATCGTGGGCATGTGGGCTACATCAGGGACATTTACACCTAGCGGCTCCCAAACACCTCAACGAGATCAACAACTCGATAAATCCAGCAATGTTGACGCCGACCAGTCCGCTAAACGTCGTCTCGCAAATGGCGAGCCCCCTACGAAGAAACGCAGAGCCACAACGGGTTCAAACTTGTCCATCAATAAATCTCCACCGACGTACGTTAGCCTAGCGTCTCTGGGCGGCGTGGACGCTGTGATCCAACAATTCGAAGATCTCCTCGTCCTCCCCATGAAGCGACCGGAAATCTACACTAGAAGCAACGTGCAGCCACCGCGGGGTGTCCTGATTCACGGGCCCCCCGGATGTGGCAAGACAATGATAGCGAATGCCTTCGCCGCTGAACTGGGTGTGAATTTCATCTCCATCTCCGCACCGAGCATTGTCTCGGGAATGTCTGGGGAGTCGGAGAAAGCACTACGGGATCATTTCGAGGAAGCGAAGAAGTCGGCTCCGTGTCTCATATTCATCGACGAGGTCGATGCGATCACGCCGAAACGAGAGTCGGCGCAACGTGAAATGGAAAAGAGAATCGTCGCTCAGTTACTGACGTGCATGGACGATCTTGCCTTGGAAAAGACAGATGGGAAGCCTGTGATTGTTCTTGCTGCGACGAATCGGCCCGACAGTCTCGATGCAGCGTTGAGACGAGGGGGTCGCTTCGACAAAGAGATCAATATGAGTGTGCCTAGTGAGCCCGTTCGAGAACAAATTCTACGGGCCTTGACGAGGGACACCAATCTCGCGGACGATGTGGACTTCTCGCTGCTAGCCAAAAGAACTCCGGGTTTTGTAGGTGCAGATTTGAACGATCTTGTTTCGACCGCCGGAGCAGCTGCTATCAAACGATATCTCAATATTCTGAAGGCAAATTCGGAAACAGCCTCGATAGATCTTGATCCCATACCCGGACGCTCTCCCCACTCGCTCTCGCCAAAGGTCACTTCCCTTCGCCGACTTATTAAATATACCGATGAGAACCCACCGGAACAAAATAGTGATGACGCCGTAATCTCCATAACCTTCGACGACTTCCTGACAGCGCTCCCTCAAATTCAACCTTCGGCGCTGAGAGAAGGGTTCGCGACCATACCGTCGACGACGTTCTCTTCCATCGGAGCATTAGACAGCCACATTTCCGAATTGACTTCAACAATCATCTCACCAATCCTCAGCCCATCACTCTACTCCAATCTGGGAATAACACCCTCGTCAGGGACGCTTCTGTGGGGCCCTCCCGGCTGTGGCAAGACACTACTAGCAAAAGCGTGTGCAAATTCCAGTCATGCCAACTTCATTAGTGTCAAGGGCCCGGAGTTATTGAACAAATACGTGGGTGAATCTGAGCGGGCTGTTCGGCAGGTCTTCACTCGTGCGAGATCAAGCGTCCCCGTGATCATATTCTTTGACGAACTTGACGCTCTAGTGCCTCGACGTGATGGGACGATGTCTGAAGCTAGTGCCCGAGTAGTCAACACTCTACTGACTGAACTCGATGGTGTCGGCTACAGTCGAGAGGGCATCTATGTGATCGCAGCCACAAATCGACCTGACATCATTGATCCCGCAATGTTGAGACCCGGCCGCTTGGACTCATTGCTTTATGTCGGCCTTCCCGATGCGGAAGGGAGGGTGGATATTCTGAACACACTTTGTAAGAAGGTAAAGAATTTTGTATTCGATGATTCCATCGCCGCAATTGCTCGAGAATGTGATGGGTTTAGTGGTGCTGACCTGGAGTCATTGCTGAGACGTGCTGGAATGGCTGCCATCCGTCGTTGCGCATCTCTTTCTTTGCCCTCCGATAATGTTGTGTTAGTAGCTGAAGATTTTGTCTCGGCTAGAAACGAGGTCAGACGTAGTGTCGGAGTTGATGATATGTTGCGGTATGAATTACTTAAAGAACAATGGGGTCAGAGTTGATGAGGCCTGGAAACCGGTGTTGACAGGGCAAGACCCCAAAGAAAAAATCATCAATGATCCCTAATTGACCTTTCACAGAATCTATCGGTACTCAAAGCCAGTTCTGTTATTCATTACTGTGCACCTTTCATAGCCTTTCTTTCCCCTGCTAAACAGAGCAACGACTACCTGAGCCCCAAGAAAACTAGCCATGTCGACCGAAGAGTGCAGAGCGCGCGCGATGTTTTGCCGACCTAGATGTCGACTGCAGCCCAGCAATTCATCATCCGAAGGATCCAAAGCCAGTGCTTCGAACTAGTCGATCATATCGCCGATATATCGGTATTTGGCGGATACCCGATACCGTCGTCGTCGATATCGCCGATCCCGGATATCGTTTCCGGGGGATGCATGCGGCCCCACAATGCGTCATGTGATTGGCCAAACGCCTATAATCCGGAAAATCTATTCCTAATTCAATCCCATCAGATCCAGTCTATAGACCATCCGGAGATGGGTAGAAATGCCGCCTTTGTCTGCCAGAACCCCCTGATCGGACCTAGTCTATGGACTATAGGTAGACGATGTTGATTACTGTGTCCTGTGCCCGTACGATATCCACCATCGGATCCAGTCCATGGCCCATAAGTAGACGATGGTATACCCAATTATGAAAGCCGACAACGATATCGGCGATGAGATCAGTGTTTGCTAGTTCGGAGCACTGTCCAAAGCCACAAGAATCATATTTCAACACGGCCAACAAAAGCTTTCGTTCGTGCACCGAGGAGCTTTCCACCGAACTTCGACAACTTCCACTGCGTGATCGTGACCTTCTCGGTTGCATCTTAAGCTTTGTAGATGTCTTTGAACTTTCGGGTGAACGACCAAATTCTTTCATAGCATGACACTTTTCCAGCGTACCAGCGGGGAGAATCTCAAACCCATCATTATCTTTCAAGTCCGAATGTTCTCAATTGAGATTGAATCTGTCAGAGATGTCGGTGTGGTTGTCGAAGTTGAGCTGTGCATAGAAGTTTTGGACGTCGCATGGCTTCCTTTGATGATGCTGGAATTTTCGCTTCGACCTTGGCCTGAATTTTGTCGGTTCATGCTGAAGGAGGAGTCTTGGTGGTGGGTAAGGACTCAACCAAAGCATGAAAGGGAACGGGATTCGGGCCTTCCATTCTTCGAAATAGTTGTTTGCCTAGATTCATGTTTCCCGCGCTAGGGGGTTCAAGGTAAGGCGCAAAAGGAAGGAGAATCACTATCCTCACAGACGGTGCCAGTGGCGTTGTCAAGATCAAATCAGTATATCGACGAATCCTAGGAATAAATTGACCACTCTCAGCGGCATGAAACCTTCGATGGTCTCTATTGGTGCAAGTGGGGTCGATTTCAGATTGAACTAGGACCCTTGGATGTCCAGGGAAATTCCTTGGTTGATTCCCAATGGCAAACTTGCCGCCTCTAGAGGATACTCGGTTTTGTGATCGGACGCAGATGCATTTTTGAAGGGGGAGGCTCGCAATTTCACCTTGTGTCAGAGTAGAAGCGGCCCTTTGTGACCTGCTTAGCAAACATTTGGAATATCAGATCGCAATAAACGTCGAACACAAGTTATGCCGAGTACGATTTCGGCAGCCTCCGACTGCAGTGATGGACCATCATAGCTAATAACGATTGATTGTTCCTTCTTCATGGAGAAGAGGGCTTTAGGGAGTAGATCGACATTGGCTGTACGGTCGGTGAATGGTATGATGGCTGTACGGTGTCGCTGAACATGATAAATATATAGGACACAATAATAGCATCTGGTGAAGCCAGCCCTATGTCTGTTGTATCATAAAGCAGTGCAGATGACACAGGGATCTCACTCGGTTTTGACGGAAGATCGCAGGAGGGGAACGTTTTGTGCCAGATGATAGTGTAGAGGAATAATAGTTCGAGAGTTCTATACATTCTGCTCCATGACCTTCCATCAAAGACCGACCAGAACCATTTCTCTTCTTTCGGCTTGTTCTTCTGCCGCCCCCTTTTCCAGTCTGATGACCTTTTCTCCAATTCTTCAGCTTGATGAAGCTGGCGATAACGAAGACTGTTGTCTGCGATGGTCAGACGAGAGGGTTATATGAAGGACGTCGGAACGAACAAGCATGCCACCTAAGATCTGCGGACCAGTCAATATTGCTCAATCAGCAAAGGAAAAGACTCACAAGAGCTAGTCGGGCCCAAACTGGCTGTTCCAAAAGGAAGACCGCTCCCTCTGGAAAAATGGGAGTCATGCTGGTGAACAAACATATGGTTGGAATGCTAGAAGTCGGGAAACATGACAGTGAACAACCCCATGTCTGAATGGCAATGGAAACAAGCGCGAAAGAAACAATAGAGCAGTTTTGAACATGGTGGAGTGAACTGCTGATGATGGACTTGAGCGAAACTCGAGTGACACTAACCGAGAGGCCAGGAGCAGTGTCGCCAGTGATGGTGGATAAAGGAGGTACCTCCGTTAGGTTCAAGTGGTTGCAACCTGCGTGGTTTCCATTCTCGAAGCTCAATACAACAGTGACAGCGACAATATATTCATTCATTTAACTCACCAAAGAACTCTACCGGCGACCTTATTGGAAGACTGAATTGAATCGATCAATCCATTTACTTGTCTGGGGTGAAATGTTTCCTTCTGCGAGAGAAGTCTGCAGTCCCCCAATGTATTCATCCGATTCCATCACGCAACACATCAAAGTGTCTTCCCACCTTCATTCCTTATGTAGGCATCAACGAGAGCTCTCTACCTTACGGCCCAAATCGAGCAACATTCCACAATTGCGTGGCAGTCAGATTGAATGAGGTGGACGAGAATAAGAAGGAACATGGATTTTCAGGCATTGGTATACAGATATGTGCTGTACAACACGTCGTCCAGGAGACTCTGCGAGACAAGAAGTTCTGAATTGTTAAGGAAAGGATTGAGACCAGCCAATTAGAATGTTATGCCGGGCATGGCACGTACCGCCTGGACAGTTTCCGCTCAGGCGGCCGACCCTGGCTTTGTCGTACTCCAGAGTTCAGACCCTATCGCACGTCATATGTGGAGAGGATCGTGGCGCCGAAGGGCCAAAGAAATATGGAACTCTGGAAAGCCGGTGTCACTCAAGAGAGGGGAACTCGGCACGGGCGGATAATTCATCAAGAGTAAGGAAATTCTTTCTTCTCTCTCCCGTACCTTGCATGGGAAGCCTCAAGCCAATACTCCATCTGGAAGGGATGGGTGATTTGATTTGTTGTTGCGAGAGAATCCCTATAGGGGAGTGCATGCGACACTCAGGATGACCGGAGTTGACAAAGCGATGAGAGTATCAGCCACTGGACTGAAGTAGCCAGCAATTAATGATCGGCGGCAGAGATGCCCAATAAACCTGATGAACTCCCCAATCAAGTCCAGTATTAATCGACCTTCCCGGCATCCCGAGGAGCCCAGAGACATTGTGTCGCTGGCGTGGCGTTGTCTGTATCGGCCACAGCGAACAGCTTCCTAGAGGCTTTGGAGGAGTTTCCGTTTCATCGAACTCTCAACTCGGAGCACGGCACTGCCACTCGTGACGATAACCAAATTCATCCTCTGCCCACCATCCGCCATCACCTCTTCCATTTCACGTTTCACATCTGCGTTTTTCAACTCCTGCATGTGATCTCTCTTCAACAATAGACTTTTTTACAACAATCGCACAAAAATCCATTGCCCGCCATGCCACCTTTCCGCATGCCCTTCTCGTCCAAACGACCCACGACTACCGAACCAATCGACGAGAATGCTCGACCGACTCCCAATGGTGAAAATGTTACCAGCCCATACAGAGAGAGGCCTTCTTTAGCCCTAGGCATAAAAGAAAAACAACAAGAGCCAAACGAGTTTAAATTGAGTTGTATGCGATCACCACTGGCCCGCGTCCTGATCGAGGCTAACGTACACCAGCCGTGAATGACAGTGGTGAATATCTTCCTGTAAGAACGACAATGCACACATACCTCATAGTCTCACTGACATTATTTACAGCCATCACCTACCGAGAAACCGTCGTTCTGGGCGAAATCCCCCTCGTCCACAAACACCAATCACAGACAGTGCTTCAACGACAACGAGCCATTCTCCATCTCTCGCGAATCGTTCGAGTCATACAGAAGATCATTTGTAAGGGTTGATCACCTTGAAAACATATTTACCGAACTCATCTTTCTTGAAGGATATCTCCGGACGTTCCCCAATCCTCCAAGCCGACAGCTACAGTTCTCGCGCTTCACTAGATTCTCGAACCGCATCTCGATTTCCCACACGATCCACGTTAAACAGCAGCACTTTTGAGGAGCCCACGGCGGAAGAGGAATGCTTTGAGGATGTCAAACTGGACGAAGAAGCCAAACAGAATCCCAAAAAGAAGAGTTTCCTGTCTCGGTTCGGCGATTCAAATGGCGAAATCCCTACCCCAGCCAAAGAAGACGGCAAACACCATTTCCATCTCCTCCCGGGCCGCAAACGAGGCCAAAGTGGTACAGGGAGAGAATTGGGAGATTTGCCGCGGCCACGAAGTAACGGGAGCGCCGAAGTGACAGTCGGATAGAGAAGAAGAAGAACGTCCCGGATTTTTATCTCCTTCCATGGCATGCATTACGAAGAACCTGGATTGATGAAAATGAGGGTCTACGGATCGGGAACTGGAGTTTTAACTCGGGAAAGCATGGGAGGCAAGTGCTAGTAGTATTGGTTTTCCGTTTCCCAAGAAACTTTGGTACCGGGGCACAGAAGAGACGCAAAAAAGTTATCAAAAGAGGATCTGGCCAGGGTCACTGTCACTTTTGCAGTGACTTTTCTTATCGGCTGAAATGGCAGAGTAATCTTAATGTGCACGAATATCGAGAACTTGGACCGTTGAATCTCTTGTCTTGTTCAATCCTAATTTGGCCCTCTTTGTCTGACCCCAGAGTTTGTCCCTGGCTCAGCCTCGTCCACCTCCGTTTCCAACCTGTCATAAGCGGTTTTGAGCACCTGGACAATCTTCCTTACCTCCTCCTCCGTCGCATTATAGGGAGGAGACAGAATGGCATGATCACCTCTGGTCCCGTCCACAGTGCCCGCACCGGGATACACGGCCACCCCCAACTCGAACGCCAGAGCCTGGAAGCGCGCTCCAAACGCCGTGGCCGGCGGGAACGAGGCTCTCGAGTCCTTGTCTTGCACGAACTCCATACCCCAGAACAGACCGCGACCGCGGATGTCGCCGACATATTTGGCCTCTGCAAATGTCTGGGCAAGCAGCGAATACAAGAATTTTCCCATCCGTGCACAGTTCTCAATGATGCCGTCGCGGCGCAGGATCTTCTGCACCGCCAAAGCGGCAGCGCACCCGACAGGGTGGGCCTGGTACGTTTGTCCGTGGTTGAAGCTGGACGTGCCCTTTTTCAAGACGTCAATGATGCGCTTGTGGACTAGCATGCCGGCGACCGGCGCATAGCCACCGCCCAACCCCTTGCCGATGGTCATAATATCCGGGACCACGTCTTCTTGCTCGAATGCAAATTGCGTGCCTGTCCGGCCCATGCCGCACATGATTTCATCCAGGATCAGGAGGATCGAATACTTGTCGCACACTCGCCGGACGCCGTTGAAGTACCCCTTTGGAGCTGGGGTGCAGGCACTCGTGGCACCGACGAGGGGCTCGGCGACGAACGCAATGATTTTCTCCGGCCCAATCTGTTGGAAGTGCTGATCGAGTTCCTCTACCAGACGTGCCGCGAATTGCTCTTCTGTCTCAGCTTGTTTCCAGTGCGAATACTGGTACGCGTACGCCGGCGTAACCCAGCTGAAATGATCAAGTTGGAAACACGCGTAGGGCACTTTTCGGGGTAGATTGGAACTGACGTTCATCGCACCGACCGTGTTGCCGTGATAACTTTGCTTTCGACTCACGAAATGGGTGCGCTCGCCTTGGCCGAGTTCGAAGAAATACTGCCGCGCGAGTTTCAGCGAGGCGTCCATGGCTTCGCTGCCGCTATTGACGATGTATGCTCTCTCAAGTCCGAAACGGCCGCCACCTTGAGGCCCGTCGATCAGATGGTGTGCAAGCTCTTCGGCTGCGTCGGTGGTGTAGGTCAGAGAGTGCAAGTAGCTGACCCCCGTACTCATCTGGTCGTGGACGGCTTGGAGGACTTCTTCATTTCCATGGCCGAGGCAGGCTACGGCCGCACCACCACAGGCGTCCATGACGACTCGGCCGTCGGCGAGCGCTAAGTATATGCCCCTTGCCGACGTGACTTTGTATGGTCTTTGGTGAAGGGAACGATGAAACAAGGCTGGCGGGGTGGAATCCTCCAAGGGGGCTGGCACAGAGGCAGCGGTGGCCGTGCCGTTAGTTTCATGGCGACCAGTGTCGTTGATCGTCATTGTGTCAGCGATAGATAGTATCTCTTCAACCTTGTTGGATGCGTCGATACCTTTGTCCAGCACAAATAATCTTCAAAGCATTCCGACAAATATGTCTGGGGATGACGACAGCATTAGCGTACTTTTGAGATCATATACAGACCTTGACGTCCTCTTAATCAATAGAGGCCAAAGCCCGATGAATGTGATAAGGCGTCGAGGACTTTAGAATAGGCGCAACATCGCCCGCTGAACTCCGTGAATCAAGTCCATCATTCATCTCGCTACAGGACCGATTTTCAGGCAACATTTTGCCATTGTTGACTCACGCCATGCATGGGGCACTGAGACGTATACTCTTCAATGAGAGCTCCTTGTGACTCACTCAATGTTTGTACTGCGTCCGCGTCCCGAGATAACTCTCGATGCAACAGATGGCCGATTGGTACTTTCTCTGTAGGGCGTCATATTAATCGAAAGCTTTGAAGCTCACTTGGCCACGCGAGTTTACACATTCGTTTGGTCCGAGTGAGCAATAAGAGAATCTTTCCTTCAGCAAAAGACTCAACCGAAGATATTTTTCTAAGTTTGGCTTGATCTATCGGCTTTAAGACCCAACGCGTTTGGAATGGCAACAAGGTGTCGTTCGAGATGGCTTCGGGAAGGTCGTCGCCCAGCCAGCAATCTTGCGGACAATAGGTGTCCAAATTACTCATTCACAACATGAACAAGGTCCAATCCCCAAAGGTCAAGTTCCAGCGTGATATTCCACCGCCTCGAGATACGCATTGAAAGGCAAGATCCGAGATACTCCTACCATTTTCTTGACCCCGCCACGGCCCAATCTGGCTGGGCAATCAATCTCACTCACAGGTGATAGTACATGCCTTGTAAAGTGTTTTGCAACATATTCTTCATTCAAAAGCCTAAGACGAGTCAGGTCAGTGACCGCGGACCCTATCAGACAAGCTCACACAGCCACGCCGGCCTGCCGATTACTGAAATGCTAAAGTCCGCCTCTAAAGTCTTGGGAACGACGCGTCCTCTCCGGTCCATCGTTGACAGATGTCCGACACTGGGACCTGGCACTGTGCCGGTCCAATCAACGAGCCGGAATTCCCATGACAAGGCTTTTAACCATGGTCACGGTGACCACTGCCAACCATGTTGACAGCGATCGATGCGCCCGGTGAGGACCATGCTGGCTTTCTTTTACAAAGCATGTAACTCATACCACCTACCGACCACCTTAGCTCGTAGCCGGACAAGAAATCAGCACGGAACTAGCGTATTCCCTAACAGAGAACTAGCATTGAGCTCCTGGGGTTGATAAGTACCCAAGGTCCGACGCGGTGTCCCCAGGTCGAGAGGGAAACAGCAGCCTCGCTTGCCCAACCATTTCACCGTCACTCGAATTTCACTTGTCGTCCACAACGACCTACACACATAGTCAGCATGCATCGACTCCAGAACAGACTTCTACAGCTGCTTCTGCTTGCTTGCCTCACTCCTCGGCTCGCGGCAGCATGGGGAGGTTGGGGAAGCGGCGAGGACTGCGACAACCCCTGGAACGGCACTGGCAGAGGATGGTGGGGGAACAGATGGAACGACGACGATGACAATGACGACAGTACCACGACTACTTCTGATCCAACTCAAGCCGGTGTCATCTCCTCGTCGACGGCGACAACGCTCAACAACGTTCTCATCGCCCACGCCGTCCTGGCCTGTTTGGCCTGGGTCTTCTTCTTCCCCCTCGGGGCAATCCTGCTACGACTGCCGGCCACATCACCCGTCATGCTCCGCGTCCATGTGGCCTGCCAATTGCTAACCTATGTCGTGTACGTGGTCGCAGCAGGCCTGGGCGTCTGGCTGGTCCAGCAAGTCTCAACAGGAGGATTTTCCGCCTGGTCAGATCCACATACGGGAATCGGTGTTGCCATCTTGGTCGTGGCCTTCTTCCAGCCTATCTTCGGATACATCCACCACAAGATCTTCAAGAAGAGGCAAGCCAGAATGCGAGAACCCAGGGACGAAAAGGTGCCTGAGCAAGAACGAAAGAAAGCAAGACAAGGAACCTGGCCGGGCTTCATGCACAAGTGGACAGGGAGAGCGCTCATTACCCTGGGAATCGTCAATGGAGGTCTGGGAATTCATCTTGCTGCCGGATCACCCTTTCAGTCCGACGAGACGACTCGGAGCGCGTCCATTGGATATGCCATTGGTGCGGGCCTAATGTTCCTCCTTTACGTTCTGTCCGTTATCGTGTTTGAACGTCGCAATCGCCGGGCCGCCGAGAGCGATGACCAAACTGAAACTGAGGACTGGGCTCCGCCATCGTACACGGAGAGTCAGACACCGTCTTATACCGAGAGTCAGGAATCGGGGCGGAATCCCCAGGGAACCACTTTCCGTTAAATCCCATGAAGACGGCCAGCAAGCGCGACGGGGGAATATGAAGTCAAAAACAGAAACAAAATGACAAGCCGATGCCTCATGACGCTCTATTTAGCAAGTAGGTCCACGTAGTCAATGATGATGAGAATGAATGGGCCCCCACAACTCCCTGCTGAAAATCGAGCTTATCATTTCATGCATTCTCCCACCATGCCCCCCTTAACATGACCATGTCGATGTAGGTGTCGACGTCGGCATCCCCAATCGATCCTCAAACGAGCTCGTCGGTCACGCAAAGCAATCCTCATATTTCTTGCTATGACGATTCGTCGCGTGTTGCTCAAGGCCCTTGCGTGCCGCAGTGCTCTGGAACGTAGCGAAACAGACTTTGCATTTGATCGTTTGGGCTGCTGCGTTCTGTTATGTTCAAATAGCCGGAGCAGGTTAGTGTGATTTGGGAAAGTAGAAGCATCAAATTGATGTAGAAGATTCAAGCGTGGTGCAGAGAGGCGAGATGATATAGGAGAGACAGAGGCGGAAGTGATCCACCCAGCCCACGACGATGGTGACATCAGAATCCATCCATTAGGAACATGAGGGTTCAGGTTCAGAATCCTGGACCTCAGCGCAGAGAGTGGTGTCAAGCTCTGATCATGTCACCAACCAAGCGCTGGCAAAGGGAATGATGAGAAATATGAAGACAAAACATACAGATTTCAACTGACTGCTAGGTTCTTTCTTGGTGTCTCGGGCGTTGCGCTCACGCTTTTGAGCAGCTTTAGCCCCGTTACCCATGATGACGACTTAAGAGGTAAATGGTGTTGCGGAAGATTGGTCGACGGGATCGAAGGAGAGGAAATGGATGAAGAGTTAAATTCGAGGTAAAGGTCAGAATAAGGCCCCAATGGCCACGGGCGGTGAGGAGGGAACAGCCGTCCGGTGGTTTTTCTCGTAATCGGGAAAACTATTCTCCGAGCACACAAGGGTACGCCTTCTCTCTTCCCCCCGGGAAATACTTAATCTAGTACTGGGTAGCACCAGCATATCAATAAACACGCTTTATCGGTATTAATAAGGCAAGCATGATTCCTCAAAGAAACTCCCGAATCCTTGTGTATGTCTCGGTCTCTTGCCTTCCACCAGAAGAAAGAAAGCTCCGCGACCCTGTCGACATCAATCTCATCCAACTGCAGCTAGTGTGTCATCATTCTTGTCCATATTTCTGGCCACGGACAGTTCATCCTCAGCTCGAGACACGATAGAACTGGAGTCCGGTCTGGATATCACCAAATTTGGCATGCCAAATATCCTTCAGATAACTGCTTCGGGGCTTCCATGGACCCCGATCACCACCCTTGGGAAGAATATTCTCCTTTTCGGCCGCTTTGATGTAAGAGCTGTTCAGATTCAATAGCGGCACTTCAAGAACACCGTCCTTCTCATCCACCCGAGGAACCATGCTAGTCATGTTCTTCGCGCGAGCTGCTTTGAGCAGTCTGACCCACAATTGAGCGGTGGCGTCGGCACCGAGGGTCCAGGAAGCATTCGTATAGCCAAAGACAAAAGCAAAGTTGGGCAAGTCCTGAAGCAGTGCGCCCCGCCAGATATATTTCTGATTGATTGGGTATGGTTCACCGTCGACCAAGACTTTGGCCCCGCCTCCGAATTGGATCTTGAGACCGGTGGCGGTAATGATGATATCGGCGTCAAGACGGGCGCCAGATTTGAGTTGGATGCCGGTCGACGTGACGGTGTCGATGGCATCGGTCACCACATCGGCTTTGCCGGTGCGCAGGGCCGCAAAAAAGTCACCACCTGAGCAGAGATATTATCAGTGGTGCCCCCGGACAGAATGCAGACAGGAACTTACCCGGTGTGATACACATCCTCTGCTGCCAGGGAAGATATCTCGGGACGAAATGAGGATCAAAGGGAATATTTTGGGGCAATTCCTTCTCGGTTGCAGAGCGCAGAGTCTTGATGCCCTGTTTTGGAAGGAGTCGGCAGAATTGGAAGAATAAGTACGCCATCATGAGGAACCGGATCCGAATCAGTTGGAATGCCCATTTCTCTGGGAGGACTTTCCTGATGAGTTGGTCGATTGGCTCGACGAGTGGGATGGGGAGGAAATAGCTGGGTGATCGTTGAAGCATCGTGACGGATTTAGCTTTTTCGGTCATGCTGGGGAGAAGCGTGACGGCCGTAGCACCGCTACCAATAATGACGATTTTCTTGTCGGTGTAGTCGAGATCCTCAGGCCAGAATTGAGGATGAACGACGGTGCCCTTGAAGTTCTCAATACCGGGGATCGGGGTGTTGAGACCACGAGTGTAGTCATAGTATCCGGTTCCCAGAAGGATGAATCGCGCATAAAACATCCGTTTTTCGGAGCCATTCACGGTGACGTCGAGCTCCCAGCGCTGCTTCTCGGTCGACCAGTTCATGGTGTCGACCTTATGCTGGAACTTGACGTGTTGATCGATACCTTGTTGGGCGGCCGCGGTCTTCACGTATCGTAGAATGGACGGAGCATCCGCAATGGCACGATCTTCCTTCCATGGATCCCAAGGAAAGCCAAAGGTATGAAGGTCGGAATCGGATCTGATTCCGGGATATTTGAATAGCGACCACGTTCCTCCGATTTCAGATCGACCCTCGAGAATGGCGTACGAATAGTCGGGAAGACCCTCTTGCAATCGGTATCCAGCATCGATTCCACTAATGCCAGCTCCGATAATGATGACATCGAAACTGTTGTCCGCCATGGTGTAGGGTGGATAGGGAAGACGAAACAGAAATTTGAAGATCAGGAGTGGGACGGGAGACTAAAAAGGTAACAGAAGGGAAAAAATATAATATCAGGTTCTTGCTTGGCAAATTTCTTATGACACCGCAAGGTATTCGAGTCAGGGGTGTCGTGTTTGCAGGAAGTGTCAGCAGAGGTTGGGGTTTTGTGTCTGGGTGTCCGGGGGCCTAACGCCAAAATCATTTTACAATCAGCATCCATAGAAAATGACAGCCTGACATCAACCGTTTGCCAAATTCAATTGCCAGCGGACCGAGGTTGTTGGTTGTTTCGAGGCCAAAGGATGCCACCGGCGCATGATACCGTGTCGTATCAGCTTGAGCATCTTTGCCACCCTTGGGTGCCGCCGATTGCCTCTATACCTTCTAAGGGTTTACCCCGAAGGGGCACATGGCCAACACCGGCATAGGTCATATCAACAGGGCGGCTGGAATCCATGGCAATTTGTCCCATCCGAGACCTCGAAGAAAGTAATCATCAAAAGGGGAAAAAAATAATACGGAATACGAAACTCAACTCTGAATGGATTGGGGTAGTTCGTTCACGATTCGTTTACCGAGTATCGATCGATGCGAATACGCTCGAACCAAGTTATCTGGCGAATGTCATCTCTTTCGCTCTGGTCAATACGACCACCTGCTCATATTTTCGCTAGCACCCTCCCTTTTATCCGACCGCTGATTAAGATCCCCCAGGGGACACAGCTTCACCAATCTCATCCACCAAATGCTTCTCAATCTTCACGGGTCCTCCTCCAACTCCTGTACATATCACGCGGCTGATACCGGACTTCAACGTCATCAACACCTTTGCTTCCAATCCTCCATATTCGTTTGGCCGAACATTTTGTCCGAACTCTCCCTCCCAACCCGGTATGTGGGGTAAGATGTTCTTGATCACTCCCGCTACTTGGTGTGTATGTTCTTCCAAATAGTAGATGACCGCATTGGGCCCAGCGTCAAACGTGTACGCGCAAATCAGCTTCCCTGCTTTGCGATTTGCCGTCTCAACAGCATTCATCGCTGCTCGAGACACGTCGTTGAGATAATGGATTGGTGGCCATGAATCGAGACATATCGCGTGGAACGAGTTCGAGTCTTGCATGGTGATCCGGGCAAAAGCCTCGAAGTCCTTGTCCTGAATCGCCTTCTCCATCTCCCGCATTCTTTGTGGGACAATCTCCCTAAATCTCGCTTTGGCCAACGTCGAGGTCTCAACGGTCGTTTGCATTCCCGCCGTGGAGGGAACTCCTTTCTTCTCTGCACTAACAACCAAGATCAATGCCCTCATCTCAGGCCAATGTGACACCGGCGCCACCTCTTCAGCTATGCTGTCACTTCCATCGTCCTTGGTCCCCGCTCGCCACGCGACAAAGCCTCCCATGAGACTTCTGCATGCGGACCCGGACCCCTGTCTCGCGATCAAAGAGAGCTCTTCTGGCGATTGAGGCAGCTCGTAGAGATCGGCGATTGCCCTGACCAACGCTGCGAATCCCGCGGCCGAGGAAGCCAGGCCTGCGGCAGTAGGAAAATTGTTGGCAGACACAAGCCGCAGTGTCATCTTGGACAATTTGGGTAGCGATGCATCTTTGGATTCCAACTGTTCGCGCAATGAGCGTAGATGCTTCAAACATGCTTGCGTTCGCTTGGACAATTGAATATCTTCCTCTTCTCCATTCAAAACGAGTGAATCAGGACCAGAGAAGGACTCGGAGCATGATGCGGTGGTATGAGTCCGTAAGGATTTCTGAGACAATGTCACAGACAACGAAGAGTTTGTTGGAAGGTTCAGTGCTGTATCTCGTTTACCCCAGTATCTAGATCGGTCATTAGGACTTTGTTTACCGTTTCGCCGTGTCCCGACAGGTCGGGCAGAGAAATATTGGCGTACCTACTTGATCACCGCAATATTAACAGGAGCAGTCGTGCTCGCACGGTAGAGTGTATCGGCTCCAGGCATGCTGGACTCAATGTGCGAACTGAAGGCGAATTCAAAGATGTGTTGGACGAAGCTAAACAAAACTCTGAAATAAACGATTGGGGAAATAGCTCGAGCAAATCGGATGTGGCATATCCGTCACGGCTTCCTGCAACTCCAAACAAAAAGAAGATACATTCCCTTCATCCCTCTGCATAAACAATAAAATAAACGGCAAAATGGGCTGGTGGAAAGCAGATCCAGTTCCTGAACAATCTCCTTCGACATCAACAATCCATCCGCACCCAATGCCACCTTCATCTTCATCGACGCCTGACTCTACTTCAGCTTGTCCAATCGACCACAAGACTCGATCAATATGGTTACAACAGGCACAAAAGAACTCACAGACACAGACACCATCAGCAGTACAATCTCATCCTCTACTTTCCTCGTCTCAACCACGACCCAGTCCGACAGCAGCTAACCCGACATCCTTTGGCTCTCTCCAAGACTGCTCCTCCGACCGCATATGCATATCTCAATCCCAAACCACTCCTCCATCTTTGCCTGAATACGAATATAAAATGTCACGACCCCTCTCACACGAACGAGCCGTATCCTCCATCCCTCGCGCCATGCCCTCGGACTCTAACAACTCATCATGGTCTTCGACGATGCCCATGAACAACGAAATCGAAACCGGCACCTCCGCCGCCGGCAACTGGATCTACCCCAGCGAATCACAATTCTTCCACGCCGTAATGCGGAAGCAAACCACTTCAAACCCATCTGACCTCCTCAGCTCCATCAACCACATCATTCCGATCCACAACGCGGTCAACGAGCGGGCCTGGACACTGATCAAAGCGTGGGAAGGAAACTCGTCCGCACAATGCGGTGGTCCTAAACTCCTCTCCTTCAAGGGCCTCGGCAGTGGTGCGATCTCGCCTAAGGCCCGTATCAAGAGTCTCATGGGCTACACGGAGCCGTTTGACAGGCATGATTGGGTCGTGGAACGCTGTGGAGGCGAGACTGTCGAGTATGTGATTGATTTTTACCAAGGCAAGGCAGAGGGCAAGGGTAAAGAAAATTCCCTCAATTTTTACCTTGACGTTCGGCCGAAGCTGAATAGTTTCGAAGGCTGGAGGCTGAGGGCGGAGCGGTTTATCGGTTGGAGGTGATTATATGTACGTCAGAGAGATATTACAAGAAATAAACCCGGTCCAGATGTAGTGCTAGTCAGACTGCAAATCATGGCACCTAGCCCAGATTTAGATTTGTATATGTATACGAATCTCATTTCAATCTAGTTCGGCCTCCACTCCTCCAAACCCTGTAACATCTTATGTCTCGACAGGAACCCTCCCCCTACAAAAAAGGAAATATGTTCAGAGCCAAAGTATGTCTGTCCGGTGGTATCACGCGAAAGAAAGTAAAGCTGCAGCTCGACTCCCATATCAGTCCCTGCCTCAACCCAATCCAACGACCCCATTCATCACCAAGACCAGCCTCGAAAAAGCGAAGCAATGCTGATCGTCAAGGGGAAACCATGGCAATAGTGTCTTGGGAGGTGATTCCGTATTGGCAAACAAAAAGAACGATGCAGAACCGGCAGGGGGGAAATCGGCCCATTTCAATTCATCAATCACAGGTATACACTCATACTACCCACCATCCATGACAAAGGAGATTCGTGTCACCGTGAGATGCATCGTGTAGTTTGTATGCTGGGGTTCATTCTCCACTTTGCCTTGTGCGGATTTTTCTATGTATTTCCGTTTACCAGTTCCCGGTCCGGATAACAGGTTGTTCCATGCCATAAGTGTTGGAAAACAATTGTTGTCGAATACTTTGCTGTTGAAATGGTTGAGTTGTTGGTTTGAGCCAACCCAGAGCATCGACCCAAGCTTCGTAGGCTTCCCTCAATCTACCACCACTCTTTTCATTGTGCACTCGGAGTTTCTCTTCCCAGCCGTTATATTGTAGTTGAATGCCACCCCCTCTCTTGCCGGCTTCTTTGATGACGCTGGCCCAAGCTTTGGAAATTTCCTCGTACGCGTTTTGTTTGGCGAGATTGTGTTGTGCATTGTCCCATTCTGGGAGGTCATGTATGATTTGTGTAACTCCATTCAAGTATTCGAGTGATATTGAAGATTGTTGTTCATTTGGCGGCAAGAAATGTGGGGTGAAATCAGCAAGAGCATCGAGCATTTCATGCCATTGGGGCCGAACTCGGTCATAGGAATAATCAGATCGAGGATTGGGATCGAGAGGGAATGACCCCATCAGCCGGTCATAGTACTGCCGTAACACTTGTAGCGTACTCTGAATGCTTGGTCGAGGGCTGACTTGGACGATCTCATCACGAAGCCCAGGATTTCGACCACACAGTGATTTCACGACAGCAGTTAATGATTCTTTGTCCAGTGTTTCCAGCAGTCTGTCAACTGATAATGGTCTTCCCGCCAAGTTGGGACGAACTCTTTTCCTCGAAGTAGGGGTCGTTATCTGAGGAAGTCGAGCACTGGATAATGAAGGTGAGGTTAACATCTCATCATCTCGATCGGGGGAAGGTGAGGCTTTTCGTTTTCTTGAAGGGCCTGCGGCAGACACTGAAATAACGGTTAGCACGATATGTAAGATGACATCCAACGCAGGCAGCTCACTTGACCTGTTTGGGGAGAGTCGAGTGTGTTCGTGGAAATGAGGAGGAATGGGCGGCGTGGCCAGGCTATTCATTGTGGCTACGTCGGCCTTCAGGACGAGAATTGGCTTTGTTTTGGGGGAACTCGACAGGCAGGCAACAATGATGGATTTGATGATGATCAAGTACTGAGATGTGGAATGTAAACTAGCTCGAGTAGTGGAGGAGACGGGTGAAGGTAGATCGGATATCGCAGGGACGGTACCAAGACTGTGAGGTGGTTCAGTTGGTAGAGGAGGAGTGATGGTGGAGGGTTAAGTTGCAGGTTGTGATCAGAAAGGTTTTCGTTATGGAGGGAAGAGGAGGTCGTCACCGTGAGCCTCGACACCTCTGATTTGTCACTGACTACTCTTTGTCCGCCCTTAGTCGCCTGCGGTGCCTATGCGGTAGCCCGTGCCAGACACAAGGTGCCCAAGGCTCTGCTGCCCAATCCAAAGCAATACCCCCCGGTCTCGACGCTATCACAGGCGGCCGTGAGCCGGGTCCCTGCAGATTTACGTTTACTGTACCACTGCTCCCTCGATTCATTCGGTAGGGCAACAAAGAAGACCATTTGCATGGATGCATCGACAAGCGACCATTCGTATGACCAGGGCAGCTTTCCACTGGTACCATGCCAAAAATTTAGAGAGCCTCCCATCATTTTGACTGGCGAAAAGACTCCATTGCCATCTTCGCCATCATGATGTACGGAGGACGAGTACTGCTGGAGGCCAGGAGAAGCAGAGGACCGAGTCCAGAACACTTACTTTCAGAATACACCCTCACCCGCGTCAATATTTTTGGCTAACACCGTTTTCTAGTTTAACAAGTTAGCTCCCATTTCCAAGGAGCATCCTCTCGGTAAGGGCCATCGACCTCCAGCGTCTCTCCTCTCACCACTGCTTCTACTATAAATTCGTCGCTCTCCACATGACGGATCCCCTCAGAGGACGACTGAGATTTTCCGTCGGGATATTGACAATAGAGTACCGCACTCTTCCCTCTTCCCAATCCGCACCTGAGAAGCATTCGATTTACGGAACCATGACTTAGTCAGTCTTCTGCATAGCACATTTTTGATGGAAATCAGCTTCCAGGAGTACAGTATCCATTGGAGCTCACATTAGGACATGGCACTCAGATTTCGGGCCTGGAAAAAAGTTCTGTTTGTCAAAATAACTGGTTGGAGTGGGTAAAGGCATATCTGTCTGGTCTGGTCCGAAGACGGTCCGAAGCATTGATGCCTGGTGAAGAGACACTCCTGGTTCCGAGGACTTTTCCTGTACTCTGTAGAAAACGACAACCTTCTTTTCTCACAGACATTCGGACACGACTGTTCCAAAATTCTTTATCTGTCTCATTTAAGCTTTTAGGACTGCCAGCTAAACCGGATTTTGAATTTCTCAATGCGAGTCATTTCCGGGCCAATGGACGCTAAAAATGAAAACCAGAACGCTCGCTGATCAGGTCATGGAATCTTTGCGACCAACAAACCCTCACCTGCCGCCCTCGTTCTCTCCTGAAAGAATTCAAGGACTCCACCGGAAACCAGGATGGTGCCAATCGAGATCCTGAATCTGTTGAATGGACAGGCCCTGCAACTCGGCGTCGACGTTTCTCTTTTTCCTGCGTTTGTTGTCTGCCCACATATAGTATTGTAGCCCCAGGGCTAGAATGAGAACCATCGATGAAGTGCCCAAGTTTAACCCGTTCCCGATGTTGTACCTCGGCGAATCCGTGGGCAGGAAGCTCCAGGTGGAAATCAATCCACCAGAATTACCCATGATATGAACGGTTCCGATCGCAGTCGACCTCGCAGTGTCGGAGACGACGTTGGCTGCGACCTGGGCGCTGGTGAGTGCACCGAAGGAGAATCCTCCTGCGGCAATCAGGAATGTCGCCCCGTATCGGGCATGAGGATCCAGAGTAGCTACGAATATAATATATCCGGTCACAATCATCGGTGCCGAGAGAATAAAGAAGATATTCCGACGATCGAATCGCCATGATAGAAAAGAAAAGAGGAGCACGAAAAAGGCACCCACCATATAGGGTGGTACCGTGTGAAGTTGCTGCGATACGACGGACTCATGCGGATAAATCGTCATCACAATCGTGGGAGCAAAGAAAACCATTCCTTGAACCGTTACGTTGTCGAGAAGAAAGATGGTGGCGGTAGTGAGAGTGACCGGGCTGAAAATGCCCCGTAAAATTTTCTTGGTGTCGAATCTGTCGAGTATCTCTGTCGTGGCAATGCGTTCCGACTTAACACGAGAAATAGCAAGATCCTTTTCTTCTTGAGTAAGCCATCGAGCAGTCTCGGGTCGATCTGTTAGAATAACATAGGCGACCAGGGCAATTCCGCAGGTGATTGTGCCTTCAATAGCGAATATCATCCTCCAGCGATAGAGACTTCCGAAGGAATCGAGTTGCAGAATAGCGGATGCCAAAAGCCCTCCAAACGCTCCCGCCAGCGGAGCCATAACGACGTATAAAGACAGTCGGAACACGAGCTCGCTCCTTCGATACCATCGAGATAGATAATATGCAATGCTGGGCAGAACACCAGATTCAAAGATGCCGAGGAGAAACCGGACGGCACATGCCTGGGAGAAATTGTGAACGAAGGCGGTGCATAATGAGCAGACCCCTGGTATATACGGTAAGAAATTCGAAACCAGGGACGATGTATCGGGAGTAAATACCTAAGCAGAGAGCAGTCGTGGGAATAAACCATCCTGGTCCCACCCATTTACAGACCATACTGGAAGGAAGTTCGAAGAGGATATATGATATGGAGAAGATCGAGTTGATCGTGTTGTAATCATAGCCTGCTAAATGAAGATCTCTCTCAAACCCCGCAAGCTTAGCGTTTCCTGAGAGTGAGCAGTTAGCAATGGCCGTCATGTTTCCCTGAGCACATCGTCCTACCGATATTCGCACGGTCCATGAAGGTGAAAAGGTACATGATAGAGACAATTGGTACGATGCAAAAGTCGATTTTTCGGCGTAGTTTTGCTTCGGCAGCAACGTCAAATGTAACAAGAGATTGACCATATCTGAAGGCATCAGCAACACCGTGGAGCATTTCGATTTCAAGGTCCAGCCTTACCTGTCAGTAGCAGCATGACCTCTCTCAGCAGTTCCATGAAAGTCCTCGGTCTCAGCATGCATAGCTTTAGCCTTCTCATCGGCTCTCTCGTCGACAGTTTGCCAAACGGCCGTGCCGACGTTGCGTTCCTCGGCATTGTGGTCTTCGGACTCCATGATTGATAAGAAGAGCGATATAGCAAAAAGATGAAGAGGCGGTGGAGAAAACGATCATCTCTCTGCTAGAGGGATGAATACCCCTCTATGTATTTTTCCCCCTCGACCCCGGCTGACGTCAATTCCGGGGATTGATCGCTAGTCCAGGACTTCTCGGTCCGGGTTTAGTTGGAGGACGGGACTCTGCGTTCTTCCCACGATCCTTTGCTAAACAATGGTTTAGTTAGCGCAGCCATAGCGCAACGTGTGCCGCCATGACTATCCTCTGAAGAGTATGGCATCCGACTCTGATCAATCGAATATCAATCTGAACTCATGGGAAGACGGCATGTCTCCCCAAACTAGCTGTGTAAAGGCTAGCAGAGGGTCCGCTATAATAACGGCTAGCAATGCAAGTTTTCCAAATACTATACAGGAGTAGTCGTTAGAAAGACCCTGGGCTGGACAGAGTGGGTCCTTGGAAGATGTGTCTGTGCAAGGAGCACCATTCAGCAACGGGAAGCAAAATCGGTAATTCTGTATTCTCCGTATCTATAACGAGATGTCGTGATTTCCTGGATTTGTGAAGTTCTCGTGGCCAAGCATTTGCTCCAAATCCAACCGGTCTAATTCTGATGAGATTTTTTAGGACGATTTTGATCGAAACTGGGGGGGGGGGATCAAGGATACAACGAGAGTACCAGAAAGTAAGTCATAGTTTGATCGTCCAGGACTCGCGGGGTAACCGTAAGAGAGGCTGCTCGGTCGATTTATGAAATCCTCACCGGACTCAGTTGCTTTGTTCTTGGCTTGTCCATCGACTATGGCAAGTCACTTCAGCTCCTGTCAAATGGAACCGGGTATGTCTTCAACCAAGGCTCAGGATTTTTTTTGGTTTCCATTTTTGTCACCGTCCAGATGGGAGCACAGGCAAAAAAGGAGATCCACCACTTGCTTCGTGTTGTTGATTGCCCGGCTATATCTCAGAGTCTGAAGACGTACCTGCAAAGGGGTTCCGCTGGCGCAATTATTGGTGTAGAAAGCAGTGTCAATTCATGGTTGCCGACGCGACCAAGGACGACAAGTATTGGATCCATCATAATGACACCTTTCTCACCTGGAAGAAGCTGATCATGTCGAATGTTCTCGTCTGTTGTCCACAGAAGGGAGGAGCTCTTCTCGCAGGGGACACTGAGCGGTTGTTGTGAGGTTCGAGGTAGCTAGTATGGTAGGATATCGGCGTAAATTGGTGCTAGGAATTCTTCAGACGTTTTCTACTGAATGGTTTGTTTCTAGGACTTGGAGCCGGCCATGAATTGAATTTGCGGATCTGTAGATATGGATGTCTGGATGTCCCATGAGTTACGGTCAGGTACGGAGTTGCATCATAATATAGGTCAACATACTAAAGTTTGCCAAGTGTTGCTTATAGAAGGTTATTCCGAGCACTATGCGTGTACTGAATAGGTTTCGAGCCAATGGATCGAGCTTTATTAAAGAGGAAAGCCAAAGTATGAATTCCCACATTGATGTGGCATGATTAGCCAGATTCGCGAATATGCAGCATAAGGTCAGGCCATAGCGGAACATTCTTCAGGCAACAACATCACACCTGACTTTAAGTTGCCCACCAGAACCTCCTGTGTAACTGCTTATCGTGGTTGTCACCGAACATGTTGCGGTCATGGATATTGGCAAACACTGTACACGGCACAGTCGAGATGGATCATGCACGAAATGAACAATCACCTTGCTCACTCGCATGTCAAATCTAGAGATACAGTGACTGAGCAGCCACGATATCTCGTCTTACCTTGGTCAATGCCTCCTCAAACTTCTTCTCCAGCTCTTCGCTTCCCATGACTTTAGCAGCCTCTGCCATTTGACGTAGTGCTTCTTCAAGTCGTCGGAATGTGCGAATCAAGCTACCTTCGTAGACGTCGGTCATTTTGCTGAGTATACGTCAGTCACTACCTTCACTCAACTTCATGTCACTCACCAGATCTCGCCAAATGATTTTCCTGTTGCCCAGGCATACATCACCGGCATTAGTTGCCACTTGAAGCTCTGCACATACTCTTCCTCGTTCATCGCCAACTTGGACTCGATAGACACCTTGGCAATCACTCTAGCTTGTCTCTGAATCTCTCGTAGGAGTCGGGCCAGGTCCTCAGGCAGGTTGGTCTGCTCGTTGACCTTTTCCTCAAAGACAAAACAGCTCATGACTGCCGCGCATTGTTCGGCCGTCAAATCGTTGAAGAATCGATTGAACAACAGCTCGCTGAGCATCAATTCATCACCGGTGCTGATCTCGCAAGCAACACGGGCTTTCAACTGCACCACTTCGTCTTCATTGATGAATTGTAACCGACGAAGAACTCGTTTCCGGCATTTTAATTCTTCCAATTGCATGATGGCATGGGCATCTTGAATCTGCTTCTTCAACGCTCGAATTTTGTTCGCGATGATGACCTTTTCTGCGTATTGATTGTACAACCCCTCAAGTCGCGGGGAATTATGCAACGGATTTGCGACCAGTCTTGACTCCATGATTTCGATCTTGCGGAGAAGCTCCTTGAACGAATTGTCCGTAATCTTCAGATTCTCAATGGGATCGAGCACAGCCAGGCCATCGGGAAACCGTCTCTGCACTTCCACCAACGACGTCTGAACCTTTTTCCTCTCTGATGGAATGGTCATATCAGTAGGCAAAAAGATGCGAATGTGAGAAATCTTGTGAACACATTTCAGCAAGACGGGGACAACCTCGATGCGAGACTTCTCGCCCGGCTGAGGAGGACGAATGCCGGATGGGAGGGATTGAAACGTTTTGGTGGCAGGAGCCGGACCATCAGCGCACTCCAACGCAATGTCAAGAATCCATTCCTCTTGAGGAGTCAATTTTTCGGTCGATCTGTTGGGGGATCTCCTCCCAAAATTGACGACTGCGCCCCATCCAAAATCGTGTTCGCCGTCTTTGATCTCCACCAAGCGACCTGGTTGCATGAATGGTAAACAATAATTGGGATGAATAATAACATTTCGCATGTCTTCAGCATAGACATCCAGCTGTTTTCGGAGATCGTAATAAGCGCGAATGGAGTTCTCATCTTCGATCACCATCGCCGACTTTTCGGCCTCAAGTTGCTGCAATTCTTTCTCCAGGCCCGACACGCTTGCTGTATTCTGGAATTGATGAAAGCATCTCTCTAGCATAAACTCAGGAGATATTCCTTCGACGCGAAGCAAATTTAAAATCATGTTGTACCCGAGGTAGAATGCAGAATTCAATTTATCCTGTTCGCCGCGAACAATTTCTTTGGCGACGTTGGGTTCCATTTGCTCGTCTATCATCATGATGACAATTCCACGTTCATCAAGACCCCGACGTCCAGCACGGCCAGACATTTGAATGAATTCCGACGGAGTCACCCATCGTTGTGCAATGCCATCAAATTTGCGGACGCTTGTGAAGACGACCGTCTTGGCCGGCATGTTGAGTCCAATGGAGAAGGTCTCGGTCGCAAACAACACCTTGATCAACCCTTCCTGGAAGAGAATCTCGATTGTCTCTTTCAATAGGGGCAGCAGTCCGGAGTGATGGATGCCAATGCCTCGTCGCAGCAGAGGCAACAAATGCTGAATCTGTGGCAGATTCTTGTCCTCAGGAGAGAGAGTTTCCAATGCGCTGTCGAAGACTTTCGTGACCATGGCCTTTTCCGATTCATCATTGAATGACATGGTGCTCATTTGAATGGCGTAAGCTTCGCAGTCTCTTTTGCTGAAACTGAAAACAATGACCGGGTTGTAATTCTTCATCATGATCATCCGGACAATTTTGTAGATATCGGAAGGGCCCTTAGTGCCTCCTTTATTCAACTTCTTGTCCTTCCCCTTTCCTTTTCTCTTGGCCATCGCATTGGCAGGATCGTCTCCGTGCTTCTCAGCAATTGAGCTCATGGCTTTCTGGAAGTTGTCTTCGCGGAAAACGCCCTTCTCATCCACAATTAGATGAATTCCGTCAGCACCCGCTGGAAAGAAATAGTGCTGCAGGGGGGTGGGTCTGAAATCGGTGTAAACGACGTGGCACGGTTGGCTATGGGTCTTGGTAATCCACTCGGCGAATTGCATGGCGTTGGGGATGGTGGCCGACAGGAACACATAGCGGACTTTGTCAGGTAAGAGAATGATGGTCTCTTCCCAAACAACGCCTCGGACCTTGTCCCGCAAATAATGAATTTCGTCAAAAACGACCCAGCCTACTTCTCGCATGATTTCAGATCCACGATAAAGCATGGAACGCAGAATCTCCGTGGTCATGACGAGACATGTAGCAGTGGGATTGATAGTGACATCTCCCGTCATCAGACCGACATCACCAAAGTCGGCCTGGAATTCTCGATATTTCTGGTTGCTCAAGGCTTTGATGGGACTGGTGTAAATGACTCTCTGGTTGTTCTTCAGACATTGTGCTATGGCGTATTCGGCCACCACCGTTTTGCCGGCGCTAGTATGTGCTGAAACTAGAACACTTTCATTTCGCTCAATGGACGCAATCGAGACTTGTTGAAAGGGGTCGAGCTGAAACGGCCATGTCCTGGCGGGCTCTGCCGGGGATTCGTGCTGTGAGATAGGAACGTAATCATAGTCGGGTGGCAGGGCGACTTGATGACGAACTTGATGCGACAGGATGACCTTATCTTCCTCTTTGGACGCCCGTAAACCAGCTGACGCCGCCACTTCTCTTGACTGTTCGGTTTCAAATGTATCTGTCACGACGGGTTCTGCCTCCTCTTCCATGCGCATGCGCTTTGCGTCTGGTCCATCTCCATTGGCATTGTCTGCGTCAGGATTCTCTGATGATTGTGATTTCGCATCGCTTGAGGGAGTAGGAACGTCGTCTCCATTGGCGGCTTCCTTTAGTTCACCGTTAGCTTGTCGCTTAAGACGCTTTCTCTCTTTCTTATCCGCCTTGTTTTCCGCATTTGCGGGAGCGTGAGGAGTGGGCGGATTATCTTCGAAGACGTCGAATAGCTCGTCCATTTTGACTAAGCCTTGCCGTTTTCTAAAATGCTTAGGCAGAGAGAATGGTGATTATGAAAGTTGGAAAAGACCCTTCCAGAGAGGGAAGTCGAAGAAAAATCCGAGGTCGGCCATCAAGGGAAGCTTTGCCGAGGGACCCTCGCCAAGACTCGAGCTCCTGGCAAGAACAGCTTCATTGAAAGTGGACTGACGATTGATCTTCCTTTCAAACAGTTTTGTCTCTCCTTCCCAGAGAAGCTGTGAAAGTATGATCTGTATCCTCTATTACTCTCGTCGCCGCTGACTTTACAGATGAACGCTCAAACCATGCTCCGAGCTCGAATGGCAACTCAACAGATCGCTCGTCGCGGCTTCTCTTCCACTCGAATTCTACGTGACAGCCCTTTCCATTATCCCGAAGGTCCGAGATCGAATTTACCTTTCAACCCCAAGACGAGGTTCTTCGGGCTGCGATACTGGGGATTCATGGGTAGGGAAACTCCTCCTCAATGAAGGTACAGAACTAAAGACGTTGCAGCTACAGGATTCTTTATACCCTTTGGCATGGCCCGTATGCACATTCCGAGACGTCCAAGAGGACATTTACTGATAAAATACCAGTTTGGCATACGTACAAGGCTTAAAGGATTGCTCGCAAAATCGTTAAGAGGATGTCACATTGCATGAAATCAGGTCAGGGAATGGCGGCCCTCAGCCCGGAATTTGTACAGAGCCCGATTAAAATACATTGAATACAAATGGTCTTCGGTTTTCTACATTCCTCGTGGTTCTGTTGTTTCCCTGAGACTTGTTCTGGCTCATCTTTGCGTACCTTGTTGTATGGGGCGGGCTATCGTATTACACCGTCCAATGAGGTTTACAGGAAATGTGCGTTGGCAAATTTAATTCTCCGATGACTTTATTTTTCTCGACTACAATACATCTTGCCTTGGATCTCAAGATCATCTCAGCCGCTGTAGATCCTTGCCGCTTTGTTTTAAAATGCGAAATCTCAAGACCATTGCATATCGTGAGACTCAGCTCGAATCAGATTTGCCATTAACAGCAACGACATGGGACACCACCAACAATACGTTGATTTGTGCCTTTGGGCCTACTTCAACCCGACCGATCATCGAACTCAAACGAAGAAAAACCGTCAAGTCTAACGATGAAGAATTTGTGACTATCTCGTCGTGGGATGCTCCATGCCCTCTCCCAGACCTCGAGTGCGATGAAATTCTGCTTCTTCAGCATTTTTCCGACATTGCCACGACTTGCCTGATTCTGGCTGGAGGAGATGTCGTTATTGTTCGCGAGGATCCGTCCCCAGACCAGGAAAAGATCGAGATTGTCGGTAGTGTTGATGTTGGAATCTGTGCTGCTGCCTGGGCCCCAGACGAGGAACTGCTTGCCATTGTCACACAAGCGGACACGCTAGTACTAATGAGCAGATCCTTTGAGCCGCTTCATGAAGCAGCACTAACACCGGAAGACCTTAAGGTCTCCAAACATGTTTCTGTTGGCTGGGGCAAAAAGGAGACTCAGTTCCAGGGCAAGAGAGCCAAAGCCATGAGAGATCCTACACTACCTGAGACCGTCGATGAAGGAAAGCCGAGTCCTTATGAGGATGGCAAGGCCACCGTCAGCTGGCGTGGCGACGGCCAGTATGTCGCCATCAACAGTGTTGTCCCTGATCATCGTCGAGTCATCCGAGTTTATACTCGGGAAGCCTTACTCGATAGCGCTAGCGAACCGGTTGACGGAATGGAATCTGCTTTGAGCTGGAGACCTTCAGGGAACCTTATTGCTGCAATCAAACGGTCGGAGAATAAAATCGCAATCGTTTTCTTCGAAAGGAATGGCCTCCGACACGGTCACTTCGATCTGCGCACCACAAAAGAGGAAATGGACAGCTGGGCTTCTAGTATTTCTCTCGCGTGGAATACCGAGTCGACAGTATTGGCTGTTTCGTTTAAAGACAGAATTCAATTTTGGACAATGGGAAATTACCATTACTATCTGAAACAAGAAATCCATCTCCGTTCATCCCCAAGACACGCTCTCCTGAACTGGCATCCAGAGACGCCCCTGAGAACATCCTTTCGCACATCCGAATCATTGATGGACGTTACGTTCTCTTCCACGGTATCTCGAGGGAGCACAGTCCCCCCGTTTGACCATGGCATTGTCGGAGTCATCGATGGGAAAATCTTGAAACTCACTCCATTCAAGCAAGCTGGGGTGCCGCCACCAATGGCATTCTGCGAAGTGTCCTTTGATTTCAATATCATTGACTGTGCCATCCATCAGGATGGCCAAAGAATTGTGGTTCTGACAACAGATTCAATCGAACTCTGTCAATGGGTGACTCGGGCAACCAGTGATGGTTACATCAGATTCACCGCACAATCGCAGCGTCGGTCTATACCTTTCCCCTTTAGGGGAACGTCACATCCTCTTCGATATACGCAAGTGGTTCAAAGAGAGAACGAGATCTTTGTCCTGGCGCCAGCCCAATCCACGATCAATGCAATATGCCACAAGATGGTCTGGCACGATGACGACTCAACAATAGCCAGTTTTGAAGACTTTCCCGTTCCTCCTGCTACCGAAAATCTCATCCTGGACACCTTCTACGAGACGGTCTTTGGCATCGATCCGAGTCAGAACGGCACGTTCCTGCTCCCTTATATCACTAGCATGGCGGAAATCGAATTAAATGGCAGCCAGCCCAACAGTTCCATTTTCACTCTTCGCGACAGTGAGACTGCTCACTCTCCAAGTGAGATGAACGGCGCCACGCCTCGATACCATAAAGTATCCCTCAGCCCAAAAGGGTCACTATACGTCAATGACACCCTCCTCATCCGCGAATGCACCTCATATATCGTCACATCCGAACACCTCATCTTTACAACCTCGCAACACCTGAAATTCGCCCACTTGACAGACCCCTTGGACATGCACATCCCCGTGGATACGCCTGAGAACGATGAACGATGCCGCAACGTGGAACGAGGCTCAAAAATCATCACGGTCATCCCCTCCATCTATGCTGTGATCCTGCAAATGCCTCGCGGGAATCTTGAGACCATCTATCCTCGCCTCCTCGTGCTGTCGGGTATCCGACAATATCTCAAAGAACAGGACTATCTCGCAGCTTTTCTGGCGTGTCAGACACATCAGGTGGATATGAACATTCTTCACGACTATGATTCTCAAACGTTCCTGGCAAACGTTCCGAAATTCATTGACGCACTCAACAAACCCAGCCGTATTGACGAATTCTTGTCGAAATTAAAGGATGAAGACGTAACGCAGACGCTCTACCGAGACACTTTGAAAGCTCAGTCCCAAACACCATCGGAAACCACCCAGCCTAACCGCACCAAAGTCAATACGATAGCCGACGCATTCCTCTCCGTCCTCTCATCCAAACCCTCTCCGTACGTTCAAAACATGATCACAGCACACGTATCGAAACGCCCACCAGACCTCGACAATGCACTAATCCTCGTCTCGTCCCTCCGGCACAAGTCAGACGAAGAGGCCGACCTGGCCATCTCACACCTATGTTTCTTGACGGACGCAAACCGCCTCTTTGACGCCGCTCTGGCCCTATACGATCTCGAACTCACGCTATTGGTGGCGCAGAACGCTCAGCGCGATCCTCGAGAGTACATTCCATTCCTGCAGTCGCTGCAGGATCTGCCCGTGCTGAGACGGCGATATCAGATCGACCATCACCTTAAGAAATATAGCAGAGCCTTGGTCTCTCTCCACGCGCTAGAGGCACATGACGAAGTGAAGAATTACACTGTCAAGCACAACCTCTACACTAAAGCCATAGATCTTTACAAGTACGACACAGTGCACCTGACCAGCACGACCAGGCTGTACGCAGAGCACCTGTCGAACCAATCGCAACATTCCGCCGCAGCGACACTATTCGAATCACTTGGTGACTACGAGTCCGCATATCCACTGTACGCCCTAGCTCACCGATGGCGTGAGTCGCTAACATGTGCGACCCTTGTACCCCTAGACTCGCAACGCCTCTTCAGCCTCGCGACATCTCTCGCGACAACCTGCGCCGATGAGTCGCGCGACTACCGCTCCGCCGCATGCATCCATACCGACTACCTCAACGACGTGCCCGGTGCCGCTCGCCTGCTCTGCAAAGGCTCGTATTTCGCCGAAGCCTCGCGGATTCTCGCCATGAGAGGCCTCGTGTCCGAGATCCCCCTGGTCATTCACACCGGCCTGACTGACAAATTCGGCGAAATCCTCGAACTCGTCGCAGATTGCAAGACCCAATTGAATGCACAGATCCCACGGATCGCAGATCTGCGGAAGAAGAAAGAGGAGGACCCCCTCGCCTTCTACGGTGGTGATCCGAACCTCGTGGACGCCAATAATGGTGCAGATATTCCAGATAATGTCTCTCTGGCCGCCACGGACGCGAGTACGCTCGGTGGACAGAGCTTGTTCACGCGGTACGGGTCCAATGCCGGCAAGTTCGGCGGGACAGTGGCTTCGAATATGTCGCGGAAGACGTCCAAGACGAAGCGGCGAGAAGAGCGGAAACGAGCCCGCGGCAAGAAAGGGAGTGTGTATGAGGAAGAATATTTGGTTGCAAGCGTGGGGAGATTGATTGAGAGGGTCAACGGGGTGCATGACGAGGTCAAGAGATTGATGAGAGGGCTGTTGAGACGAGGGATGCGAGACCAAGCGGCCAAGGTCGATCAGGTGCTGAAAGACATCTGTGAACAGTGCTCCAAGGCAAGGATTGAGGTTTGGCAGGTTCCGCAAGAGCAGGGGCCGGCTGAGACCACCCACGATGTGAATGGAGCAGGTCGTCCTTCCGGGGCTGATGGAGTTCTTTGGGATAGCCAGCAGGAAATCCAGAAAATCAAAGAAGCACCTGAAGTGAAAGTGTGGACTTCAAGTGAGCTTGTGACCTCATCAGTCTAAACTGAGAGACTGGATGATGGATGGGGTGGACATTGAAAATTTGCTTTTTCATTCAACGTTTCAACTTATCTAATCTGTTCCATTTCTCTTTTCCGATTTAATCGTCCATTTATTTGACTTGCCAGAGCTCCTCTTGAAGTCCCCGATGTCCCTGGGCCGGCTTCTAATCTATTGGTAGGCCTCGTCTCCTGAGATTCTGTTCCGCGTTGTCGTTTGGAAGGCTTTCCTTTTTGGATGTCGTTAGAAAAGAGTTGTCGGTGGTGTGCCGGTTCGACAGCTTTGTCTTCGGCTTCCTCACTCTGTGGTATTTCAACTGCTCTCTTCGCCTGATTAAGCTCGGCAATTCCGAGACCGACATCAAGCAAATAAAGCTGGAATGCTGATAATAATTCCTTCAACCCGGATCTTAATCTTTCAGTGATGATCTCAACCTCTTCAATGCCACCATCAAGCCCTTGGCTGTTCTTCAACACGAAGCTGTCTATGATCGTCAACGTTTTCGTGAATGTCCTGACAGTCTCCGGTACGGTCGGAGTGGCTTTGCCATACGTGTCCTCTGAGAGACTGGCAACAAGCATTTTAGTGATGGAGTCAATCACATCGACAATCATGGCCGCATTACCGCTTGGAGATCCAAGTACTGCCGCATTGATTTTCGCCGCTTTTGTTGACAGAAAGAGCCATCCTAGAGGACTCTTTTGCAAAGAAATGGCCCATTGCCCAAGAAGGCTCTGGGATGGCATTTTGTCTGCTCCTGGAGGCTTCGCATATTCAAGCAATTTGGTCCCGGCTACTTTTGTCGTCTGCTCGACCGACAGATGCCATGGATTCTTACTCCTCCCAATTTGGCGCAAAGGGCTCGAAACGAGTAGTTCCCCCATGCTCGCCTTTGGTTTTGCCTGAAGGATTGATCGTGTTGGCAACTCGGGGACAATGTGGGGTAGAGTCTTAACAGTTTGATTTGGTTGAGGATCCGGCTCTTTTGGCGGTGGTCCAGTTATGCGGCTGTCAATGTCCCGCAAGACTTTCAGCCCAGCTTCTAACGTTTGACCCCAGATTGGTCCTGTAGGTCGTTCAATGTCTTCGAAAATAGCTTTCCTTCGGTCCTTGTGTTTTTGAGCAATAAGATCCAGTTCCCAGAAAGCAAAAGTCTTGACAACATCTCGTTTAGCTTTCAACCCCGTCAGTAGCGTTCCATTCGGGTCTTTGCTGGTGGCAGACAGAGGCAAACCAGTCTTGCTCGGTTCCTGCTTGAGATAAGTCAAGAAGAGCATCGAGGTCAGCTCCCATGTGAGGACCAACCAAAATCCTGCCAAAAGACATCGGCCAAGGTAGAATAGTCCCAATGGTGGATACCCGATGGGTCGGGCATTCGCCCGGGACAAGTTAAAGAATGGCTTTGCAAGTGTAAGGTGAAGCTGCCAGAAGAATTGTCGCAAGCCCAAGGTATTGATGAAAGGTGTGGCGACAATAGCCACGGCTGCAATCACGGCAGACTGTGCCAGCGAAGGAATTATTCGTCGTTGTAGTTGTGTCTGTATCGGTTCTATAGGATGTGTATCCGGTGCCTTGCTGTCCGTGGAGGGCTTGGTTGGTAATCTTGAGACGGGGATATGGAGTAAGGAATGGCCTTGGTACAGGTGAATTGCGGAGTATGCCGATGCTAGAACCAAAGCATAGAGTCGGAAGAAGATCGGTTTCTCGTTCAGGACATCAGGGGTTTTGTGGTTTCCCCTCGTGATCCATCCGAGATCAGGGGATGACCAAATATATGCTTCGGTAAACCACCACGCGGATACCAAGTACCAGAAGGCCGTCTGGAGAGCGGTTGAGCTGAGGAAATTGGCGATGAAAGTAGCGAAAGGAGAAGTCGTGGTCTGTCGGCCAATTCGAAGAGTCGCGATCTGCAGGATGAAAATGAAGAGGCTTGACATGAAGAAAAGCAAAGCTTTGATGCCAGCAGGACCGAAGGGAAACCAAGACCAGAAGAGGTCTGCGGACATCAGCATTTACTTATTATTTTAGAGTGTTGAGAATCCTACCTCTTTTCGAACCGATCCAAAACGCATTGTTAAGAGCGACAAGGAGGGATATCAGTGCTGCATGCACAAATCTTGTGTGTAGAGCGGAAGTCAAGAATCTTCTGTAAGGTCGCGGTGGAAGGCTTGCAAGCGGAGTAGAAGCGGGAATCGCCATGGCTATGGTCAAGGGTTCAGGAAAGAAGTCCCATAATCAACGAGCAGCCATCGACCAGCGTACACTGCCGGAGGGGTGAGAGATGATCAGAAACTTGAAGTTGTAAACAAGCGCATGTGGTGCTGCGCGTGTGTTTGAAGGTCGCAAACTTTCGACCGTCCACGTGATGAGGTGCTTGATGCGGAGGCTCGGTCGCGATCATCGCCGCATTCAAAACCCCATTCCCTTGTCTTCTAGGCTTCCGCCGTTCACTCGACATCTTTTCACAGATTCTGCGTAATACTCACAAACACTCATCCGATACATCTCTATCTCGTCACGACAACATCTCACCAACCTCTACCCATCGACAAGCCCACCATGTCGTTCGATCGACTCTCTTCGCTTGAGTCCCAGCCCACTACCACCCGGCGAGAAGATGATCCCCAATACAGAGATGATCCCGAGTTCCACAGGCTCACAGAGTCACTATCTACTCGATTGTTCGAATTGATTTCGAACATCTCCCGACTATCCAGTCAAATTTCCAAACGAGACACCGAAAGAGCCCGCGAGAGAGTACATGATCTTCTTGAGGAGACACGAGAGGGTTTCAAAGAGGTCGGGGAGGGCGTCAAGAGGGCGCAGGCATGGCCGGATCTGAATGTCAGTATTGGGGAGAATCTCTGCTTTCCAGCGACTAATTGATGGCAGCCTGCACAAAGATACACCAACCAAAAGCTGTCACGAGAGTTTGCTTCCGCGCTCTCTGAATTTCAAGTCGTCCAGAGAAGAGCCATAGAGAAAGAAAGAGCATCGAAAGCTGCCCTGGAAGAAGCTGCAGCCGCACAATCTCCATCAGGCGAAGGACGAGAACAGCTTCAGTCCTTGGACGAACCACGGTTGGCACAACAGGATGAAGTCGACTATCAGGAGAACTTGATCATTGAACGAGAAGGCGAAATTCGACAGATCGAACAATCCGTCGGTGAATTGAACGAGCTGTTCCGAGATGTCGCACATCTTGTTAGGGACCAAGGTGAAATGATTGACGTCATTGATGTCAACGTGGAAAACACGTTAAACGATACACGAGGAGCCGATGTGGAATTAAGGAGCGCCAGTCGGTATCAGAAAACTGCTCGAAACAAAGCGTGCTGTCTCCTGTTGATCTTGGCGATTGTACTGTTGATCGTGGTTCTGGCTGTTGTCTTAGGCTGAGAAGCAGGGATTTGAGGAACATTGGCGTTATGGGAGTTCTGTTCTACATGGAGAACAACCCTGATTGTACAGCGGATGGTGGTGAAACTCTCCAGGGTGGTGTCCGAAAGGAGGAGTCTTTCTGGTCAAAGCAATGACCAGACATAGATCAACCCGAGTAAGAACGTCAATCGTCATTTAGTAGTCTGCATTGAAGCAACCAAGGCTTTTAAGCGGTGGGTCGATCGAATATAATTCGGCTGGGTTCAGGTCAATTGTCGCGATCGATCAGAACGAGGCTGATTCTGCTGCCAAGGCTCAGCCTTGCGTCAACAAACGCGTTGACGTCAAATCCAGACTACCAGCGCGTCTGCCATTCCTTTAGACACAAGCCAAAAGTCAGATTCATTTTTCCTTTTCTTTCCCATTTCCTCAATGCCAGTTGTCTGGTCTCCCACGTTCGTGATGGCAAGACATGCAGTCTCTGTCACCCTTAGAGAGAGAAGCGCTTGCCCCTGCCATCAGCCACAGTCTGAATCATTGTACGAGCACATCCACAAGCAGTACAAAAAGGAAGAGTGATGAATTCGAAGCAGACGAGCCTCAATCGGAGAATATCACCGCTGTATTCTTGTCTGGCAATCTCCACGTAATCACATTCGCTTCGGTGACGCTTGTGGCGAGAGCATGTCTCCCATTGGCATGGCTCGACGCCTCAAACTCGTTCCCTGATCCAATTTTCAAAGCAAACATCCTATCTGTACAGGAATGGGAGCAACGAATACTGGTGGTCCGGAAAACGCCAAATGGGGGCCTGTATGCAATTGAAAGAGTTGGATCGGATACGTACATTGCTTGTGCTCTTCACAATTGGGTGTCGGAAGAATGGTGTAAGGATGCGGCGGTCGGAAAGGTGTCTGAGGCCAAAATCGAGAAGTTATTAAAGGGGGAGGATGGCATTCCTCGCGGTCGCAGCAGGATGACTTCGCCTTCCAGTTTTAATGCAGTACCTAACCCCCCCAAGCCCCCAAGACCTACGAATCAACGAGGAGCACTCGCCAGGTTGTCGATCTTGAATCCTACGGACTCGACAAGTCATGAGACGAATTCTGAGAGACCCGCTTCTGCTGGCACTGCTGTGCAACCGGCTCTTGCTCCTTCGGTTACAGAGTCATTACCAACAACTCCCGCCGGACAACCGGATCCGTTCGACAACACCGTATCAATGGACGAGATTCCTCCACCGGCTCAACCCATGCAAGAAACGCCTGCAGTCGCAATGGAAAATCCATGTGCTCCTGATCGCCTTCGCACACAATATTTTGAACATCTGTACACTTCCAAGACGTCTCTGGCTTTCTATACGAAGGGCCCTCTGAGCCGTGCTCGAGCACAGATACGAGCCGCTGAATGTCCACCACGATCAATCTCGCAGTTGTCTGAATTCTATGAACAAAGTATCCTTCCCATCAAAAAGTTTGATCTGAAGTACAAGGAGTCGTTGCCGAAAGTGATCAAAGAATTGCCCGTTGAACAGGATTTTGCCGATGCAATGAAGAAAAAGACTCGAAAGAAGAAAATGAAGTTAGGGAAAGACTGCTTGTGGCCAGAAGAAGAGGAATTCATTGCGAAGTGGTGGCGAAGCAGGGACTTGAAGTCAAGTGTCTCCCCCACTGATCTGACAGAGGAGATGCGTAAAGAATTGACAGATTTACGAATGAGGGAAGCTCAAATGCAGACGTTGCTGATCCTGGAAGTCATCTTACTGGAGCGGGCCGGCGCAAGAATATCAGGCCAGCCAATCTCAACAGATCCAGAAGTCAAAGTTGAATCTGTCGAGGGTGATTCTGCAACAATATTAGCAGGCACGCCAAAGAGACCTAGCAAAAAGCGTGACCTTTCCCGTGAACTCGATACGATTGTGGATCGTCTCTGTATATGGCACACCGTGAGCCTGGATGACCTTGCTACAACGGAGAAATCGCAGGACAGCAGCCACCCGAAGCCGATCGACTCACTTCGAGACTTTTGCAACGATGTCCTCCTCCCATTCTACTCCGCTAAATTACCGGGCCAAGTGAAATCATTATCTCGAAAACTTGGTGGACACGAAATATCACCGCAGAGACCCAAGCAACAATCCCGGTCCACAACGCTTGCCAAATCTTCATCTTCATCAGCAGCTCTTTCAAGATCCAAAGCCAATCAACCCTTGACCAAACGCACTCTGGAACGGGTCCTCAGCGAAGACCAAATCCGCCGCCACGCCTCACCCCCAATCTTAACCCGCTCCTCGACAGTTCCCATGACTGCCGCTGTCCCGACCTTGAAGCGTGAACCTTCCGAAAGACCTGTCTCCCGGAGCGGCCTGCTGTCTAAATCTGCCAGTTTCAGCAATCGCGAAATCGATCTCGTTGCCCACTCCAAGGCACACGAAGCCAAGCGTCGTAAACTTGATCGGTTAGCGCAACAGAAACGGGAACTCGAAGCCGCTATCAACGCGCTGAAGAGACCGAATCGGAGCACCGTGGCCGGCGCATTCATGGACGAGGTAGAGAAACGGCAGGAGAAGTCCATTCAGATTTCAGCTACGCCTCGATCCCGGCGGGTGAAGGAGAGGGCAGAGCATTTAGAGCCCGAACTGCCTCCGATGCCCAAATCGAGTCGTCAGGGACAGGAGATGACGATGGTTCCCTCGTCAACAGTGAAAACCCGGCCCCGACCGAGCCTCTCCAGTTCAGATAGTATCCCCCGATCATCAACCACGAAACGGGCAGTAATCTCCGCCATCCAGGAGACGCCCTCGAGAGGATTGGAAAGTAAGACTTCAAATCCGCTAGCCCTACCCCGACTATCAGAATCGTCTGCCACGAGCATAGCAGCAACACCAGCTCCAAAGCGAACACATTTTCCTGCTGAGACGGATTCGGAAGTCCCTGAACCCTTAGTCGATGCCGGTTTGTCCTCGTTCCAGCCTCAGAATCACACAAGAACCGCCTCTGGAACAAAGAGCCCGCTCAATCTACGGATGACGCGCTCTCAACGCCCCGTTTTGTTCACGCCGTTAAAGAAATCTGACGTGAACATTGAACAAGTGTTTCGCAATGCCCCGGAGATCCCAGAACGGGCAGGCCGGATGATGGATAGAGTAATGGGCGGCAAAGGGCGAGGTTTAGAAGCCGGATTTGACACCCGGAGCGATGATTTGGAGTGGAAAACTGCATTGAGAAGAGGTCCCGAGACGAAAATCACGATGGATGACGGAGATGATGGAGATATTTATGATAAACTGGGCTGGAACGATGATTTCGACCTCTGATCCCCGAAGGAATGTTCATGATAATTGGGTGAATTCTGTCAGGCTAGCATCAGAGTCTGATCAATGAAAAATAGCCTCAACAACGATACGGTTCGAACGAATTCGGGATTAGCCCTCAAATCATGCAGAGGAGAGACGACTGTCCCAAAGACAACTTGCTGAAAATCTTCGTTGTCAGAGTTCGGGTTTCTGCTTCCCGACCAGAACAGACATCTGTCGACGACGTCTCCGTACCGGCAACCGCTCTCGGAATAGGCCCGCCGAAGGACCCGAGATGCGGTCTTGAGTTAGCCACCGCAGTCACAGGATCATCGACTTCTATCGCGCGCAAGGCTGAGATGGATTGGCACGGGGACAATTCGATCAGAGCCAGGCCAAGCGGGAACAATACCTCGCTTCGGATGAAGCTGTTTACCATGCCAGTTGTCGCTGGCAAGGAAGCTACGTTGTCTAAGCTGCTCACCTCGTGATCCGAGAGAGATCGGGGTGGTCGAGAATCGCGGTACTCTCATCTCCCCTTCTCGCGAATAAGATGTCCCGGCAGCCCCAGTGAGACTTGAGCTAGCTTCCGTGAAATTGACGCACACTGGAACCGGTGTGGCTCGACCTCTTGCCAGCGTTATCCGCGTCAAATAATGGTAGCTCGATTCGGAGATAAACACAATGAGAACCTCACTGCTTCTACACATGGTACCCGTTTATCAGAAACTATTGCAACGGACTTCGAGGAATCTCATGTCAAATTTGACGCAATGCATCGAACTCGGGGGCCACTGAAACATCACACGCACAGAGTCTCTGGGAAGGTCGGGGGAAAGTCGCTGTGTTACCTGCACCAGTTAGTCGGCGATCGAGCAACCCTTTGAGTGTCCATAGCTCAAAACAGACGTTCTTGGATTCGACACGTTTTCAGAGATCTCATGCCCTATGTCTGTGTCTTTTCGGACTGCGTGACACCGAGCACGCTGTACGATAATCGTCGTGAATGACTTCATCCCCTGCAAACCAAACATGTTTCAGGATCTGCCCTAAGTACGGAAGTTGACTACCCGTTGTGTTGCGGAATGGCACTGGCAGCTGTCAAGTTTGAACGACATCTAGGCCAACATTTGGAGGAATTGCCTTTATTCGCAATTCCAAGAGATGCAGAAGGTGAGGAAGCAGATGCAGATACATGCCGAAGACCACCGCCATGACCATATGTCAGAAATGATGAGGAAACCGACTTATCCGGCGACAAAGATGAAGAGCAAGAGGAAGCTGAATTGGGTGCCCAGGACGGGGAAAATCTACCACGACACCAGTCAAGGCGTTTGTCGAAAGAAGGTGGCTTGGATGATGAGGCAAATAAGGCCTTCTATCCGAACGCAACGACTTTGCCAATGTGTCAAAATGGAGAGTCCTGGGGCGTTTACTCTAAACATGAGCACCAGAAGATTCAAAGCGAATACAGCGCGCTTTTCACCAAGAGGCTGAGGACGATAATCGGAACCAGTCCCAGACTGACTCCTACAGGACCCCTATCACAGACACCAGGAGTCGTCAGAACGAACCAATTGACGGACGAAGACGGGCATACGCAGGGAGCAAATCCTTACTTCCAAAGGACGCATCAACTCCGGTATTGTCTGGTATGAAGCATTGAAAAAGGCAGGTGTCTTATCCTTGCAAGAATCGGGCTAGACTGGAAACAGAACAAAAAAGAGACGGCCTTGGAGGGTTTTCTGAATTGTACAGCACCCAACCCTCCAAATCAGCTGTTGGGGAGGATATTGAACGTTTTCAAGAACTTGGCTCCCAGGCCCAAAAGAGCTCGTTGACACATACCTGTTCCTGACCCTGGCGGCATATGGCGTGCTCTGAAGTAAATTTTTTCCCTAATGAAGAGAGCAAAATGAAGGAGAGAGCTGATGAGTGGCGAACTAATGAAATAGTGTTCCACAATGCAGCAGCGTGGCTATCCATCGGCATTACACTAATGTGTGTTCCAGCGAACATGGTATATATATATATATATATACGGAGTAATCCCCCAATAGTTGACGCCTAGGGTTATGTTGCTGACTCATCCATCGCCGCTTTGCTCTCCCGCTAACGACTATTTAGTCGATTCACTCCCTAATCCGCTCTCTTCTACTCCCTTCCTCTCTTTCGCGCTCCCCTTCACTCCCTTCTACTTCCCCATACTCCTTTATACTCCCTCACGGCTCTAGCCCGCTCCTGCCGTTCTTTCTCACGTGCTGATAAGTCTCCCGTTCGGGCTCCAGTCTCAGAAGCGACCACGTCGCGCACATCCCAGCCTCGTGGTAACTTTACCCGATTATATCTATGAGGGCCCGTTTCGGCTCTGGTGAAGGGTAAGATCCCTGGTAGATCGTATAAAAGACCACATCGCTGAGTAATCTGTGCAGCGAGGTGGCTAAAACGCCAATGGATAGCCGTCCATACTCTGATTCGGCAGACTGCTCATCATATATTATTGCGCAATTTCGTGAGGCTGTCAGCACAACGGAATTCCAAAATCCCTGGACATTCTGTTTGCACCCATGACTTAGCTTGTAATAAAAGCTCGGCGAAGGCTCCCGCCATAATCAGAAGAAACAGTTCCGCCGGAAAAGAGCTATGTTGCCTAAGATACAACAGAAATCTCGCCAAAAAATAAATGCCAACTGTCGTGAAAAGTAACCTCATGATAGCGTAGGAATAAGGCTCAAGGGAGAGAGAAACCGCTGCTAGAGCAATCCCAAAAGATGATAATACGAACGGAAGTGTTGATGCTGCTGACTTATGCTTGGCCTGTGGCACAGGCACGGTTGAGTGCTTGATGCGTAAGTCAATTGCTTCCACAATGCAAAGGAAGCATAGAAGAAACCACGCCACAATAGAACGCCACGTTCGCTGACTTGAAGCCCTCACAGGGATGCTAGTAAATACCGCAACAAACATTTTCGACCCCATGACTGTTTGCTTCTTTGTGTCAACAGTGATTTTGTGACCCTCTACCACGATTTCTTCACCCCATGAAAGATGACTGAGATATTCGGGGCTTTTCAAATTTGGATGTTCCATCTCAAGCCCGCGGGCGACCCGAAAGTGAATAGTCCGCTCCAGGCACCAAGGTTTCCGATGAACAAAACACCAGAGCCTCTGAAGAATTTGGGCTGCATGGATTGGCGGCGCTGAAAGCTCCATCCTGGTGACAAAGTCACGTCTTTTCGCAGAGACCTTTCTCTTCCCTGTGTCTCGATAATGAATGTATGCCGTGCTCGTCAAATAAAATCTGTACGCCGGGATTGGCCCGCCCTTCTCATGCACAACGATATTTTCGCCTTGATAAAGAACCTCTAAAGACGTATCGATGTGCAAAAGCTGGCAGACCATGTCTGCTGGTGGCTGAATTAAAGCGGCATGATATCGCATTTTCGTTCCAGTCGCCGCGAAATGAGGAGCAGGAATCCAATCCTCATGGGGTCCATACCGGTCGGTGAAGTCGTGCACCATCCTAATATGGATTGTATGGAGTGAGGATCGACTGAGAAGGGCTTCAGCACACAGCTCTGTGGGTTCATTTCGATATCGGTTCACCAGAAGAAGCTCTCCATCCGAGGTGATTTGGTCGTCCGAGAAAAGGACAGAAGGGCGTCCCAACGGAATCGCGATGAGATGTAAGAAGTCATCGCTTCTTCGACAATTCAGGAGACCCAATATTTGCTGCTTGACGGAAAATAATTCCTCTGAATGGTGAATTGAGCGGGTGATGAGTGGCATTTCGATGCGGAGCCCTTTTTTTGTGAGCTCAAAGCTCATTGTATGTTGCGGTTTCCAGGCCTCGCACTGAACGATATCGCCGCACCCATCAAAGTCTGAGGGAGACAATGCGAGGGCACCAATTTCTGCGGTGTTCAGGTCTGATTCTTCGGTTTGATGGGACTCCCAAGCGAAAATCGATTGGTCGTCAGTCTGGCCGATAATTTCCTCCTGGAGTCTTTGGAATGCCTTTTCGCCTTCCCCGTATAGAAGAGGCATGTTGACATCAAAGATCCCTAGAAGACAATAGGCTGCATCTTCTTTCCTGGTTGTAGTCCTTCTTGCCGCCCAAGACATCCTCTGGGCAATGCTTGCTTCGGATAAGCGTTTGCGGCCTAGAAATCCAGATGGAATACGAGTGATTTCCTCGATGATATTGCAGAGTGTTTGCCGTTTCTCAAGAAAGGTCCACGACTTGCTGAAGAAGAGCAAATCAGTCGGAGCTAGTAATTCTTGTAAGGTCCAGCCTCGTGTGAACCACCGACTCCTTCGGAAGGTAGAGTCCTTGTCCTCCAAACATTCTCCGTCTGTGACATCGGCTAGGTAGACGTAGCACACCCGTGAGTCTCGATACCAGTTGAACATAGAGTTAATAGCCTCAGATGTCTCGCTACTGCTCGTCTTGTCGATACAGCATGTGTCGACCCATATCCAGTCTAAGCCTTCCTGTGAAGCCTGCCTGCAACAGCCTTCGATCTTTTGAAACCCTTCTTTGAGGGCGAGGCGGGTAGCGTGCTGGCTTGGATTTTGCTGGAGTTCTTTCATTTCTTCCAAAGATATCTCCTCCGATCCTCAAGTGTGGGATAGGGTAGCGTAGGCTGGGACCGAACCGTCGGAAAATTCCGTAACTTTTCTGGATTTCACGTCGAGGAGGCGCATCATGAACCTCTTCGTAGGCAAATTTGCGGAGAGCTCGATGTCGATACTGTACTTGAGTTTCAGCAACGGGGAGAGCAAAATAAAAACACAACGAACTGAATCATTTACATTAAGTGGGTTTCTATAAATTAGGCAGATTCAGGGCTGTGCTGAACAGCGTTGCTCGCGTAGGCGGCGGTCTCCTCCAACTGCGACTGTCTCGACCCCACCGTACAGAATAAGCCAAGTTCAATGTCCTTCTACACTGTGATTTTGTGGCCGCGGGTTGCCCGGTTGTTCCCTGCCATCTGTCTGAAACAGGTTCCTAGCCGGGGCGCAAGTAAAGCCAATTTCCAAAGGGGCCAGATTAGGCCAAACGTCTGCCGCTTGGAGATTTGCTCAAGGACTGCTCGCTCCCTGTGGCTCGCCTAGTGCTCGGGCGGTCTCCCTCGGGCTCTGCCGTGGCTCCCGTGACGCTCCCCCGTGCTCGGCCAGGCGTCCATCGATGCTCCGTCACGTGCCACGTGCTCGAGTAAAGCGGCCTCGCTCCCTTTCCTGAACGAAAATGGTAAAGGATACAGCACAGTTCGGGGTATATATAATGTATATATGTATATTTTTTCCTTCGAATGTGCATTCTTTACATCTGACTTACTACTCTTCTTACTTTTCGAGGTCCACAATTGGGAGACGGTCGGCAAAAAGAGAGGTGTTTCCCGGTCACGGCAATGAAAATTGACAGAAGATAGCTTTCTTCTGTTCGTGGGACTTGCGCTAGGATCATACTTCGTAGAGGAAGATATGTTCCCTGCATGTTTGTCCATGCTCCTAGCATTTTGTCGGGTAGGTGCATGATGGCATGATATGTGCTGTCGGCTCCGTCAGTGCTGCTCTGTCATTCAAGACGTCATTGGTCCAATGTGCCTCATTTCGGCTCGACTCAGCGATTATATTGAGATATACAGTGAGCTAAGTCCTCACCTCATCAGCCGCAGAATTGGATTCACTTCCCCAGCGAATCTGCCCTCTCAAGCTGTCCCCAGAGTCGCGCGTAGATGAATACACGGAATGCTCCAGATCCATGCAACAAGCCCGTCCACTAGTGTATGCAATATCACCCGCCTTGTAGGTACAATCAGTGATTTCCCGCCAGTCGTCGAAACCACATGGTCCCCCCAATCCCATGTCTCATCAAGGATATCCCTCAAAGCGCGGGATCGACATTCATCAAATCATCACTCATAATATGCAACACCTGGGTAAACATCCTGAGTCTCCGACCTGATATCCCATCCATTAGATTAGCAAAATCCAACAAGACACGCCTCGCGCTCTCGTACCCTCCTTGATGGGCCACGCCATTCAGACTCACCGTCCCACCGTACTTGACAAACTGATAGATCAGGGAAAAATGTTCATCTTCGCGATTCGTTGTCAAACTTCGGTCAGCCTGCTGTTCTAGTGATTCGTCTTTGAAGCCCAAGTCGTGTAATTCGGTCCAATCGGGCTGGGCCTCGATGAGTTCGACAGGTGCCGTACCTTGACGTGAAGAGCCCGGAGTGACCATAAATAGGTATAGACCCAGGGTGAGGGCAGACGCAAACAGGGCCGTGACCGAATGGATTGTGACATTGTCGGAGACTCGGCGTTCAGACATTAATTTGAAATTCTGCGCTGCATGGACACATGCTCGACGAGCAGATTGGGTTTGTGACCACTGGCTGATATTCTCCAGAGCACCCGTTGCTGGTCCTGCTCCATGTCGGCCGGCTGCGAGTTCGAACATTCGGAAATCGGCTAGTAACATAATACACAGACTGTGCCATAGAACTGTGCAGTTGGTGTCATCCACTTTGGATAATGGTCCGGCCGTGTGAGTCGCGGCAAGGAGTGCAGGGATTAAAGTCTTCGCTCGGGCGTCACCGGAATAAACATGCCAGGGAATAAATGATCCGACCGTCAATTGATCTGGAGGCATAAGTCGTTGGTACGCTTCAAGGATCTGGATTTGAAGCAATGCTAACAGAGTGGATCTTCCCAGAAAACCCAGTTTGCCGACTGGTTCCATGTCATGTTTGTGTAGGTCTTCGATCCTAAAACTGGGGGCATTTTGACTCTTGCCGCTTCGAAGGAGAGATTGCCATTGAGTGGCAGATTTAGCTTGGAACAATGCCTCATCACATGGTGCGGTAACGCAAACGGACTCGGACCTGACGATCGGAGCCTTGGACAACAGATTTGAATACCATGAATCAGCAAGTAAAAGCCCAAGGATGAGACGCTTAGCCGACTCGATCCGACTCCACGCCTTCCACCGGTCGTCTGATTCCGACATCTCAGACAGTAAGACGTCGAGAGACTGTCCATCACCCGCCGCGAACAACCCATTTTGTTGAACCATGGAAAGCAAACTGACATACAGCATTTGGCTTTGATTGAAAGAGTCCTTATCCCCGGTAATCACCGAAAGGTTCAAAGTCAGCAATCCCGTTGCGAAAATAACCAACTGCTGTGTTGGTGAAGCAGAACTTCCTGCACAGGCTGACAAATCACTACAGACACGTTGGAGAAAGCTCGGAAACATCCTGGACACAAATCTCGTGGCTCCGGTTGTTCCCAGAATACTCAAGCCGATAAGGCAAATGGCAAATAACATGGGCGAAGGGGTATTCCGAACTGAAAACGTGGCAACATGAATGAAGGGAACGGTGGGATGAAACCGTCGGAAGAAAAGACCTAAAGCGATATCGAGGATTTCGGCCGGGGGGAATTCTTCATTTGACTGGGAGAGGACGGGATCGAGGGCCGGTTGCAATCGAGGAGAGTGATAAGTCGAGGGAGCAGGAGTGCGGAATTGATCACGCAGACGAACTCTGCATTCAGTGTCGAGACCCCAATTTGACGTGGTCCTAAAATCATCGGCAGCAATAGGAGATTCGGAAAATAGGTTGTCCATCGAGAATGATGCAACTTCTTTCCAAAGAACGGGCATGATTCGAAACAGTCGGCCTGGTCGAGGACCCCAACAACGTTGCACTCTAGAAAAACGTTCTCGGGGAACTTTGGCGATGGTCTTGGTCCTATCCGCGGCGTCGTTGCTTCTTCCATTGGCCAGCTCCTTGGTTTCTTGACATGGCTGCTGAGAATCACCCAGGCCGTAGCTTTGAAGAAAGTCAGGAGACTGCTCCAGGTCACCCAACGAGGGGAAGAGCCACATCTGAAAAGGATCATGGAAATTTTGTTGATTGGAATGGTCGGTCTGTGGGATCCATTCAATATGGCTGTCTGAGAATTGGTTGGGAACAATTTCCGACCTTGGGGTCTGGCCTGGATTTCCCGGGGTGGTGACAGACGTTTCAAAGGTCGAAGTTTCTCCGCTGTTCTGAGAAGGAGAGGCTTTCTGAGGATGGGAGGAGGGACAGGTTTTGTTCATGCTGCTGATAGGGGACCGAACAGTCCAACCGGATCCAGAGAGTTGCATGCCGAGGGCATGCGATTGATTGGCTGGAGGATCGAGAAAGGGGTTGGAGACATCGAGAGAAGAATGTGTGGCAGACTGATTGGAATCATTTCCTTGTTGGGGGAGGTAGTTGCTGGGGGAGAGGATTTGCATCAAGGGGATTCCTGCGTGGGGGCCGTTCACAAGAGCAGAGGGAGAGTTGAGGTCGAAATCATTCTGAGAAGGCTGAGGGGCGACGCCTTCCGAGATTGTGTTTCTCCGTGTGGAGGGATTGGTGGAAGTGGATTTGTCGTTTCTTTGAGCATGACATTTCATATGGCGAAATAGGACATCGCTGGAGTATGGTTGATATCAATCGAATGGCTGAATCCAGGCTGACGGAGGGTGGACGTACCTGCGAGAAAATGCCTTGTCACATATTGTGCATGGATATGGACGTTCTCGAGTATCTGAATGGGGGTGAGTGAGTGCAGAGAAGATTTGAGTCAGGCGGGGTTAGGATTGGACTGACGAGAACGTTCGTGGCGTTTGAAATGTTCGGTTTTGGTGAAGCGTCGTCCACAAACAGTGCATTGTCGCAAGACCATGATGGTTACCGCTATTGAAAGTGTCCCGCAAGATGGGATGAAAATGAATTGGGAAAAAATGTGGGAGAAGTGGAGGAGGGGAGGAGGATAGAGGATGAGAATGAGGTTCGAGAGGGACCTCCAGAACACGAGGAGGATGTAGATGGAAGGTACAGGGATGGGAATATGGTTTCGATGTGGCCTTCAGTCGGCTGGTTCTCTGTTTGATCTGTCCTAGTATGGTGTGGAGGAAGAAGGCCAAATTAGATGGAAATGACCGGGTAGCAGCTTGATGCTGGGATAAACGGACCGATGATAGACGAGTTGAACAAAACAGGACAGGACAGCATAGGACGACCGAGGTTGGCTGTGGAAGGAGAGGGTGGAGGGAGGTAGAATGCGAAGATGGAAGTGGATGAATACCGAGTCTTGGGTAAGTGGAGAGATGAACAACGAATTGGAAAAACAGGGAGGACGCGAAGACTTGCGGGTGGGGATGGAGAAAAAGAACGGAGGCTCGGTAGCAGGCCTGGAGGCCGGATAAAATGGAGAATCCGGGGCAGGGTCTTTGTCACGTGATATCGATTCCTCCCCATGCGCGTAGCATTCAAATCCGTCTTGCTCCTTGTCTCATCCAGACAAAGTAGGATCCCAGTCTTCCTACTCCCTGTTGAGATCCTGGACAATTTATCCACCTGCCAAATCCATCATCCTCGTCTCACCCAGCCACACAGGTGCCCTCGAACCCTAACTCATTAACAGTCCAAACAGCAAAGAAAAAGAGGGAGAGAAAGGAAGGTCAGCTGCATCATTCTTTCCAGCCACCGATTCCTTTCTGGAAAATCAGCATCTTATACAGCCGCTATCACTGGCTGGTGGCCAGGGTCCATGCCCACCAACTTCGACCTCGCAAGGTTTTTCGTTGTGGATCTCGGCCACAGAAGAATGCCCGGCCTTACCAATGAAATCACCCAGTCTTTTTTGATTTCGGATCCTGCATCCCTCACTGGAGATCTCCCACACGCTAATTAGATGCCTGGAAGTTCTGAGCCCGAGACGGGGAGATTTGCGGGCCACAATGGAAACCCTTTTTAGCCAGAATTAATGGGGTATTTCCGGGGTGCGATCAAGCCCCATGGCCACGGTAATGAATAAGCTGGCCGACAAATTCTAATGTCTTCTCCTCGCTCAAAGCCGAATTATCATTTTTGATCAGCATCTGTGTGTAGGAAGGGAAACTCCCCATTCCAGGTATCTATCTGGAGGGTATCTGTCCGTGTCCTTTGGCTGAACATCAAGTTTGTATACTCTCGACTCCGACAAACCCTCTGAGTTCCATCACAACTTCAATAGACACCTGGAAATGCAAAAGATGATGCCGGTGATTTTTCTCTCAGCGGCAGCAAACTAAATTCGCATTACGGTTGGCACGGTTTGCCCGCAACCGATCCATCGTCTTTGGCGCCCCAGATCGCTGGCGTCGCTGCGGCCACCTCGAGGTGCGAAACTTGACTGTTCTGGCATTTCCAGTCCTCATCATAATCAGGTACACTGTAGATGGAAGTCATTCCTACATCATGTATTCGTTGGCTTTATTCCGAAATCAGATGAAAACAATCTAGGATCAGACGGACCTACCCGGTTCTAGTTCCTGCACCCCTCGTCGCACTCTCGGGGTATCAACCAAACTATCACCATTGAGCAGGATGTCACGTATAGCCTCGACGCAATCTGTGCCATTGGCGCTTAGGTCGTTACTGCAGACGGCGTCGATGGGCTTGGGCAACTTAAGGACCGTCGGCTGACTGTTTCCACAGATTCTCATATGCTTGGATTTGCGGCGCATCTCGTGGCATTCGGACGCCCGGCTAGTTGAATGCTGGGTCTTGTTTCGAATCCTCAGGCGGTTTCAAGGTCACGCAGTCAACGCCGACAAGCGTTACAATTTTGCCGATGGTCTCCTCGTCAGTGTTGCCGTTGACGCCTCATGAAACGGACTGGCTGTTCGATGCGAGCACTAGGTGTTGTGCAGGGCTCAACACACTCCATCCCGCAGACCTCCTCTAGTGCAGGTTCCACATGTCTCTCGAATGAAGAGGACGTAGGTCAAATAGCCGCATTCGCCGAACTTGTACGCATGGCTCCTGCTTGACTTTGTATTGTATCCCACCAGTAATCCTTTTTATGTTGAACATCTCAGCGCACGCACCATCCAAATGCCAGGTCAAGTTACTCAACTAAGCGTCAAGAGATCAATTTTGTAGTTTCCATTGGCTTTCACTTCCAGGAAGTAGTCCCGATGGATCATTTCCGAAAGAGTAGCGGCCAATCCTTCTCGACCGAGGAAGAAGTTGGTCCCCATCTAACAGAAGCTACCACACCACACGTTCCAGCCATCTTTTATTTGGTTGTCTTCGCTAGCAACGGCATCGAGTCCTACCAAAGACAGATATCGATCTTGGGGAACGATAGGAGGGCGAGACGACTGGTGAGAAGTTGCGACGACATGATGGTGGATTTGAAGCCCATTGCCGGGCCCTAATGGTCAAGGAAAGAATGAGATCAGTACACAAAAGGCACAAGAGTATGGCATGGCGCACGCGAAGTGGATGGCAGGCGGTTAGTGAAGTGACCATGCCGCCCACGAAAGCCGTGGACAAGTTATATGAAGAGCAGCGAAACGATATTAAATCACTGATCTATGGCCACAACCTCACCTTTTCGATAGATGAGATCATCTCTTGCTCCTTAATGCGACTCTCCCGCCACGTGCGTCTTTCTGTGCATACTGGCCAACCAAGTCTTGCTCGTCGCAATGCGGATCTTCTTTCCAAAGAACATGAAGATCAGGAGAGCCAGATCATTCGCTGCCAGGACACCACAGAAGATTCCTGCGATGACATTGACATATCCTGTCTCAAGAATCCAGTCCAGAAGCTCGAAGCCCATTCCGAATGAGATTGCCTGCTTGCCCAAATTCATCGCAATCAGCATCTCGGACAGGTTCACCGTGTAGCTATCCACAGCATAGGCCAAAGTGAATGTAAAATAAAAGTAAGCGCTCCAATTGCACATGGCCACCCCAGCAAAGTAACCAAACCAATGCAGGTTCTTCTCGGCCGTGTAGCCGTACACAATCAACGAAGCAGGACCGATGAGCATCGCGGGAAGGAGTACTCCCAGACGCATTTCAGCTTCACGGATCCCGTTGTTCCTCTTTGTCAAATACGCCGCTAATCGATCGGACGAGGTGGTGAATGGTACGGCAAGAATGTAGCCCACGGCGTTGCCGACAGCAATCAAACCAGAGTTCGTCTGTCCACCAATCAGCCCGCTGGTTTCTGACAATCCCCAACTCAGCACTGCTTACCTGACTCCAATTATAGGGAGGAGCGACGATCTTGATGGGGAAAGTGTAATTGAATGCCAACGCTCCCAATCCGATGTAGATACCGTACGTTGCCACGACCCAAAACACAGAGGGCACAAGGAAGTAGGTAAATGATCGAATTGCCGTCATGAAGAACGGGGCCTCTCGATCATACACCCCCCACGGCTTGAGTGTCGAGATGAAAGACTTCCTGGGTGGTGGTGCAGATGAGACCTCGCGGAATTCAGCATCGACGCCCTTCTCAGGAGACTCCGTCGCAGCTCCCAGTCTGGCCTTCATCTCGTCTCGTTGGTACCATGTCTCCTCCACGAAGAAGAAGGCCAAAATGAACAACGCACACGCAAATGCAAATTCCACGTAGAAAAAGAGTCTCCATGAATATCCGCCAGCAAGCATGTAACCAGCATAGAGCGGACCCGTGGCTCCCAAGCAAAGACAAACTGTATAGTAACCCAGTCGTTGTCCTCGCTCGTGCAGGAAGAAAATGTCGTTGACCAGTTGAACGGGGAGAGCTTCGCAGACTCCAGAGCCAAATGCAGCAATGACTCTGCAAGCCATCAAAGTGGCGTATGAGTTACATTGGGACGCACCAATAAGTCCAGCCGCGAACTAGACAATCGTGTCAGCGATGAGTCCCATTCTCAGATACGACACTCACGAAAATAATCGAACCGAGCATGACAGGCCGACGACCAAATTTGAGATACGCAGGAACCAAGACCAAAGATCCTACCCTTTGTTAGCATCCGCTTCCCCGTTGCAACAGTAGAATCCCCGCCGACCAAAGCCATAGGCCAAATTAGGGTATGAGATCAACCCTGATGCAGTAGCAGGCGATATTCCAAACAGCTCTGAATAGATGCCAATGTAAACCGAAGGTCCCAGCAAGGACGAATTGCCCAAGAACGAGTATGCAGCACAGATAATCAAAATCATGGTCTTCTTGAAATTGGGCCATTGTAAAGGATCGTTCGGGTCGTCCGCTGGCACTGGAAACAGAGCTTGGCCATAACCAGTATCATCTCCCTCTGGTACATGTTAGGGAAAAAGAGAGGCCCAGAGCTTAACTCGGGACGTGACATTCTCCATACCTTGTGCTTGCAAGTTCACCGTTCCGGGAATCGCCTCTTCATGCGCATGACTGATCAAATGTCAGTGATGAGCGACATTGACAGCGAAGATGATCCACCATACCTGTGTTTCAAATGTGGAACACGAACACCGTGTTCGTGATCAGTCTTCATGGTGGACGTCGACCACAGATTAATTGAACTGTTGACTCCGGGGGGAATGGGATTCTAGCACCTGAAGAAGCTTGGGAGGGAAACGTGGTTGACGGAGGATCGAGCCATGTGGCCGGGGAGCGGTCAACTTTGATAAAGGATCTTCTTTGAGCCATTATGCCCGTCCTTTCTCCATTCGACAACTGGTGTCCTTGGTCCATTTTTCCCAGTCATCCATTTCTTGCCTCAGTGGGGCAAGAGGGCGGGGTCTCCACCGGCAAACATGGGGCTCACTAGGCTCTGACGGCCTAGGATACAAAGTTGGGACAGAGGGAGTCCCAGCAGTGCCTACCATTTGCCCGCAGATATTGACCACTAAGCTCGTAGTGACTCAGGGTTGGCTGGATATCTGGAAGATAGGGCGTGCTTCTTCTACTGTTAGTTGCAGTGTTGGCTAGGTGAATATCCACGGTGTCGTCGTGCGTCGCTACTTGCATTACCTGGTTTTCGGGAGTACCCAGACCCGTTAGCTCCCAAGGCTCGGACTTGCGCCCAGAAAGTCGAATAGAAATATCCTGTGCCTTAGCAGATAGGTCTGAAAGGCTGGATTGAGAGAGGGCTGTCCCTTGCTGTTGACCGCTGTCTGCCAAGTTGACCGGCCATATACGACGATATCTCATCATTGAGGTCATCACTTTTTCTGTTTAGACGATCTCGAGCGCTGATTTTGCACATGTTGCTGCAAGGCTAATGCGGCTTGAAGATTCCCCGCCTGGTTTCAAGTTCTTCACAGGTTTTTACCCTCTTCAGTTGTTGACACCGATGCCGAGGGACATGATGCGTTGTAGGCGAGATTCAAGTAGTGCTTATCATGGGACCTTTTTCTGCATCGGACGATAGGCCGCAATCGAATTGCACACGATATAGGTAAGGACTGATTTGTGTCTACATGATACTCGGGAGCTATATGCCGAAACGTCAGACCATCTGTCGGTAAAGGTTGTGGATTTCCACACGCCCAACCGAACTATCAACGTTGGGGCTGTCTGATGAGGCTTTGGAGTGGTGAGAATTCAAAGCGCGAACAGTTTGAAGCAACCCTCCAAAGTAAGCCTGGCATTGCTGTCAGAATACCCGCATAGAGGAGGCGGCTGTGGGGCTAAAGCCAACTCACCTCGGAGGTCAAGGGGGGCCAGGTTTGAGTTGACCGGGGAGCAAAATTCGAAGCATCAGCCAAACGTGGCGCGGGGCGAGGACAGATCCGGTCAAGGCCGAGTTGTCGGGGAAAGATCCAATACTTGCCGCGGAAGACTAAAAAGACCGACTCATGTGGTTGGGCACGAAGATTATAAGGCTCAGCGTCTGGATACCTGAATCATGTCCACTTTTTGAATCAGAACACCGGCTACACAACTTCTCATCACAATCTGTTCTATGCCAGGCACATAACCAGGAAGTCCAAAGACAAATGTAGCGTGAGCTCCGTTGATCATAACCGGGCTTCAGACCTGGTCCTTGTCAAAAATATCATAAGCAGTTCGAGAAGCGATCCAACGCAGCCTCCAGACAGAACCAAGAGGTTCAAGTGTTGAGATTGGAAGAGAAGACTGCTTGATTGAGGCTGGCGGAATAACTTATTGATCAACCGCGAACACTCTTACCTTTCCGTGCTTCCTCAGCTTTGGCTTCTGCATTCCAACTCCAGAGGTTAGCGAAGGCAGCTCTTGTTGTCAAGCAAGATTGCTGAATGTATTCTGCACGGGATTTTACGCCTTTTTGTACGCTTTCAGCGCGAGAGGCACCTCGCCTTTCGAAGAAACGGAGGAAAGGAACCACTTCCAGCGATGCCGCGTCCACAGCCTATCCTGCTCCTTGGGCGACGTATGGCCTATGAGAACAGGTCAGATATCTATACCGACCAGTTGAGATGGCACTTACAGCATAAGATGGCATGCATCTCCCAGCAAAGCACATGAATCTTTAACCTAGCGCGGAAGTGGCATGTGAATGCATAATTTCCATTTTAACACATCGCTCTTTGGTGTCAGATCCAGCAACTTGATCAAATTTGGATCTCATCCTTCATATTCTGAAAGGAGATTTTCTTGGAAGACACTGTGGCCCGGCACTCGTCCACTCGACCACGGTCCGGGTGCGCAAGGGCCATATTGTATATTTCATGATTTCGCACAGGATAGGCGATGATATGCCTTCCAGGTCCAATCCGACGAATCGCCTTTTCTCCTGAATAAATGGTTGCAAGTCGGGACAATTGCTCGAAATATCTTGCGTATGACCCACTTGCAGCATCGCAGCGCCGTTATCATCACCTAGGATCTTTCCTCTAACCATGGATTTGGCACCACATCAGCATGGACCATGGTACGGTCACTCAATTCCACAGCTGCCGGACTGAACTGAACGTTCTCAACCTTGGTATCGTCTTGGAGTTTCACATTAGGAAGAACTGACGCCTGCTCCAGTGACGCCATTGGCAAATCCGCCCGATGGACAACAAACTGCTCACCGTGCTCTTGGTTGATGGCCACACTTCCCAGCAGAGATCCTGCCTTCGAGCGTAGGATGTGAATAGCACCCAAAGCAACGCTGGTTTGTCGACCTTTGATGCCTTCTCCCCACTGATCTAGAAGTCGAAGCATGTTCGGGGCCACCTGAATGCCCGCTCCAACTTCCAGAATCTCGGGAGCCAGTTCGACGGCACGGACATGATGTTTCCGTTTTAAGCACGTGGGAACAATATGACTGACCTGATGATTATCACCTTCAGAGGGGTTTTGGCTGGAGCATATTGCTTTTCTCTGTTCACTTCAGAAGGTGTCTCCATATACGCTATCATGCAAGTCGAAGAGCTGAATCGAAAAAACAAGGCTACACAGTCGACTGTCAGGACTTTCCGAAACGGGTAGACATAGGCTGCTTTAATCTCAAGTGGTGATCGAGGAATATCATTCGTGGAAGCCTTCTAACTTGGATGGCATGGATTGTCATGTAGGCGATGGCGGTGGCAGATCTTTGTCGAGTCCTTTTGTGATGCTCTGGATCATCGCTAGATCGTAACTCAGTTAAAGGGTGTATCTTGGGTAGGTGCAAGGCTTTGCTAATTAGGAGGGCAGGATTTCAGATCGTGGGGCTGTCTTGGTCGGCAGATCGATGACCCCACGAATTGCCCCGGATGACTGAAAACAGTTGTTTGCAGCAAAAGGCTTAAAATTCCGGCTAGATTCCGGTTCGTCAAACGCATCCAGACGATCCGAGCATGTAAGAGCCAGGGCCATCTTGCCGGTTCATTGTTCAGTATTTCTCGTCCCATTTCTGCAGCATGGTTGAGTAATTATTGGTTTTATACGGCGTTTCCTTTTTCTTGGACCATGACCAACTCCAGACTTCTGGTTCCTATTTCTTCTCCTTTCCACCGCAGAATTGCTTCAAGTAATTTAACCACTTTCAGTGTATGAGGATGGCCAGGTCCGAGCACTGCACGCTGCAACATTTTCACCACTTCGTCTGTCTTGCCTTGGGCAAGATACACCAACCCGAGGTTGCAAACAGTATTGAGGGCTGGAATAGTCTCAGAGCACGTCTTCTCATACCCGGCCAGCGCCCGTTGGCACATCTGCTCCGCCTCGGCTAGCTTGCCTTGGTTGCGGTATAGGATCCCGAGATTGTTGACGACGCCGAGAGTCCCCGTGTGGTCCGGTCCCAGCGCCTTCTCCCGCCCGACCAGTGCCCGTACGTATATCTGCTCCGCCTCGGCCAGCTTGCCTTGGTCACGGTATAGGACCCCGAGATTGTTGACGACGCCGAGGGTCCTCGTATGGTCCGGTCTCAGCGCCTTCTCATGCCCGGCCAGCGCTCGAATGTACATCTGCTCCGCAGCTTTATGCTGCATTTGCTGCCAAAGTAGCTCCGCCAAATATACGATTTGATTGAGTCTGGTCCGTATTGAATCGTCGTGGTTCGCTGCTTGTCGAAACCGGTCGTGCACAAATCGGCGGGCATGACCTGTGAACCGCTGGTATTGAATTGTAGACAGATGATCCCAGTCTTCGGGCCCAAAGTGGCCGGCGACACAATCAAATGCAAGCCAATATTGACTCACATCAACCTTACGATTCAAGCCGTCTAGCGTCCAGTCGTGGACACATGTGTGGAGGCTATAGGAACCCTTCTCATAATGAGTCTCGACCAGACAATACCTCGTCAGTACTGTCATCGCCTCGACGAACAGGAATTTATGATTGGTCACTTCCCTATACCACGACGGCTGGTCTTTGTCTTGGTTCACACAAAAAAGCTCAAACCAGATGTCCTGGTGATCGAAATAGGCCAGAAAAGCAAGCAGATGTACCGCTTGAGGCATTTTGTCTTTTATTCGGGCCACTGATAGGCTCCATGTCGTGTACAGAGTGCGGTTGGGGTACTCAGGCAGTTGGCTGACGTATAAACCGGTGACTTGCCACGCTCCTTCGTATCGCTGCAGATATGTAGAGCAATCGACCGGAGTTTGCTTCAGAAAAGCACCTGCTGTGGCTAACGCCAGTGGAAAGCCGTCCAACCTGCGTGCCAGCAAACGAGCCCCTGGATCTGCTCCACTATTAGAAATGTATTTCGCCATTATGGGAAATGCGTCTCACCTGATTGGATGGTTTTGCGGTCTGATCGGGTGGCCAGTATTCGTAGACCGTCCTCCTCTTCGGTCATGTGTTTTATTTTGATCTGTTCTCCTTGAAGGTCCTCTGGTGTCCGAGGGGTAATGATGATTGATCCGTGCGCTACCGATGGATAATATTCTGTTATGCTATACTGATCAGGGTCATCGTAGTTGTCAAAAATCAGTAGCCATCGAGTATTGTCCAATTCGGATAGCCAATTCGAAATATGAACCCAGACTTGATCGGATCCGAGGTTGCTGACTGTCTCTGGCGGAAGGATTCGATTGGCAAAATGTCGCAGACTGTTGTTCAGTGTTGCTTCGGTGCTGGCGTTCAACCAGAAGACGGAGGAGTACGAATGACGACGTCGTTTGGCGTAGATGATGGCCAGTTGCGTCTTGCCAATGCCACCCATACCACCCAAAATGAGCACCTTCCTAGTCGAACCTGGAGACTCAGACTGAGGCTGCAGAATGGCTTCCATCTTCTGGAATTCGACTTCTCGACCAATGAAAAGACCTTCGCCCCATGTCAGGGGCATTGAAGAGGTTCACGCCCTTGTCATATTCTAGATGCCGGTCAGTAACTGGACCAGAAAGGCAAGATTATTGGGTCTCAGAGAGGGGATAGAATGGAGGACGTATCTATCTCGAAGTTCATGGGCAACTCCAGTGTCTGCTCACCTCTCAGCGTCTCCATCAGCCAAAAGAAGAGTCGGCGATAACTCAGCATCTTCATAAGTTCCCGTGTTTCTATCAGTCAAGCGGGAAGTCGTGGGTGACTCACGTGAAATCTGCACCGCGATTGTGGCATTGGGTATTTTGGTCACTTCTCGGGCTGGTATAATGGACAGCAACTCCTTCATGTACGCCGCCGCCGTCGCTGCCGCATACGGCTGCCACTTCTTGTTCTTGTGGGAGTCGGCATAGTCACAAATTCCACGAATGACCAAGCAGGGGAATGAATCCATTAAACCCGCAGCCTCCATTTCGACACATATGACCTTCAATGCTCGCCGTAGCTCCTCTCGTAACCCAGCATCCTTGACCACCGTGTTGGCGGATCCGATCGTGCTATAGTGGAATTTGGGGTTCTTATTGCGTCGACTATCCTTTTCTACGACTCGTTGCTTGTCACACCTGCGGCAATTTGGACTACCCGGATGAGGATAGCCCGCTTGGAATAGTAGATCCTGTTCTGTACCGGGGTGTGAGTATTCCTCCTCCATCACGGGAAATTTTTGTAACATTTCCGATAGATATTGCGGGACTCGGGATCCTTTTATTCGATGGTCGGCTGCCAGCGTTTCCACACTTGCTAGTAGGAGCTGTGGAGTTTTCGCCAACGATCCGGTTTGTTCGAAGCCACCACTTGTCGAATACTTGCCTTGGTCATATTGGACCACTCCACCAAACGTAGCAGTCGGCTTGCTAATCACCACGTCTCCTAAACGAATATCATTGCCCTCCTCTTCTTCCTCGGGTACTCCGGCGCCAGTCCCCACCAGCAGCCCGAACCGGATGGAGGGAAAGTCGTTCAGGAGCTGGGTCGCCACCGTCGCGGCCGAACTGGTCCCAATCTCAGGCAGGACGGCAATCACCAGGTTGTGTCCACCTATTTCTCCTAGCGCATAGCTGTTCTGGTCGCGCTGAGTGGGTAGGTTGGGGTGGATATGATCCAACATGGCTTTGACAGGTGCCAGTTCCACCCCCATAGGGCAGATACAGCCCACCGTATAGTCACGATGTGAGAGAGGCATGATCGAGTGGAGGGGGAAGTATTCTCAGGTGGTGGGCGTATCTTTGGCGGTCAGGCTGAGATTCGAACCATGGAATGTGAATGCCTGGAGAGTGGTGCCGTGGACTGAGGTTCGACTTGTCTGACAATCTGCTCAAACTGAGGCCATAGCTGCTCCTATAAGGCGCCACTGTACAAGTCGGTGGGCCTGCGTGAAATTTCTGGGGAACATCATGGAGATTGCTCGGCAAAGCACTATGGCAGATAACGGCAAAGGTACGCGCGCGATGGTGTTTGAGGGTCAACGATTTGGCCAATGGCGGATGGAAGGGTGTCACGTTACTGACGAAGGCGCGGCTCTGCAAGAATCAGTGTCAAGTTACTTTGCCCTGGCACTCACCGGAAGACGAAAGTAAACCCATGTGGCGGACAGAAGACAGCTCCCAGCTCGGAAAAGTGCTGCACATGCATCCTGGTTCCATACGGTTGAGCTCATTTGATAGTTTGTCACGACATTGACGAACACGTTGCTGGTATTGTTAGCGTTGTTAAAAGAGGCAGGGGAGCAACAACAGCAGCGACAAGCACGGGAAAATCAATTGCTGAGCAGTACTCAAAATCCTTGTTGGCAGGAAAATGAGAACAAAAAGGGCAATCCAAAGAAAGCTCATTGACCTAATACATGCTCTCAGAGCTGTAGGTGTGTTCTTTCCATCATTAATGCCTTTTCAATTGAAATTAAAACTGTGTGTTCTCAATGCAATTCGACTTGCTGGCGTTTCCTTCATTCGTATACCTCGTCCAGTCCATGACTTTAGTGCCAAAAACAAGATGGAAAGAACCAGAAAAGGGGAGTCCACTGCAAAATATTATACAAAGAAACCAATTTGAATGAGAGAAAGCCGAATCTGAAATGGGTTTTGCCAGCGAAGCTCAGTAATAACCAAATCCATCGACACTTCACTTTGTGTACCACGAAACGAAACCAAGGGAAACAAACAACCGGAAAAAAAAAAAAAAAAAAAAAAAAAAAAAAAAAAAAGGCGTTCCTGGCTTACGATAAAAAAAAAAAAAAAAAAAAAAAAAAAAGATGCAGAATGAAACAAGAAAATGACAGTCCCCTAAGAAAACGTCCAATCTTCCATCCCCCCTATATTCAGTGTCGCTCGGAGCCATTGAACGCGTCTCGCTGTGCACTTCCCTGCACATATGCTCAGCTGCCAGAACGACGTACTTATGTACCCGCTTCGCTATGCAACAATCTCCAGACCTGGTTCATGCAGGAAAAATAAAAACAAATCATTGACTGGAGATGCCTGTGCCTTGCGCTGTCCTGTGATCCAGGCGGCGTGGAAAGAATCGAACATAAACTCCTTGAATAGCAGACCCCAATTCAACCTGTTACCTCAAAGGCGAAAAAAACGCCGCCCGATGATTATGATCAATCAGGGTTCACTGATAACCCTGATTCCACTGTCCACCTCCTTGACCTTGGTTCTGTGGGCCCGGCCAGCCTTGTCCATGTTGGGAATTGGGCTGCATAAACTGGTTTTGCCCACCGATTCCATACAATCCTCGCGGACCCATACTCACTGCACCGTATCCTGCAGCATTCATCGCCTGCAGTCCTGCTCCAGGCCCGTAAAGCTGCTGACCACCGATACCACCGGAGCTGCCTTGGTGATGGAGCATTGGCATTTGTGGTGGCTGCATTTGTGGTGGGTGGGGAGAAGGGCTAGGATGTGCTCCCCCCGGCAAAGGTGAGGGAATCTGCCCTTGGGCCAAACTGGGAGAAAATTGAGGCGTACTCATACGATGGAGAGCTGGTGACTGGTGGGGTTGTGGTGGAGGGGCACCCCAGCTGGGCTGTTGCGTCTGTTGCGGCTGCGGCGGCGGCGGCTGCTGTTGTGATTGTTGATTTACCCCATGTGGTGAGAAAGCGCCGCCGCTGAAAGGCACCTGCCCTGATTGCGAGACAGACTGTGAGAGTGATAAGTTTGAAGATGATCTTTGATATTGAGGCGGTTGAGGGGGGAACTGGGAAGAATCGCGAGGGAAGGGTTGTTGTAAACTTGGTTGTCGAACAGGCGATTGAATTGAGGGTGGTTGATGAGGGAACGAGGGAGGGTTCATCGATGACTGAGATGGCTGAGATTGATGAGACATTGCACCCGCTTGAGAAGTCGGCATATCAGTGGTGTTGAAACGTGGCGATGAGAATGGATGGCTTGTGGTAGTCGCTTCAGCTTCGGCTGGAGGGGTTGACACTGGTGGTTCGTGAGGTCTGCGCCAGTACTCTTCAACGAGACTACGACGATAGCGATTTTGCTGGTTGATATTCTTGCTAAACTCGGCTGCATGTCCTGCTTGACTTGCCAACTCGGTATCGGTACTGGAACGAGTGATGTCCTGGTATGGCGGTCCTGTGATGTCGTGCCTTGGTCGTGCGATATCTTTGTACCGGGTGTCGTAGGCAGGATCGAAGGATGACAACTGAGCCATGGTCGAGGCAATGCCCGAATGCAAAGGAGGCGGTTGGACTGCTCCATAGGCCGGCCCATTGCTGTAGACAACATCACCATAGCTGGCTGTCATATTTGTTCTGGCGCTCATTTGGTCTTGAGCAGCTGCCTCTCTTGCTCTGGCAGCTCCCGGTCGCTTTTCGCCCGCCGCATCCTGTTCTGTAAATCCTTGCTTGATGGCTTTGGCTTCCCAATAATCGTCCCGGACCCGCCGGCCGTCTTTGATGACACGACTGCCAAATTGACGAAACATCGATCGGGCGGTGACAACGGCTATTTGGCGCGACCTGTAGGAATATGGCAAGATCTCGTGGTTGACAAGTTCCTCCTTTTCTTTGACGCTGGCAATGATCTTGTAAAGAGAGCGATTCTTGTTGAACAAAAGATACGAGTCACGATACTGAAGTTGTCGCGCGCATTCCGTAGCCAACATGAACAATTTCTGACCCCGTCCAGGCAGAGTAAAAGTTCGGATCTTGTACTCACGTCCCCCTTTCAGGTATCCCAACTGATCCACCTTTTTCTCGCCCGCATCGTCGTATTCACGGGGCATGTATTCATCGCCTTCGGGTTGGAGCACATCACTTGTATGATCCCTCACAGTTGGGAGTGCTTTTATCGTCGATTTGGGTATGGTTCGAGGCGGAGAAGCCTGCACTGGCGTGCTCGCCGGGTGTTGAGGGCCGCCGCCCTGAGGTTTTGGCGTTTGGGTCAGATCTGGTGAAGTTTGGCTGGAAGGTGTAGGAAGCGAATCAAGGTTGGAAGTGAAGTCTCCTGAGGTTCTGGGTGTTTTGGATGGCCGTCCACGTTTGCGCGGCCCTATTGATACGCGTCAGAAGGAGTTTGACAGCTGTTTTCCCATTGCGCAGACTTACCATCGTCGTCGCCTTGCGGATATTCGCCGTATTGTTCAGGTGATCTGCTTCTCTTGATGCCTCGGGGGGCTGAATCGGTTGACGACTGTATTAATCCTCCTGTTACACACACGCACACACAATGGTCAGCGAACGGACGCGATAACAAGAGGGGGCGGTGGATTTATAGTCAGGATGATGGAAAGGTGCGCTCATCGCGCCATTGGGCGAAAGCTGATGGCCACAGCCCTGATGGCCCGGCAGGCGGTCGAGTTGCTAAACCAATGGGAAATAAAAATAAAGAAAATAAAAAACGTACCACTAGCGTTCAGAGCTGCAGGATTAATGGTGCCTGAACCATCGCTCATGTCGCCGACACCATTCAAAGCATTTGTAGGCTGGCGAGAAGGCGGATAGATGGACATTTCACGACCGGAAATAAAGAGAGGCGGCGGTCGTGACGGTGACGGTGCAAATAGTGATGGTCGTTAGTGGTAGCGATGCGCAGGTTTCGCATCAGCACGCCAGGGAGCTGCCAGGCAGCACAGAACTTGGGTAACCCAAAAATCGGGGGAGGGTGCCTGCGTCTGATAAAATTCCTCGTCTTTCGATGAATGCGGAACAAAAGGATACTCTTGAGGCACGGCAAACGATAGCAGGCGTGTAGGCGTGCAGCAGTGAGTTAGCGATGATGACGAGGATGATGTTGGGCCAGTCGCGGTGACGGAAGGGACTTCTGGTGGAGGAGACGGCAAAGGTTGCGGCTGGCTGCTGGGCAGCTGGGGGAGTTTAGCAAGCCGAAATAAGGCGCTTGTTGGCCAGCAGCCTGTTAGAGTGCGCCTGTTGCCAGCTTGTGGGGCTCCTCAGCGAGATGCGAAAGCTGCGGATTGTGCGAGAGTTGCAAATGTCCTTTGGCTTGCAGGTGCAAGTCAAACAGGGTCTGGATTCGGTTTTTTTTGGGCTCTTCGGCTTTGGCTCTGGCTCTTGCTGTCCACCGCCACTGCGTGCTGCAGTACTGTCTGGGTTCTTTTTTTCGGTCGATGAATAAAACGGGTCCGTGGGTGGTGAAAATGACGACTTTGCCGAGGAAGATGGCGGCTGAACTGGCGACAGACAAATTTTGTTAGTGGCGATAGCTACCGCGATTTGATTTGCAGCGGCAGACGAGAGTGAATGATGTCGACGATGTCGGCAACAGCGATGGAGTTGGTGAAATGGTGAGGACGGCAATGACGGTGATAATGATGATGATCGAGAATGATGGATGATGGATGTCAGAAAAAAAGAGGGAAAACAAAATGCCGATGATGCTGATGATGGAAACCTGAGAGCTGGAGAAACTTGAACCCTGACTTGCGGTAATTGCAGGTACCAGGCAAGTATGGACACGGTCTTCGTCGGAGGGGAGTAGCGATATTAGGAATGAAATGACAGACCCCCAACCATGTGTTTCTCAGTCGTCGTCTTTTCCCTCCCTCTGGCACCGCCGCGGTTTGAATGGCAATAGGGAAGGCTGGAACCACCGAACTGGGCCTCAAATTAGGTGATGAGTTGGTTGGTGGAAGAGGATGGGTGGTCAAGCGGACCACTGAGGTTGAAGTTGACGGGTTATTCCGGTAGGGGATATGGAAGGACAAGATGATCGAGGCACCAGAGGTCTTGAAATTGATGTGTTAGGTCAGTTATTGGGCAGGAGCAGAGAGCCTCGCAGGAGATGTGCAGCGGGAAAGATGGTGGGGTTGGTCGTGGGCATTACTGTACGAGATAGTATATAGGAGCCTAGGGAGGACAAATACCAAAGGACGACCTGACCGGGATGGCTGCGGTATTGAATACAAGTCGTTCCGCAAGACTCCAAATTGATGAAATCATAAAACCCACTGCCCACTGCATGTAAGGTCGATGCCAAAAAAGCGAGATACGGTTTTGACGGCAACAAGAGACTAACGGACGGAGTGTGGTGCCTAGGGAGCAGATGGCGTATGGGGCAAACTACCTTGTTTTATGTTTTTATGCACATGCAGGCCACACGCAAAGAACCAGCCAGACAGGGTTCCAGGGTCGATGCGGTTTATCAATTGCGATTACTCTTTGATTCTGTCTGCAGCTTTTACCTCAAAGTATCTGCTACTACTACTGTCTAAGTAGTGCCTCATGACTCTACCAAGAATATGACGCTCGGTAGGTGGTATACCGCGGTATGTTCAGGTATGTGTGTACCTTGGGGGAATGAATTCCAGGCACTGCAGCACTTAGGTACTCGAATGTACCTTGAAGTGGCTTGTCTATGTCAAAAGCATGTGTTATGTACTTTGGGATACATGACACTGGTGGACAGCCATGCAACTCGCCTTGACTTCGCATTATACTATAGTGACTCTTTCCACGTTGTAGCCACTCCTTTTTACGTACTATCAATTAGGTAGTATCTCTCTGCCTTACCTTTCTCTCACACTCTCTCACGCGGGTCATCTGCTCCACCACACCCCGGACACCCTAGTCCCTCGACTTCTAACCCTTCCACGCTACTCCCGGCGGCGGAAATGTCTATCCATCGTCTGTCTATTCTCACACCATTCACGCACAATCAATCGACAAAAAACTAACAGCTATCAAGACCTCCTCCTGGGAGTAGGGCTATCTCTCCGCTCATGCCCGTGGCATACTTGGCAACATTTGCCAGCCAGCATTGTCGGACCTCAACGAACGAGGGGTATCGGTCAGCTGATGCGATTGGCCAAAACCACGCAAAAAGCTCCCATGACCATTGAACACCAATCATCAATAACGAAATCCAAAATCCAACCCATATCCACAATTCACTTCCCGCTTCGCACCCACCCCCCCTCCTTCACATTGGTGGGTTTCCCTTGCGAGATTTCCACTCCAAGACAATCCAAACCCATCCCCGATTGTTGCCTCTTCTATCACGCCTCGAGCCGCATGAGTCGCGAAGACCAACCATCGATCCGGATATCCTCGTTTCTATCCTCCTACTCGTCCAATCCAACCGTCCTCCATACCGCGTTCACACGCCCTTTTGTTCCTCTAGACAATCCCTTTTGAAAATTACAGGATGATTGACTCGTTCGTATACCCCGCTGCGCCGGGCACTGAACGCGTTCGGCGGACGCGGCATGAGCCCTGGTCGTGCTTAGTCTAAGCCCATTTTTGCTTCTCCACCCCAGCCTGGTTCATCCTGATTTCATGAGTGCTGACCCTGGCTCTGTCGCCTTCTTGCTCGTGGATCTAGCCGTGGAGTGTGTCCGCTTCAAGTTAACTCGTCATGGTTCGCGAACTGATGACCTCGTAGACCCGGATCCCTCGAATCAATTCCTGCCTGAGCCGCGATCTCTCAGCCAATCGAGGCCTTCATCGAGCGCCCCTCCACTGGCAAACGTTGATGTACCAATCCCACACGCTGCCTGCGATAGAGAGAGAGTGCATCCCAAAGCGAAAGATGCAGCTGAACTTGACAAAGTACTTCTCCTTGGTGGTCCAAGCGTCCGAAAGTTCCGCTCCATGATGCTTCCGTGAATAGGCCAATCCTGCAAAAACCTTGGATCGTCTTATGCCGCCCAGCCCGTGGCTTGCCGCTTTGACCAGAAGAGCACCAATCCACCAGCTAGGCAATTCGACAGATGAATCATCTTCACGAGGAACTACCCCGTAGTCCTTGCGAGGCATTCCTCACACCCCCCCCGGGCTCCGTAAGACGAAAGGTCACTCGGGCTATTCAGCCTTCTCCATACAGTTTGGAACGGAAGCCCTCATTTCTGTTGACAAAGAATCATACCAGATACTCTACAAGGTCGAAGAGCAACAAAAAGTGAAGCTTCTCTTGCGGAGAGATTCTTCTCCGAAGGTGGCAAATCCTCCGGGACCCAGCTGCTCAGACTTGTTCTCATGCGCACCAAGGTCTTACTACGGCCAACTTAGCGAAGAAGCGCCAATGGGCTGCGATGTCGTGCTCAGCATCAATAACAAACTCAGTCCTCAGCGCTTCCAAAGTCAATCGTCACAGCAGCACACAAGTTAGCTACCGTCGTCTTCGTCCCCGGGTTCTGTTCCGGGAAGCGGCTTCAATGAGTGTGACGAGTTGATCGGTGGAAAAAATGCTTCGGATGCTCCGGTCTGCATTGGCCTCGCTTATTTCCAATCCAAGTGGACGATAGCGGGATAGCCTCGTCTGCGGCCTACCCATTTGCTTTGTGGAGGGACCTAAGGAGTCGCCACAATTGCGTAGAGCAAGAAATTGCCCGCACGAGAATTTGGTTATCGATGACACCAGAGCGATTGAAGCTGACAAGCGGGTAATGGTTGTAAATCTTGCCGCATACCGCCCGGCTTGTTCGTTGTACTGGACTTTAGGATTGACTTATCGAGCCAGAGAGGTAATCGGCTACAATGTCCTCCTCAATCCTCCGTTATCCGAACTTTTCGTCCCGTGGTTCTAGGTGTTGCAGGCCAAGTGGGGTCTTTTTTTTTTTTTTTTTTTGGCTGAAGTGCCATTGAATCATTTTAATGATTCCTCTTACATTTGGTGATTCAACCCAGGGAGAATGTCAGCTCTGCGATGGTAGTCCCGAAGGGCAAATATTTGTTATTGGTGATTTGGAATGGCGACTGCCAGCGTCTTCATGCATCATGCAGGACTTCTCGCAATTAGCTCGACTTGACTTAAACCTGTCAAGCGTTCTGGATGGCTGAACAAAGCAGATCCTAAGCCCTTGACACCCAAACAGAATTAATGGTCACTGCGTCTGGGGCACACTCTTCGGCCCGCTCCAAGTTTTTACAATGGTGCCGGTCAATCGAGATGGTGTGTTCTTTTCAAATTTTGGCCCCAGTTGGCCATCGTGCACTGGCCATCGTGCAAGCAGTGACTTGTCTTCTCATCCCTGGGGGATCGTGTGGAAAAGTTTCGTAAACCCAAGCATTTGCTCCAGCTTTTTGTGTTCCTAACATATCGATGGCTTTGTTTCTAGACACTCGAGACGCCCTCGAACTGTACTATCTGTCTGTGCGCGCCCCTTGAGTGAAATTTGAATTGTTCAGTCATTAGCCCCAGCTCCAATCAGCTCAGCTCAGTTCACTTGGGTCGAGCGACATTGTCAGTTATGTGCCTGTGTCTCTCATAGTTTGAATCTTCATGAGATTGGATTGTGCAAAGCCGAGACCTTTTCAAGATGCCGTTCACTCGCACCTCCACAACTGACAAGATTGTTCGAAGTTTGATCCTTCAAGCCATTGATGACCGACTGCGATCGGCAGCCCCATCTGTAGCCTCCAGGGATCCAGGTTGTGGGCTCCAAGGGGCTCCCAGACTGTGCACGCTCACACTGGCCCCAGCCTCCGCTGCCCGTTCGTAGCACCTCGGCCGCCCGATGCGAGCCGCTCTCGCAGCTTTCACTAAGGACCTGCTAGTGACATGCATTTGGTTATGCAAGATCGTCGAGGTGGTGTGCCTTTGCGCTGTCCATTCTATGGGGTGTGGGTGTGTGCGCCCCTGTGTCGGTGTGGCGATGGCCCCCTTTAATCTAACCACCATCCTCATGTTCCGTTTTCCACTCCAACGTTACCAAAATATTGTATTTGTACCACTCGATCCGACCTCGCACAATCCCCTCCCAAAGTCCACAAGCTCGGGCAATTCGCAATCTTCGAGCTCCGTGGTTGCTCATTCACTTTTCCCAGCTATTGGTTTCAATGGAGCGGTCTTGTGCCACCCGCCACGACACCGTATGTTTCATGCGATGTGGTTCAGAGGCCGGTGTTGGAGACCTGAGACTCGTCTTGGGTGGCAGTCTGCTCAAACCCCACACATTGTGCTGGTGGTGGACAGTCAGTTTCTACGACGTGGTGACCTGGATAACCCTATTTCCAGGCCAATAGAAACCGTGCATATTCAATGTCTGCTCTACAGCTTATGGTAGATTTTGAAGCTGCTCGATCAAAAAACCCAATTTTCATGGCTCTGGACACGTTTTTCCCGGCCTTTCTCTGCGAACTTTTCTGGGGTATCTCAAACTCGTATTGTCTCGTGACAAATTTCATCGATGATTGTTGGATCATTCCTTCGTGAAATCGTAATATCATGTCTTCATTTACAATAGGACAGCACAATCCCATTGTTCTTCCATACCCCTACACCGCCACTTCTGTTGATACAGTTCCCTTTCCTTCCCCCAGAGGACCGCGGACAAATATTGTTCGTACACCGTCGAAATCGAGCTGGCTCATTCCCTCGGTTCGAATGCCAGCGAGCGTCAAATCTTAAAGTCGGAGCAAGCGAGTTGACAGGGATCCATCCAGAGACCTGCCATCTCTCGGATCGAATTGTGCGGATTCACATACCATCAAGGAATCTTGAGTAAGTCGAACGCTCGCAAGCCACAGGGAAAGGTTCGCGTCTCCATTGTGGCGAGGAACAATAATTCGAGACTCGGGGTCGACCGTGATTTTCGGCTCCAGCTGACGAAGATGTAACATCAAGTGAATTATCTTCGCGAAAGTCTTAGCTCTCTTGACATATATCTGTGGTTGATGTTCAAGCGGCCAAAGGGCTGGTCGCAATTCTTCTTCCTCCCATGCCTGATAAAGCCAGGACATGCGCTCTGCACAGTTTAGCATGATAAATGCGGTCAAGAAGGTCTCAAAGTTGCTTGCTCTGTTTCGAGAAAGTAGACGCTGTTCCAACTGGTGCACGGCCCCTTTCCAAAGATCGCCTGCTCTTTTTTCGACGGCTGCTCGAAATTGCAGGGTCATCACGAAATAAGAAAGTGGTGACAATTCCTCATCAATCACATTGCGACTATCAGTCTCACCATTATTGACAGCAAACTGGGGTCTCATGTTCGGGTCGGTGAGAATCGTAGTGGCAACCCAGAGCTCGATGACTTCTGAAATGAGGTTGTCGACCTTCTCAGTCCTCAAATTGATTTGATTTTCGTGGATCGTAACTGCGAATCCAAGGCTTGTCTTCATCAATACCGACGGCTCCTGATCGACCACATCATTATGAACTGCTTGGAGATATCGTTCGACATCATGCCCGCCACTCTCGCTGTCGGAGTCGATAACGAATGTGAATTCACTGATTAATCCGTCAGGCTGTCCAGTTTGAGGCCGATCTTGCCGTAAACGGGCGGCTTTGAGACTTTTGAAGACAATTTTCGTATTTGCGAAGTGATATGCCTCGATAAGACTATCAGACTGCTGAATTATGCTGCCAGACTTCAAAGCAGTAATCTGATGAAATGCCAGGGAAGCAAAGAGCGTCACTGAGTAAAGAGGAAACTCGTCCACGAGTTTGGTGCGGATGCACGTATCTTTCCACAGCCGAGGACTTTCTACCGCCGAACAAGTCTGGCAGGGAGTCTCTTGTGAGCAGACCTTCTTAAGCATTCGACATCTCAAGCAAGCACCGAGCTTGCGCACTTCTTGAACTTCTTTTCGTCGTTCCGGGGCAAACTTGCCACGAGGTTTTGCCTTTGACCCCTTTTCCGCCGTTCCTGAATCGGTCACAAAACGTGTTGTTTGAGGATCAGGATTCATGGCAATCGGACGCAAATTCTGAGGGGGACGCTCGGCTGCACTTCGGCCCGTCACAGATGCTGTATGTGTGTTTTCAGCCTCCTGGGTAAAAGCTTGGGATGTGGCCATTGTTGGCCAGGTTAGATCAGAAAGAATGGCAGCTGAGACATCATGTCCCACGCCCAAGTCACCGTCGATCATCCCATTGGCAAGTGTTTCGGTGGCCGAGGCAGCAATAGTTGTGAGATCCGGCGTATGGCCGTTAACGTTCTGAAGTGACGGGGCGTCGTCGTGACTGACTGGATGTCCATTAGTAGCAAATGGGTACATGGACGCAAGGCTCGGTGCAGTTGTGGCTATAAATCCTTCTTCAAAATATTAGTCGAGGCTGTAAAGTAAGGCGCTAGGAAGAGTATACCACTATTCCTCATGCCCATGTCATTGTCGAGATCTGCGGTTAAGGTCATGGCATCTGATTCCAGCCGTGGATCAACTGGAAGAGCATGAGAATGACTCTGGGCAGGAATTTGAGCTTGCTCTGCGGAAATGTAGCCCGAGTCGGGCTGTCCGTTCCCTCCAACTTGACGAGAGGCTTCAGCCAATACATTCAGGCCGTTGAAATTCTGTTGTCTGTGTGCTTGATTGACATTGTCACGGTGTTGTCCTTGTGTGGCATCTCTTGTCGCTCCTATTTTACTAGAAGTGGGCGTCATAGTTACGTTTGGATTGACATTTGGAAGAGCCAGATTGTGGAGGCGCAAGACAATCTTCGTACGCTCTTCATACGACATTGATGCGCATTTCTTGGTCAAATGTGCAACAAGGCATTCATTTCGGCCCTTCGGGAATTGTTGGCCGCAACGCCTGCAAGTTTGGGCGTAACGATTAGAGGAGTCGCCAATTTTGGCGCCGCGTTGGAAGTACTCGCCAATGAGAGGATTTTGCCTCCTACCCATTGTGAAAGCTCTGTATACAGTTAGCCAGGCACCTTCTATGATGTCCCCGCGCGTGTGATAGGCTTACAAGAGTAGTCGACGATACGCGGCAAAGAGGTTGCCTCGAGACCCGGGGCCAAAATATAAAAAATTGCGTAGGCAGAATTTTGCGGGCGGTGGCTCGCTGGGCGGTGAGAATTCTTGGCGCAGGGCTAACATCTCGCAGGATGCCTGAGTTCGACAACGCTTTCGCAGAGATGTCCTCCTGGCATATAGCATCCTTAAAGAGCAATTTATCTGAGGAGTCGTAATTTTTTACCCTCCACGCCCAATTAAGATGATCTGTCACTTTCTACCCAAAGCCCTCCAGAATGTCAAGCCTGGCTTGACCTCGTTATCATCAAACTCCATCCAAGCCCATTTCCGCCCTTAGCATTGTCGATGCTCTGGTGGCCGATATGGTACTCCTAGAATCTCAAAAATTCGTTTCTCATCCTGTCCTTCCAGCAGTCTCCCATCTGTGATGCGCTCACGTCCACGTCCCCTCATAACATCTGCATACAGCCCACGCTGGTTCAGTCTCATCTTTTTCCGGCTCGCCAGCAATCTCATACTCCGATTAAAGATGTCGTTCCCGGTGAAATAGATCAGTGCCGCCCCAAGTTCTGCCCAGGGTACGAAGAGCAGATCGATCCGACGCCACGCATTCGAACCCGGCAATGCAGATGCGCCATGCCATTTTGACCCTTGATCTCGAGAATGTCCGGAAGCAAGAGCCACCTTCAAAAATCCTCGCGTCAACAGATCGGGGATGACCGTCTCCACCATCAGCGTGCGAATATGGTTCAGGTCTGCATCCTCCTTGGTGATGATGAGGTCGATATCTCCAGAATCTGGACTGCCTCTTCTGTATGAACCCCCAATAATCAACCGCAGTTCAGCATCCGCAGCTTTCAAGGCTTTCTCAACGATTGCACCATGTTGAGCCACTTCGTTGCGAGGAATTCGTTGTTGGAAATCTTCGTAGTGCTCGATGCCAGTGCGCTGGTTGGGAGTCAAATCTACTTTCTGGCATAAATCTTCCAGGGTACGGTGGCCTTGAGCGATCCACCTAGAAGCGGCTGAATATCCTACCCCGTATATTCCCATAAACAACTGAAGAACCTTGTCCTTGGAATCCATCTGAGCGTACTCGAGTCGACGGAGTCTCCCGGTCGAGACGATCTCCTCAATCTTGGAGGCTATTCTCTCGCCAATTTGAGGGATTGCGAGAGCCTCACGGTGGGTTCGGATCATTTGAGTTTGTTTTCGCAGAGCTCCTATTGCCTTGCGATACGCTGTTGTTCGCCAATGATCACCGATCCGATCATAGTACGTGACCATTTTCCGCAGCAATTCAATGGTCTGATCGTTGGGGTTGTCTCTCTTATTGCCATCGTTCTTTTCCATACATTGGAATCCGGCATTTTGCTTGCGGATTTGGTCATTACTGCGTAACATTTCCAACGCAGGGTCAGAGTCCGGGTCGTCAGTGGAGGTCTTCACATCTTCCTCGAAACTTGGGTCGAGCGGTAAGTCTCCGAGATTCTGTACATCTCTTACGGCCATGTCGAGATCATCCTCTGATTCGGTTTCGTCATCATCTCTTGGTACATCTTCATGATGATTTGATCCAATCGCGGAAACGTTCGGGCCCTCATAGATTGGGGTGGGCGACGGTGCATTATGACTCTGTCCAACTAATCGAGGCGGAGTGATCTGTGAATTCACATGCTTCTTTGGCTCTTCTGATGCTTCCGAACCTGGGACTTGGATACGTTTCCAATGGGTGCTCTTGATTTCCTTGTCTTCGAGGCATTCGATGAACCATTTGATGGTCACAAAAGCTGGACCTTTCTGCGGAATTCGATCAGCATCACGACTCCGATGGCCAGAGAGATACGTACAGGAACCTCTCTGAACCAAGTGTCCTTCAGGCTAAGGCCATCACAAACAAGGATGTGTGTAACTTCCTCACATAACTTATGTGCCCAGATCGCACCATACTGAACGGCCTTGTGCATCCGGAAACGACGCACGGGACAATCATCATTGTTTGGAATGAAATCTGCGGATTTGGTCAGCGCATTGTGGTAATGACCCGGGCTTTGCAGCGTACAGAACACCAGGCCCTTGAAAATCTGTCTTTCTGAGGGGATCGGCTTTAATACGATTTTCCGAGGCAGTTTGCGTTCGCGCTGGTGAAGATTTGACAGGTCTGTCATGTGGCTTGCCAACTTCGTAGGCTTGCTCTTCTTCGCTGGGGAGCGGGGTTTCAAACTCGCAGAGTCTGCCGCCTTTACAGATTTCGGCGCAGAGTTCGCAGCATCTTCCCCTAACTTTCTCTTTCGTTGGCCCTGATCTGGATCCATTACTGTCTCAGCAGGTCCCATCGCGGCGAATGGCTTGACTGACGACTGGACAGGTTTTTTGGTGGTTGGCATGGGCGCTATGACGTCTGGCCCCTCCTGGTCGTCATCGAGGTGATCTAGCTGGTAGAGATCTCGGAAGAATTGGTCCTTTTCCTTCGTTTCCCTCTTTTCCTGTGGGAATGCCATGATGTTTGGAGGTGGGAAATGTTGGTACGGATGTTGAGATAGTTGACGCGTAAGTCAAACATGGTGAAGACGCGCCGGCAAGAAATACGGTTTCGGCTTAACAAAGAAAACTTCAGTACTGGTTCACTTCATTGAAGAGTGAAGCGGGGGCGGTGGGACGAGCCGTAGACACGACGTCTCCTTAATTAATTAAACCATTTCAGCGCTGAACACGATAGTGTCACGCGGTCATGTGATGCCAAGCGATTTGGGCAGCAGGAAGAGTAGAACCCTTCAAAGGTCGGACGGTCAATGCTGACTTACGTCCGACGTTCCCTGGTCCTTCAGAATGGCTCGTGAAGACTTGCTCAATTTTATTGTCTCCCTTGCATTGCGCCCTCACGGCCGTTGCCTGTGTCGAGCCTCGAAACTGTCTCAACGAGGCGTCCGGCATGTGTCCACCTCGAATTCCCCTCCATCCGACAGGAAAAGCTCTTTACCGCGAAAGAAGGAGTTTGAAATCGAAAAATCGACCATTCCCCTTCATGTAGGCTTGGACCGAAATCCCGGGGCAACCTCTGCCATTTCCAAAATTCCGATTCCAAGGGGTGAGAAAGGCGAGAAGTTCACCCCCTCGGTTTTATCACGACCTCTAGGTCTTCCACATCCTCCTCGTCCCGGGCAGAATAGTCCGATTGACACTCGGACACTACAAGAGAGAAGAGAAGAATTTGCAAGCTATGAGAAGGCTCTGGAGCGGCGCCGCGTATATCTACGGACATTCTTCCGCCCTTACTTTCAAGAATGGCGTCGGGTTGATTTTTGGAAAGGCAAAAGTTTCGTTTCGAACGATAGATTGTTCAAAAGAGAAAAGGCACTCTACTTCCCCAATATCTGGGGTCAGACACTCTCGAAGGAAGGCGACGGACCAGACGGCGGACGAGATACCACTCCCCTTCTGATGGGCAAGATTTCGATCATCGGCTTTCAATCGGGGCAATGGGCAGAGGAACAAGTTGATACATTTCTCAGCGCCAAGCATAATCCGGAACTGAACAAGATGATTGAAGAGAGCAACGGTCAGCTGCAACGACTTGATGTCAACATCCAAGGCGATTGGATGCGAGCCTTCCTTGTCAAACTGTTTAGCGGGCGTTTGAGAAAAATGGTACCTGAACATCGCTGGGATCGGTATTTTATGATCAAGCTTCCGCGCGATATCCGACGGGGATTAACAGATGAGATACGAGATGCCATGGGCCTGCTCAACTCCCAAGTCGGGTACGTGTACCTGGTCGACTCGAGTTGTAAAATTAGATGGGCAGGAAGTGGTCATGCGTGGAAAGGCGAAGTTGAAGGCCTCAACGCGGCCGTCCAGAGACTTGTTCTAGAAGAACAGAATTTGCAACAATCATCCTCCAAATCCGGGACCGTGACTACTGGACGGAACCAGCGAACAGCGCCAAACTCCAATTCAAATCTCTCAACAAACTTCGATGCAAAAATCAATCCGATTCTTAGCCCGATTCCTGCCTGAACAACCTTTGCCATCCAGAATTTATCCGGGAAAAAAAAAAAAAAAAGGTTATTGATCACAACTTTCCGGTTTCATTCTAGAATCTCAAGGTTAGAGTATGCTCGCCTTAACAAGGAAAAGAGTCAATATGCGTACCCGCATTTCGGACACGGTTCCTCAGATTCCGCTCCATCAAGAATCTCATGCATGATTTTACACTTTTTCGGAGCCTCGGCCTTCGTCGCGCCTGCGTCTGCTTCATTGGCATTCGGTCTTGTTGCTTGGTTGCACTTCTCGTGGACGTAATATGGAGCGGGCCGAGCAGTACCGGGGCAACAGCTCCAGTGATATGTGTAGTAGATGCACATTAGGTGTGGATTCAGGGTCGAATTCTTTGGAATTAAGTGCTTCGGGTTCGATCCCCGAGTTGATTGTGTTCTGGTGAAGGAAAAAGGAGATCAAATTGCGGTTGTGAAGATGAGCAATGAGATCCACTCTCGGTTATTGCTCAATGATGTTTTGCACAACGAGGTTTGTGCTTCTGAGTCCGAATTCCAGATCTGATTCTCTGTCTCTGCTCAGAAGCTGAAGACTGGTATCGTCCATTCCTAACGATCGGCACAGAAGAGAGCAACAGGTTTTTTGAGATGTTGTTCTTCTTCTGAGTGTGTGCTTGCTTTGCTTTGCTTCCAGTCAAATTCTCTCCAATCCCATTGTCTTTTTCCCTTCTTGAATCCGGAGTTGGATTCTTTTTGGATTGATAAATTAAGTTGTTGCGTGTACCAGACGCTTGCAGCTGGCCCTTTTTGCTTTGTTATGTTTCCTGTCTTTGTACAGCGGACCAGCGCATTCCGATCAAAAGAAGATTCCCGAATTCGAAAGTGATGTGATATAGAGTACAGCAGATTATTTTGTGGGTGGTTTTAGGTGATATCGGAGGGAGACGAAACAGAAATACAGGATTTCCCGGGCATCCGCTGAGGAAATCAGTCACACAGGACGGAATGGCGGATCAAGAATTAAAAAAAATTTCAAAGGAAAGACGGGTTCTTATGCTTAAGCAGATGAGTCCCTCGTGCGAATCCCCGAAAACTTTAGATGGATGGTTTCATCGCCACCGCTCTGGCATTGGGGGAACCAAATCTTTGCCTTATTTCCCCAAACTGACGGAACCGGGCCACAATGGCATAGCTGTAGTTGTTTTAGTTAATATGTAGGCTGATTAGCTAGCTTTCGAACCAGGGGCCAGGGTGGACGGGATGGTAAAGGAAGGGGAAGGGAGGAGTGGAGGGAATGGAAGAACGGGGAACAGCAGCAATAGGGGAGGGGCGATAATAGGGAGCGAGTGGCAACATGCCGTTGGAGCGGAGCAGCGATTTTCCCTCGAATGCTACTGCATCCTGTCTTCAAGTTGGGAGGTCCATTACCACAGCATCCCGTCGACTACCATGCTTGTTTTTCTTCTGGGATCCTATCCGAAACTTGAACTCGCCGGTTGCGAAACATTGACCAAGTGACCAAGGCTTAGCAAGCTTCCGAGGAAGGGAAAAAGTAAAAAATCTCAAGCAGCAAAGCAAAGAAGAACCTACCCCCCGCTGTTCTTGGATTCCAGTGCGCACGATTCAGCCGGAAAGTTTAGCCTTCCATGCCCTGACGTCTGCCAAGAAATCAAACGTTATGTCACAGCAGCTCGCTCAGCAGCCTCAAGACATTCACATATTGCTGTGCAATTGGCCCACGGGGAAATCAGACCGCGGAAGTTGAGCAAAGGTACCAGCAAAGAGAAACAAGAGATTGCGGTCTCGATTCGAATAGGGCAGTAGGATTGAGTATGTTGTGTGGCCGACGTCAGATTCGCTTTCGCTTTCATGATCCATTTCAAACCCCGTCCGGGCCGTACGTGCCGAATATCTGGACTGGGGCTGTCGAATGCAACCGTCTGAAATAAGTTCTAAAATAGATTGAAAGGTAAGAAATAAAGACGTGACAAGGGTGGACCCCAGATGTGGTTTGTCTTCTTTCAAACATTGATGGTATATAATTTGCAGGCATAAACATTCGGAGGTCTCCCTCTGATGGACCGGTGAACCGTTTCCCCAAACGCCAGCGGGACTTACATGGTCCATATTACTTCCATGCACTCGCTGCCTCTCCGCTAGATCGCTATAATCTTACAGCAGGGGTCGTGAGAGACTATGAGAATAGATACACATCCTGATGAGATCATCACCTAAGATGCGTCGTTCATATCGGTCCGGGTAAGTATGTCATCAATAACTGTAAAGCAGCGTGATCGGGCCGGAGCCATGTGCCTCTCACGCGACGAATCGAGAGACAGAACCCTTCGATGATCGAGCAGGTATTTGTTATCTCCCTCTTTCGGAGATGTGTGAAGGATCCAATATGATTCTCGTTTCGGAGCAATGCCTTCCACCATTCATTCGGCGCGTTTTTGGTGATATATTTGTTATCTTTCCGTCTGACGGCGATTTCGAGGCGCAGGCAATTGTACAGCGTTCAGGAGAGTGATGAGTGCATGTCGCTTCCCTGCAAAGAGGTTTTCAACAGGTTGGGTTCCCAACTGCAAAGGCTTTTCGGTCCGTGGATCGTATCCCCATTCAGCATCTGCAATGATCACTGCCGCAAAAGAGGTCGGGGCTTCCCCCCATCAGCTGAAATATAGCAACATCAAAAAGCAAAAGGCAATAAAGCTGCCCAGGATGATCCCATCCCTTCGTCTCTTCGACCCAATTCTCGAAATTAACCCGTTAACGCCCGGAATTTGTGCCGCCGCCGAGGCGATCCGTCGATTTATGCTTGCCAGCGTCTCTCTTTGAATTCCGAGATTCTCATTAATGGCATACGCCTGAGCCAATACACCATCAATCACGTTGTGACTCTGGTCTAATCGGGCCCTTTCTTGAAGCATATATTCTGCCTCCGCCTCGGCTGGGTTTGAATTTCTGAATGCATCGATGTCAGAGCGGACATTTGCTAGGAGATGTTGACGGTCACGAGCTTCAGATATGGAGGACTTGAGGCGGCGTAGTTCTTGTCGATGTTCGCTCAGCACCTCGCGGTGACGGGAGAGGTTATTTTGTTTCAAAGTGGACGTGCTCAATGCACTTTCTGAGTCAAGGAGTCGGGAGAGTTGTGATATTAAACCATCCCGCTAAGCACTCCAGTCAGACGCCGTACGACTGAATTTCTGCCATGGCGCCGAGTCTTACCTTCTCTAATAACTCTTCGATTTCAGCTTCATTTCTTTGTTCTTCGTCTGACGGTTTAGGAGGAAGGTTTGCAGTGGAGGTATATTGAGAATAGGTGTGAAATAAGGATTCGGTCTGAAGATCAATTAGAAGAGGACAGCAGGAGCCGCAAGAATAGTCGTACCTGACTCTCAAGAGTCCTGATCTGCTGGCGCAGTTGCGCCCATCCAGCTCCGGTTGCCATTGACAAAATTAATTCGAGAAGGAGGAGCAGGAGGTGCTATGCCGGTCTGATGATTGTAGCTTCATGGACTGCGCAACGACCGCTCCCACGGTGGTCACGTAGAAGGCTGCCCGCAAGTGAACCGTAGACATTCCCTGCAGATTCCCACTAGCCACGAAGAACGCTATTCCCAATCCGGATTTCATATAAAATCACGTGAAAAATAAATCTTGGCACTTCCCACAGTTTCGATCCCAAAATTCTTCCGCACGCGCAGACTGACCTCCGACTACGCTTTCACGACTTCTCTCTCTCAATTCGGCCACGAATCTCGACGTCGACGAGGCCTTCACACAGCCAAGATGGTACGGGTTTCTATTTTCTGCACAAGACCGAATACTGACAAGAGGACCTAGTCGACCAACGCAAAAGTCAAGCCCGGTCAATTATGGGGGAAGAGTAAAGACGACCTGAAGAAACAACTCGACGAACTGAAGACCGAGCTGGGTCAACTGCGCGTACAGAAGATTGCAGGTGGTGCTTCCTCCAAACTCACCAGAATGTACGTTGTGAAACGATATTTGTTGAGACGAGAAAACATATGTCAATGAAGTTTTGGACAATGAGAATGGCCATGAAATAAAAGAAGACCGAAGACTGACAATTCTCCTTCGAAATAGACACGACCTTCGCAAATCCGTCGCTCGCGTCCTGACCGTCATCAACGCCAACCAGCGACACCAATTGCGACTCTTCTACCAAAAGAAGAAGTACCTCCCCCTCGACCTCCGACCAAAGCAGACCCGTGCCATCCGTCGACGATTGAGCAAGAAGGACGCCAGCAGAGTTACTGAGAAACAAAAGAAGAAGGAGACACATTTCCCTATGCGGAAATATGCCGTCAAGGCCGAGGCGTGAGCTGAGGGGAGTCGGGGATGAAGGGGGCATATGATTTGTGGAAGAGACGATTCTTGAGCGTGGTCTGTGGGCAAGAACGAATGGAAACGGTTCATTTCCACTATGGGTTCCAGCTTTGGGTCATCGGGTCGCGCGCAAAAAGAAAAAAAAAAAGAAGGAACTTCTTGTTCCGCCAAAACTACACGATAAATGAGATATCACCATTCAAGATACCGTGAAGCTTCTCAATATTGTCATTTATCGGTTCCCCAGAAAGACTCACAGACCGTGGGACACGTGTTTGCCTCACGGAGTATACTGACCATCCGCAGACAATGAGTCGATACCAGTCTGTTTTCAATTACGGCTTCGTGCCCAGGGCTCAATGATCCAGTTGCCATCACAAACGCATCTCGCCAGGAGAGTTCCAACTTGTCTCGGCCACTCTCGAGGTGGAATGCTCATGTCCTCGCTGTAACTACCACATCTGACACACTTTCGTATCATCAGCTCGCCGGAGCCGTTTGGCTCTGGTATACCCTTTAAGATTGGCCTTTTTCGGTGTATGTCATAGATAGTCGAGGCTTGTTTTGTCTCATCATTTCGATGGCCAAGCACATCGTTGTTCAAAAACACATGTTCAAGATCAATGCAATCAGTGAACAGCTTCAGCCGATCGATCAGCATCTTCGCTCGTAGACCTCCTGGGATATTGAAGAGCTTGCTCAGCAACATCTTGATCGTTCCCTGATATGATTCATGAACGATCCCTGTAGCCATCATGTCCAGCTGTCTCGCGGCAGTCGTGGCGGGGTCGCCCTCAACATCGCCTTGTGCCGCCCATCTACATTCCAGAATGGCTTCAATCGCGGCGAAACTTATGCCCTTTCCCGTAGTGTGCTGTTGAATGCACTGCAGCACCTGGACTTGGTGTCTTGATTTTGGCTCCGTTTTAGCATACATTCTCACGGCTCTGACAAATGCAATGAGAAAAATGCGAGAGCAGTGTATATTGAGAAGCAGAGCAACAAGACCTTGAGTACCGTCTCCCCGAACGTCTCCAGCTCTGCCATGATCCTTTTCGTCAAACATTTCCGGATTTGTCTCACGGTCACCTACTTCCAAAATCGTGCCGAAGATATATCGAATGACCGACAAGCCCCATCGAAGATTGGAGCAGAGAATATCTGTAAAATCTTGATTCATGACCAGATTCAGATTTTGTACGTCTCTCAGATTCATAAACAGCAAAGTAGCTGTTTGACGGATGTTGTTTGCCAACCATGCCCATTGTGCACTCAGAGACCAGCCATTTCGTCCTTCGGTAGACGCCATTGAAGGAAGCTGTCGGCAATAAGCAGCGAGACCGGCATGATAAGCCAGGACTTTTCCCACGACCGGTTTGTGGTAGATGCGTTCAGACTCTGAACCCGGTGTCTTCTCGTTCACAAACTCAGTGTCCCGAAATAGAGTGCGATACATACTTGAAACAACTGTTGGGATTGTTTCGGAGGGGACGGTGTGCAAAGCACACATCAGAACGTCATCAATTGTTGCATTCGACCAACAAGCCCGAGCAAAGGCGAGGTTCAGAGCTGCCACGGCCATGTCAAGGCTTGGGTCGAGGGGTTGTTGTGATTGCTCTTGCCCCAGCTGGTATTCCATACTCGCTAATTGAGTCTTTCCGTCCGAAGAGAATTCCACTCTGACGCAAGCATTTGGCGAAAAACTTGGGTTGAAAGTATTCGTAGAATATGGAAAGGCAAACCCTGATTGAGACATTGACGAAGTCTCTGTGGCCGAGCCGGTATAGGACACTAGGGATAGGTCTTCTGAGCTTAAGAAGTCGGTGCGATTATCTTGCATGGTTACCACCAGCACTGGATTTCCGTCCACATGATGAATTGTCGTAATCACCTGTTCCTCTTTGTCTGGTCGCAGTTGCAGCGTGTAAAATGAAGATGGAGTAGTGCTAGGGCCTTTGGAAGGCAATTCATCAAAAAGAGGATGCAGTTTCTGTTCCACCGAAGCCACTGTCCATCTTTTGATCATGCTAGAGGCCAGGAAACCTGAATCCGATATGTTGATCGCTCGATTTACACCCGATGACACTGCTAGAATTGTCGGTGGTATTTGGACAGCCTTTTCCACATCGGATGTTTGTACCACCTCAAGATGACTGAGAGACCAGGAATCTGGATCATAGACATCGCCCAGGGTGGAGGATCCCGATGGTTGCGAGGCGACTCTACTTGAAACGCATTCCACTGTCAAGACTGGTAAACCCTCGACAGCTTGTTTGACTTCGGTCCAGTCAATAGAAACAAAGTAGACAGATATTAGAGCTTTAAATGAATGGAGAACGACCAGCATTTTGCCTTCGACAGTGGGAGCAAAGCTGGCATGACTGTAAAGAGAATTGTCTGATGGGCAGAGCTGCCTTGTGACTTTGGAATATTGGCCGTCGCCTCTCTGAAAACATAGGGTCAAGAGACCATTGCGGTGAACAATGACAACAGCTCGATGCCAGTAGGGTCCCAGCGGTTTTGCTCTTGCATTATGATGTACCCATCGAGATTCAGTTTTGGCGGCATTGAGTACCACATTTCTTGGTCTTTCTTGCCGATCTTGATTCAACCAAGCCATACCGACAGGCTGAGAGAGTTCATCGGCTTCATCAAGAGCACCCTGACGAGCAAGATTCAGACGATTGACGGCGATAAGAGAGTTGTGGTAAATCCAGATTCTGCCCTTGACATCGACGACAGCCAATTCTCCTCCAGTTGAACTCCAAGCTAGGCTGGTGGCATCTTCGAAAAGAGTGGTCAAGGCATGTCTGCCATTCAAGCACCATGTTTTGGAATCATGGTCGAAACGAAGACATTCCACATACACGGTGGAAGCGTCATCAGATATCGTAGCGATGTGTCCATGCCTTGACCAGGCTGTACGTTCGAGACAACCACAATACCATCGACGAGTCAGCTGTTCGATGACAGCGGGATTTGGGACGGAGGTAAGATCAGCCGCCGTAGGATCGATTTGCTGAATTTGTTGCAAGGAATTCTGGTCGAAAAATGTATCAGAGGGAAAGTGTTCAGATTGATCTATTTGATTCAATCGCTCCATGTTGAACACGCCGTACTCATACTATGAGTCTTCCATCTCTTTTTTTTTTTTTTTTTTTGATTTAGTTTCTCTTTCGCGTTTGGAGTAGATCTTGAAGGTTTTATTCTTCAAAGACTAGATGCTAAAGAGTGAGCTTACACAGTTTCGGTGCGGTGAATAGTTCAAGGGTGACTGCGATATTCCTTTGACCCACCAAAGTGCTGTGCCGTGTATGCTAGATTTGTATCGAGGCCTAAAAGAAGATCCCCGGGGCCGTTTTGGTGGAGAGGCCGAGCGAAGATTGCTGCGAGGCACTGAATCAAGCAAAGTGGGAATCCTCGTGGTGAGACGGAGCAGGGGTTGTGCTGGGTCCGTAGCCGGGGTAACACGGTGAGTGACCCCCAGGACGGACGCAGACAATATTCCTGCACTTCTGGCGAAAGGAGGGATTGGATATAATGAGTTGTAGATGCAGCTGATGTACAGACATAGGTATGACCGAAATGCAGAATAATATCCACGGTGAAAATCAAATCAATTACTTGGTACAGTATTGTGACTGAATTCGACTGCGTAACCCGTATGGAGGTGCCGTAACTCAACGAGCCTCAAGGTACCTCTCTGTAGTCGAGTGGGTGCGGAGTACTTGTTTTGGCTCGACATCGCATTTGCTTTGAGTGTGTAACGGGCCGCAATGCCTGCCCTGGACCCTCCCCCATCGTCTCTTTCTCTCTCTCATCCATGAACAGATGTTTTGGCATCCCTTTAACCGCCCTCTGGAGCCTCGGGGCATCACCCATCTCCCATATCTCTCCACCCACTCTCCCCCTCCCGCTCACCAGATGGACTTGTACTTGTCGATGCAGCCGCTGACGATCTGATCTCCTCTAGTCACCACTGACCCCCATTCTTTCAACTCCCCAATTCTCATTCCAGTTCGGCCAAATCCAACGCCCAGTCCAGCCTCATCACAACCTGCGCCTATTTCCTCTTCCTGTTCTCACGTCTCAGCTCATTCTCCCGACTCACTCTTGCGGGCGCTTTGTCCACCACCAATACTGCACCTCCTCGAGTCTTTCCTCACCTCTTCCTTTGAATCGTTTTTTTTTTTTTTTTTTAAAAAAAAATAACTGTCTCGACAGAGGAAAAGTAGACGCCTTCGAGAGTTGCGTCTTCTCTGTAAAAAAACACATGAAGAATCATGCGATAAATCACTCGTTTTGCCAACACACACTCTACAACCATGAATCCTGACGACATCTCCGATCTTTCCTCGCCTTTGAGCTCTATTCCGAGTTCTCCTCTCAGCTCTCCTCCAAGTTCACCGATTCTACCTCCGGGCTGGCATACTCTCACCCCTCCACCTTCGCAGCATGCAGGCGACGATATTGCCCCTGCTCGCAAGCGCCGAAAGATCGAACCCAAGATACGTACTACCCAATACCTGGATCTCACTTCAGATACCGCTCAGTCCGACTATGATCGAACAGAAGCTCTAGATACGCTACTCAAAGCCCTGCGCAATCGGAGGAAAATTGTGGTTATTGCAGGGGCTGGAATCTCTGTGTCAGCTGGCATCCCGGACTTCAGATCTTCCCATGGACTCTTCAAAAGCTTGAGGGGTGAACACAAATTGAAAAGCTCGGGCAAAATGCTTTTCGACGCCTCTGTCTACAAGGATGACCTCTCTACCTCGAGTTTCCACGAGATGGTACGCAAGCTCTCCAAGATGGCAGAGAACGCCAAGCCGTCGGCCTTTCATCGCTTCCTGGCCAGATTGTCCGTCGAAGGCCGTTTATTACGACTCTACACGCAAAATGTGGATGGCCTGGAGACCTCTCTGCCTCCACTGGCTACTCAAGTGCCTTTGAACCACAAAGCTCCCTGGCCGCAAACCATCCAATTACATGGCGGTCTCGAAAAGATGATGTGTCAAAAGTGTAGACATATATCTGACTTCCAAGCTCATCTCTTCAAAGGGCCAACCCCGCCACTATGCCCTCAATGTGTTGCTGCAGATACTTTGCGGACCGCCCATGCTGGAAAGCGAAGTCATGGCGTTGGTAGATTGCGACCAAGAATTGTTCTTTACAATGAACATAATCCCGATGATGAAGCCATTGGAGCAGTCACTACAGCAGATTTCCGAACAAGACCTGATGCTGTCATCGTGGTAGGTACAAGTATGAAAATTCCAGCAGTGCGACGAATTGCCCATGAAATGTGTCAAATTGTCAGAGATCGACGAGAGGGAACCACGATATGGATCAACCGAGATCCAGTTCCGCCTGGTAAAGATCTCGAAAATTGTTGGGATCTCATTGTCAAGGGCGACAGTGACGAGGTAGCGCGACTGGCCGGTTTGAAAGAATGGGACGATCCCAATCCCGAAGTGGCAGAGAACTACACGGAGGCCGATCTTGAAAGAGTCAAGTCAGGTCAAGGACCGATTGAGGTTGTCATTCCGGCAACTCCAAAAAAGAACGAGAATGTCGCTCAACGACTGTTGCCTTCACCTGTTGTTCACAACGTGACCCCTCCTCGCAGTCAAAACGGGGAGGGACCTGCAAATTCCTCGAAGAGCCAGCAAGCTATCACCTCTTCTCCAGTACGAATCAAACTCAATGTCACTGATCGAAGTAAAAACGCAGCCCCGGTGAAAAATGCTGCCAATGCCGGGAAGTCCATTGCGGAAATCCTCGGTGGAAAAGAGAACAAAGGGAAAGGCGCCATCAAGTCGAAAACCTCTCTCAACAGAAAACCCAAAGTCGTCAAAATTCGAGCTTCTACCAATCCTCGTTCTCAAGCAACTATTACAGGCAAAGTCACGAAACCGACCTCATCCAATAATGTGCCATTCAAAAAGCCGCAACCTGAACCACTATCACCACGGCGCGATTCAAATCAGACCTTCTTCCCGCCCCAAGTTTCAGAGTACTCGAGTGTGGAAGCCAGTCCTGCACCAGAAACCCCTCCTTCCATGGGCGAAGAGTGGCGCAATGTTGAAACTGTATCTCCTCCCGGGAGGATACCCTCGGATATGGTTAAACTATTAAACTAAAATCATCGAATATACGGGCATCACTGGGTACTTTTGCATGTAGAAGGGGCTTCTGGGGGCATGAAGCTTCTTCCGGCGTTTGCGGACCATTCTACGGAGGCGAAGACAGCATGAACTCAAGGGTGCTAGGGTATTTTTTCCCCCCAGCAAGGTTATCACAAGAATGGAGTGAGTTTTTTCCCCCTCCTCCAGACGAGGGCAGAGGACAGGTTTGTATAGACATCCGTGCAACAGGCAGGGTTGGGATGGGTATGGCCTCAACACTTGAGGATACCTTGCATTTCAGCGCGTGTAAGGATAGTGTAACACAGCTATCTCTGAAGCGTTTTTCACAAGGGGGGCGAATAAATAGCAATGGGGTACCCGAACGCTAATTACCGTCGATAAACTTTGGGCCTGAAAATACTTGCCGCAGAAATGAGTATATGCCCTGGAATCCATTTTCAATGTGCACGTTAATTGTGAGCTCTCCTGTGGTGACTATATTGTTCCATATCAAGATATAGAAAGTAGAAGGCCAGTTCTCATTGAAAAGGCTCCTCTTGCTCTACTCTACCTCTTCAGTGTGTTTGTTTCCAACGTGGAGACTTATTGTTCTCAACAAGATGTATATTAAACTGACCTATTGTTCATGATATGCACATCGACCGGTGCAGACTCTATACACCGGTGGGGGCTACGAAGCTATGTATGCGTCTAGCTACCGAGTAGGCATGGACCAAGCCAAATCCCACAAAGACATTACACTTGTAGATTAATTATTTTTGGAGGGGGTTTTCTTGACCATGACCATGGGGCGTAACAAGAGATACTCGAAACTCCATAGAAAAGACGTAAAGGTGATAGGGAAAGGGGCTTTGGGAATGGAACCTGAGCTTGACTTCGACTTCCGTGTTGGTGCCGGTGTCGATATCCAGATTTTCCTTCCAGGCACAGTCGTAGCGATCGTGGTAGCAGGAGACTGACAGACGGACAAACGAGTGTGTTGTGAAACGAGTGAAAGGAAAGAATACCCAACCCGACGATCCGTCCGAAGCTCCTTTTGTTGTTCGAGACCCGTACTTTAAAGGCCCTCGCCCAGCCCAGGACGCTGAGAAGGACCTTTCTCGCTTCCAGCAACATCGCTCGCCCACGTCCTTCTCTTCTCATTGGCAACCGAATCAGGCATATGACTCCCACTGCTTCGGGGGCTGTTCATATTGCCTCTATCGGCCTGCCTGCTGCCTGGGATACCAGAGCTCAGCCGCCAACTCGAGTGGTCGGAAACCATTGTCGACGTACGCGTGGTCTGGTCTTCACTCGCAAGGGCCTCAGGTGGTGCTAACATCTGCGGCCCCAACATGCCCGTCGTCGAACCCATCCCATACTCACCACCACTCCTCCGTCGGGGGATTCCCAAGTGTGGATACCCGTTGTCGCCAACGATACCTTTCACCGGACCCATGCCGTCATGGATGTAATCGCCCGGTGTACCATATGATTCATATATGTGGTCGGGGGTGTATCTCGTTCCAGCACTTCGCCGACGTGGGTTTTGGCTCATCATCCCTGAACCCCTCGGCATGCCACCAGCCGAGCGAGGAGGTGGGTAGGGGAAATCATTCCGGATCTCGCCAGACAGCGGACTGGGCACACTAGGGCGGTTCACGTAGCTGAATGTCGTCGTCGTCGGGGCAGCGGGGCCGAGTGCACTGTTACGTCGACTGGGGGTTGTAGGGATTGGTGGGATTTCATGCAGGTTGCGCTCCGTTCTAGAGGATGGGAAGGCAGAAGGGGTCGAATTCGGCCTGCTCTTGGGTGAGGGTGGATAGCTGGGAACTGAGTCACGGTAGGGCTGGCTGATGATGGATGTTCTCGAGGAGTTGGAGGGTTCGGACCCATCACCTGAGGTCATGTAGGATAAGCGACGAGGGCTCCGGCTGGTCCGGTGACTGTATCCACTGCTGCTGCCCTCCGAACGAGGTCGATTGTAATGTCGTGTCAATGGCGCGCCTCCAATTGCTCCGGTTGCAACACCTACTGCGCCCGTCGCAAGTACATGCCCTCGTCCGTTATCACCATCTTTGGGTGCATGTCCCTGATCAAATGCCTCGTTGGCTCTGGTTGCGTCCCTGAAGGATCGGTGGCTCTCATCACTACTTTGTGAAGGAGATCCGCTCGTAGCGGGGGCTTTGGCGGTTTGATCAATTGGCGAGACGGGAGAATATGGCCATGGCTCACTGTTATTGACGTGATTGACTGGAACAGGCTTTCGATTGATTTGGCGCTGACTCTCGGGCTCGTGGCGTGATCTCTCATTGGAGACCAAGCTTCCATTACTTTCGCGATTACTTTGGTGCATGAGAGCCGCACCAGCAGCTGCGCCGACCAGGCCTGCCGCTGGAGCCCCTTGGTGCGAACTGTTGTGGGACATATTACTGGGGGAGCTCGGAGGTCTTGCCGCCTCTTTCTTTGTGAGGAAAGCCTCATCTCCAGGGACCACGCCGTCGGTCGAGACGCCTCGAGAATGGGGTGCGGTCCGTCGGGGGGGTGGAGGAATGGGAACAAAGGGATTTTCAGGCTCTCCATTCTCGCGGAGAGCGGGATGTTCGGCCATGGAAGGTGACGCTCCGACCACACCAAGGCCACGATTTGATGGATCCTCACCCCCGGTTGGGGCCGATGGTGGGCTTTCGTCGCCAACCTCGTCGTCCGCTGGGGAAAGTGCTCCGTTACGTGGTGACTGGTTCCGTTGACGGCGCCTGCGACAAAGCAGCACGGCGAAGATGACCAACCCAAGACCAAGAGCTCCGAGGACAGAGCCAAGAATAATGGGAAGGTTTGAGTCATGGCTGGGCCCTGATGAAGACGCGCTTGCGGCGCCGGTCTCTGAGGCTGCTCCCAATACAGAAGTCGATGGCGAGGGAGGATTAGAGGCTGATGCAGCATATGATGCATGTGAAGAAATCGACGATGAGGCTTGCGAACGGGTGGAGGCAGCTGGCGAGGCTGGTGACTCAGATGATATCGAAATTGGAGTCGACGTCGACTCTGAGGCGGATCCCGATGTTTCCGGTGCGGTCAGAGACTGGGAATTGGAAGTTGTCGTGGTTTCGATTGCGGACGAAGAGGACGCGGCAGCTGCTGAAGTCTCCGTAACGGACGAGGCAGATATTGAACTGGCTTGAGTGAAGGCCGAAAATGCTTCCGAGACCAAGCTGTCGAACTGACCACCACCATTGTTATTTCGCTGTGCTGCAACCAACGTCAGGAAACCTGGTGCGAGCACCACAAGCATAGAAGCCTTCATCTTCCTAGTCCCACTGGTCTTCAGTGTGCTCGATATTGACAGGAACCGGAGCGCTCTGAGCCGGGTTCTTGTTCCACCTCACGAGGCTTTGTGGGTAGCCTGGTGGATGTTGAGCATTGACAGTAATCATAAGACAGCTGTCAACGGAAACAGAAGCATATTTAACGAAACCGAGAGCAAAGCATCACACAACCACACTCACGGGAGAAGAGAAAGAGAACCACAACCCAAACACCAACGACCCTGGACTATAGATATCGAACCGACTGCCGGTCGATCATCACCTGCTTTCGTCCGCATCGTTCACCTTTGCAGGGTCTTGGGGGGATACGCGGCATGTCGGACGGCATGCTGCTAAACAAACATGTGCAGGGTAAGAGTCAAGTAGCATGGCTTCGGAGGGTAGATCTTCACGGCTCTGGAACGAGACCTCTGGGAGACGGCAGGAAAAAACTGGCTATGGACCTGTAGATGCAAGCCATAGTTCCTGGTTAGACGTCGAGCTAGCCTTGTAGTGTCAGTGGGCGCTTGATAGGAGTTCGCGCTGGTCAGTGCCAAGGTCGACACGGAAATGGAGTAAGAAGAGAAAAAAGAAGGGCAATCATCTGCAGGGACGACATTGATAACTCACCTCCGAATAGCTTTTGCCGGCTGTGGCTGTGTGGCGGTGCCGCTGGCAAGGCTCTAACCAACTCCAGTTTCCTCTTCTCTTTCATTAACCCACGATCATTGAAACCATATGCCGTGAGGAAGCACGGGACCTGTAATACGAGGAGGCTGTTTCTTCTGGACGACAACTGCGTACGACAGCTGCACGAAATTCACCACATGCTTCGGCATACTCCCCAATCTGCCTCCAAGATGATCGGACATTATTTTTAGATCGTCCGGCATACGGAGCACTAGAGGCGTCATCTAACTATTGACGCTACTCACAATATCACAGATACCACTCCCTCTATTACGTGAAAGTCCTCGTCTTTAGGACAACTGATTTCTCAACGCCCATCCTTCAGTTTCCTGCCCCGAATCCGAGCCCAGCAAGCATTCTGTGCATCGACAGCCTTTCTTCTGGCAATGGGTCCTGGTTCAGCGAGAGGATTCTCCTCTAGATGGCTCCTGCTGCTGGCTCCCACAACAATAATTGTGTGCCCATTCAAATCCGAATGATGAGCAAGCCGTCTTAGATTACGACCTGATTCGCTGTGATTATACCCGATAGCTCCTGGCCGGAGACTAAGATCGTTCCATGAATGGGCCTGTGTCGTTGGGCGCTTTTTCTCTTCGGATCGTATCTCGATCCCGCTTCGAAATCTCGTTTATCCCGATGGCATCAGCCAATGGATTGAGGAAGAACAATGGCATGCCATGATGTCGGGGGAAAGAGAGTAGCGACACTTCTAATGACTCGGCTGTATGCACTGTGCGTGCAATGATGGACCAATGGCCTGGCCCACCGTTTTCGTGGCAAATTTCGGAGATCTCTGCCACTTCCCAGGAATAGTAGTGGTCGATACTAAAGCGATTGGAGTAAGCTTTCTTGTACTCCGTAAAGGTAGCAGATCTCTCGCCAGGGTATTCTCTAAGGGTATGGGTCGATGCGGACGACAGGGGGGTATTATATGTCTAATTTGTCAGTCTTCAAGACTTTAAGACGATCCGTCGGATCTTTTCGCAGACTGGGTGGTGAATGAACATCATCTCATCGGACTTAGGGAAAGGTCTGGGACTAGGGCGTAGCTTGATACCCGCAAGGAGGGGGAAGGGGGTGTGTTGGTATTCATCAATCCAGTTTGCTCAATATCATTCCGAAGAGCACCATCTACAGACACGAGCCGTGTCAACTTCCCAATGTCCATGTGCCTGGAAAGTCTCAAGAACGGCGCCTATCTTCTCCAGCGCATGTATGCAGGTTCCCCTCGAGACATTGTGCATATTAGCCGCTTTCTGTTCGTCCTAGCTTCCTGATGGTCATGGCCTCGAAGAAATGATTTCCCTTGCTCTTGTGTAATGCTGTCATTCTGCTGTGATGATGAGTATTGAAGCGTGATAGATGTCGCCTAGGAGCAGAGATTTCAGGTATTTGTATTCTTGTGTCTTCAGGGAGGAACATATTCATTTCATGGAGACATGAAAAAGCCTTACTGGGAACGAGGCTCAGATTTTCAGGGTGGCCTATCTTTTGTAATCCGAGGAAAGGGATTCATCCTGGAAGCATTGTACCTAATATTCATACCGAGGTATAAAGCCCACAGGCAGCGCGATGGTGGTTGCAACGGTCTGCCAATCAGGCCGAGTTGTAAGGGCGGTATGTTTCACGTTGCAATTTGGATTCGACTTACCATTCAGTTTTATGTCATTTTCCGAACCAAATTTCATATGACGGGCTGCATTGCGCCTCTCGCATGAACAGAACGACAACCGGGGATAGAACCCATGGGCTATTCTCAAGCAATTTGATTCGTTTCCTGATCCCACGAATGGAGCCTCGAATAAGTCCCCCAACAGGGTCAAATCGAAAAGCAGACTCTGTCAGGCGTTCCAATCAGCCATCGAAATCGCTCGAACAAGATCCGGGCAGGAAAGACGGGGAACGTGGGGCCCAATCAGACAGATAATTCCTGAACGAGAATCTTGAAAAGTGCTATTCAGGGTAAGGCAACCAGTAGTGAGGCAGACAGCCTCGCGCAGTGGTGGCGGGGAAGACAATTCTGTATGGTTGTGTGAGGCTACCTGGCAGGCAACTGTGTACACCCAACATTGGAGAATATCCTGGGCATCGCAGTCTCTATGTCTGTGTAACAGCTTGTTGCCTTGGAAGAAAGAGGGGCTGTGCACGGACAGTGGATGCTTGGACATGTAGAGTGGTCGGCAACCTGGATCCATTCTGGGAAGAATTTGATCACTGCGAGAAGCTGGTCGGCTCTTGATCAGAAAAGAGTCGGGAAGGATGATGCGAGAACAGAGGATCTATATACCAACACGTGACCGAGGGCATTTCTTACCAGGAATAAAATGATCAGGTGACTGCCGCAAGATGGCGAGACGGGTCGGCCATCCGCCTCTTGTGCATTTCAAGCTTGTGAGCCACCCAAGTGACAAGAATAGCCTAGCATATCTATTAGCGCTGCCTTGGCCCGAACAATGCATGGCCTTATTGGTGGAGTGATGAAGATAGCAAAATGCATTAGAGAGAAAGCGTGAACAGAGTGGATCCATCGGTCTGAGATCCGGGACCCTAGTCAGGGCTGACGGCCACGTCTTCGATCTCTGCTATTTGCCCAGCACGACGCCCGTGGCCCGCTGTTTGTGTCTCTCTGGCTGTCACTCTGCCAGTCCCAGACACGGCAGAATCTTCTCCCCCCATCACCCGGGTCGCCCTTCGGGTTCCTTCCCTCCTCTCCCGTCCACCCACTTCTTTCCCTTGCTCTCGGTTTCTTTGCTGCGGGAAGGTATCGGTGGGGGTGCCTCTTTCACTTGTCTTGACCTCTGCCGCCCTCGTTCCCTGCTCTCGCCCGTTTGCTCTACTTACCTACTCACTCGCCTTCCAACCTACTTTGCTGCAAACCACAACTTGTCCTCGTACCACTCCTCACTGTTTCCATCCCTCCTGCTTCTCCTCGACGTCTTCTTCTGCCGTTTCTTCCTGCCTTATTTTTAATATACCCTTCTTGCACTCTGTATTCCTCCTCGACCACTTCGACCTTTGCGATCACCGACTTGATCGGCCACCGCCACTGGGATCCGCCTATCCTCGTCTTCAGTCTCTCATTCCACTCCAACCATCATCTGTCCTGACGACTCTGTACCTATAACGATTCTTCCAGCAGACGCTGACGCTTCCCTGGTCTCACCTTCGCTATTTCTGGTCTCCTGGCGCTGCGCGCATTTTTACACACCGTTTAGTCCTTTGTAATCTGCGACCCCGAGTACGACATATCCATCGCTCCTCTGTACCCTACCAACCGAACGAACGACGCTTGTTTTGAACTTGCCATTCCAGTTTATTTGCTACCCAGGATCTGAAATTTGGTCGGCTCGGGTTTCTTTGGACAATTTTGCATAAAAGGAGGCCTGTTCCTGCTGTTGATTGGAAAAAAAAAAAAAAAAAAAAAAGGGCCGTGGTGTTTGAGAACTCGGTGCCGGGGTGAAGAATCATATGGCTGGTGGCGGAAAACCTTGCGCTCCGTGACTAAATGGTCCCAATGAACGCTTGGGCAACGCCGAGATCTCATCCCGTCGCTCTGGAGAGCGTCCAAACATGTTGCGCCTCTTGTCCTGGACAGGCTGTGATAAGGTCAACTCCCCAGAAATGAGGATGTTTGTCCCCAAGCAAGATTCTCCGGGATCGGGTGTGCTCACCATACCTTCCTCAAACAAACGCAAACAAACCACCGATCATCACGGTCAGTCAGAGAGAAAACGGGCCAGAATTGTGGATAAAAGAAAGAACGGGTCTGTAAACGTGCCCAACAACTCTGCCCCGACTCTCTCTTCTGATGGCCGGACCAACACTCCGCCCACTACCCCCGGGCCGCCATCATTCCTACCATCACCCCCAGATCTCAAGATAGCGGAGTCGGGAATGCCAGACATGACGTCGCCCGTGAAGGACGCTGCGGCAGTGCGATTGGAATCGGTTCGCAATGTCATTCAGACACAAATCAGCCTGGAAATCCTTCTGAAGCACAAAGAACTTCGGCTGATTGAGCAAGAGATGGCAAAATGTCAAGTGGCTCTAGAGCAACTTCGTCGATGCAAAGAGATTCCTTATCCGGGAACTCAACAACCCTTTCTGGCTGTCTGCAATGGTACCGGACCTGCTCTTCGAAGCTCTTTTCCGACTCCTCTCCCTCAATCTCCCGCTCCATGGGGCGTCCGAGACGGGCCTTACACGAGGCACTATGCGAAATGGCTCCTTCCGGATCCCCTCTTTGATGGTGGTGAACCCGAACCGGCATACGACATTCCGGCTGGCAAGTCTCCGATGAAGTCGAGGTCCACTCGAGGAAGCTACGCGGACGGATTTCATACATCAAGCCAGTCTCGTGCACAACGCAGCGGCCATCTCAAAGCCTTACCCAGTGGAAACGTTCCGCCCAAAGAGAAGAGCCACAATCCGACCATCGTCGAAAGGAAGTCTGACGGTTTGATGGTAAGACTTGTCTGCCCAGACTGTGGTCGACATGACTTTGGCAGTGCCCAAGGTTTCATCAACCACTGTCGCATCGGACACGGCAGGCTTTTCGCAAGTCATGATGCGGCAGCGGATGCCTGTGGAGAACCAGTGCAAGTCGATGCATCTGGAGCAGTGATTGGCGCCGAACCCACGGTGCCATCTACTGCCGGAAATGTTCATCCACTCATTCGTTCGGCCAAACTCCTCCAGCCCTCCGTTCTTGCCGCACGGTCGTCTTCTGCAACAAAAGACTCGGCCGGGGTTTCTCAATCCCAAGATATCTCACCTGACTTCAAGGCGTCGGTCTTGACACCAAACCTTTCGGAACTGGTCAAGAATAAGGGACTTGGCCTCGATCTTCAAGAGATGGTATCAGATGCCAAGACGAAAGTTGAAATGCCCGAATCGGAATCGGAGGATGATGAGATGGATTTGGTGGACGTGCCAGTGCCGAACGCAATTCAAGGTCGCCATCCGCAAGTTGCCGGCACCAAACCACCTCGAAAACCCGCCAAATCTCCTGCGTCTTCCCCATTGTTGAGCTCCAACATGTTGAGCACTCCGGCAGCTTCGCGGGCACCAGCAGCGGGGTTACAACAACACGGTGGCGCTAGCGAATCTTTCGCCCCGCAACGTCCTCGAGGAATGACTCTGCCCATGAGTCAGCCTTCTGCAATACAGCTTCAACCTTCGGATCCATCACCCACCAGTGAATCAAATCAAGCTCCTAGTCTTGTCGATGACGATGAGGAATACGAGCCACATTCGCCAACAAGCAGTTCGGTCTCTGACGACGAACACGATGTTGGTGAAGTTCAATTCGAAGTTCAAGGTGATGACGATGATGCGCGAAGTGTTTTGCGCGGACCCGAGTTTCAACCCAATTGCGCACAACCCGCTAGACCGACTCCGCATGTTCGAAGACCTTCAGCTATTCGTCGACAAGGTGAGGATAGGGAAGAAAAGCATGTCAGTTTTGTGAGCCCAAGTCCGGCACGAGACATGCCAGCGGCTCGTCAAAGCGGAGACCGAAAGAGACGCAAGACTTAGGAATCAGAACGGCAAACTTGGATTCTATTAGACTTCATGTTCTCAAGACTACGTTAAGGCCGCATTGGTGGAGTTCATAGGTGGTCAATGTCTCCTATTACCGCGTAGGCGTGATTGTATTGCATCAGCGAGGGACTTGGATACACGGAGGCGTGTGGCTGGATTATCTGGGACTCGCTGGTATCAAGACCAAGATTCGATTGTGTACATCCCTCCACAGTGTCTGAGCAATCCCGGCCACCCTGGAGCAAGTCTAGTGCTTGTCAATCAAATTGAAAGACTCAACTCTATTTCAAAAGGGTACTTCGTATCGATATCGAATAGTAATTGATTATGCGTTAATTATCAAAGTGAACAACGAAATGGTCGCCGTAACAAAAGGAGGGTAAATAAGTCGGGCCGTAGGAGCTCGACAAGGCTGAGATCCTCATGCACCCGCTCTCCACTGCATTACGTCCGATCATTCTGGAATCGCCAAGCCTCAGCCGTCAACTGGCTGCCCTCGCACAGTATCCCAGTACCTAAAGGTCTGAGAACTCGTCTCCGATTGGAACTCTACGTGCTCTGCGAAGGAAGCCGTCATACCCAACCCAGCAGGCGGCGCCGCTATTCGGCCACCACGCTCTATTTAAGTATTGACCCAACAAGATTTCCCCGCCGACATGGCGCAGAAGTGCGTGCACAAAGGGTGTGGAAAGGTGTTCACCGATCCAGAGGAGGAATGTGTGTATCATCCCGGTCCTCCAGAATTTCATGAAGGACAGAAAGGTTTGCTTGACCCAAAACGACGCTGACTTGCGCCCGGTGTCGCCCGCAAGCCCAAGACTATGCGGAAGAGAAAGTAGTTGACTGAAGCTTGCTAACCGTGGCGGACGAGAACAGGCTGGAAGTGCTGCAAGCCCCGCGTCCTGACCTTTGACGAGTTCCTCGCCATTCCACCTTGCACCACGGGCAAGCACTCGGCCGTTGACGACACGCCTGCTCCAGCACCGAATCCTGGCGTCGCGGATGCCGCCAACATCATATCTGCAGCGCCGATACCCGCCCCTGTCCCCGTCACACGACCTCTAGGACCTAGCCTGGCTGCTGCCCGACAACCCACCCCTTCAACGACACCGAAGCCAGAACCTCCCGAAGACGAATCTGATGATCCAGAGGCTGAGTTTCCCCCAGGTGCATCATGCAAAAGACGAGGTTGTGGCAAGTCGCGGGACGATAAAATCCCTCGCGAACATGAGGAGTGCATATATCACCCTGGTGTCCCTCTATTCCACGAAGGGAGCAAGGGCTGGACGTGTTGCAAGAGGCGGGTGCTCGAGTTTGACGAGTTCATGAAGATAGAAGGCTGCAAGAAGCGCAAGAAACATTGCTATGTCGGGAAGAAGAAAAGCACAGACGGCCAAGGTGCGAGGACGCAGCAGGGCCAGGAGGAACTACTCGCGGATGTGCGGAATGACTTCTACCAGACTCCCTCGAGCGTGATCGTCAGTTTCTACCTGAAGAAAATCGACAAGGATAGAGCCAAAGTGGACTTTAAAGAGAGTGGGCTGGAAATCGATCTCGACCTCCCGACAAGCGACGGCAAGCGATACACGAAGACGATTCCGCTGTTTGCACAGATTGAGCCGGACAAATCCCAATTCAAGATCATGGGCACTAAGCTTGAGATGGTCCTGTTCAAGAATGATGCCACCATTAGTTGGTCCACACTCCGGAGTGATGAAAAGGGAACGGGCGAGAGGATTCAACTAGGGAGAGCTGGCAGGGCATAAAATGGTACCCAAAAGATATTTTCAGGGGGTGGTATGACTGCGACGACGATTATCGCCAGAGGAAAGGACATGGACAAGAAACACTAAAATAACGGCCCATGCATAGCGAGGCGCAGTCCGATTTTGGGTCTTGTTTCGAGGGTTTCTGGGGACTGGCTTCTGAATAAAACCAGATTTGACGATTCTCGAATGTTTGTGTTTGAGATGATGTAGATTCCAGATCACCCCGATATTATCAATGTACAATTTTGTGTAGTATGTAGCATCTCCTCCACAGCTCCACGCCATCGAAGAAGCGCATGGAGCCATATCGTGTCAAGGGAAAAAGGAACGGTGCATGGGTATCTTGTCTGCGAAGCCGGGAACGGAAGGAGATCCATGACGAAACATGTAGAATAACCCTCAGCAAGCCACCGTAGTGGAGCTCCGGTGTAAAGTGTTTACATAAGGTCATATGTTAACACCTCTACTGATGATGATGAAGAAAAGAAGAGAAAGAATCAATTCGCGGTTCGGAAAAAAGAATTTCAAGCGCTCGCCGCTGGGGCCTGCCCATGGCTTGGCGATCCGTAACCACGTGATTAAGGCTTGGTGATATCAGGACCCTCAGCCTTGCGGTCATTTTCTTACCGTATGCTTGCAGAGTGAAGGGCTGGGTACTTTAGGTGACCAAGGGCTGTAACTGGATTGCCTCGCGAGGCTTCCCGGCTCCAGAGAGCTAATATGGGGTTGTCTCAAATCCGACCTCTCGACGGGAAAACCGAGTACGACGTCATCAGGTTTCACTTCTCCGACATGGTTCACCTTGACTTTTTGATATTTTGTTTCGATCTTTGACTGCCGTTAAACTCTTCCCCCCGAGTCAGCATGGATTTCGTCGGTCCACTTTTGCTCAGCCTGGATCGTGGGCTTTAAGAGGAGACTGCCGCTGCAAGATTCATACCTGTTCACACTGTGAAGAATGCTGAGAGGAATGCTGACTCAAGCGCGAGTGCAGGCAAGAGTCGATACCTCTCCGCCTAGACTTGGAAATTATGGCCACTTGTTTGTCTTCTTGGTGTTCACTGAGAACGTTCAGTGTTGGCTACACTGTATCTATATGCATGCGTACATGAGTATTGACGATCAAATCCTTGTGCTGCCACAACGACGAACGTCGAGCTACTTCCAGAAAGGAACATTCAGAGCTAACCATTCGAAATGAGAAATACTTCAGGTAAAGACGATCCAATGCAATTGCATACTAACCTGATTGATATGACCAATACCGCCAAATCCGAAGTTCGACCGTCCCTGTTTATAGTTGCAAAGACGCCATTCTGGGAAGAAAGACCTGAACTCATTTCCCTGGGTGCCGCACTGACTGCAAACTTGACAAAGCTGCGATGACCGTTCAGTAACGCAACATGAAGAACACCGTTGTTGGGATCCTAGATAAATGAATATATTGCCATCCTTGGTCACCGAAATAATTCATTTTTTGGTCACTGGTGAAAGACGCGCCCCATATGGGGCCCTGCAGAGCGATTTACAGGCCCATGAAATTTTGCAGGGAATTTTCAAATACGCTGTGGCCCGCTAGGATTCGCCTAGGTACACCTTTCCCCCGACGTCGAGCAAGTGGCATCTCCCAAATCTTCACCAAGTCTTGTCCAATCTGCACAAAGCAGTAATTTTTTTGACCATTGCGAGGCAATTTAATGTTGAAATAAGAACCATAGAGATGTTGAGAAACCCCAAACTCATGAAGTTGTTGGCTTGATGAGGTATCCCAGATGCGAATCTTGTTGTCATCATAGCTAGAGCAAAACCCTCACCAGAACCACAGTGAGATTCATCGATGGAAAGACTATTGCAGTATCTGTACACTCAAGGGCGAGGTATGATCTGTCAGATGAGAAGGCCGTGCAGTTCACATCTTGTTCGTGCACTTTCGTCGGGTCATTTTCCATTTGATTGGTGTTTTTCTCAGCCGTTGAACGTCATCTGATATATTGCCCGAAGAGTGTGGTTGCGAATCTCTGGGACCTCTGGGCAGGGAAGTGGGGATGATAATGCCGCACATGGATTTCGAGTTGTTTGCTGTCTGAGAAGTCAACGTCTTCCGAAAAACAGTAAGGTTTCAGGCCCTGGAGCCTTGTTAGACGACTGGACATATGGGTTTCTCTCTCGACCGTGGTTTTGAATGCAATCCTATGCCTCTCGCTACAGTCCTGGAACCGGCAGCGAAAGATAAAAGTCCCTCAAGGTCAAACGTGTACTGTTCATCAATCCGGCTCAGAAGCGTCCGATCCTGGTTTACCCGATGCTTGTGAACATCTAAAACCACAGGGGCTAATCAGTCTCGGCATTTCAGAAATGCGACCCAGATCTCCACGGAATAGAGTTTTGAAGCACAAAATACAAGGCTGACTGAACATGCAATAGACTTTGTTCACATTACCTGTTGGATTGTCTGGATTGCATTCTTTCGGTAACAAATCTTTTCCTCAGCTCTTTGGCAACTTAAACGATAGTAGCGACTTCTTTCGGCATGTGCTGTCTTTGGGCCCGAATATTCGTTGATCCAGCCTCAGATCCTACATCCAGTACCAGATGATCCGGAGTTTGAAAATCTAGCCAAGGATTTTTATTTTTGATATTACGGGGGCCACTTCGAGTGTTTCGAAGTTCTTCTGGGACTCGGGGCATTTTGCCAAGACGTCAAGTGACTTGGAATAGTTCTCTAAGCCTTGTGGAAAGGGCTCGATGCGCTTCATATTACGCAGGGAGCTTCCGTGTCGCTGCTCCTGTTCGATTCGCTGGGCCTCCGGCCACCCATCCTGGAGCGTGGTGGAGTGAAAGCTGCGAACATCATCAGGGAGTGATTGCTTTCTCAAACCTTGAGAAGGCAGACTCGATCAGCACTCGTGGTCCCTGCGGGGCTGCCGATATAGCTCTGGTTAAGGCAAGACAAGATAATTAAATGGTCTTGATCAAAATCGAAGAGGGCAAAACTGTTCTCGGCTGCAAAATCACGACCGGCTCCGGTGTTCCATGTCAAAACAGTCAAGTCAGGCAGTGCTGTTGGAGTATCCCACAGGGCAAACGGCAAGGCTCTAGTGGGGAGATGTATGCATGATGGCCCCTCGCGCCTCTGCATCTCGCAGCAAAGGGAATCGCAATTGTTTGGAAACGAGCTTGAATGCAGCGAAACCGAGAAGGGAGGACTTGGATGGACAAGACACTGCCATCCGATCTGCAATGCGAAATGAACAATGGAAATGGAAACTGTTGTGCGCATGCGGATTTTGACAAGTACAGCCCTTTGGGGTACAGCCTCTTTTAGGAGGTTGAATGGAGTCACAGCTCTTGGATGTTTAACCGTCTTGAGCACTCAGAATTATGGTGCCGATACTGTGAACAGGCGCCATCTGGCCTTGCAGATTCGTCAGTCTTATACCGGAGTCCACTTCTCTTATTCGCAGCCCTCACCTCGACGACTCTCTGTTTCCTTGAGTTCCATCTCGGCATGGAGATGACATGGGCATCCGGGATTTTTTCGTCTGTGTGCTACTGTGGTGCATTTCTAGGTGGCTTTTTATTGCAGTCGGAACTAGTCCGTCAAATTACGAGAACTTTGCGTGAAAGACACGTTAGGCAGCAACGTGCACAAGGACTTCGACTGGTGGGACGTTTTGCTTGGTTGGAATCAAGCGAGAGTTTTCGCACACCACTTAATGCAACCATCCTTTGTACAACTGCCCGCGATCAATAGAGAGGGTCAAACAATATCTGATGCGATTGAGGGTTGAAGTTGCGCAAGCAAAGGTGGCGCTGCTTTTAAGCAATCTCTCTCTCAAATTGGTTAGTCTACTCAGAAGTTCAGGCGGCGGAATATACGTCCCAAATTGGTAGTGTCTGAACGCCCTAGAATCGACACCGCAGCTGTTTGGGGCTCTTCGCCTCGCTACTCAGCGGACCGGATTAATCAATTGACACAGTTGCCGAATCTCGCTCTCCCCATACCGACGCTCCCTGACACATTGAAACCCGACAAAATGCGGAGTCGAGCATGCCTACTGTAGCACCATGTGGATCCCTATCAACTCCCCACATTCAGGCGTCCCAGGTCCCGATTCAAACGCCTACAAACGCCACAGTTCATCTTGAACGTCAGGCCTGCCGGATAGGCTGTCATCATTTGCCTATCCCAATTCCAAGTGTGCCCGCAGAAATCAATGCAGGTGAAACAATGGCTACGAGGAAGTGGCTCCACCATGATATCGAGGTATCAAGATATGAACGATAACGCAAGAAATTGAGTTTCGTCAAGTCGGGCGTGAGAAAGGGACTGTTAACCAATCAGCACGCCTGTCGTCGGTCGGGGTGAGGAGGAAGTCGGGTTGGGCAGGAGGGAAAAAGTGCGGGAATAAAAGGCGGCCCTTTTTATTATCAGGAAAGCTTGATCAGGCTTTTTCCTCAGAAGTACTTCCTGGCTAGTTCAAGCCCCAGTTTACCGGTCATCTGAATGTCTCCAGACTCCAAGAATTCGGGGCCCGCGCGTCCTTCATCGTGAGAACTACCCCGTTGGACCATTCTTGCGGAATGAGTATTGGCGCCACGGCAGCCATGTCAGGCCATAGATAGCCTTCTCTTCCAGCTCAGCCTACCAATACACAGATCCTGTGATCTCTCCTCCCCCCCCTCTCTGCTCGCGCTACCCAGCAGCGACGGCATGGAATCGTTCAAAGTCTGACGCCAACTTCGTGGAACATGAGGCTGTGCTCTCTCTACGTCATACCATATAAGGGGATCCTTTCTTATAACTTGGGCACAGGATCGAGCGGGTATATCCTATAGTCAGCTTTGCCACAAGAGACTTTCCATATTATAAACCAACGAATGAGCGAGGCACTTTCCCATCGACAACAGCTCGCCGGTACTTCTTGTTCGTTCCCTTCGTTCAGTCTGAGCATTCTGCATTTCTATTTCCATTTGAGATACCATTCCAAGCAGACCTTCTCTGTACTGCTCTCTTCTCTTTTTATCCTTCATTTAGATTTCTGAAATCACCTTGTGGCTGGGGGCTTTTTCTTCTTCTACATCTTGGAGGTCCAACACCCTCGGTAACGATGTTGTCAAAGTCGCCGAATGTGTTCACACCGGAGCTCACCCCATCTCCTTCCGTCACTTCCTCCCCTTCTCTTCCACCAACTCCTGATCATCGTCCTCTGGATCTTGTGATTGCTCACTACAATGAATCCTTGGCGTGGCTCTCGTCATGTTCGCGGCTTGCAACAATCTACAGCAAAGGTGATCGACCGCAAACGTCCCAAGACAATTCTCCGGTCTACCGAGAAGTTAAGGCGTTGCCGAATTGGGGTCGCGAATCTCATACCTATCTACACCACATCGTTCACAACTACGACAATCTGGCAGAAGTAACTTTGTTTCTGCAAGGCAATATCCATGACGAGAATAATGGTACACCATCTCACACCGACCTCACTCTCGATGAGATCGTGGGCATGGCCAAACGTCTGACGGACCTACCACCGATGCTGGTGGTTGGAGAGGATCAACTTCAATACCAACCCCAAGGGGGTGTCCTCCCACTAGGTAAAGTCAATACGTTCTCCGACTGGGATGCAGTCGTGTATAAGGACGAGTGGGTTGAAAGGCGAGGTCGAGGACTTATTCGCAGCAAATACACTCCCAAACAATTCTGGAATTACATCTTCAATGGGGCCACTCGCGAACAGGATGCTAGCTGGGCCGAACCGCCCACGGAAGTTCGATGGACCCAGGGAGCATTGTTCGCGGTTACACGACAGACCATTCAACGCCGCCCAAAAGAGGTCTATCAGAGGATGTATGAATACTTTGATGGGTTGATGGAGAGAAATCCAGAGGAAGGTCATTACATGGAGCGCTTTTGGCTCAGTATCTTTGGAAGCTATGGACTTGATACGCAGATTCTCGGCGACCCTCAAGCCAGGAAAGAAGAGCACACCGGACATAATTTTGATTTCGAAGATGAAGGTATTTTCCTCCTCTGATTAGCCAAAGTTCCTGATTCAAGAGGTGGAGGAAGGCACCACACACAAGCGGGTCTGGAGCGGATCATTGGGCGTTATGCTAGAAAAGCATGATAATGTATTGCAGTCCGGGGTGGAGAGCGTTTGAATTTCTTCATCTTGGGATTAAGGAGGCAGACATATCTCGTTATTTTGGCCGGTGGTAGACTTTCCTTTGGGTTCTTTAAATCTTGCTTTTGGTAAGGCTCCTTCGTTCGAACGTCGACTTAGCGAGACACTGTATCTATACGTGGGGATGGGATGGCTTACTGTTTACTTTATAGTATCATGTACAGAGGAAAAAGATGAAAGCAGTCCAACAAATTTCCAGCGTTGAATTAATTCTGGCTCGCGCTGCCCAAATCCGAACACTTTTGAGAAAAGTATACGCACAGAGTTTTGTTTCATGTTCTCAGTCCAAGTCCAGCCCAGTGCGTACGTAAGCGATCCAATAAAAACGCTATGCACCACATATCGCGCCATAACCCGCGAGGATCCACGAAAAGCGTATTCCTTTACGCACCCATTCCAGTTCCTGAGCGTTCAACCGTCTCCCGAACCCTTACCGTGGTTGACCATGCCGGTTTCGTATGATCCCTAGCTCAAGCTTTCGGTCCTGCGAGAAGAGACCTTGGTCTCCATGATGTTTGTGAGAATTGCTCAAGACTATGAATTGTCGTTTCCTGCTGAAAAATTGAGGAAAGCCTTTGGACGTAATGAAGAACCTCAGATTTTCTCATCTTCCTCATCGCCTTCCCGCCCCCCAAACTTCCCTCCTTATTGGCTTCTGCTCTGAAATTGGCGTCGTCCTTAGTGGTAGACTCATCCTTGATGGTCGTCTTCGGTGTGTTTGTCTTATTCTTGGGAACCACGATAGAGACAGTAGTACTCTTCGCTTTCTTGTTCGCAGCATTGCCAGCAGTTGAGCCTGGTTTCCGACCGGGCTTTGTTCCGGTTTCGGTTTCTCTGGCGCCACTACTACTAGAACGCAGAGACAGGAGTAGGGAAAAGATATGAGGTGAGGGTCGAGCTCAGTGTACAGCGGCTTCCGCCTCGGCATTCCAGACGACAGGCATTGTTGCTGTGTGATATGGGGTAGTCTTATGTCTGGTGATTTCTGAAGAAGGTACGATGAGGTGAGGATCGTGTCGGGCATAGCTATCGATATTAGTTGGTATAGATAAGAAAGATAGGAGAGACGATAGGAGTACATGCACAAGAGCTTATTCGATAGAGGAAGAAGAAATATCAGGAAGACCTGAAGGACAGACGAACAGGGATGTGTTGGTATGCTTGAGTCGAGTGAGGAAGAATATGGTTTGTGTTGTAGTATTGATAGAAGAACTGGGTGTCTGGATGCGAGATGTGTTTAGACGAAGTAATGATTAAGTCGCATGTGATTCTGTTGTCGAGATCTAAAGCAAAATGGTCGTGTTCTATCTAACCCTGGTGAGTACATGTTAAAAGAGACAGGCCAGACCGCTAAGAGCAGGAGAAAGGTGGATAACAAAGTATGCCCAATCACTCGCTCAAATCCTCAATCAAAGCTTTCAGCTTCATCTTCCTCCGGTTTGTTGGCCAAATGTGAACTCCCAGTCATTCCAATGTCGATTTGTACACTTCGTTCCAATGACTTTTGAGGGAACGTTGATAGCCTCCTGACACAATAACAGCCTTCCCTCGCGTACACCAAACGCCCAGCACACCAGTCAAGAGGTTATAATACTTTCGTCCGTATCCAAGGGGCCGATGCATTTTCGATGCATTGAAAACATCTTCAACATCACAACCCGAAAACTCATCCGCTATATCTGCTCGTTTCCTCTTCGTCCTGTCTATCACGTCACGACATCCCGAGCCATTTTGACCCGTGTTGAGGAGATGTTTGCAGAAGGCAGACGTTATTCATCAATGTAGAATTTCAATATCCGGAAGGCCAGGAAGAATCAGGGGCTGAGACAAGTTCAACGGGGTGGATGATGATGCTGGAAGGCTGAGGAATTCAAATTGGTCTTATTCCATCCCGAGGATATCATTTCCAATTTCATTCAATGCTGGAGTCTCATTCTAAGCTGGCGAGATCAAATGGAACACTACTCCCCCTCCCTGCTCGATACTTTTTAGGAACACCAGTAAACTGTCGAGGCATAGGGAGCTGACTTTCATCTTGGAATTTCCATCGATTGTCTTCAACTCTAAAAGACCCTGAGCGACCCGGAGAACCAAGTGAGCTTCCATTGGTTAATGTGTACGCACTTGGATCCAATGTCGACCGTGATGGTAATTGAGATAATCGTCGAGATGGAGGCGGTGACATTGGAGATGAGGGAGAAGGAGGAGCTTCATAAGAAGAGTGTCTACCAAATGCAGCGGTAGCAGCTTTCATTGCGAGTGAAGATCCAGCCCCGTTCGTTGTTGGATGCGAACTTGGTGGCGGAGGTGGGCCAGGTGGAGGCGGTGGTGTAGACCTCGAAGGCGGTCCGGGAGGAGGAGGAGGTGCTGAAGAAGGTGCCGCACTGCTCGGTGGTGGAGGCGGAGGCGGAGCGGGAGGAGCCGGGCTTGCTGTAGGAGGTGGTGGCGGCGGAGGCGCTGGAGGTGCCAGGCTAATGGTTGGTGGTGGAAGTGGAGGAGCCGGAGGAGCTGGATTTATTGACGGTGGCGGGGGAGGTGGTGCAGGAGGAGGAACAGTTGTACTTACTTTCCGTGATGTCGGCGGAGGTGGTGGTGGTTTTCCAATAGCAAGATTCGCAACGGATGAGGGTTTCGACAGTGGTCTAGGAGGAACTTTCTTCAACTGAGCCAGCGGACTTGGAACTGCTAGCGTAGAGTCTGTTGACTGTGGCGGGGGAGGCCTGATACCTGGTGTAGGAGGAGCAGGTATTGAAGGTGGTCGAGGCGCCGATGGTTGGGTTGTCTCCGAGTCTGAATGAGCGCCGTCCAAGCCAGCACCAGTATCAATTCCTCCCCTTGTTTTCTTCAATTTTGGAATTCCTCCTGCAAACAATCCTCCCAGCTGTGGAGCGCCTCCAACACTGGCCGTACCATCTCCTCCCGTGTCACTGTTACTCCGAGCTCGATTACCACTTGGAACTGGGGGTGCAAGACCACTAGGTGCTTTAATTCCTCCTGGTACTGGCGGTGCTCCGGCTATAGGACCTGCACCGGCTCCAGAGGGTTTACCTAGAATTGGGGCCGAACGATCGTTTGTGACAGCTTTCTTCAGTTTGGTGCCCTTTGTAATGTCTGATAATAGAGCGTCCTGTACAATGAGTCAGCCCATCATATATTTTTCTTTTCCCACTTCCCATATTCGACTGATTTCCTGATCCTTCTCGCTGAATTGTGTTCTAGCCTAACGTACCCGACCTTTGGTGACTGACTTTGGCGGAGCCGTAGGGTGAGAGTTTCCAGGAAGAGGAGGGGGCGGTGGAGGGCCGCCCATACCCGGCGGCGGAGGCGGCGGAGGCGGTGGAGGAGGAGCAGGCATGTTGTTGCCGACTGATATTGTGTTTTGCGATCTCTCTTCTTGTTTGTCTCGTTCTCAAGATGGCTGAGGTTTACTCTGACAGAGGTGGCTAGGCGGCAGCGGAGATGAGAGTCGTGTGCGACAAACAAGCTCAAATTAAATATTAGCGACAGCACAGGCAGAGAAAAGGAGGGTAAAGGCAAGGAAGCTGTGCATTTGTGATTGATCATGGACCTAGTTATCAATATCGAGCTGTGTGTGAGGATGTGGTTGGGGCGGGATGCGAATGGGTAACTCGTCATACGAGCGGCGGAGTCTAGTAGCCTGCTCCACAACAGAATTTACCTATTGTACAATTTCTGGATCTCCACACTAGGCATCCTTTAACGACAGAAACAGATTCTGGATCATGGGCGACTACAGAAAGTGAAATCTATTCATTGCCTACAACCCGTGCTTCATTCGTTTCTGCAGAGTATCGGATCCTGCCGCCCGAAGCCAAGGTATGCCAGCAATCGCACAAAAAAGTATCGAATAAACACCCCCAAGATGACCTTTGTAACAGACCGGATACAGGCAATTCATTCATATGCGTAATTGGAGCGATTCACCTGGCAAGCTGGCTGCAGAGAATGTAGTCTTGACCGCGATAGATCCACTGCAGGTCTTGCGGAAGTCCTTGTTGAGAGAAAATATAGATTGGCAATTTGGTGAGACGACTGAGTTCATCATTCAGGCCAGTGGGGCTGGTCGATGCATGCCAGAGAGGGTTCATTTAGTTGTGGCCAGCCTTGCGGAGAGAGTTGCTCAGCCATTCGAGACCTTCGTAGAGACCATCACCAGAAGTAGCGCAGGTGGATTGGATGTACTGGGGTTATGTGAGCAGGACGCGCATCGTGAAGAAGAAGTTCTAGCGCTTACCCAGGCACGTTGTCGAAGACTGTGGAGGCCAAGCTTGTCGGTGATTTCGGCGGCGTTCATAGCATTCTATCGCGGATCAGAAGCTGGTTGATATAAATTTGTCCATGCGTGAAAACTTACAGGAAGATCCTGCTTGTTGGCGAAGACTAGGAGGAGGGCGTCGCGCAGCTCATCTTCATTAAGCATGCGCTGAAGTTCCTCACGGGCCTCAACAACACGATCTCTGTCGTTGGAGTCGACCACGAAGATGATACCCTGGGTGTTCTGGAAGTAATGCCTCCAAAGAGGACGGATCTTGTCTTGCCCACCGACGTCCCACACAGTGAACTGAATGTTCTTGTATTCGACAGTCTCGACGTTGAATCCTACGACAAAAGGTCAATTTGTGAAGGAGGTTACAGGAGATGGCACGTTCATACCGATGGTGGGAATTGTGGTGCTTGTATATGTTAGCAAGATGTTGATCAATGGTTGGACCCCCGGGGGATACAATCTACATACACAATTTCACCGAGCTTGAGCTTGTACAAGATAGTGGTCTTCCCGGCGGCATCAAGACCAACCATCAAAATTCTCATCTCTTTCTTTCCCCACAGTCGGTCAAACAGTTTGGAGAACGCGAGGCCCATGATTACGACTTCAGCTGACAAGGTTGGTGCTATGGGATGTATGGATGAGGCGGTCTGGGAATCAGAAATGTCAGCTAGGCGATCGGGACGCGCGCAGGTGAGTCGGAAAGGATGGGGTGGAGCGGGAGGAGGAGGAAGATCGCGACAATCCGAGATATGCTGAGATATAAAGTACAATCTAGGTTCTCCCTTTGCTAGGCGGAAGGCACATGTGTGGCCACTTTGTCCTTGGGTGCGTGGAACCTCGGATCAGGCAGATGGAATTGTTTCGCTTACCAGAGGAGAAGAGTGACACAATTCCTGGGGCAGGAGTAGCAAAAGAGTGTCAAGATCGGGATTGAAATAATGGTCACGATTGTAAAGAGACGATGGGCACTTTGGAGGACGAGTTCCAGGATGAACTCGCAAAACGAAGACGCCAAGCCCAAAGCGGCCCTCGCAGAAAATGTTGGTGCAGCCAAACAGCCAACTGAAAATGAGGCGCCCTGACCATTTTAAGGGGCCAAAGGGAACCTTCAAGACTACTCTCTACGTTTATCAATAGTCTATCAACGAGTGTCTGAGGATAGATGCTGGAAATACATCTCCATCAGGTCTTTTGTCATTTTGCTTTGGGAGACTCTATCCCCCAAATATCAGATCATCCTCACACCACATCAGCACGTGCGAAGTCCGCCATTACCTGAAGCAACTATTTGATCTGATAACAAGGTGATTTCTTCTTCCCTATACATCAATCCTCATTGCTGTTGCAATGTACGTTCTTCCTTCCTTTTCAATCTTTTCGTTGGGGTCGATGATACGGAAACCTATGCTCTGGTATAATTTCAAAGCTTTATCATTACCTTGTCGGACGCTTGTCACACAGAAAGGAGAGGCTCCATTTTCTCTCGTCGCATCCTTCTTGACGGTGTCAATGGTTGTCTGCACCAATCGCTTCCCAAGCCCATGGCCACGGACATCAGGATCGACCCAGAGGGCTGCCATCAGATACTCGGGTGGTGCGTTGTCCTGATTGTCGGCTCTTTGGTAGTCTGGGGCAGCAATGACCAAGAAGCCAACCCACTGACTTTCCAGCAACTTGGTCTTCTCATCCGTATTCTGATGGTCTGGATTGTTGCGCACAAGCACCACGTGGATGGCTCTTGGGTTTGTGAGTCTCTTTATCCAGAACTCTTCAGGTTGGGTGATCTCGCTCTCGTATCTCGAAATGAAACTGCTGGGGTCTGATTTCAAACTATTGAGTCGAAGAGCCCTCAGCCGCGAAGAATACTCGAGAAGGGTGTCATGATCGAGAGCAGGATTGGGAAGAGCATGAATGGAGAAGGAAGCCATTGAATGTTGGAAGAGAAGACACCCTTGGTGGAGAATATAGTTATCGATGGCTATAGAGTACTGTCGCTAAATGAATCCAAACCAAACTCACGACCCAATATCAAATGTCTGTCTTCATATAAATCTGCATTGCTCTTCCCGCCGTGACTCGGAATGACTCACAATGTTCGTTGGTGGTGATGCAAGTTCATCAATCAATGTCTCGTCGATGCGCAATACCACCCCGCGCCAACTTCAAGATGGCATATTGCCACAGCGATGTCCCACCTAGGCTTCATCAATAGGTGATGCGTGCTCAATCGATAGGAGGGCTCATCGAGGGAAGGGGGCCAAGAAAATTTCATCCAAGGGGAAAAGAAAAGGCCTCTGATCCTAATTTGTTAAGCGAAGTCTTGGCGGCTCTCACATATGGATTTTTTTCCCGCACATTTCAGATCATCCGCCCTCTCCCCTCCTCAACGGTCTAGCGCAGTGCCTCACCATAAGAATCTAACCAATTCTTCTGGAAGACTGTCCTCAAGATGTCGAAAATCACAGTCGGTAGGTTTTCTCCCCCGATAAGGTTGTTGGATCCAAGTCCGCTGACAATTCTTTTCCAGCCGGAGTGCGCCAGAACGTGCAACAATTACTCGACTATTCTTTGAACGAGAAGAAGCGAAATTTCCTCGAAACCGTTGAACTTCAAATCGGCTTGAAGAACTATGACCCTCAGCGTGACAAGCGTTTCTCTGGTACCATCAAGCTACCCACTGTCCCCCGACCGGGCATGACAATCTGGTACGCTACCTTTCTTCCCTGCAGCGCTGGATATACACAAAATTCTCTCAACGAAAAGGACAATGCGACAAGAGGATGAGAAGGCGGAGAGACTCATATGCTGACATGGAATTGGTAGTGTTCTGGGTGACCAACACGACATTGACCGAGCGAAACACCACGGCGTTGACGCCATGTCGTCCGACGACTTGAAGAAGCTGAACAAGAACAAGAAACTGATCAAGAAACTGGCGCGCAAGTACGACGCTTTCGTCGCCTCCGACAGCTTAATCAAGCAGATCCCCCGTCTTTTGGGCCCTGGATTGTCCAAGGCCGGCAAATTCCCCACCCCGATCTCCCACGCCGAAGATCTCGCAAGCAAGATCACCGAGGTCAAGTCGACCATCAAGTTCCAGCTCAAGAAGGTTTTATGTATGGGTGTGGCTGTTGGAAACGTTGAAATGACTGAGGACGAGCTTATCTCTAACATTATGTTGGCTATCAACTACTTGGTCAGTTTGTTGAAGAAGGGTTGGCAGAATGTGGGAAGCTTGACTATCAAGGCTAGCATGAGCCCGCCCAAGAGATTGTATTAAGTTGCATATCTCTCCGGTGTTTTTCCGCTTTGTGGTTACGGTCAATTGATTCTCTGCCGTGGAAAAAAGGCCGTGAGCATGCTCAGTGGATAGTGCTATCAAGTCATGTGAAACAGCACAAGACCTGCTATTCGTGCAAACGACAATGACGAAAGATGAAAAGAACCATGAGGCCTCTATTACGTTTATCAACCTTTTTTTTTTTTTTTTTTTTTTTTTTCCTGGATTTTGTACACGATGCGATTACTGCATCCCCTCCATTAAATCCGTCTTGTCAAGAATCATGCTCCTCAAGCCACACTCATCCTTGAGTGTCTGCCAGTCTTGGCCGTGTTCTTCACCCCATCGGTATTTTTCTTTATATCCCCAGGCCAGCGCGAGTCGGTCCAAAAATGCCCGCTCCTCCTCCCTAGTCCATCGAGAAGTCAATGGTGTCCCGGGGCGCCAGACAACGCGCTGCATTTGATCGTTGGTCGTGGTTATCGCCACAAAGCCAATCGTCGTTAGAGTCCCAATATAAGCCAACGCTCCAGCGATTGCCGTGTATTTTGACATCTCCATATCCATGGTCGTCTGCCATCGAGCAACCCAATCTGCACCTGCATAGGCGGCCGCAGGCGTTCCAGTAACGAATAAGAACGGAATAGAAGCGCGCCGGAGAACCTTGTTTGCTCGAAAAGCTGGTGCTGCCACCGTCGTGTCGATGATTGCTAAAGCTAAGGGAAGGTTTTTCTTGAGAATGGCTGCTTCCAACGCGGCCTCTGCCAGATCAAAAGGAATGGCGTATTTTGGTAGTTTCGGCCATGGGTCTGAGTATGTCACAGGTTGGGCGGTTTGGTTGGGAATCTTTTTGGTCGCGAACAGATCAAATATTTCCGGAAGATACTCGGGCTTTCCAAGCAAACATTGAATGCGGACGTACATGCTCAGCACGTCATTGGAAATGAACACTTTTGGATGTTGAACTAGCGTATAGACAAGTTCAGAGATCATTCCTGCGGCCTTTTCACGGAATGGTATTGACATCTCCTTGTCCGGCACGAATACCGGATCCAGTTTCGACTTATCTTCAGCGAGATCTTGAAGTACGGCCTCCGCCCAATCCTCCCCTGCGCGTTCCGGTACTTCATTTGGTCCCTTACTGATACCAAAGACAATACAATTCGCGAAACGGTAGCAGGCATGGAGGACTTCGAGAATATCTTCTGGAGGAGCAGCAATCTCTTGCGAGGTTATTTGCGCAACTCTTTCTCTAAGCTTTTTGAGGCCTTCCGTAGGATCGAACGTGTCGAGAGCAATTTCATCGTCTTGGGGATCTGTCAGAGTGCTCTCAGGAGGCACAGACTTTTTGGGCGCTGATGCTTTACTCGTCACAGCACATCGGGGTTTAACGGGCTGAGGATTAGGTTTGCGATGTTTTGGCAGGACCTGTTGCTTTGAGGCAGGTTGATGTGGCGATCTAACTTGTGATCGACTGGTCTTCGGAGCAAGTGATCTTCGACACGTATGACAGATGAAGCCAGCCCGTCGCGGAAGTATAGTCGCCATACCAGCTTCAGCTGGTCGTCCTCAAGAGCCTGGAAGCAGGCACAGTTCTGTTGTCAGCGACTTTGATTGATCTCCAACATGGTCTCTCAACGTCCATGCAGAATTGTTTAGCACGGCGAGACTGTCTCTATACTCTGCCGTATCGGACGCGGCTGCTAGTGCGGAGTATGAGCCTCTATGACGACAAGGACTTCTCGTGTTACTCAGAGGTTTGTGTGGGCAACTTGGAACAGTATGTCTTACTCGCTTCGATTCCGTCACACAGCGACTTGTCAGGCTTGAGACAATACAGAAATTTTGCCCTCTGGGCGAGGAATGCGCCGGGATGCCTTTCATCTCTTCTCCGTCGTCCTTGACGTCTTCAGTTTTTGACCAAGCCTTGAGCATGTATCCTTCCCTTGTGGAGAAGGTGTACAGATCTAAGATCAAGGATCCGAAGAAAGTAAAAGATGCATTACAACGGGATCAATGGCGATTTGACGAGTTACCAACGGCTGTTGCAGAAATGAAGTCGAGAGGAATAATTGAAGCAAAGGGATCCAAGTCGAACGTCGATGTAAAAGGGGGGGGCCTTACGAAAGAAGCCATTGAGAGGCTGGTACAGTGGAAGATGTAAGTCCCTTTTTCTAGCACAACGTGGCATTTCAGTTACAGTGGTCAAGGCAAACGAACGCCAGATTCCTTGACCAAACGCATGTCTCGTCTACCCTCTGTCCGAACTGGAATGGCCCCTGAACTGGTTCGATATTTGATGTGGAAAACAACTTCATGCTATTCGGACCGAAAAATTCTCTGAGTCTACTTGATGTCTCCATCCTTCTCCCTTTCCAATCACCATCAGCTTCTTAGTTTGGAGCATGTTCCTGCTGCAGAAACCATCACGATGATCGCTCAGCCGGTCTTCGAGCCCTAACATTGTTCTAGTACACACGGACACTCACGGCCGTTTCTTCCGGCCATGGTCCGCAAGAATGAAGTTTCAGCAATCCAAACACAAACCTCTCTCGCGTTCGAAAAGTTATCGTCAGCCTCATCTCCGACACCACCGTCAAAATCAACCATTAAGGAGTCTCTGGACGTAGTATGCAAACTCACCGGGATTGGACCTGCAACCGGCACATTGATACTCAATATCTGCGACCCCATCAATATTCCCTTCTTTCAAGACGAAATGTTCCTGTGGTTTTTCCCTGATGTGAAAAGCGACAAGTTGAAATACAATCAGAAAGAATACCTGCAGCTCCTTGAGGCCGTAGGTCCAGTGTTGAAGAGATTATCCGTCAAGGCTATTGAGCTTGAGAAGGTCTCATATGTCTTCGGACACACCGAATTGCTCGAGGAAGCAGAACGTAAGAAGCTTGAGGACGCGTCTGACGAGAAGGTTACGAAGCATGAAGTCAAAGAAGCGCCGGCAAATGAAGATGCCCAGATCAAAACTATTCAATCGGATAAAGGAAAACCAATGACCAAAGGGACGAAACGAGCATCAACATCAGCAACTGACTTTGGGAAAGAACTCCAACCTTCAAAAAGGCGGGCGCAACGAAGGGGGTAACGAAAGCAGCCTTGCAGACAAGATTGAAAATTATATTCGGATTAGAAAACCGTCCATTAAATGCCCACCTCCCAGAATATCCAACTTGGTAGCTTCATGCTTTTTCCCAACCCAACCCAATGCCGGGAAATCATTCAGTCAAGTTCAGTAGGTGCTTATTCTTTACAACACGAAGCCCAATCCGGCGAGCGCCACAGCGATGAGGCTGCCAGCCATCTCCAAACTGGAGGCGGCATTGTCGGAGGAATCACCAGAGGCACTTGCGCTTGCGCTCGCACTTGCACTTTCACTCTCACTGGCACTTGCGGCCGTACCAGTGTTGGATGCACTGGCAAAGCCAGTTTGGGTCGCCGTTTCAGAAGAGCTGGTGGCGGTGGTGGCGGTGGCGGAGCCGCTGGTCGAAGAAGCGGTACCCAAGGTGGTGGTGCTGCCGTAAACAGAAGCAGCGTTGCAGTTCTGTTCTCGCTGTTGTTGGGCGGTGCCAACGCCGGCGTCGTTGGGGCAGTTCGTATAGCAGGTCAGAAGGTTGTTGTATTGTGTACAGAGACAAGAGTAGTCGGTCTGACTGCAGGCGTTGATTTGGCCTTGGATGGTGGCAATGCAGGCGTCGAGGATGCTATCACCGGTCAGTGCTAAAGACATTCATTGTATTAATGGTATCAACTCTCACTTCTGCGCGTCACAGCCCGAGGTTGTTGAAGTCGAGCTGCCAGCGGAGGAAGTAGCTGTCTGGGCTGCTGCGAGGGAGGCAACGGATGCCAGGAGAAGAGTAGTCAATTGCATTTTGATGAGCCAGATATGTTATGAATGAATAGATCTTGTAAAGAGATGTGAACGAAAGACTTGAAGAACAAGAACGAAGGACTCCCGAACTGTACACCACGGTTGCCCAAGCGTATATGGAATTTAGCCACAAATCAACAAAGTACAGACAGGATGGGGAGAGAAATAATTAAATAGAGCATGTATGACCCTGACAACCCATGCTGCCGAGGGTGGGTGGGTGCCGGAGATCAGATCGCTCGTGTCCAAGCCGAAGCCCCTAGCCTTTCCGGTGTTTACATTGCAACTTTTCAAGCCCACATTGATGGAAACAAGTGGAGAATTGGCCAGTCGGAATAAACGTCATGAGTTCGGGCTCTTGGTGGTCCAATTCGGACCATGGTGGAATGCTGGCGTGATTGCCACACATCTGAGACATGCCGCACTGTAGCAAGACAACGAGTCACTTCTTGCACTTTGTGGCGTTGCGAGAGGGTGTGGTGACGACTGAGAAGATTGGACGGCCATTAAGCAACTCATAGTACAGAGAACGAAGAGAAGGAGAGATGAATGGAGAAGAGTACGAAGTTGAAGCAGCCAGAGGAGATTCAAATTAGAATAACACTAGTATATTAATCTGACGCTAAGTGCGGCCGAGGCACCCTCCAGCCCTCATTTGGAAAATTAGTTTAAGACCTCCGATGGATCTAGCTCTGATGCTTTGGAACTCTCGCTTTTGCTTTCGGGGCGGCCAACGCTATCACGTAAGTAGCGTTGCCATACCACCAGATCGGACAGGAAGATCCTATTTCCCCAAATTGCGGATGATGATCTCCTGGGGGGAGGCTTGCTTTTTGTTTTCGGCAGAGGTTCAAATCCCTGGGGCCAAGGATCATCTCCTGACGGAGGACTGGTGGTGGATCCGAGTCTTCCTAGAGTGTAAGGAATGGTCCCAAGTCTGAAAGGAAGCGAACCTTCAAAAAATTTGGGGTCGAGTAGGTCATGCGAAAATTGGAAGCGATTGCGAACAACTGGTGATTTTGGGAGGAAAAGAACGGCTTTTTTGTTTGATTTTCATACTGCAAGCTAAGAGTTCGTTCGGCCTAGCGCTACATCCAGGGGCCATCCACATTTACCAATCGGACCACGTTCAAGCCATCGTCGTCCTGTCAGTTTCACTTCTCTCCCCTCATCAACTTCGCCAAATTCTCAAATGCTGTTCGTCTCTTGTCAATAATCTCGTTGAAGGTGTTGGCCGGTCCAACAGATCCGATGACAATCTGATCACTTCCTGAAGCAAGACCTTTATACGCTGCATCTGTGAAAGCATCAACCGGCATGCCAAGTTCGCGTCCCTGTTCCTCGCCCATGTAGTCGTGCAATTCAGCTTGAAAGTGTCAGCCTTCAGGCTTGTCTGACATCATGATACGATTTTGGAACTCACTCTGCACAGGTGGAGGAGACAGTTCAATGACCTTGACCCGCGAGTTTCTCAGCTGATCACGCAGGCAAAGAACGAAGGCATTCAAAGCAGCTTTAGAGGCGGAATACGCTGGCAATCCTGTCGCAGGGACAATTGCTAAGTTGGACCCGGTGCTGCCATGGTCAGTGTCTGACATTGCTCTGGATATTGGTCTTCGCTTACTATATTAGGCCGGTGTTAAATTTCTTGTCCATCAAGAAGGGCAGGAACTTGATAGTAAGGTCCACAAAGGCACTGAAGTTGACAGACACCTCCGAGTGGAAAGCCTCGAGATTGACTTTGTCGGGTTGAGCAAGGTTGATAGGGCTTTGAATTCCCGCATTCAAGAAAACACAGTCCAGCTCTGGATAGGTTTTGGTAACTAGGGAAACAAAGCTGTCCGTGTTTTGTCGGTCTCGGAGATCGAATCGAATGGCACCGGCTTTCTCGTTGCCATGCTTCTCCACAAATGCGTCAAGCCGGTCCTGTCTGCGGCCGACTGCGATCACTTTGACACCTTGTTGGACAAGACGCTCCGCCATAGCAGCACCTATTCCAGCGGTGGCGCCCACCATAAGGACCTGTTTGTAAGTGAAAGCCATCGCGAAATATAATGATATTGTATTGGGACAGATTGAATAAGAGAGCAAGAGCGTTGTGTTGGAGAGTAGCTGATTGACTTGTGGAGTGATTGAGGACACTTGATGAGGGAAGTTGACGTTAAATTACAGGCAATATTTTACACATTCAAGACTTTCAATGCCGCAGGATCCTTTCGATCACTCCGAATGAGGAAGGAATAGAGTCGTCTCCACACACAGCAGCCCGCCTCATGTTCGGCAGAGGTCTTAGCGGCAAGGATGGGTTCTCAAGAACCTGGGAATAGCGTATATTTCGGTACGGAAATGGGTGTCATCAACCTTGCACCGGCAGACCGGAGGTTAGCCAATGCACGGTTCTATCTTCGAGATTGATACAACCTACATCGCAAAAAGGCTTCTCGACTAGAACTTCGGAGATATGACGTCAACGTAACGGTTTCCTTGTATGACATAGTCTGGCCGGAAAAATATAGTTTTATCTTTTGACCGATTCGACCCGACAGGCCACTTTCGCACCTCGTCCCAGACCAACAAAGCGGGCCCCCCCACACAAGGTCGCCATCTTCAATCCCTTCACCTTATATACTTTTCGACTAAGGCATGGCTGAAGAACAAGTCGAGGGGTCTAGACCGGAACCATTTCCACGTTGAGACTCCAGCCTCGGACAGCAGCCATCGTCATGGTCTACATTGGAAAGCCGTCGAGAGCGTGTGCTCATTGTAGGAGGAGAAAACTTCGAGTAAGGCTTTTTCCCTCGACGTTGACTATCTGTCCTCTAATTCCTTGGAAGTGCGATCTCCGTAAGGAAGCTTGCGGACAATGTGTGAGGGCCGGTCTCATCTGCACTGGCTACCGCGACCCGGATCAACTCAGAATCCGTGATGAGAGCCAATCCACAAAACAGAAGGCTTTGATCGGTAAATCACGTTCGGTCGTGACATCTAGTTTGGTGGATCAACATGTCCAAGTTCCTCTGTCTGAGATGGCGAGGGCGGCCTTCTTTTCCCACTATGTATCCGGATTGGCCAAAACTTATGATGTTCTGGAACGAATCGGTCACAAATCCCCATTGGACAAACACCTGGCCGTCAGTATCGATGCAGTTAGTTTAGCATTTTTCTCTTTCCAGTATTACTCCACACAAGCTTCTCGATTTGCTCGAGAACAGTATCTATCTGCTCTCCCACTGGTGAATCGAGCAGTTGGGACGCCTGAAGTCCTCGCCAGTGATTCGACGTTGCTAGCAGTCCTTTTCCTCGACTTGTTCGAAAAGATAATGAACAACAATCCCCGGTCATCTGACTCGTGGATGAGTCATGTCAAAGGTGCCATGGCGCTCCTCAAGTTCCGCGATTCAAAGCAGCTGAAAACTTATATTGGCTTAAGGCTGTCAGTACGTCTTTTCACCAACATGTTGATCAGTTGCGTCGCGGCTGACTCTCCTGTTCCACCTGCATTAATTAAACTTCGGACTGATCTGGAGCCCTACTTGGACAAAAACGATCCAAAATGGCAAGTTTCTGGGCTCGTTGTTAAGTATGCTGATCTTCGAGGAGCAATACAGAATGGATGCCTCTCGTCTCCAGACATCATCGCACGCGCAAAACGGCTTGACAATGAATTCAGCTCACTCCTCAGAAATTTGCCACCGTCTTGGATTTACCAGAGGATCTTTCTCCCGAAGCAATCGAATCAGGCCCTTGCGCCGTATTACGATGTATATCCGGACTATTTCACAGCTCAGACACGCAACGTCGTACGGATCATGAGAATCCTCTTGAACGACATGATCCGGAAGAACAATGTGGACATAGCATTGGACGTCGATCATTCTTGTTTCAACTCTTTTCAGGCACAATTCGCTTCTCGGATAATTGATGCCATGGCCAAAGAAATTTGCTCAACGGGACCACAGTTCTCAGGTGTCGGAAATTTGCCTCACAGAATTGACGAGTTCTCGCCAATTCGAAAGCTGCATTGCTACACCCTCCTGTTTCCATACTATGTGGCTGGCATGTATGCAAGTCCTGAGGCCGAGGTTCGGAGCTGGGTGATCAATCAATTGAGATTCATATCGAGCAATTCAAGTATCAAAAACGCAAGTCTCGTTGCTGACATGCTAGAGAGCGCAGAACAACCTTCTCCGTGGTCTGTCTATGCCATGCTGGGAAGCTACGCATTCGCAGCTTAGACGTGGCAGTCTGGAGATCCCCGAGATTATGAAGAGACAGAGCATTTCACTTTGGACTTGACCAGAAATCCAACATGAACGCCTCGAATCCATATCTCAGCCACGCACACTGGATCTCCCCCCCTATTTAAATGATCTTCCACACCTTCATCGTCGACCAAATGGTGAGACTACCCACTGTCTGTGATTTGTCCACCAATGCTAGCTGCACGGGACATGGCATGGGTTCGACTGGACACAAACTCGTTATACGACACATTACCAAAGGTCTCATACAGCATATCCGGGTTTACCTTGAATTGCCGAACACTCGCAACGCGTTGGCCGCCGATCTGCCACATGCCGTGATTACGGATTGTCTTCCTTCTGGAATGACTTTCCGTTTTGGGTTGTTGGAAGGCTAGAGTCCCTGTCAGCTAGATCTTTTCCCTTCATCCCCTAGCGACATCCTTGCGCGCCTGAGGCGAATTTTTCTTTCGGTTTGGACCAAATTTACCGTGTCCCTTCTTTATCCGTCTGGTGTTGAAAGCATACCTGTTCCCTGCGGTATGGTTGGACGATGGTGACGGCCGGTGTCTTTGCTCATCGTGACGAGGGTTCGGATGATATTCGTTGCTTTTGAGGAGGCTTGGAGGCCTGACATCGTGAATAATCAAAGTTAAGGAGCGGGGCAAAAATATTCTGTCTGGGTATTGTTATGGATGCAGGATCTATGACGAATGGCAAGAAGGCTCAAGGTCGACTGCAGAAAATATGGCGTTTCATCGCCGCCATTCTCTGGTGAAGCCAAACTGTAAGGCAAATATTGTTAATTACAAACTTGGCAAATGAATCATCCACTTGCGAAGGGAAAAGCACCGCCACTTGGGGTTGAAGAAGTGGACAAAAAGCACCAAGTCCAAACTCATACTTTGGGAATCAGTGTCAAAGATTCAGCTATTGAAGTCTTTGGGAATGCTGATGGAATCCTCCCTGGGTGGGTTTTAATTCTACGCGATCAATCAATAGGAGAAAACGTGGCTACACCTTCAAACCACTGCAAATTGCGCTGGACTCTCGGGTGACAACATTGCCGGTGCGAGTTAGTATTCAGTATCATTGGTTTTCAAAGGGCAAACAAACTGATCGCAGCGTAATAGACGTGAACACATGCCACGACTCAGTCTTTGGATTTGCAACATGGGATCGCTGTTGATCTTTTCGGTGTTGAGATTATGTTTGTTCGTCAGGTGATATCTGACTCCTCTAGAGTCCGGGTATGTGTGCATGCACAACGGGCGCATGAACGTGTCGTCGACATCAAGGAGGGACTTGCATTTACCCTTCCACGAGGGAACTTCGTCCGCGGCGGCAGCTGCGGTGGCGGCATTATTGAACAGTCAAGGGGTATTTGGAACCATGCTGGTCCAGAGTATGGGCCGGAATGACGACTCCTGGAACGTATGATGCCTTTGTCACCAGCGTATTGCAACAGGACCTTCCATGAGCAGGATGCTCAACCAAAATCATGTTAGCTAGGAGGATGTAGCTGACGTTCCAGGTTGACTCTCCAGAGCAATGTGTCTGCAGCCTGTTTATGAGGAGTATCCATCCCGAAGCTTCCATCGATGCAAGGCTGTTCTCGTCACAGGCATTGTAGTACAAGTCATGTCGTCATGACCACAGAGCCCTATTCGGCATTGTTCAACCTTGCGGATGTTTCTGCTTAGCCATCTCCAAAGCCATCGCTTTACGCTGCACATCCATCAACGTGAATATTGTACAGACTCTCAACGAATGTTGAAGACATTCTGCAATAAAGGCCAACTCTAGAGACTCATCACACACTCTGCAATCTCGCCGGAGGTACACGCGAAGTTGGCTTCGGTCATCGCCATCGATCCCATGCGGCTTAGGAAGCTGCCGAACTCTTCCTGCTCTTCACCAACGGAGGAACCAGTCCCACGATTTGAGACCTGGCCGGGGACGGGAACGAGGTCTTCTTCATCGTCATGAAGAGACCCCCACCACTGACTTCCACTCATCCTCGTCGTCGAACTCTTTTTCGGCCTGGTGCACGACCAACCCGGCGTCGATATTCTCAACCGTCATCCGGGCAATCTAACTTCACTTCCGTCAGAACCATCTTCTGACTTCCCAACTGCGTTTGTTCCACGCTACGCCGTCGCGCATGCTTCTGCCAAATCTGCCATTCGCGCGTCCTCGTCCCCAGCAGATCATACCGTCATGCATCAAGTCCAGAAAGAGACTTAGGTGGTCGAGCTGCTTCGCGCTGGAGAGATAAATGGCCATGCAGCGGAAGTGCGGGAACGAAATGCAGTCCAGATAGGAAGGGTGAGGAATGATGAGTTGGAATGCCGTAGGGCGGAGATCAACGGGAATAGTGTGGATGTTTGCATTGGAAGAGGTGGTGGAAGGAGAGGGGTGGTCATTGATGTATGATACTTCATGATGCCTAGACTTTCGGCGATCGACATCGTGGCAGCAAAGCATGACTCTCCGACAAGCTGGAAATGATTCATGTATAGTGATGGGACGTGGTACTGCGCGCCAGGCACGCCGTCCAGGGAGGAGGATGAGCCCGAATAGAGAGAGCGAGGAGTCGAATGCCAGTATGGCGATTGCTGCCCCGAGGAAGACCTCGAGAGGAAAAGATTTGCTGCATCTCCACGAGGACGTTCGCACCAGACAGATTATCAGTAGGATGGGAACCTAGGGAGGGTCCTAGCAAGCTATCTGCAGGATGGAGTCTCTCTGGCAGTGCATCCTCAGGGCTCAACTGAACATTCTGGTTTGAACTGGTTTCTTCGAGCCTTTTCAATTCCTCCTGGACTTTCGCTTTGACTTCTTCATCGCGACGATGTTTCTGCTTCCTGGTGCGAAATGCAGCAACATGGGACCCAAGCAGGTTCAGCAATCTCTAGCTGTCTCCAGCAATCAAGACTCTTTCAGATGCGTGAGGTCTGCTTGCCTCAGCATCGTGAGTTGTCTGCTCTTGATATTTCTCTTTCCTAGCTGCACATGGCTGCGGTCTTCAAGGAGAGGCGACATAGGATGGCCTCAAATGTCAGCGAATATTGTTCGCCATACCTCTTCAGAGGGTGAAAGGAGACACAAGTTCTCCAGGAGCACCATGATGGTTTCGGGAATGAGGATGTTGTGGCATATTGTGTGTTGTATGTATATACAAATCAGTTGTCCTTTGGGCTTGGACAAGGCTGAACCACGAGCGACGTTGAAGTTTGTTAGAAAAATTACGCGATCCGTGGTGGATTCGGGAATCCCCCGAACGGAAAAACCTGCGGAGCGTCCAGGTGGGAAGGTCAGCCAACATTGACATCGACAATTTGACACCGTTAAGCGGCCCCCCCCGGCCCGGGGGGCGGGAGGTTGTCCCCGTGCTCCAAAGGTGTCTTCCCTCTAAAAAGCCCCAAAAGCCCTTACATAGCTCCTGTGGACCGGAATATCCAGTTCATTCTCTTATCGGCGAGGACCCAGGAATCGAGCGGGGAGATCATGGTGGTATTGCTTGAGGACCTCTGCAGTCTCAACGACGCTTCTACTTTTCAAAGGTATGTTTTGATGTGTGCAAACTTATGCCGGAGAAAAGGGCGAAGGCCTGAATACTACTGGGTGTAGAGCTGTAAAATAGCTGCTCTACCGGGTGCTGTCCGAGTAGACTAACTAATGTGGGTTTTTGCTGCTCGATGTGTATTTTGTGGCAGTAGCATGCTTCAGTGCGTGAATCGTCACCAAATGCGCGAGAAGTATGGCATTGATGGGAGTCTCGGGACTGATTTCCTAGTGCGTGCGATTTCCTGCATAGATCACGCGAGATCGGGATCTTGCTACATACCCATATGCGTACGATAGAAAGGGTGAATTCCCAATGAGTCAAGACCAGCTGAGCCTTCCCCAGTACCACCAACACTATGCCTCGATTCTTGCAAGCAAACCAACGGATCACTATGATCCACGCATGACGAAGGCGTCGCAAATCCCTGAAGGCATTTGCGTGGTTTTGGAGAGTGAAATAAAGCAGAGGTCAGGTGGTAGAGAAACCTTTGGATCATGCTTTTCATGGCAACCCTCCTTTCATCATGAAGGATTATTGCGATGCGTATGTTGCAGATGAGACTGAGAAGAAAGACAAATAGACTAGGGTAGCATTTAGCAGGATGGGAAGGCGGAGAGGAGGACGGAAAAGAGGTATGGCGAGTATCGTGTGGTCGGTAAGGGCTTTGTCTGAGACTATTCCTATCGGTCCTGGCATTCGGCAGAGCAATTGTCATCGTCACTTTGAGAATCTGTATGGAGTACATTTTCCTCGTTGCGTGTCTGGGTCAGCCTTGCAGACCGGAAAGGATATGCAAATATAAAAGCGGGGTTCGCAATCGGATTAACTTTTTCGGATTCTCCGCTATTTCTCCGGCTTGGCATTTTCTTCTCTCGGAATCATGATTCATCATAACATCACGCAGGATTCACACCCCCTTTCCTCTAGCGTTGACCGGCATCAATCCCTTTCCGTACTCGCCATTAATACCCGCTAGTCTCCAATTACCCCGACCGTCATCACGCAACATGTTTCCTCTCGTTTGGTAATCCGAAGCACTATCACATCCTCCGAACCTTTGCCTTAGGCAATGCATCGAAATAGGACATGCAGTGGTGGTCCAACATGTCTTGACTACAGCTGTGCTTCGCTTGGAGAGTTGCAAATGTTTTGGGATCTTTTTGCGGCTGAATCCTTCGACTGTCATACCCCTGGACAATCTTCGTATCAAAGGTACTAACTCCTCCCGCAAGAAAGGCTAGACCGGTCTCCAAACAACCATCATTGTCAGGGATTCGACATCGACCGCTTTGGTGCGAAATCAATGGTCTTTCAGGGCAAACGAGGCTCTTGTTTCATTCTTGACTCCACTCACCTTAATTAAGGCATTGTTTGCCAACCGAGCCTCGCCATCGTGAGGTATTGGTGTTTAAGCTTGGATCATGGCACGCCTGATAGTCTTATTTCTGGACTATCTTTATGGGGGCCAAACGGCTCACGTAACTAGACTATTTGGGCGATATTTCAAACTCGACCAAACGATTTCTTTGCACTTTGGAACACGAAATCCCAACACGAACGCTTCCGCCCCTATGTGCGTCGGCCTCGTGCGCCCCCCCTCCCTGCCATTCCTGGGGCGAGACAGGGCCAGCATTGCCCTTTTGTCGTTTTCTGCACGCTCGCTCTATAATCACCTCGTCCCCCGGTGCCTTGCGTGTCTTTCGTTCCTCTTACAAGAAATCCTTCCCCTCGTTTTCAGGATCCTTCACAAGAATCTCTTCATTTACAACCGCAGTGTGTTCGTTCTTCGCACTAACGGAACGGTGATCGACTTTGGTTGTTGATATCAGCAGTGCACACATCATGCCAGCGTCTAAATATGCCCGGCTCAATCCTTTCGGGGGCTCTCAGTTGACATCCGGCCCCATCGTTGAAGAACCTCTGCAGTTTTCCAACGTTATTCCTGATCCGCCATACACTCCCGTGGCTTTTCATCAAATTAGTGATGATAGTTTGGACAGTCTTGCGAAACAGCAACGTACCAAGCCCAACGGGCGCTCAGACCCTAATGCTGGCACCGAAAACCTTGATTACACTGGATTTGATGGAAACATCTCTTCTCGACCTCCAAGTAGGTTCCAATAGCTGTCTCTGCGTAGAAGCAAGAGCTGACTGACATTGAGAACGCCGGCGAACAAGCAGCTCACTCTATAAAGTTGCGTCTTCGGTGTGGGCTTCTACCAGAGACTTCGCTGTCTCACACTTCAAAGTGCCCTCGGTCGCGGCACCTTGGGAACATGAGCTCTCGGAAAAACAAGGCGCAGCCGCACCTCCATCCTCTAGCGCCCGCTATTTTGACTATCGCCGGCAACGTCGACGTCTTTTTGTCAACAGCAGTTTTCAGTTCCTCGTTACAGCTATCATCTGTGCAGGTTTGGCTGGTTGCCTATATGGCTTTTCGACGATGGTAACCGGGTTAAGCCCCAACATTAAGCATCTCTTCAACGCCTTGATCACGGGCCTGTCGCTTTGTCTCGGTCTAAACCTTGCGTCATCATTGAAAGGCTATGCGCAGCTCATGCGATGGAGATTCCTTGCGTCCGGGTATCGAACGTTACAAGATTTCGAGCTTGTCATGAATTGTGACAGCCAATCCAACGTGTTCCGGCTGATTTGGGCTGGCCGGACACGTGGAAGGTGGTATCCGAACAAGACACAAATTCTTGCTTTCACCTGGTTGCTCATCAGTGTCGCCCTTCAAATCTTTACGGCTTTACTTGGTCTGACATATTCAATCGACGTGTCTTCGGAATTTGTTCGCCTTGCGTATGGTATGCCTTCATTTTGCTCAACGTGCGCGCTCTTCTAAAGAAGTTCTACTTACCAATTCACGATAGGAAACGTCAGCGTCAGTGACGTCCGGTATATTGGCAATGAGGAAACATATGGCATGTATAGCGACGATCCATCAGGCGCCGACTCCATCCACGCTCAGCAGGCCGTTGCCAACCAATGGGGAATTACAGGGCAAGATTACAATGTGTACACTACTACATTCGATGAATACTTCGCCAACCAGCAATCGGTGTACACCAATGAAGAAGAGTCCCTTTACTGGTATCGCTTCATTGATCGGTCTCCCGTAAATTATGCTCAGAGCACTGCCTCCTACCGCACCGTCAACGCCACCGCAAAATGCCAATCTTTCGAAGTTACCTACGGAGGACAGGGTGGATTCCAGACCAATGACACCGACCTGATGTGGATTGTGACATGGATCGATGCCGACGGAAACGAAAATAACTGGTACGTCGACGACGTTGCTACAGGCGCGACAACCTGGATGGCCAACATGACCTCGGACTGCGGTGACCGCTGTGTCCAGCTCTACGCTTTGCAGTCCGCTGACAATATAACCGACGACGTCCCCATCCCTCGTTTTTGGGAATGTCAATCCAACGTCTCCCACGTCGACGGCTTAGACTACTACTACAATCCTGACCAATACGAAATCCCGGACCTTCAAGCATTCATCCTCGCCGGCTCAATCGGCTGGTCCGGCGTGACTACCGAAGGAGGTGACACGGTCGACTCGGCCCTCCAGATGGTCCGATACCCGGTCGACTCCCAGTGGAGTCCACCAGGGAGCATCACTGAAGACGGCATGGCGCAACTAGTGATGAAGTTCACCGCGGGTGCCATTTCTGCGCTGGACGAGAACGGACCCCGGCTCGATGTGATGGGTTACGCGCCCGTTCCTGCCCAGATCATCAAAGTGAAGTGGCCGTACGCAGCTGCGATCCTGGGCGGGATCCCCACGGCTCAGGCCCTGGTATTGCTCTGTGTCATTGCATTCGCTAACAAAGCCGTGATCAAAGATACCAGCCACTTGTCGACGGCGCGACTGCTTCGACCCATCGTCGAGAAACTAGGCGACTCCGGCTGCCTGCTCACGGGCGACGAGATCGCCGAGCAACTTGGCAATTATCGCGTCATTTACGGCGTCAGGGATCCTGGTGTGGGTAATATTCCTGCTGTGGGCGCCGGTGATGATGGAAGAATTCGCCATCTTGATATCCTTGAGGAGGCGGAGGGTTTGGGTTATCGAAGAGGTAGGATGCCCGTGGGGAGGTATGATGGGTTATGTCCAGAGGCTGCTAAAGAGGAAGAGAAGATTGGCCTATTGTCGGCGGAGGATTTTTCTGAGGAAGATGACCGAGCTGATAGGAGTAGGGCGGCAAACCGGAGCAGGAAGAGGAAGGAGCGGAGGATGAGTATTTGAAGCTTTTTGGGGACAGCTTGCTGACGTGCGCACCATCTCAGCCATTTCTCGAGGGCCTATGATTCTCTCGATGCCACTTTGTTTGGATTCGGGTTTCCCCATGCGACGAACGAGATCATGTATGAAAGACAGATGAATGGACTGTGCATATACGAATCACCAAATAGTCTGAACATTTTCATCTCTATTCGTGTCAAGGTCTGTCTATTTGGATATACATCGTCTTTGAATGCCACATCTATTTCCACAAAGTAGGTCTATCACAACATGGCAGGCCGATCTTCTAGCTCATAATGTCGATCCATTTTCATGAATCTGGCGTTGGACAGTTTAACCGAAGCAGAAAATGTCGACACTTGTTGAGAGGCTCGTTTCGCCAGTCAACGGACAGATAGAAGATTCAGGGCAAGACCATCAGCGGGAGACGATCACAGTTTGGGCTGTTTCGGCTTTCTCGTCATTGGGCCGCCGATCATCTTCTTCCACTGGTCATCGATAGTTTGTTTTTCGATCAACGATTTTGAGTTCCAGTATCGTTCGTGTTCGGCTTCGTCTTCCTTCCATCTCGTCATTTCAGATCCTATCCATTCGCTGGCGTGATCTGCCGTCCTTTCCACAGCTTCCATAGCAATGAGATGTCCGATATCTTCGAATAGGACACTTCTCACACGTCCCGCGGCAGCTCCGCCACTCCCACCGACTCCCACTCCTGTACGATCCATCTTGGCCTTGCAGGCTTCAGGAGTGCCAACGTCAGATCGGCCTCCGAATATATACAGAACACTAGGGCGAAGCTCTTCCAGTCGGAAGAATGCCTGAGGTCCTTCCGCACGATAGAAGGGATATATTGTAGGAAGAGAGGGATTTAGGTCCGGATGAGTCTTGCGATTAACAGCCTTGCCCTGATATCCATTGCCTTCGTAGTTGGGACGCAAGAAGGTGAACACCTCTTGATGGAGGGGTGTCGTTAATGTGACCGGGGGTGGACCTGGCTTATTCTTTTCGGCAGGATGTAAGAGTGTGGGCATATCTCTTAGGCCGTATTTGATCCAACAATCCAAAACTCTCGGATCCCATGCCTGATAAAACTTGCTCGTCTTGAAACTTTGGGCTGCGTCTTCTCGTGAGGGCCAGACGTCGCGTCGAAAGGAAGATAAACGAGCAGGACTCGGTCCGGCTTCTGGAGCAACGCTGGAATAAACTTGTATGACCGGGTCGATTAGAACTAAGGTCGTCAGGAGACGTGGATGAATGTAGGCAAGGTTGACTCTGTGCGATGTCAGTTTGAATCACGATTCGAAGCCATAGATGCACCATACAGATGATTCCCGCCCATCGAGTGACCGATACCTATGAGGGGTCGGGGCATCTGGTCTCGTTTCCAATTGATGAGGTGAAGCAAATCCCGCGGGTGATCATTCCAATTGGGGTCATTTCCTAGAAGCTCCTCATTGAGGACACTGCTTTGACCTTGCTGTGCAACGTCGGCAATCCATATACTTCGGATGCGGAAGCCATCCCTTTTTGATCGGGCAAGAATGTCGTCCCACAATGGTTCATACAGCTCTTTTGGGAAGCCATTCGCATGAGCGCCTATGATTGTAACATCACCCGGCCGTGGATTGGGATTGTCCTTGGGTATGTATTGCTTAACTGCCAGGTGCAGAACATCTTCTTGCGAGCCGCTCAATGCTCTGGGATATTCTCGAATATGTTGACATGGAATGGAATGCTCGACGATGTGGAAGGACGACATGGCCAGGGAGGGCGCGAGAAGTTTCGCAGTAGTCGGGGATGATCGAGACCATGAAATTATATCTTCAGAACGTGGGACAGCTATAGGACTGCGGACCAGTCCCTCGGCGGATTTTCAATCTTGGGGTACACGAGGAGCTGGGGGCGCATGTTCAGAAATGCCGAGGTTTCTGACGATCATGGTAGATTTTGTTCGGGAATTCTGTACCCATCACGGTGGAGTCGGCCGCACCAGGAATGATCCCACACAAGCTAAGGTTCAGCTGCTACGGGAATCAGAGAGATGAAGTTTGGTTTGGGGGGAAGTTCAATCAACCCCGTTTAGGGTAATGGTACATGCCGCTGAGCGGGCTTGTGGCCTGAATCACGTGTAGGCGCGTAAATCAAACCTCCCAGGACGCGTGCCACGGTGCCATCAAAGCCACACACCCAGCCGCGTCACAACCGTTACTCTGCTATTGCCTCCGCCCTGATCAGCCCCAGTCACATCCTTCCATGACTGACCATCACTTTGCAGTGGACTCATTCGTAGCTTTGTTGGGACCGCAAAATCATCTGCCAACATGGAGGTCGACGCCAGCAACGAGCCCAAGAAGGCGGGCCTTTTTGCTCGGTGCAGCTTTGTCATCATCTGCGCCGGCAGCTTGACTGAGAAAGACGCTGAGTCGGTAAGTAACGCGCCTCAAGTCTCGATTTCTGTCCCGCCGGGAACTAATTCAAGCAGTTGGCTAGCGAGCTGAGATTGCATGACGGCGAGGTCCTCATCGACAACAACGATGGCACGGCCAAAGACATTCGTGGCATCACGCACGTCGTCGCCACAACATCCGACTTCCATGACTTTCATGCTTATTGCGACGCCCTTATTCCTGTCCTCAAACCCGCCTGGATTCAACATTGTCTTGCGAAGGACCGACTGGTCAATACCCGCCAATACAGTCCTGACCCGCGTCTCTTCATGTCGGACGTTGTGGTGTGCGTGGCGGATCTCCCTATGGGCGATGCCGATGCAATTGCCGGTGGAATTCTTGCCATGGGAGGTCTCTTCTCGTCCAGACTCACGAACCAAATTACTCACGTAATCTCGCTGTCGATGGATTCAGAATCTTGTGTCCAGGTCCAGAGAAAGAAACTGAATGTGAAGATTGTGTTGCCACACTGGGTGGATGACTGTTTGAAACTGGGGAGGAAAATCGACGAGCAACCTTACATGCTTCCGGACCCAGAGATTTTGAGACCCTCGATGAACAAAGCTCCGACAGGGAAACGCAAAACGCCCGTGGAAGGGGCATCGGATCCTGACCCATCACAACAGAAGCCAGGCGTCGATCCACCACGCAAGCTCCATAAAGTCTTCAAGAAAAAGGCGGTGATGCTGGCTAGTGATCTGGGGATCTCACCATATCTTCGTGGCATCCTCGAAGGCATCATTACTGTCGGCGGAGGCAAGCTGACGGACGCCGTGTCCAAAACGGACATGTACATCTGCAAGTATCGAGAAGGCCAGGATTACAAGTTCGCTTCCAGGTCAGGTTTGGATGTTGGAAACTTGGCCTGGCTCTATTTCCTGATCCAAACCGACGAGTGGACATCCCCCATGCGGCGTTTACTACACTACCCGGTAGCGAGAGAAGGTCTTCCGGGTTTCTCAAATATGAAGATCAGTCTTTCAAACTACAGTGGAGAAGCGAGAACGTATCTGGAAAATTTGATCGCCGCGACTGGGGCCGAATGCACCAAGACTTTGAAACAAGACAACACCCATTTGATCACAGCACATGGCATGAGCGAAAAATGTTCAGCTGCGCAGGATTGGGGAATTCATATCGTCAATCATCTATGGCTTGAAGAGAGTTACGCCAAATGGAAGCTACAAAGTGTTACCGCCAGCAGATATACACATTTCCCGAAACGTACGAATCTGGGCGATATTGTTGGTTCCACCCAATTGGATCGTGACGTTCTTGAACGATGTTTCTTCCCGGATGAAGATGTCGACATGACGGATGCGCCCCCGACGGCAGCTATGCGTCCAGTGAACCAAAATGCTGTTACCGCCACCGAGCCCAAACAGCCTTCCGCCGCAAAGAAGGTCAACCGTGATCAAGCAGCCAAAGATGCTTCTGCGATCCAGCCTGACCAAGTTCAAACACCGGCACCACCGAAATTCATCGCGACTGGCAAAGAAAATATTACCCCATTGACGGGCAACGGCCGAAAATCAAAAGAAGCCGCGGCCGCACGTCTACAGAGCATGACCCCGGACATCCTCCTTTACGAAAAGGAGCGCAAACGAGTTGGTGGTGTTGTGTACGGTGGTCGACGGCAAAAGGACGAAGATCGAGTCCTGACGGGCCGAAAACGATCCGTGGGTGAAGCGTTGGAGGACGTGACGGACGACAATGAAGCAAAGAAAGGCAAGCGAGGTAATCCTCCTCCGGTAATGCATTTGATGGTTTCCGGCTACAACAAGTGGGTAAACCATGCAAAAATTGAAGAGAATGACAAGGTGAGGCGAGACCTTTGTATACCAATGCTGAAATCATTTGACTAATGTAGCCAGAAACAACTTCGCAATCTTGGGATTGTTTGCACGACAGACGCGAGCAAAGCAAGCCATCTAGCTGCTCCCCATATTGTTCGCACGCAGAAATTTGTCACCGCGTTGGCTTACGCTCCGTTGGTCATATCGACAAACTTCATTGACGCCTGTCTGGATGAAGATGAACTGCTTGACCCGGAGGATTTTAAGCTCGAAGACAAGAAGAACGAGGAGAAACTTGGCTTTTCACTCAAACTTTCTCGAGAACGAGCCCAGAAGAATCATAATCAACTGCTTCAAGGCCGGAGTGTCTATTGTATGGAGAACATTCACGGGGGATTTGATACATTCAGAGTCATCGTAGAGGCCAATGGTGGACGATGTATGCCGTGGCGAAATCGCAAAGGCACCATTGTTCCCTCGAGTCGAGCAGACGGTGAAGTCGGTACCGATATTGACATAAACAATGACGTCTACCTGTTGAGTGATGATCGAAAAGAGAATAGGAGTTTATGGGTTCGCTTCAAGGAAATGGTGGAGGGAAGTCGAAAACAACCTCGAATCGTTGCGGCGGACTGGCTTTTGGAAACTGCCATGTCTCAGCAACTTCTCCCGACGAAGCAGTACGAATTGGGGCTTGCTGCGTGAAGGGAAAAGCATCCTGTCACGACGGGTACAAATACCTGAATTGGGCCATTTCCTGAGAGACTCGGCGAATCTCTGTTTTGTATCGTGGAGGATAAAGAATTGTCAGAAGAATTTGACACCTTGCTGGTCGTCTGTTCCAAACACCTGGGCTTTGCCTTTCCTAGCCAAAGTGTTGAGGCTCTTTTGAAGAACCTCCATGTCCATCCCATAAAACTCTTGCTTCTCTGTTGCTTCACCCTGAACCAATTCGTACAGGGTCAAAACGGTTCCCTTTTGGCCTGTATCGTCCACCCAGGCCGCGATCATCGTCGCCCATTCTTCAGGTTTACGCCACCAAATCCATGCCGCCGACCGATCTGGGCCTATCCACTCAGCACGTTCATCACCGTCCTTGCTGGCCATGTAATCGATGACTGCTTTGGCGTCTTCGAGGCTCAAACGCTTCTTGAGTGTAGTATTGTGGAATAGTGGCGTATCTAGAGCCTCGATGATGGTGATCCGAAAGATACGATGGTGCCTGCAATACCTCTGAAGGAAGACCGACCATTTCCTCAGCTGGGCTTGACGAGTCAACGCCGTGGGTTGGAAACTGAAGAACGGAGGAAAGTTGTAACTCGTAGGAAAGACAAACTCAGAAGGGTTCTCCTGTTGTCGTCCCACAAATGCCATAGTCCTCCAGAGAGTAATCTCTTGTTTCACCCAGACCAAGTGTTTCTCACATTCGTGTAACCGTTATCGCCGTTTGGACGTTGCTCGGAGGGGATGATTCTCCTGGAATAACAGATTTTCCGGGCGGTCTTGGCCGGGCCCAAAAAGTCCCTCAGTCGCAGGTCGCGATTGTGAGAAATCCGCCGCGTTATCCATGCACCCTTCCGAAGAGAAACGGCAGACTCGTTTTTCGACACCCGACACCAAACGTCAACCACCACTCGCGCAAGCGCGCTCAAGTCTCATAGCGCGCCCGTCGATGTAAGGATAGCTTCCATAGACACATTATAGGCTCCTTCCACCGTCAAAAAAGCGCCGCCGCCTTCTGCGCATCCCTTACCACCATGCCTCGAAAGCGTACTCACGACGAGATGGATGCTCAAGAGCCGGAGGAAAAGAAGTCAGAGCCTTCTCTACTCCATAGGATTCGAAATATGTGGGAATTTGCTTCCGTGATGCAATATATCTTCTTGTTTGGCAAAGCTGTGAAGATCGACGAGGACTTTGACATCGAGGTACACCTTTTCATCCTCTTTTCCGGTTGAATTGCTCGGGATGCCATGACGGCGGAGTATTTTTGATGCACGGAATGGCTAACGTTCATCGTTCAGGATTTCGAGAATGAGTGCCTGAAGCCAGGCTACTCCGAAAAACTTGAAGAAATTGGCCTCACCCTTCTGAAATGGATCTCATCGCACCGCGGGCTCAAGTCAGTAACTCATCCCTGCTCCCTCTGCATCCTATTGACATTGACGCAGCTATGACATCTGGGATGAATATACTCGGCGGCAGTATCTGGCAAAGGCACCTCACCTCAACCCGTACGGTGATGACGAGGAACCCAAACGGTTTCGAGACTTCGATATCTTCACCAAAATCAGAATTCTACACCAGCTGACGGTGTGGACATTCTGGAATCCGGATCGCATGAGGGAAAAGATGACTGAACATCAACGTGAGGTAGATCAGCAGGAGTGGGTAAGTTCTTTCCACCCACCAAACACATTGTTGCGTCTAACATGACCCCCTCCCTCCCCAAAAGCGCATTGAAGAATTTGGATATGACAGAGAAGACCGACAATACTACCTCCTTGATGACAATCGATTCTACCGACGCACTGAGCCTCCCTTACCATCAGCTCCGAAAGCAAAACCGAAAGCAAACTCGAAGAAAGCAATCGCGGCTAGACGACGGGAGAACAAGCGAAGAAAGCTGGAGTCCGAAACACCAGGTGTCAAAGCCGAGGATCAAGAAAATGTTGAGGAGAACGGAATTGTTGAAGAGAAGAAGCTGGAAAGCTGGGAAATCGATACGTTGGGTGGTTTTAAATGGGAGTGTCTCGCCATCACCCTCTCCGACTATCAAGACCTCTGTGAGTCCTTCAGGAAGTCTAAAGATCCAAACGAGAAGGCTTTAAGAGAACGACTCATCACGGAAGTGATTCCAATTATTGAGGCCGCCGAAGAGAAACAACGTCGGAAGATGGAAAGACGCGAACGAGAGCTTTTGATGATGGAAAGAATGGTTGGAGCGAAACGATCAAGTCGACTAGCAGACAAACAGGAACGCGAACGGCGAGATGCCGAACAAGCCGAAGTGGAACGCAAGAGACAGGCCGATTTGGTGGCTGCTCGTAAGGAACAGGAGAGGCAAGAAAAGATAGAGCAAGAAAGACAATACCGACTGATGACCCGAGAGCAACGAATCAAAGACCGTGAGTACAAGCGACTGCTCAAAGAAGAGGAACTGGCAAGAGACGCCCTCGAGCAGCAGAAAATTGAAGAAGGCCAGTTGAGGGGTTCTGGCCGACATCTCAAGGAACGAATCGAAAGAAATAAGAAAGAGCTGGAGGATCTCAATGCTGACGAGGAATGGACCTTTGACTGTTCCGGTTGCGGAATGCATGGCAAGAACTTGGTTCGTCTTGTGGTATTTCCGGTTTGTGCCATGACTGACAACTTTCAGGATGATGGCTCTCACAGTGTTGCTTGTGAACGATGTAATGTTTGGCAACACAGCAAATGCTTGGGAATCTCGAAATCTGCAGCCGAGAATGACGACTTTCATTTCGTGTGCAAAGACTGCAAACGAAGGGAGGAGGATGCAAAGAAGCCAAAGATTTCACTCAAGTTCAAGGTTGGAACATCATCGTCGCCAGCGCCACCAAGTCCAGCACCGAAACCTTCATCGCCTCGAAAATCCAAATATGCCGGTGTTGAGATTCCTAAATCAAACACCGTCCGACCACCCAGTCCAGGCTCGATGGCAAATGGGCATCAATTTCAACAATCATCGCCGTCTTCTCAGTCAGGAAGTTCTCCTTACCGTCCACCACATGGGTTCATGCAATATCCTCACAGCTCACCTCAACATGCATATCTTGGTCCTCAACCTCGACCCTCTTCATCAAGTCCTCCACAGCCATACTCTTCAGCTCCAGGATTCAACTCTCGGCCGCCTTCTTCTGGATGTGGCTATCCCGTACAACCTGCACAACCGCGCAATTCTCACCAAGGTCCTGCTTCAAGCCCACCACCTCAAATGGTAGGCTATCATCAGCCCTATCACAATGGCATACAATATCAATACCAAAATTATCCCGGCCAACGGCCATTGGCGGCGGCACAGAACACTCCGCGTCAGCCTCCGCAAGCGTCTGCGAATACAAATGGACAGCCTATGACCAACACGGGACGACTTCCATCACCTGTCCTTCATCCGCCAACGATATCTCCTACACAAGGCAATATGGACGTGGGTCCTGTGGCTGGTATCCCGCAAAATTCGCCATCATTGACGCAGTCGACAATAAATGGGTCCGTCGGCTCCGTCAACGGCTATGTCCAAAGGACTGCAAATGGTATCTCGCCGCAACCACAAGCCACACCTGGACCGCCGATTCAGTCCCGATCGGCACAGAGTCCCACCACAGCCTCCCAAGCTCTCTCCGGCCTTTCGCCTAAGAAGCAACAAAGTCCGGTTCCGTCGTCCTCTCCAGCTCCTATACCCTCACACGAGTCTAGCAGCATGTCCCCATCCTCGCCGACCGCTTCTCGACAGGTACAGTCCGTTGGGGCTGGCCCCAGAGAGCGACGGAGTGTCAGTGGAACCCCTGTTCTTCCTCCGGTCGAAAACCTAAGACCAAGTCCCGAGCAGTTGCGGAACATGAGCAGTACGGAGCCCGTGCCGACGCCCAGAAAGCAGCTTCAACCTGGCGCACAACCGGGCATGGAAACGGAAAATGGAATCAAGCCAGGAGATGATGCCGCCGCGAATCCCGCGGGCACAGCAGCAGGTCAAGATCCTGGGATACAGTCGCAATCCCAATCGCACTTACAGCGTGATGCATTTCTGGCTGTGCCCAGGGGGCGATTGACGAATTAGCCGGGGCCACACTTTGAAGGGGCTTGAAGGAGTTTAGAAGCTTTGGGGTACGATTAAAACAACTTTGGCGATTGCAAGCCGACGTCAACGATGATCGAGCGGGCGACTTGGCCTTTGTACAAGTACCAGCACCCTATGAATCACGCACATAGTGGCCTGAAGGTCTTTGCCATGAGAAGATCCGTGCTGAAACTTTGGAGCTGTTGAAATTCGTATTCTTGTGGCACTCTTCTTTGTTGTCATATCTGTCTATTTCTTCCATATGTTTCTATGCTCATGAGGTGTTATAAGTTCGTAATGTAGGTCCTCTGTCCCCATTCCATGAGAGAATGAATTAGAAGCTCGGATTGACTTTAGATATGCGTCATCCATCATCAGACTTTATCCAAGCTCGTCCTAATCATCGGCTTACGCTGTGATTGTCATGTTCTTTGAAATTTTAGGTCAGATGAAGAGCTTCGAGTTCACGATTGAATTCCTGGAGTCTTGACTGTCACTGGAGAGGGATAGAGAGGTATTCCGGGGCGGAGGGCAAGGGTTGAATACGTCTGTAAGCCGCCCCCCGAGTCTGGATTCGAGATTTGTACGAGTTTGCATTGGGGTCAGTGCCTTCAAAACGTGCTGGGACGGGATGTTGAACGAGTGGACTGTGACCTGCGGATCCTCAGAATTAAGGCTCAATTGTAGATTTTGCCGCCATGTACCACGACGACTTTGTTGACTTCGCCATCGGGATCTTGGAGAGTACCTTCAACCCAACCTTCAATTCCCTCCTTCAACATTCGCTGATAGTTTTCGATCGTCGACTGACAGAACCATGCTACATGCGAAGCTGTTGTACATCTGGTTAACTAGATTGTTCATCCTCCTCGCTCTCGGTTGTTCTTGAATCAAAGTAAAACAGCCAGGGGTTATATGTCTGGGTCGCTATGCATAGGGGAGGAAGAGAAGAGCACTCACAAATCGTCAGATTCGGCACCTCAGTCTCCCCTTTTGCTGGGTCAGCAATTAAGGGACTTGTACCCGGTCCGGCAGGTTCTGTCTCCATGACGTCCGTCGCACAACCAGCGATCCAACCTTGGCGCAGAGCTCTAGCCAATGCCGCTTCGTTGACGATTCCCCCTCGCGCAACATTAATGATCAACGCGTCGGGTTTCATGGACTGCAGTTCCTTCTCGCCGATCAAATCAGAGGTGTCGTTCTCCTTGGGTAGACAGATTCCAATGACGGTCGCTCGGCGCAGAACCTTGTCAAAGGCAACGCGTCCCTCTCGGATGCTCGTGGCATTCTTGCGCTCACTTATCAAGACTTCTCCGAATCCAACGGCACGAGCGAGTTTTGCGATCCGCATTCCCAGGGTTCCGTAACCCATGATCCCGAGGGTTTCCTGCTTACAGCCCATGGGTGGTCCCCGCGGCCACTTTTTCGTCAACGTACCGTTTTCCCGCCACTCGTTGGTCGTGGTCACCGTGTTGTGAATTTGCACAACACGCTTGCGAGCCGCGAAGTATAGGCCGAGGAAATGCTCGGAGACGGCGTCGACGTTGCCAGCTGGACATTTCGTCACGGTGATACCCCGACGGGCACAGTCAGTTTTGTCCAACCATCCGATCCCCACCGCCATGATAGATAAGATACCCAGGTACGGTGCCTGATCCATGTCACGGGGCGTGACAGGGACGACGCAAGTAATGACGATCGTAGCATCCTTGATACGCTCGGATACTTGGTCCGGACGGGTCAAGGGATGCAGGTCAATGGTGTGTGGAAAGTTGAAGGTGGGCATTTCGGCATGGATGGATTCGAGCACCACGATATGGTGTTTGTCCTTACCTGGAGGAGGGCGTGGTGGGGATTTGAAGATGCTGGGCATTTTGGCAGCCTAAGACGAGGAGAGTTGCCGCGATGGATTGTGCCGTCCCTTGCACTCTGCGCCTATCGGAGTCAAATTCCCGGACCTGGGAGGAATTCTCGCCTTGCCAATTGTCGTTGTGATTGCCTTCCGAGTCCTGAAGAATGTGCGCTCCAGCACGAAAAACAAAGTATTTTTGCAGCTGTAATGGTACTTAGTCGATTTCTTTCCTCTAAATCCCGCATGAAAGAGACAGAGGAGAAGCAATGTGTGAGTTCTTTTATGGCGGATGCATATCCTTTCTCGGACGGATATATCGATGTCCTTGCGCCTTTGTTCACGGCCGGTATCTCATGCCTTTCTCCTTCCACGAATGTGTTGATCAATCAATGATAAGGGGAAGGGGCATAAATGTTGTTCTGGGATGGATCTCTCAATATCGTTTCTAATCTGTTGGACCTTGTTGAACCAGGATTCGACTCTGAAAGCTTCCACCCAAGGTCCAAGCTTATCCTGCAAGAATGTCTGAGAAACCCCAATGCAAAGATGGGAGAGATACACAATATTTGTATGTATGGAAAAGCTCACCAAAGCAACTAAAAGTAGAGATAAGGAAGAAAGAATAGGAGTAAAATGTTCAGTGAGTGGAAACTCGGCGATTTGATCTCCACTTCGGTACGCCCTTATATTGACATCGACGGCATTGCCGAGAAAACACGGGCCGGCAGACCGTGAATTGTATATCGATGTCGTGCAAGGCCGTATTGAACAAGGTCTCCTTTCCCTTTTTATCGCCAGGTGAGCCGTGGAGTTGGGACCTCGGTTGTTGGTTATATGGAATGTGCGACGTACCATTGGACCGGAACGTCCACGCGGGAAAAGTAAGTAAATAATACTATGATATACATTACAAACCTTTTATGCGCACATCCCAGTCCAAGCCCGAATTGACATGGTATGCTATCCAATGACCCCTGTCTTCTCCCATCCACCCACCAAACCTTTGGTATATATATATTATCTCACCATTCCCCTTTGTAACCGTGCTTCTTTCATAAATCATGATTCCAATTTCCAGGTAAATGTGGGCCGGCTCTCCCAATCTCTCAGGTGAGACTTAACTTCCTCAGTAAACTGGGGAAGTTGCCTTCTCCTTCTTCCTGTTTCTTGACATTCGCCGCAACCTGACTCTCCAGGGTCTCGGTTTCTATTTGGCCCAAAATCGTCTCGTCGTAGTATTTGTACAGTGTCCCTCCTTCCGTCCAAATCCTCCTCAATGTCACCACCGTCGCCAGAGCGGAGTAGACTTGATACTCTTCTTTCTCGATCTCTTTTAACCGCTCCAGAGAGGTGTACGATTTCTCCCAGGTGCCCTTGGTTTGTTTTTCGTACTCAGCCAGGATCTGGTGTGGCGTGGCAGTGAACGAATGTACAATCAGGGTGGTATTTCTTGACGCCGAAGTGTTGATGAGAGCCGCCACGACAAATTTTCCCACACTGCATCCGTTATCAGCATTAGGCCCCAAAATCTAAACATATGCTCAATCATACTCAGCCATGGCCGTGAAACTGACTGGCCCATCTCCATCTCCCAGGAGGACCGCCTTCTTGGCCTTGACGTCGAATTCACCTATTTCTGGCCTTGCCTTCATGGGCCCGAAATAGAGGTCGCTATAGGGCCCCGTCACCAGATAGGTGTGTTCTATTTTCTTCATCGTCTTCATATGTGCTCGAACTTTTAACTTGAGTTGGTGGGGGGGTTCCTTTGCCGACTCGGGCCAGTATTCGATGTCGGTGCCGTATTCGGAGGTGAAGAATCGGCGAACTCCCGCCTGTTCTGCCCAGGTGATCAGATTGATTTGTTTCTCAATGCCTCCACGGCCAACACAAGACACAATGGTGTCAATTCCTATTGGGTTTTAACCGTCTGTTAGCATTCGGCCCGCGTCATAAGCTGTGTAGTCACAGGCCTCCCCTTCTCTTCTTCACCTGCGGCAAGCAGCCTTCCCCGTGGTGTGTAACATACCGTCGCATGCTCTCTTGAAGGCAGATTCACTTTCCAACCGGCCGGTGAAAATTTCCACGCCCCAGGCCTCCAATGCGGCGATATCTTGGACCTTCTGGACCAGAGTCTTTTCACTTGTCAAGACGCATATTCGTTCAAAGTTTTCTCGGGCATCCACAATTGCTCGGGTGATGTATGTTCCTATCACGCCCGTCGAACCGATGATGAGGATGTTTCGTGTCTGCTGCGCCACGTACGGCGGCATGGCCAGGGCAGGGAGGAGAACAAAATGGGTGCGCGGCCGGAACAACCACCGGGACAAAATGCTAGTCGACGTTCGAGCCGCGGCCTTTGTTCCTCACCGTGAGTTGCCGCCGCTGTAAGTGGAGGAGATTACAACTAGAGTGCTGACAGTGGATCTTGGTCGCAAGGTGGTCTTCGACGTGGATGTGGAGAGGACATAAAAGGCACGAGGAGGGATTTGATGGAGAGACAAGGCTGGAAAATAGTGCAGACTCGACCAGGATTGATATTTGGAGAGGAAGGACGCGGGTGGAGGGTAGTTGCTTTTACTTTTTGCTTTTTTTGTCTCTCCCTTGAAATGAGTGTGATGGGGTCGGATCGGGCGCAGAGAAGGCGGAGACGTGATCCAGATGTCGAGAGAGCTGTCAAGTGAACTGTCTGGCCCCCCGGAGATCAAGCCAGAGGGAGTTCGATATTGAAATCAAGAAAATGAGGGGCCGAAATTCCGGGCTAGAAACCACCAAAAAGAAGCACGAGGTTGATCAACAGCAAAACTGGTCAAAGGCAAAACTTTAAAGTTTCAGTATTTAATCAAAACAGAGACGGTTGTGTGTGGTAAGATATGGCATCCGACGCCTGAGCGGCTACAGTACAGCCTCCCTGCAGCCCCTGATCCTGCGAAGAATGAAAATATATCACATCATGATCCCATTATCCACTGCCCATGCTCACAATTATGACCTTGATCAACGCGTACGTAAGCCTGCGTTGGCATGTACAAAACCTCGTCAGGGGGGAATTTCTGGTGCTTAAAGTAGATGTAAATCAATCTTGCAACGTGTCTCTCTGGTCAGCTCGAGCAAGCAAAGACGTAAATGAGTAGATGGGCATCAGTACGAGCGAGGCTGACTGAGAACGGCCGACCGGGGTTGTCTCGTGACACGCCAGGAGATTACCATCTATACTATATTTTCTTCAAAACTATCCACATGTCATTTCATTCTCTGATCCCCTGGGACCCTTTCGCATTTATCTCCCTCTTGGGAGAATTTCTCTGGTCCTCCATGCTCGCTGCGCAATTATTACTCTCTATTTCTGTCCTTTGGTGCCCCGCGAAGACGGCCCCCAATCCTCCAACGTCGCCTGAAGAGAATGCGCAAATACGAAACCGAAAGCGGAAACGTCAGCGAAACATTTTCCCCGGTTGGAACATTGCCCCCCCATCTAACGCGAAACCATCGGGCGATCGTTAATCGTACAATGAGCAAGGCAGACATCCGCAAGAAAAGCGTTCAAGGGCCCTCATTGACTACTACTCCCACCGATAAAAGAAGGCCGTTCGAAATGAGGCGGAACGGAGGACTAGGAATATTTCCATTTTGGCCAGCAATTACAGCAAAGGTTCCATTGTCCGGATATTTATGGTCCTGGTGTACGGAATACTCCTCCTTTGCTAGCCATTTATAAATGTGATCCCGGAAGCTGACGACCACTCTCCGTCCTCCACACGATGATTTCCCTCAGCTCGCGGGTCGGCCTGCATTCGCGTCCCTTCATCCGTCCATGTTGCCAGTCACGATCAAGTTCAACCAGGCACCCAACCTATACCCTGCTCTGGCCAGCTGCACTCGAGCCACGTCGGAATGGGCACTGTAATAGCTTCCGCTCAAGTCGCCTTCTTCCACCGCATCGACTCCACCACTCAACACATCACTGCATACGTATCCATTGGCCTCGTTTGCCCAAGTCATGGTTGTCGACAAGGTATCGTTTAAACGGGCCCCGTCGATCCAGCCATCCGCATCCCACCCATAATCCCCGGCGTTGATGGACGCGGTGAGATTTTTGGCAAACTCTTCAGCATCAGCGCCGTTTGCAAGCTGTTCCACAATCTCAGTATCCCAAATATGATGGAGGTTGGTGGCGTCTCCATCGTAGGTGACATCGATGTCGTTTCCGCCCACACTGAGCGCTTCGTCGTGCAATGGTTGGTGAAGATCTCCAATGAAATGAATCATGAATCTCACGGCGTCCAACTTGACGGCGTCGCCTGACTCATCATCCTGGAGAATAGAGGTGTAATTGACAATGGCACTGACGCTACATCCAGCGTCACTGCAGTCTCGATCATACTCCACTGAGCATGAGGATGGGGGGTTGTCATTGGCGTCGATGTAGTGTAGCGGTGCTGACCAACCTCCGGCACTGGTATATCGGTATGAATCAGCCCAGGTGGACACATTGGCCATGTAGTCCGCTTGAGTCGAGCCGAGGATATCTTTGATTGCGGCCTCGGTGGTCGACGAAACGTACGACTGGGCGATCCAAGCGACCGTTTGGTGCCCAAGAGTCCCCCAGGCACGAGTCAACCGGGTCAATGAGGCTAGCAAAAGAGCTGCTACGACGGGAATGATGGAATACATGGGTGTTGAGTTGTTGTCCGGCGAAGATACTTGTGTCTCCGGTCGACCAAGATAGATTATATACCGCGGTCGCTCATGATGAATGTTGTGTTCCGATGGGGTCGCGCGGATGTACCAAACCGACCTTTACTCCATCCGATCCAAACAAACCGTGAAGTGTGTTTCAGGATGATTCGCTCCCCCGTCATTGAGATATCGATCAACCGCTGTGATATCAGTGGATCATGTGGCACGGGCATGGTGGCTGTGACCACATTGGATATGGGCAGAAAAGTATTCAATTTCCTGCGGTGGTCCTTTGGCCAATCAATCAGCCTGGTTGGCGATGCCAAGACCAGGCATCGCGGGCGAAGCCTTGGAAGCAACGATGCCATGAGGCTCCGCCGCTTGCATGGAATGTTCTATTACCCCAACCACACCCAAAAAGAAAGGAACAATGCCCTCTCGACGTCGGACTCACTCGGCTTGGTGGCGCTTGGAAAGAAGGTTCAGTGCACTACCCGCAAGGATGAATCCGCACTGGTCCTTGCTCAAAGTGTGCTTGACGGCGATCGTGAAGCTTTCTCCATCTTTCTTCGTGACTTTGAGAGTGATTTCGCCCTGACCGTGGTTCTGCAGGGCGTCCCAAAGACCTTCCGTGTCTACTTGGTCGCATGCATCAAGTCGATCGTAATCTTCCTTGGTGGCAAAAGTCAATGGGACCACCCCCTGCTTCTTCAAGTTGGTTTCGTGGATGCGTGCAAAGCTCTTGGCCAGAATGATTTGGCCTCCCAGGTACCTTGGTTGTAGTGCAGCATGTTCTCTTGCGGATCCTTCGCCGTAATTGTCTTCGGCCACGACTAGCCAATGCTGACCCTGTCCTTTCCATTTTTTGGCGAGCTCGGGGATAGACATTTTTGAGCCGTCACTGTCGTACGCGACGTTGATTTCTCCCGTGGCCGCATTGACAGCACCAATCAGCGTGTTTTCGGCAATGTTTGGGAGATGGCCTTTGTACTTGAGCCACGGGCCAGCGGCCGATATGGTGTCTGTTGTGCATTGGCCCCTGACCTTGTACAAGACCTTCAGTCCTTTCAGCTCACCGTCTGGGAATGGTTTAAAGGGCTCCAAGAGCGCCAATCGGTCAGAATCCGGGTCGACAACCACTTGAACATTGGGGTCTGGATCAGCAGAGGATGGTAGGAATGCAGGATTGCCGATGGAGAAACCAGACGCTGGCAACTGGGCGCCTTTGGGGGGCTCGAACTTGAACTTCTTACCCGATGGCGTCGGGATTTCATCCAACACTGGATTGAAAGAGGTTGAACTAGCATATGACATGGCGGTCACAATTTCGGGCGAAGCAAGAAAGCTCATCGTCCGAGGGTTGCCATCGTTGCGGCCGGGAAAATTGCGGTTGTAAGAGCACAAAATGGCATTATCGTCGCCTTTCTTGACCCCATCGGTGCGCTTCCACTGCCCGATGCAGGGTCCACAAGCATTGGCCAGCACGGTGCCACCAGCGTCCATAAATATTTCCAGCGTTTTGCCGTCTTCGAGCGTGGCTCGGACCTGCTCACTTCCTGGAGTAATGAAGAAGTCGGATTTTGGTCTCAGGCCAGCAGCATGGGCTTGCTTGACCAGGTCTTCGGCGCGAGTCATGTCCTCATACGAACTGTTGGTACAGCTGCCAATCAAACCGGCCGAGAAGGTTTCAGGCCAATTATTGCTTTTGACCGCATCTTTGAACTTGGACAAGGGCGTAGCCAGATCTGGGGTGAATGGTCCATTGATGTGTGGTTCCAGTCCCGAGAGATTAATGGTGATCATTTGGTCGTATTCCGCGCCACTGTCTGCACGTAGAAAGTTGTATTGTTCTGACCCGTATGCAATTCCCTTGATAGCATCGATGATCGAGTCTCGCCCCGTGGCCTGCAAGTATGGAATGTGATTCTCAGAAAATGGGAATATGGAGGTGGTCGCTCCCACCTCGGCGCCCATGTTGCAGATGGTGGCCATCCCGGTGCAACTGAGCGTGTCGACTCCAGGTCCATGATATTCAATGATGAAACCGGTACCGCCACGAACAGTAAGCTTCCCTGCCAAGTGGAGGATCACGTCTTTGGCAGATGTCCAGCCACTTAGTTTACCTTCCAGGCGAACACCCAAAATCTTTGGAGCTTTGAGCTCCCAAGGAGCATCAACGAGGGCATCCACCGCGTCCGCGCCACCGACGCCAATTGCAATCGCGCCCAGTCCTCCGGCATTCGGTGTATGACTGTCTGTGCCGAGCATCATCAGACCGGGTGCCGCGTAGTTCTCTAGCACCGTTTGATGTATAATACCAGCGCCTGGAGGCCAGAATTCAATTCCATATCTCTTTGCTGCGGACTCCAGAAAGTTGAAAACTTCCTTGTTCCCCGCGATTGAATTCGGTAAATCTGTGTCCGCCCCCCTTTCACCAACAATCATGTGGTCGCAGTGGATACTAGCAGGTACGGCGGTGGAGGGCAGGCCGCAGGTCATGAATTGGAGGATTGCCATTTGAGCAGAAGCATCCTGCATAGCAACTCGATCGGGCTTGAGCTTGAGGTTGGCGTTGCCTCGAATATTCTTGCCATTGTTGGTGTTGGTCAACAGCGATTCGTCAGGATTGTCGAGGTGGGAGTAGAGGATCTTTTCGGCGAGGGTGAGCTTCCTAAGTCCCAATGTTGTTCTCACGTCTTCGAATTTCCTCAGGATCTTCTGGTAAGGAGGTACTGCGGCCTTTCGTCGTGAAGCTGATTGGGATTGAGTGAGGATCGCATAGCCACGACGATATCCTCGTCGCGTCGTGGAGCAGGAACCAAGGTCGAGTGGGCACCTCACCCGCGTTGGCGGTACCCGCTGTAACAAGACAGACATCCTTTACCACGGCCCTGGAGAGGGGGATTATGACTGAGACGAGAATTTCAAAGGATTCAACCCCCCAAACATTTTTTTTCCTCCATTTAGCGAGATTGGGGTAAAAAGGTGGGTCGAGGCTAGACCAAGGCGGCCACTCGGAGTAATGATAATTACCATTGTATACGGCGAATGGCGGAAGAAATTTTGGGGGGGGCGATGGAATCCATGATTGACGGGCTTGAAGATTCAGGCATAAAGCACAGGGATTTGCAAGAGCTCAAAGGTCCGGAACTAGACAATCACCAACCAAGTTTAGCCACAATGCGTGGTCCTGTTCGCAGAGTCACCCCAATCACCCCGGCTGATAAAAAGCTCTTTTTTATCAGTAAACACGAAACCCCCCACCTCTCGGAGACCAGGCTGAGCACAACATGCGCCGGCTCTTGGAAATGCTATTTGAACACGGGCCGCTTTCCTCAGTCATCTTCAGTTTCTTCCTCGGCTGCAGTCCTTAATTCGTATGCCAGGTCGTAGCATTCTGCGAGAAGATCATTTACACTCCCTTGTCCTTCAGGAATATCCTTTCCAATCTGAAACTTCCCATCCACCCTCATATTGTCGATGGAGTTAAGCTTCATACTGTACGGATATAGTTCACGGGGATTCGAGACACCTCCAGCCTTCTTGACTTCAACCAAACATCGACGCAAGGTCAAAAGCTGGTTATAGATTGGCAGAAGAGCTTCCGAAACTGGTTCTGATGCCATGAGAAGTTGGTAGATATAAGCATACCCTCGTCGGATGAGATATAATAGAGTCTTGTCAAGCGAGTCAACAGAGATACTCCAATAACAGCGGATCACACTCACTCGTTGCGCATGTATGTCGGCTGGATGACCTTCGGCGTCGAAAAAGTTCCCATCTCGCCTTGAGTCGTCGATGCGATCCAATTTCCTCTGCCACATGAACAAATCGGTTTCTCGAAGAGACCAAGCTTGTGTCATCGTCAACCGATCAAGATGGTTCCGGATTTCAATGAGTTTGTCGTAAACATCCTGGAAACGTTCGTCTATCTTTCCTTTTCTGTCGACAAAGTCAGTTGTTTTGGGTGAGCAGATGGATCTGAATCCTGGAGGGATCTTACTTTTGTTCGACAATTTCGGTAAATCTGAGGCATCTATTGAGCAAGGGAACGACGAGGTCCTGCCCCGATGAAGCCTCACCTGATTCGTCAGGTAATTTGCCGTCTTTCATCGTGGACTGAATTTGGAGTAATTGATCCCGAAGTTCGTGGAGATCTTTCTGATTGTACTATACTTCGCTCAGAACGGGAAAGCAAAAACAGCAAATGTGTAATTACCTTGCTTCGGGTGTTCAAGGCCGCGATGGCACGAATAAGCGATACCAATTTCTCCCAGACAGGAACCATTTCTGGTGAGAGGGTGGAGAGGAAATCGCGCAGCTCTTTCAACATTTCCTTGCATACCTCAAGACGATATTGTATTCTTGCCAACAAGTGGTGAGAGTATACCTCCTTCCCGTGCTCCAAAATGGTCTCCATTTTAGAAATAGAGCTTTCCAAGCTAGACAGATCTTTTTTGCTGTAGAAAGCGGCCTCTTTGAGATGGTGGCATAGACGAGTCATGTTCCCCGTCATGGCGTAAAGGGCCGGGGCTTCATTGTTGCGGCCGACGGCCATAAAGAAGAGAGAGATCAGCTGCAGGCAGTCATCCAGAACAGTATCGGCGCGGTTCTGAACCAAATGCTCAGGACCTCGGACCTCGTTGAGGGTGGCGATCTGCTCGATCACTTGTTCGTAGAGGGGTAGGATGTCGGAGGACTTGACGTAGGTGCTTTTGTCTTGTTTCAAAAGGAGCAATTTGTCTCTGATCAATAGCAGTTTATCCAAGATAGGCTTCTCTTGCGGCCCTACGGGGGCATTCGTGACGGGTGAATCGGCCATGAATGATAGGAAAGGGACGGATTCGCAAAGGACAACTGGTGAGATTGCGCAGCCAGGATGCCCGTGAAGGGGGAATATTTTTGCATAAGATGAATGCCTTCACGTCACTTGAATCGTTTGCAATGTGAATCGAGTGGGAAAAAACGTTAATCAGTGCGCGGGATGGTTGTTCGGATGTTCGGTTTTGTGAGACGTCGTGGATTGGCGTTTATGGGTGCAGGCAAAGGAATAAGTAGGTACGTTAGCATCAACTAAGAGCTGTTAGCAGGACCGAGTTCAAGTAATGTGCATAATCAGTAGCAATGCTGCAAGAAGAGAAGTAAAAGCGTGGAGGTTGTTTTTGCTTGTGCCTGCTTGTTGGGTATCGCTGCTCGCTTGTTCGCTCCGGCCCCCTCCAAAATCCAGAATCAAAACCCCCCCCCCACTCTCTAACCTGGCCCACCCACCGCGCGCTGCCCCCCAGACTCTGATCCAGGCCACGTGAGCGATCGCTAAGAGCCTTTTAGAATCTTACCCCTCGCCTTGGCAGCGCAAGTTCGCTACTTGGGACCAGTCGATTTGACAAGAGCCTTGCCAGCCAGAATCCTCCTCTCTTGCTACATATCTCAGCATCAACGCAATCTCGCCACGCGCTATGCATCAAGGTCACCATGCTTTGACCTTCACTTGTCTGGTTAACTGGCAAGAGCACGGCCAGTCGATACACTGCTGAAATCATCAATGCTGTTCCCGCCGTATCCCCGTATGCGTATTCCGCAGACGGATGCGATGGTCCATCAAGATAGTTCTCGAGGAGACCCGACTTCTGGTCTGGAGGTTGTTTCATGGTACAGTTGAGCATGGACATCACAATTTTGATGAGAATACTTCTGCTCCGATCCACAAATGATGTATGTTCGGACTGACGGAGGGGACTGCCGTCAGGCCTCTGCCAGTTCAGAATGATCGCCAATACCCGCGTGATACCTGCTATCGCCCATGCATTGCTGGTCAACCAGACGTCAGGATCGGAACAGCAGGTCCCTGGCGTCAACTCAGCGGGGTCCGAGACGATATGGCGCCAAAGCCCCTGACAAAGTTGCCCATCTTCGAGCGAAATATTGGTACCGAGTATTTCGCTGTAGAGCTGACATTGTCGCACAACCTCTTCTAAAAATTTCATATTCTGGTCAATCACCCCATAATATGCTAGAAAAGGAGGAACCATAAAGACAAAGTCGCCCCAAAGCTCTGGGGGTGAGTCTCGATGGGATATAGCTGAATGAGTTGCGTTCACCCGGTATCTAGTTGCCTTGTTCACAAGATATTCAGCCTTGGCGCTTTGCTGCCTCGAAGTACGTTGGATCATGATGCGATAGCAGCAAGGCCGCAATACCCAGAGAGGCAGGGTCAGCCGATGAGCCTGCATTCGACGTCAGTGCTGTTCTGCGCGGACGGACATCCTTCAAAAATCCATTTTGTTTACCTTCACCATCCATGAGGAGATCGGAATCATTCGTCCAAATGACAGATTTAGCATAAATCAAGCCCCCAACCCTGGAGGGATCCGGAATACTGGGAAGCCCGCCCTGAGGGAAAGGTTCCCGGCCAAACACAGTGAGATCTCGATCTCGAAACTCTAGGAGAGCGTGAACCAAAGTCCCGAATTCCCAAGAATGTGAAGTAATAGATAGACCCTGCGCCACGACTTTTTCTATATCCAAATCAGAACTTGAATATCGCTGATTTGCTGGTGCGAAGACCCAAGCTAGGACGGCTAAAATTGCCACAAATGCTGAGACTGCTGAAATCATCATAACATTGGTGGAAGTACTGCCCAAACCTCGGCAGTTTTGATGTTCGCCTTTTCAATTCGAGATAGAGTGGACGTGCTGGTGACGTTGATCGCGGAGAAGACCTTGGGAAAGTCATCCATAGGAAAAGTATACGCACGCCCTACAACAGTTGAAATTGCCATTGCCAAGGTAGATGTCGTGGTAGAGGGAACCAACTATCGTTGATATTCAGAACTCCCAAGAACGAAAGAAGATCAGGTTGTCATGAGCCAGATCGAGCATGGCTTCTGGAAATAGTTCCGTATCGGATTAGGTATCTGAAAATAGAGTATTTTGGAAGATAGAGAAAGTGGTTGACTAGCATTCTGTCTTGCCGTATTGCCCAGGTCTGAAGAGCAACTTGTTGAATACGAAGTCAGGTATCCTGATGACGTTGCCTTCTCTTTGATTTACCATTGCGTGGAATGACAAGATGGAGAAAATGAGCTTGAACCAGCTCCAGCTCCAGATTGTTGAAGATTTAGGACAAGTGCACTGGCTTCCCCGTGTTCCCACATCCTTGGGGTTGAAAGTGAACCACCCAACTTTTCTGTAAGAAGTACTGTACATAAGACGGGAGTCTTGTCGTGATCAGGGATCGTCTGCGTATATAGCGAGACAAGGAGCCTTGTGGTGGTTGGTAGGAGACCTTGCTTATAAGCTGATTCCAATGGAAGTGGAATGATCAGAAATCACCGCCGAGAATACCTCCTTAGGCCTCGAGGAGCTTGGTCGGCCGTCATTTCGATCTTCAGGCTTCAAAGACCTGTGCAAGACGCGTCATCAGGCTTTGGAGGTGTTCTTTGAAAACCATGATGAATAGCTGTCAGGTCATGCAGAACAAGGATGTCATCCTGTTTCCCACGCAGCCTGAGAGCCGTCTTGATGGGTTTGCCTGGCGCGGTTATGGGGGAATGACCGCAGAGGATGGCCTTCATGCCGGCCTCGGTAAGCAGTTAGCTGCTGGGTGTCGTAGCCTTGCAGCCGAAGCCACAGAAGCTTGAAAACTGCAAGAAGCATTTGTCGATGTTGTCATGCATGAAGCGAGGAGCCCTCTCTCTGCCATCACACAACTAGCTGATGAGATTGTAGCGTCCCTGGTCGTTTTGCTTGCGGCCGACTATTCTATCGAGTCCCTAGTCCAGCTGCTGAAAGAAAATGTGGAAAGTGTCTTACTCTGTGGGGGCCATCAGAAGAGAATCATTGACGGCGTTTTGACGTTGTCAAAGCTTGACTCTCAGTTGCTTTCAATCAACCCAGTTGTTCTTCAACCACTTCTTGTGGTTCTGTAGAGCCGGCACCGAAGATGTTCCAGGCGGAGTTCGACACCCAGCGGAGCGTGAAGGATGTGGGCGTCGACTGGGTATCTTTAGATCCCTCTTTGGCTGACGGAGATATTCATCAGTCTTCTCACTGACGCCATCAAATTTACGAAGCTCAAAGTAAGTTCGAAATATCACCATTCGGAGACCTGCTTTCATCAGCAAGCTCCCGCCTTTTGACGACGTCGTTTGCTTCGGTACAGACAGGCCAAACCAGACGTAACATTGGTTCCAGAGTGGGGAGACAGAGAGCCGATCCACCTCCTACTCTCAGTGTCCGACACAGGGATAGGCTAAGAATAGGAAAGAATGAAGCGACTCTCCAATCGCTTCCAACAAATACCAAAATACGGTGCTCTGGACTCTGACTCTTCATATCCCGTGACCTAGCGGAAAATATGGGGTGAGGGATGTGCTGGTCATGAGGGATGAAGAAGCGTAGAATAGCGCTTCTAGAATATATAAATCATTTTCATCGTTCGACATCGCTTTCTAGACCCATTTTAGATACCGTTGTAGCAACGCAATGAGAGGACTCAAACTCACGCAGATCAATGGGATGCAAAACCAGAGTAGTTTGGCTATCTCCCTCCGATTTCATTGATGTCCACCAATTGAATCCTCTCCCACGTCGCAGTTTTCGAAGATCTCTGCTTGAACAATCTCATCGCACCATCGCCGTCATGTTGTCACAATTACAATTGATCTGGATCGTCTGGATCAGGTGCTCCTTCTTCATAACCCCATCCACCCTGATAGATGCCCTGCGGAACGGCAGTGTTCTGATGTGGATGTTGAGCCTGCTCAACGTCTTCTTCCTCTTCCTCTTCCTCATCGTAATCCTCCGCTCCATCGCCTTCGTCCTCTTTGTCTTCTTCGGCCTCGGTTTCGTCCTCAGTAATACCGACATCCTCAGCCTCGCTGCCCAGTTCCTCAGCAACCAGGTTTCTCCCTTTCTTATTCTTCTTCCTCTCGCGCTCGTATTCCTTGTCGTCATCTTCTTCGCTGGCTCCACTGCCTTCACTGTCTCCTTCGCTCCCGGGATCATAATCTTCCTCTACCTCATCCTCTTCGTCTTCCATCTGCTGTTGTGCCTTCTCCAGCTCGGTCCTTGTATCTTCCCCCCCGTCTCGTTCATCCTCTCCGCCAGCGTATTGCACTGAAGCTTTCCCGTTCGCGGCAGCGTTGAGCTTCTTCGCACGTCTCGACTCAGCGAGACTTGCGTCCTGCAAGCCATGCCGTTTGACATATGCGTCTATGCCAGGGAAATCGGCCTGGTCGAGCATGGAAAACTCCACTTCTTGGATAGCATTCATTGCATCTGCGTCAGCAGTGGTGCCGTCAGACAGACCGCTCGGCCGATGTGCGATATTGAGGTTGAACGTGCGTTGGAGGACGGACGTGTACGAGATGGATTCAACATCCTCAAAGGCAAAGAAGGAGAGTGGCTTCTTGAATCCAAAGAAGATGCCGTTGTAGAGGAAGAAGAGAAACCCGTCTTTGCTGCCCCGGAACGCCTTAACGTGATATGCCTTGTCGCCCTTCCGATGCGATTCAGTTGTTGCGCTCGCGAATTCCTCGGCAGTTGGGAGTGTCAGACTGATTCCGTTCTTCTTCAAGACGAAGTCTAGGACATTCTCTAGGATATCTTCAGGGCCTGAGGCGATTTTAGCTAGCTCTGGGTTGGAGACTTGGACGGATTTCAAGGGCCCGTGATTGACTGTCCAGATGATTGGTTCATTGAACTGCGAGTCAGACTTCGGGAGAAGGCAGAAATTGTATTGCTTTGCCGCCTTTTCTGGGACTGGAAGGCGTAGAACATATGCGAATTGGTTCACAGGGACTTCCATATCGATTTCATTGGTTGCAGGGTTTCGGGTGTATATTGCAAAACTCGTCGATGGAGAGTTGATGTCTGTGCCGTATTGAATGATTCCTAAATGCAGTTTTTTCCTTTGGGGGATGGAGAAGGAGATATCTCTTGCTTCTAAAATCACTTCGCGAGGCTGATTCTTCTGGGCAGTACTAACGGGCAGAGAGCTGTTGAGGAGTTTGCGCTTCTTCGATGCAGGTTCGTCGTCCCCCACCGATGCAGAGGCGCCATTTCGAGTTTGTGAATCGACGTGATATTGGGCAATGTCCTCGAAGAGATCAACATAATCAGGTATTTCCCCTTGTTTAGTTTGGTTAGTCAGGGCTGGTGAGATTGGTAGAGTTCGAGAGCTCACTGATGGCATCGAAGATTCTCTTCCTCAATTTCGAGTCGTTCGCAAATGCGCGATCTATTACAGTTTTATTCGCGGTCGTGCCGGACATTCTCGACGTCGACCAAGGGTGGAAGTACGTATCGTGTTCCGGTTGGAGGTCGCGGAGAATGCAGACATGAAAAGTAATTTAGGCGCATGGCGTTTACCCCTGACGCGTCTGGCCTTGTTACTTGGAAACCAGTCGGCGCCTTGCATTGACTGCAGCACAAAGTATGGGGGTGAATGGCAAGCAGACCACCTTCAAAGTACTTTATGATGATTGAAATGAGAATAGAGACCAGTTTGAGGAACTCTTTCCATAGTTTTGGAATGCTACCCAATTTTTTTTTGGCAATTAACCACGTTCGCAAAATATAGCCTTGACTTTCTCAAACGTAGTGCCCTTCATCGAACTTGTCTTTGGGCCAGAATCTGGCCTTGATGGGATTCCCATTGAAGATGCGCCCTTCCAAGGTGTTCACAGCTCTCAAGGCGCTGAGCTGGCTCACAAAGCACACAAATACCAGTGCTTCATCCTCGTCCTTCTCCGATCGATGGATATAGACTCTCTTCACACTTCCGTACTTCTCACTGCATTCCTCACCAATCTCTTGCAAGATTCCTCCCTCCTCTTGGGTCAGCTCATCATCCAAATTTAAACCGTTCAACATGCCCTCTAGTCGAACAACTTCCGACATGGCTCCGAATCTGCCTTCCTCTTCCACTTGAGCAGCTTTGGATTTATATCCACCCATAATCTTGCCCGTCCCTGCTGGCGCAGCATAGCCACCACCTTCAGCATCAGACTTTTTCTTTCGTTTGTCCACTTTGGCATACAGAGGATTGATGATGCCGGTTCCCTGGGCGCCCAGACCCTGGCCCTTACTCCAACCATATTTGGACATTAATCGCTCCGCAAATCCTGCTTGACCAGGCCGTTTCGATCGTGGCTCGTCGGAGTTGGTATTTTCTTCAGCCTGTTCGGATTCTGCAAGCTTCTCCTCCCATTCTGCTTCTGACGAAGGTATCTCCTCTGATGCGGAAGGCAGATTGTAGCGGATTGGGGCGCGTGTTATTTGACCTGGTGGAGGGTTAATGGCCGGTGGGGGAGGCAGAGGAGGTTGAGCTTGTTGAGCCTGTGACATGCGTATTCGGCGCAAATATGCATCTTCTCCTGTTGTATCGTCTGGAATGTCGGCAGGCGGAGGGGGGGAAGGGCACTCGTCGTTGAGATTGGGCGGTGGGGCAAATGACATGGGAGGTGGTGCGAATTGGTCTATGAAGGTTAGCACGATCTGTATGGTAATGAGATTTGTCCTTCCTCACTGTTCATGGGTCTATGATAGTCGTCATCTTCCGAGTCACTCAAGTCCCTCGGTTTTATGCGGTGTCTGTAAAGAAGGTCTTTCCATTCTCTTACTTCGCGGATCTTTTCTTCGCTGTGCTTGTATTCCTCATAGTTGTTTGGTCTGCTCGGGTCATAGATATCATCCCAATCTTGAATGATTGGAGCTGCTGAAGCTTCCTTGTTCTTCTTGCGCTTCTTCCGGCTTGGTCGTTCACGCTTCTCAACGGCATAAAAGTGGTTAACTTCATCGTCATCCGAAGCGGTGGCTACCCAATCTGCGAGAGTGGTTTTGGGCGCCGACGGTTGAGGTACCGGAGCTTCTGTCGCGGTGTTTTCCGTAGACTCAGAGCGGGTGACTCCTGAAACAGCGTTGGAAGAGGACGGAAGGGCGAATTTGCTTGCAATAGCCTTTGCCTTTGCTTTTTGAGCGGCAATCTGAGGTCGTTTGGTAGGTTGAAATCTTAGGGAGGCTGTAGATCACCAATCCACATATCACACGTGAGCAAATCCATTCAGCAAACCTTTAGGTCCTTACGACGATAGATATACCAGCGAGTGCTTGCTGTTTCTTGACAGCTTCATCTTGTTCAGGAGTGCTTTCGGGCTTCGTGTATGATACGGGCGCACTGGAGATGGTGCCCGAAGCAGCATTTTTGGGATCCAGGAGGTTGGCATACAGCGACAACCCTCCCCGTGAAGGGGCTGGAGGATCGTTGGCCATGACTCTGCGCGTCTTATACCGTTTTCAGATTTTATAAGTCCGAGATGCCGTGTAAGAATGTGATGAGGTGGACTGGCTCGGGGAACGAGGCGCAGGTTACTACTGATCTCGTGATTGCGGTCGGGCGGTTCTCGGGGGAAGGAAGACAAAAAGTAATTCCTTCATATGCGGGATGAGCAGGGGCGAAATTGGGGTGCATCGGAATCTGCCACCAATCGTTGCAGAAGGTCGTGGCCTCTTCGGGTGTTTTAACACATCTCAAGAAGAACTCAACACCCGATCATATTCAGCATAAAGATGGCCCCCTGGTGGCACATGCTGAACACACTCATTTCTGGTGAAATGGATTCCGCGGACGTGCTTTTCTCTCAGGCTGCTGCAGATTGGGTATCTCTCTGCGTACGGCCCTGAGTCTGAGTCCACTGTCTGTCACGTCATTCTCTATCTATACCTTTTTTTTTTTCCCCCCCGATTTCATCTACTCACCTTTTTCGCTATAGATTTGGCCTGTAAATAAACACCTCGATTCAGATTCTCTTCTTCGATCTCTTTCCTCATCTTCCCTCTTGTCCACCTCCCTCGGATAACCCTCTCAATCATGGTCACTTCCACCCTATCGACCTCCTTTTCAGAAACATCCACTGCCACTGCAATCATCGTCCCATCGAAGCCTAATGCTCTGACCATTTCCTATAAGCGGTTGACACAAGACATATTGGATTTTCAAACCAAGCTTGCCCATCTAGGGATTCGACATGCCGATGCAGTTTCAATAGCGTTACCCAACAGTTATGAGTTCATTGTTTCATTTCTTGCGACATCCTTTCAGAGAGCCATCGCTGCCCCTCTCAATCCCTCCTACAAGCAAAATGAGTTCGAATTTTATATTGAGGACCTTTCCTCTGCTGTGAGTATTCTTCCCAAAGGATCCTGGTCGAAGGAAGGCGCTGCGGTAAGAGCGGCAAGAAAATACAATGCGGCCATTGCAGAATGCTATATGGATGGAGAGAAACTGGTCTTGGACGTCAAGGAGCAAGGGCAGCTGGCGCAGAGACAGTCTCAATTGGTGGCCCAGGCCGACCCCGAAGATGTCGCTTTAGTACTACACACCAGCGGCACCACGGGAAGACCCAAGGCTGTTCCATTGACCCATCGCAACCTCACCAGAACTATGCTCAACATTCAGAACACATACGAGCTAACACCCGGAGACCGTACGATGCTGGTTATGCCGCTGTTCCATGTTCATGGGCTTCTGGCGGGATTCCTGGCACCCTTGGGATCTGGTGGCTCCGTCATTGTTCCCCCTTCATTTTCTGCAAGGTCATTCTGGGATGACTTTATTACTCACGAAGCGAATTGGTACACGGCCGTACCTACGATTCATCAAATTCTGCTCAAGAACTCTCCCAATCCCAAGCCCAAAATTCGGTTTATCCGGTCATGTTCGTCACCACTGTCACCCAAGACCTTCCGAGAGCTTGAAGAAATGTATGGAGCACCGGTGCTGGAGGCTTATGCTATGACAGAAGCAGCCCATCAGATAACTTCAAATCCACTGCCTCACAGAGGAAAGCGACAGCCGGGAAGTGTGGGAGTTGGACAAGGTGTGGAGGTCAAGATTCTGGATGATCAGGGCAATGAAGTTCCCAACGGCACCGAGGCCGAGATTTGCATTCGGGGTGAGAATGTGACCAAAGGCTACATCAATAACGAAAAGGCCAACCGAGAAGCATTCACAAAAGGGGGATTCTTCCGAACGGGAGATCAAGGCAAGAAAGACAAAGACGGCTATGTCATCATTACCGGGAGAATCAAAGAACTCATCAACAGAGGAGGCGAAAAGATCAGCCCAATCGAGCTGGATCATATGATTGCTGCGAACCCAGATATATTAGAGGCGGTTACTTTCGCAATCCCTTCAGAACTATATGGTCAAGAAGTTGGGGTGGCGGTTGTTCCCAAGCCCGGGAAGAGCCTTACAGAGCAAGCGATCACTGACTATGTGGAGAGCAAAACAGCGAAGTTCAAGAAACCGAGCAGAGTGAGTTTGCAGAGTCGCCCAATCTTTGAAGCGAAATTTGCTAACTCGGGCACAAGGTTTGGATTTTGAAAGAGATACCCAAGACAGCAACAGGAAAGATACAGCGAAGAAAGGTTGCGGAGTCTCTGTTGGCCAAGGATAAACCAAGGGCGAAACTATAGATGGATTGATGCATTAGACACGGGGATATTGGACATGGCTGCATGTAGACATTCTGGAGAAGGACGTGGTTATAGAAAGAAGGGAGACTCAATAAAAAGGGAGGGGCGCCAGGGGGGGCGTCTTTAGCCTCATCGTATTCCTTCCCGTTTCCTATTGATTTTCGTGGGTGAATGTTTTTGCGAACCTTTCCGATGCCAGGCAATATGTTGGAGAAGCGTCTCGGACTGGTGAAGCCCGAGGGGATCTCATCTCAGCATTTTCGCGCCCTATGATTGCGATAGCAAAATTGCGGAGTAACTTTGTTCTACATACGACTTCTCAGTTCTGCAGGATCACAGGGTCTCTGTCCGCGTACTCTCTTTGATGAGATTTCACCGGTTGTATATTTCCTTGCACTTCATGTCTGTTGCAGTCTTTGCTCGTTTTCATCCATCATATCTTCTCCGAACAAATCTAAGTGCCAAACTGACTACTTCGCATCCTGCTCTCTTTGCGACCAAACCTGGCCTCAATTTCGTCAGGATGTCGTCCAGTGTCCCCTCGTACGAGTGGCTCGTTCACATCCCCGATTTCCCCGGAGCCCTCGAGAAACGTCTCGCGGCTCGACCCAAACATCTGTCCGGGCTCAAGCCTGCGATTGACGGTGGCATTGTCGTCTTTGGGGGAGCAACTCTTTCAAAGCAGCCTGCCGAAGGAGAAACTCCTGATATGACCGGAAGCTTTATTCTGATCAAGGCCGAGAGTGAAGAGAAGGTGCGAGAGGCTTTGGAGAATGATCCTTATGCTGAGGGTGGTGCTTGGGACGTCAAGAATGCAAAGATCTATCCGTTCAGGTGTGCAGTTCGGACTGCCATGTAAAACAAGACAAGGGAAGATGAGGGGGAGGGAGCAACCGAATGAATCAAGGAGCTGGAGTCAACCATCACGATACCTATCCAAGATCACAATTGCACCAGATAATATCAGTACTCTTTAACAATCATGTTTCACATTTCGGATCTTGCTGTCGACTGTTCAATTCTCTCCATTCTATCTTGTGGCTGCTTGCATAACAGGCGAGACTGGTGTTATATTCGGCCGGGTAGACGAGATTTGAGGCTGGCCGTGCCGCATATCTTGTCACTAATTTGTGATTGAATGCGAGAATAACTTCCAAGTTGCGTATCTCAACCTGTACGTCTCGACAGATCCCCAGTCCCTCTTGTTCTTTGGAAATAGAAGCGCTGTGATCCACGCGGCGAATGGGACGCGATCGAATTGTGGAAACTTCACACAGCAGTTTCCCACGCGAACGAATGTAAGTGGCAATGGGTCTTCGACCGCAGGGAGCACAAGCTCAGGCACAGCAACGATGGAAACGCCTAATGGTGGTGTCAACGCTGTTTTGAGGGTTGTCAATGAGAAAATTGTCTTCGGTGCAGGTTTATTCGAGGTGGCTGTCGCCCCGGCTCTGATCTAGCCATATTTGAGACCAAGTTTCTTTGACGAACGATCGTCGCAAGCACTATATGAGAAACGTGCTGGAGAAGTATGACTCGTTCGATAAATTCTCGTGACATCCAACACTCCCTGTGTCCCTCGACCATTCACATCGTCTAGGAGACCGAATAGAGGTCCTCCAATTGAGCATTCCGCACCAAGACTGTGCTTAGACAGAAAACACAATTGCCTGTTTCGACTTGTAACCATCAACTCATCCCAGGATCTTGATCATGTCTCGCTGACTTTTCCAATGTCCATCGGTCGACCCATTGAACCCACATCACAACACTAATCACCCATTTTCCATCCCTTCTCTTTGGCGGCTCTCCACAATTTTAGGCCTCAACTCAAATCAGCTCAATTCAACCTCTGCAAAAACCCCATCTGAATCAATCTCTCCACATCACCCTGCTTGACATAAAACTGACTGTTTTTGGTCAAATTGATCGCGCCGTACTCCGTCTGTATCTCTCCCACGTCCTTTAGAACTCGGACATCGATGAACAAATCTCTTGGCGGCTCCAGTGGCCCCGTCAGATCAATATCCGTCCACTGCCCCTTAGACTGTGCGAGCATGTCCGTGTACCGACGGAAAAAAGATTCTTCTTCGGGGCTCAAGGAGTTTTGCTGTGCAGCACGACCCACTGCAGTTCGATCAGCATCGCCTGTATTATTGCTCTTGTTTTCATTTAGGCCGTCTAAGTTCCCGCCATGTAGCTCCAAATCGCGTCCTTCCCAAGCCATAGCCTCAAGTCTCTCGGCCCTCACGCGATGGTAGGCAAGCAGACACCGCTTGTCGCGGCGCATGCTGAGGTGATCGACCAGCAAGGCACATGCTGTCGCCGGATGCTCGGCCGGGTTGAACGTGCTCTGCGAACTACCATTCTCATCCGTCATGATGAACGGCTCGAGGATCCGCGTCGCATCGCGGTCGAGGTCACGAACTTCGCGTACGATCGAGCGAACGAGTTCTGTTTGGTACGGCGGGAGGGACGGTAGGGCCTGTGTGCGTTTCGCGTGTTGGACCTGCGAGAGAACATGTATCTTAGTTATGCTCGCCGAGGAAAGAAGGTTGGTTAGAGCTCACGAGCTTGTTCCCAAGCTCTCCGTGCATTGGGATTGCATGAGATTGAAATCTAACGATCTGTGAGAGCGACAAGAAAATTGACCGTGGGAGCTTTAATGGCAATGCTATGTTGTTGAGTTGACAATGCGGGGATTTGACCCGTTGTTCAGTCCGCCAATCAGAATCAAAGGATTTTCGGAGCAAAAAATGGGTTGCTCCTTTCTTCCAAACCCACCTCGGTCCCTGGCGCTTGATAGTGACCCCAGACTTGTATTCAATTTCAACAGCTGCCGCCTTAATTCTTGCCTTTCGTTGAGGTAACTCTCTCCAAGATGTTTTCGTTTGCAATTTTACCCCTTTGGCTTCCTCTTATTTCTACCTTGATCGTTGCAAACTTGACCATGACACCGATCATCCCTGCCAGTCGCTGAATGAAACAACACTTTGGCCCTCGCTAGGTAATTCATTTATCGGGTATCTTATCTATGTGCCAGCCTTTTTAGAAGCCCCACTCTATCCTGGGGTTGTTGGCCTCTCATATATGACCAGAGAATCATCCTCGTACCGAGAACCCCGCCAACCCCCTGAAACGTCAGCCTCGTCAGCTTTCGCAGAAAATGTTCGTCCACCGCCGACCTGGGATGCCCACTTTCCGGCTACGACTGAACACAGCGTGCTGCAAAGCGAGTTTGTTGGTTCTCTGAAAGATCCATCTCGGTTGTTTGTACGTCTGGCTCATCTCAGAAATTTGGCGTGTGAACTTTCCGTCACTCGATTTAGGCATGAGACCTCTTTCCTTCTGACTTGCTCGATCTATATCTCCCCCAATGCTCAAGTGCCAGATAACCGAGATTGGCGCAACAGGCGACAACCCCCACCAAATCACGTCGCAGGACGAGACTGTGCAAATAGTGCAGCCACTTTGCTCTTTCCCTTCTGGTCTGCCTCGAAAAAGGCCCACCTCAAAGTCCAAGTTTGTACGGTAGTGGCTAGTCGCGCTCCCTCTTGACGAACCCCGTGAACTTCTGATTGGCAAAATTCTGTGTCAGCAGGCTCTATTGAACACGATATGAAATCTGGGCCTGGGATGCGTAAGCACTCCTGAAGAGGTGGGAACCTGAGGAAAGGGTTTAGATTATGGAATCGATATTGGCAAGGCGAGACGGCTTCACATCTGATCCGAAGAGAAATAGTCGACAGGTCTGCGGACACAAAGGGTGAGGAAGAGAGTCGTAGGGATCTAGACAGTATTCGTCGAAGGAGCGCTTTCCTTTTTGGTCAGCTACTCACTCTCTTGTTCGAATGGACCGACCACTGAGTATGTAACCCATAGACTGTTGCCTTCCTACCACGTCATTGACAGGCACAAGGGGTCCAGATATCTGCGGAAATATAATTGTGTGCTTGGAGACCCTAGGATGTTGAGCTTCATCAAGATGAAACACACCCGTGAAAGTTTATCCCCGCGAATCACGATACATGCGGAGATGTACAGTATTACCCTTCTTATGCGATCGAGTACAGCAAGGCCGCGAAGTAGGTCATGATGGGCATTTCTCTTTGCGGCGGTGCTAACGATATGTATCAAACATAGGTACAGGCGCACGTCAGGATACGACAACCAGCAACATCTAGATGAAAAAGGGTTTTTTGCTAACAACGATTGTGCGGCCTTTGGTTTCAGCTAGACCCGACAGAGTGAGAGAGGAGGGTATGGTTGAAGGCCTCAGAGTGGGTAGCAAGCTGTGCTTTTATTGCCTTATGAATCAGGGTCCCGGTCGGATGCGACGAAGCTGCAATGGAAACTAGATCAGAGAGGGGGCAGAGAAGAAATATTATTGAAAGGAGGTTTGGTGGAGTTCTGGCGTAGATTACTTTTTAGACTTTGACGACGCGAAAGAGGGTGGCACAGAAGTACGAGCTGTAGCCATAGTCAGGGATCAGATGGCAAGCGGTTCCAGGCTTTTGAAGTCCGGGTTCAAGGAGCTCTGCTTGTACCATTGATAGAGTAGCTCTGCTCTATTTTTCGATTGATCCTGGACATCATACGTTCGATGTGAAGGTTCTGATTCGGCGGCCCATATAACACCTCGCAAGCTAGTTTGGAATGTCGGTGGATGTTCATGAGCCCTTGGGAAGTTCCAAGCAATCTTCAAAACCCGTCGTCAACCAGAGCTTGGGAAGATTTCCCTGAGATCCTCGTTGATTGGATAAAAATGAAAACTTGAAACATGAGAGGATTGCGCTGAGTAGGAGGCTCAAAAGAAAAAAAATTAGAACATCGACGGAATATCCTACCCGTGATATAGTTGGACCGGTAGACACAGGGGTTGAACGGTAGCGGGCCGGCAGCGGTTGATCCCAGTCCTCAAAAAGGCGAAACAACAAAATTTTCATGGTTCATGTCTCAATGAGCTGCAGAGATTCTCGAAAATGGTACAGTCCATGATTATGTGGCAATGCTTCTGCTAATAGAAGGTCGAAGTTGGGACCATCAGCAGCTGGACCGTGTCAGACGTGATCTTCTCAGTATATATCGTGTGGTGAAGTTGCTCTGTGGCGTATCGGAGATTATGGAATGCGACAGTCAATTCCATCGAGATCATGTTTGCTGCCGTTGTCGTATGAATCGTTCGTTACACAGAGAACACTTGGGAGCCAATCAATGACGGTAACTCATTGGAATATCACCGCTCGGTCTGGATTCAGATCTAGGCCAAATTCAATGCCTGCAGCGCCGTGGCGAATTCAGCAAATCCTAGTTGCTAGTATCTGATCAAATCGAAACGGGTGCAACTGAAAGCGGTTGCCGGGAGGCGCGAGGAATGTGGCTGACTAGTGACCCATGTATCCACTTTCTCTGGTGGAGTCAAACATCTGTCTTGAGACGAGCCTCTGGACATAATTCTAGGACAAGTTGATCTTGAAGGACCTTCACCAACGTCCTATTTGTCCGATTCTCTGGTCTCAAGTCTACTGTACGATCTTGACACGGATATTGGAAACTGCATTCAATGCTCTGGAACCTACCGGGGGCCAATACCCAAGTACCGTACTCGCCGGACAGGATGTTGTGTGGGAAGAAGTCGATGGCTCATGGTATCAACCAGGGCCTGCACTCGCTACCGCTTGATTGCATGGATAATGCTGCTTGTGGAGTTGCCCACTCTCCTGATAGCACTACCTGCTTTCATCAGCTTGAAAACAAAAGAGTTCATTGAAGGAACACCGGATGTTGACCAGGTTTCCGGATGCGGCAACCTCAGCTTAAAGCGTACACTCTGGTAGTGAACGCGGCAAGGCTGAAGACTCTTGCTGGCAATTGATATGTTCTCTTGTCAAGGCCATTCTCGTCATGTTCTTCTCGCATTAACAAAGGTTGTCAATGGACCAGGAGGTCTCAGGATTGAAATTGCCTTTCGAGCATCTTGCGGGTAGTAGAGACAAAGCCACCAATAGTTGATCCCACCAGAACCTTGTACTGGGAGCATCATTTACTCACCGCAAGTACTAAATGCCAGACTTGCTGCAGTGTACCGACAAAGACTCTCAACACTATCAGGACTCTCATACTCTCACCCTCATCCTGCATTCACCGTCGGGTTCCTGCAACCATCCATAAAGACGGACCAACATCTGCGACAGAGTTTCCTCAAGGACAACGAGAAATCATTTAGCAATAGTCCTTTCCATCAAAGCAACATCATCGAGACAAAGCATTCCCTCCATTGTGCTGCACTTTACTGCTCAGAAGACGATAGCAAGCAAAGTCCAACAATTCCCGAGACTTGCTGCGTGGGGTGCGATCGGCGGGATACAAATCTGGAACTCTGACCCAGACAAGAGAGTCACTCCCCCAAACGCCGTCGGCTGCTGCTTTGAATTCACAGTCGTCAAGGTCCTCTGACACAAAGTCATCACTAGAAGAGGCCGAAAAAGGTCTGCTGAGCTCGATCAGCCGCTCTTTTGCGACATCAGTGACGAAAGGACATATCCTTCAATCATCACGGTAGATTTCTTCCACGCACTGCCGTTTCAACCGAGTATCCATATCAATGGCCAGGAACGCATTCGCTGGGCCAACTCCATCACCTCCTCACTCAGGCGATGGCCGTTACAACATGGGCGACGATAACCGGAGAGCTGTTGTCAAACCAGAGCCCTTCACACCCCCCTTGACTTCAAGGTCACTCATTTCAGATATTCCTCCTCCATTAGCATTTGTAAGTATCAAACCGTTCAACGAGAGGAGGGGGAGGCTTACCCTGGTAGGATCCTTACGGCGATCCATCTCTTTATCACACAGCTCCAGCTCATGTGTATTGCACACCACAGCAAGTGAGTACGACGTGTTGTGGAGGCGGTGAAACCCATGCTGACAATGATAGACAATGGTCACGTCGGTTCCTTCCCACAGAACTTCTCACCGTCTCGCCAATGATGGCATTCAAACTCGCAGTGGGAGAGCGCTTGGTACACCATCCAGTCCTGGCGATACCGAATCCACACGAGCCTCACAATCACCCCGACCTCGAGCAAGAAGGAATCTGACAAAGAAAGCCAATTCAAAAGGCGGACCGGTCATTGATCAGCCTCTCAGCGTCTTGACCAAAGACTACGAGACCCCTGTGAGAGATATGTCAGCCTGGGTCAATCGCTCGGTTGAAGAACGGATGGCGGAGATTGACCGAAAGAAGGGATATATTGCCAGGCCAATGAACTCTTTCATGCTGTACCGATCCGCGTACGCTGATCGAGTAAAGCAATTTTGCAAAGAAAATAATCATCAAGTCGTGTCGCAAGTGACTGGGGCAAGCTGGCCGTTGGAACCAAAAGAGATCAGAGAATTGTATGAGCGATTGGCCATCGTTGAACGTGACAATCATCAGGCTGCTCATCCAAATTACAAGTTTGCACCGAACAAAGCAGGTAAAAGACCCCGGAACGGCGATGACGAGAGTGACAGTGATCCGGAATGGGAGGGCTCGACGAAGAATTCCAAGCACAGTCGAAATGCCCGGCGCGTTGACAGCAGGAGCACCTCATCGACACCATTTGAAGACCGACCAGCTCGATATCAGCGTCCTATGCCTGCACTGCACCTTTCAGGATTTGAAGTCGGCCACCCCTATGGTGCTCCGCCGTTGATGACGGGTCCGAATGGAATAGTCGGAGAGTATTATCAAGCTTCAGCCTTCGTGGAGCCGTATGATCAAGTCGGCGATCTCAAATTTGAGAGGATTGAAGATCCTTTCCCGTCGTACCAGACAAGTATGGGTCCTGTCGGCGTGCCCAATGCGGGCCATCATGAACTGTTGACCTCTTACCCAGCACCACAGCTGATGGCCATACCGGCTCAGAATGACGTTCTTGATCCCCGTCTCGATCACATCGATCCAAACTATCAGCTGGCATATTTTGGAGAAGGTATGGAGCCAACGCAGGAGATTCCCAGAACGATCGCGTATGAGACTGTTTCGCAGTTTGAAGTCGGATACCAGCCAGAAGCTTACCACCCCGGGCTAGCGACATTGACGGAAGAACATGATGTCTGGGGGGAGTCTGGACGTGCCGGCTCGGACTTTGACTCGGAATTCCAGAAATTGAGCTGAGAGACGTGACGGTGGAATATATGTCAGCCATAGATGAAGGAGGATGAACCTCCGGCAACTTTGAATCTACATAGCGACGGAGTTGACCAGTAGACCTCATTGGTCCGGCATAGCCGTTGAGGAGTTAGTGTAAATTCATGGTACTCGATGTGGATTTTATTGCAAGGGAAGGAAAACCCGATTTGGAACCAGCTGGAGCCGGGTCTACCAAGAGTTCTACATCGCCAATCATGAACTCAGCCGGCAGGAACAAAGAAAAGGGAATCTAAAAATAGGGCTTTTCTGTACTGAAATAGAAATATTGGGATAGAATTACTACTCTGAGTTATTGCATTTATCTTGCGGCATCGAGAAACTGGAAGCAGGTACAGGAAACAGAAGGACTTGAAGGAATCGAGGCTGAACAGACGCAATACGCAGGCAAAACGAGCAGACACGTGCTTCACGAATATTGTGCTGCCTGTACATTCAGCGTCGCTCCTGTTACGCCAGTCTTTGTCCGGCTTGACAGAAAATACGATTGAAATTATTCCTCGTAGTAATTCCTGATAGACTGTGGAGTCTAGAGAAGGAATGTGTTGTTGTTGTTCTATCTAAGAGAGAGCAAGACGAAAAGAAGGGCGCAAGTTGCCAAGCCAAACAACCTCACGTGACGTTGCCAAGGTGACGCATCACGTGTCTGGCCAAGAATTCCATTTACAGTACAACTTTCTTTTCCATGCTCGCTAATGCGCTAGATTAGTGCATACCTGGCCACCGTATCGTCAAATCTCCGCTTTCCGTTTTCGATTCTTTGTAAAGACTCGAGCAGTCTATCAGAATCCAGGTCCCAGCTGTTCCGCCCATACGCTATAGTGTCAAGGTATAAAAGCGGCAATTCAAGTCAGCCAACAACGGTTAGGCATAGTTCACATAAAGGAAGCAGCCCCTTTGTGAGAAGGCGCAATAGATTTCTGATGTCAGCCTTTCTTGCGAAAAGGTTTACTACCATTGGGAATCAAAATTGCTGTTCTTGTTCTGTGTTCCTGAGAATAACTGGAACTCAGCGACCAACGCAGGGATCAGCACTGTGTTCCTATGTGGAAGCACACCAGGCAAAAGAACTTGCATCCTCGGGAATATGGAGGAGACATCAAAATATCCTACCTTTATTCGCGTAGCTAGAATGCAATTCTGCCACAACTCTGAATATGAGCACGGATCCGACCTACACTTAAATATCGAATTCGATGACATCGAACTGGAAAAGAGCTCCGCAATCGCTATATCGTATACCTGGGGTGAGTTCGACCGAGAAGACGAGGTCATCGGCCATGATACCGAAGGGACCCCTCTCTTACTCAATCTCGGCAAGGAGTGGGATGTGCAAGAGATGACAGCTTGTCTAGCGCGGCTGTGTATTGACAATGGCGAAGAGCGTGGAAGTCGTCACGCTGGGTGTTGGATTGACCAACTGTGCATTCGGCACACGGACGAGGGATTTCGAACTGCACTTGCGAACATCCCATCCATCTACAGGAAACTGGACGTCGTGGCGTTGATGCGGTATCTACTTGCTCATGCTTTCGACGTCGGGTCTTGGAGGTGCTGGAATCCGACGGGAGCCAGGCATCTTCCGTGTCTGCTTCTAATGATCGTCTATTCGGCATTCATGACTGTGTGAATTCACTAGGTGTTTGCTCCTATCTCGACCGAGTGTGGACACGGCAAGAATTTCAATACAGCCGTCGCATACAACTTGTACGTACATCGGACGAGGAGATGCAATGCGTGAGATCCCCAGCCGATATTCAACATATATCGAGGATCGCAAGTCTCCTGTTACAGCAACATTCTGAGCACGTGCGGAACCCTGAATGGGCTTTTTCCATACTCCATTCGGCTGCCAGCCATTTTCTAACTGGGCTTCAACAATTATTCAAAAGTTCTACGGATATTATCGACTTTTTAGCGGGCAAACAGCTACCTCCAGGAACGGACATAGGGGAAGGAGTGGTTGCATTCGTGATCAAGCTCTCGGAGTTCGCTGACACTTCCCTAAGAAAAGCCACCCAGGATCGGGATTACGTGACTTCGCTTTGGGTGGACTGCTCCGGATATGTCATACCTCGAGATTTCAAGACAGTGAGCCTTCCGGTGTTGTTGGATGACGCCGTACGTCAGCTCGAACGAAATCATGGGCTGTCATCAATGGTGAGCAATATTCCAAGGTTGTTTTGGGGTTCCTCCGATGGACCGACCTCCTGGAGGTCTACAGATTATATGGGGCGGAGATTGATCACGTATGGAGTCCGTGAGGTGTATGAAACAATCCCGAGCCCTACGCCAATACCCGTTACGAGGCGCGGAAACGTGCCCTTACGGATGCAGATTCCCCAATCTCCGCCTCTCAGTGAAATGACCAGGGACTATTTGGAAGAATTCCGCCACCAGAATGCAAGAGCTGTTTTCCAGGCGCTTAAACCCGTCGTCTGCAACATGTCCAAGACTATGCTATTAAGGCTGGCCACCCCCATGTACTTGGGCTAGCTTGACCTATTTGGGAATGAAGATATTCCCCTTGTGCATTACCGGCTGTCGCTGCTGAAATTTGTGAGCAAAGCCGAGGAGCTGCCGCAGATTATGGCGGAGCCTGTCCCCGAAAAGATTACCGTGATAGTCGACCACCACAGCGCCGTTTACAGTATGGTGGCAAGCGCGCTGGGCCTCGACGAGGGATGATGCAAGGCCAGCGGGCTAAGATTGATGGTGTCGCTGACAGAGCACCCTCGCATCGGATTAACGAGACTGTCCCCAAGGAAGAGAGGAGAGCTCCTTCATGAGGGGCCTCCGGGAAGCGTAGCCACAATCTTCAGCTCGCATGTTGAATTCAGTTCGATGGTTGGGGAGAACCTACTACTCGAAGCCATCGGAGTTAGCGGCGAGGTACACCTTCCCAAGTACCATGTCACCGGCATCTGGGTCACTCACCGGTCCATGTCTCGGTTTCACGTCGACGCGTTTGTCGATCATGATGGCCAGGACGCCATTCTAGCTTAGGACAAGAGGTTGATTTGTCAGACGCCAGACCTATTGAGGCGGTACTCCTCGATCAATCTGGATGATTCGAGTGCGCCAGTACTGAGAAAGAAGGATGAATTGAGGGCGAGAGCAAGAGAGCAAGAGATTTGATTCTGCTTCGGCTGCAAAATTGTAATATGAGAGGAGTAGGTAGTGTATTTGGAACTAGGAATATCACTGTGTTGTCGTCCTGCGTTATATCGAGGGGGGTTAAAGCTTCAACAATGTAGCGCGGAAGTGCTGGGGAAGGAGGGGGGGGCAGTCAAGAATATATGGCCACGGAATAACATTTCTCTCTCTTCACAGGCTACGGGACTGCCTTTTAACAGCTGCGCACGCAAACATTCGGAACCGTAATCATCCCCGAAGCATCACAAGCTGGCATCTCTCATACCGCTAGTGAAAGGCTGCCAATGAGCAGTACTCGTGGGCGACCATATTCAACTGCGAGCAACTGTTAGTGTGTATGCTTCGTGTGTCCCTCATGGAGCGACTCTGGACTGGTGCAGCGATCAGCCCCAACATATCGATCGAAAGGGTTATACTGGACACTCAGAACCGCATGCATCCTGATATCTGCAGCTGTGACATTCCGCCCCAATTTCCCTGGCCCTTTTCCTTATCATCATGTGATTCGCTTGTTGATTGGTTCCCCCTGGGCGGGCCAACTGACACTTCAGACACCACCACGTCGTCACCGTGATCGCAAATCGATGAGTGATTGACTGGCTTCCCTCCGTAGACCGCTACACGGCTTACTTTGCTCTTTCCAGACCACTGCTGCCACTCCAGTCGCTTCGGGATGCTTCGCAGCTCAACATTTTTGCTGCGAGCACCATCTGCGCCCACCCTGCGCCGATACAATGGGTCAACAAGGGCAACCGCGAAGTGAGAAGAAAGAGAGAGACGGTTCTCTCTTCCACGACACCAGTTCGAGACGAAGCCGACATTCTCTCTCATTGACACAAAAAGGCTTCTGGTGCCTCATTTGCCACTGAAATTTCGTCGAGACCCCCTCGTGCAACCCTCACGACCCGAATGGCACCGGCTCCATATACTGCGGAGCCAGGCAATTGGTTCTTGAGGGGCGTCCAATCTGCGATCTTCTATTATGTCTCCTTCACTCCATGTCTTCAATTTCAACATAAACGTCAGAGGAGAAGAGAAGCCAAAGCACAAGCAGAAATCATTACCACTCAGCCGGGCACAGTTCGACAACCGGGTCCTTTTCAGACAAATGAAACGTGGGCGGAAGAATTGATGCTGGGTCCTGGACCACCGAAAGGATGGAAGGGTGACAAACTGTTACAAAAATTGCAAAAGAAGGTGACAAAACAGCCTCATCGCTTAGACGAAGCTCCTACTTCACCTGAAATACCCAACCTACAGGTTCAACCGACAACGTCTTCGACGCGTTCATCTACTCAACCCACGGAGACTTCAACCAGGCGGCCGTCCAGTGATACTAATACAGTCGCGTCTGAGGCTGATGCCTCGGGCGAAAATGCATCAAGGGGTAGCCAAACAAGGCCAACTAGAGAGAGAAGATTATCCAATGCAATGGAGAACATCAAAGACTCCTTGCGGTCAACGCTCCATCCGGAAAAGTGGAATTGGAAACGATATGACCGGGAAGATGAGATTCTGTGGGGCTTCAGCGAGAGAATGACACGAATGTGGAATCGCGCTACTTCAGTGGCGCATCATGATGAAGGGGGAGAACGAGACGGACGAAGGACATCTACGAGTCGACGACGACGAGCCGGCACAAATGATAGCGATCAATATGATTACCACAGAGCGCGACACCCAGAAGTCAATGATCTGCACCCTCCAATTGTTTCACAACTGCCGGCTACGCGAGATGAAGCCGCATGGATGATACTCCCGCCTCCAAGTGCAGCTGTGATGGCGGGAAAGAAGCGACCAGGAGCAGAGGTGGAAATGCGATGGCCGTTGTGTGTGATCGGCAGGCCACCGAAATCCCCAGGACCCGAAACATCATTTGGTAAGACTCTTTCCGCGGAACATATCGATGAGGACGAAGTAGAAATCAGTGATGAAGAAGTCGAGGATGAATCGGGTCGAGAGAGTCAAGAGGCCGAGGATTCGCCGACTCCGAAGCGCATTAAACGCCTTTCTGACCCAATTATCAAACGGCCCCTACCGACATATCCTCGATCGATGGCCGGCGAATTATTTGTACCCAAACGAAGAGATTCATGGCAATTTCACTACGTCATTCCATCGAACCAGACGATGCAGTGATGACCTCGGGCATGTCGAAGGTTCGCCAACTGTCTTTTTGTGAGAGGGACTCAGCTTCTTTGATAATTATGTTGAACTGTGGTGTGTACCCAGTTTCAAGGGGGAACGATCGACGATTCTCGATTGGTTTCTACAAGGTCAACTGGCTGGTTGACTCAGGGCATTGAGTTCGAGGCGAGGAGTTTCGGGTTCTAGGAAGGAAAATGATGGGAGTTTCATTGAAACGAGTCGACGGGATAGGGTAGGGACCGCGTGTAGTCTTAGGAACTCGTATTGTACTGACTGTAATTGTACCTGGTTGGACGAGGAGTAGGAATCTGTTTTCGTACAATCCATCAATATTCAAATCGTGGGCCTCCCGTAGCAGTACGGACGTGCCTGAATCCAGCAGTAATACGAACCCGGTCCCACATATTCGAAATCTCCAACAAAAAGCAACGATGATGGTTGGGTGTGATTTTCAGAGGCGTGGCAAACAGGGATAAATGTGCAACGACCAGGATGTCGGGAGCAGGTTTGACCCTTAGGCTTCCTTTTGAGATGAGATGGGGATTTTCGTTGTAGCCCATGCGGTCATGATTGGATGGAGAATCCTTGAACCAAGACTGAAGGAGAAGGCGGTGCGGAGGTGGAGAAATAGCTCCTTTAGCTGAAAGCCGCCATTGAGATGCGAGGGTTCAGTCAAATTGGGCGACTGGAATTGTAAGAGTGATCGTCAAATAGAAACAGTTATTAATATATGAGACAAGATGAAGTACTAGGGAGAGGGGGACAACCATGGGATCACGCATGTGATGATGATGAAAAGCCGTAGCAAGAAATCAAAGTCACTCCATACCACTTCATACATCAAGGACTGACTGCTAGGCAATGCATGGCGCATTCCTTCTCTTTCACAATCTGAATCAACACACCACTCTGTCAACTTTCCTGTCCACCCATAGCATTAACCGCGACCATCTACTCAAACCACACCTTCTCTTTTCTCTCTTTCCTCTGACACCGCCTCCTGTTTCTTTGCTGTACCACTTTTGTCTCCATACTTAGCCACATATCCCTCGCCTCCATCCACTGACCTGCGCTCATCTCCACCCATTGGTTCCGTCACCAAGGTACGGAGTATCTGGTAAACATATTACGCGGCATCGCCTCCCAGACTCGCGTCGAACAAATCTTAACAAGTCCTGCTCGAGACCGGAGTGCATCCCGTGGGTCAGAACGGTCCCCACTGCCCTGTTCTCCCAGGTCCCGTTCCAAATTCTGCCGTACTGAAATCAATCGAACCATTCCAACAGACTTTTGAGACATTTCGACCAGGTCCTGATTCACGGTCCTCTTCCAGCAAACAGCACCTCTTCCAACTGCAACTCTCTCTCGCTTCTTCTGCCCAGCCGTCTCTTACCTGACAAGGCGCTTGGCTTGCGACTTCGAATCACTTGGAGATCATCCCTTGCTTGGCCCGCGCTTCCTACCTCTCTTGACCTCTGTTGGACTGGTTCATATATTGGAGAAGAATATTGGGTATTCAGAGGATACTTAAATCTGAAATTCGTCTCTTAGTCTCCTTGCCCATACCTCCGGTTTGGCATCGCCCGAGATGTGGTCGACCGCCGCTTCTTGGATGGCACTGATTGCCCTGACTGCAGCCCTTACCAAATACTACAATCCTGACCTGTTCAACAAGTTCACTGGAAACCTCCTTGTCAGATCAGACCCCCCAGCAGAAACACAGAAACCCAACGCCCAACAAAAGAAGGCAAAGCGGACACATGCCAGTCGTGTCGAACCCGGCAACAGTGGCGCCTCCACTCCAACAAGTGCTACAGAAGGCCAAGCTAACAAGAGGAGGAAACTGGTGTCCGCGCCAGTTGGAAACACCGTGATTGCCGAAACAGTTGACGCTCAACAAGTCAACTTGCCGCGTGATGAGGATGGTGGGATGAGTAACAAGGAGTTCGCCCAACAACTCGCCAAAGCCCAAGCGGGCACCAAGCTGGAACCCTCCAAAAGCCAGCCGACGAGCAAGAAGGAGAGACGTGCTGCAAAGAAAGCAGTACAAGCAAACCAAAATGGGCAGGAGGCATCTGGCCTTTCCACAGAGAATTCATCTAGCACCGGACGGGACGCGGACGATGATTTATCCCCTGTGGGATCGCCAGCTACTGGCCCTGTATCCACCGCGCCGACTTCGCGTGCTGGTGATGTGTCGGATATGTTGGAGGCCCCTACTGCCAAACCAACCACATTAAGATTGACAGATGTCAAGGACGCTTCTCGGACTACCTCCAAGTCATCATCCACGGCCTTTGAGCCCGTGTTGTCAAAGAAACAGAGACAACGACAAGCCAAACAAGCGGAGCAGAGGGCATTGAGAGAAGAATCTGATCGCGTCCATGAAGCCAAGAAACAGGCACAGCTTCGGACTGCCAGATTGGCGGAAGGTACCTCAAATCAAACCAAAGCAAATTCATTTACTGCGAAACAGAACGCGTGGCAAGGAGGGAAACCCCCTCCGGAAAAATCATTGAGGAATGGTTCAAACCCAGAAGCAGCTCAACTTTTGGACACTTTTGGGAAAGAGGAAACACCTAGGATCAAAGTCAACGGCATGGTCAACTCAGAACCCCAATCAGAGAACCCCAATCCGGTTCCTGATTCATCCAATGTCAATGCAGTTCGACAAGAAGTCAGAGAACATACAATGAATGCTCTCGCGGCGTCTAGCCGGGAGAAATTTGGTCGATCAGTGTTGGAGACTCGACCCAGTTGGGCGGATGAAGTGAACGAAGAGGAGCAAGACAAATGGGCGACTGAACTCGCAAACGAAGAAAAGTGGGAAGCGGTGACGAGAAAGAAAGAAAAGAAGAAAGCTAAGAAGGATAACGACACCAGCAGCGAGGCAAGCTCCTCATTGGCACGACCAACAACCACAAACAAGCCAGTGACGAATGGCAGTAGAGAGAATGCGATGAGGCCACGAATGGAGAATCTGAATCGATTTCAATCTATTGAGCCAGCCATCGACCCAACTTTTCAAGATGCGGAATGGGAGGCTTAAACGGTTTGGGGGCGGACACCAGGTCGGCAAGTTTGGTGTGAGGGATGAACAGCATCAACCGTCTGTACAGGTTTGTACTAGCATTCGAAAAACATGGGTCAGGGAATCTTCATTTGGTACTCTTTCGTGGTTTGCTCCAACAGAATAGTGTCTATTAGCATAGGAATATCTACGTGTCTCAGACAGGCAGAGATCCAAAAGGCAGGATGAGGTATTCAAGCCTCCGTCAAAGTATGGAGGGCCCTCAAAAGGACCCCTTGGAACAGAAGATATTGTTCCGGAAAATTCGATAAGTCAACATGATGTGATTGTTCCATCAGTTCTTAAGGCAGTATCTTCCAACATCCAAGTTATACCACGTAGGGTTCTAGAATGTCAAATCCACAGCATAATGGAGAGCAGGCTGAATGTACTTGGAAAAGGAGAGATGGAGAGAGACTTAGTCAGATCCAAGATTTCATTTCAGGGCTACGAAGGTTGCGATTGGTTCCAGCGGAAGTGGACAGACACTTGAACTGACACTGCGACAAAGACGCAGCGGAAAGCATCAAGTAGCTGGAGGACCTAAACTCTAGTAACTTTAATTTACGGCCAGCGTGTTAACTAAAAAATAATCCCTAATTCCATCTCACAACCACGCTTCACCATCCGTTCCAGCACTTTTCCTGGCCTTGCTTCGGGGGAAACACCATGGTCGCTTGCTGAACTGACTCCATATCAGTCCTTATAATCTCACACCTGCGCAACTTTGACGGCAAAGTTGACACAAACCTACACAATTCTTTTTTTTTTTTTTTTTTTTTTTTGCGCTTCCCCGTTCTGTTAACAATTCCCTGTCTCACTCGTTCCTTGATCTTATCCTTTCTATCCTCCCTCTCCTTCCTGCCGGTGCAGTCGACGAACCGAGAACGAAAACAAACTGCAAGCCGAAACTTCTCCTTCTCTAACCGGGCTGACTGCTATATTCCACCAGCCTCCGCATCACCATGGCGCAAATAAGAGGAACTGCGGGCTACAACCTGGGCCTAAACAACCAGTTTGGATCCCAACAAAGTAGTAGCGCTACCAGCGACCCAAGTCCTTTGGATCAGATACGAGAACAAACGAGCAAAATCGAAGATTGGTTGAATACTCTGGGGGAACCTCTCAAACCGTGAGCAATTTTTTTTCTTCCCCCCCTCTTTGACCTCCCTCCGCCAGGGCCTACGCGAAATACTTCAGATTCATAAACTGACCAGTTGAAACTTACCATAGATACCTCCCTGCCATCGGCCGATTCCTTATCGTGGTCACATTCATCGAAGATGCTATAAGAATCATCACCCAGTGGAACGATCAGCTGACGTACTTGAAGGACTTCAGACACAGTGAGTGATATTGAGCAAGAGAAACTGGTCTACCGGGATACTGATCTGGACGGATGGATAGTTCCTTGGGGTCTCACACATTTGTTTCTGATTTTCAATGTCATCACCATGTCGGTCTGTTCCACTCTTGTGATCATGCGCCGCTATGGTGAATACGCAGTCGGCGGCCTCCTTTCGGTGGTGGTTGTTCAAGCTCTTGGATACGGTCTCATCTTTGATCTTACCTTCTTCCTCCGAAATTTATCAGTTATCGGCGGCCTTCTCATGGTTCTGGGAGACAGCTTTGTCAAGAAGAGCAGGGTATTTGCCGGACTACCTACAATCGATGAGAAGGACAAGAAGATGTACATCCAGCTGGGAGGGAGAGTCTTGTTGATCTTCCTCTTCGTTGGATTCGTCTTTTCCGGAGAATGGAGCGTCTGGCGCGTTCTCGTCAGCCTGGTTGGATTCGTGGCTTGTGTGATGGTGGTGGTAGGCTTCAAAGCCAAACTCAGTGCTATCATTCTGGTCCTCCTGCTGAGCGTTTTCAATGTGCTTGTCAACAATTTCTGGACCGTAAGTTGTCTGGTTGTACCACCCAGGTGTGGGTTCTGACATTCGATTGCAGCTTCACAAAAGCCATCCTCACAAGGACTTCGCCAAATACGACTTCTTCCAGATATTGTCGATTATGGGTGGCCTTTTGTTGCTGGTGAACATGGGACCCGGTCAACTGAGCGTGGATGAGAAGAAGAAGGTCTATTAGACGCAGACCTTCCGAGTGAGATTGAAGAAGGCCGACAACAATGGAAAGCGCATAATGATAAGCATGAGATCATGCCGAAAACGAGCACTGGTTTGTGTGGAATTTGGAAGCTATAGTTTATGGATCCTGGATTGCTGGAAAGCGATGGAAGCACAGCGATTTGATCATCACAGCCGATCTTTGCATCGGTGAGCGTTGCCGGGAATTGAGCGCCTTTTTTGAGACCGTTATACCGTTTCTATTTGCATGGTTCTTGCGTAAGCTGAAACGTTGTACGGAATATACAATTGGACCGTGTGCGAGTTTCGCAGTCGACCAATGGTGATGCTTGACCAATGACCAGGAACCTCTAAGTAGCATTGCCTACGAAATGAATTGCTTCTTCACTGGCTTGGGGCCTAGATTGACAACCGCCTTATCTCTACACTCCTTGGCCAGCCTTGTCCTTGGACGAATTCGATACAACAATTCCCCCCTCCCCCTTCTGATTTCACACCTTTTCTCACTCTCATGCTCTCTTTCAACAAGCCTGCCGACAGAATATCTGAGATTGTAATCAAGAAAATATGGCTCCCCGAAATCGTATCATCGTCGACACGGATCCTGGGGTGGACGATGTCCTGGCCATGCTTCTCGCCCTTGCATCCAAGGCAGAAGACCTCGAAGTCATCCTTATCTCTTTGACGTTCGGCAACGTGGACGTGCGAAGCTGTCTACGGAACGTCGTGGCCATCTTCCACATCCTCGAGAAAGAGCTGAAGTGGCGAAAAGAACACGGCAAACCGATCGGCTTCGAGGGAATCACCAAATTCAAACCCATCGTGGCCATCGGCGCCGATGGGCCTCTACAAGACCGCATTGAAAACGCCGATTACTTCCATGGCATCGACGGTCTAGCAGGAACCCACACCAGCCATCCTCACTTCTCACCCGAAGAGAGCTGGAAGACCCTCTTCGAAGAACCACCTCCAGACTCGGTGATCACGGAACAAGCAAAATTAGAAGCAAATCTGCAGGAACCGACGCAATCTTTCACCCCGTCCCTCGTCCCCGCTCATCAGGAAATCCTCCGCGTACTGAGAGAGAACGAACCAGACACCATCACCCTGATATCCATCGGGCCACTGACCAACTTCGCTCTCGCTGCAGCCGAGGATCCCGAAACTTTTCTCCGCTGCAAAGAAGTCGTGACTATGGGCGGCACGGTGGACGGTATTGGCAACGTGACCCCCGTGTCTGAATTCAACGTCTACGCCGATCCCTACGCCGCCGCACGAGTGTACGCCTTGACTTCCGCCATCCCATCCTCCACCATGCCCATACCCATGGAAGGCGAGCACTCATACCACATGCCGACGTACCCGCCAAAATTGTCCAAACAACTCAAACTCACTCTCATGTCTCTCGACATCACGGAATTCCACATGCTTAGCCGCGGCGCATTTACGGCGCACGCCTCTGCGCTCGCGGCGCAAGGCAGCCCGCTAGCCCTGTGGATGACGGCCTTTATGACACCCATGCTCGACAAGATGGAACGTCTCCATTTGGGGCATGAAGGGGATGGTGCGGCGCTCGCCCTCCACGATCCCCTGTGCATCTGGTATGTGCTGACACAAGACGACGCGCGATGGAAGGTCTCCACCCGCAGTCCAGAGGACATCCGCATCGAGACCGCAGGCCAATGGACGCGAGGCATGACGATCGGCGACAAGCGGGCCAGACGAAGAAGGAACAGTGATGGCGAAGTTCCTCACGACAGGGGGAATTGGTTGGGCAATAAGTCGGGAAACAGAGTGTACAGGATGCTTGAGAGCCCGGGGCGAGAAGCTGCCGCGCCATATTTGCTAGAAACGATTTTTGGGGGTTGAAAAAGTGAAAGAAAGATGGGGAACAACCCCAGCCACATTTTGAGGGGAACTGTGAAAGAATTGTGAAAGTTTTGGATTCATGTCAGAAACAATCCTAGAGCATGGCATGGATTCAACCCATGTATAAGTCATCTCTCTACACCGATCAGGCCAATAACTCGACTGATTTGCTGAGAGAAGAAGAGACGAATCTGAATCTATCCTACGTCCAAATTCAAAGGCCGCCGTAGAGAACACAAGAGACATCGTTGAGGGAAACGTTTCACTTATTTGGCTCTGTGGCTCTATGCGTTAGTTTACGTACCCCTTTTCTTTTCGGTTTCCACACCTTACCTTTTCACTCGCCTGACTTACTCACCTCCAATTCACTCTTTACAATGAATGAACTACGTCTCTATCTAGCTCATCTATCTACCTGGTCTGGCTCCATTTCTGCTCCCCTGAGGGAGAGAAGAAGGGGGGGAGATTGGACCGCCTCGACCACCCTGCTGATTGATCGACTGCTATATATCCTCTCCGTGGCCCGAGCGCTCGTCCTCTATGAACTAGAGTCGGAGACATAACAGTAGACAAAGCTATCAATCTCGTCATATGGACCTTCTGCACCCAGCTGTTCTGATCTATACCGGATTCTCTTAGCGTTTCAAATGCCGCATCTAGGGCTCCCCGGCCTTCATACTGCCATGTGCCCTACGGGCCAGATGTACTCTGTTCCTCGTCCTGCGCGAGCATTGATATGCCAATTGCGCAGATCATTGCAGATGGCGAGTTTATTGCATGGGCCCGAGAATAGCATGTCGCCTACTAGATATGAGTGGTTTCCGAGAAGCAAATTCCGTCAGTCTCCAAAGCTGTCTCGATCGTGCTGGGGATATCGTATGCGTTGAGCAATTTGGTCACTTGATTTTCTGGGGAGACAGATTTGACAATTCGCATGAACTTGTCAGGAGTGGTGAAACGACAGTACTCTAGAAGTATCTGGCCTTCCTAGAAGTTGTCGCCAACAATCACGTCCTTATGCCATGTACATGACAGGACTAGGGGCATCTGGCTTGTGAACGTCGGCGCACCGCGTGGGAAACTTGGCTCTGGTACATCGATGCCCAGGATATCGTCGACGAACGGTATCGTATGCGGCCGGGGAACTTGGCTAGGACCTCTGCGGTGGTGGTTCTTAAATTTTCAAGCCTCTCAGATGTGTTGGAGCCTGTGATGCCAAAATGTCGGAGCAGCCTCTGATACTCGGCTTCCTCCTCCGCGAATATCATGTGTCCCATGATCAGGCCGGATGGTAGAATGGCACGAGAGAAGAGTTTTGCGGTAGATGAAGAAAATACTGCCTGCGGACTCACCGAAAGCTGTGATATTGTTAGCATCTCCGTCAAAACCGGCGATGAAATTTCAGGAGAATGCGGCGCTCTGGTCTTGAATCGTCAAGGGACCGTGGGGCGAGAAGGTCGGGTCCGCAGTGTATTCGTCCTGCATGTCCTGACACACCAAGCTGCAAGCGCCACACTCAAGTGTAGGCCGTCAACATGCCTTGGTACCTTCTTGTGCTGCTCCCCCGTGAATATATACCATCACGGGCAAGGGTGTCCTTTCGGCAGCTTGGGAAAGGTACAATTCAGGTACAGATACACTCGGTGTGAGAAAGGTAATCTCGTCGAACTTCACCTCAGTATCCTCTTCGCATGGCCCACCGTAGGCATCGAACCAGCTATGACTCGTTCCGCCCGGCTGTGGATATGCGGCGCCGAACAGGGTGAAGATACATGGTGCGAAGATTTCGGCAGTCGAGCGTATGGGATCGAACGGAATTGTACGCTTGATATCGGGGCTGATGCTGATATACTGCAGAAATGGGGAGACGTAAACGATCGACCTGTCATGGGCCCTAAATGTGGGTGAGTATGTTGGGCCTGTGTATGGCTTATGGCTTGATGGAGGTGGCTTCGTTGCCTCTGGCCATGGCTATGGGGGGGGGGCGGTCTTTTGGGGGTGGTTGTCCTATATTTCTCGGACCTGTCAAAGCAGTAGCCTCTGCGCTGATGCCGAAGCTCTCTGATGACTTGCTACCCCCAAAATGCAGTAACTCAATTCCTAGTAGCATCAGAAAGAAGCCAGAGACAGACCTCAATCACAGTCCTTGTGAACTAGGTACAGGCTAGCTCACCTCACCTCGCATGCAAAACACAAGTGGTCAGGAGAAAAGAAATCACAACATGGAGAGTCGAGATGAATGAAACAGATCTTCCAACTCGTCCACGGATTCAAATCCTCCGCTCGAGACCCTTCCTCTCATCAAATTATCCTCCATTGCTTTTCTGCAAGACGCATCTGAGCTCAGACAGAAAAATATCGACATACTGTACGAAGCGAACCAATGACATTGCCAATCATAACTGATGTTAGTCTCATTGGCCGTCGTATTTCGTACTGCTCCCTCCACTTCCACTCTCTCATCCACAGCTTCGCCAGGTGTTGCGCGCTGCCGCTTTCGACCGCTATAAGAACCTCGTCTCCCATCCCCATCCCTCTCTCACTCTCTTCCAACTTGTTCTCTCAACTCCGTTCGCCCTGACGCACCCTGTCGTGCTTCACTTCGACACCGCCTAAATTCTGCCCCTTGCCGCATCAGGCCCCCCATCGTCGATTCTCCCCCCGGCACCTCCAAAATTCTCCCCCTACCGCATTGGGCTCCCTCGATTCTCCTTTCCGGCTCCTTCAAAATCTGCTTCGAGTACGCCTCGATCAGCCTCTCAACCCTCGATCTTCGCAGCTCCTTCTACACTTTCCGAGGAGGACCCGTTTCGGCCCCTCATGCGCCTAATCCCTCGATGGCACATTTGAGTTCGCCAGCCACACATCGTGCAGGCTCAGCTGACTCCGCCCGGCATCCACGCCTTGACAAGGGTCCTAAGAATATGTATTTCGGCATCGGCAAGTCTCCGTGTGCAACCTTGCGAAGGTGAATCCGAGTAATGGGCTCCCCTCTAGCGCTTGTTACAGACCTGCAAAGACCCTGCGAGATCATCGACAACAGCAAATCGAACATCCTTCCGGGTGCGCCGTGGTAGGCACTCAACTCTCCATGCTGTATCGTCGGGGCTGGGATACTACATCTCCACTTGGTGGAGCAAGACATGGAAGGTGACAGCACGCAGCGGATCTTTTGGGACGACTCCTGGGTCACATTGGGGGAAATTGGGGCCGGTATCTAGGGCGAGGCTGCGCTTTTCAGGAGCTCTTTACTCTGGTACTAATACAGGGGTCCTTATCATTACTTCTCGAACGAACTTCTGCTCCACCACTAGCACCGGATGCTGCCTGAGTTCCAGACATTATGACGCCCCGTTCTCAATCGTCCGCACAATGTCTTGAAGAGTGACTCCCTTTCAAAAAAAAATTGATCGAACTACTACTATCATGTCTGCAATTCCTCTCAGATAGGACGCTCTTTATCGGATGAACTCGCTCAGGAAATCAATCAAGACATCGATCAGCTTCATTTCGTGATTTTGAAACATCGGGAATTGTGAATGAGACCACCCTCGACTGGTTGCTTAATCGCACACCGGTAACATATACTGCTCTTGAATGAAAGGATTCAAAGGATACTCCATCATGATCGTGGTATCTGTTCGCGATCCCTTGGAAGCATACTGATGCGAACAATGGGAGGTGATAGAAGCAAGACTCCTCGCGAGTTGACCATGATATCATTGGACACAAGATTAGGCTGAACAACGAACGCGATAGGGTGCCGCGAGGAAAGATTCTGCCCACGTGTGAGACACGCTCCACCCAAACTGCCTCCGTCAGGGGCATTTCTCTTTCTCTTGTACTTTCTCGACTGCGTATCCACCTTTCCATTGCTCCAATACCGACATTGATCGACAAACAAGCAATTGACATCATCCATTCATCTGACAGCGCGGGCCCTCATAAACCAGAGAGACAACAATCGGCACAGCCGACTCGACGATCATCGAAATCCAGAGTGAACAAAACCGTCAGAAAAGAGAGTTTCCAGTGAACAGGTCAAATTTCCAACCAAGCACGGGGTCCGGTGTCTGAATACGAGTGCGGAGCCATGGTTAATTCAATGGTACACCATGGAGAGCCTGATAGTAAGAACGGACAGGAAATCTTGTGACTGGTAGAACCGACCACCAGCCTTGTGGAGAAAGATACTGGATAAAGAGGTCCTTGAAAAAGAAGACTTGCCAGACGAAGCGATTCTCGGAACTAAAGACATCATGAACCAACGCAATACGGGTAGCGAGATCGATATTGAAGTTCTATAGGGAAAGGTTACCCAAAATATGCTGGACTTCATCGATTCATACATTCTGCAACTGTCAGAGTTCAGATACAGACAGCTGCAAGATCTTGTCAAGACTGTGGTTCCAAGCATGAATGTGAATAATGATGGAAGGGCGCTGTCGATTAAATCTCAATCAACAAGGGAGAGATCCAAGCCAAGAAGGGACAGGAAGGCGTTGCCCCTGGTTGCCGACGATGACGAAGATACGGTGGACATGGATATGGGGTGGCTTGCAACGGACCCATAACGGGCGGCACGCAGACAGTCATCGGATAAGTCGACGTAGAGGCCGGGTTGTGGCCGGGAAGATTTCTCATTGCAATGACGACGATGACGATGAAGAGATGGAGGATGGAGGATGGAGAGGAGAGGGGATGTGGTAGTAAAACGACCGGTTCCGATCACGTGAAGCACGTGACTGTCCCTGGAAGTCAATTTCAATCCTCGACGCCCGCGAACTTGTCCGGGATAAAACCTGCACCGTGGGAGCCCGGAGCCCTAAACCTGGGCGGATTTTGCAGATACTACTGACGCCTGTTTTTATTTTTCGACCCCCCATCTCGTTTCCTTCTTTCGCGACCCATGTAGAAAAAACAGTTGCAGCGCAGGCAAGTTGGAAATACCCACCTCCTGAGCCACTTGGTCACTGTTTTTGTGTTATTTAATTACCTGAACGATGGCACCGCTGACTCTTTCTCCCTGCAAGAGGTCTTTTTCATCTTCATCTTCGCATTGGTCTCCGCTTTCGCAGCTCCATTCTCTCTCGATTTTTTTGTCCCCCGCACATGTGCGTCTCAGCGTCCTGTATCGGCCTCACTCCCGCCGTAGTAATTTTTCCCAGTCCCCTTCCCCCACATTCACGTCGACGTTTGCAAAACTGGCTCCTTCACGCACATATTCCTCTGCTACAACTCGTCTGAGCTTGATCTCACGACACCTGGAAGATCACCATCAATCCTCCTTCCCTCCCATCAACACTCCCTACGCTATCGAACGAGACTCCCTTCCTGCCTCGATAGACGACATTCTGTACCCAGGGCCTCCTCTACCGGTGCCTGTCCGAAGATCACCTCAGGTTCAGAAAAGAAAACTGTCGACCTCATCAGCGGCCAAAATGTCTTCGCAGGCGCCTCACCCTTCCCTCTTGATACCTGGGCCCATTGAGATCACGGATGAAGTCTCCCAATCCATGGCCCATTACGCCCAATCCCACGTGGGTCAGCCTTTTGTCAACACCTTTGGCGAGACCCTAACCCTGCTCCGCGGCCTTTTTCAAACCACAAACCCAGGCTCCCAGCCCTTCGTCATTGCGGGAAGTGGTACCCTCGGCTGGGATCTCGTGGCGGCCAACCTTGTTGAACCTGGTGAAGATGTGTTGGTTCTACATACTGGCTATTTTGGAGACTCTTTTGCCGACTGTCTTGCGACTTACGGTGCAAAACCGACACAACTCAAGGCTCCTATTGGCGACAGACCGCAACTTCCCGAGATTGAAGCAGCCTTGAAAGAGAAGAAATACAAGGCTGTAACAGTGACACACGTTGACACCTCCACTGGTGTGCTTTTCCCCATCCAACCTCTATCCGATCTCATCCGCCGCGTTTCGCCCGATACACTACTGGTGGTGGACGGTGTCTGCTCTGTTGGTGGAGAAGAACTTCATTTCGACAAGATGTCCATCGACGTGGCTCTGACCGCCTCGCAAAAAGCAATTGGCTGCCCCCCCGGCCTGTCGATAATGATGGTCTCAGAAAAAGCAATGAATGTGTTCCAATCACGAAAGTCTGCTCCCGGAAGCTACTATGCCAGCTTCAAGAACTGGCTTCCGATCATGCAGCATTACGAGGCCAAAAAGCCTTCATACTTCGCCACGCCACCTACTCAGCTAGTTCAGGCCCTCCACACATCCCTGAAGCAGGTCCTCTCACAGCCCCTTGAAAGCCGCTTTGCCCAACACCGAAAGGTCAGTCTGTATGTCAAATCCAAGGTGACGAGCATGGGCTTGAAACAATTGGCTTTGGATCCTGCAAACGCTGCGAATACCATGACGGCAATATATTTACCCGAGGGGCTGACGCCTCCGCAAATCCTGCCGAAGTTGATGGCCAAAGGTGTCGTGTTTGCAGGAGGCTTGCATCGGGAGATTGCGGCGAAATACATTCGTTTTGGACACATGGGTGTGAGCGCCATGGATGAGTCAAGAGGAGAAATTGATAAGGCACTCGAAGCTTTGAAAACAGGGTTGGCGGAAGTGGAGAACGCTAAGAAGTAAGATCTCCCTTGACTACCGAGCATTAGACTGGGGCATGATGATCCAAAAGCTGGGGAAAGTTCGGGGTAAGAAGGAAGAGAAGGAGCTTGCATGTTCGGGAAAATCAGGAAGTGGACTCGAGTCGAGATGCAGCTATCTTGCATATTGGACAATCCTCGTTGGAACGGTCGTGTTCGGGAACGAGAATATATGTGAAGACGATATACAAGCGAAGACAAAACTTCATGGCTTAGAAGAAAATGGGTTTCTGCGAGCTTCCCCAAATGTATATATATGCATGCATGTGGGCAAAGGAAAGTCCCGGGAATCGGCATGTGATGATACCAAGGCATCACGGAAGTAGAAAACAAAAATGAGGAACAATGTCAATCTTGATGACCGTGCGGGCATTCTTAGGCCTGATGCCCACTTCCAAAGCTGGATTTGGCCGAGTAATGTCCTTGATGCCTCTATTCGTGAATCCACCGCGCCCTCCTGGCTCGCTTATTCTCCCCTCGAGACAGTGTCTCTCCGTCTCAGGTGACCACGCAGAGAGACTCGGCTGAGAGATCCTGTGGATGAATCGAAGAACTAAGCTCGTCATTGGCGTAGTGAGAACCTGAAAGAAGACATCTCCCGTTCTTCTCTGCTAAGTCAGACCGGTGTTGTGAACGCAAGGGAGTTCGTCCTGCGAGGCCAACCCGCATCTCTAGTCAGACGTATTACGTTTGGTGGTGAGCCGGCAGAGGCATCTTCATCGGGAATCATGCCCGTGTGAAGAAGTACATATAGCTAAGAAGGTATGGGATCCAATTATCATGTGTGGATTTGCGTGTTCGCTATTTCGAGCGTGGACCGGAGAACCCCTTTTTGACCTCAGCCTCGTCGCCTCCTGCTGTTAGGCTCATGCGTGGGATGACAGCACTGGCATTCAATCTGCAATACGAAGCTGAAAATGCAATTCCCAAAGATCGATACTGTGTGAACGCAGACTTCCTGCTCTCAAATCAATAGCACATGATAAATGGATGGCGAAGACGTGTTTATATGCCCTCGATGTGGCCTTTCAGGATATGATTCTGCTGGAAGATATATTACTCTACGTCACCCTGCCACTACTACAGGATCGGGCTCACCCATCTAACCGAGTGAAGATTGACATCCCCCAAATAAAGTATCATGATTACCGCAAAACCAGGCTACTGGATTATGACCGAGTTTAGCGGCCTTCCTGTCCTAAATTGGGGGGGGATTTTCTTCTCTCCCAAACACCCAGGACTATCTACCGCGCGAGCCCGCATTCTCGTCTGTGGTGTCTGTGGTATTTCTGGAGTCGATAATACTATGAGGGCCGGTGGATATACTCGCGTCCCTCGGACGCCGCATCCGGGTTTTGCGCCTGAATACGAAATTGTTGGTATCGTTGATGAGTTTGGAGATCAGAATCGCAACAATGGTTTCAAGACCGGAGATGTCAGTGGCTCTGCCATATATGCGATTGTTCCCCTGGACAGGATGTTCAAGTTGAGACCGGCAGACAATCTGGTGAAAGCATTTGCATTGCCTTTGAACTACACGACCGCTTTTGGAATGTTGCTGGAGAGGCCAAAGAAATCAGTTCAAAAGTGACTTTGAAAGCAAGCTGTTGAGCCTGGTGCGGATGAATAAGTTCCATCCAAGTATCACCAAATTTTGGGGGCTCGGAAGACGACGTTGAGATTCATAAAATAGCTGCCACTGGAAACGGGATAACGAAGGAAAAGTGAGATCATTGTCGATAAAGCTTTGTGGAAGAGCACATATCTACATCTGCAGCGTAAAGTGACTCACAGCTGGACTGGTATCATACATTCTTCAGGGGAAATGCTCAGTATTAGATCTTGGTTCCTCCTGTTCGTTTGCGGTCTTTCCTCGGTGGCCCTCCAACCATCTTCATCCATTCTTCATCAACATTTTGTTTCTCCGCCAATGATTTCTTGCTCCACATTTCTCGAAAGCGTATTTCCTCTGCTCTCCAGATTGAAAGTTCCTGGTCAATCCAGCCACCAATAATCTCAGCTGATCGTGTGACGGCTTCCATAGGTATCATGTGGCCCACTCCCTCGAGCGTGATACCCTTGACACGGCCTTCTGGTGGGCCCCCGCTTCCTCCAACGCCTATTCCAGTAACGGCGAGTTTTTTCGTGTTTTGCTCCGCACTGGAAATGTGCGACGAACTTCCAAAGACATACAAAACTGGAGGTCTTAATTCCGGGAGTCGCTGGAATGTTGCATGCACTTCAGGTCGGTAGAATGGGTAGATGTGAGGCCATTTCGGGTCCAAGTCTGCATGGGTCTTGCGGTCGGTGGGTTTCTTATGTGTTCCATAGCCGTTGAAATTCGGACGTAGAAATGTGAAAGATTCCTGAGACGGTGTAGTAGTGAGAACTACAGGACGATTCGGTGATGACGCAGTATCGTCAGATGTTACGTTGAGCTCTCGAAGACCGTACTTGCACCAAAGATCCAGGGCCCTAGGATCCCAAGACTTGTAGAAGGGCGATCTCTTGCATTCTGCAATAGCAGCTTCTCGTGACGGCCAGGAGTTTCGACGAAAAGTGGCAAGCTGGACGGGGCGAAGATCCGCTACACCGGCACGATTTTCCATCCACTTCTCTTGAAGTACAGGATCCAGCAGAATCAGACCGGTGAACAGACGAGGATGCATCAGTGCAGTACCGATTCTGAGCGTTTGTTAGTACGCACGCTTTCGATAGCTAAACGGCTGGAACTCACAGATTCTGGCCGCCCATACTATGACCTATACCAATAATAGGTCTAGGCATCTCATCTCGTTTGAGGTTGATCAAGTACAAGAGATCTCGAGAGAAATCTGCTAAGCTCGGATCGTTCCCCAAGCGAGCCTCGTTCAGCACTCCACTTGCACCTTGATTGGCAACGTCGGCAATCCATATGCCGCGGATCCTGAAATTCAGATTCCTCGATCTAACCAACAAGTCCTCCCACAACGGCTCGTACAATTCTTTTGGAAAGGAGTTGGCATGAGCAGCAATAATGGTGAGGTCATTTGGATGGGGAGACGTGTTATCTGCTGGGATGTATTGTTTGACGGCTAGGTAGAGGGTGTCTTCCTGCTCACCGGCCAGAGCTTGAGGGTACTCTCGGATATATTGACATGGCAGCTTGTGTTCCACAACGCGAAAGGAGCCCATATCGAAAGGTAGAGGGAGATAGAAAAACTATTGGTAGTATTGCGGACTGAGGTGTGGCCTTGTGCCGAAATAAGTATCAAGCCCGGAGCCCGGAGCGGCCCACCTCGATCATGTCTGGATCGATAATCAACGGGAATTCCAGCCGAGACATCGATTCACCAGATATTGGTGAAAATGATCCAGTTATTTTATTTGCTCTCCACGATCTGAGCCTAAATGTGCAGTTTTGGTGCCTGGCAGAAGCGATGACATTGCATCATTAATTGGACGTCCTATCACTCTTTTGCCCCGAGAGAGTGTGTTTCATTTGGTTGTATGGATTAGGTATCGAAGGTGAATATATTCATTAAAGCACCATGTAGACTGAAGAATCGTATCCCATATCCATTTGTTCTTTTGAATTGTTTTGTTTGATTCTTCGGAGAGATCCCCTCATTCCTGTGCCGGCTTTCCAATTAGTCCTAATCTGCCTAGGCAAGCTAAACCTGGGTCAAGGGGATGGTATAGGGATAGGTCTTCGTCCACAATCAGGCGAAATCTCCTATTAAGATAGGGAATATCGTAGTGTTCATGGTTGAGAGCCGCCTCAATTCTTTCCATCATCTCGCCACGAGTTCCATTTGCAATTAAGGAAGTTGCGCGTGCGTGCTCCAAATAAGGACGAGCGTCATTTTGTTGTCTCGATTCCTGGTAAGATTTCCCAATCTCGACAAGGGTTGTTGCAGAACTATCTGCCCCAAGAGATTCGACGGCATCCGATGGGATTGCGCGAAACATGTCGTTAGCGACAAGATCATTTTCAACTATCAAGCGGGATTTGTTTCTGCAGCAATGCCGAGTTCAGCTCTTGTTCTTCGACAGGTCCATCAAAAAGCGGTTAAAAACATCACGGACTTCTCAAGAGCGCTGGGCGGGAATTCGATATTTTGCAGGATCTGACAGCGTTTGATGAGGGTGCAGGAAGCCCGAAGACTTTCGGTAATGTGATGACTAACCATTACCTCACGGTCACCGGCTTGGTTGATAATAGATACATCTGCAGGTGGCTCTATCCTTGCTTGTAGCTCTCTTGATTGATCCTTATGCTCTTTGGCCTCTGGCCGCTGAGTTTGGTCAGGACCAGGCTAGAAACAAAAGGTTCTGTAGAGAGACGAGACTGGTTTGTCCTAATCGAAGAGACATTACGTACTTGTGTAGCTAGTCGCTTCTTCCGAAAGCACTAAACCTGCGTGGCTGCGTAGGGGATGCATTGAAAAATCGGTCGTACTAGCTGAGTGCACGACAAAGAACGACAATCGCATCTTCGTCTCGGTTCCAGTTGTGATAGAGATCGGCAATTCGATGTATATGAGCTCTTGTCTCCTCGTGAACCATACCCCGATATTCCAGGTGCAGTTCACTCAATCTGTTGAGAATGCTGTTAGCTTCTTTCATTCTCACTGTCTGTGCGTAAAGGCCCGCGAGCTGACATGTAAGTGTAGTTGTATCGGCATGGATTAGCCCCTCCCCAGCAAGTAGGGTACAAGACTGATCGCTTGGACAATCAGTCATACAATTCAGATACCGCGCAGAGGTAGCACATCAAATGACCGAGAAGATTCAAAAGGAGTAACCCTTTGACAAGTTGCATCCCAGAACAATATGACTGTCGACCTGGCCGGATGGATGCTCCCGTCCTATCGATCCATCTTTGGCTAAATACTGATGCCATGCTTGTGGGATGGAAATTGGGAAGACCGTACTCCGTTGGCAGCCAGGCAGTCCTACATGCTTAAAGAATGTGTGATCCACACTTTCCATCCTCGCCTGCCAGAGAAAAAGTGTATCAGAAGCATATTGAAATATCCTGCAAGAATCTCGGCTCGCATTCTCGCTGAAAACATGGTCTCCTTAGCCGCTTTCGATTTTCAGGTCCTTTTATTCGTCTTCTGACGAACTTTGAGAGGGCTTGGAGCCTGGTGGGACTTGGAATGTTTTTGGGGTGAATACCGAAAAGGACAAAGATGCTCAAGTGTACTTTTCACGTAGTGTCCGTGGCTGGGTGTCGTTCTGTTGACATTGGAAAAGAATTCTTGTGGGAAGAATGGCTTGGGAGTTTGCTTTTGCTCCATATGGTTGATGCACGTTGTTGTGAAGGCCTTAGTTGAGTGGCTTGCTTATGTTGGCCGTGGAGTGCTTCTTGATGACCTTTCTGGGTCGGATGCATATTGGTGGACAACTCCTGTTGAGCGATTTGCTGGTCATGGAATACTTCCTTGGGACCTTGGAGTTGAGGGCTTTCCTAGATCTAAGCAACAAGCTGTACAGTAGAATGGGTTGACGCGGTTCAGGTTGATGGACTTGTTGACTCCCGTACATCGGATAGGGAGCTAGTGGCGCACCAATCCGCTGCTCCTCTTTCATTCGTCATTCTCAAGATCTCTAGTATTGGCTTTCCTTAGTCATCTGCATGCCGACACAGAACATTGAGAATCGAGGCATTCGTCTGGAAACGTGTATGCTCTCCGTCATCGTTCCGTGGAAAGAATACCACGTACTTCTCCTTTCGCAACCAGCAGGTCTGTCAGCATCAACAACAGGCGTGATTGTCGATATACAATATCCTGACTGGTTGGATTTCCAACAAAATTCAAATTTCTTATAACATCAGGTGTCTTGCCCGCGAAGATCCCAGCACCCATCCTGTCTTCAGGAAATGCCATCAAAATCGGTGATAGAGCTCCTCGGACATTTGTTTTCCTCTTCTCCATAACGGTGGTTTTTTCGAATTCCGAGAAATATGACTCAAGTCATGGAGCAGAGAGATTCGGGGAGCTGCGTACTTTAATATAGTTATTGGAGGGATGGCACTTCAGGCGGATGTCGTTCGTCACGATGCGTGCAGCCTCTTCATTATTCTTCGGCTGATATGCCCGCTAAGGGTCGGATTCCAATGTTCACGCCTTCCACGGCTTCACAACTAAAGGATACCAATCAAGTATCTACTCCCCAGGATTTGGTGTGAATGTAGTAAAATCGCGCAAGGCTGCGGGCACCTTGGAAGTCTTGGCACCTGGCGGAGCCATAAACACCACGATAAGAAACCTTGGAGGGAAAGAGAAGTGCGTATAAGCACGAACATTATTCAGACTTGTTCGAACATACACGATCCAACACAAATTCCAGACACTTTTCCCACAAACCTCCTCGATGAGGTGTTTGTGGAGGCGTAAGACCGGGTTCGCAGAGATGTTCCGGTCGGGATCTCTCGTAGAGAGGAGGATTGTAGTTCGCTGGTTTGAGGAGAACTTTGTGTTTTTGGAGCTATTCACGGGAAACAATGCGGGAGATCATCTGGCTATCTGGGCTCCGGATGTTGTAGGTAGATCTCCAGACTGGGTTCGAGTTACCCTCAACGAAGAGAAATTATCTTGGTCCGCGAGGGTGGATGCCCATACCAACAGCGGGCTATGCACCCAACAACGCGCAAGGTCCTATCTCAACGAGAGCACGAACCTTCAACTCATCACCGTGGCTGGACGATCGAGCGATATTAAGAAAATAACTTCTTATCGCTGCAAGCGTCAACCTTGGCTCCATCACTATTGATACCCACCTTCGGCTTAGGGCGAACAAAAGGAGCCAATCTGTAAGGTCCAAAATGTCGTGTAATCGAGGTGAATTGATCATACTCTCCCTTGACACGCCTAGATACAACCTGACGTGGCGTGACACTACGGACCGAACTAAGGCGAGGGAATCGGTTTGACAGGTAGTCAGAAAGGGTACAAGAAAACCCAGGCCAGCTGAAAGTCAAATCATAAAGAGGAAGGGGTCTCGTGATCCCTGCTCACGCGACAGCATGGTCTGTGGTTGCAGTTTAGAGATACGTGTTGTCATCTGTTGACAGTGTTGAGAGAGTGTGGTTCAAATAGCGACACGGGACCAGAGGATATGACTGAGGACTGAGCTCTGAGAGTCAGCATGGGATGTGTTGCATCTACCCTATCCAATGTGGATGTCTGTGTACTTGCTCCATGGACATATGTCTTCTTGGGCCGTTTCGATTCCATTCCTTCAATCAGTTGCTCATGCGCACTAACTCGAATTGGACTGTGCCTCCGGTTTGTCATAGCGGTCGTAACATAGCAGATTGTATTGTCGTACTGAACATTGTCCCCAAGCTCATTTTGCAAGCTGATGGCTCTCTCAGCCGAGAATCAAAATTCCCTCAACGCCTCCCTTGATGATTCGAAAACGACAGGATCACTGAACATGACAGAGCAGAGAAGAACAATAATTTGGCCTCGTCCATATCATATCAGCCTGTAAAATCACGATCCCACTCCGACATAAGACTGCTTTTTCTCTAAACCGTCCATCGCATCACAAACCGAAGAAACTTTTCATTCCCTTGTGGGGGTCGACATCCACTTTTCCGCCTGTCGAACTTTTAGCCCCCGCGAACATGAGGGCCAACTGCGCCACACCAACAACCACGACACTTGCGACAGCAACCGCAACAATCCCCCAGTGTACTACACTCAATATCTGCTTCCTCATAAGAATCAGGATCATGGCAGTGACAGCACATATCTCGGCGGTGATAACTCCACCGAGGACCCCCGCATCAACTTCGATAAAAGCCTTCTTACGACCTGTCCCAAGCAAAATTGCTGACATGCCAAGCAATATGTAAGAGATGACGAGGAGGCCACTGTAAAAGAAAAAGAGGGTTCTTTCCAGGGACCGTTGACGGGGGCTGAGTAACTGGTGAGGACGGTGGGGCAAGGATCCCGGTGTTTTCGAAGAATATGAGTTGGGCCGACTTTTCTTATGTTTATGGGGTTGTGGCACGATCAACTCGTCGGTATCCGAATCTGATGACTCTGGATCGCCATCGCCGGTTTGCTGATCAGCGAGCAAAGGTGTTCGCTCTGATGAGGACTTTTGGCCCGTTGGTGCGGAGGCAAGAGGTAACCAAGACAAGACTCTACTGGTGCCTTTGCATAGGCTGTTGTACATGACCCCGAAAGCCTTGGACACTGTTTCAGCACCTGGAAAGGCAGGCTCGTTGGGATCGACATAGATAGCATATCCCTCTTCTGGGTTCGCATCTGAGTCTCCGTCGTCGAATTCGTTCCAGTACCTAATAGGAGTGGGATCCCTTTCGGGAACCTTGATTCGTGCACGTTTTCGCCTTCGATTCTTATTCGGTGCACCCTTTGATGCCATCTGAAGAGAGGCTTCACCGGTGACCCCGATGTCATCTGAGGTCACAGAAGAATATCCACGGGCGGCCACCGAAAAGACACTGTCGGTGGGGCCATCGCTAGAAGACGGTCCTGAAGAGGTGCCAGCCACGTCAGAAGCGCTCACCCGGGTGCGATTCGCTGTTCCGGGCCGGGACACGCGAGGGACTATGGGTACCTTCCTAATGTCTTTCTCCAGAAGAGGGTGCCATGATGCCGGAGGAAGGTCCTTCTGAGCCGTGTGAATGGCCATACCCTCCAGCGTAAAGTCGTAGACCCTTTCTACTAGATGTGACTCGTCAAAGGCTCGAACAACGGCAGGCGTGCGAGCAAATTCCCAGCGGATATGAGAATAGCGTATGGGAAAGCGTCGCCGGCCTGAGAGGGATGATGCGGTTCACCAAGCTGCTGCATATCCACGGGCATGACGGTGACGGAGGTGTCGAGTGTGGCCCAATTTGCGACTTCGGCCGTATTGGTCAGTCCGACGTATCGGGTGCGATTGGTGCAGACCTCGGCCAAGGGTTTGACGTCTCGATGTTCTGTGAGGTAGTGCTGGATGGCGCGAATTTCGTTGGAGACATTGGACGCCAAAGATTCGCGTTGAAGAGCGCCTGCCAGGTCCTTGCGGTCGAGGGTGAGAATGGTACCACCGGACGACGTGGGCGAAAGTCCGGCCAGAGTCACGACAGCTTCCGGGTTGTAGCTCCAGTGGCCACTCAGCGCGATTTGTGAGGGCCTCGACGTGCCGAAATCTTTGACGAACCGGTGTGCATTGTCAAAGACAACCATATGCACGAGGGCCGAGCTGGGGCCGGAGAAAGACATAAGCCGTTTTCGGGTACCGTCCCAGTTTCCAGAATCTCTTCGTGATGGTGTTGAAGGGACAGAGCCATCACGCATATGTCTCAGAAGCAGTGTCCGGGCCTCGTCCAGGTTGTCCGGGTGAATCCAATAGAAGGCGCTGCCGGCGGCCTCCCCATAGGGCACTGTCAATACCGCAGCATCAAACGCAAGAGGACCCCGGAGGACGGCATCGTTAATTTGAGTCACCGCGGACCTCTTTGCAGAAGCGGAAATGCGTTTCTGTTGCCTATCCGCCGAACGTTCTCGAGGGCGTCCAGTCAGCATCGGACCGGCGAGTTCTTCCGTCAAGATGGCGGATTGTTCCGCCAGTTGCTGAAGGTAGTCAGAGAAATCCGTCTGCAGCTTTTTGGAAGAGAAGACCTCCACGTCCAGCCGAGTCTGCAACGAGGTCGATCCGGTCCATTTACGGTACTTCTTCAAAATCTTGCGGAAGGCGGTCTTCTGGACAGCGGCAAAGCGGGACAGGTTTTGTATCTCATCTCCAATGTCTTCTGTATCCCGGACCAGCTGTTGGTACTTGCGAGCTTGCATGATTGGCTTATCGAAAGCATGGTCTTCGACTGCGCGTTGTGCTGTACGAATCTGCTTTTCGAGGTGGGCCAGGCGTCGTTCAATCTCGCCCTGCTTGCTTCGAAGAAAGAGGGTGACATTGTCATATTCGGCTTGCAAGACCTTGAACAGCTGATTGTCCAGCTCTTCCCAACGACTCTTTCCTTGCGTGGGGATATCGACAGGAACAGCTACGCCGGCGGAGGTTTTATTCTTGATGAGGTGTTTTATTTCATTGTATTTAAAATTGTACGCAGCCCATTTTGGCACCGACCTCTGGTACAGAGTCTCGCCGAACTTCATTGGCGTTTACTGTAAGCTGGCGTTGAGTGTGGGGAGGCTAACCTCGAGGGCGAAGGAACGGTTCATGGGAGAAGGGACGAATTCGGCAAAAGCGACGAGTGAGCGGGGAGACTGGAGGAGATATGAAGGGGACTGTTATGTCCAAAGGAAGGCCATGCATGTGAGGAGGTGGCGAAGGAGAGAAAGATAAACTGATATTGTGAGAGAAGAGGTGATAAAATAGCCCAGAATGTTATAAGCCGGGGTAACCCCCAGTGGTGTTATGAAGGCCGGCCCCTCCGATAACGAGCCTGCTTGATGCAAGTCACTATCAAAAAACGCTGAAAGACTAATTAAATGCAGGTGATGGCTTGGGCTTGAGATGTTTCGCAGTTGGGGGACTGGACATTGGCCTAATGGACCTAGTGGAGATTATTTGGAGTGAAGACGATTCTGAGATGCAATTTCGGTGCTTGGTGTCGGATTAGAGGCTCGAGACATGAGCAGGAACCAGGCCTGGAGCCTTAAAAGCCTATTTTGATGTGCTTTGGGAGAGCCAGTTCGGCAGAGCTCCCGCAGAGCGTTAGTTAGACTGCTGTCACTGTCAGGTAAGCGAGGTAAGCGACTCTTGGCTAAGAAATATTGGCGCGTTCATACAATCCACTTCCTCCTCAACTAACAAAGCGCAATCACCAGACCCATCTACTTAGGTTTTATCCCACCATGAACCAAACTTGTTTTTAGGTATCTCCGTTGTAAGAGACCACCAGTGTTATCTTCTCAGTTTTGTCTGTGTGCGGGCCATGCGGACAGCTGCGGTCAATACTACCAGTTAACTTGTCATGGCATCGCGCGATACAAGGGTGACTGGGAATCAGCTTTTTTTTCTCCTCACATGCCAGTTGCGTCATTGGCTTTTTCTGGACATGATGTTCATAGCATAGGAGCGGGTCCAGGGTCGTGTCGGCTTGCTTTACCTGCCCTTCCGTGTATCGTGAATGATAGTGGCATCTCCCCACTACTACGTTTTGCCTGTAAAATCGGCCGAGACACACCAAAGAGGGGTAAAATGCGCAGAGATATCCCTGCCTATCCGATATCGAGGTGGCTGGTATCAACCTTGAAATCATCCCACGCGACCACTGAGTGCTGTAAGTGGCTACTACATATGAGGTGCAGGGGGGAGGCCCTATAAACAGAGACTGGCAAAGTTCGGCACACGACACCATTACTGTGCCAGCAATTAGCCGGAATTGTGGAGCGGTGTAGCTCGCCAAAATTTATTCTCCGAAGTGTTGAAACTTTACTGGCTAGTGGCTGTTGAAAAAATAATAAAAAATATCCATCACCAAACCGAGCACGAGGCACAACGGCGGACAACGGGGCTTGCATTCCGAATACCTGCCCATAAACATCATGGCTACGGTTAGCGGTACACCAACTGACTCGGCAGGACTGCTTGCAAGTCTCTCCGATTCCTCACAATTGTTCCTGCAGCCATCATCCTTTCTCCATTTGGAGACGCTCGCATGTTTGAAATCCCTCCTCGATCCTTTAGCGGCCGATGTTGCAGATGCCCAAAAGCTGAGGCGAGATGAAAATCGAAGAAAGAGAAAGCGGGGAGATATCGCGGACGAAGAGGAAGTTCTGCAATTGCGTCAAATATACACGCATGGGCTTGGTGTAAAACAAGTATGGGAACAGGCGAGACGAGTTCTTGATGCTGCGTGTTCGGAAGTTGAGAAAGACATCGTCGCTCACAAGGCCCTCGCCGAGGCAGGTAACTCAACCTCCAACCGCATGAATGGTCGCAGGACAGACGACGACGATCTCTCACTTGGCTCAGAAGAGGACGAGAGTATGCAGGAAGAAGATGACATTGAGGTTGATATGCTGGACAACGAATTCTCTGGTGGAGATGATGATCATGATGAGGAGGAAGATATTGAAGGAGACATCGAGGCCGAAGACTCCGAATCAGAAATCGAACAGCAGGATCCGGGAACCTATATTCCAGACCCCCACCATCTGAATGACGGTTTCTTTTCTATCGATGACTTCAATAAGCAAACCCAATTCCTTGAGCAGCAAGATGCTAGAGGCGAGGATGACAACCCCAGTGATGAAGATGAAATCGATTGGGATGCGGATCCATTCACCATGGCCTATCACAAACCCAAAGGGAAAGTCGGCGATCAGAATACGGGCCGAGGAAATGACCTGGACGCCGAGGATGATTCCGGTGATGACGAAGATGCTGGTCCAACCTTTGGAAATGCGGACTTGAATGCCCATGACGGCGACGAAGATATGTTGAACGAGGAAGAAGACGGGAATCTCGACGGTGGTGTCCCCGGACTGGACAACACCAACGAAATTCGATATGCCGACTTCTTTGTCCCTCCTCCCAAACGGCTGTCAAAATCAAAACGCATGCGCGCACTGCCCAAAACACAGCCAACTCCTCAGCTGCGTCTTCAACGGGAGGAAGATATTGAAAATGACATGCAACGGGCGATCGCTGATGTTCGACGCGACCTTCTTGAATCCGACGAAGAAGTTTCCGACTTCGAATCGGGTTCTGATATGGACGACGCAATACCGTCAATGAAGAATATGTCTACCCACGAGAAACAAAGGGCCGCTATTGCAGCGGAGATCCGTCGTCTTGAAGCTGCCAATGTAGCGAAACGAGACTGGACATTGTCTGGCGAAGCCCGTGCGGTCGATCGACCTCTGAACTCACTAATCGAGGAGGATCTGGAGTTCGAACGAGTCGGCAAACCAGTGCCTGTCATTACGGCCGAAGTCTCAGAAGAGATTGAGCGATTGGTCAAGCGACGCATCTTGGCACGAGAATTTGACGAAGTCATCCGGCGACTTCCTGATGCTATTGGAAGCGCCAGTATGACCCGTCGCGGACGGATTCATCTTGACGATACGAAACCACAATCCGGTCTGGCGGACATTTACGAACAGGAACACCTCCGCGCCACAGACCCAGGATACGTGGACACGCGGTCCGCCGCAACGAAGAAACAGCATGAGGAGATTTCTCGGCTATGGAAGGAGGTGTCAAGTCAATTGGACCTGTTGAGTAACCTACATTTCAAACCGAAGCGCTTGGAGGTAGAAATCAAGGCGGTAGAAGATACACCGGTCATCAGCATGGAAGATGCGAGACCCGTGGGTACGGGTATCAATGGAGAAGCAAGCATGCTTGCCCCTCAGGAGGTGTACCGGCCCGGCGAAGAGAAGTCGCGAGGGGATGGCGATCGAGACGTGATTGTGCGCAAAAGCGGTTCGAGCGTGAATAAAGACGAAATGACAAGGGAGGAAAAACTCCGGCGACGAAGGCGGGAGAAAGAGCGGATGAAAAAATCCCAAGCGCAAGCGGGGAAGAACTCGTCAGTGTCATCATCAGGTGCCGGCGATGCAAGGGCCAACAAGCAGGGCAAGAAATCCAAGGACCAAGAGAAAGCAGACATCCTCTCCGAACTGCGCAAAGGAAATGTCAAGGTCGTGGGGAAGAAGGGCGAGCTGCGTGATATCGATGGGAAGACAGGCAAAAAGCGCAACGGCGAATCGAGCATTCATGCCAGTTCTGGAGCAGGATCGTGGAAGCTGTAGCAACTAATAGGACTCGATTCAACAAGCCTCCCATTCTGACGTACCCATATATTAATTTAAGAACACCAAGTCAGGCACTAGCGAGGTAGATGCGCAAAACAAAATGAAATCTTGTGAGAAAGATTTAGAGTTGGAAAATAAGAGCACACAAAACTAAATAGGGGTATCTATCCACCTCCACATACAACTTCAAAGAATCAAGGACAAAATTATGTATAATGAGAATAACGTCCTGGTCCCAATACGATGTCCCGCTGCAAGATCCGATTCGTACAGAAATCGAGAATATAGACATAAAGACAAGACATAGTTGCCAAAACGAGTGATGTGGATGAGGCTGACGGGTCTTGCCGGTGATTCGACCCGGCCCGGCGACAGATTCTGAGGGCAAGAGAGGATTCAACCAGGTAATGAATGCGCTTCGCCTGTGGTAATATGTGCCGGTGATGTGGGCGAGCCGATGTGAGCCCAATGTGTCTGGTCCAGCAGACACGAATCATTGAGCTCAGAATGTCCCCGTTTTGAGTGGCTGTCGGGTTCGGTTCCGTCCCCGTCGTTCTTAAATGTCCGGTCCGGTCCACCTCATTATTTTCAAGTGGCGCCGTAAAATGCTGTGGTGCAGCCATGTGTGATCCAAGCATAATTGACTCAAAAGAGTCCACCAAGAAAGCTCCTGCGCTTACTATCGTTCCGGCTACCCAGAGCGGGTCTCCCATCCCAAGTCTTGATGGGGACTTCATCATAGTTGTACCCGCTGTAGCCACGATCATCCGCAGGGTCGCGATCTCGTCGTCGCCTTCGTTCTTTCCTGTCTCGCTCGTCGCTACCGCCGCTCGCACTCTTACCTTCTGCACGACGAGAACTCTTTCTTCGTGCGCGATATTCTTCAATCTCCGCATCCGTCATTCCAGCATACTTGTCGCGGTTGCGACTGCTGCGTTTGTGAGAGTCGATTTCATCTGCCGGTCGCGGTTTCTCGCCACTGGGGTCCAAGATTGTGCCCTCAACAGGTGGAATCTCGGGGGGCTCATCCGCTTGCGAGTTGATCCACGAGCTGGTCTTGTTTGCTGGCGGTGCGGTTCCCTTGCCGCTCCCACTTCGACTCTCATGGTATTCTTCGACCAAAGCACTGGACCTTTTGCGGCTTGATCTTTCTCCGTCTTTGTCTCGGCCTTTCCGTTCTTCTCTTCGTCTCCGTCTATCCTCTTCTTCAGCATAATATGACTTTCTTCGTTCTTCTCGTGCTATCTCGCGATCTCCACCTTGTTCAGCTTCAAGTTGAGCACGAAGTCGCCTCCGTTCTTCTCGCCTTCGTTCGGCTTCTGCATTCATCTCGAGTTCTTCTTGCTGGATGCGTGCTTCTCTTGCGGCTCGACGGGCTCGCTTTTCTTCTCGGCGTCGTTCTTCTTCTTCCTCTTCTCTTCTGGCGCGCTCACGAGCTTTACGTTGACGAGCTTCTATGTCGGCCTTTTCCCGTTCCCGTCTCTCTTTTCGCCGCTGCTCACGTTCCACACGGTCGGCTTCCTCCGTCCGATCACGAGCTTCTCGCTTCGCTCTCCGCTCAGCGCGTCGAGCCTCCATGTCGACGTCCGTTTCGGCAGGCGCGTCAGTCGTGAAGCCTTCTCCGTCCACAACTCGGGATCTTCTCTTTGATCGGTCTTTAGTTCGGACCGGTAGCCCTTGGTCCTCAGCGTCAGTGAGGGTGGTACTCCTTGGTCGCTCCTTTTCGGTCTCCACGGGCCTTGTGGTTCCAAAGAAACTGCTGAAAAATCCCGTAGATCTTCTTGATGCTGTAGTACTGCTTCTTTTCAAAGAAGGAGGAGGGTGATCTACAAAGGCCATGTCGTCAGGGCCGCTGGTGACTAATGGTTCGCCATGCGTAGCATTGTCCACCATGACCACATCGTCATCTTGAGAAACCGTTTTGCCGTGCGACTTGATCTGTGAATAAGAAACCCGTCCGTCAGCTTGCACTTCTTTGATGAAGTCTGGTGACCAAGATGGGCGAACTATTTGCTCCCGTCGATTAGAGGAGGCTTTTGTACCTACCTCTTTCTTTGATTTGGAAGCCTTGGATTTTGATTTCTCAGTCGTAAATGTGCCATTGGCCGCAGGTGGATTGTCGTGGGTATGGATCATCACCATATCGTCGTCGTCGATTGGGTATGGATCGGGAGCGCCTAGGTAGAAGGAGCTATTAGCGCTGGTCATGCTTCCGCGGGTGACACGGCACCGTTATTTAACGTACCTGACGATTTTCCTTTCACCGACCGTCGTCGCTCCACTTTGGAGGTTTTCATGCCCATAAGCTTCGCCGCCTTGTCGGTCACTTCAGGCTCGTCTTCAAGTGGGGACACAAGACCGTCCATAGATTGACGTCGAGATGATGGCCTAGAGCTTGCGGCGCCGCTAGGTCTTCGAGTCGTCTTGGGCCGCATCGCCGATGGGGGAGGTCCGCCGAACATAAAGTTGGAGAATGACGTACCACGGGTAGTCGTCTTAGGTCGTTCCGTTTTCCTCGGCTTCGTCTCCTTGTCGGATCCAGAAGACTTAGACAGCTTTTCGGCTTCTTTCTTGTCCTCCTGCTCCTTTTCCTTGGGAGTTCGAGTGGACTTGGATCTAGTGAGGCCAGGCGGTGACTTCTCTTTCTTGACAGTCGGCGACATATCAGTGTCTTCCTTGAGCTTTTCTTTGGTCGGTCTCTTCGGTGGTGGGGCTGCACCCCAGAATCCCCAGGAAGCAGTAGCAGAACGCTCGATCCGCGGTCGCTCCTTCTTGGCAGTCTTCTTTTCCTCGGACGGAGGTGTAGGAGGCTTCGGTTCCTCGTCGAGCAGATCCAAGTCCTTGGCCGCAGATTCCTTGGGTGTGGTGGTCTTGGACTTGGTACTTTTCTTCTCAACAGTCTTGGTCTTTGATTTAGGCTTTTCGGGTGACGCTGGCAGTGACGGGTTGTCAAGGTCGAGAATGTCGTCAAGGTCGTCGCCAAACGCGCCAGGGAAGCTCCCGGGAACGGAGTCTTTTGATTTCTTCTCCTCGGCAACGGGGGACGCGTCGGTCTTCTGCTTGCTGGTCTTTGTAGAGGTTGTTTTCGTCTTGACGGATGCCTTGTCCTTGAGCTTCTTTTCCTCTTTGGGCGATGGCACGTCTTCTGGTGGAGGCAAATCCTTAGTCAGCACCTTGTCGGTCTTCGACTTCTTTCCGCTCTCTTCTTTGGTGCCCTCCAAAGCCTTGATGCGTTCCGCAACAGAGGAGCCCAGCTTATTCTTGGTGGTCATTGCCTTTGAGGTCTTTGAAGAAGCAACGGGCTTGTCGAGGTCCAGTCCAAGGTCGAGGTCCTTTGTGAGGTCTGCTAGCGCGTCACCCTCATTGGCCGACCCCTGTTTGGTAATTTCCCTTTTGGAGTCAAGGTCCTTTTTGCCAGCTGTCTTTTTGGACGTCGACGCGCTCCCCCAGAATCCAAAGTAGTCGTCATCTTTCTTTTCTTCGACCTTCTCTTCCTGGTTAGAAGTGGTCTTCTTCAGCTTAGATCCCTTGCCAGTTTTGGATGCGGGTGTAGGCTCGTCAAGAATGTCAATAAGATCAATTGCATCCTTGGTTTTGCTGGATTTGGAGTCCGTTTTGGATAGTTTGCCGTTCTTCTTTTTCGAAGTCTTTGCGACTGCAGCTGCTGCAGCTTCTTCTTCTGCCAATCGTGCTGCTTCCGCCTCGGCCTCTTCAGCCTCTCGAGCCAGCCTTTCTTCCTCTTCTTTTTGGGCTTGCTCTTCGGCCTCCTTTTTAGCCTTGGCTTCTTTTTCCTTTTTGGTCAGTTTGGTGGTCCCCGTTGACGTTCCAAAGCCCCATATGCTCTTCATAGCCTTGGCGGGAGTTTCTTCTGGCAGAGGGTCCTCCACAGGTGCAATGTCGCCCGAGTCGTCTACGTCTTTGCTCTTCTTCGTCTTGTCCTTCCCCGTGGTCGTCTTGGAGCCCGTGGTCTTTTTCGAGGACGTCTTGCTCTTTGTTGTGGTCAACGCAGCCCATGTGTCGTCCACGGCGTCGTTGTCCAGCAACTCCATTGGATCAGGTTCTGGGGTTAAACCTTGAGCTGGTGGACTTGGAACGGGCGGGGGAGGCTCCTCCTTGCTCTTGGACTTCTTACTTCCTTTCTTATCCTTGACGCCCCAAGAGGCCCATAGGTCATCTCCCGCAGGAGTTTCGGGGTTTTCCGGTACCTGGGGCTCCTCGACTTCAGTGATGCCCTTCTTTTTGTCTTTTGCGGATTTCTTCTTGTCTTTAGCAGAGGTACTGAAGGATCCCCATATGTCTTCAGTCTTGTCTTCCACTGGCTGTGGTTCAGGTTCCACGACGGGTTCGGGCTCGGCATCAGGAGGTGCTACTGCGGTGGACTTCTTCTTCGCCTCCTTCTCTTTCTTCTTCTTATCTTTCGATGAGAGGGTGGCGAAACTGCCCCAGTCGTCCTCTTCCTTAATTCCTGCTACGGGCTCGGGTTCCGGCGGAGGCGGCGGCGGTTCCTCGTCGAGGTCAAGGAATCCTTTTTTCTTGGTCTCATTTTCCTTCTTCTTCTTTTTATCTTTGGAAGAAATTGCACTCCAGGTACCCCAGATATCATTCTCCTTGACCTCTGGTTCCGGCTCAGGCTCTGCTGGTGGTGGCGGGAGGTCTTCTTCCACGAGATCTAAGAAGCCCTTCTTTTTGGCTTCTTTCTCCCTTTTCTTTTTCTCTTTGGCAGACAAACCGACCGTTCCCCAAATGTCATTGTCCTTTGTCTGCGGCTCCGGCTCGGGCCATACTTCAGGAGGTGGCGGAGGCTCGTCAATTTCGTCGAAAAGTCCCTTCTTTTTCGCTTCCTTTTCCTTCTTCTTCTTCTCCTTGGAAGATAGTCCGAATCCGGCCCACGGGTCATCCTCTTTAGCTTCGGGTTCAGATTCAGGAGCAGGTGCTGGGGGATCTTCGATCGTATCCAAGAATCCCTTTTTCTTAGATTTCTTTTTATCCTTGACGGTGGTTCCCCAGCCTCCCCATGTGTCGTCTTCTTTGACTCCTGGCTCTGACTGAGGCTCTGGAACTGGAGGAGGTGGTGGAGGCTCTTCGTCGGGAATAATCAATCCCTTCTTTTTAGCTTCTTTTTCCTTCTTTTTCCTCTCTTTAGCGGAAAGATTGGCCCAGCCACTGATATCAGCGATGCTGTCCTTGGGTTCTTCTTTGACCGGTTCAGGTTCGGGCTCAACCTCGACTATGGGATCTGGGATGGATGGTTCAGGGCTTGCAAATTTGCCTTTCTTTCCCTTCTTGTCTTTCTTTCCGAAAGAGCTCCATATATCTTCGGATGCAGCCGGGGGCTCAGGTTCAGGCTGCGGTGGAGGCGGAATTTCTTCAGGGGCTGCTCCCTTCTTTCCCTTTTTATCTTTTTTGCCTTTGGTCGTGCTAGAAACGGCACAACTGTCCTCCGCTGCGGGAGGATCGATCGTGGTGGTTTTAATGTCAGCAGGAAAGCCCATATCGACAGAAGCGGAGAGGTCCTCAATACCGCTTTTTTTTCCCTTCTTGTCTTTCTTCTTGGTCCCCCAAGCTGCAGCCATCCAGTCATCCCCATCCCCAGTTGTTGTATCTGGCTCGGCAGGGGGATTAGGCGCGGCTAGAAGGTCGTCATTGAAATCACCCATGAAGCCCTTCTTGTTCTTCTTGCCTGTCCCGAAGCCCCAGTCAAAAGCGTTGTCGGTTTCTCCGGCATCGACTGCGGGGTCCCTAGTCTCCACGGCAGGCTCTTCGACAGCTCCTTTTTTCCCCTTTTTCTTGTCCTTCTTGATAGTAGTAAACGCCGACCATTCATCCTTGGCAGCTGCTGGCTCTGGTTCAGCCGGGGCAGACGGGAGAGTCGGCAGTGGATCCTCGTCTAAAAATCCTTTCTTTTTTTTCTTCTTGGATGTAGACGTTCCCCAGCCCCCCAAAGATTCCTGTTCTTTCGGTTCAGGGTCGGCTGGAGCTGACTTGTCCTCCCTTTTCTCTTCCAAGAGATCCTTTTTCTTCTTATCCTTCTTGTTCATGGTAGGAAAGCCCCAGGCATCATCGGTGGTCTTCGTCTCACCGACGTCGCCGTCAAACCCGAATTCAGTATTGCCGGAGTTTAGATCACCAAAATCGAACCCAAATGTTGTGGTCTTTTTCTTGGATTTATTACCAAGTGACCAGGGATTGTTATCACCGAATTCTGTCGAGGTTTCTTTCCTGTCACTATCCCTTTTGGGGAGCCTCTCGTCAACTTTGGTTGTGGCAGTATCAAGGGATCCAAAGTCCCAAGTTTTCCCCCATGCCCCGAAGCTGCCGGAATCCTTCTTGTCGTCGGATCCGCCAAAGCTGAATTCCAACTTCGGCGCGGTGTCATCGAGGCTGATGTCCTGAAAAGCTGAGGCGCCTGGTGGGTCAGGAGCTGAAGGGAGAGCGTCGTCAACACCCTGATCAGTCAGCGTGTACCAAGTTCAACAATTAAATACCCTTACCTTTTTGTTTTTCTTTCTTTTATCTTTCTTGGTCGTGAAACCTGTTGTCCAATCGTCATCTGCTGCGGCGTTGTTCGTTTCATCAGCCCAACTGAGAGGGTTGGCAGTATTAGCGTCCTCTTCCTCCTTTTTCTTTCTTTGTTCCTCCTCTTCCTGTTTTTTCTTTTCCTCTTCCTCTTGCTTCTTTTTGTTCTTCTTTTTGTTCTTCTTACTAGTTCCCCAATCCCAGTCGTCTTCTTCTTGTCCACCTCCATTGTTGTCGTCCCCCCCGCCGCCAGCGCCACCAGCACCTCCACCGTTATCCCCGCCTCCGCCAGTGCCATCTTCACCTCCGCCGGCGGCATTGCCATCACCTTCGTTATCAGACTCGAACCATTTAGCTTGCTGGGCTTGTTTGGCTGCTTTTTTGGCCTTCTTGCCTCTTGCTTGTACACCGGTGGTGTTGTCAAAGTCTATACTGAAATCCATTCCGGGGACAGAGGTCTTTCGATTCGGGATTGAGGAACGCGGTTCGGGTTGCTCTGGGGCGGTAACGATTTGAGGTCGTGCAAGTGAATCGGTCAGGTCATTGGGAGGGAGAGCTTCGGCAGGGCAGGGGGCCCGGTACTTTCCATAAATCCGGGTATAAGTTGCCAACTGCTGCAACAAGGCTGCGACCAGCGCAGTTGCTTTCAGATAGTCATAATAATTCGGGACGACCTGCCATGTCTCGTGTCAGGTAAAAGTCTCGGTCAAATTCGGCGAGGGAGCAGAAGACGGCATTTAGAGAACGGGGCGGAGAGAAGTGTACAGGCAAGGGACTCGACAATTCACGTTAGAATAGAGGGATGTCTTGCATACCCGTTGTCCTGGCTTGCTGCTCTCGAGCATGGCGGTGTGCATGCTGTAGCGCCAATCGGTAGTGCGATTAATACCAGCCTCCGGCATCTCGCAACAACGCGACAATTGACGCTCATCCGTTCCCGTCCTCCACCCACTCGGGGTCTTTGGTCGAAAAAATGCGCTCGGCCACACATGGGCCGGGGGCGACGCGGCTACGAGAGCCGCCATGCTGTTGTTGAGCAAGGGACTGATGCAGATGGGGGTCGGAGTGGGCGAGCATTGGCTGCGACGGCAAAAATCGCAAAGTCAAGGGGGGGGAAAATAAGGACAGAAAGATGTGAGGCTGCGTATCTACAGTCCAGAGCCTCTTCTCAAAGCGATAAAGTCAGCTGTGAAGCGATGCTCGAGCTGGTGTGAATGCAGCGTCAGGAGGTCGCAAAGCAAGGTGTTCTGAGACAGCCATTCGATTGGGCGTTTAGTGTGTAAGTGGGTGGCGTCGCAACGCTCCCCCTTGCAGGGCGCTTCACGTCCCAGAAACAGTCAAGACAACCTGGCCTATCGCCTATCGCGTCCTCTATCGATACACAAAAAGGAATATTGTCGAACGGAGGAAATGGAGGATTGTTTTCTCATATAGCAAACATCTCTACGGGTGGCCATCAGCGACAACGTCCAACGCTGAAAAAATTTCAATCGATGCATTAAGATACTCCATGCAATGTATCGTCAAGAATATAGCGGTCTCGACTTGCAGCAAGCCGTGGGCGAATAGTGCGAAGGACAAAGCAATTGATATGGCACCGAAGGCCTCACCGCTACAATTGGAGGATGGTGACCAGGCGAATAGGAGACGGGCAGATGGCAAGCTCACGGGTAATGAACGAGACCAGCAAAATGCTAACAGCCCGGGAGTGTGGGTGGTGTGTAGAGAGGCTGTCTAGTTGGTGAGTTGGAGAGTGACGGTGTCGTAGTTCCTACACCGAAAAGGAATACTAGGTGACGCCCGGAAAACGCAATTGGCTCGCTCCTAAGGACAAACCAGATGAAAGAATCCCTAAACACTTGTGGATGGAGTCAGAGACCATTGACGCTTCAGTTGGCCCACAAGACATTGTTGGCAAACCCTCCCCGAGGTCATCCGAGGTCTAAGGGCCGAAAGGAAGCCAGAGAGAATTCAGAAGTAGGGAATACGCGTTATTGAATCACGATTTCAGTGGTGCAGTGACGAGCAGTAGTTCGCGGTTCTCCGAATGCGCCGTATTTTTTCACAGAAGAAATCCCATCCCATTCCCAATCATCATCACCATATCATTGCTCACGTTGTTGACTATGATCTGCGTCAACTCTCATAATCGGTCCGATTGTCGAACCAAACACGTTATCCCCGTACAAGCCCTCAGCTCAATGAATTGGGTCCTTTCGAGCCGGGGCTGATGTGTCGCGTGTGTTGGGTACACTGTGGATATCCGAGTTCCGTCAGTCGTGTGGGGAAATGGGATGCCAACCGTCCGATGGCTCTGTGGCCGCTCCAATGGGGGCTTTATTTGGTGAACAATGGTTGGCCTTTTGCGATACAACTTTTCATCAATGACCTTGTCTTCCGAATTCGGCAGCAAAACTGCCCACACGCCCCCCAGCCTGTCGCTTTCAAGGTGATCCATCAGTCGTCTTTATCAGAGTCATAGTCACCCAAACCGAGTCCAATGGTGCTTGCTTTGGGAGGATCTTTCTTGGGTTCCGAAGGGAAGTCTTCACTCCTTCCGCCATTTTCGATCTCTGGTTGACTGGCTTTCTGGGAAAAAGCTGTCTTTGATGGATCTGTCGGCGGAGGATTTTCATCGGTAGAAGCAGAGAGTTTTCTCGACTTGGGATCCCTCCCAAACACCCTCTCCTGGTCCCGGCGTCGCTTTTTCTTCTTCATTGTCCACGTGCTTGCACCCACCGGAGTGCCAAGTTTGCCCACATCATCACTGGCTGTTTGGTCACGGAGACCTTGGTCCGCTAAAGCACGTTGTTTGCGGAAGGCTTCGAGCTGCTCTACCGTCTCTTGTTTGACAGCGTGCTCTTTTGCTCTGCTTGATTCCAGCACAGAATCGAGGAATTCGACCTCATCGTCATCAAGGGCCCGAAATTGATTTTTTAACTTGATGGATTCTTCAAACGCTTCTTGCTTGGCGGCTGTCATCGTCAAAGTCATTGCCATTCCGGAGCGCAACCGAATGATCAAATATAATGTTGGCCTACCTTTGTTTTGTTGTAAGATTTCGTAAAGGCTCTTGCCTCCCTCTTGTCTGCCGTCCTCCGCCGCTTTTGGTTTCCTCCGAGACTCAATTTGTTCCTGTGCCTTCAGCCAAGCGTCATCAGGAGTCTGCGAATCGGCGTCGGTACCGGCCGATATGAATCGGGACATGTTAGAATTTTTATATGGGCGAAGATCGTGGCTATCTGGATGAGCTTTTTTCAGGGTAATTGCGACGGCCTTTTCGAAAGACTCCCAGGCAAAGCTGCAGAAACAAGCTGGTTGATGCTAGGCCGTTCCAGAGTGAGTGGGCTCGCTCCGTGTTGTAGACAGTGTCAAGAGCCGACGAAAGAGTGAATGGTCAGACTTCTTTAAAAGCTAAGGCAGCCAGGGGGCCAACCAGTGGTGGGCATAAAGGGAATGTGGAGGAGAGCGTGAGATATAGCACGTGGCTTGAAATTCCATTCGTTAGGTGGCCTCGTTCATAACGAAAAGTTACGGCTATCAGCATCATCCCCGAATATTCTATTCTCCCTGCACTATTTCAACCAAGCCTTCGGCTATGTGTCCCGCCTTCCCCGTGCCTGACAGAGATATGCCACGAGACACATGTGCACGGTCAAGATATTATCCCTTGTTGAAGTTTCTGGGCCAACCGCGTCTCATTCAGCCTAAATGCAAGCAAACTGGGAGATGCTTCCCAGTCTGAAGGACCCAGCGAAGACTATGAGCATTCCCTTCATCCGCCAATGGCTTACCCAGATGGCCCAGACGAAGACCCACTGACTTGACAGAATGATCGCTTGACGGCTAATGGGCCCCTCGTAGAATTTGCTTTGCGGCGGCAGGTGGGGTAGTGCCTGAGCATCATTCGGACTGCCACCGGGATATAACTGCAACTATATATCTCACCCAAGTGCTCCGACAGATGATGGGCCATTTTGGCATTCGCATGCCCTCTCTCCGTTTCTTCTTTGCCGCCTTTAAAAGAGCCGGGTTGACCCCTTTTTCGGTCTCAGCTCTGAATTTTGGGTCCAACTTTTCTCCGATATCTGTATTCTTCAGTTCGCATTTGCTCCGCAACATGACGACGTCGGTATCTGGCAAAGGCACCAAGTGAGTTTTTGCATTCCCATTTGGCCCGTCCTGGCGTGAGAAGGAAATTTGTTGACATGTCCCTCTCAGGACGGTGTTCACCCTGAATACCGGGGACAAAATGCCTGGAGTTGGGTTGGGCACCTGGCAATCTAAGCCCAATGAGGTCCGTGAAGCAGTCAAGAACGCTCTCCTCACCGGCTACCGTCACATTGATACGTAAGAAAACTCCTGACCGGATCGATGAAGACTGCGATCACCTAACGAATCCTTCAGCGCTCTCGCGTATGGTAATGAAGCAGAGGTTGGCCAGGGAATCAAGGACTCTGGCGTTCCTCGCAGCGAAATCTGGATCACAACTAAACTCGACAACCCATGGCACAAACGAGTCCCCCAAGGCCTCGAATCGTCTTTGAGAGACCTTCAAGTCGATTACATCGACCTGTATCTTATGCACTGGCCCAGCTCTACCACTCCTGAAGATTTGAAGAAGCATTACGATGACTGGACCTTCATCGACACCTGGTATGCTTCGGCCACGCACCGAGCTGATATTCGTCCCCTGCTGACTCCTTTCTAGGCGCGAGATGCAAAAACTCGTCGGGACCGGCAAAGTTCGAAACATCGGCGTTTCCAACTTCGTCATCTCCAACCTCGAGAAGCTCCTGAATGACCCTTCGTGTAAGATCGTCCCTGCGGTCAACCAAATCGAACTTCATCCCAACATGCCCTCACCTAAGACATTGGCATATTGTCAAGAGAAGGGGATTCACTGCACTGCGTACTCCTGCTTGGGTTCCACCGACTCACCCCTCGCCCACGATAAAACTTTGGGTAAAATCGCCAAAGCCCATGGGAAAACTCCTCAACAAGTGCTCCTACAATGGGGCCTGCAACGAGGTACGAGCGTGATCCCGAAGTCAGTCACCAAGTCTCGGATCGAGGCGAACTTCCAACTTGACGGCTGGGAGTTGACTCCGGAAGAGATGGAAGAGCTGAGCAGCATCAAGGATCGATTCAAGGTTTGTGACGATGCTTGGCTACCTGTCCGAGTCTTCTTCAACGAAGAGGGAGATGGAGGTGATGTTCCTTCCCACTAGATGGTCAAAATTCGGAGTCGATCCTGGTCGGCGAGGAAACTCTGTCGGAGTCGGCAATATTTTGTGTCTGCAGACAGTGAGGACTGTGGTCGTCCGGCTGCAGAAAGTGACATGATAACTCTTTATGAAAGGTTAGACGAGGTCATAGAGCGAGGCACCCTATGGGAGCCCTAACACGCGGATACTGTAGATCCCATGGTTGCGCAAGCGATGCCTTTCGCATTGTATGGTGAATAACCCTGCCAATCCTGTTTGACGCCAGGCCATAGGCTTCTGAGAACACAACTTGTGGCCGAGTCATACGGATGTATGCCGCTTTGAGCCATCCGGAGGGGTTGCTTTGAACTAGACCATATTTGATACGTTTGTCGACGAGCGAATGGCTTAGATAATCGAGCGTTTCATTTAGTGATCCACCACGACTCCTCCCGCCAATTCGCTCCATCCTCCGGCCCGTCCAAAGCCCGCGTCGTATCTCGTTCAGGCCGTGAATTCGAAATTACGAAGGACGCATTCTACTTCCGACCCGAGTAGAGCTGGCTGCTATGACCTTTACCGGTTAATTAACTGAAATCGACGTTTATTACACTCTGCGTTGTCGGCAGTCTATCCGTCACATTCAAGGAGGTTTCACTTATCACAGTTCACCGAAATCCGTATACGTTTCCCTGCTGCCTAGCTCCCGATTCGAGCAAATTGCTTCACCAACATCTCGAATCAAGCCACCGTTGCCGGCTCGTCGATAGGCGCAGTGAGGCCTCCACGTCTTTGAAGTCCATCTGCACCGAGGCGAGAACCTCCGCACCTTTTGTCGCGGCCTCAGGATCCTTGTCGCCTTTGATTGATTTCGATCACTCTACGAAGTGGAAATGACCTCCAGCAACGAGAATGACCCAGACCACGGCGGACCGGATGGCGAGGATGTTCAAACTGGCGGGAGCGCCAATGAAGCAATCCCTCGGCCGAAGAGGATTGCTTGCATCCTCTGCAGAAAGAGAAAGCTGAGATGTGATGGGAACAAGCCGAGCTGTGGTACTTGTTCGAGACTTCACCATCAGTGTGAGTACTCCGAAGAGCGCAAGAAAAGTGGTCCGAAACGAGGATATGTCAAGTTGCTGGAGGCGCGTCTCAAACAAGTTGAGAATTTACTCGAAACGAGAGAGACCACTGCAGAGTCTGCACCTCAGCCAACGGAAAGATCGACGGCAGCAGAAGTGTTCTCTTCGATACCGTCTTTGGATATCCCTAATATCGGGGATGCTTCGATGACGGGAATTATGCATGACAGCAATTTTGCTGACCCGTCTCTCGGGGGCATGCAAGATTTCACCATGAACGCCAGTGAAGATTTTTCTTGGGAAATGATAGGTCTGGGCCTGGAGGAAGCATTGCCCACACGAGAAGTCATAGACGAAATGTATGGCCGTCTTGCCCCCATTCAATCATCTTGGTTAATTGACTGCTTTAGGAACGAAATATACTTCGAGAAGATCCATCCCTCATTGCCAATGATTCACAAAGCAAGGTTTCTCTCCTCGATGGATCTGGCTCCTCACATGCGACCGGCGGTATGTCTTAGATATGCGATGTGGACTCATGCATGTGCAATTACGCCGAAATACTCGGCATACACAGAACATTTCTATGCGAGGGCTCGAAAATACGCCGAGATGGATGAAATGAGAGGGCATGGGGAAAACATGATTACCATTGCCCATGCACAAGCGTGGTCGTTACTGGGCTGCTACGAGTTCAAATTCATGTATTTCCCCCGGGCTTGGATGAGTATTGGAAGAGCCGCAAGATTGGCGCAGATGATGGGCCTTCATCGGCAGGATCGGGTTGGTCTCGATGTAAAACAAACTTTGCCCCCTCCCCGAGACTGGACGGATCGCGAGGAGCGGCGGCGTACGTTTTGGATGGCATACTGTCAGGATCGATATGCCAGCATAGGAACTGGTTGGCCGATGGTTATTGACGAGCAAGACGTATGTCCATTGAGCCCCGAAGGAATTCCAAGCTAACGACATATTTACAGATCCTCACAAATCTCCCTGCCAGCGATGAGGCTTTCAACAAATGTCAACAGGAACCAACCTTACAATTGTCGGATATATTGAATGGAGACGGAGCCTCCTCACTCTCTTCATTTGGAGGCGTTATCCTCCTCTCGACCATATTCGGCCGCAATCTTACCCACCTCCACCGGCCCCAAGATCAGGATAACGATCATGATCTTAATGGGTCTTTCTGGAAACGTCATCGCTCTCTGGACAACATCCTTCTGAATACCTCTCTGTCACTGCCTCCAACGCTTCGGTTACCAGCAGGCATCAATGATCCCAATACGGTGTTCGTCAACATGAACATTCATACGGCGACAATATGTTTACACCAGGCGGCCATCTTCAAGGCTGATAAGAATCGATTACCAGCTCAGATAAGTGCAGAATCCAAACGTCGATGTATTGTTGCAGCAGATCAGATCACCAACATTATGAAAATGATCAGTCACATGGATATGGCGATGGTAAAGTGACCCCTCCCTGTTGAAAATGCCGCGCAATATTAAATCTCCCAGATGAATCCTTTCCTTGCATTCTGTCTTTATGTGGCAGCGAGAGTATTTGTGCAGTACCTCAAGGCCAGGAGAGAAGACACGGCCGTCAAATCGTCATTACATTTCTTGCTGGCCGCCATGCAGGTCTTGAAGGCCAAAAATCCGCTGACGGAGTCTTTCCTGGTCCAACTTGACGTCGACCTTGAAGGGAGTGGGCTCGACATTCCCGCCAATAATTCGCGTTGGAAATTTGGCCACCGACCACCGGTTAGTTTATTGCCAAATTCCTAAAACTGATGTACTGACCGCCGCTAATAGGGTGAATCTCCGGCTAACACTGACGCTATGAAATGCTCTCCCCTTTTTGAGATACGTGAGACTCAAGCTCATGGAACTAATACCAAAGGCGTTCTTCCTCCCTGGCCCTCAGGCTCAAATCCCAACTCGTCGGCCATGAATAGCACCTACCCGAGCTTATATGCTTCGGAAGGGTCGAATATCGGCGCCCAACTAGGCCAGACTGCCCCATCTTCGATGGGCGATGGGTTTGAGAACGTCTATGGGTTCTCAGTACAATCTGTCGGAACAGATACGTCCCCTGGCAACTCACACAACGAAAGCCACGGTTCGAGACCACAGTCAAACCACCCTACACCTTCCACATTGTCTAACCAGAATTCGTCTCACACGTCCTATACTTCACCCCAGAACCAATCAGGAGGCGGTAGCAGCACCAACAGTATCCAATCGCAGCAGTCACCCAATTACATGTCTGGGGGATCTCAGAATTGGAATATGAATCCTACAAACCCACTCGGACCTATCGCTCACGAGCAACAGCAACCCTTCAATTTCGCTTCGATGGGGATGACACCTGGCCCAACGGGAATGACCCCAGCTTCGGATTCTCTATGGCTGGCCGAGGGGATGGGTGATGGTAATGAATGGATGTTCAACTGGCCTGGCTCGACACCTCAACCGCAATGAATATGAGTTCTCCGAGGACAGGATATGGATGGATAGTTTCCACATGATGGCCAAGAGGCAGAAAAACAATTATGCGATGAAATGGTGCAATATCAGGAAATTTATATGAAGCGAATGGAGAAAAAGGAATACCCTAGATTTGTCTTGGATGAAAATTTCTCTCAACTCGCAGCTTAATAGTCAGTTAATGTATGCCACATCATTACTACATATTTGAGAATTTACTATTGAAGTTTCCCGTTGAAATTCAGTACTGCAGTATCGCATGACGATATACATTCAGACATGCTGGTGATCTGGCAATCTCTTACCCCACAACCACATCAATATCAAGCTGGCTTCCTCGTTCGATAGTGTAATAGCTCATTCGGGAGTCCATGTCTTTGGCAGTTAGTATGAAGTGAGCATCATCAACTCCCTTCTAGATTAGGTCTTTCGTCGATCCAGACTTGATCGTGCTGTCTAGCGTGATCTCGTCTGCAAGGGGCCTTTGAGAGTCAGCCTAGGGTCGACCAGCAAGTCTCCATCTTTAGAGACAGGGTTGTATGTGCAGGCTGACGAAGAAGTGGCTGCATCAGCATCCTCTAGTGATCTATCATCGTCTCATCGTTCCACAGTAGTTTATATCATTGCATAAGGCGAGGACCTTTCTCGCTGTCTTTTGGTTTGATTTCCCCAATGTGTTCGTCGATGTCGGTGATGATAACCCTGGTAGACATTGGCCAATCGTAGATATTCTGCATAAGCATCTCTGAAAGGTGAGGAAACTGTTGCAGCCAATATGAAAGCTGTTGGATAACCCTGTCAACCAGCTTCGCATAGTTTGCGAGGAAATTGATCTTCGGTCAGCGTTCTGGAACCGGCCGACGATGTCGCTCAACCCAATACTAAGCTTCGTGGTTCCTGCTGAGGATGACATATGCTGAAGCCCAGTGAGATGGCAGAAACTGGATCCATTCCATGGGTTTACAAAACCTGTCCCCCAGACAAGTTGTAGATTCGTGTCGTGGTTCACAAAAGACAAGAAACAGAAGTACAGAAGTGGGAGATATTGCGAGCCTCCGGGCGGGTGATGGCAACCGTTCGCACTCTATCTCATAGTGTCGTAGACTGCAGAAAGAGCAGGCGAGGCTGCTTGTCCGCTGCCCTTTTGGCGGGCCAACGAAGGCTACCAATTTCGCTCCGTCGTGATCATGTGTATGACCTCGTACTTTCACCGACATATCTACTGCTTTTAGTACTAGTAGATTTCAGGCACCGGAGCTCAAGTTTTATAATCAGCCGTGTCTCCATGCACTCGGAATACCTGCTACACATCTCCTTTTATACGATCAGCTATTACGAGTCCAAATAAGAGGAAGGTTTACCGCGCATTTAGTACCCATTTTTATCAATGAAAGAAAAAACTTGCTCACCGATCAAACCTCGCCAATTATCACAGTCTAGCTTCTCGGGCAATCGGGGACCATCTCCTGATTAAACTGAAACCCGAAAAGATCACATTGCCGAGAATTCCAATTTGTGAGAGAAGCCCGTCCGGTGGCATGATGTCTTCGCCAATAAAGGATTGTTTGATTCGCTAACAGTGGTGGGCGTTCGATGAGAATAACTAGAGCTGCGGTCCCATATCAAGCCCTCGTGCGCCATTAGATCATGGTATAATATTTAGGGGCGCTTTGAGCCGCATTACTAAAGTGTCAACATTGAATTCATATGTTATGTCGATCTCAACGGCGCAAATGTGGCTCTTCTTACTCATTTTCACCAGCATCCTTCAATCAACGTTGTCTAGCAATGTGACCTACGATTTCAACATTACTTGGGTCGCCGTGAATCCAGATGGGGCCTTCACGAGACCAACAATCGGTGTGAACGGGCAATGGCCTCCCCCTCAGATACATGCCAACTTGGGGGATACAATCACCGTCAACGTTTTGAATCTCCTGGGTAATCAGTCTACATCGTTACATTTTCATGGCTTGTTCATGAATGGCAGCACCCACATGGACGGACCTGCCCAGGTTTCCCAATGTGCAATAGCTCCGGGCTCATCTTTCACGTACAGATTCAGAGTATGGAGTACAAGTCCCCGTTAAAGGGTCACCCTGACTGAAATGCCTCGAATAGGCTGAGCAAGTCGGCACTTATTGGTATCATTCCCACACACAGTCACAATATCCAGACGGCCTACGAGCGCCGCTCATAATCCATGACCCAGACAATCCGTACGCTGAGCAGTTCGACCAGGAGCTGGTACTCACGGTATCTGACTGGTACCATCAACAAATGGCCGATCTCATTCCGCAGTACATGAAAAGCGGCCACATGATGTCACATGAGCCGGTACCTGACGCAAGCCTTCTGAATGACACACATGATCTCCAGGTCGGCGTCGTGCCGGGGAAAACGTACTTGGTGCGTATGGTGAATATGGCAGCTTTCGCCGGGCAGTACTTTTGGATTGAAGGGCACACCATGACCATTGTCGAGATTGACGGGGTCTACACTCGAGCTACTGAGGCGGAAATGATATATCTCGCGTCGGGGCAACGGTGCAGCTTTCTTCTCACAACGAAGTCTCAAAGCTCTCATAATTACCCTTTCGTGGCCTCCATGGACCAGGTACACATTGTTCTCGTCCTCGCGTTTAGCTTCTTCTAACTCTCTCGGTGACTTAAGAGCTTGTTCATGATGGCCGGCCATGTCAACTCGGATGTGACAGGATGGCTTGTGTATGACTCCGCTCATCCACTGCCACGGCCGAAGAAGATCGATCAATTCAACCCTACCGACGATATGACTATCGTACCCTACGATGAGATGCAACTCCTGCCAAAAGCGGACAAAAGCATAAGTTTAAACCTAGAGATGCGGCATTCTCAAGGAGCTACTTAGTAAGTGAATTCCGGCGGTGCTCTACCCGGGGTGAGAAAAATCATTCGACAGTTCCGTGGACTTGTCAGGAACATGCCCCCGAAGCTTTATACGATTTCGGCCACGGCATCCTCCCAGGCTGCAAATCTTTGAAAGCACTGGTTCATTTTTGGAACTCCTCATGTCAACTCAATTTTGGGCTTTTTCTGGGCCTCCTCATATTGCCAGTGGTATCCAAAAGATACGGACAGCGCATGCCCGCCCTACGGATCTGTTGAAGACTTTCTTACTCGGGGAGTACCTAGTCAAAGACTGCAATTCCTATCCGTTCCCGAATCTTCAATATGTGGACCGACTAACAGCGTTCGTCCAGCTATATGTTCAATGACATAAGCTATAGAAGTCCGGAGATTCCATCGCTTTATACAGCATTGACCAGCGGGAATTCGGCGACTGATCCGGCAGTGTACGGTATATCCACCAATCCATTCGTTCTTGAGCGCAACGACGTTGTTGAGCTGGTGCTCTACAATCGGCATATGCTCCGTCACCCTTTTCATCTCCATGGACATCACTTTCAAGCCATCTACCGTTCTGAAGAATATGGGGGAAGATACGAAGATAGTGGTGTGACAGAGGCAAACTTGCCACAGAAACCAATCCGTCGCGACACGCTAGTTCTCCCTCCCGGTGGAAGTATGGTGATACGGTTCAGAGCCGACAATCCAGGTACGTGTGAGGCCTGAAAACGCTTTGTCACGACAACTCAGTTCTCGAAATAATGGTTTCGGGTTCAATATTAGCCAAGAAGAGTGCTTACTTGATCTCATCTCTATACAGGGGTTTGGCTTTTTCATTGTCATATGGAATGGCACGTCCACACAGGTCTCGTGGCTACTATGATCGAGGCTCCTATAGAACTTCAGCAGCAAAGACGATCTCAGCCGTTGCCCGCGGACCATATAGGAGCATGTGTTGCAACAGGAACCCCAGCAACTGAGAATGATCCTGGTCAGGTTGATGACTTGCTGGATGTTCAGAATGAGAACGATCCTACGCAGGGAAAGCCTGAAGGGTAAGTTGCTTTTCTCTTCGATTCACCGACCGACCCTCCTTTTCTTTCCATTAGCTTGAAAAAACATTGTATATGAATTTTCCAATGCTGACAACCCTTCTCCACACAGTGTTTCCATATCAGATGCCGTGGTATCGTTGGCTGCTGGTTCTGTCTTGGTCATGACTGGTCTGGTTTTCTTGGTTTGGTTTGGTGTAAAGAACTGGGGTGCTAGAAAAGCTCAATATGCTCCTTTGGCAATGAACGTTGAGGAAGATCTATGAATTTGGAGAACTTCTGTCCGCACCATGCTCGAAAGATGCCATGGCAAAGGCCCTCTGAGCTGGAGATTGTAGAATATCATCATAGATTTTGCTCGTCGCATAGCTAGAACAAAGCGGCGTGACTTACATCCGAAAAGGGTATAGCGCTCCTTAAATTCGAAGACTCGCAGCGAGGCGTGTCGGTTCTTGTTCCTCCGCCCGCAACTTTTCAAAAAATTATGGATATAATCACGATGAAAGTTGTCGCGAAGGGAAAGGAGACTCCGACGTCGCGTTGATTCTGTTGGAGTATGGCGCCGGTCAACCAACGCAAGCACCTTGGCCGTGACAAGTTTGGGACGCAGTTCAGCCTACTGAAGACCCAACAGTACATCGACCCTGCCACTCGCACCGTCACACCGACCATGTACGTACTTACCGAGTAACGTCGTTCGACTTCATCACTAAGAGAAAGGCCTTCTGTTCAACATCATGGCTAATCAATTCAATGTCTTCACAGCCACCGCACTATTTCATGGAATGCATCTGGCGGATTAATTGCGACCGGCGCCAACGACAAAACAGTTCGAGTGTGGAATCCCGAACGAACGAGTCCACGTAGTCAGATTGAGTTAAGGGGACATGGCCATGCCGTGGAAAAAGTCCTGTTCAATCCTGTCCGGGAATTCGAATTGGCGAGCTGCTCCTCTGATGGGACGGTCAGGTTCTGGGATACACGAAGCAAAGTGTGCGTGACGAAACTTGATGTCGGTGGCGAGCCATTTACATTGAATTGGAGTGCCGACGGAAGCACTCTACTGGCTGGAACAAAGGTGCGCAAGAACAACACTCTCCGGTTCATTTCGAGTCAAGATCTGAACTTTTGATCCAGGGTGATGTCCTTATTCCCATCTCAACCGCCATACCATCCTCACCTGTGGCTCTCTCACGGCATAAACAAACCCAACAAACCAACCAGACGACCTTCTCCAATGCCTACCCACCCACCGAACTCCTCATCACCCAAGGCGACGGTTCTGTCAAGATCCTTGACTATCCATCTCTCCACCTTCTCCATACCGTCTCCGCGCACACCTCCTCCTGTACCGCCATCTCATACTGCCCAAATGGAAAATACCTCGCTGTTGGCGGCTCTGATGCCATGATTTCCCTCTGGGATACGACCGACTGGGTTTGTAGGCGCACGGTCTCCAATGCAAGTTCCGGTGCCATTCGAGGGCTCAGTTGGTCCTGGGACGGGCGGTATCTGGTGGGTGCTAGTGAGGAGATGGGCTCTGGAGGTGGTGAAGGGTTGAGCACGGGCTTTGAAATATATCACGCTGAAACCGGTGATGTTGTCCATACCATTGCCACCGGAACTAGTGGGATTCCCGCAGTTGAATGGCATCCGAATCGATATTGGTTGGCGTATACTCAAATCGAGGAGACTAGGCAAGGGAAATCGAGTCTGAAAATTGTCGGAGCAGCTGGGGGTCCGTCAATATGAAGGCGGCAATGGCAGAGGGATGCTCATTAAGCGACCAAGTTCCTCTGAGACACCTCGAGACATGCTTGACTCATCCTCTGATCCATGAAGTTGGAGATATGCTATCTCTTGCTCAGGGTCTCCCATTCTGAAGCCAGAATGGGAGGAAACACGAAGAGGCAGCCTCTCGCCCATGACGTCATCGTTGCTGGTGCGTACCTTCAAGCAACTGGACTATTCTACGAGTCGATATGAGGACGTACGGCGGACGGGCGATAGGGACATTCCACTCTCCTCCTTTGGTCATGCGTTGGTCAGTCGGGGTCTCCACTCCGTCGTAGGCGACGTTCGTCCAGCGGCCATTCCATTCACGTCGTCGATTTTCTTCCCTGTCTACGGCGTATGGATCAGCTACAGGCCGCTGAAAATGGCCAGACGGTGTTTTTGAATTTAGTGTCTAAATGCACATTCAAACTCGCTTTACTTATTCATGTATATGAGTCCTGGCTTCTTTAGCATCTTGAAGCTTCATCTCCGACATGTCATGATTAGGACGAAGTGCTGGGTTCTTGATCTATCTATACTCATCCACGTCGACGCCGTCCCCGTACCGCCGCCTCGCCGCTATGGGATTTGTTTGGGAGGTTTGGTATGCTTCATGTTCCTTAGTTCGCGGATCATGGATGTCGCGAGGGCCACGGACATACGGTGTCGGAGGAGTGATGCCATGATGTGTCGCCATGCTGAATTGATCAAATCTTATTGCGATTTCCTACCTGTGGAGATTCATTGTAGTCGGGTTTGACTTACTCTTTTTATAAAACATTCATGCAATGGGGCCGTGTATATTTAGCCATCGGCAGCGGAAAATTGAATTTGTTCTTGAAGTAAACTTCTTCAGTGGTTAATCTAATGGACGGTTTTGTAAAGCTCGTGTAGTGTGGCTTGATTCGGTAATCAAAGAGAGCAGTTTCATATCAAGAAATGCATTGGCGTAATACCAGGGGACCTTGGAATTCGGGACGAGATCACTGTGGTCAAAGGAGGCATTGATTTGATGGTCAAACAGTCTGGTAAAGCTGCACGGGGAAAACAAGGTCTACTAAAAAGCGGCCTTGTCCACCAAGGTTGGATCACGTGACTTGATCGATTGATTCATATTCCACGCAGTCCTCAATCATACCCCTACTAACCGGTACATCGACTCGGTCTTTTACTGGGCTCTCCTTGCGCAGTCTCCCGGATATGCTATTACCCCCTACGTCAGGAAACCCACGCGATAGACTCACAGGTGTGAAACGTGACGCTACCACAGCGGACCCGGGGTTGGCCCTAAAATCACAGGTAAGAGCTCGCGAGTTGGCCCCCATTCTGACGAAAATGTCCAAGTTTAGGGCTCACGGTGGGCACCAGTGGCGATGGTGGGTTATCCCCTGGAAGATCTTCTGGCGACAAACATGAGATTGGTGCCGGTATCAAAATGAAAGAGCAGTGAAGCTTTATGTGGAATCCTCTACTTCCTACCTCCCTCGTGGAAGCGACTCTGTGCGCCATATTTGGTACATAGTTCGATTTGCATGCTGGACAACCGCAATGAATGCACGGGCTGACATCTCTCCTTTAGGTATTTTCTCCGGAGCCATTGGAGCTTATATTTGCAAACCCATGCTATTCCGGGGTTCCTATCAGGCTAGGGTGTTTCATATATTTTCTCAAGCAGAATCGTCAGCCTTTTCGGACAAGAACGCTCATCGAGCATGGAATCCTTTCCTATGCCCCGCTTGGCATCCTGGAAAGGTGTCGCATGCTCTCAAATACACCTACGAAATAGCTATATGTTCTCCGACATATACAATCTCGCCTGTTGGATCCAGACGGTAAATGGACTTCACGGTCCAATACGAGTTACTCCCTTGGAGAATTTAACCCCGGCTCTCCAGGTCCTGTGACAAGCTTATCCGCATTGTACCCAGGGCTGGACGGCTTACCTCGGGCAAATATTTCGCTCGAATCAGTATAGCGGCTGATAGTTCTCTTGTCTCTGGCCGGTGATCTGGGGGACCAGCCTTGTGACAAATGCATCTGCCATCCTGCAGGTCGCATAGGGCCCACCGTTCGCTACGGCAGTTCTTCCAAATGGTCAGGGGGCGACTACCACTTGGTAAATCACTTCGCAAACGTGGGTTCCCCGGCTTTGGCACGGCCGAAATCCGTCCGACTTCCCCTGAACTTCCCTTGTTTCCAATCCTAGCACTTGTGAAGCGGAATCCTTTTTCTCTCTCAAAGCTGCCGCGATTTAGTTTCAAACAGTTCTGGAACACACTGCGTTCGTGGGCAGTTCTTCGTCCCGAGAGAACAAAACCTTGTAACCTACGGGGACCACCCTTCGCGAAATGATCCGCTTCTTATCATGTTGTCGCTCACCCCGGACATCAATTTTGCTATCAGGAACAAATCTTTTTTTTTTTGTTCTTTTTTTCCTTCAATGACTCTTGATTCCTTGGCTGGCCGACGACGACTCTTGACATGGCCTACAAACTACTGGGTTTTTTTGTGTTTATTTACCTTCTGCAGGCTGCGCTTAGCCAGTCCTTATTATTGTCAGAATGTGCTGTGAGATTACCTCCCTAACAGCCCCAGACTTTCTTCGGATCTGACTCTTTCGGTCCAGGTAAACTGCACCCAAGAAATCACGAGCCGCTTTTCGTCGTGCGTGGAGGGAATTGAGTGCTTCTGCACTGACCCACAGCTAGCTCAGCTCGGCCAGGGGTGTTTCGACCAAAATTGTACCATCCGAGAGGCTCTGAGTATGTCGATAAATCAGAATTGCCTTAGATACTGCTAACAAGCACAGCTGCACATAACATTACTGATATGATCTGTGGAGTCCCTCATAGGGACAGAGGTCCGGTTAGCAGCGCAGTCACCTTCACGTCCATGGGAGTGGCAATATGTCTCGTCACATTGCGAATTATAGCCATGGCCCCTGATTTCATCTTCTTCTGGGGATGGGATGATGTTCTGGTTGGCCTTTCAACGGTGAGGCTGGAATTCGACTAGACTGAGCCGAGAAGCTGAACATTTCTCAGTTGTTGATGATTGGCAATGCGATATGCAACCCCATCTGTATGCTCCTGTTTGCATTCAACTAAACTTTTCCACTGACTATATTTGCAGCAAGAGACTACGGCTATGGAAAGGACGTCTGGCGGCTGCCTTTCGCCAACACAGCTACGGTGTTGAAGGCAAGCCTAAGTCCAAGACCCTTGCAATGAATGATGACTCACGTGATTTAGATATTTTACGTAGGAGGCATTCTCTACGCTGTAGGCGTTGCAGCAACAAAGATCGCCTTCCTGTGCTTCTATATCAAACTCTTCCCCTCTCCTGCGCTTCGAAGAGTAGCATTCGTGCTTGTGGCTCTGTGTTTCATACAGGGTACCGCTTTCACTTTCTTGTTCATCTTCCAATGCAGTCCGATATCTTATGCTTGGACGCAATGGGATGGAACAGGCGAAGGACACTGTTTGAACTTCGACCTTGGTGCAGTGCTTCATGCTGCGACAAACATTTTGCTGGACTTGATGATTTTCGCTATTCCCGTGACCCAGCTTTGGCGGCTCAATCTGTCTCGCAAAAAGAAGATACAGGTGCTTTCAATGTTTGGCGTGGGATTTTTGTGGGTTTCAACTCGGCTCTCTCCGTCTCGGAAGAACATGCTCATTCAAGAGGATAGTGTTACCCTGGTCAGTATTCTCAGGCTTTACAGCATGATCCAATTGGGTGACAGTACGAATCCTACCTGTAAGACCCCTTCATTCGATTCGGCCACAATCAAGGATCAAGAAACTGATGAGTGGGACAGGGGACTATGTGCCTTTTGGCTACTGGAGTGATCTTGAATTCAACATTGGCATCGCCTGTATTTGTATGCCGTCTGTTCGCGTTTTTCTACGTCGATACGTCCCTAGCTGTGGCATTGCAACCACTCAAGACCGTTCACAAGGTCCCGAGCCGCCAATTCGACGGGTAGATTACGCCAATGAGAGCAAGTCCAGATCGCTCAAAGTTTCGACGCGGCGCGCAACAGAAGACGCATCTTCAGATCAAGTTGAATTGTGTGCAGTTAACGAAGTCGACACAGCTAAATGAAAACGCATGAAGAATTTGGGCTATTTCACGATCTCGTCGAGATCAGTGTGAAATGAAAAAGGGGCCTGGTAAAGAGATGATGAGGATCGACATATTTCCCAACGACCGGGTCTTGTTTTGTCCTGCGTCTGCGGTCGAGGTTTTGTTGACGAACCGGGCGACAATGTAAGTCACAATGACATTCCAAGATTTATCGCAAAGTGCGAATCCCCAGATTCCTCGCGATGAAACATCGACTGACGAAGTTTGCGAGAACTCAAAGTCCATGAGTGCATGAGAGCAAGGCTTAAGCTTCGGACACTAGTCATGACGGACTCCGCATCATACAATCGCTATACGATGTGGGAGGTATCGCCGGAGTGGAAGCCGCGAACCTTCCTCGCATCCAACTGGATAGAGACTGCACGGGGAAGACGTCCGATTCATATTAACATCATACCGTCTTATCACGGCTGCCAGCCCCATTTCTGTGACCCTGACTGTTAACTCGTACAGGGAGAACGCCAGAATGTTCGAGAAGAATGATCCGCCATTATTTCTGGTACCAACTCGGAGACCGCTTTTCTCACGAGAATACTACGGCCAGAATGCATGGTCGGGTATGAATTATGTACCGAGAGATTTGAAGTGGACATTTCAGCCTTAAGAATTTTGGCTGGTTAGCGCAGATACAAAGTTCTCCAGACACCAAAATACTTGGTGAATTCATGGCGTATTCTTGGAATACCATTGCTCTTCTAGCACGGGTCCCTATTCAAATGGGACTTTAGTCATTGATATTGAGCCGAAGCAAAGCATCGACGTGCTAGTAGGCAGGATTTAGGTGCACGTGATCATATCAATGCCAAGATGAACATTTCAGCCTTGCGCTTTTGCTGGCTTCTCTCTTTTCCTCGCGCCAATACTCATAGATATATTCTCTTACGAAGCCCCAGAAGATATGCCGTCCTTATTCTCGCCCCCATCCTCTCCATCACCTAAAATCAACATTGCATCAGGCCCTTTGCCATCATATCTCTCTGCCTCACAAGCTCCCACCAAAAATTCACCCTGGAGAACCATTCGCAATGTTGGTTTCGTTCAATCTGCGACCACTATCCTGCCAGATGAGCTATACCAAATCATATGGGCAAATGTGGACGCGGCGATGACGAAGACAAGATATGCGAAGGTGATCATGAGATTGGACGAGCTTCTTCAGGGGGACTTCTTCACCGAGTACATCAAACGAGGTAAGTCCTCTTGAGGAAAAAAGTTGGAACGCTTCGTGGTTTCGGAATGATTTCTCTGTTTGTTTAGTCCTGTTTTTTTGGTGCCGAAGGTCTGACATTTCTTACTGTTAGGAGATATTCTCATGCTCTCCGAGGGAGATCCCGGTGTTGACAGCGTCTTCTATCTTAAAGATGGTGAACACAATTCCACTTATCCTGTCTTCCATGACAAGGAGGCGTGCAATACCTCCTCTAATCATTCTCACGAAACAGGTATATTACGCTTGGAGCTATCAAAGGAGAACTATGAGCGTGCTGGCTTGCAAGGCACCCCTATCCGCTCTGGAGGTCGAAAGCATGTCAAGTCAAGATATCGTAAGTGAAGATCTCCTCAACCCTAATTAACTTCTCTAAGATCCATCGCGGATCTTGATCTACTTCAAGGCGTTCGCTCAGATTCCGTTGTCATGGTACATCGAATTCGCGCTGAATGAAACGGCAGTTATTGAACTCAATCTTCGCCTTCCCTCCATGGTACATGGCAAAAAGGGGTTTGAAAGACTTGTCTGGGCAGCCAAAAATGTCCTTAGTCAAAGCCTAACTTGGCTATTTCTGGACCTAAACGACGATGTCACAGGTACTGGCCACCAATACATCCTGGATTAAATGTCTGTGGCAAAGGTTAATCAATAAGAAAGGTTCTTCGTCCGAACGGTCTGGGCCGATTGCTGCTCATCATCCCACGATCCATACCCTGATTCCTTCTATTGAGACCCTATCAACCGCCCTGACGCCTTCGTCGCTAACGTCCGCTTTGTGTCTTTCACCAACCACGACTCCTTGCGAAGAAACACAAGAATCCCTCCACGAACTATTTGAGTATGTCGACATGCTAGCTCTCTCTTCGCCTCGCGTGCAGGTGGCAGATAAAGTCGACCCATTCATCAGTCGATACGCAGTGCCTGATATTTCGCACGGACTTGACCTGGACGTCTCGAATAGACCGGGACAGAATATCAAGGCATTGAAATGGACAGGCATGATTCCGACCCAATGGGTCTTGGGATTGATGTATGCAATCATGTATGTTCTCTTCCATCCTTCACCACATCTCTCTATCCGCCTGACCCCTACCGTAGAAAGCAATCCCGAACAAATAATCTTCAAACACTCCCTCCACAATATCACTGGCTTGCCCTGACCGTCTCAGCGCACAAGACGCAAGCAATTGACCAGATTGACGGGTACACTATCCTCTTACAACCCTTCAGCAGCAGGGGTCTTCCTGGAGGACTCCAGGAGGACAGTGAAACGATGGTGGATGGCAAACCAAATGAAGATGTAGACGGGGACTTGGAAATGGAGGGATCCAATTCTGGCACACGGGCAGGCCCAGCTATCCTGCCTCGCGATCAGTCCCGGTCGCAGCCGACGTCGTCTATGCCACCATCGATGTCGACGGCTCCACGTGCAGGATTTCACCACTATCTCTGCGCAGAGTACGTTGACAGCCGAATATAAGGAGGATAAGACAAGGCTTGCTAAGCGTTCGAACGAAAAGAACACATGGTGGGGAATTCCGTTCGCTACCAAAGACTGCACAACAGCATCCGTCGCCCAGGGATTCCTACCGGAACCTATAATTTGTTCTCCGAATGCTAGACCGTTTGTATGGGTCCAAAAACGCGTATCGATAGGCAGAGAAAACCAGTGAGTGGTCCAACATGTCCAATCCAAGAGAAAAGGAAAACAAAACACTTGGCCACCTGCTCATTTAGTGCGCTTTTTGTACATCAAACACCTCAAGCCCGAATCTTCACATACTCATTGCGACAGCTGGCGCAGTAATCATCATACCAACTCCTCACATCTTCGTTTACGGTCGTCGAATTCTGATCTGCATCATCCAAAACCAATCCTTCCACGGCTCGACACCGTCGATTCTCGTCTACCACCCATTGCTCCCAGGCACCTTGCATCAACTCCTTCTCCATACCGTTGACAACGCGGGCCGCGACAAAGAGATCGTGTCGATACCTGCCCAGACGCTGACGCGTTTGTTGAATCTGAGCAGCCGCGCCGTTTCCGGTCCCTGCATAGATATATTCCGGATCATGTTCGTCGTAGAAGACACTGTAGCAGGCACTGGTGTCACGAACAGGAAGATTCGCCTCTCGGTTGAGAATTTCGTCCAAATCACTGAGGTGGACGGCTCGGCTCATGACGATATTGGGTGAGACACCCAGCCGAGCCATGAATCTCGAAGCTCGACGTTCGTGCCACCAATCAAGCGAGTCCCGATATGTATGCCAACTGTTGTACAGAGCACTGATCAAAAGAGCCACTAAAATGAATTTCTGGGCGGAAAGAGTTTTCCCAATCCATCGGAGAAGGCCTAGGAATGTTTGTAAAATCGCCCCAGTGGCGCTTTCGGCAGTCGAGGCAGCAGCTTGTGCTAGAAGGCCTGTCACTGTCCGCGAAATTGGTTGTCTTCTCAATTCGATGCTCAGGGCCGAGGCTTCCATGAGAAGCTGGATGGTCTCTGTTGAATGGCCAACCTGGCCGAAGATCTGGACGGCTTTCTTCGTACGACTGTGTGCGCCAAGCTTGCGTACTTGATCTGCTACAAGGTCTGCTAGATCTTGTGAGTCGAGCTCCAGGTCGTACAGTCCTTGTCGTTCGATCATCCCGCCGAACATCCAAGCAACTTGTAACCATTCGACTTTGACAAAAATGGCAAGCTTACACCGCGCCTTGGCCACATGAGTGATGACAATCTTGCTGACGAGCCGTTGAATGTTCTGGTATGGAAGATGCCATGGCGTCCGCTTATCTGTGACAACGTAGCACAAATGATCGCTGTTCACATCTATGACTTGGTAATCTCGAACTCGGGCGAATGATTCTTGACCAAACATGTTCGTTGTGGGAATGTCGAATGCAAATTCCCTCCGAAGTCGTCCTTCTCCCCAGCTTAACCATGGCCCTTGAGTAAGATTTTTGGCTCGACGTTCGTGTTGTAGCAACTGCCAAAGGGCACTCTTGTCGCCAAACATGACGTGAAATAATGCTTTAGCACTAATATCAAATTCCTTCTCCACTGCGAGACGGAGGTTGCCCGGGGGAACATATCTCACCGGCTGAGCCGGTAATTTGAACTTCGAATCTCTTCTTCCTAGTTGCATTTGCTGTAGAGCGCGATCAACAACACGCACAGGGCCTCTGAGCTCGGTTCCGATGGTCGATGCTCTCCCACGATATTTCGGACCACCTGTGTCAACGGGTGTATTTGGAGAAACATCTTCCCAGCTCTCCAGGCTCGGGCTACGATCCGGAACCTCGCGCTCCATTTGGAGCAAAGCTTTGATCAGCTCTTCCAGGCCAAGTGGTTCATTTGAAATGCTGTTCGTGATCAAGAAATTCAAGCGCCTCTGGAGTAGTCTCAGAGGTTCCAAAAATGTCTTAATGGTGATTCGACGTGCGCTCCCATCGCTTTCAGGGTCCCTTGGGTGCAGGAAAACGAAATCACAACCCCTTCCCGGCGCCGCAGTGGCTTCATCAATCGAAACAAGAGGTACACTCGAGGTGAGGACAAGCCCTAGATGGTTGCTGTAGAAATAAATATCCCGAGGTGTCACATATACTCGTCCGGGAAATTCTTGTTGCTCGTTTGGACTCCACGTTGCTCTGAAAACCATGACCAGCCGTTCGTCACGCCGGACATTTGGGAAGAGAAGTCTGAATTGCGCATCCTGAGACCGTAGTTGCAGGGGATAGTAACTCGGAAATTCGGGAACAAGTAAATCGCTCCTCATTTGTTTTATTGTTTCGCGACCAACACTAGTTGTACTTCTATGCCGTCTTTTGCTTGGTGATGGAGTGCGGCTTCGAGTGTCTGTCTGAGGAATGGTCAAGTCAAGGTGCGATATCGCATGCTGGGGCGCGATGGCGGGACACGGAGGTGACGAAGACGATTTTGGTGGTGAGGATGATGGCTTCCAAACAGGACTGGGTTGTGCTATAAGCTTAGGCTCGGGTGTCAAGTTGACATCGCTGCGTTCAAGTCGATTGATAAAGGCGGTGCTAGAAGTACCCCACATATTGGCCAAAAGACTCGTTGGGATCCCCGTCTTGTCAGGAGCAGGACTGAGTCCTCGTTCTCCCGTGATGATAACTGCTGACCTGCTTAAGTTTGTCGGAGATGGAACAGAAGCGAGAGTGGAAGGAGCCAGGCTACTGGCCGGCATGTCACGAAGAGCCAAGGCGAATGTGCCCCGTGGTTTTGCAAACTCCAGCTCGGAATTGTGAACCAATGGCAGACTCGGGCCTACCGGCATCGATCCATGGCTGGCTGCGATGAGGCTGGCTATGCCACCACCGGTCGGAAGGTTGGGCGTAGGTGGACTGGGAGATACTTGCGGCGTTGCTCCACTTTTCCTGTGAAGGTCGAGCTTGGAAATGATGCGAGAAGCTGTTTCGCGATGTCCGCTGTCTTCTATAGCAGTAGAACGTCTGGGGAGGTCGACACTAGCTTCGCGGAGATGTTCGGTCCCGGGGATTGGAAGAGTGTTTGACTTTTCCAGAGCCACTACGTCGTCGCTCCCAGCACCTGGTTCTGTCGAGCCGAGAATCAAAGTCCCAAATTCGGGTATGGGGGGGGCGGATATTGCAAATGCCGCACCCGATTGGATATTCCCTTCTCCTGCAAGATTCTGCGAAGCGTCTGGATCGTCCAAAGCTTTCGATTTCGCCATCTCGAAGGCACCGATCCAATCCACCAGCTCAGACTGAGTCTCGGCCTGGAGGAGAATGGTGTTTTTGTTGGTCTTCAGCTCAAAGCAGAATCGACGCTCTTCCGCGGGGGCAGGCCGAACGTTACAGAGCAAAACGCCAATGCGTTCACTCTCTTCGACACCTCCTGCTCGGGTTCCTTGCAACAACCAGCCAAAGACCCCGTTGCGGATAAACGCCCACCTCTTCACCCAGATAGTTCTTGTAGGCTTACCACTGTATGTCCGCAAGAACAGCCACCCTTGTTTTTCTCCAGCAATCGCCGCGTGTTTCTTCGGAGAGCGCTGTAAGTTAGAGCCGCTTGCAGTGTGGGCATGACCGGCGAATTGCGGCACAGTCGACAGACTATAGTCATCTAACTCTCTTGATGGCCGAGCATTCAACTCTGCGGCATCTTCCAGCTGTTTCCTGGCCGTCATCAGCTCCTTCTGAAATGTCTTTTCACTAGTCTCCATTTCGTTCAGCCAGCCCTTTATCCTCTGCATCTCCTCGGAGCTCCGCTGGAATGTTGCCGCCGTATCATCTCGTGAAAGTCTCATTTCCCGCCACTGCTCGAAGAATATTTTGACGAGCAACTTGTCCAACGTGAATCGGAGCTGTGGGGCCATGCCGAAAAAATCCATCATGGCTTTGAGATATATCTTGCGAGCCTCGTGCAGCTGGAAGGCATCTTCTCGCAAAGAGGAAGGTTCCTTGGACTTTCCAAGTGCAGCGAACTTAGATTGAAGGTGGTCAAAGGTCTTTTGGGAAGCTTCGATAGCCCGACGAGCTTCTTTGAAAGCCCGCAGATCATTTTGCATAAACTGTCTTACGGGGTCGATAACCATTGTTGGCAATCTCTTCATCACTGCTACCATGCTCATCCAGTAGTCCTTGGCCCCATCCCCATACTTCTTCATGGCCAGTACACTATAATCGTGATCCAGCATCGATTCGGAAATCGTCGTGGGAAGCATCGAGTGAGAGATGAAGTTATTCAACACATTTTCCAGTGTCACGGATTCCGCAACGAGTCGATTCGAGGATCTCAGGTAGTCGTCCAGCCATTTTTCGAGCAGCTCAACTTGCTCTCCGTAATGCACTACGGTGGCGCGGGCAGTAGGAGAATCGATTGCGGCTTCTTTCAGACCGACTGGAAGAAGGTTGATCAGCCTGCCAGCATCCCCAGCTGGCTTCAGTGTTTGCGCCATAATCGATTGCCCAGTTAAGATCGATGAAGGAGAGGATCCAAGTACGTTGCGGGCTGAAAGCTGATGAGACTGCGTTTACGTGAGGGGCTTCATTTCAACCTGGTTCCTTCTTGTCGAGCAGTATTCGCCACATAGGTATTTCGGATATTGAAAAGGAAGTCTTGTCAAGGTTTTGACCGAGCGAGTAAGTTGTTAGTTGGGAAGTATTCAATGTCAAGTTTCGTGGTGACTACGTGTTCGCGACATCGAAAACCTGTGGGACGTTTAAAGATCCCTGCACCGCCAAGAGCTCTGTCACCTTTTTTTTCTTCCGACGTGCGGGAAGAGAGGAATAAATTCTGAGATGAAGCCCGAAGGCAAAGAACATTAGTTCCATTGTATCCGTCTCCTAGGCGTTATGGCTCGAGATCTTTTGAGCAGTGACGGCTCTGACGGCGAAGATGGAGGAGCAGAAGTCCAGACCGGCGAGCTCACAGTCAACGAGTCCTTTGCCCGTCGATTTGAACATAATAAAAAGCGAGAGGAGTTGCAGAGATGTATGGATGATCTATTCCTAAGAGATACAACATTGACACTTATTTAGTAGAAGAAAAGCTGGGAAAATCCACTCGAAAACGCAAACGAGACGATGACACTGACAGCGGCGAAGACTCCGGCTCGGACACCTCCACGAGTGAGTCGGAAGATGAAGGAGAGTTGGCCACAGAGACTCTCGACTCCGAGATCATGGCTACAATACACGCGATCCGATCGAAAGATCCTCGAGTCTATGACAAGTCCACCAAATTCTACACCGAGGGCGAGGAAAATGGATCCCCCCAGTCCAAGACGAGGAAAGAGAAGCCCATGCATCTTCAAGACTATCATCGGCAGAATTTACTGAATGGGAATGACGTTGCTGAAGAAGATGATTCCGCACCGTTAACATACCATCAGGAGCAAGAACAGCTGAAAAAGTCGATTGTTGGTGAAATAAATGCGGCAGCTGCTGTGGGGTCGGGGAGTGAGGAGGACGACCAAGACGACAATACCTTTCTTGTGACCCAACGAAGGGAGGAGCCGGTGAAATCGGAGGTGGCTTTGGACGTTGAGAATGCCGACAAAGATCCAGAAACGTTCTTGTCCAATTTTATGGTTTCCAGGGCTTGGGCTGCTCCGACCGAGTCGAACCTGCACCCATTCGAGTCCGATGATGAAGAGGAAGAAAGGAGGGCTGACGAGTTTGAAGAGGCATATAATCTCAGATTCGAAGATCCGGCCAAATCCAATGAAAAGCTACGCTCGCATGCTAGAGATATGGCAACCAAATATTCCGTTAGGAGGGAAGAGGCAAACCCGAGGCAGAGAAAGCGAGAAGCGGAGAAAGCCAAGAAGGAAGCCGAGAAACAGCAACGCAAAGAGGAAAAAGCTCGGCTGCGAAAACTGAAGATTGAGGAACTTGAGGAGAAGGTGCAAAAAATTAAGCGCGCCGCTGGAATGAGGACGAAAGATATCCGGCCGGAAGATTGGTCTCGCTTTGTTGATGACGACTGGGATGACGCCAAATGGGAGGAGGAGATGCAAAAGAGGTTTGGTGAACAATACTATGCTGAGGTGGATGTCGACAGTGAGGAAGATGAGACAAGCGGAACGAAACGAAAAGTTCGAAAGCCGAAATTTGATGATGACATCGACATCAACGATATAGTGCCCGATTTTGGGGATGGTGAAAAGGCAGATTTGAGCCTCTCAGATGAGGACACATCCGTCAAGAGACGAAAAGGCAAGAAGCTGAAGGAGGAAAAGAAGCGAGATGCAAGGAAAGAGCGAAGGATCATCGAACGACTCGTGGATGAGCAACTGCACCTTGAACTCCACGATTCTCTGCCGAAGAAGGTTGGCTTCAGATACCGCGAAACGTCTCCGAAGAGTTTTGGTCTAACTGCACGAGATATCTTGATGGCTGATGACAGGCAGCTGAATGAATTTGCCGGGTTGAAGAAGCTAGCTTCGTTCCGAGATCCGGAGAAGAAGCGCCGGGACATGAAGCATCTGGGAAAGAAGGCAAGGCTGAGAAAGTGGCGTCTGGAAACCTTCGGCAACGAGGACGGCTTACAAGCAAGCGAGCTGATTCCCGCGCAGCCGAAAGCAGAGGAGAAGCCAGAGACCGGAGACGGTGCCGTGGATGTCAGAACAGAAGGCAAGAAGAAGAGAAGAAGAAGAAGAAGCAAGAAGCAGAAAGTGGATATGGCGTGAATAGAGCTGGAGATGAATCAGACGAGTAGACGATGATATAAGGAGATTCTGTTCCTGCCCCATCCGCTTGCTGTGCGAATGAGGCCAGTAACAATAGTGACAATTTGGTGCTGGGTTGAGAGGACCCGAGCTGATGGTGCCGGCGATGGCCTCACATTCTCAATATGGTTGCTATATCTTAGGGGGGGGGGGGGGGGAACGCGCTCAGCCTCGTCTGACCCGTGGTGGAAAACACCATACGCAAATTGAGCATTAAGTGATATACGGTTCTGATGTTAATATCAACTAAGGACACTCCGTCAATACCCTGATCTTTCAGCTAGTATCCCTTGTGGAGGAATCTATGGATAACTTTTGAACCAACTCGTATTCGCAAAGAGTGCGCCAGAGCCACATGGATGGAGGCCGGGGTCTATGATTTTCTCGAAACATTTTTCTGGATTGTTGAGAAACGGAACCTGAGGCAATTGGGACGGCAAGAGACGCATCCGAGTTGTGTGCCGACGAGACCGAAGACGGGCCAAGCGTAGCAGTGGCTAAAAGAGCAATGAGGCATGGGGGGTTAACGGTTGCTATGGGATAGCAGAGAAGCCAAGAGAATCGGACGGCGCTGTGGATGGGCTCCTCTTTTTCCCTCGAGAAATTTTTGATTGCAACGATAATTGCCCGGGCGGAAATATAGGCGCTCTGTCGGTCGCTCGGGAAGACCGCAAGCAGTGGTTTCGTGGGCGTTCGCTGAAAATTGATCCTGTCGAAGCCCGTCGACGCGAGATCCTAGGCTAGTCCCCAAGAGGCTTAGCACCACTGAAGCTCCAATCCCTTTGAAAAATACCTGTCCGCTTCAACTTCATTTTTCTTTCGCATCTTTTCCTGCATCGCACGCTTCATCATCTCCCTTCTCCCCACTCAGTCATAGCCCTCAGTTCTCATCTCAACCGCCAAAATGGTTGAAGGCGACGTCAATCAGGCAAAGAAGTCCATTTTCGGGCTGGTGAGTTGCAGTATCTCGATCGGGCAACCCGGCTCTACTCCTTCATCTCCCCTTTCTATCATCAATTCCTATCACCATGAAATGCTATGTGGACGTCAAACTGACTTGAATCCACCCAAAAGCCTGGATTTGTTATTGATTTTCTTATGGGAGGCGTTTCTGCCGCTGTGTCGGTGAGTTTGAAGTTGTCCAAAAAGGCCGGACGAGCAGTGAAATCTGACAAAGATGTAGAAAACTGCCGCCGCACCGATCGAGCGTGTCAAGCTCTTGATCCAAAATCAGGTATGCACACCTGCCTGCCCATATCTACCTTCTCCGGAGCATCCTCACTGGCTATGGTGGAAAAAATCACTTATCAAAAAATATTTTTCTACATTGATAAAATTGGCTGTGGCAGTGATCACGGCCGCAGCCAACGTCCCCCCTCCAAAAAAAAAGGCTTACAATTCCTATAGGATGAAATGATCAAGTCGGGTCGTCTCGACCGTCGATACAATGGTATCATCGAGTGCTTCACTCGTACCGCAAAGAACGAAGGTGTCATGTCCTTGTGGAGAGGTAACACTGCCAACGTTATCCGATACTTCCCTACTCAGGCTCTCAATTTCGCTTTCCGCGACACCTACAAGTCAATGTTCGCCTTCAAGAAGGACCGTGATGGCTACTGGAAGTGGATGGCTGGTAACTTGGCCTCTGGTGGTGCTGCCGGTGCCACTTCCCTGCTCTTCGTTTACTCCCTCGACTATGCCCGGTACGTCTGGTGACCGAGTTTGAAATTTGATTGTCCAATGCTGACCCAGTTGAACAGTACGCGTCTTGCCAACGATGCCAAATCTGCCGCCAAGGGTGGTGAACGTCAATTCAACGGTTTGGTCGATGTCTACCGCAAGACTTTGGCCTCCGATGGTATTGCCGGTCTCTACCGTGGTTTTGGTCCTTCGGTCCTCGGTATCGTGGTCTACCGCGGTCTCTACTTCGGCATGTACGACTCCATCAAGCCTGTTCTCTTGGTCGGTCCTCTCGAGGGTAACTTTTTGGCCTCTTTCTTACTCGGCTGGGGTGTCACCACTGGTGCCGGTATCGCATCATACCCTCTTGACACCATCCGTCGTCGCATGATGATGACATCTGGTGAGGTATGTGTATTTCTTGGATATACATCTGTGGCGGTCCGTTGAAGCCGTCTGACCAAATCTCTACAGGCCGTCAAATACAAGAGCTCCTTCGATGCCGCCCGACAGATCATGGCTGCAGAGGGTATCCGATCCTTCTTCAAGGGTGCCGGTGCCAACATCCTCCGTGGTGTCGCTGGTGCTGGTGTGTTGTCCATCTACGACCGTACGTATCACCATCGTCCCGTTTTCACAGAACAAACTAACACCGTCGTAGAGGTCCAACTCCTCATGTTCGGCAAGGCCTTCAAGGGCGGCTCTGGCTAAACACCTCGCCCACCTACTCCGATGACCTCGAAGGAGGCTGCTACCCCGTAACCTCCCCCCCGGTTGCGGTAGTGGTTCGATGACAAAAAGACACGGGGAAAAAAATGCCTGTTTGATGGGAGAGCCTTCAGCTGGGAGGCAATAGGGGATGTTGGGGTTTTGCTGTATGACGGGTTTGGGGGCTATGAGGAAGCGGGTTTGGGGAGCAAAGAGGACATTTGCAAATAGACAGGTCCGACATACGCACACAACCGACCACCAGCAGCGCACGCGACAACATGGACCACGAAAATGGGATAATTGCCGCAGCGAGCGTTTCTAGGGCTGGGGGAGCTTGTGGAACAATTCATGGGGCTACCGTTTTTTCTTGCCAATAACTGCGTTTGTTATCCTCCAATCCCAATTGTACTTTACTGCCTTACCTATCCTGGCAACTTCTGGCGTTCCTCATGATCCCGATTCAATTATCGATTTCACGTGCGCTTTGGATCCGTTCGCGAACGGAGTCTTTAGCTTAGCTTTTCTCCGTCGTGCCTTTCCCCGCGAGCTGATTCACTTCCCTATTCCCTCTCTGCTGGATCAACATGCGCTTTTGCATTTTGTCCAGTTTCGTTGCTCCTGCCATTTTGGGCCAGCTTCCGACTCACCGAAACCACGGCAGAAACACCGTCCATCAAAAATTCCATCCACTTTGCTCAATGACGCACTTGTCCAGTGACAACCACAGCAAATGCTATGAGGAAGTTTCATTCATATTGTTTTGCTGTTCCGCTCCAGCTCTTTCGTTTCATTGCTGCTCAATCACATAAGCGTGGTACGCATTAAAGACAATCGTATGATCGAGTAAAGCTAAGTGTGATTGTCACCATTGATGGTTTTCCAGATCTGCTCTTCGGTCTTGGAGAGTCTCTCTCCTGCAGCCTTGGCCCATGCGACTGCCGTATTTAGAAAACTCTCGTTTTCCGTGTCTCGCTGGAAAGTCGGCTCACCGTCAAGAATACCCCCTCTTCGTGAAGACGACAGGCTGGCTCGGCTTTCGGATGAATGACAGAATTCAACTGGCATGTCATCAAATGAAGATCGTGAGTCCTGCATATAACCGGGTGGATGAGAGAGGTTAGGGGGATACGTTGATGTCACGCCGGTTGGAGGGGTCGAGCGAACCGGAGTGTATACGGATGGCGACTTTTGGCGCGGAGGGAGAGGTGTCGGGCGCGAATGCGTGGGTGTTGGAGATGGAAGAGTATGCCAAACGGGTGAAGCACTTGAGGGCGTCCATTGGGGGACCTCGATCGGATGGGGTGATTGTAGGATGCCAGATCTTGAAGTTCCATTGGTGAACGGGGACGGAACCGCGCCTGGCAGTGGTGATGGTGGCGGAGGGCTATCAGATGTACGGGTAGTCTCTGGAAGAGCCGTAGTGGTTGCCGCCGGTGGGAATCTGTTGTTGTAAGTGCTGGAGATTGTATTCGTTGGCAGCGGGCCTGCAGGAGCACCGGGTCTCGCAGGCTGCGAAGGATCCGAGGACTCTGTAGTTGTTAGACCTGCATCTGTGTTGACCGGAGTGTATCGAGCTGCTGCGGTACTCGGTGACCTGGCGAGAGGATGAGAAGGGGTGTTCGCGTTGATAGGCGAGGAGATGTGTAATGGTACGGGCGGCATGGCGGCCGGGCTCGGACTTGTGGTGGTTCTAACACTTGAGGAGGCCAAGCTTTTCTCAGTTGAGCAAAAAAGAAATCGCGAGAACTTGAAGAAGAAAGGATAAAGAGAAAGTGGTATACTCGTTTTGCCCTCGAGAAGACGCGAATGATGGTGCGTTTGCTTCAAGGGATGCGTTTGGAGAGACCTCGTGTCATGTCATGGAGAAATGGCCTGACTGTGTTCCGCCCGGTCCAAGCAGAGACGACGGATGCCGAATGCAAATTGGGACGTGACCAACAATGGCTCCTTGGTGGCACAGCTCAGCCTCGTGTTGGGATGTCAAGCAAGGCTTTGCTGCATGCGGTAGATGTACACAGTACTCTGTAAAGAGTAATAATAAGAGGTGCAAAGTAAAAAAATGCGGCAAAATGCGAGCGCAGTTGACGTCAGCCAAGCCAAGAGCTTGATTATTGCCAAGACTGTACCCTTGACTCGCCGCTGATTGGCTGCAGCATCACAACATGAGTTTGGAAAGTGAAAGGGAAAAACAGTGCACCGTTGCTTCTCGTTTGTAACATTTGCAGAAATTCTACAATCCTCTAAGACTTTTGTGACATTCCTCTTCTTCCCCGCTGCTAACCCTCGTGGCTTCTCTTCCTCTATTTCCGCCGAAATTCGTCCACCTCCATTTTCGTGTGTGTGTCGGACCTCCCACCATCTGACAAGCCGGCGCCGTTTTGGTCTCCAACAGGCCGCGTGCCTGATCCGTAGACGTTGATTCGTCCATCACGGGGTTTCTGTCCCAACTTGGCATATCAGTCCATTTCTGCTTGCGCTTTTTCGCCGCGAACGTTTCCTTCGAGCCAATTACGCATGAGTCTAGGTCTCCCGGTATCGAAAATTTTAGTTTGCCATGGGAATGAGCTTCCGTTAAAACATCCTGTTCACGGACACCTTGACCACCACCCATTGCCTATTCTCTATTGCCGTGACTGGCACACTTCCCACCGCTCTTGACAGTCCAATGCACAACATACCTGATCTCGGTCCATCTCAGACGGGCCCGTTAATCCGCTGACTCAGCGTCCCAAAATCCTACATTCGGCTCCTGGGGGCAGCATATAGAGCCTTGTCCGTCTGTATTACCGGAGGGGGGATCGTCGACGTTCTTGACCTATCGCTACTACCACTACCACCACCATCATGTACGGTTCTCTTTTCCTCCCATCAAAGCCACCTCTAATCCAATCAGGAAATTCGGTAAACAAATCCAACGCCAGCAATTGGATCTTCCTGAATATGCGGCCAGCTTTCTCAACTACAAGGCTCTTAAGAAGGTGGGGACCAAACTCATGGAATTGTCCGGGGATTTGCGACTGACAACCATCCTCAGCTCATCAAACAGCTGAGTGCTACTCCCACCATCACCGCTCAAGGAGGTTCCACGACCGTAGATGCCCAAGCAGCTCTGAGGGCGAATAAAGAGGTCTTTTTCTTCCGGCTGGTGCGTACACAATCGTCCTTCCTCCACCCCCCCCATGCTAATCGACATGCCTAGGAACGGGAAATCGAAAAAGTCAATGTTTTTTATCTTCAAAAAGAAGCCGAGGTACTTTAACGGACATTTCGTGATAATAATCAAGCCTGATCCGTTCCAGTTTTCCCTCCGACTTAAAACCTTGCTCGACAAGAAACGCGTGATACAAGCAAGAATAGCTGCCAATTCAAGGCTCTCCGCAAGCTTTGCAACCTTGGTTGAGGGATTCCAGCAATTTGATAACGACCTCAACAAACTTCAAGTGCGCCCCAAGGCTACCAGGCTCGAGTGATCAAATGCTAACACAAGACAGCAATTTGTTGAAGTCAATGAAACAGCGATCTCCAAAATTTTGAAAAAGGTCTGTCTGGCCTTTCGCTTATTGAGAACGGGACTGATATGTTGTTATAGTGGGACAAGACTTCCAAGGTTGACCAACTTTTTCCATGCGCCCTGCCCGCCCCGCTAATAGAATTATAGTCAAGAACCAAGGAAATTTATTTGCAGCGCGCGGTCGAAATTCAGCCTTGTTTCAACCGCGATGTACTTCGAGATCTCGCAGACCGAGCGACAACGGCCAGGCTGGATCTGGAGGCGTGGGCCGAAGGCGAAAATATCCAGTACGAAGTCTCAAGGCCGACGGATCGTACGATTGGTCAGCGGGTTGGTACCGAAGAAAGCGACATCGATCTTCAAATCTTGCAAGCATCGGCCGCCGGCAACGTCGGTGCGCTACGGGAATGGATCGCGAGGCTGAGTACGTCACCGGATGCAGGCGAACGTTTCACCCGGATTTTTCTAGCGACGATCAGCGAAGCCCCTGACGATTCCCTCAATGTCTTTCTCAACTCGGGCCTGGTAGACATCCACGCGGAAGATGACATCAACGAACGCAATTGCTTGCACGAAGCGACAATTTATGGCAAGGACAGTGTTCTGGAATACGGTCTAGCGCATGGAGTCGACCTTACTCGATTGGATGTGTATGGCAGAGTGCCATTACATTATGCGTGCCTGAGAGGGAGAATCGCCATGGTCCAAAAATTACTGGACAACGGACCCGACACCATCGACATGAAAGATCACGACAATTTCACTCCTTTGATCCACAGCATCGTCCGTCATCGAATCGACTGCGTTCGCCTCCTCCTGGCGCATAATGCTAGGATCGACCCACAGTCTGATGCCGATCATATTCCCTTGAATTTAGCCTGCCAACACGAGTCGATGGAGGTCGCCACCTTGCTACTTGAAAGGAACGCGAAACTTCTTCCCGACGCAGAGGGCCTTTTCCCCCAACATCTTGTTGCTCGATCGAGCCAAAAGGCGGACCTTCTCCTCCTTCTCCGACAGCATGGAGCGGATCTAAATCAACGGGATAAACTGTATCAATGGACCCCATTATTTCATGCAGCGAGTGAAGGTCGCGTGGATTGCTTGCGCGTATTACTGGAAAATGGAGCGAATCCAGAAGCGCTTGACGAGAAAGGCCTAACAGCCATGTATTACGCCACGTGGGAAGGCCACCTCCAGTGCATGGATCTCTTATGGGAACGCAGCAGTCATCATCACCACGCCGAAAGGAGATCTTCGACCCGATTGGGGGCTGTGGTTCCTCCGCACAGTCAGATGCACGCCATGGAGATCACACCCGAAGAGACTGCTGGAGCAGAAGGTGATGGCATCCCAGATCTATCCCTTCCGCCGCCGATTATTCCACTACGCCGGTACGGTCACAACTTTCTCGACACCAAAACATTCATTGCCATTCATTTCGACCGTGGAGCGAAGGCGATACAATTCTTTAATGAAGCGAGATATCCCGCGGCCCGCTTGACCATCTCATCAAAGTCTTCGGACCTCATCCCCCGCAACTTGATGCTGCCCATAGAGGAAGAATCGAGGTCGGTCTATTTCCAAGTCGATAACTTGAGCACTTTCGCCATCGATTTTGAAATATTTCCCACATTCGGCTCAAAGGTCATCGCCAAATCGGTCGCCCTTCCGGATTTGTTCCGCGCCATCGAGAGCAGTGCGGGAAGTTGCTGTCTCCCTCTATTCGACCCTCGACTTCGCCCTGTGGGCCAAATCCAATTTAACTTTCAAGTGATCAAGCCGTACAAAGGAACTCCGCTGGAGATTACCCAATTTGCGACGTATTGGAAAGCTACGAGTGCTCTGGATGATCATAGCGGGCTGGTGACCGGATCAAGTCTTTCAGGTGACTACTTGAGACTGATCGTGCAGCTTACTCGGGACGGAGTTCCGGTGATCTATCCATCATATTTCGTGACGTACAACAATCTCGATGTTTCCCTCTGCCAGCTCCGATACGATGTCCTGACCAAGCTCGGTCTCACAAGCTCCCTCCTTCACATCGATGGGACTCCGACATTAGAAAGCGTTGACATCATGGAATGGCGCGATCGCCTCTTCATGTCAATAGCTACTCTTCATGACGTCCTGGCTGCTGTGCCCGCGCACATCAATCTCAACCTGCACGTGCTGTACCCAACGGCCTACGAAGATATCCACCTCGGTATATACTCGACCATCGATATCAACACGTTCGCCGATGCCATTTTAACTGAAGTTTTCGATCATGCGCGCGCTCTTCGCGCTCAGGCGCCAGATCTAACCCGCTCGATCGTCTTCTCTTCACTCAATGCCAATATTTGCACGGCGCTGAACTGGAAACAACCCAACTTCCCGGTCCTCCTGTGCAATGACCTTGTCGGTCTACATACCTCTCCCACGGCGCCTACGCAGCACGCCAATCCCATCCATTCTCTCCAAATGTCCCCGGCGAAGGGTACTTCCATTAAAGAATCTGCGCGCCTGGCGCAGGTGAACAATTTCATGGGCCTAACATGTTCTTCGCGCATTCTACAGATGGTTCCTGCCTTAATAGAGACGATAAAACAGGCGGGGCTGGTCCTCGTGTCGGACGCGTCAGGTGAAGATGGTACGATACAACCACTACATCCGCAAATGCAGGTCTCTGCTGCAGCTGGTTGGACTATGATGCCGGATGGTGTCAATGGGATCATGAAAGGGAACGGCATCCTGCGGTTCAATGAGACGATTGATACGTGATGGTGGTGATGATGATGACACCAAGCTCAACAGGACAAAACCATGGAAAAGGGAATATGTTTCCCAGGGTAATGACAGAATACGTGGTGATGCGGAATGAGAACAGGCAAAAAATAATGTCTATCAGTCAATAATATGGGGAAGATGTTGGAGAGGGGCCAGTCCTGGGTTCTTCTCAGTACAGTATGGGTGGCTTTTTCGTTAGACATATCACGGCGCGAAGACAAAACTTGGAGTTGATGTGCTTATCATTAGGAAAACAGATGTAGTCAACCCGGGTAGTGAATACTATATACTCTACGAGTGGAGAACGAAAAAGGAGCCTAGTCCTCGCAAGAAGATGCTGTGGAATTCAACTTCACTGGATCTCTGGTTTGGTATTTCTGCAAATTCTCGTTCTTTATGGATCGTTACCGAAAGCAACATACAAGTACATCATTTATTGTTTTTAGCCCAAAAAAAGACGCCCTCAATTCGCCAAGCATTTTCCCAAATTTCAGTAATTCTCGAGTTGCCTTCCCTTTCCATTCTGCGTCACCGTGCAGTATTTACAATTTTCGAACTCGTGGCTGCTGATCATATTCGCGTATCAGACCATCCCTCCCTCCTCAGGAGTGGCCATTTTGATGAGAGGGAAGCGAGTAGCCGTTGCGGTGGCCGAGCAATTTGCAAGCTCGGCCGACTCCTTGCAACACGTCAAGGATATTGATAGTATCCAAGATGGCTCGAAATCTCGATGCCTTGGGTTTCACATCAGCCGGGACAGAACCGCCACCCATCTTGATGGAACCATCTTCCTCATACTCGAAATGATGTGACGGACCATACTCGGTTCCTGAAAGGTCTGCGAGGGGTTTACGCTCGAATTGGCGGGGTCTGAAGTAAGGGACCATGAGGAACGCAGTGATCATGGCCAGGATGGTTGTCAAGAAAACTGAGAGGCCGAGGTTGAGATCGTTGTAGGACAAGGTTGCGGTGGGTTCGAGGCTGCCGGTCCAAGACAGGATTTGAAGGACAAGATGCACGACGATCTGGACGACGACAATGACCTTGACGCTGATGAGTTTGCCCATGATTTGAGGGTCGGTCAGTTTAAGCGTGGCTCTCTGTTTCATCAAGAAAGGAAAAATACCGGAGATGGCGAGGATGAGTTGAACGGCATTGACGATGGAGATGATAGCTTGTGCGGCGTCAAACGAAGAACCACCAGAGCCTCTGCATTTCATGACATTGATGGCCAGGGCAGCGATGGTGGTGGTGATGCGTCCGGGTACGACTTGCATGACGAAAATGTATCTCTTCTTAAAGAATTTGAAGCCGCCGTGCTTGGGATTGGAGAAGAAAGCAACTTGGGTATGCCATTGTGTGCTAGGAACCAAGTAGGCGATGAATAGGAGGAAGAGTGCAACGAGCGTGAACACCTCGTAGAATTCGGCGAGGGGTTCAACGTAATGTGTCAGGCGATAGCTAGCCACCCCCAACATACAGAGAACAGCAAAGACTGGTGCCGTTAAGATGACACGAATGAGTCTGAGTGAAGAGAGAATTAGATGGGTGTTGATTATTGGGAGAGGAGAAAGCTGCTGGGACTTACTGTTTCTGTACACGAGGCTCGCGATAATTTGACATTTGACCCCAAACCAGGAAGAAACTGACTATGACGGTAACGATGGCGCAACCGATGGAGGTGTACATCATGATCTGGTGAAAGGTGGTGTCGCCGACAATGGGGTCGGCTTGGCTGTCATCGTCGAAATTAGAGGGGCAGTCTTCTTCATCTTCTGAAGAAGAGTCCCCCCCCAAAAGCTGACGTTTGAGAAGCTTTGCAATTAAGACGTGAGCCATGCAGGATGTCCCGTTGACAGTGGAAAAACAAGCGATTCGAGAGCAACAAAGACGAAGGACGCGAAGATTGGATGGAACGAGCGTTCTGATCCAGGTACTAGATGTAATGATTTCTTGGAGATGAAAGAGAGGATGTTGTGCTTCTAGAAAATCTGAAGAACGGGCAGACCAGCCTGTCTCTATATAGACCTTTCAGAGAAGCAACATTGCTGTTTGTCGACCAATCAACCAGTAAAAACATTATAACAGCAGGTCGTGGTACCGAGTTGAAGCACCGTGAGACCGACTCAGCCTACCTCTACCCTGTTCTGTGTCACTGGGAGTGTTTTGGCGCATTGAAGGATGGCTGCATTAAAGCTTTAAGGGGCATAGTCGTAGGGATATCCTCAGAGGCGGACTCAGAACCAGCAGCAGCGGAATATCTTGGCCGCGACCACGCCGTTTCACGCAAATTGTGCAGCCATTGTGTACAATCAAGAAAACCATCCGCTGGGCCAATCCTGAAACTCGCTCTCTGTTCGCAAGCCAGTGAGGCTGTGGGCCGAACCTTCTCTTTTCAGTAGGTGATACGATATGTTGCTTGGCAACTCGTGGATCAGCACTGGCACAGTCGGACAAAGGTTCCTTACTAGTGGTATACTGTTAAGACTCAAGGCTGAGCTATGGGTTCGGAGGAACTTGGTGGCTCGTACTATGGTCTCGGAGGATCTTTCTTCTCCACTGGTGGAAGGGTCGTCTGAAAGTCTTGGTCCTTGTTATGTCACGACCAGAGACATTGATAGCCGGCGACGCGAAGAATAATAGATATATAGGTGTTTACTCTTTACCTACTCGGGTGGATACCCCGTATACTTTTTATATGGTCAGTAGTTGCTGCAATACGGAAAGGAATCCTTCTCGTGGCAGAATGGCCCGAGCCAGCGCTTGCCTCGCACGTGACCATATCTTGGCATCGCGGAGCCTGCATCAAACTGAGCTTTCGAGATGATATCGTATACGACCTTTGAATGAGGCACGAGCTGAACTCCATATGTGGGCGTTTACAAGGCTGGACAACGTCTATGTAAAATACATCATTGATTGATTGATTGATTGATTATTCCTACGCCCGTGTAGGCCGCTAGGCCTATTGGGAACTAGCTCTATCACGTGCTCGTCTATCCTATAGTCTCCACACCCAGTTCCTAGACCTCCAATCCCTTTCTTGTCTCGGCCTTCGAATTCTCAGCTTCTCGACACGGCTGTCGATGATACGGTCTCTGAGGATACTAATCTTCGAAAGCTGGCAGTTATCATCGAGAGCGCTTTCTCGAGCGTTGACCGTCATAATATCGGCTAGTCAGCAGAACCGCCATATTGAATACTATCCTCCTCTTCCGCATCCCCTTCGAGTAGCCGTTTTGTCTCCTCGCCTCTGTTACCTTGATTCTGGTGTCCAATCTAACCTCTCGGTAGCCTTGACAAATTCTAGTATGTCTTTGACAGCGTTTAGGTTCGGTTTCCACTTGCCCATCTTCCCATCTACGTATTCGCCGTTACTGTCTCGTCTGTCGGACCACGCCCCTAACCAGAACGTAAGGTCTCCCCATCGTGGTTTTCTTGTTAGTTTCTTCTCTTCTCGAATGCTCACCCATCGAGGGCACCGAAAGAGGAAGTGTCGAATCGACTCGGCTTCTCTTCCACAGGCGCACACCTCCGATTCGATGGCGTTAATACGGGCCAGATAGTGGTTTAGTCGACATTTGCCTGTGCGCAGCTGTGCTAGAAGGCTCGCATCTCTTTTACACAGATAGTCGTACAGTTTTCGTGTATGGCTGCCTGGTAGAGCTTGATCGAGCTGTCGCTGGAAAACACGCCTTTCCGTGATTGTTGCTTCGTTTATCGTAAATTCGATATTTGCTGCTCGTCGAGCTACTGTCAGTAGTCGTGGTAGGCGGAATTGTTCTAATTGGCTCTCCGGTTCCGTCGCTCGACGGGCCTGTTCGTTTGCGGTTTCGTTAAGAATGGCGCCCGCGTGGGCGGGGACCCAGCGAAAGGTGATATCGATGCCTTGTTCCCTTCGAAATTCTCGAGCTTGGTCGAGGATGGCTCGTAGAATGAATTGCCCACTTTGCTGTCGAGGTCGTGCTAATGCCTTAAGAGCCGCCTGACTATCCGTTAAGACAGTGTATGTCCTTCGCTCTCTTCTCGGGTATATATTCGCGTCGTGGCGGGTGATCGCCACCGCTTGATAAATGGCGACGAGCTCCGCGGCGTAGGCATTAAGGTCGTTTTCTGTCCCGATGGTTTGGCGAATCGTGCCCCTCGAGTGGACGATCGCGATCCCCACCCGATTATTACGCGCCGAAGCATCAGTAAATACCGCTTCGACTTGTGGATCGATCGCTCTCCTCTCCGCCTCGGCAATAGCTACATCCAAGTCATTATCGATGTGCACAATTAGGTGATTCGTCCAGGGCGCCGTGCACCACGGTTCGATAGTCTCGATGTGTGTTAAGTCGATAGCCTTGAAATTCGAGGCGTGGAGTTGTAGGGGCGAGACGAATCGTTTATTATCCATATTAATTCGACGCTTGCTCTTCCAGAATGGGTGTTTGCGCGGTAGCGTGTGTAGGTTAGTCCACGTGCGAAGCGACTGCTTCTGCCATCGAATTCTTAGTGGCTCGATACCCGCTTCGGCCTGTGCTATCGATAGGGCCACCGTTCGAAACGTTCCCACGACCGCCTGCGCTGCCATACGTTGAATGGGTTCTAGTAGCTTCATGATTTTCGTCGAGGGTCGTGCTGTCCACACGAACGAGGCGTAATCTACGACCGGGATAACCGTCGCCGCGAAAAGCTGGCGGGTCGTGCTTGGTCGTAATGCTCGGAGCCTTCTCAAGGCGGTCACGGCTCGCAGCCCACGCTTCGCGGTTCGAGACGCGTGTACATCGAATCGTAGCTGTTGATCCAGTATCACTCCTAAGATCTTGACGGATGTGCTAGGGGCTACCTCTTCGCCTTCTATAATTAACGGTCGATCGCTTCGCCTTTCGATTACACGAGTGAAATGGATAAATATCGTCTTTTTGGGTTCGAATGTCGCTCCGCTGCTAGCTTCCCATGCCTCCGCTTTCGTTACGAATCGCTCTTGGATGGTGCGTGTGTTATCGTCCGCCGTCGCCCCCGTTACCCATGCTGAGTAGTCGTCCACAAATGCCATCGATCCCTGGTTGGAGTTGATGACGTTCTGTACTAGGTTGGCGTTAAAGAAGAGGAAGAGGATAGGCGAGAGTGGCGATCCTTGAGGTAGTCCCGGGTGTCGAAGATCGTACATAGGCGAATTCTGACCGTTAACGATAATCGACGCTTTGCGCTCGCTGCAGAAGTTATTAATCCATCGCACTAAGCTTTCGGGAATCCGTCTTTCTCTTAGTCGATGAAGAAGAGTGCCCTTATCGACCCCATTGTACGCTCCTTTTACGTCGAAGCTAACCAGGCTTAAGACCTTACGGTCGCGCCATGCGTCGAAGATTCGTTCTTGAAGCATCGAAAGCGCTTGGGTGGTCGATCTTCGTTTCCGTGCTCCGAAGTGGTTGTTGGGTAAAAGGTGCCATGTTTCGGCGAGATAGGAGATGCGCTCGGCGAGGGCGAATTCTAGCATCTTTCCTAACGTCGACAGTAGGGAGATAGGTCGATAGGCGCTCGGTTGTTTATAGTCCTCCTTGTCCGGCTTTCGTAACGGTATAATCTTGGCCACTTTGAACGATCGGGGGAGTTGTCCTCTTGCTAGCGAGTGACGGAAGATCTCGAAGATTCTCTCTTTCACGACCGGCCACAGCTTTTGCCATACGATTGCCGGTATACCGTCGATTCCCGGAGCCTTCCACGGGCTCGATGCGAATACTGCTCGTTCGACTTCGTTTATCGTTAGGGGTATATCGGGAAGCTGTTCTTGTGCCGCTGTATTGTTCTCTCGACGCGTCGTCGCTCTAGCTTCTGGGTAGAACGTGGCTAGTAAGGTCTGCGCTATGCCTTCGTCGTCCTCTACCTCGCGGCCGTCGATTGTTCGTAGGGAAGGGATTTTGGCGAGTGTCCTGACAGAGTCGGGTTGAAGGTATCGACTCGCCTGCCAAATATTCTGCGAGTCCTCGAGGAAGGTCTCCCAGTGATGCTTTTTCTGTACTCGCATGCTCTTGTGGAATTCCTTCTTGACCATTTGTGCTCGAGCTTCGAGCTGTGCATCTCGTCTCCCATGACGTCGATGTGCGCGAGCTTGATTCCTCCAGTATGTGTAGTCGCGTCGTAGCTGGGTTAGATCTGCCGTCCACCACCGCTTAGTGTAGGGCGAGGGTCTAGATCGAGGTGTTAATCGCTCAACTACGGACTTTACGACCCCGCCGAATTCGTCGGCGTAGGTGTCCAGATCTTCGATCTCCATCGGCATCCCTTGAAGCTCTTGGCTGACCGAGGCGCGAATACGGTCCCATGGTGCGTGCTTGAAAAGAAGGCGTGGAGCCATTATCTGTTCGAGTTGCTGAATATCGAAGCTTGTCTGAATTGCTCGATGGTCTGAGCCGTGTTCAGTTGGGTAGACCCCGCACTGAACGCGATCTTCAGCCAGCGAGCTCGATGCTAGGGCTAGATCGATCGTGCTGTCGCCCATCGGAGATTCGAATGTGACTGTTCCCCGTGGCAGGAGGCTATCGAGTTCGAACTCTTGCATAAACTCAATAATCGGCTCGCCCTCCCCTTGTCGAGTGCTCGTACCCACTGCGTCGCCTCCCCATAACTGGTCGTGTCGATTAAAGTCGCCCCCTATCATCACCTCGACCGGTTGTGGGCTGTATTGTTGTCTTGCTTGGTGGATGGCCTGTCTGACCAGATCTAGACGGCTCGTCAGATCGTCATCGTCGCGGTCGTTTCTCTTTGGTACGTAAATCGAGATGACTAGAATACGACGGCTTTCTAGTTCTGCCACTACCGCGGTAAGGTCGGATGACGGGATGGGGATGGGCTTAACGACTAGGTTTCGATGAGCCCAAATCATACTGCGAAATGGCCATTGGCTCTCTTCGTCGTGGGTTGTGGGCGTATACGCTGTCCAGTACGGGTGATATATCGGGCTGACTAAATCACGGTGACTAATTCGAAAGCAGTGGGGTTCTTGAATCATAAGTAGTCCGAAGTCGCTCAGCTCTTCGTCGTTAAGTAGACTCTGCTGTGCCTGGGGCATTTTCCTTAGGTTCGCCTGTAGGGTTCGAAGGTGCTTCCTCATATTCGATGGGATGCGACCTTCTCGCACTCCAACTTGTACGCTCGGCAGCCTCGATCGAACGTCGAATGTGGTCCGCCACACGTCGCGCACTTGACTCGATTACTGGTACACTCGCGGTTGGTGTGGCCTATCTCGGCGCAGCGGCTGCATATCGATTGTGGGGACGGGCATTTGGCCACTACGTGGTTGAATTGGTGGCATTTGAAGCATCGGACTGGGCCTATTCGTCGTTCGTAGGGTCTCGCAAATGCCGTCTCGCCGTCGATATCGACTCGCACTTCCCGCAGAAGCTTCTCGGCATCCTCTCGACGTGCTAGATATAGCACCATCGATCCGTGGATTTTGTCTGCGTTCGGTCTACTAAGCCACTGGAGCTTATGCACTCGTATTCCGTTCTCCTCGCCAACCATCTGTGCTGCCTCTTCTTTCACTTCGGTCGATTGGCCGTCCTTAAGGATGGCCCCCTTGTACACGCTGTCCACTCGTATAGGATACCATTGCTCGGCCTGTAGTCGCGCTCCTCGAAGATTAGTTAGCCAGCTATCGTTGCGGCGTATAGTCTGCACCGCCGTCTCGTCTTTAAAGAACACTTTGAATTTATGACTGTCTCGAGGGTTGCGACTAATGCCCCAACATCGAATTTCCTTCGTTGCCTCCTGACTTTGCAACGCGTCGTCGATTCGCTTTCGGACCGTGCCTGGTTTCTCGTTGGCAATACTGCTATTCCCTGTCGTCGAGAAGTCGATAACCACGTGCGGACTGGAGGTCGTGCCTTGTCGTGATGCCGAGCTAGACGGATTGATGGAGCAAATCTGGGTGATCGGTGTACCTTGGCTTGTCGTTCCCGTAGCCGGAGCTGGTAGTCCAGACTTCACGACGTCGGCATAGCTAGCTACGGTGGCGACGTTCGCGGTGATTTGACCGAGGGACTTAGATAGCGCTTCTAGACGTTCGTTTGTACTACGGGCGAAGGCCTCGAGCCTTGCGTCCGAAGCGTGAGCGAAGGCCTCGGATTTTGTGTCTGCCGTATTCTGTCGTCGTTCTAGAGCTTCTAGACGACCGACCACTATATTTTGTTGTTCCGCCAGGTCTCGCACGATCTGAAGGATTAGGCTCAATTGTTCGCTGATCTTGCTCTTCTTCTCTTTATCGACGGGCTGTTCTTCGATTCGAGCTCTCCTACTTTCTACCATTGACCGTGTTATTCTACCGTCATTCGCTCGGGGTGCGCCTAGACGCGTCATCGGGGCGGGCGGCACCTCGACGGTGTCTTCGCTCTCTCTTGTCGGTGTGACTGGTGCTCGCATTGCTACGGTCGCCATCGTTCTTGTGGTTTCTAGGGAGGGGTTACTCACGCCTCGGCGAGCGAGTGGGCGTGGTTAGAAGGCGAGTTCGGTTCGATGGGTTTATCGAGCGTCGATTTCGCGGTGGATGCGGGATTCTGACCCGGGGCTTAAGCTGAGAGCTGCGACGCTGTCGCAGCTCTCGAGGTCGATGTTGCGTCGTTGTCGATGCTGCGTCGTTGTCGATGCTGCAAAAATACATCATTTGGGAGAAGGGGGCCTCATTTGGCTGGTCGGGTGACTTGCCTTGGCGAGGCTGTAGGCAACACAATATCAAGAACTTCCACCCTGGACACACCTTTGAATCAAATCAGTCAACAACGACCCACTTTTAATCGTCAACTTGATCGTGGCCTTTGCCTCCTAGCAGCAGCCAATTGCAGGATCAATTTCTGTGGCCCAAACAACCCAGACTGTGGCCATTCTCCCCATCATTGCTTGCCATGGACCCTGTAAGGCTCCGAAGAACATTCAAGTATCCCTCTGATGATGAAGGAGCGGACCTCTCGCACGACGAGATGGATGAAGAAGGTACGCTCACTCTGGAGACACGTTGTCCACGGACGTCGGGGAGAAGCGAAATATCCTGCGCCCTTCATAACGGTGTCCTTCCCCCAATTGATCTTCCAGATTACATATACTAAGCAATCTTTATCAATAGAACAAGAGAGACTCCTCAACACACTCCGTGCTTCCGAATCATCAACCAACACGCAGTACACGCTCATCTTCACGGCGCTGCCCCTGATCGTCATGCTGCCATTTTTGTACTATCTCTTCCATTCGACATTCACCACAATGGCCTTACTGTGTCTGCTGGGCATCACGTCGCTAGCTTCAAGTGCGTATATGATGTATTACATCCCGATCTCCAATTCTTCTTCGTCTTCGTCGTCATCTTCATCTCTTGCAGCAAGATCGTGGCTGGATAGCCGTTGGGGCCTTCAACGCGGGCAACTACCGGCGCTCATGACCTCGGAAGACAGCCCCATCAACAAGAACCTGCCGCTTCTCAACCTGTTCATTTGTGTATTGTTACTCGGGGCCTCTTTCGTGTACCGCTCGAGGACCGATGTGCCGGAAGGCCTGTGGTTGTTCATGTCCTTGCCCGGGGTCATTTTCGGGATGGTTTTTATGGCACGGAGGAGTATGGGCGAGATCCAGGCGGGTTTGAACGAACTGCAGGGATTGAGGTACGAATACAGAGGAGCCTGATGATTTGTCTTTGAAGATGGGAGGTTGGTTTATGGGCTTTTTCATTTCCTAAGGGACCAGATAACTTCCATTGCGCCACTTTGGCTGGCAAATGGAATGGCTATGTTACAGCGAGTCATCGGACAAGGCACGGTCGGACACCAGAGACTGGCCAGGCCTTGATTTTTGGCACCAGACAAAATTTCCGACAAGACCGACCAAGTGTAAGATATGAGACCCCCTCCACCGAGGAACCGGTCCACAAATGCCCTCAGGTCCGTGAAAGTGATATATAAAGGGAGCCGTCAAGGGCTCCGTATTCTGCCGATCATCAAGATTGATGCTGCTCTAGATCAAATGCTTTCAATATCCCTCTTCTTGTTCAATTGTCTTTGGTAGGAATATTGATACAGTGACGCCACATCTCAACAGGGTGTTGATTCTCTAGCTTCGGCACTGATAGCCTTCTCCGGCTTCGGATTGGGCTTCCGGGGATTCAATTCGTCGGGGATGTGAGGCCAGGGTTTCTTCAACGCATCTTGAATCATCACCAAGCAGCCCTTCGGACCACTCACAGCACCTGCACACCGGTTCGTCAGTACTTGTGAAAACTTCCCTGTTGCAATCCCAGGCTCGACTCACCATTCACGACCACAATTCCATTCTCGACATCGGATTGCAGCACTCTCAAATTTTGCACCGTATTTCTCTGTCCGCCCATTCTTCCAGGCATCTTCTTACCAGGGTACACGCGACTACCACCACCTTGGCCCTGACCTAATGAACCAAGTGATCTGTGCGACAAGGAATGACCGTGGCTTCGATCTTGCCCGTGAAAGCCCCATTTTTTCATCGCACCGGCGAAGCCTTTGCCTTTGCAGTTTGAACGTGTATCCACATATTGTCCCTCAATGAACCAGTTCGCCCTGATTTCTTCGCCAACGGGTAATAGTGCCCCTGGTCCCCGAACACGGAATTCGCGTTGATGCCGCTTGGGACTCACTCCCTGGACAGAGTAATGGCCGAGCATCGGCTTGGTCACATTCTTGGGATTGATCGTTCCACAACCCACACATACTGCATAGTATCCATGTCGCTTCCGCGTCTTGTGACTGACGACCTGATTGCGATCTAGCTGGAGAACGGTGCAGGGGATTCTTTTTCCGGATTCGACGTCGAAAATAGCTGTCATCCCCTTCTTGAATGCCAGAGCTCCCGTTCTCAAGGGAAGCGTGTCAGATTTAATTTTCCGCTCAAAAGCCGCGGTTTGGGTGGAGAGGAGAGGCTTGATGCCCGGAACAACATTGTAAGGGTTCGGTTTAGGCGGATCTGTTGAGCGGATGCCGAAAGTACGTTTTTGAGTTGCTTTGATGGATTTTCGGGGCAGGTAGCGAGGGATGAGGAAAGATGGGGGGAGACGGACGGCGACGATGCCGGAGGGAGCTGGTGGCATGATTAGAGACGCGTATAGCGTCGTGAGAAAAGAGAACAGAACGTCTGATTGTCAATCGACGGTAATTTGTGAAATCTGGAGCTTCAATCCTGACGCCCATGGCGATTCTCAATATGCAGGCCTTGCCTTGGCACGGCCAAACCGGAGATCACGTGCACTTCATATCTCGTTGAAGCGGAGATAGTGGCCGCTTTAAAATGGGCTAGCGCAAATGCACATTTGATGCGCCACTCGTTCGTGGTAACGCGAAAAACGGGTTGTTGCCTACATCACTGCGGTGTGAGGCTGGTCTAGCCTAGTGTCATGATCCGTGAGAGTATCCATCGTAATGGAGGAGATTGGAGGTAGTTACTGCTGGGGCATGGTGTAGCACACCAAGTCGAGGAAGAGAGATACGCGACGAGGCTACATGCCAAGACAAGGCTGTCACCCTTCCTCCCTGATTCGCCAACAAAAATCCGTTTGAAAGACGCGAAAAATTGCCAACACAGGCGGGGAGATACCAGTAAGGTTTCCGGACGAGTAATTCACAAGTTCAAATTCTGTTCCCTCATTTCGCATAAGTCTCGGGTAAGCATAGGGTGGCATCGCCATCGTCGAAAGTGGGATGGCAACGTCAGACCCGTGTCACGTGCCTATGGGGCCTTGCCGCTTGAAAGAGTCGGAAAAGAGCATCTTCTAACCGTCCCCATATTTGCTGACCATTGGCCAGATATTCAATCCTTCTTAAGTTTGGGGAAAGACCAACCTCTTCTAATTTGCGGGGTTGTAACGCCTCCTCCGCCTCCAGCCGCAGGATGTCTCATCGTCGTCATACCTTAAAGAGACCATGTGCAAAGACCTGTGTTACCCCTCTTGCCAACGTTTTCTTGCGGCAGTAAAGGATATCGCCGGAGAGGGGCTCCTCCTTCCCCATGGTGAGTTCTTTCCTTACCCATAAAACATCATCCATGTACTGCGAGAATTATATTGGTAGCGACCACCATCGACAGCATTCAAGTTCACTATGCAGCGTCGCCCATCTCTTGTCCCTGACCTGTACCACGTCAAACGGACGACTGTAACCAAATCCCCACCCTCTATCCGCACCGAGATCTGTGGCACCTATACGTCGCTGGACTCAGCCCAAGCTGCAGGTCTCCGGCGACTTGAAGATGAAGGCTATACCCGCTCTTCGCTGAGCGAATACGTTGAAAACGATCTCTGCAACGACGAACCGTCTTCATCCTGGCTCCACGGCCCAAATGTCCTCGTCCACGCCCGCAAAGGTGACGAGATCCACGACGTCGAGATCGAAACCACGCCCAACTCGCTTGGCGTTCGGTCGAAGCCCGGTGACGGAAGAGTACAAGATAATCTGTTCTACGTTCTTCGAACGCTTCAAAGCGAAGGTGGGTCCATTAACACTGAGATCAGGGGAATACACTTGTCAAGACAGGCGGCTATCGCAGCTGCTAGACACGAGTTAATCAGCGGTGAACGCAAAGAGGATTGGTATCAAGAGTACCAAGAGACAGCGGAAATCAGTCTCCAGAATGATGACGCTGAAAGGGAACAAATCGTGGTGTTGGCCACTGGATCGGATGGAGAAAAATATACCGTCAGTGTGGTGCATGAAAGCTAAAGTGGGGCACTGGTAGGAATATATCATCGGGGGCTGGTTGATCTGGTTGATGTGGAAGATGGCATGGCTTTCCTGAATGAAAGAGAATCCCGAGAAAGAAAAGGAAAAAAGAGCAAAATTTTATCCGTCTTGAGGGCCAGGCCAAACTTCAGTCATGCGGTCACGGAGAAGAGGGCTGTTCACATCATACCAAAACGCCATTCCTTGAGATGTGCTATCTGGGGAAACACCATACTATTGCTTTTCATTTCTCTGGAATGGATTTACAAACCTGTACATTGCAGCGGTCATTCTTGGTTTTACCGGGTTCCTCGCAACCCCAGTGCCAGAGACTTTCCGGGCTTGCGAGGAAATGAGGCCTATCCCAACCGAAGACCCACCCAGCATCAAAAACGGTCAGAGTTGTGCTCAGAAGGACATAATCCGCATCGCATGACTCACATTCAGAGTATTCGAACTTTCAATTTTCGTAGTCTGCGGTACAGTCGGTTGGTTGGTTGATTCATTTACCCTAACCTCTCCCGAAGGATATGCAGGATCTGCTGTTGTAGTGAGTTTCTCCAAACTAAAAGCCAAGGACCACGGTGGAGGGCACTTTCTAAAAGTAGTCTAGGTACATTTTGTCACTGGCCAATCATCGATAGGCAGCTCTCGTTAATTATGATACGACTATTCATAATAAATCTCTAACAATATCATGATGACACGGGTGTAAAATAACGAGTGGAATTGTATTTCGTAGCTAACTAAGTGAGGGCGTGCCGAAGGCCGCTTTTATTCCCAGTTACTAGCGCCTTGGCATATTTCATACGGGTCCGTTCCCTTACGTATACCGTGAGGTAATGCAAAAGAGCACATGCACCCTCATGTTTTCAAAGCCCGAACCAACCACTCCAATCGCCCGGTCAAGGGTCCACCCGGTATGACAGTATACTTCAAGCCGCAATGCTCCCAGCAGGTTTCTTGAAAAGCAGTATTGAGTCCAATATTCTTGAGGTAGGGTGATTGGCCCCTATGGACCGGATACTTCGACTTCCCAGCCGCTTGTGGTCGGCATTACAGCGAGCAGGCTGTAGTCATCGGCGACGACCTTAGATACTGCCAAGACTTTGTTATCGTGGACATGCAATCTCCTTAGATTGAGGTGAGATGCCAGCTGTCGAGCAACAATTAGGGTCGTCACTTCAGACGCATCATACGCCAGCACAACCACGCGAGTCGCGCCTTCTTGTAAGAACCGGTCCTTTCGCCACATCGCTCTTCGGTAGCTAGTGAAAGGGATATAAAGGGCGAGTTGAAGGTCTGCCGCGTCCCTGGCCAATATTTCTTCCATGTCAAGTGTAGCATGGCCACGTATTCTGTCGGTGATACTTGTGGCCCACGGGAGCTTAGATTCTGTTGGCGATCGAAACCGGGTGTAGAAAAGGATTTATTCGCAAATTCGGCCTCGACACGAAATACGATAAGGCACCTCCGTCGACGCTCAGGGGACCAAAGAAGTGATCTAGGAATCTAGCAGCCATACTGCAACGCAGCCCATAATGTAATGTGTGGCTTTGCTCGGAGCTCACGTACGACTCACCTCCGGCCGTGCTGCTTTATAAATATGCAGAAGCGATGCGGTGGATACGTGCAGCCAAGACCACTGTGAGATTGTCCACGAGCTGAGGTGGCTCGCCTATCCTAAAAGCTCTTGTCGAACGGAGCGAGATGCGGATAGAATGGGGTGAAAACTCGTGTGTAGATTGCAACTATGGATTGGGGGGTGGGGGGGAGCCCCTATATAGGCCAGAATAGGGGTTCTCGCCCGTTTGCCAGGACCTCGAATCGTACATTACATGTCTCGCTTAGGTCTTTATAGATGAGACTATCACTGGTCAAAACGTCAGTTTTGGGGGATTGGTTTCTGCTACAACGTTGCAAAACTTGCTCGCCTAACTACTAGTAGTGGTCATCCTAATATCAAATCTTTGCCCTCCGTCCTGGCTAAGTGCTTGTTTCTCTACCTTCCCAGTCGGCGTCTTCTTGATTTCCTGCACAATATGTATGACGTTGGGAACTTGAAAGCGGGCCATACGGGACCTAGCCCAAGTCCAAAGCTCCGCCTCTGTCACACTCGTTCCGACTCGCAACTCGACCGTAACCTTGACGTCTTCCTCAGTTCCAGGGCCCAGCTCTGACGGAATCCCAAATGCCGCTGCTGTGGCGACGCATGGATGCTTAAGGAACTCTTCTTCGATCTCAGAGACGTTTATATTCTCCCCCCTTCGTCGAATGACATCCTTGATGCGGCCCACAAAGTAGACGTTACCGTACTCGTCTACCTTGCCCAAATCTCCCGAATGGAACCAAAGATTGGCAAATGAATTGATGGTGCTTTCGTCATCGCCAAAGTATCCTTGAAAGAAAGCGTTCGGCTTGTCGCTCCGTAGCAGCATCTGACCTGGTGTGTTCGGCGGGAGAGGTTCGTCAAACTCATTAGCTATTCGGAGCTGATATCCTGGTCGCAGGCGTCCGCAGGAGCCTGTGAGGAGGTCGCCCTTCTGCATGATCGGCAAGCTCGCTTCGACGCTTCCATACAATGTGCATAGGCGATGGCCAAACCGCTCCTCATAGTCCTTGCTAAAGTGAGGAAGTGGTACGCCCCAAGCTAGCCGCACATTATGATCGCGGTCTTTGCTGGAGGGTTCCTGTTTGTAGGTCAATGCGAGGGTCGCACCCATAAAGTCGTAGACTGTGGCTTTAGTGGCTCGGATTTCGTCCCAGAAGCGACTGGCACTGAAGCGAACGGAAAGGGCCGCAGTGGCGCCCAACAACAAAGCAGGGACCGTGGTCAAGGCTGTAGCATCGGCATGAAACAAGGGAAATGGACAGTAGAGCACATCATCTTGGCAGAGCCCGAAAGCATCGCTCAACTCGAATGCTTGTAGGATGAAATATTGGTGTGACAGAACGCAAGGCTTGGATTTCCCCGTTGTCCCACTGGTGTAGAGGAATGCTGAAGGCGTTGATGGCAGCACCGATACAGCATGCTCGACTTGATGGAAATTGTAAAGAGCAGACAGACTATTGCTATCCGCTGTTCCGTTGACATAGATCTGGTCCCTCAAGAAAATGTTCGTGCCCTCGATATCTGATATGAACTCAGGATCGACAAGAGCCAGCTTCGCCCCGGCAGACCCGACGACATGCTGGAGGCTAACGGATTTCAATTCCACGTTTACTGGAACCCATGTAGCTCCCAGACGGTTGGTAGCGAACCAGGTATGAACCGCCTCGAGGCTGTTTCTCATCATAACCACAACTCTATCGCCAGGGATCACTCCCAAGTGTTGCAGACCGCCCGCAAGCTTTGCCACTTCCTCGTCGAAGTGGTGGAATGATGTGTCTCGACCTGCAAACCTTATGAATGTGCGTTGTGGAAATCGTTGAAGGGCGACCTCCAGAGCGCCATTGAGGTCTTTTGGCAGATCATCCCCCGGAAAGCCCTTGGACGGAACGCTTATTTCACCATTGACTGCAACGTGCTTCATTGTGACGTCCACCTGGCGCCTTTTCCTTTCTTGGAAATTGCGGAAGGCCTGCACCGCATCATCCTGGGCAAAGCATAAGTTGGCACCTTGCACTTCGCTGGAGAGAACGTCCTCCATAAGAGGGAAAATCGCCCTCTCCAGGCTTGTTTTCGAGCACCTCGCTGCTTTATTGGGTAGTTTCTCCAGTTCCAGTGCCAGTTGGACGGCTCTGTCTTTGGGGTCCTCAACTAGCTCGGTCAACAGTCCAATTCGAAGAGCTTCCTCGGCCTCAACAAATCTTCCACTAATCATCAACTCCTTAGCTTTCAAAAGGCCAACCAGATGTGGCAATCGAATTGAGATCCCGCCAGTGACTGCATGCCCAAGGGCGCACTCTGGAAACTTGAATTTGGCATTTGGGCCTCCAATCACGAAGTCAGCGGCCAGAGCAATCTCTGCTCCTCCACCAACTGCATAACCTTGTACCGCGGTAATGACTAACTTGTCGCTGCTCGACGTCAAACGGGTGATGTCTTGAAGTTTGTGGAATGCTGTCTGCAATTCTTCGAAGGAACCAGTCTCCGGCGCGAGGGTCTCCTTTAGATCCTCGCCAGCACAGAAAGACCGTGGTCCTTCACCTTCTAAAATAATAATACGAATGTCTGGGTCATTGCCTGCCTGCTTGAGACGGGCGACCAATTCTTCGAGTAAATCGGCATTGATGGCGTTGAGAGACTTTGGACGATTTAATGTCAATTTCAGAATTGACGAGGAAATATGCGTTGAGACCACACATGGTTGCACCATATTGTCTCTCAGAGCGCTGTTGGCCTCACTTCCGGTGAGTGATGGCTCATGGGGTTTCCATGGAGCGCCATATATGTATTCGGAAACGACGACAGCTGCTCATGCTGCGATCAGTGACTTACGATTTTGCTCTGCTCAGGCATGAGATCCCGAGGACGAGTCTACTGACTTTGGTTTGTATTAGCGGCAAGTCAGGGATGCAGACATCCTCCTCCTGCAATGTCCCGGGCTGCAGCGGATCCCGCATGTGTGGACCCTTAGGACTATTCCCAAATGAGATGGTAAGGGAAAACCTCCCCGAAGCCAGACGGAAAGATACTATGTTGGCCTGGCCAGGTGGACCCTGCTTCAGCGAGTATTCTCTTTGGCAAAGAAATATAGGTGGCATCTCCGGGTTCGATATCGAAAAAAATATGGTCGCGCATCTTTCAGTTTCAGTAAAGCAGTCTCGGGCCAACATGGCGCAAATGCTAGATGCAACCGAACGACCGTTGCAGGCGCAGCAAATACACCCTCATACCGACTCAACACAAGAGCCAGAGAACATGCTTCTCAAGGCAGTCCACCAGTCACCAACAATGAAACAATTCCGGCTCTCAAACAATTCTCGTCCGGTTCAAACTTCCCGAAGACTCTTGAAAATCCCGCCCCAGCGTATCTCCAACCAGATGACCCTTTCGAGTCTTTCAGGACCACAGAGGATTGCCTGCGAACCATACATCGAGTACTGTGACGAATTCGGCACCCTCGTGGCAGCCTATTACCTGGGACCCAAACTCGCCGGGCACGCCGGAAGAATTCATGGCGGGCTTCTGATGACGCTGTTCGACGAGTGCATGGGACGAGCCTGTTTTCCTCGGCTTGCAGGCAAAACTGCAGTCACTGCAAAAATCGACGTGAGCTTTAGAAAGCCAGTTCTGGTGGAGAGTGTGGTACTTGTCAAGGCCTGGACTGAGAATATCGAGGGAAGAAAAGCCTGGGTAAAGGCGGAAATCCTGCAATTTGACGACGAGAGTCGCCCATGTGCTGAAGCTTCTGCCTTGTTTATCGAACCCAGAAATGCCGCCGAGATGGACATTTTGATATAATGGCGACAGGCCGGGTTGATTTTAGATCTTCCGTTGACCGTTCCATAACGTTATTAGACCAATAAGACATCCACATTCAGCTCCTTCATGACCTCTCTCCAATCCACCGCAATAAGCTGTCTGTCAAGGTTTAGCTTACGAGAAGCAACTTCTCTTTTCCGCCAGACCTCGTCGACAACTTTCTTGACCGTGAATCGACTGCCCATCCCAACTGTTATAGCAGCCTCTAACCACGTCCGTGCCATCGACATAACTCCATCCGAGGATGCCTCGACTGCGGCAATGAAAGCTGGCCAGAGGGACATATTGCCATAGCCGTGAGACATAAAAAGGTTGACGTTTTCGAGGGTTTCAATGACGTAATTTTCCAGCTTTCCAGGAGGCAAGTCGAATAATGTTCGATAAAAGTAGATAAAGGTTGCATTGACGAAGGCTCCAAGCTGATAATGAGCGGCAGGATTGAGGATCGCACTTCCACTTGAGGCCTGGTTTGCGAGGTTGGACCGACAGACATTGAGTAAGCTTAATAGTCCTTGGCAGCGGTCTTCCATTACTTCGCTGCTGTCGCTGTCTCGGTTCATATCTGAAATGCAAGATATGCATTCTAAAATTTCCTGTGTGGCACCAATCGTGAATCCAAACTCGTGAGTTGATTTAATAACGGAGAAGGACTCCTGGCTAAATGTTTGAGATGAATTTCTGTCAAATGCGTCGCTGTCAGATAACTGCCTATGCAACTTATCTTGTCCGTCTTCGGCGTCGTATGCGAGTCGGCTTGTGTCACTGATAATACCAATTATATTCAGGCTTTGTATGGAAGCGCAGGCAAAGTCCGAATCTTCCCACGGCCTTTGAGCCTGGTACTTCCAGAAGACATCCCATGCGCCTCGAAAGTGGTGCCTCCAGTTCCTAGACTGGCCGCTGTATAGCTGTTGTCACAATCAGAAAGATCAAGCTCCTAGGAGGATCTCATCGTTACCTCAGCCATCATCAAAGTCATTACCACAGCCAAGGTATCGGTATCCGGCTCTGTGTTTCTGTTTAGACTGTCAAGTAGTTGTTTAATAGAGAGGCCATAATACTTCGAGGCTCTTGCCATGTTTTCGTTGTTAGAAGAGGTCAAATGAGCCAAATTGAAAGCAGCATGAGCCAAGAGGGCATTGAATAGTGACCTTTGTGTGGGTAACGTGTGATGTAGAGCCCTGGCAGGGTACGAAGACTTCCACGGATTTCTCGGATGTTCAAATGGCATCATGATGATGGCGACGTGATTCACATAGTGATGGAAAAGCATCCTTTCCTCCTGAGTGAGAGGTGTTGGGCTGAGAGGATCATGTTCCAGGTTGGGGATACGGCTGGCAGACAACAGAGCATGCCTGGACCGTTGCTCGCTTGATCGAAATGCCGTGAATGGATTGTAGTCTGGAACATGGAAGACAACCTTGAAGTCGCTGATAGACTCTGTCGCATGTTCTGGGTCGCACTGTGATATCAGGCCGTCCACGGTGTCTGAATCGAGAATCGGAATGTTTTTCCATGTCTCCTCTGCGTGGTTTAGCGCAGTCTGAATTAAGTTCTTGTGGTCAAACCATACCGCAGGATCTGTATCGTCTCTCAGATGAGATGTCGTGACTGCCATCTTGCTTGACCCAGATCAGTGCTGCTTCATAGCTACATGTGAGACCCATTTGGATGCAAGAACAGCACTGTGGCCTCTTTTCATCGCACTAATACCCGCATGATCAGCTCTATCAACAGAGGCAGAATCCTGGCCAGAGCGTAGGTTGTAGCTTACCTTTACTTTTCGCCGGCGACAATTCCGGCAGCCCTAAGCATTGTTAAACTAGTAGTTGGGTTCTTGTCATCGAAAGTGCTCGCTTACCGTGAATGTGCGATCACGCCGCCGAGGTCGCCCCGAAGCATCTTTCAGGTCCTTCATCTCTGGACGCTTGATTGCTAGCCGCTACCGATATTGATTGTGGCAAGCAGAGGGGCTGCTTCGGGATGAGATGCAAAGAAAGGAGAAATGGGCACTAGTATTTGAATGCACGGCACTCCGAGCCCTTACAAGCAAAAACTAGAGTTGGTGGAAAGTGGAGTATGGTTGAGACCAGGGCTATTCGCAGGATAGTGTGAACTTGATGAGCCACCATCAGCCCGCCCTGCGCGTATGTCCCGCATAGGTGATAAGTTTAGGATCAAATATCCCGAAAGAAGACCTTCAGGTAGCCGCGTAAAGAGTCGTTCGTCAAAGCCTTCCTCATCCTCCCGAAGTGGAATAGCGTACCTTGGTCAGATCGGTCCGCAGGCCAAGTCTCATTACCATGTCCCATATTATCTGTACCACTATCTTGCTTCGCTGCCATTTGTCTGGCTCCTCACTACGAGTAAAGTTTGAACCAATAAAGTTCTTCGTTCAAGACTCGGAAAGCCGTGCCAGATCAGGATGAGTCGGCAAGCTATAACGAGCAGATCGGTTTTTCCCAGGATTCAAGAAGGTACAACCTGATAACTGCAAAGGTCAAGAACAGTATGGAGCAGCTCGCGAGCATACTAACGACTGTTTTATCAAGCCTCCTGGAGAGCTCTAGGCCTACTAACCTCGAGCCCTGTGGATATATCACCATGAACTACTCCCCTAAATCTTTCACGTCGACATAAAGTTTCGCTCTGAGGTTCTCTGAGGTCTATCTTCTTTTGACTATCCCCTCTCACTTTCATATCATGGACAGAATGGGGACCAAAGAAGTCTCAACCGCGAGGGAGATTATGACGACGGTGGACAATGAGCTTGGACTGTCTCAGATCAGACAGCCTCGCTACGGTCAGACTCGACGAGGGTGAGTAGCAGTAAGAATGAACTCCTGAAGTCAAGACAATGAGATTCTAATATTCTACCAGACTCAAAAGTCGGCACATGCAGTTTATGGCCATTGGCGGTACGATAGGAACGAGCTTATTTCTAGGCATAGGGTCGCCCCTCACGATTGCCGGTCCGCTTAGCCTGTTCCTCGGCTTCTCTCTTACGGGGCTCGCAGTCTATGGCATGGTACGGCCGCCTAAACTTCCCTTCTTTGGTACTTGTTGACTAGTAACTTCATGTTACAGATGCAATGTCTGGGAGAAATGGCGACCTGGCTACCATTGCCAGGAGCGATTCCCCAGTACTGTGCTCGATTTGTTGACGACGCCCTGGGATTTGCAGTGGGATGGAACGTGAGTAGAACCCCGTACATTGACCGAAGGCATGGATGCTCATAACCTCTTTACAGAATTGGTACTTCTACTCGATTGTATTGTGCCTCGATATCAGTGCAGCTTCGATTGTGGTCGATTATTGGCCAGGAGCAAGGCATATCTCGGTAGGACAAAAGACCCTACGCATACTTTTTCCAAGACTGCGCAGTTCCTAACATCTTGACACAGCCTGCGGTATGGATCTCGATACTTATTGTCCTTGTACTCGTCCTCAATGTCTTTGCTGTGGACATCTACGGCGAGGCAGAATTCCTGTTTGCTTCCATCAAGATCATAACAATCGTGGGCCTACTGATCCTCTCGGTCGTCATTATACTCGGGGGTGGTCCTAATCATGACCGTTTGGGTTTTAGATATTGGAATAACCCTGGAGGTAAGTTCATCTTTCGCTACGTACTCAACAGTCTGAGCCGTTGAGACCCTGAGAGTAACTTTTTTGAATCTTGTAGCTATGAAATCTTTTGCCCCAGCTACAGGAGATACCGGTAGATTCCTCGGGCTGCTTTATGTTATCATCTTCGCTTCTTTTACGTTTGGAGGAATAGAAATGACCGCAGCGTCCGCTGGAGAGGCTGAAAACCCTAGACGCAATATCCCCAAGGCAGTGAAACGCGTGTCTTGGCGGATTGGTCTCTTCTACATTCTCGGCAGCCTGGCACTCGGCATGATCGTGTCTTCAGATGATGAGCACCTGCTAAATGCTCAGGAATCGGGTGCACCTGGTGCTGCCCGGTCTCCGTGGGTCATCGGCATTACGAATTCAGGCATTACAGTGCTCCCTTCAATCATTAACGCGGTCATTCTTACGTCTGCAGTGTCATCGGCGAACGCGTTCCTCTACACAGGGAGCCGCGGCCTGTTTGCCTTAGCTCAAAACGGCCAGGCTCCGAAATTCTTTCTTAGGTGCACCAAGAGGTTGCTATTGACTCATCCAACACTGCGACTGATGGAACTCCCACTGACTAATTCGCTCGTTCCAGGGGTGTCCCCATATATTGTGTTCTTGCGACTAGCTCGATCTCACTGCTGACCTATTTGACGCTGTCCGTTGGCGGTTCCAAAGCTTTCGGCTGGGTAAGTGGCACAGATTCTTGCGCATGGCATTCGAAGCTCTATTTGCTGTGCTAACAACCAATTGATACAGTTTGCCAATTTAATCACTACTGCTTGCCTGTGGGCATGGATGGCCATCTGCGTGGCCTTTCTCCGGTTTCGAAAAGCTCAACAGGTCCAAGGTTTCGACCAACGCGAAGTCGGATTTAAGAATCGGTTCCAGCCATATATCGCGTGGTGCACCCTGATCTTCTTCACGATCATTCTAATTTTCAACGGCTTCACGGTTTTTTTGAAAGGCAGGTGGAACGTGGATGACTTCCTCGTTGCATATGTTGGTGTTCCGTGAGTCCACAACAGTCAGCCTCCGTCATCGCTTAGAGTAGTCATTTGCTGAACACCATCTCAATTCTCTAGTATCTTCATCGTCCTCTATGTGTTCTGGAAGATCGTGAAAAGAACTAGGATTCGTCCATTGAGCGAGGTGGATCTTCAGACCGACAAGACAGATGTCGATGAACTGGAAGGTACCTGGGAAGAGCCTGCGCCTAGGAATATCGTTGAAAAGGTCAGTGGCCACAACGATCCAATCACCTCAGCTTCTCCGTGTCTCGGCAATCATCATGAATCGTGAAGTCTGACCGCATTGAGCAGATCTGGATCTGGCTGGTTTAATTCCAACCCCGAATGGGAAGTCGCCGGGTGGCATCTGGACTATTAGGAATACGTGTTTTGTAACACCCAAACCGACTATTACAGCAACTATTACAGCGAGCGCCCAACCACTCGAGAGGTTGCCAGCCTCCGAGAGGAATGCCAGCCATTCGAAGGCACGCTAGCCATCTGAAAGGACAGGAATCCCAGCCATCGGGGCGGCCAGGGACAGGCGGGCATAAGCAGGCGCCTAGGAGGCTTCAGATGGAGAGATAGGTTTTCAGTACACTACAAATCATACCCTATCATGTACACTGGCATGTTCCGTGATCCCTCTCAGACCCCTCCGTAACAAGCCATATCCTCTATGGTACCGTTGTTACTGTTGACAGGGTGAGCTATTCGTGATATACTGGCATTGGTGTGTCTATCTGATCTGTCTGAATTGCGCGTATTCGTCGAATTCGCTAGACTAGTATACACGTTGGCGAGGACCAAAGCGACGGTGTGAGAGCCGTACAATCGACTCTCAGACGTCCTAGAGTCACCCCTCAGACGGTACACGAGGCACTCTTGTGGCACCCGAAGTCGAGAGGATTGTTGAGCATATCAGTTCATGGCATCTGGTTCGGTCAGCATTGCGAAACAGGGGGAGCTTGCATTTCTATGAACGGCATAAGTGATGAATTACCCACGAGTGACCGAATTCGGATTCTTTGCGCCTTGGCAGTGTCCTATGTACCTGATCACTAAAACTGCCAAGCCCGCAATGGAACTTCGAATGTGCTCGGATTTGGACCGCCGTAATGGATGTCAAAACGCTCGTCCAGTTCTCGATGAATCGGCCGGAAGGTATCAGCATCCGCGCCGGCGATGGCCAGGCGAATCCTGTGGTCCTTCTTGATCAGGGCTGCGATCGCGAAAAGCTTGAAGGCGACGGTGAAATCTTGTTCTGGCACTACTGGCTCTGCATCTGCGCGGGCAAAGCTGTGCGGCGACGGGCCTGGATCGTATGGGAGCTTCTGAGTATCTGAGACCTTGCGATGGATCGCCCTAAGCATGCCCTCCGTCAGATAGGTAACCCGTCCATCTGGCGCCACGTCCTCGAGATAAGCGAATATGGTTGGGTCGTCAGTCTGAGTACGCATGTGTAAATTTACGACAGGCCATCCGCAAAGCTCCGTGTCTCTTTCCAGTGGTGACGTATCGTATGTTAAGATTTTCGTGTCTTGAAATGACCGGTCGGCATAGTCAGGTGTTGAGAACTGGTACCATCGATTCCTTTTCCCGGTGCTTGCCTGATAATCCACCCGCAAAGTATCAATACCGGCTTGCGCCGTGGTGCGTCCGAGAGAGCCTTCTTGTCCGAGCAGAAATTTGGTATTTTCAATTCCGATTGGAGGCCATTGAAGTGTATCCAGATATCTGCCAGTGCCCAAGACGTAGTAGTGGATAATGCGCGCAAAATAGCGCTCAGGGATGTCCATCTGCATTGCCTCAGCAGCGAAACGCAACTGTTCGACATGCTGCTCTTCAATCGAAGGCATCGGATCATTCCTCCCAGGCAGCAGAGGGTCTGCACGAACACCTCCACTGTGATCGTGGGCAGTGATGAAGACCTCGGTCGGAACGCCTGGCGTGCAACGAAAACGATTGATGGCTTCATCAGCAGTATTGGCATCAACCCAGGACGCCCAGAACTGGACTGGTTTCTTCTGCTTTAGGACGGCTGGTATATGTGCGGCGGTGCAACTATCGAAGATCTTATGCCCGTTCAAGCCAGCGTCGTCACGGAACAAGGCATTGTCGTAATCCTCGAATCTCCAGTGCCTGCCCAACCCTTCGCGGGTGCGAAGCGCTTGTTGCAGAATCAAACAATGCGGATCTTCATCCACCGGCTGAAATGTTGGGAACAAGCTCAAACAATCTTGTGCATTCACACGGCCGTCCAAGCCGGCGTGTCGAGGGTATATAGGTCGGCCATTAATGGTGTGTGGTCGACCAAAATCAATTTCGTATACACCCGTAGACCAGTCCTTAAACAATGAATCGTTGGGGCAACCGCCAGGCCAGAAGAGCTCCCAGAAGTCGAAGTCTGTCGCGCGCGGGATCGATGCGATCAAGCCTGGTGCGTCGCGGGCAGTGGCCATGTCGGCGGTATTTCCAGTGTATGACACTCCAGTTGAGATGACCTTTCCATTCGACCAAGGTTGTGCCGTAATGTGTGCAATGATCTCTTCGGCGTCTTGTTGCTCATCTGGACCCAGCTCGGCTGCGCGTGGGCCAAATGAGGCCGTCGTGCCACGAACATCGACAACGACGGAAGCGTATCCGGCGCGCAGCCAAGGATCAATAGATCGTGGATCTCCTTGTCTTCTCGCGGTGGCTCGACCATAGCGAGTCTGTACAAGCAACGTAGGAACTTGTGATGTTGGAATTGTGCGCTCTGGAAAGTAGACACTGACTGCAAGACGTACGCCATCACGCATGGGCAGGTAGTAAGATACATCACTCCATCCGTAGGGATTTGCGTTGCTGGACGAGTCCATTGCTCAGATCAGTCCAGACTGGAGGACGAGTGTGTCCATCAAGCCACGCGAGAGCGGGAAGCATTGCCTATCTATAACACACGAGTCGCACAGACGGTGCCGGCGTTAGCCTTGTCAACGATGTCTCCACTTCCGTCTCTCGCTATGAGATCCCTCGCCACCCTTTTCGGGCAAGCGCTGATCACGAGCGTGATGCCGCTATTCTCCACAGACTTCGTCTTCGACATTGCACAGAACTTCGTCGCAACAATCACAACCCTGGCGCCACGAAGCGAGTGGCCCGGACTTAAAGAAAAATGGCTGATTACTGGGACCGTCTCTCTCCACTTCCGCCTCTCGCTGTGAGATCCCTCGCCACCCTCTTCGGGCGCCGATTCCACACACACCGCAACTTCCTTGTGCTATGACTTCTGAGCTGTGACACAGCCCGACCTAATGTACTTTGACCAGCGTGTCGGCAACGCCTGCACGTTCAACTGGCGATGGCCTCGGGAAGGCCTTCGCTTCGATGTCACTACAGCCCCCCACACCATGATATGCCCCACCCCTGTCTTCACTTCCCAGGCGGAGGCAAGGCAGGATCCAGTTCTGTGCCGTAATTTTCTCACTGGATACGACAAAGCGAGCAGATCCACCAAGGGAGGCCTGCAGCGGCGAGCGCGCTTGGAAAGGTCGGTCGACCACGTGCTACTTGTTCTCAAAAGGAACAGGGCCTGATGAAAGATATTCTCCAAGTCAACAGCCAGGTGAAACTGATGCTCGAGGGAGAGATCGAGAGAGTACGGAGGGCGAACCATCGGGAGCGACAATCGTCAGCACCCTCAAAATGTACGAGGCGGCTTCCGTCAGCTGAGGTCCCTCAGAGCCCTCAATCTATTCCATTTGACAACATGAACCATATCCGGGGGATGACTTGGGCCAAGAACTCGAGTACTGTCTCCAAGGCTTGCCTAGCAAAAGTTTCTCCGCCTCGTCTAGCGTCCCTTTTTGTTCAAGGGTCAAGGACAAGATGCTCATGACCGTCAACGTCGTGAGGTGCAAAGCCTCAAGACTCTTCTTCAACACGGCCTCGGCCGATGATAGAAGTTGCTGAATTGGAAAAGTGTTTACGACAGGATTGTTGCTTGCCGAACAATCATCTCCTCCGCCGCAACTACATGAGCAAACTCCTTTTTGGCGTCTGCAAAGTGCTGAAGGTCCAGACTGGTGAAAGCCAGTAATGGCTTTGAAATCAATGTCCGAGAATGCTTTGGCTCCAGTGTCTCATCTCTGGCTTGTGCAGCCTGCACTGCAAGATTTATCCCTCTGTGAATTTGCTTTAGCCTTTGTATACGAGCGCCAAATTGCTTTTTGATGTAAGTGTAGAAGGATTCTTCTTTCCAAGCCATCTTTTGAAAAGATTCGCCGCGGTTAAACCGGCTCCTTCAGCTTCTTTCATCCTCCCTTGTTCAGAACAGGTCATTGCGAGATTAGCCAAAGTGATGATCGTGTCCAAATGTACCTCGCCGAAGACTTCCTTCTCCAAGTCTATGACCTGCAGATGTATGTGTCTTTTAAGTGCCAAGGTCTAGTAAGGGTGTACGCCAGGTTTCCCATGATGGCCAGGATGTCATGATGATCAGGACCACGGACTTTGACCGTAATAGATAGGAGCGTCCTTGATCAGGCCTAGTGGATCTAAACTACGGTAAATCGATATCGTGTTCTTTATGCTTCTCAGCGTCTTGGGGGGAGCTTGGTCGAAGTTCCTGACTGCGCAATGGAGGACATGGTGTTCGACACTCTCAGCTTCATGACATCGCTTGTATTCCCTCAACACTGATGACAGTACCGATCAAGGGCCGGTGGTACCGGATGAGCTTCGCCAAAAGCTGACAGGAGATCAATCACTTCACGCGCTTGTGCCTTTGTAGCATCTTCCAATAGAAGTCAAGCTGAAACGCCGGGTTGGCAACACAATCCGAGAAACAGAATTTCACAGGTATTGCTTCTTGCTGCATTCAGCATTCACAAGCTGCTGCATAGAATCCCCAATATGTTGAAGGACTAGATCTATCATGCTTTGCTCATTGGGAAAGGGACAAACCGAAAATGAACGATCCGTGTCAGCCAACCAAGAATTTCCAATCGAAACAGAAATTCTGTAAGGGGCTCTGAAACCAAAACTTGTGAACTTATCTAGTGTGAATCATATGCACGATCCTTTCTGATGAATCAATCGATAGGCGCGTGCGCATTGGCACCGGCCGAGTATCTGGGCAGAGCACCAGCGATCCATCGAAGAATCCTTCCAGTGATGTCCTTCCTTCCGGCCTGAGGCTTATGGTTATACCGATGAGGTTCTCCGCAATAAGGCGCACTTTATCTTCCTTTTCCGAAAGTCCAAAACTTTGTTCGAGTGGAATCAGCGGAGTTGGACTGGAGCACCAAGAGGACTCCTCTCTCATCACTGCCGACGGTGTTGACCTCGATCATGATGTCGACTTTGTGGAAAAGTATGAACAGGCCGAGCAACCCGACCGAGTAAATGTCAGTCTTCTGGACATTTTCAAGTGGAAAGCCTCGATCGTGCCATTCTCGGGTCGTCCAAATTCCGGCATCCGGAAGCATATACCGAGTTGAATCCTCTTTGCACTGATAAAGAACGGCCACGGTCTGAATTGAGGATGTGGCAAAGATCTCCTGACGTAGCTTTTTCGGAGACGAGACAAGGCCAGATCTCGCTGGAGTCGTCAACCTTCCAACACATGACCATAAGTTTGGATACATCAGGATGCTGCCGGATGAGAGGATTTTGGAAAACCAAGATCTTGGAGATGAGATCGCAGTGTTCTTATTCTTTCAGCGGTTGCATCGTAAGCAGAATAGCGATTTGAAAAGATTGATCATCCAGAGAGAAGTTTAGAAGGCAATCTACGGTGCTGATCCTCAGTTTGAAGAGTGGAATGAAAGTCATCAAACCAGCTTCCGATCCTTGTGGCCAGAACGGTGTAGGCATTTCAAAATTCAGAATTCCTACGTCCGGGGACACGACCATGCCCGCACTCATTGAGCGGATCATTGGGCATTCGATAGCAATATCTACATCCGCCGATGCCCACGGGCACATTTCGTATCCGTATCCTTGGCTAGTGGCTGCTGTAAGCACCGAGCTCGGCTCGAGCCCTTCAGAACCTGACTGCTTAATACCTGTGTTCCGGTTCACTTTCTTTCTCTCCCGTCAAGCGGAATATTGTGAATCAGCGTCGGAGTCCAGGTGGTATCTTTGCAATTACCCAAGTCATCCTGGTTCAATACTCTCGACAAGGGCACACCAACTCAAATTTCCGAAGCCAGTGGCGGCGATAAGGCAGAAAAAAGATGGAACTGTCCCCATCAACCTGGAGAATCCTCGGTCTCTCCGTCACAGCAGGGTACATCGGGCTCGGTACATTTGCCATTACGCAGCCGGTTCTCGCTGCCCAGGGCTTTGGGATCTACCCGGAGAGCACACCGCCACCATCGACGAATAGAGCCTTCAAAACGGACAAAGACGAGCATGCCAGCGCAGTCACGACTTCGATGCTCCTGCTCGGCGCGAGGGATCTCACCATCGGTCTTGCGCTGGCTTCGTTCGATTACCAAGAAAATCCTCGTGCCATGGGAACACTGATCTTGAGCAGCTTCGTGCTCTGCGGCGTCGATGTGCATGAGATCTGGAAGCTACGTGGGCCGGCTTGGGGTTGCGCTTTCGCGGTCGGCGCAAGTATTTGGATGGCTATCGGGTATGGCATGATTCAGTAGGATGAGAACTGAGTTGTGCTTTAGGATCGGCTTGCGGATGTATTCCCCCGCCTTGCCCTTAGAGGAAAAAAGAATCTCCAGTCTCCCTAAAGATAAAATGATCCCAACAAAGTGTGTCTTGAGTCTTTGTAGCGTATACCTCAGCATGCAAGTGAGACACATTTCCCGGGATCCCATTCTAGATCCCATATATATATATGAACTAATCATCCATTGACATAGAACCAGTCACAGCTGTTACGTAATCAGCATCTTTTCCACCTCCAACTTTTGGTCTTTTTTGCTCCACTGTCACGAAAATACTCTAATCCATGGCCAAGTCAAACCTTCATCAAAGCTAGAATAGATCGCAGCCACCATCCCCCGAAAAAATTCTCACCTCGAAGACCAGCACCTAAACTGGGAGAGACTCCATCCTCAGCCAATGCTCTTACAGGTCTGACGTGTGCCCCTTGACTCGACAAGACATCGATACCAAACAAAGACTTCATCTAGATGAGCATATACACTCTCGCAATCCGTATCAACTGAGCCCCCTTGGTATGCTTCTGGAGGGGGCAAATGCAGGATGATGAGGCGCTCTAGGTAATTTGACTGCATTGGGCGTCACAAATCAACGAATGTGTTGACTGTGCCATAGTCTCAGATTCGGTAAAGCGCTGACAAGACTCTGGCTGCTCACACGTGCTTGTGCGAGTCGACCCTTTAATGCACCTCCCTGGCCGTCCCAGGAAGTGAGAATCGAACCGGAAAACCATCTGCCGAAAGTCAAGTCCGACCGACGCCCGATTTGTCCTGAGGAGCTCGAAGGCCCAACTGTGAAGGTAGTCTGTGCACTGGCCTCGATAGTCATCCTTTGGAAGGGAAATTAATTCATGTATACCCTGCTAGCAGCTAGCAGAGAGTCTCAAGCTGATGAATGACCATGAGAGAACTGGACTCCAATAATGTCGTAGAAATAAAGCATGAGCGACCATTGTCAGGCTGATCAAAGGAAGACCTTGATGATTGCCCATGTTTGGTTGGAGATCGTCATCTTCTTGAAGGAACAGCACTTCCTTCAGAGCACGAGTTTTCTCTGATGGGTCATTGAATGGTTCTTCAATACCAAATGATACCGCGTCATACATGCCCTCATCACTCGTCCCGGAGATGGACACGATCAAATGACTTTCGAGTCTCAGAAAAGTCCTGGCGGGTGCCTTGATATGCGAACACGAACGCCAGAAGCAGTGAGTTGGAATCCACAAATTCCGTGACATATAGATTTTTCCGCGTAGTACCTTGCATGTTGGTGAGCAGGTTGAGAATCCCCCCTGCCTCGTCCGAACACTGCACCTATAACCGTGAGCAGAACTCCGGCATTAATATATCTCGAAGCCCATCTACCATTTTTAATGCCGTCCCATAATGCCTTCCTTTGGTCGAGAATAAATCCATTGTTGAACGGCAAGGAAAACCTCCGCCGAGGTAATTCTGGAAGTCTAGAAACTAAATCTTCCGCACGCCCCAAGTTCGAACGTTGAAGTTGTAGAGCTGGTTGGAGAGGAGGCTGGCCAGATATTGTACAAGGCCGTGGCAAATGAGAGGGCAGTTGCTCATCGAGGATTCAACATTTTGCCGAATTAGCCAGGATGGACTTACCTAGACATGTACTGAAAAAGGTATGGAAAATGCACGTGATTTAACCCGCTCTCGATTTGGAGATTCCCGAGCTCGAAATCTCACGACACCTATTCTTTGACACAAATGTTTCAAGCCGGTCCTGGACCTCTAGCAATAGCAGGCGTCTTACTTGAGACTGAAGCTACGGAGTTTCTCCGAGGTCGACATGAGCGGAAAGAAGATTCTCACCGCGCCCTGGTCTCGCGCCTCCACAATTATTACCCTTCCGATCTCAACCCGCCATTCCATCCTCCGAGCACTCCTGCGGCAAGAGCTCTCTACCTTAACTCCTCGAAGCCCGTCCCGTGCATCGTCAACGCAAATCTCCCCGGATCGAATTGTGCGACCTCTCGTGCCACCGCCCAAAGAAGGCTCTGGCCCTCTTCTCTTGCGGCGCCCGGATCGCGAACTCCCAGATGTTCAGAAGGTGAACATCTGGGTGAAAACGCTCCCTATCTTCATCCTGCTGATTGCAGCGTCGAGTCTCGCCATCTTCAACTACCAAAAATCGTCATCGTCAACGGTCAACTCAATTCTTTACGCACTGCGCACGAACGAGCACGCCCGCGAACTGCTTGGCGACGAGATCTACTTTGCCGGTAGCGTGCCCTGGATCCGGGGTACGCTGAACCCCTTGCACGGGAATATTGATATCAACTTCTGGGTGAAGGGCACGAAAGCTACGGCACAGACCCGATTCGTGTCAATTCGAAAGAAAGGAGATGTGTATTTTAAAACGTTAGAATGGAGTTTGAAGACCAAGGATGGGCGAGAGATTCAGTTGCTGGAGATGGAGGGTGCGAAGGATCCAATGCAGCAAGAGCCAAAGATGTGAAAACGGCATTAGAATAGGGGAAAATTTGGTACACCATCTCTATGCGCCATGCAGAAAGCTGGTCTTAAAGATTGGCCAAAGAATGAGAAGAGTGAATTACCCCCCCTTCGTATACCTCCCGTTCAATCATCCGGTTTTACTCTTGAACCTTTGGAATTGATGCCCGTCGCACTAGATTGACCGGCAGTCACAGCTTTCTTGCTGGAAGTCCTGCCAATATTCCACCCCCAGGATCTCAAAGTTTTGACCACTTTGGGGAGGACGGCCGCGGTAAGAGGGACCCGAAGGAATATGAAAGATTTATGAACCGCATATGCCAGTGCCAGCTGCGTCCATATACCTGCCCCAAAAAAGTCAGTCTCGTGTTCCTTCACATAAATTCGAGTCAGAAAGACATACTAGCATTGTCGCCGCGATTTGCGGCCTCGGCCTCTTTATAGCCATGATCTTGTACAGCATATGTTTCATTCGGTTCCTCCAAGACTCTCTTGGTAGCTCCCTCTTCAATTTCAGGTCCATCTTTCAATTGTCCGCTTGCCCCGTCGACCTGCTCCTTCGCTTCCTTGGGTAGAGGCCATTTCAGTAGCTCCTTGATATGTGACAGAATCACATGTTCCCAATGCCCAATGCGATCTGTGCCCAGTAATTTGACGGCGAGGAAACAAAAGGGAAAGTCCAGCGCGGACAGCGCAAAGTACACGCCCACAGCGGTCCATCCATATTCCTTGGATAGCCTTTTCAGACGTTGGGAGACACTGAGTTTTTCTTCAGGAGCAGCAGCAGGAGCAGAGGAATTGTAGCGTCGACCATTAGGTGCGCGACGTCTGAATGCTTGTGTGAGAGAATTTGTCGTAGGTTGCCGGGTACGTATCGACCGTGTCAGACTGGCTGTTTGCAATGGTCTCGTCCGGAACGCTGTCTGAGATCGTTGGAGCTGGCGAAATGCCTGGCGGAGTGAGGGTCGCGTCTCGAAGAGCTGTCTCACCGCATTGCGCTGAAGAAAGGGTATGCTCTTCATGCCTGCGGCTGAGAATATCAACAAAAGATGTTGCAAGGGAAGGAAGAAGAAAGTGGTTGACGCGCCATGAAGAGGAGATTCAAAGTTCTGGCCACAGAATTTCGCAGGCTCCGATGTCATCGTCGGAGTTTGCCATCACAAAACTCCGGCGCCTTCAGCCTTGTACACCAGAAAAAGGAGGCCTACTCGTCCCACTACGGTGCCTTCGGTCTCCTTCTCAGATTGCCTCCAGCTATCGTAACACTAATGATTTGATGGATGCCATCCCCGGACATCGATGAGAGCCATCTAGTTGTACTTACTTGCATCATCTATTCCTTCACTTTTAATCGGGCAGGCATTAACCCTACCTCTGCCTCGTTATGTCAGGCATCTCTATCCTAGTATGTTCTCTTGTATCAAATGCAATCTTCCCAATGCATATGGTATATTTCCGACAGGGTAACACTTTGTACTAACCCTGATTCCGTCGCTTCCATGACCTCCAATTCTCCAAGTCAAGGTGACGTTCGTGCTGCGAAGACTTTCTATCGACAGGCTTATCAACGTGCCAAATCTGAAACTCTGTCCTCATATCTCTCCGGGCTCTGGCATATTCGTCATAGCACGATGTTGACGACTCTGGGTTCGAAGGTACGCCAACATTCACTCCGTCAGCACAACCCAGCAAATTTAACTGCCAGCGAGAGAGCGGCTCATGTTACCATGCCTACAAAGCCGGGGCCTACTTCATACCCAATGACGACGCAGAGCAAGTCCGCATGTATGGGCAACACAAAGCCATATTGATGGCTTCCTGGGAAATGGGGGATCTTCTACACGCCATTGAATGCCGAGGTCATCGACATGGGTGACAGATACCCTAAGGCTGTGGTCATTAGTATTGACTGGAGTCCCATTCAGCCGACCGCAGTGTCACCGACCGTGAAATTCGAAGTCGACGATGTGGAAGATGAGTGGACCTAACCGGAGAGACATTTCGATCTAATTTACACTCCATCCTAACATGGCTTAGTCACTACAAACCAGATTGGCTAATTCAAAGTCCATGACATCTTCTTAGACGAAAGAACTGGCTGAACTACCATTGATCCCAAGGGTTACACAAAAGTATGATGCAACATGTTGTGTGAATACATTTGAAAATGGGCAAAACATTCGACCTAGATTTCCCTCAGCTGAGAGACCTAATGATCGAAGTAGGCTTTGTCAACGTCGTCCTTTGCGAATTTCAAATTCCTGTCAGCTAGTGGTTGGATAATCCAAGGATGAAATAGGCCGAGAAGTCTCAGCAAAAAGGCGATGACGGAAGGTCTTGAATCCCTAAGCCTTGCCATTTTCACAAGTCGCTTGAGTTGGAGTGAGGATGACTTGAGGAGGAAGGATGCTTATGCCTACTGGCCGCGATGCGTGTTCACCAGTCGCCTTTTGCTCGTGCTGGACATGTGCTCCCTTTCAGATATTTCAGCACTATGATCTATGGCATGAAGCCTAGCTAAAATGAAGTCCTCATCGCACTCAAACGGCTCGGCGACCGATTGGACCTCAAAACTCTTTGGAGTACTTAGGTGCTCAAGGTACTTGGTGTTTCGTACAAAACTGCTGTTGACATGCATAAGCTCAAGCTCAAGTCTCATTGAAGCTTTTGTACCAGTTTACTGAGATAGAGCACTTGATACTGAACGAAGCCCATCACACCTTTCTGCGTTTCTCATGTTCATGGTACCAGAGTCCAAGATCAGTGAGAGTGTTTAGGTGGTCGACCACGTTTCTTGCCCGTTGCAGGCTTCAAAGGCGACACTCTTCCATTGACACTTGTCCCACCCTGACTCGGCTTCCCGAGTAGTGACGCCTCGCCTGAATCGTCACTGTCAACCCAGCCAGCCGCGGACACTTTCGCAATGATGCATATGGAGGGCTGTGGCGGTGGGGTATCGGGATCTTGAACTAACTGCTTAAGAACGGTGGCGGCAGACCGTGATTCTTATGCGTCGATGAGTGATTCTTGTGACCACGCGTCATCGAGGCTATCACCATCATTGTTCATCCACTCGATTGCTGCCATCTTGGCTCTTCTGTTTGCTTGGGCTTTGGCAAGAGGTTGAGATGTACCAGGCACAGGGACTGCAGGTGATTTCGCAAGTTTGGTTCTCTTTGGTGGCGGTTCCGGCGAGGAAGTTGTCGAAAATGATGCTTGTCTTCGCTGTGTAGAGGACTGTCTGGGCTCTGGAGCAGTGATTTGTTTTGCTATCGGACGAGGTTCGTTCATCGTCAATGGAGGATCAGGGACAATTTCAACACGTGGGCTTGATTCTAATGCAGAATCCTCATCGTCTGTCGTATCCCCTCCTGCCGACGCCGCCTCCGACTCGAGATCGTCGAAATCTGCGTCATCTAACCGGACTATTCTTTTCCCGTTCTTTTGCCGCTTAGGCCATTTAGGGCGCTTCGGGAGCATTTCATCGAACTCTTCTTCCGACCGCCCCTCATTATGAACGGCTTGCATCCGAGTCTGGCGTCGGGTTATCTCAGCATCAGAAGAAGGTCGAGGAACTCCGTCAGGCGCAGCTTTCCTACGATCGCGGTGACGGACTGGCGTAAAATCATCATCTCGTTCGACGACAACATGGTCATTCATTCGAACCCTCGTGGGTAGTTGCTGAGGATTTCCCTCCGCCGCATTGAGAACAGGGGCTGATGCTTCCACTCTATTTAATGCCCGCCGAGCCGTTGCTGCTGTCATTTTCACTTCTTCTAGCTTGTCACGATTGACCGGCAATTTGACCTGAAGGGATTTGCGTTGTTTCTTGGGTCTCTCGGAAGAACCTTTCTGGTAATGATATGCACGATGCTCCTCATCAATCCTGGTCTTCCTGCGTTTCCGCTCGACTATCCCGATGTCGCGAATGTCATCCGTAACGGGTGCAGAGCCTGGTGGTGCTTTTTCCACGATGATAGGAATTTGATGCCTGAGCTGGGGACCTGGATAGTCGTATGTAATAGCTTCGGTGAGATCATAGGCATGTTCAACATCTCGAATGACACCTCCTTCTGGGACGACATAGTGCGATGCTTGAGCATGGGTAGGTGGTGGTCCACGGTATCTTCGCGGACCTTCAGGGTTCTCGTCAACAACGCTAGCTGCCAAAGCTGGGTCAATCGGAATCCCTTCCCGTTGAGCCTGTCGAAGAACCTCATTTTCCACTCTATCGTTGCTGTCTTCATGATCATTAACATAATCGTCGCCCAATTCAGGATCATTAGCTTTAGCGGCATCCGCTTCTTTACGTCGTTTCTTCAGGCGACGCGTATCATCTCCATTATCATCGCCTGCTTTCTGAATCCATCCGATGTTGGAGTAGCTGAAATCCACAAGGCTCTCGACAGACCGTGGATCTGCGATTGCTTTTGTATTATGTCCAAGAATTGTGCCGGAGGGGATGTAAGGCTTGTAATCGGGCCTGCTGCGACAATTGCGGCAGCCACAAATGCCTCGGCAGCTGGGACATTGCCAGTCCGGATCGGCCAAAATGTCTTGCGGCATCATATCATACGCTCGGAACAGCAGGCCATAGCAGTAGTTCTTGTCGCACGTCGCACAGGACGCTTGTTTCCACTTGGGTTCCCAATGCATATCTACATGACACCGAGCGTGCTCTCTGACAAACTTTTCGGATCGTTTGATCTTTTTCTTCTTTCTCACGTTTCCGTCGGCATCCATCACCTCTTCTATGACTCTGTCGTCGCCAGTTACCGGAGATGCTGGGCGCCGAATATCACGAAAAGGTCGTCTGGCCAGTTCAAGTTGGCAGATCTGTGCCAATGTCCTCTTTTTCCCGAGTCGATCCAACTCGCTCTTGAGTGACATGGGCGATTTTTCGGTCAGCTGGCCGTCGTATTGAAGAATTTGCCGTCGCCATTGCTCATGTTTCTGAGTCAACTCTTTCCACGTCCATTGTTCGGCCCATCTCAATTTTGAAATGCAGGCACAGCTTCTACCGATAGCATAGCACTCCATACATATGTCGTAGGTATCCTCTTCGCCATCTGGCATGGCTTCCACACAGTTTGGACAAGTAAGAAACCGGTTGAAAATATTGCATCGGCAATATGAACAAGTAATGTTACTGTCATAAGGGATCTTCTCCACATTCTTTTCAGGTCGGTTTTCAAGAAAACTCTCGGACACCAATATCTCGGTGAAGAGGGTCTGCAGTCTGCGGAAGTCCTTTTCCAGCCGACGAACTTTGGTGTCATTCTGTGGCTTTTGTCCCGATGCGATAGATGTTGATCCCATTTTTTCATTGGTTCTGAGGAGCTTCGAATATTTCCGCATGGTATAGAAGACGATGGCTTTGTTCTTGTACTGCTCGTCTCGACAAACCATCCGTGCTCGAGGGAGCGCTTCGTGCATTGCCATCTCCAGAGTTTCCACCGTGGTTCTGTTCCATGCGACCTTCATTGTTCGAGTACCTCGATTCCAGACTTGATGGGGTGCCAAAGGCGGAATGAGAATGAAATCACCAGGCTTTTGCTCCACAACATAAGTCTTGAACGGCGCGGTTTTCCAAGCATTGATCTGAGCGAAATGATTTTCAATCTCAATGTCATGGCCGAGCCTCGAAAGCCAGTATTCAGAAACGACTTCCCTCTCTTTGCTTTCCGTCATGAACCAGATGGAGGATCCGGGTTTAGTCAACTTGCCATCTTCAACCAGTCCAGTGGAAGCTTCCACCATGATGTTTTGGCCGAGGCTGGCACACATTTCTCGGTGGGCGGGAGTGTATGTTCCCTCATGACCAATATAACACATGAGGTTTTCTGCCCGCATTTCTTTGGGAAGGCTGCTCATCAAGTCCCCAGCTTTCGCAATTCCGTGACCTTTCGTCATCCCAGGTTTGGTGGGGTCGTTCGCATCCACCTCTCCGAACCCATCGATGTCTCCAGTGGTATCATCGAGATAAAATAACCCTCTAGGGATAATTTCGGCCAGTTTGTCATGCCAGAGCTGCGGGCAGTCAATATCCTTGAGATACATGCGCTGCCGCTGGGGGTCCTTATAATTCCGAGCGGTCCACTGATTTGTGAGGGGTGCCATGTTATTCAAGTAATGGCCGATGGACAGGGGAACATTGGCTTTCTTGGTAAGATCTCGAGCATGTTCAACTGGACACGCAGATTAGTATGAATAGTTCGAATCTGAGTCTTGGTTCCCTACCCTTGGATCCACAGTTATCGCGTAACCATTGAAGCGTAAACGTCCATCGATCTAAGCGTGACTCGTAGCCTTCAATGACGAGCGGCTTGCCTCCCAGGATAACATGGATCAAAACTAACTTTTCAAAATTCTCCAGGCCTTGACGGTCGATCATATCACAGTGTATTCGCACGACCCATTCAAAATTGGCAGTGGATTCAACGAGCGCTTTCAGATCGAACTCCGGCGAAATAGGCTCGAAAGCTGCGCACGGTCGTGTGGACGGCATGGTTGAGAGATGTTTCAGAAGTTCACTCTGCTCTTTGGCCAGGGAAATAACATTCTCTTCCTCAGACAGTTTCTTGGGTTGAACCTCCCATTCATGATAAGACCCGGCGCCAGTGAAAACAAAGTAAAATGATTGCGCAAGTTGAATGATGTCGGTGACCGACACCGGTTAGACACACTCGATCAAAGGGGGTCACGTTGAGAGGGTGGTGTAGTTCAAGGCGAAGGTGAAATAGGCGCTGAGGTGGGGAAGAATCGCGACGCGGTTTCCGCTTTGGGCGCGGCTGCAACTATTCCCAATAAGGAAATAGAGGTTAAGTAGCCAAAAGGTTTTGCATATTTTTTCCTTTTTGACTCAGGAGAATTAATTTCGATACTCTAACAGGAGCTCCGATACAGCTTGCGGAAGCTCCAATCTGAGTGATTCCTTGATAGGCAACTTCCTGGTTTGAAACTAGAATTCCTGTGGACACCAAAAATGATTTACTAGATATCAACGACGGAACTCCTGATTCTCCACAGCCTCGTCGACTTTGCTGCATATCTCCACCACTGGCATTAATCTTCCTATGTCGCTCCCAGTCATAATGCACAATTCGAGAATCAAAGTGCAACTCACTCAAACTCTCATCTGGTCTAACCGGCCGCCATCATGCATCTCCCCTTACAGATATAAATGGTGCGGCCGAGCGTCTCCACTGAGGCTAAGACACACGTGCTCTTACCAGAGTTCCACCCGGACGTCGGCACCTAAGGGCTCTTGGAATCAAGAAAGACGTCTCTCGACGCCTCCTCCATCATCACGTCCGACCACCGGCATCATATCCAAACTTCCGTCGTCATGGATACCATACGCCGAGCTGATACGCCTGGACAAACCGGCCGGAACACACTACCTTTTCTTTCCGTGTATGTTCTCGACCCTCATGGCAGCTCCAATGGCCATGCCCATGACAACACTTCCCGAAGTGTTATCGACGACAGCTCTCTTCTTCACTGGCGCGCTCATTATGCGAGGCGCCGGCTGTACCATCAATGACCTTTGGGATCGAAATTTGGACCCTTACGTGGAACGAACCCGATTACGGCCTATTGCCCGAAAAGCCATTTCGGTCGAAAATGCGATTGTATATTTAGGTGCTCAGCTCCTTGTTGGCTTGGCTCTTCTCCTCCAGTTTCCTACACCTTGTCTTTACTATGGAGTTCCCAGTCTTCTTTTGGTGGCCACATATCCTCTGGCGAAGCGAGTCACCCATTACCCTCAATTTGTTCTGGGCTTGACCTTCTCCTGGGGAGCAATCATGGGATTTCCCGCTTTGGGAATTGATCTTCTATCCAACTCCTCCGCCTTCGGTGCAGCTGCAGCACTGTACTCTAGTTGTGTTGCATGGACCCTGAACTACGATATGATATATGCCTATATGGACATCAAGGATGACGCCAAAGCCGGCATAAAGTCAATAGCTCAGGCTCATGAGCACAACGCCAAAACTGCGTTGTCTGCCTTTTCTGCCGCCCAGGTCGGACTTCTTACAGCAGCCGGGTATTGTGCCGGTGCCGGTCCTGTTTTCTTCATCGGAAGCTGTGGAGGGGCTGCTTTGACTCTGGGAACCATGATTCGGCGAGTCGACCTGAAAGATGTCAAAGATTGTTGGTGGTGGTTTAAGAACGGAGCGTGGCTGACCGGCGGAGTCATCTCTGTTGGATTGCTGGGTGACTACCTTCACCGCAGGATCAACGAGGAGCCCAGAGGAGAGAGAGAGGTCGTATCGGCTTAGATGAACTGTATCGTCAATCTCCATTCACTTTACTCTTGGAGCCCCCACCAATCTCCAAGTGTGCCTCAATGTATTCAACAATCTGTGCCCAATTCATCATCGCTCCATCCCCGACATCTCCACACGCCAGTTCCTTTTCCATCGGTCTCAACACCGTGACCCAGCCGTCTTCGCCATTGCCCCAGTCCTCCTCCAGGACTTTGATCTGCTTTTTCGTGATCGGGTGTCTCCACATAGCCGTATTCATCGCCGGTGCGACAAAGATCCTCCTCTTCCGCATATCTATTAGGCCGGTGGTGTCCCACGCTCGTATCACGCTGAGCAGGAGATTGTCACTCATGCCATTGGTCATCTTGGCCAGGGAGTTTGCCGACAACGGAGCCACCAGGAGGACATGCGCCCACCGTCTCAGCTCGATGTGGAGGATCTTATCACTGCGGACCCAGGGCTTCGACCACTCATCCTCGTCGTGATATATGCCATCGACGTTGGGGATGTCAAGGAGAGATTGAAGGGCGGGCTGTTCGGCGGACTGGCCCTGGAGGAATTGCTCGGCGGAACGGGTCAGGACGATGCGGATAGATACGTTGGAATGACGGGCGAGAGATTCAGCTAGCTGAGGGATTTTAATGGTCGCAACTGAGCCGCTGGCGGCGAGAAGAATGTGATGTTTGCCATCCCTTGCGTGAGCCGCGGCGGAGAATCGTTCCGCTGTCGTCTTGCTTGTAGCAGCCATTAACATTAACGGTGGTTTGAGAGCCGGAAATGTATTGTTTCGCTATAAGGAATGTCCTCTTCAGTAACAGGGAGATGCGCAGGCTGAGGCAACGCGATCGACAATTTGTGCTATCATCCCGCTCAACTTTTCTCCAAATCCAGAAAAGCTCACTTCTCGCAACTTTATTCTTACCCAACACCGCGCACTTCCTCCTATCATCTGCCAGATTCGAGAGAAATGTTCCAGCATAGTCTACGGATACCGGTATAGCTCCTCGAATCACTCGATTTGTATCCAGCAAGCTCACACAATGTCCCGCAAAATAGGCCCTTCGCGGTGCCCTCTCCGCACTGCGGCCCGGCGCCACCTCGAGCAGTGTGCTCCCTCGAATCACATCTTCTCTATCCCAAACACGACTGCTCTCCGCCGAAGTGCGCAGTGCAATTGACAAAGCCGTGGCGTCGGCCCCGGTGGTGTTGTTCATGAAAGGCACCCCCGAGATGCCGCAATGTGGCTTTAGCCGGACATCGATCCAGATTTTAGGTCTGCAGGGCGTGGATCCGAGGAAGTTTGCGGCCTTCAATGTGCTTGAAGATGAGGAATTAAGGAGTGGTACGTTCATGAAACGAGACCCCGAGGACATTTCTTGCGAGATTCGAAGACCTACGTCTTTCCCCTCAAGATATCTGGATGAACCCAAGCATGAATCCTTTGACTTACCAGAAATTTGGCCGTGCAGGAATAAAAGAATACTCCGACTGGCCCACGATCCCGCAGTTGTATGTGGATAAAGAGTTTGTAGGTGGCTGCGACATCTTGATCAACATGCACAAGGACGGCAGCCTCGCGGAGCTGCTCGCGGAGAAGAAAGTTATTGTCGAAGACGGTGCGGAGGTCGAGGCCCAACAGCCCTCAGAGCAAACCAAATGAGGAATCAAAAATTGGAAAAGCACTCGGTTGAAAAACTCGGAACGTAATAAACCTAAATCATGAACAGGAGTTTGCTATGGCTCGAAGTCCTAGACCACGGTGCTCGTGAGTCGCTGTGAAATTGGTTCTTCATTTGCGGAAGTCGGAGTCCTCATCAAAGATCCTATGTACAAAAAGAATAAGATTTTGATCAAAGAAGAAGGACAACCTTCCACCCCACGCTGGTCTTCTAGATGCAAAGCTCCCGGAACACCAAGCTCCCAATGCTGTTTCAAGTATATAGTCTCTTCAACTACATATATCACTTCATGTCAAATTTCTCACAGGTGATACCTCCACTCCATCTTGACTTCAGGCCATGGCAAGAAGCACAAAAGGGGAAACGAAAGCTTTTTGTAAATATTAAAAGCAGCCATCCACAAACTGTCTCAGGCCCAGGGCTCGTGTGCCTTTTAAAAGGCCTTCTCCTCGTCAACGATAACACCCCACTCACTCTGGACACGACCGTACATGACATCCTTCAACGTCTGCTTGACACCGAGGGCGAGCTCAGCATGGACGCCCTTGGCAAGGGGCAGCGTGATATCAACGCCCCGGAAATGGATATCGGCACAAGAGGCAATGAAGAAAGCAGTACCGGCACCGAAAGCCTCGATGAGTCTACCTTCACGGTCTGCCTGGACGAGTTCGTGCATAGTGAACTTGCGTTCCACGACGTCGATGTCAGGCCTGGTTGATCGGACGAGGTCCAGGACGCTGGCGCGCGTCACTCCCTCAAGGATCACACCGTCGTCTAGTGGAGCGGTCACGAGCTCCTTGCGGCCCGCCGCATTCTGCCACAGCACGAAAAAATTGCTGCCTCCGGCCTCGGTGACAAAGCACTCATCGCCGAACAACCAGAGGATCTGGTTGTATCCGCGCTCACGGGCCTCTGCCTGCGCTATGAGAGAGGGACCGTAGTTTGCACCAACTTTGGCGTTGCCGAACCCGCCAGGCCATGCTCGGATCATGTCATGACGGGATGCGAGAAGGCGCATACCAGCTGCCCCTTTCGCTTCCTGGCCCATCTGCACCCCCTGGGCGCCATTCGGCGCACTATTGGTGACCGGAGCGCGACTGGGAGGGACTGTTGAAGGCTCATCGAGTGGGGGAAACATGACCATCATGATGTAGAGAAGAGCCTCACGAGGACTTTGCACACCTAAAGCTGGAGCAGTGGCGATCATCGTGGGACGGATGTAGATGAATTGGCCGGGTTCGGAGATCCATTTGGGAGCTTCGATACCGACGAACTTCTTCAACAGTTTCAAAAACTCTTCGGGCGGAAAGTCCGGGAGGGAGATGCGAGCTGCGGATTGAAGGAGTCGCTTTGCGTTTCTTTCAGGACGGAACAATCGTACTTTGCCGTCGAGCCCTCGGTAAGCTTTCATTCCCTCGAAGCATTCAGTGGCGTAATGCAGAACGGAAGCTGTTGGCATGATTGAAAGAGGTCCATATGGTCGAATCTCAGGAGCATCCCAACCAGACTTTTCGGTCCAGCGAGCTGTGAGCATATGATCGGTGGTATAGTTTTGAGACCATACTTCAGCCGAGTTAGGTGCTGGGACACTCTTGGGATTCAAATTTGGTGTGAAGGTAAGTTTCGAGGCGTCGAGATCTGCCACTGCTGGAGACTCATTGGACACAGTCTTGGATAGGGTCGAATCCACGCCAGCTTTGGTCGACTTGGATATGTTATCGAAAGCAGGGAAGGGGGGAGGTACGGGGGGAATCGCTACTGGAGCCATTGTAAATGTAGCAATCAACGTGAGATCAGATCCCCCTGACTAGAACACCAGGAGAATAAAATGGAACAGATGTAGCAAAGGAGTGGAAAACACACAGACAAGGAACAACTCCGTGACTCATATGCCTTCAGGGACCACGGCGAAATAGAGTTCTCAAGACGCGAGGGTGGAACAAGGTATGTACCCGATGGCTGACGATGGAGAAATCTGTTTGGCTGAATTGGGAAGCCAATTGTCACCTACCATGCTGAGCCTAAAGTCTCTGCGCCTTTGCCAGTACAAGCACTTATCAAAATGTTACTGGTAGCTTTTTGCCGACAGAAGAGCTGGGCTAGGCAGAGCATCCCTTCACATGACGCATGCCAGGTGTTTGTGGGGTTCTTATGCGTTTTGAAAGAAGCAATTTTCTTCGTTGCCACAGATAACAAATATCTGTTGGGCACTCAGAGTGGTGGGATGTGAACAGCATTGAAAAAATATGCAAAAGCCACAAAGGAGCAGTAGCCAGAGAGGACGCTTGGATCGGATATTCGCGGATATCGATGCACCAAGGGGCCCAGTTTCAAGAGGAGCTCGTTCATTTCCGAACTCTTCCGTACAGATTTCATCTCGTAACGCCCCTGGCATGAAAGAGTCAACAGGACTAATATCAATGATCTTACCACCGCCAGTGTTATGCACCTGAGCCTTCATAATTGCAGCGGAGAGACGAACCACGATCGTTTTTCTGCTCTTCTTCAGGCTTCCTTCACAGGGCTCCAAGGAGCTCGATATGACGATGCAATCCCCTGAACAGTTTATTCTTCTGAACCGTGTATTGCTGCGAGCGTGGGTCAGAGAGGGGGTAATGCGAGAGTATCAAGGATCACCGACCTTTTGCATTTCATCCATTGTCTTCTTCGCCCATATCCCCCCCAAAGCGGTCGAGATCTCGTTCCAGAGTTCGGTGGGCATTATTTTCTTCCTGGCAAGTTCTCTGAGCGGACTTGAACACATTATCAAGCCTTTCTTTCTGGCCAGTTTTCATGTCCTCATCTTCAGCTTCCACAATGGTAATGTTCTCCTGGCCAAACACTTCTGCCGCCAGGCATACAAGTTCTCCCTGGATGTCTTCCCAGTCATCCCATAATTTGGCTAGAATAGTTTTCCTTCTCTTACCTTAGTTTGCGAAAGTTCGATACTTGGCTCGATAATGCGACTTCTTGAGTGTCTCGTTTGTCTTGAGCAGATTGGACAATTGAACTGGTTTGTATCTTCAGTGTTTCGGCAATGAAAAGTCGTCGCAAGGGTTCTTCAATCCTGGTGAGATGGTCCAAATGGTCTTCGATTTGGAGTGCGAGTCCCTCGAGATACGTGGTTAGATCCTTTCCCGCCTTCTCCAAACCCTTTTTGGCTTGAGTATGAATATCTTCTCAGTATTTGTCGATGCTTGCTGTGAAGAGTCAGCATCAACTAGAATAGTTCGCGTCATGGCTCCTGCCTGTGAAATGGCCCGCAAGTGCTGATTTTGAAATATTTCGCTTGCCGCTGCCCTCTCTATATTTTGAAACTCGGTCCGGATCATGCCATGGGGAGCGACGTTCATGTCGGGGAGCCTTCTGGTGGTGTGTGTCTAGGTGGAGATGAGGCAAGGACCGTTTGGTCCCACGGGAACGATGGAACACAGATTTGAGTGACACAGTATGGGTTTTGCGATTTGCAGACTGCATATTGGACAGAGTGATGTATTCACATGGAGTCTGCACTGTATGTTGAAGAGGAAAAAGCACAGCTCTCAAAAAAAAAAAAAAAAGGCCCTAGTTTGTACATAGAAAGTCTCCGCCTCACTGGCAACTTCAACTCAACTTCTGACCAGACACACAGACAATATCTTCAAGCTCGCCAGTTCTGACATTCTATACTCTTGAGTGTGACCGACTTCTCATCCAGATCTCGACTTTCTGTCGCCACAGGTGCACAGCCACAGGTACCATAATGCGCGCATCCAATGTGGCAGTGTTCTGGTATCTTTTACTTTACTTGGACGTTGCAGCACCCAGTTTGACGTAGCCGCCGATCCAAGGGCCATCCGAGTTATTAACAGCGATCGAGATGGGATGCTTCGAATCCCTGAAGCCTTGCGTCAGCCAAGTTTGATCTTGTGGCGTTCCCAATGATTGCTAATTGGCTCAATGCAGGCGATCTCATGGTCAAACCTCCAAACGGTGTCCCAAAAACTTGGTTTCTCCAACTCTCTTTCAGCCTCTTACAAGTTCCGGAGCTTGAGCCCCCGTGAGATGCTCCTCACACGAGTTATCTAGCATCGAATGTCTGGAGGAGGAAATGACGTCGTCAGTCCTCCTTGGGACGAGGTTGGTCGATCGCATAACACATATCGCATAGATAAAGAAGCTGTTTCACCCTTTTCCTCGGAGTTATCATTTTCATACCTTGAAATAATTCACCGAAAGATACCGGTTACTTCATAAAATCACGCCCTCAGGCACGGAAATACATACAATCTGCCACAATGGCCCTCGGAAGAAGAACTCGTCATCACTCCAGTGGAACAACTGTGACCACCACCACTACCACAACCCATCACCCACCTGGGACCAAAGTTTCACCCAGTGGCCAAGTAAGAACCAAGCCAACCTTCATGCAACGCCTACGTGGTAACACTACGCCACGAACCACAACTGCTAGACCAGCTCGACAACGTCGCTGGGGCGGGACCCGGACTCGACGCACTCCTGCCACAGCTACCACTCCCAGTCGCAAAACAAGCATCGGAGACAAAGTCTCCGGCGCCATGCTCAAACTTAAAGGGACTGTCACGCGGAGGCCGGGACAAAAAGCTGCTGGCACGAGACGAATGCATGGGACCGATGGGAGTGGTACCAGGCGATACTAGATCGCGACCGCGACTGGGAGGGCGAGACTGGTCTGAATCTTTGTGCTCCGCGTGGAGAGATAGAGAGCGACTTGTATCATTAGCCAATCTCTATTGAAGTGTCATTCAGAAAGTGTGAGCTATGCGCTGTAGACAGAGAGTCCAGGTGCCTCGGGTTGAGTTGAGTCTTGTATGTTACCATGAGACGATATACCAGATTGCTTGACTTCACGGTTAATCGAACGAAATGAAATGAGACTTTGAAACCCCCCCCCGGACGTCTCTTCTGCCAATGTCATTGTATCGCCTTATCTTTTCTTCGTACTCGGTACAAAAATATGCATTCTCTTTCATCGCTTTCTCGCCCATCATACGCAATTGGTTCCACAGCAAACTTTTTCATCATATCGCGGATAAAGCGCATATCAGCTTTCCTCCTCTTCTTGAAGCAGAAGTAGCACGTTGTCAAGGGTCCAATAAGATCTCCCAACGTTTGCAATAGGAGAGGGAACGCAGGCTCAAAGTAGACGCAATCAGCAGCGAGGACAATGTCAGGATGTTCAGTTCCTTTGGGCAGAATATTTGAGGGTGGAGGGGTGCCCCAATCATATATCTCGGCCACAACACTATCTTCGAGATGATTCAACGCGATGTTCTTCTGCATCAGTGCCAACATAGGCGATTGGTCTGTGATGAAGATTTTGCGGTCACTATCGCAGCCCAGCGCGACGGCCAGTCCTACAATGCCGCCACCCGCACCTATCTCGACTATTGACTTGCCCAGGAGTGACTTTGACTTATGGTATTTGAGCATATATTTGGAGAGCACCATTCCCGCTGGCCATAGTTTGCCTCCGCATCCTTTTTGAAGGTCCTCATGGAGGAGAAGAGGAGTATCGGGAGGGAGGAGATCATCGAAGGTCAGGCTGGTGGTAGCGGCCTGTTTGTTGATGCGTTCAGGAACGAGGGCGGTAGAGATGGCGAAGACGTCGTTTTCCGGGGAGGGAGAGCGTGAAGCTGGCATCGCAATGCCAGTAAATCCGAGCAGGAAGTATACGGTGCAAATAGTGTGATAAGTGCTAATGGGTTTGCTGATCCCAGATTCGAGTCAAGATATCAGGCGCCCAAGTTGATTGGATCAAGGGTTAGCGGATGGGAAATCCGGGGTAGACTGCAAAGTCTAGGCAAAAGAGTTCATCCTACCCGAAAGAAGTGACCATTGTTGCGCGTTGACGGGATTTCTGAGGGTCAAATCTCAGCGGACAATGACCCAATTTCGTGACCGCTTGAACAACAGCCTCGGAAATGAGATTTGGCCCTTTCGAGACGTGGAGCAAAAAGAGGCCCGTCAGGTGCTCGACTTTTGGAGGGCTTTGAGCTCTGACATCATGGCAGGGCGAAAAAGCGTAGTTGTCATTACACTTCAAAACATCGTCGATATCTGGCTTAAAACTAGTGCATCGGCCGTATTCCCTCGTCATTACTCTGATCTTCTCCTACATGTCGTCATTGTGTCGCTGGAAAGCTTCAAAGTTTCGACCTGGCCTCGACACTGGGAACTTGGGCCGGAGTTGATTGTTAGTCTGTCACTCCCCTATACATATAAGCCTGGAATCTATTTACATCTCCCATTCATCTCTTCCATCCGCAACTTGTTTACAGATCCTCGGCAACAACACTACAACGTCGACCTACATCTACACAAATCACCTTCGGTCCATACAAAATGGCAACCCTCCACTGTACATGCCCGTTCTCGTCTCCTTTACAAACCAGTTCAACACGTCACTTCTCGAGCTTGAAACCACACCTCACCTGATGCTCCCCACTGCATCAATTGCTTTTGGAGAACACGCCACTGACATTCCCCCTTTCTTAGATCTCCCACCTGTTAAACCCTCCGCGATCGCCCTGGGCATCGTCTTCAACCAAGCTGCCTCCGCAGCCGTTCTCGCTCCTTTGTTCGGTGACGCCTACCACCGCGCCAAAGCCGCCGACAGCAGGGAGGAATTCTTCAAGTCCAAGGAGACCGCAACCGCAGCAGCAAGCTGGGGTACCTCGATCGTCGGCTCCGCAATCCAGACCTATGGTGTGGCTGCCCTCATCAATGCCACCGGAACCCTCAGCTACAAGGGCTCCGCCTACTTGGGCGCTTTGATCTTCATGGCCTCGTACAGTCCTTCGGTATGTCCTCTCATCTACGCAGTCATTCGAAAAGGCAATGACAAATGAATCGCTGACTTGACTACTCTCATTCTAGCTCGTCTCTGCTGTCGTCATCGAAAACCGTCCCATTGACACCGTTGTCGTGGGCGTTCTATCCCGCCTCTTCGAGACCGTCGGTCTCAGCATGTTCCTCACCTACTGGGGCACTCGAACCAACCCATTTGACTAAATTATCAAGCATCATCATATGGATATGAGCGTTGAGGAAACGCGAGGAGCTATGAGAGCACAACAGATATCATTGCAGTATCACGGGCCAAGGTGGAGGGGAGGAGCAGCAAGAGTTGCGGATTCGCATGAAATGCTGTATAAATAAAAATCACAAACTATAAAGCAAATCCCGAAGCTGAAAGAAGGGTGAGAATGTACGGCTCCTGGACGTGGGAGACATCAGCCCTACAATTGCTAACACGTCCCTAAGAATGAACACATCCAATCCGAAAATCTTCAATTGCTAGCCATCTCATTTGACCAGCTTTGCTTAATTTCATTCGCGGCTAACTTGGGTCTAGCCCTGACGAGTAAAAAGTATGAACAAGCCTTCCTTTTCCTTCAGCGTAGTGTACAAAATTCCAGGACTGGCTGGTCCGCAATCGCCAAATTAACGAGCGGCATTTTAGACAGCCTCATGCTCCTTCTCAACGGCCGCCTCTAATCCTCCAAGTAAATCCATCTCTGCGGTCGCCTGCGCTTCGGCTCCCCCCTCTGTAGAGATCTTTTCTTCCTCCTGTGCCTGTTCTTGTTCTTGATTCATTGGCTCTGTAGAGCGCGAGACAGGCTCATTGTCCTTGTCCACCTGCTCAGCTGTTTCAGTTTGCGGAGCTTCCTGCACTGTTTCGAAATCTACTGCCACAGTATCCACAGTCTTCACTTCGTCGCTCGTAGGTTCCGGTTCCGATCCCGCTGGTTTGACTTCCTCCACGATCGGTCCTTGCTCGAGCACAAGTTCAGGTTCGGCCGCCGGGGTAATGATCGCTGAGGGTTCTGTCGGAGTCTCATCTGCAACTTCGACAACCGGTGGTGGGACGGGTTCGGCGAGCAATGTGTCGGTGATAGAAAGCGATTGTGGTTCTGTTTCCGGTGCAGACGCTTGTATCGTCTCAATATGTTGATGTGCAGCTGGCTCGTGATGATCATGTGCTTCTGATAATGTCTCAACAACGGTGGCTTGCTGTGTCTCGGCATCTGTGGAAATGGTGGTGATGATTTCGGAATTCGGTGCAGTGAGAGAAGTTCCTGTAACCTCAATCGCAGGTTCTGGCTCGACTTCGGCTTCAGACACTTGATCGTTGTTTGGTTCGGCGGAAAGGTTTTCTTGATCAGCAGCTGTAGTTTGAGCTGTAGCATCAGGTTCAGTCTTTCCACCTTCTTCAATCTCCCCTTCCTCACTGCCTTCACCCTCGCTCTCACTTCCAGATCCTTCCCCCTCTCCATTTTGGTTATCTCTCATTTGAATATCTGTAGTGGCGGATGGTTGATTATCTCCCGTAGGAATCCCAGTCGTGGTATCACCTGACATGGTTGTCACAGCATTGTCTCCCGTAGGATTTGGATTTGCCTTCTTTCGTCCTGGTCCACCAAGCTTCTTTTTCTTGCGCTTGGGGGGTATGTTTTTTCTGACAGGTGTTGACTCTTGAACAGGGTTTGTCGTTCCAAGCACACCTGCTGCATTCCCTAATCCGGAGCCATCTCCTAAATCATACCCAACATTTGCAGAACCCGTTCCTGGGCTAAGCCCCAATGCTCCGAATCCATTTGTTGCTTTGTACGCACCTCCGTAAAGGCTTTCCATGCCCGGTCGGCGGTCAGCAAGATATTTCGGCTCGGGAAGCTTTTCGGCGATTGCTGCAGGAATTTGTACCCATTTCTTTGTTTCAAAAACTCGTTCTTGTACACCTGAATTTGTTTTTCTTCGCTTTTCAGGCAGACCATCAGCATCAAAGGCGTCGTCATTCTCATCGTCCTCTTCATCTTCATTATGAGAATTTGGTGACTCCGGATTGTTTAAGAGGTGTTTTGATTTGAGACGAGCATTCCTCGCATCGAGCTCACTGCTTGAGATCCATGATTCTGTCTTTCGATCCCATGTTGGCATTTTGACGGCAGTGTTACCCATACGGGCTCGTCGGAGAAGCTCCTAGAGGAGGGAATCAAAGTTAGCATGATGAGGTTCGTTTGCTTTGTTTTGGAAGTCCTTCAACGAGCAACACAGAGCATACATGGGTTAACCAGAAGATCGTAGAACAAGAACCAGCCGCCAAAAAATGACCATCAACGTAAGGCAAACGGAAGTCGGGGTGCTCACCTGTGAATGTGGTGCTAATTGATTGAAAAAATGTGGTAATGGCTGTTCTGGCCAGGGGAAGTCGTTATCAATGTGTTCTTGGTTTTGATTGTTGGTGTCAGAGGGATCAGTCGAGACATCTTGGTTGACTTTGACGGTGACTTGCTCCCATTTTCGAACGGGTAGACCCTCTGTTGGGTCCCAGTCGATCACCCCGGCTCGGTTGCGTGGCGCAGTGTTGTGTTCTTGATTTCTTGTCGAGCGGGAAGAACGAAGCTGCCTAACGTTAGGGGCGTTTTTAATTTTGCCCATTTTCGGGCGTAGACGGTGAGTCCGGCGGAGGGAGGGGAAAGCCGGTCACCATAGGGCTCTACGAGTTCAAAGGGAGAAAGGACGAGGTGAATTCCAGGAGCGAGAGGAAAACGGAGATCGAGCAAGTCATCACGGTTCGCCTCAGCGGCCGTGGGAACCGCTCCGGTTGCAACCGCGCCGCGTGCAGGTCGGGAGTTTTCCGCAGACAGAGCGCCCCCAGAGACACCATTGGAATCACCAGCCGTGGAAGCGGACAATTGAGAGGTGATAACAGGTGCGGAAGCAACCTACGCACCGCTCACACCCCCCGCGCCACCCACCTCCGACCTGGACTCGAATGATCTAGCTGTGATCGGAGGTGCGTCCGCTACGCAGGTGGCCGTGGTGGATTTGGTGGTGTCTGAAGAGGGAGTCGTCGTGCACGAAGCCCCTCCTGCACACGGCGCACAGTGCAATGGTACCCGGAGTGGGTCTCCAGGGCGAGCACCAGCGCCGCCATGTTGTTGTTGGTGTTATTGGTTAAGTCTTTGAGAGGAAGTGATATAGTTGTGCCAGTGCTCGGCGGAGCAGAGCGCCAAGAACACTCAAACAATCCATTTCACCACGTAGAACATTCACAGGTATTGATTTTGCATAGGTCGTGACAAACTCACAGGGAAAGCAACGTACCGGCGCCATGATGACGGATTTATTTCCTTGCGCGCTTCACATGTGATTCTCAATAAGGGATCCAGGTGTTTGAGTATCTTCGAAGAGATCCAGGAGGCCTCGTGGAAGCATGCACATAAGAGTTTTGTACGGCCGATCCGGTTGATGAGGCGAGTGTTGTGGTGAGGTTACGAAGGAGAAACTACGCGACTTAAAGGATGATGCTTTATCTGACTACGAACAGGGAAAGTCTGGCGAGCCGCTAATGGCTGCTAAAGGCGGAAGCTAGCCAGTGAAATATTCATTCTGGGCACGCAAGGCGGACGACAAGGAGAACACGTTAGAGAGATGGTGACGGGATGAGAAGATAAAAGAATCTAGGCTAGAGCGTGAGAACAGTGGAAAGAGGCCAGTTTGGAACATCGTCGCCACAAGAGAGGAACTAAGCCAGGCTACAGATAAGAAAGACACTTTGTATTTGAGGCGGCAGAGATTTAGTATATTGATCACAGTGAGGCTGACTACCTATCCCGTGTTGACAGGAGTATTTCTCTAATTACGGATTGCAAATACTATACACGAGGCTGGAAGAAGGCAGACAGTAAACTGAATGTCAGTCCCATCTGTGAGAGTCAGCAGGATGGAAAGAATAGTCAAGAAAGATGTGGCTTACCCAGTGTCTTTCTGTCGTACAATTCCACCATGGCCTCCTGTCTCCTGACCCTGGAGAAGGAAGTTAGTCGGTGCTAAAGAGAAGAAAGGGCATCACTAATTTAGAGGATGTGGGCAATGACAATGACAAGACACCGTACCGAAATTCCGCCTTCGACTACCAATCGGTCGAGCTGGTAAAATTGTGATATTACCGTTTGCCTCTGTATAAATCCAATGTCAGCCTGAATCCTCGACAAAGCCCATACTGTGTCTAGGTTTCATATTCCCAAATCTCTCTTTCGATAGAATCAGGCGCCATGATCCTCATGTTCAAACAACGCCAATAAGCAACCACTTACCTTCATAACCTGCAATTCCTTCAAACCCTTTTGCACCAACTCCTGTATCCGCCGGGGATCTTGTTCGTGCTGGTGTTCATGAAATGCATCCCTTGTCCTCCTTCTTGCATACGTTCTGAAATTGTAATTCGCAAATTGCCGCGATTGTCGCAACAGCGAGCGATACAATGACCGGACGCTGAACGCAGAAGCATCGGCTACGGTAGCCAGGGCCGCTGAGGCCATGACTAAGGTCGGGATCTGGGAGACAACACAAGGTCGGGGCGGAGTACGGAGTAAGGCGGACTGCGGAGACCACGGTGCGTGGGAGCGTTTGACTGTGGGTGTATTCGTCTGGTATCGACCGTGGAAGTGGCGTGATGGATAAGAAGATTCGAAGATGAAAACAGGTGAGACTTTCAACAACTGCCGCAGCACCTGATAATTAAGGGCGTGTTGGCGGGACGCTGGGTATATAGCTATGGGCGCAGTTTCCAGGGTGAGGGCCCAGTGACTCCAAGCGCAGAAAATATCAGAACGACGCCGAGCAGGGCGTGAGAAAACTAAACAAAGGATTCAAAAATAAACCATGGCGGCGGTTTGGCAGCTTCGCAAACATTCGCAGCGGTTTCTTCCCATTGCCGTTGCGTCAATTTCTACCGCCGGTGCGGCGGCTTTGAATCCCCGATACGACCGAGGCCTGCGACAACATCAACAGCATCATCCAACTTCAATAGCCGTATCCCAGCCATTTGACAATGCTGCCGTCGAAGCCAACAATTACATGAAGCCAATCATCGACGTGCAGCCAGGACAGCCTCAAATCCCACGATTAATCTTCTATGAATACTGCCTCTGAAAGACATTTATCCACAAAACAGTAGGAAATGTCTACCTACCCCCCGTCTCCGCTTACCTCCCGCTCTCCTTCGCCGGATACGGGCTCTCGACCTGAGCCCGACACGGTCAAAGAGAAGCCCGACAAAGGAGAGTGCTCCCTTTCCCAGCGTCTTGATGTCCTGTTAGCATCCTATCTCGAGCTATTGGACACATACACAATACTGCGAGCACAAATCTCGAAGGAATTTTCCTCGGGATTCATCGCTCTCGCGCAGGCAAATCGCAACTCTACGCTCGGCCCTGGCAGACGATATGGCGAGGAGGGATATGACGACCGTATGAAGGCGTTGAGGACCGTGCAAATTGAGCGAAGCAGGGTAGGACCGCCTGCAGAAAATCCCCTTCAGTATGAAGACGGGGAGAGCGGACAACCATCCGACTTAGCAGCTGCCGGACAGCACAAGGGCAAAAGGCAGAGGCTTTCGATAGGAGAAGACGGACTCAAAAATGAATCCACAACTACGAAGCGAGGAGAGATCGATGATAAGGAGAGTGACCCGTCCTCCACACACCCCATACACAACATGTCTCACCTCGTCTACACCAGCACCACCAGCATCACCAACTCCCCCCTTTCAACTCCGAGCAAAGACCCCTTGAAATGGTATGGAATCCTCGTACCATCACCCTTACGACAATGTCAAACGCATTTTCAATCGTCGGTAGTCTCAACAATCCCGGCACTTCTGAACACGATATCTGCACTCCAAAGGCTCGAAGAAGAGATATGGGGTGTCCGCCGCGAACTAGGGATCTTACGTGAGTACGAGCATCGGCTCTCGGACTCAGCAACGAGCACGGAGTATAGCAGACGCATCAACACCGAGGGGGGTGAACACGAGGGTCCAAGCCATGCTCAATCCTCCCTCGCATCGTTCCAAACCCAGCCTTCCAAACCAATACCCTCAGCACAGTCTCCACCAAAGATATCGTCCCTGCCATACCGATCTCCTTCATCCCCATCCCCACCATCTGAACTGCGATCCCGGGTCTTGAAACTCGACTGAGTATGACCATGTCAACTCCACCGGACCGTGGCTTCGGTGTCAAGCGGCATTTAGGGCCTGGGTGAGGGAAAGACGAGATGAAAAAGTCTGGAACAAAAGATGTTGTATGATAAAAGTTAACTCAGGACGCTAGAAAGAATTGACCCCGGCGGGGTGCATAAACGAAGTGTACTCCCTGTCTTCCAAGGGCTATGAGTTGCATGAATTCGAAGGGGCCTTGCGCAATTCAGAGGCGGCCATGGGCAGGATCACAGTCGTCTGGCCTGGAAAAATTCTAACAGTCAATTGTAGATGATATTCATGTATATTGACACTACCGTTACAGACATCAACCATTCGTTCAGCTAGCTAAACACCACGCTATCAACCAACACCCACACCAGGAGGTAACCCTCACCCTTGGTCTTCCATCTTTGACATCGTGTTGCAGAAAAGCGCCCTCCTCCGCAGTTTTAGAGATAGCATCTAACTCACCATGTATCACTTGCGTCTCTCCTATCAGGGAGTTCTTCCTGAAATTCTGCCTCGGCCTGTTGTGATCTCACGTCGTCTTTCCTTAATGGGTGAACTCACGACATGTCTTGCTGCTGGACTGCGTACAACTTCTTCAAGATCTCTATCTCAGTAACTTTATTTTCGATCTGCTTTCAGGAAGCCATGTGCCTTTTCTCCATGAACATGACATTGGACTGAGGTCTTTGATGCCCATTCCCGCATTTTCTTCTCAATTCGGTGAGCGGACCCCGTAAAGGCTCGTAGGGACTACGTCTCGCGTCTCTTCGTCAATCTTAACGATTTCTTCTCCCGCTAATTTGAGCTTTGGATTGATTGGCTCCTCTTTCGTCGAATTTTCTTCACCGTTCTTGTTGCTCAGGGTTTCGAGTTGTGGTGATCATTTTCTTGGCTTGTGTCGTTCGCAGCGAACTCACTGAATAGCCAGGTGGATTGCTACAGAACTGTATTTCATCTGGAAGTCGTGCTGCATTGTGGTTTCCGTGGCCATTTGGAGGTCTTGGTCCAAATGACTGACCACCATGATATTTTCCAGCGCCTCGGGCGCTAGCAAGAGCAACTATGCCATTCTTTCTGAATCCGCTAGGAGGTTTAGCAAGTGGTATCAAGGTCTTAGTGTTGTAGGAGTCTCGAATCCTTAAGTCTGGACCGGGATCTTGTCCGACCCCTTTTGCTGCAGCCGGTGAAAGGGGGTACATTGCTGGACCGGTGGGAGACGGTGTGTCGTCTTTGGCACAATACCATTCTGGTTGGGAATGTTCGGTGGTTGTGGACAGATACCCTCGGATCATAAGTTCATGTTGATGATCTATGACCATGTCTCAGATTTTCTTTTGAGATGAGTGAGGATAAGCAAGTCATCGGTGGAATCGACTTCCATCTCATGATCTCCACTCACTTCGTAGTGGTCTCTCAACGCCAGCGGGAGACATGAACTGGCCTGGACTTTTCCTTGAGACAAGTCACCCGAGGCCTCTTGGGACAGATTTGGAGTCAGCCCAGGTTCCTCATTCGGCTGCAGACTAAATCCCTGTTTTGTCGACCAGAGATGTAAAGCCATAACTCGGCGGCTCAGCCACCAGTATGCCACTATGGTCCACATTAACTGCAAGCAAGTCTGTTAGCTGAGAAGAGCTGTCTGGGAAAGGTTCCCTGATATCCATATCAAAACTTGCAATCAGCCTTGAAGCTGTTGAATACCTCTAGCACTTGGGAGGCGTATCCGAAGTTGCCCGCTCATGTTGTATGGCAGGATCGGTACCACTATTGGTCCCGTCTTCGGGACTGGTCCAGGGGCCCGCAGTCAATGGAACCCGACTTGCAAGGCAGCAAGCCGAGCATCAAAGGCGAATGATGCTTTCGCTGTTCGGAAGAGCTCTAGCATCGCGATCGATCTGGTCGGCTTCGAAGCTCTTGTGGCCTATGTTCGACGATCAAGATCTTGTTTCAGATGTTTTGTTTACATTGGAATCTGTTGTGTCATGCTGGGGAGGTTTTGAAGAGGGTATACACTGCAAGACCATGGAGAAGTACAAAGCCGAACGCCTTTGCGGAGGGGTTAAAATGGTGCTGCACACCAAGAGAGTAGCACGCAGACTGCCTAAAAAATGGATGCGAAAGTGACACAAACCCACGCTTTAGAGTTCCAGGAAGATGGCCTGACAGCGTTGGCTTGCTAGAAGAATCAGCGGAGAGTATTGGGTCAGGAGAATGCTCCATACTGTTGATTTGTCGCAGTAAAAGAAATGCAGTATCACTCACACTTGACTTGAGCAGTTCCAATTAACATTCTTGACATTGTGTGATGCATCGCGCGAAGGTATACACGAGGAAAAATGTCGGGAAAATTTAGTCGACATTACACAGCCTTGTCAATTCTGTGCATTGATGGGAGCGAACATGATTTTTCGAGAGGCTGAATGAGCAGAAATCAAAACTGCAAGCTCATTCAATAAGTTGACACAGTTCTGCAAAATACATGCCACAGGATAAAGTACAAGTCACCCCAAAGATACGAGGCTGGCAGCATTTCAAGCGGCGTCTAAGTGATGTGTTTTCTCCCAGAGAATGTCGAGGGACGGGGGGCGCTATTGAGAGAAGTATTGATCGTGGCAGAAAGCAAGTGATGACTTCGGCCTCTTTGCCATCGTCGTTCATGCTAGTTGTGAGTTTTTCCGAATGAATGCCTGACGATCAGTCTTGCAACCATGTACATTGTTTTCATGTTCAGCAACGTGGGATGCCAGAGAAGCAATCTTGGACAGCAGCATGACAGGGATATAAGATCAATACAGGACAGACCAGTCACCAGTGAGCAAGCCGATCGAGGGCCAATATACTGTATGGAAAATTCGTGCTCATTGCCTTGGTACTGCAAAAGGACGAGCCAGGAGAGAAGCCTTGTTCGCAATTCTTAGCGGGGGGCTAATGAGATTGGAAAGCGAGGGCCAAGCCAAAAATAAGCCAGCTTGCGTCGACTCTGCAGGCCACGAGGTCACATGTGGCTCTTGTCCTGATGGGGTCGATAAAAGCTTCTGGACTCTCAAAATAGTTGCTTGATAACACTCTTACCCGTCATCCAACTCAGTATGCTGTCAGATTAAGCATAGAGGTGACCGTGCAGATTGGAACTTGGATCCTCTCGTGGCTTCCTGTCAGCCAAAACTCGGCCCTTCATCGAGCCTGACCACTCCTGGGGTGGTTGCTCAGGCCCTAACATCGTCCGTGCGAGATCTTGACTGCATGAGAAACGTAGGTTTGGCAGCGCCGCACGGTCATAAAAGCCCACCTCTTGAATGGCACCTGCGTTATTGCGTCTTGATTGTCTCCATCTTTTATCTGGAACACAGTAGAATCACACCAGGATCGAAAACTTGCTTCCATGCCCGAGGTTGCGGTATCGCGCAATGGGGCCGGCTGCCACTGGGAAATCTGAAAGGTACTCGGGAAATCAGCGCAGGATGCCGAGCGGACAAGGTTCTGGTGTTTCAGATTCGAAGCTGGCCCAGGTCTAGCTATGTTTAGTGGTGGAGGGGCGAATCTGACGAAGCTTCATTAGCCTCTTCTTCCGCGGGCGAGCGTGTCAAGGCCCTGTTTAGCCTCTTTGGCTCTGGCTCTAGTAGATATTTTGGGCATAAGACCAATGATACGAATGTGCCTGAAAACAAAAAGCACACTGGCCGTTGCATGGGTCCCCTGCGGACTGCGGGAGTTCGATCACGTACTGTATGCCACTGGGAGTCATGGGCGCGGTGGCACGGCTCAGGTACCGAGTAAGGTGTAGGCTAAGGTAAGGACATGGGCATGGAACAAGGTCATGGTGCTTGGTGTTGGTGTCAGTGGATGGTGATACTCCTTGATACCTCGACCGTCCACCATCATCCACCGTCTCTGTTGCACCACCGTTCACCGATTCTCACCACTTGTTTCCTTCCCATACCCTCCTTCGTCGTCCGTTGGTTGTGCATTCCACTCCTTCACAATTTCTCTTCGTCCTCACTGGCAGCCTCATTCGCTGGACCACCTGCGACTTTTTGTTGGATACGATATTTCTGCCCCCTTCCTCTTCCAGCAATTGCTGAGCAATTCCCAAAGTGACTATTCATTCACTACGACAGCATTCATTTCTCACTTGGCGACTTTCCGGCCTGGCTTCTGCACGCATCCTCGCGGACTAGACGCTCGCACCCTTTTCCTCTTCTTTCTTTACATTGATACCCCTGGCGCAAGTAGATTTTGTGAGTCTCTGGCTATTTTGTTCAGCCTCACTATCTTCACACAACGAGGAGCCCTCTTGACGCATCAGAGACCTGGGAATTACACCACCACGAAATCTCGGCAATTCAGGATACTGCTGGAATCAGTGAAGTAAAAACAAATTGAGAAAAGAGGTGGATAACAGAAAAGAGGTATGCGATTTTTTCGAGAGTACCGTCGACCCGTGGTATATGGTGCTTTGGACATACCACTAACGCGATGAGAATTCATTTGACGCGTCCATAGTATTGATTACATGTCGCAGGTTCTGTCCGATTGATCGACAATCCCATTCGAATACCTTTTCCGACCGGTCAGGTTTGCATCGGGTCTTTGGGGAACATGCTTGCTGTTCTGTGACGCAGCCTCGCCATTGAGATCCCTTGCGATCACCACGGGGGGCAACAGTTTTACTCCGTACTGCGCCGGACAATTATTGCTTCTATTCTTTTCACATCCTGGCGATGGATCCGGGTTGGCCGAGGCCTCCCCAGGCCAACCATGAAAACCGGTTTCACTACCCTCAATACAAGAACCAACAACAAACGGCTGACTATGCTCAACCCTCACAATATCAGCAGTATCAACAATATCAAGCGTTCCCTCCACATCCGTCCGTTCGAGTGCCACCAAATGTCAAGCTGAGTGCCAGACAAGTGCCTGCCGGTGTAGGTGTGGCACCTCCTCCAGTCAAATATAATGGCAGGGAACGTCAACCAAAACCTTCAGGAAGTGGGATGCTGATACAAGACTTCAAGTTCCCAGCGGCACCTCCCGTTCCCGCATCTGGTTCAGGAAGAGTAAAACAAGAACCGTGGCAATCACCCGGCCGGAAATACAACATGCACGAATCTTACATGTCCTCCGTATTGGATGATTTTGCTACCCCTAGGACGACACCCAGCTCAAGATCACGAGGTTTCCCAACTTCGCGAAGATTCTCGGGCTCTGTATATGCAGAGAGTGAAGCTCTTGTTCCCGATGAACGTTTTGATCCCGATCCTCCCAGTCCTGAGAGAAGTCCGTCCAGCTCTTCTGACACGAGTCCACAAATTGTTCGTCAAGCAAGTTTAGGAAAACGAGCAAAACCTGCCATGACCACTATCAAAAATCGCACCAGTCAGCTTGACCAGGACATCCCCGAACATCGCCCGGCCCCCATTCAAACGAGTCGAAGCGCAACGATGACCGCACTCAGCGCGGCCGTGGCGGTGGGCATGAGCAGTCAACCTGTTGAAGTCCGATCTGGCACACCAGGATCACAAAGTTTTACACCGGTCAGAATGCCGTTTGATACATCTCCTCCCGCCTCTCCCTCCGCCGATAGGGAATTTCTTCAAACTCCCAAGTCCCCCAATACCATCGCATCAACCAAACTCGCCGCCCAAACACCGAGCTCAAGGCTTTCTCTCAAGTCTATGAATCCTCTCCTGGGACTGGGAATCGAGCAGCCTGCAATGAGCGACAAAATTCCTGAAAGCCGGCGACCACCGAGGCTGGATATGGATGCGGTAAGAGAAGCCGAAAATCGTGGCAGTACAACAAGTCTAGCAGACTTGATCAGACGAGCGACTAAATTAGCAGCGAATCTGGACAGAGGCAAAACAGCAAGCCGGCTAGGTATGCTGGACATGTTCGGAAGCACTGACAAGTTAGGCGGAATGAATCGTCACTCCACCATGTCTGACATGATATCAGCCTTCCCAGCGCCAGCAGTTGGCGGAACTCCAACCAATCGGAGAGACGGAGCCTGGCCCCTCCCTGAGAAGAACGATGTATATGCCTCGACAACAGATCTTTCCAAAGATCCAACCAAACAGAAACGACGACAGTGCTGTGGATTATCATTGCCAATTTTCATCGCCATAATTGTTGTCGTCATCATCCTTGTTGCGGCTGCTGTATTAATACCTATCTTTTTAATCCTTGTACCAAGACAAAATGACGACGACGTCAATCTTAGCAATTGTGCAGCCAGCTATCCTTGTCAAAATGGTGGGAGTAGCATTGTGAGTAACAATACCTGTGTCTGTGTGTGCTCAAACGGGTTCACGGGAAGTCAATGCGAAACGTCTGGCAATGCAGACGACTGCATGACCGCGACACTGAACGATGGTTCAAACGAATACAAAAATGCCACGATCGGTCGGTCCATAATGCCTCCCCTATCGGATGCACAAACTCGATTCGATATACCTCTCAATACTTCGACAATCCTATCTCTGTTTTCCTCCAACAATCTTTCATGTACGAGCGAGAACTCTCTTGTGGATTTCAACTCCAGCGTTCTTGATCAGGGAACGAAGAGGAAACGCTTCGTCGTGTTACCTAGTTTTGAACCCTCTGAGAACAGCCAACCTCCTGCCATTCATGGCAAACCTCTCCCTCCCGTCGTGAGCAAACGAGCCGAACCAGACTGTGAGCTGCGCCTGGAACGAAGACAAGATGGAGTCACCATCGGCACATCCAACGGGATCGTCTTCCAGGCGACGTCCGCCACTGTAGGTCCGGTCTCTCCCCCCAGTACATCTGTCGACGCAGATGTATCCACCATCACCAGTATAAGCGGAACGTCGACCTCGGCTGCAAACAGTTCTGGTACAGCATCTCCTACCGCGAGCAGCACCAGCAGCAGCAACGACACCCGGAGTGTTACGGATCAAGAGCTCGAATTCGCCAAGGTCGTCGTCCTCTTCGTGCTGCAAGAATCCCACGCCATCAGCGTCGCCATCAACGCGCAGCAGCAAATGGAATACTTCTTCGCGGTACAGGAGAAGGGCACGAGTTCCAACGCGACCGTCGATGTCGGCTTCGGTGACCTGCAATTGACGGCTAATTTTGACGAATTCAGTATCACGAAGGGTGATGACGAAATTATTGGTGGGAAAAGCGGGTGAAATGATGTGAGATGGAACCAGCGACTTGATTCCCTTTCTTCGTAAACAGGTGGTTTTATGAAAAAGGGCTGACATGAATATTTTTCTACTTGCATCACCAGGCGTGGCGTTGACGGAGCTCTTCACGGCGCCCGGTGTGCTGCTTAATGAGCATGGACGTGGAACCTGGGCTTGGACTTTGATCCGGACAATGGGTTAGATCACGGATGGCTGCCTGACTGGTGTTGTATGTATGACTAGGAACTTGAATGTCCATTTGGCAGTCACAGAGCTACATTATACCCGTATCAGCAAGAGCTCCCACGGATTTGGTCCACATGTTGGATGGTAGTCAGAGCTGAAACAACGGATATTGCAGCCTCGTGCTGTGCATGCATATACTCATTGGGATACTGATGAGCTGAAATCCGTCTTGCCAATGCCTTCTTCCTGTTTGAATCTGTGGAACAGTCAGCGTTTGTGCTAAGCTGCATTTTGATACTGAGTCCACCTATCATCGTCAGTCCTGTCGGGTTTTGGCATCAGCCATGAACATCCTCAACGTTATCGGTGATTCAGTATTCTAGCCAGGCGCGTATAGAGATGGGATATCTAGCCACTTTTAACTATAGATCATGAAGCACCAACAATTGACCTGGAGATGATTCTTCGGCAGACGAATCAGCATACGAGATTGGATGCCTGTGGTGGAATAAATGAATCGCCGAAAGACGAACGCATTTGAGAAATCGGAAAAAAAGGATGACACAAATGAATCCAATACACATTGACGCTGATTCTGAAAATTGTCCGTTCTTCGTAAATCATGTACTCGTTGCGGTCTTCGCACTCACGTTCTACTCGATGGTCAATGCCTTTCGCTGCTATTCGGTGGAACCAACATCTGAGATGTTCCGTATTCTATCGTCGGTGCTGAATACCTATTCCAAATCTCTGAACTGATCATTGAAGCCGCAATTTGCTTCTTCAGCAACGTTTATCCCTCGAACTGTTGGATCAATCTTTCAAAAGCTCATCAATCTCCTCCCTGGTCAAACCCAACAGATACACCAAGTCGAGCATGCTGTCGCCAATATTCAATCTTGCAGGCGCCTCCATTTGGACTTTGGATTTGGCCTTCCAAGCAACACCAAGTCCAGCCGTCTTGAGCATAGGAATATCGTTGGCTCCGTCTCCCACCGCGATGGTCTGAGCGAGGGGAATGTTCTTCTCAGCTGCTAAACTTATCAGCCGATTTCGCTTAAACTGCGAGTCGACGATCGGATATGACGGTTCAAGTTCGCCTGTCAATGTTTGGGTCTCTGGATCTGCCACCAGATGATTGGCAAAAGCATAATCAAGGCCAAGTTCACCTGCTAACCAGTCGGCAAGAGGTTGAAATCCTCCGCTCAAGACAGCAAGGGTGAAGCCGAGCCGTTTCAAGCATTTGCACAATTCTTTTGCGCCTGGCGTAATGACGATCTTGGGCTTAAGCTGATCAAATACATCACTCGGCACACCCTTTAGTAGGGCAACTCGTGCTTTCAGAGACGCTGCGAAATCGAGTTCACCATTCATCGCACGTTCGGTAATGGCCGCAACTTCTTTCTTGACACCCACATAAGCGGCGACCTCATCAATGACCTCGTGTTGGATCAAGGTCGAGTCCATGTCAAACACGCACAATCGCTTGTGCCGGCGATAGACGTTTGAAGGTTGTAAAACAATCTCGCAATTCCATTCTCGCTCGAATCGGTAGATGGATTCATGTTTGGAAAGGAGATGTAGCGGCAAATACTCCGCATTCGGAGGAGGCGAGAAAGTCACTTCCATGACTCGAGGCTTGAACGGATCTGGAGCTAGACATCGGTGGGAGGATATAAGCCATCGTTCTTCTGATTTGTTGTGAATCAGGAGACTGTCAAGAGCAGACAAGAAGTGGGTCAGGCATAATTGAGAAATATAGGCGCCGTAAAGATGGTCCAGTGGCTCAGGTTCTGGAGGAGGCGGTTCGAGAGGATACTCTGAGATGCTTGTGGTGGGAGCAGATCCTTCGGCAATTTCGGGTATTGGAATAGGATCCGTCGGCCTTGCAGGAGGTGACTGATCAGGATGCACATGTGGGTGTCGTGGAGACGTTGAGTTGTAATAGATGGTCGCAACAAGCCTGGCAGGATCACCAGGCTCGGGAATGCAGTGGGTATGAGATATCGTGTGAACCATCCCACTCTCTTGAGCTATTCTTGGAGATGGAGGAATAGCACTGATCGATCTTCTAGACGTAAGTGAGGTATGGGACACGGTATTCTGCAGGGCATGAGAAGGCTGCTCGAGGACGCCATCGATGCTCGTGGACGGGCCTGTCTGATGTGTTTTGTACTCGAGATGGTCGTCTAGATAGGTGCTGCTGGTGAGGGAATCTTTTGCTGTGCTGGGTTTGCGGGAATGAGGAGAGCCCATTCTGCAGTTGGTTTGACCATCAAACCTCAGAGATGTGTGTGGTTCACTGGCAGAGCCTTTGGATCCAACAACAACCGAGGGGATTGCGAAGAGGAGGGATTGACTGCAGCTGCAAGTCTACGTCATGTTAGCAGACCAATGCAGGAACAAGCTCGTTGAGATTCAATCACACTGCGAAGGAGAATAATAGGTCACTGGCAAGCTCCTGGAGGTGGTGGCAGGGATCGTGGCCTGGTTTGAGATTCTTTCATGCCATGAGGGCTTCTATTGGTACGATACTCGACGTTGACCGCCAGGGTACGGAAAAGACGATATTCACGTGACGTATCTGACTGACAACGTTGTTTGACTCGAATGCCCCTGAGTGACGTCATTTTTATTCAATGTCACGTGGAAGAGTCACGTGACTAAAATTGCTATAGTATCCCCACGCCGACTCCCTCCATTTCGACATTCGTCAACTGCATCACGACATCTTCAAGCTCCCGGGTCGGGCTCTCAAAGTCAATGCGAGAGGCAGCGTCCAGAGTATCCATGGTCGTCCCATTCGCCAAAGGGTCAAGCTCGCCACCTTTGGCAGAATGAGGTGCTCGCAGGTAGGTGACGATGTTTGGATGAACTCCGTTTTTGAGGGACGTATCCGGGGATAAGGCTCTACTCCCTGCAGAAAACCACGCATGGTAAATGCAAATCGCCTCACGATGCCCGATCGCTCACCATCCACGGCAGTCGGGAGCGACTACCGATGCAAACAACGATGTTGAACCTGACGGCACCCAATGAAATAGTGGAAGGCTCATTGCCATCGATGGCGTGATTGCACGTGATGGGACCATCGTCGACATTTTGTCGACATTTTTTGATTTTTGTCTGCGGACGACGAGGCTCTCGACTTTCTAGTGTGACTCCACTGCTGAATTGCGTGCTCAACGATGATATTGCGAGGTTTGATTTGTAAAACGGTAGGTCTTCCAGCACCTTCATCATTTACCATGCCTCGCCCGACCCGGATCGTCTTCAATCCTCCCCCTTATTTCACTGGCACTCCCCGTCCCATGCCTTTTATCGTGAATCTCTTTAAAATCTTGGCCACGACGTTCCTGAACATGTCTTCCAGGACGGAGTCCCCCTGCGGCAGTGGCCACAGCAGCCCCTCATTGAAGGGGGTCGACTCAGGCTATTCGAGTGCCAGTAATAGTGAGATTGGCCTGCCCGAGGTGTATTTCACTAAATCCCATCTTCAATTCCTCAATCGTCAGCTTCAGTTCCTGGAACCTCAAGAGATCCTCAGGTGGGCAATCACCACGCTGCCTCACCTCTATCAGACCACCGCCTTCGGGCTCTCAGGGCTGGTTCAGTTGGATATGCTTTCGAAGATGAAGATCCCACGTCCTCAGATGGTGGATCTCATCTTCATCGACACCTTGCATCACTTCCCGGAGACCCTAGAGTTGGTGGACCGAGTCCGCACAAGATATCCCTTGGTCAACATCCACACCTTCAAACCAGAAGGTGTTGAGACGGCACAAGAGTTTGCGGAGAAGTATGGAGACAGGCTGTGGGAGACAGATGACAACAGATATGATTACCTGGCCAAGGTGGAGCCTGCACAACGGGCCTACCGTGAAACGCAAGCGTATGCTGTCTTGACCGGCCGACGGAGGAGCCAAGGTGGTCAAAGAGGGGATCTAAACATCATCGAAATGGACGAGGCTGGATTGATCAAGATCAATCCCATGGCCAACTGGTCCTTTGATCAGATTCAACAATATATCACAGACAACGACGTCCCATACAACACCCTCCTGGACAAAGGCTACAAGAGTGTTGGCGACTGGCACTCCACACAACCCATCCAAGAAGGTGAAGATGAACGGGCTGGTCGGTGGAAAGGACAACAGAAGACCGAGTGTGGAATCCACAATCCACGATCCAAGTACGCGCAGTTTCTGATGGAACAAGGAAAGAAGAGAGAACGCGAGGTTCTAGATCAAGCCCTTCAATTGGTCAGCTTGGAGGCTGCATCATGACGCTCAGCTCGGAAGCTTTTCTCATATTTTCAGCATAGCGCCGGCGTTCGGGATTCAGCATCAGCGATGGCATGGGGGAACTTTTCTGCATTGAGATGCATGACATGTGGATGAAATGTGATCCAAGTCTGTTACGAGCTAGAACCTTGCATATGCATCAAAAGCGAAATTTACGGACCACCAAGGATGGAGGACAAAAGCAATAGTGGCCGCCTCACGAGGAGCTAACTGATAGAAGGGGCATTTTCAATCTTCTGGGGACATGTCAACTTATCTATCATCATATATCTGCAGTGCGATAGGAGAGTGTGTACTTAGATGAAAGCAGAATAATCATAGGGGGGTGGGGCTCAGCCCGTTGCCCAATAGAGCCCTATCTTACCACCGAGACCGCCCTACCGACGAACAAACTTGTATCAATCATGATTTCCACGTGTGGTAATTCATGGAGTTGGGGCTTTGCTGACCGCTCTTCCGCTTCTGCCTTATTTTTTTTCCTGTTTATCCGTGTACTTGCGCATTTTACGGACAACTCATCTGTGTTACCATCACACATTGCTTGATACTCTCTCGATACAAATCCCCATGTGTGGAGGTCTTACTTACGCGGATCAGTACACTGTGCTCCGTCGCAAACAGGGAAGGGAAAAAAAAAAGGTTTTAGTACAATGGAGATGGAGACGAAGATTGGAGATCGGCACCCTTAGCGAAAATGAAAATAGTTGGTCACCTGAACGACGGATGGGCCCTGGGTTTCAAGGTTGCGCCCGCAACGCCTCGAAAGATGGGAACTTCAGCGGGCATTTCGGCCCCCTTGCTCGACCAAAAGGTCAAGGTTTCTCACGCCAAACGGGCACTTCTGTCAGGTCCCGGAGATCTGAGGACAGCCTGCTGAGTCGGCTCGACCAACCAGGGTGTGTGGGTAAGCAGCAAACCATCTCCTTTTTTTGCCTTACCGCAAAAATTTGTTGCCAATGCGGCGGGTGGGATATCGCGCCATACGACAAGAAATGATTTATTCTTAGGTATATTACCACCACTGGTCTCTCCGCATTACTGTTCAGTCTTTAGGATTCATATACCAAACTGTCTTCAAACCAGACGCTTGTCAGGATCATCATCATCTTCTTCTTGCCGTCACCGCTTTCTCGAGGTGACACCATCCCCCCTATTTTTCTTCACACGACCCCTCTCAGCGTCTCATTGTCACCATGGCCAACCCACCTCATGGAGGGGTTCTCAAGGACCTTCTCGCCCGAGACGCTCCTCGTCATGACGAGCTCGCCGCCGAGGCTGAAATATTACCCGCAGTCGTCCTCACTGAACGTCAATTGTGCGATCTTGAACTCATTCTCAATGGTGGCTTCTCCCCTCTGGAGGGGTTCATGAACGAGAAGGATTACAATGGAGTCGTGGAGAACCTCCGACTCGTAGATGGCGCTCTGTTCAGCATGCCCATTTGCTTGGACGTTGCAGGACCGATGATTGAACGTCTGAAGATCAAGGCAGGCTCTCGAATCACCCTCCGGGATTTCCGAGACGACCGCAACCTGGCCATCTTGACCGTGGACGATGTCTACAAGCCAGACAAGAAAAAGGAGGCTCAAGAAGTATTTGGGGGAGACCCAGAGCACCCCGCCATCAAATACTTGATGACTGCCACAAAGGATTACTACATTGGCGGCAAGATTCAGGCTGTCAACAGACTGAACCATTACGATCACGTGGCTCTGAGATATACTCCCGCCGAGTTGCGTTTGCACTTTGAGAAGTTGGGCTGGACTCGAGTGGTGGCTTTCCAGACTCGAAATCCCATGCACCGCGCTCATCGTGAACTGACGGTTCGTGCGGCGCGGGCCCGCCAGGCCAACGTCCTTATTCACCCTGTGGTCGGTCTGACTAAGCCCGGTGATATCGACCACTTCACCCGTGTCCGTGTCTATGAAGCCCTCATGCCCCGATACCCGAACGGTATGGCTGTCCTTGGCCTCCTTGGGTTGGCCATGCGCATGGGTGGTCCTCGTGAGGCTATCTGGCACGCCATCATCCGAAAGAACCACGGTGCAACTCATTTCATCATTGGAAGAGATCACGCGGGTCCGGGAAAGAACAGTGCTGGAAAGGATTTCTATGGTCCCTACGATGCTCAGCACGCGGTGGAGAAATACCGAGCAGAATTGGGCATTGAAGTCGTCGAATTCCAAATGATGACGTACCTGCCCGATACCGACGAGTACCGACCCAAGGACCAGGTCCCCGCCGGTGTCAAGACCTTGGACATCTCGGGTACCGAACTCCGAAGACGTCTCAGAGTCGGTGCCCCGATTCCAGAATGGTTCTCTTATCCCGAAGTCGTCAAGGTTCTGCGGGAGTCCAACCCTCCCCGGGCAAAGCAGGGCTTCACCATCTTCCTGACCGGATACCAGAACTCTGGTAAGGACGCGATTGCGCGAGCTTTGCAAGTCACCTTCAACGAGCAAGGTGGTCGCCCAGTCTCTCTTCTCCTCGGCGAGACGGTTCGCTCCGAATTATCCTCGGAGCTGGGATTCACCAAGGAAGACCGTGATACCAACATTGCCCGTATCGCCTTTGTGGCCGCTGAGTTGACCAAGGCCGGTGCGGCTGTCATTGCTGCACCAATTGCACCATTTGACGAGGCTCGGCAAGATGCCCGCGAGACCGTTCAGAAATACGGAAGCTTCTTCCTTGTCCACGTTGCAACCAGCCTGGAATACTGCGAGAAGACGGACAAGCGAGGTGTCTACGCACGAGCTCGAAGGAACTCCATCAGGAACTTTACCGGTGTCAATGATCCATACGAGAAGCCCACTGATGCTGATTTGACCGTAGACTGTGAGAAGCAATCGGTCCGAAGTATTGTGCACGAGATTGTTTTGATGTTAGAAAGCCAGGGCTTCTTGGGAAATGTCTAAGGGCTATTTTAGGCTCGATGCAGAGATGTATGCATTTAAATAAGCAAAGCAACGATGATGAATTGGGAGGGAAAGACATGAACGACCACTTGGCTATCGAAATGATAGAAGATGAGATGAGAAAGGAATTTGAAGAATTTCTCCTGAGGTATAGAATTTGTTGCCTAATAAGAATTTCTCGTGTTCGTGTCTTTCTTCCTCGGGCATGCGTGTGTCAAATGCAAAGGTAGTAATACAGTATATTCGAGTACAAATCTTGTGGCCGGCGATGTCGTCCATGCTTCCCACCAATCAGTATTGAAACCGGGCCGTGATTGTAGAATACTGACTGAGATGGCTCTTCTAGACATGCATGATATTCAAGAGCACGTATATCCTATAGCTCCTTTCGGAGACGATTCTTACTCAAAATCCTGGATTGGGTGAATAGTCTTATGTTACCGCATCATCTGACGAGACTCGTCTTCTATGAGCTCCCGTCTGATCTTCCCATCGTACATGGTCGTCGAACCTATGGAAAAGCAAGTTCACTTGCCCATTCTCGTTCCCCAGCACCAACATGCTAACTGTGGATACCTGCAAATCAGCATGCCTTGTCCTCGACTATAAACAACTGCCGTATACCGCATAGAAGGTCGACTACCTAGATCTCGAACCCACCCTCAGCTCAGTCGGCGTACCACCCAATGATCCATCCACGACCCCGTGGGCATATACATCCACCACAGTCCGCCTATCCCCAGGCTAATTTGTAATGGACTCCGAGAGCACCGCCAAAAGACTTGGGTCCCTCTAACCCAGCCCGCTCTTGCACCTAGACTCGCCCTATTTTCCCGCGCGTGCCAACGCCATCACGTCGGAAATCGAAAGCATCATGCGCCCTGTCTATATCCCCGGAACGCCCTCGTTGGTCAACCCGCCTTCGGCAAAGTACTTTAGGGCAGACCACGAAAACTGCATTGGCATGTCGCTGGAGCATACTTGCACGCGATCAGGGTGGGCCAAAAGCTTTTGATGCCGTTGCTCCCCATATTCAAAAACTCGCCGATACGTTGAAGGAGAATATGGATGGGTCATTCTTCATGGGTGATAAAGATTCATCCAAGGGTTAGGGCGCTGTTCTACCTAGATAGTATTGAAAGATGCCCGCTTTTCATTTCATGGCCAGAACATCGACAACGAAACTCAAACATCACATCGTGCAATTCATTCATTTCCTGCTCAACAGCAGCCATTTCTGCACTGCAAATGAAGCCGATCGGCGCCCATTCTGCTCCGCCGCTGATAGAAGCGACACCCGGTCCTTGGAGAATTGAGTGAGTCCGGCATGCAATGATACCCAAATGTAGGGTGTTCTCAATGACGAGGTTGCAACCCCAGGTGGCAGATTCACGTGCCGAGTAGTCTATCCATCGGATGAGAATGACCGTTTCGAACAGTTTCTTGCCAATTTTTGGTATCTTCCTCTTGATGCTGTGCGTAGTGAAGGTCGGTTGCCGTAGGAAATGTGAAGGTTGAGTTGGAGGCAGTAAGAAGGGAGGAGGATCAGGTTTTAAAGCAGCAAGGTGTCGATGGGCCTGCAGGCACGTGAAGCTTGGAGCCAAGGAACGCGTCAAGAGAGAGGCCTGGTCAAAGTGGCAACAGTCGAAGCTCGATTTGGCGGCGTTGCGGACAAAATACAAGACTCGAGAGACGACCCTCGCTCTCTTTCCCTCGATTTCTGTCTCCTTTATCCTGATATCGCTTCTTTCGACCATCTCGATCCAGGCATCCGACACACTTTTCGTCTTTCCCATCGGCCAAAATGTCGGACGGAACCCTCTTCAAACCGGAGAAGGACTTCACCAATGAAGCAGACAAGATTCTTCCTGATGCGGAGGCATTGGCCAAGGTAGCCACGTCATAGCAGAGTCAATGGATATCGATGTTGACTCCTTTACAGAAAGATATCCAAAGGGGGATTGACAAAATCCTGCTCCTCGAAAAACAAGCCCGACAGGTACGCGCACCCAAGTCCTCCCACAGCCCAGCCTGACTGACGGGCAATTCAGGCCTCAGATCTTGCTTCTACGTCCCGTTGTTTAATTACAATTGTCACGATATGTAAAGACGCGGGAGACTGGAGTTTACTCAACGAACAAGTCCTGCTGCTGTCCAAGAAACATGGTCAACTTAAACAAGCCATTACCAATATGGTGCAGACCGTTATGGGATTTCTCAATGACACCCCCAACTTGGAAACAAAACTCGGCGTGATTGAGGCGTTACGGACGGTGACCGAGGGCAAGGTTGGTCGATTCCCAAACATGATCCTGCACAGGGGACTGACAAGGACGAGATCTTCGTTGAGGTCGAACGGGCCCGGATTACCCGAATCCTGTCCGACATCAAGAAAGACCGAGGCGATATCCAATCAGCATGCGACATCCTGTGCGAACTTCAAGTCGAAACGTTTGGATCGATGACCCGAAGAGAAAAGACCGAATTCATCCTGGAGCAAGTGGCGTTGTGTATACAAAATGGGGACTGGACACAAGCGGGCATTCTCAGTCGAAAGATTAGCACGAGGTATTTCGCCCGAAAAGCCAAGAAGACTCCCGAACAATTGGAGAAGGAGAAGAAAGAACGAGAAGAGAAGGAGAAGAAGAGGTCGGCGGACGAACCCGCTCCGGAACAGGAAGAGGACGTGACCGACCTGAAATTGCGATACTACGAACAACAAATCACCCTGGCTAAGCACGAGGATAAATACCTTGAAGTCTGCAAACACTACCGACAGGTCCTGGACACAGAATCGGTGGAGAACAACCCCGAACAACTGCGCGCCGTCCTCCAACGGGTGATTTACTTTGTCCTCCTTGCTCCTTATGACAACGAACAATCGGACCTGCTTCACCGTATCTACCAAGACTCCCGCAATTCCGAGGTCCCCAAGGACGCGGCATTGCTGAAACAGTTCACTATCCCTGAACTTATGCGCTGGCCCATGGTCGAGCAACAGTACGGTGACCATCTCTGCTCGACCGACATATTCTCCAAGACCCCTGATGCCCATGATCCGAAAGCTCACACTCGCTACGATGCCCTTCGTCATCGTGTCATTGAGCACAACGTCCGGGTTGTCGCCAAGTACTACACACGCATCTCGTTCCCCCGACTCACCGAACTCCTCGACCTGTCTGAAGAAGAAACCGAAAAATACATCTCCGATCTTGTGACCAAGAAGACGGTCTACGCGCGCATTGACCGACCAGCGCGAGTAGTAAGTTTCGAAGTCAAGCGCGGGCCTGACGAGGTGCTCGATGAATGGAGCAACAGCATGAAAGGGCTGTTGGGATTATTAGAGCGGGTCGGGCACCTCATGCAGCGCGAAGAGATGATGGCCCGTATCCAGCCCGGCGGCAAGGAAGAAGGCAAAAAGGTCAAGGCTTAGTTTGCTGAGACCATTGATCGATTGAAGTTCCTTTCGGCCATTGGTGGGGAGGAGCGAGGGATCTGTATCAAAAGAAAGGGAAAAGAAGGCCTATTGAGGATGACATACCAAATGGATGTTTGGGGAAGAGCATGGCCACGGTTATGGCCGTGATGTACCCGTAGGTATCTGCAGACTTGGCCGGGCAAGACAAAACGCCAGAGCCAGGACCATTCTCAAAGATGCCCTCCTCCGTTCTCCCGCCTCTGAAGTCTCGTGTCCACCTCGGTGTCACAGAAGCAAGCAAATCGAATTGACAATCGGATTCATGCACACGGTGCTTGTCCAATCATTAGTCGTATTCAACTCATTCTATTCGTTTGCTCTATCCTCTAACGATTCTCAGCACATCAATGGATGTGTTCCAGCCGGTGACCCATGCGTCGTCTCCCAGGACGCGCAGCCCAAACCGTTCTTAATAAAAGCGTAACATTCATGGTCATGACATAAGCAATAAAGGAGCGACTCGATATAGATAGATCAACCGCAAAGCGTGCTCGCAGTATGTTTGGGTAGAATATCATAACATATCAGTATAAACGCCTGGACAATGCATCTAGGGTTCCTGCAGACAGAAGACAAGTAAAAGTTGGCATGTTGAAACTCGAACGTACCACGGCCTGCCCTATATCCGGTCCTCGTTAGAACCACCCAAAATCCTATAAACGGAGGCATAGAGTCACCGCCGCCCGGGAGCTTTATTTCCCAGCAAGTTCCTTGCTCAATGCTCCATCGATTCCCACACGGATGACTTCTCTGGCTGGATTTTGGGGAAGCTCCACGTCCCTGGCGTCAGCACCGCTAACTTTCCAGACACGGCGCTGGGCTCGAAAGCCCATGGTCAATAACACTAAGTGGCCAGCGTAAAGCAGAAAGACAATCCATCCCACGACCGCCTTCGCCACGCTGACCTCGTGGATGCCGTACATGAAATGCCCGCGCACTTGGACGGGACAAACGCTCTGGCCCGACTTGTTGAGTGGCGGGATCTCGCAGTGCATCCAGAACGAGAGCGTCGTGAGCCAGCCGGCGGCGAGGAGCGACGACGAAACCAGGAAGGTAGCGTAGATGCTGCGCAACGATAAGTGTTGAGGCGTGTGATGGTGCATGATCAGTTCGAAGCTGAGGTGCACGAGGCTCACGATCGGTGTAGTGAGCGTGTAGAACATGAGGGCGACTTCGGACTCGCGGTCTTCTCTTTCTTCTTCTTGCGATAAAGAGGAGCCGTTGAGACTTGAGGAGTTGGTGGTAGAAGTGGTCTCTCGAGACGTTAAGAGAGACCGTCGTCGGCCGAAAAGGGAACTGTCCACTTCCGCGTTGCTGTCTATGGCCAGTTGATCTGCGATGTCGGTGTGTGGTTTGGCCACGCAGTAGGCGTAGATGGCCCCCAGGATGAGAGTTGTGAACACCATCGCCAGGAGGATTGGGAGGACGATGGTGCGGAATTTGTGAAGGCGACGGAGTGCGGGTTTTTGGAGTTGTGACGGAGGAGGCGGAAACCGTGGTTGTCGCTGGTTTTGCGGTTGGGAGATAGGGAAGCCATCGCTGGTGCTGACTCGTCGAACGGCGAATCTCATCTCGAAGGAGTGTATTGACGGTGACGATTAGGGATTATGATTCAGATCCTGCTGGTGGAAGAGTGAGCTCGACCAGAAGAAATGTGACAGGGAAGGGAGCGTCCAGCGCAATGAACAATATGGACTGTAATACAAGCTGTGACGACGATATTGACACTCAACGCCAGAGGAAAAGAAGAGAATCAGGAGATGTCTTCCTCTGCATCCACGGCGACGGCCCATATGTATTCTGTCCGCAGAACTTCTGCCTTGTTTTTGCCCTTCAGAAGGCTCAGGCTGGTCAGCGGCAGATGCCACAGACACATCTGGGCTTGACCTCCGACCTCTGCCTCGCTCATTGCACCAACGTCGGGTCGCCTTGACAAGCGCAGGTGCATCCTCGTCCACTCCAGAGTCGATGCACGACGTATACCGAGGTCGACGCAGAGGTCGTGATCTCTTCCCGGGTCCGGGCGGAGCTATTCTTGTCAACGCGCCTAAATGCCAAAGAGGACGAGGTGCAACGAGGCCCAGTGAATTCGAGGACGATCGCGCAATGCTCGACAAGTGTTAACGTCATGGACCTCCGATGCGCCGTTGGGCGTTTAAGTGTCCAACGGTGGCAGTGATCAAGGGGGTGTTTGAAGCGGTGTTTCAAGCTGAAGAGAGGGGGCGGAGATGTTTCATCTGGTTTGGTCGTCTGCCCAGAGATTCGACTCGACTCGTTCATCGGCCTCTCTTTTTATCGTCTCGAGTGTGGATGGATGAAGGGAAGACTCCTTAAATCCGTATAAATATGGACCGTCGTAATACCTTCCGTGCAGCAGATTCAATCACGAGCGAGAAGAGCGACCCAGTTGCCTTTCACAGCCTTGTGAATTTTCCTGACGAGACAATGTTGCCGAACAGAGAACTTGATCCTACGAGACTTTGGACTTCCTTGATCGCTGCTACGATACACTCATTGTCGTGGGCTATTACTCTATCACTCTACAACGCTGGTTCCTGTGAACCAGAGGGGAACGAGAATGCCGCATGACCACCTAGTCAAAAGTGACTGGACGTGTTCTTTGCATCATGCGTGCCACTTTCCAGAGGAGTATTCTACGGGACTCAGAAGCACGATGCTCCAATGTGGTGGCTCATCGGATGGGTTCTTCCAATGCCACATCCGAGAGCTAGGGTAATTTTCTCTCCATTGGGACCGGCCATGGTCAATCGGGACGCGCGGGCACGAACGCGAGCCTGCATTCATCCTCTTCCGTTCTTTATGTCCGTCGATACTGATCTTGAGAAACTCGATAGACAATGAGCTTGTCATGGAACTGGTCCTTTCCTTCAGGGCATGCAGACCACGTGGATAGACGAATACATCGACGGGCTTCAGGATGCGCTTGCCGCGGCTCAGCCTGACTTGGCAGCGTCACGTCGGGCGGGTTGGTTTGTTGCTGTTATAGAGACAGATTCGGGATCTCAAGTGCCATGACTGCGAGGAATATATGAGCGGCCAGATGCGAAACCAGTCCTTTTCTTCGATCTGAAAGGTACGAATGTCGGATGAGTATGTGTCAATTTTCTGTAAAAGGGAATCAGGATGTGAGGACAATGGCCTCGAATGCTCCATCTTTTCTAATGGTGTTATATGCCGATCGTAGACAGGGTAACAGATGCCTTCCAGCGCTCCTCCTCTCTTCTTAGTGGTGATTTTGATCTCTATGACTCATGAATACCACCATTCCTCATACAATATCTCCGGATTGATACATCGGGATTAAGTCCAAGCCGAACAGGCCACGGGTATTCGGCACCCAAACCACCCAGCCTTTGGGGCAATTCCCTTCTTCTCCTCTCTCGTACATCAGCTATGGGGCACAATGTACGCCCTCCCTTTGTAAGACAGATGTGATCTTCAGCAGCTTCTCCATGCTTCGGTTTTGTATGTACGGAGTGTGCCGCGGACTTTGTCCCCCGCTTTAATATCATCACATCAGATCAACACCCCCTGCCTCAGTCAGGATGTGGGATTTGTACACCGTTTTCCCTTCCCCTGCCCACTTTTCCTCTTTTCGCAAAACGCGACGGAGTTTTTCTTTCTCTTCCAACCTCTGGCTTCTCTTCATTTCCCTTATCTCGACGTTCTAAGTGTTCTGTTAGACTCGAGCTATGCAAGCGCCATCGAGATCTGATCTTGATCTTGCTGAATCGTCACGGCGAGAGCCGTGTTCAGCTGTATACACACCGAGACCTCCATATTTAGCAGATATCCCATCTCTGTGGCCAGCCTGGGCTGAAGACATCCTAGCTCGTTGAAGCCCCATCATGAGCTCATCCACCATCCCGGACGACGAGCTCGAAATTGAAATCGAGAAAGAAAAAACGGTGGAAAGAGACTTTCCATCTTCCCAACTTGTCCCCGTCCGGGCCGAGTCGACACTTGACAAGGCTCTCGATGCCGAAGCCAACATTTCCCATTCACCACCTGAGCCAGTCAACATAACATCCTCCACCACAAACGTTGCGGATGACCCTGGCCCTCCCCCCAACGGCGGCCTCTACGCCTGGCTCCAAGTGATGGGATCCTTTTTCCTGTTCTTTAACAGCTGGTGAGTCGCCCAATGTCTTCACCCCTGTCTTCACCCTGTCTGGCTCCCTTACTTTTTCACCAACCTCGATCTAGACGGGAGGGGAATCTGACACCTCTGCTCTTTGTGTGTATAGGGGCACCGTCAACGCCTTCGGCGTGTTCCAAACGTACTACGAAAACAACCCGCTCTGGCACGAACCACCCAGCAACATCTCGTGGATCGGCTCCATCCAAGCCTTTCTCCTTCTTCTCATCGGCGTCATCACCGGCCCGGCCTACGACGCCGGCTACTTTCGCGCCCTCATCACGACAGGCGCCATTCTTATCCCGCTCGGCTTCATGATGACCAGCCTCGCCAAAGAATACTGGCAGACGATGCTGGCGCAGGCGTTCTGCATCGGCATCGGCAACGGATGTATCTTCATCCCCTCCGTCGCGATTTTGCCACAGTACTTCTCCACACGCAAGGCTCTGGCGAACGGCATCGCCGCCTCGGGCTCGAGTCTCGGCGGCGTCATTTACCCGATCGTCTTCCGTCGGGTCGAGCAGCAGTTAGGTTTCGGCTGGGCTACGCGGGTGATAGGCTTCATCTCCTTCGCGACGGTCTGGTTTTCCGTCTTGGTGATGAAACCGCGCATCATCCCCAAACATAAACGACACCTGACCGACCTAGCCGCGTTCAAGGAAATCCCCTATGTTTTGTTTTGCGCCGCCATGTTCTTTGGGTTCGTCGGCTTCTATGGGCCGGTGTACTATATCCAACCGTACGCGATCGGAAAGGGCATCACGAGCGAGAATGTGGGGTTCTACCTTCTCCCGATCCTCAACGCAGCGAGTATACCGGGCCGCATCGTCCCTAATTTCGTCGCCGATTTTACGGGCCCCTTGAACGTGCTGATTCCCTGCTCTATGATCACGGGCATTCTCGCACTGATTTGGATCGGGATTACGAATTTTGGCGGCACACTTACCTTTGCGATGCTCTATGGGTTCTTTTCCGGCGGCTTCGTGTCTATGCCGCCCGTGGCCGTTGTGACGTTGACGGCGGATATGCGCAAACTCGGCACCCGCATGGGTCAGTGTTTCTTCATCTCGGCCTTTGGCTTGTTGATGGGGACGCCGGTGTCGGGTGCTATCCTGAGCAGCTCCGGCGGTTGGCTTGGTGTGCAGTTGTTCAGCGGTATTTCCATCTTTGTCACCGGCCTGTTGTTGCTTTGGGCTAGGATTGATGTGACCGGATGGATATTGTGGAAGAAAGCTTGAGAGGAAGAAAAGAGAAAGCTGTTTTGGGACGTTCGGCACAGCGTACAGGGTACCTAGCGTGCCATAGCAGATTTATCGAAATGAATAGAAGGAAAAGCTAACCTAGATCTTACGTCTGCGCTGCGGGCGTTGCCAATAATAAGACTTCGCACGCGGTGTAAGCTTACAGATTTGATACGTGAACTTTACTTCGAGTCAAAAAGATGGTAGAACGTTGATTTTGGTGTTTCAAGCCCGTTTTCATTTCACTCGGAACCTCTCGATTTAACTGAGTACCCGTAGGTATGTGTGGCTAGCTCGGACCTGCGGTTGACACACTAGTCTAGAGTTTTGACCACTTCGGAGTCGCACATTTTTCTGTTCGATTCGTTTTCACCTCCACGTATCACCATGCATTCACATCTAATAAATTCACCACTCTCATGGCTTTGGCCCAAGTTCCCTTTGAGGTCGAGATGTATACCGTCGTATTTGGTCGCGTGTATGCCCATATTCCATGTGCCTAGTGACTCGACACCTCGTGTTGCTGCTTCGATATGCACGCTCTCCTTAAACGCCATGAATACCTTTGTCTCCCTGCCTGTGTCTGAAGAGAGATAAACCGCCATGGACATGGATCGCTTCATTCAATCATCGTCTCATTCTTGCGTTCAATTTTGGTGGCATTCTCACTCTCAAAAAAGGCCAGACAGCCAACCTCCCGCCGCTACAGGAGCTCGCAAAGGTCGTATCAAGGGCAATGTTTTTTCCCTTCTTAACTCAATCTGTAAATTTTCTTCCTCCCATCTCTGTTTCTCTTTGCGAGCCTTGTCAATTTGTTGTGCTTTTCCGAGGCCAAGTCCCAACAGACCCGACCCATTTTCAGCTTCCTTTTCTTTCTTTGCAGCGAGATGAGCCATTTGTCGCGCCATATCTTTCCAGTTCTGTAGACCTGTTTCAAGACACTGGCGACACCTTTCTTTTCCATCTTGCTCTCGTCGTTCGTCCATGACCCACATCACGGCTTCAGCTGCTTCAACACTATCCCTGGTCCAGCTGAGGCCTTTTTCTCTTTCGCTCTGACTTGTGGCAAAGAGAATTTCTCCAATGTAAGTCATTAATGCCACTTCTTCACAAGCTTCCTTCAGTGTGTGAAAGGGTCTTTCGTTCCCGCTGGGCGGAGGGGGAGGGTATGGTCGCTCAATGATCCAGTCCTTCAGCGCATCTATGTACGGCCAGAGCCCTTGACTCTCGTTCGTCCGCCGGGCCTCCGTCCCCGCCACCTCGGGTGGAGATGGAGGGAGGATTTTCCGGGCCTTCAGAACACTGAGGAATATTGGCAAAGCTCTATCGACTCTTCCAATCCGGGCATAATCAACGCCCATGGCAGTACTTGCTTTCAAGATATTGTCCGTGACGGCGTCCTCTCTTTCTTTGAGTATGATTCCGGTGTGACGATCCACGACGTCGGGCCTTCCGGCGGGCAATCCTGACTGAGCAATGCCTAAAGCCTGACGATAGATTCGTTCTGCAGAGTCAGCATCGCCTTTGAAAGCCATCCAATCGGCGTACGCCATAGCTGCGTCGAGTCGTTGTCGGGTGTCAAACCCTCGAGTGTTCAAAATTCTGCGATAAAAAGACTCTGGGGATGGGAAGGCATCTTCAACCTCCTCCGCGGTGGGAGGAGTTTCATGTCCCTTCTTCTTGTCCCATGGTAGTGGTTTAGGTCGTGGGTTGTTTGGTCCGGGAATGTTCTCACGTGAGTACACCCGTCCCCGAGCTTCTCCTTTTCTCCTACACATTCCATCCAGATGCTCTGCCACACGTCCGGCTCCCATTAGAGCGTCGTGGTAGCCCCGCCGCCATTGCTCAGTCTTTGGACTAATGTCGAAGACTTGGTGTTCCTGTACACCATCGGCGGATGGCCATATGACAGAGCCCCCCCTCATCAAGAACTTCCCATCAAAGTCTTCGCTCTCCAATCTTGCTAAGAGTTCCTGGTATAAACGCCCAGCTTTCGACCAATCTGTAAAGATCCGGTCTATTTTGGCCTCTTCTCCAAGCTCGGTATATTTTGCGTCGCGCAACAGCCATCGACTCCAAAATGTCCATTCTCGCGGAGTTGGATAATCTCGTTCAAGTTTGGTATGATGGATACCTAGCGCCAGGATGGCTAGAAGTATCACTGATGGCCAGAGGTATGCGTGAAAACGTAATTGGCGTCGTAATTGTTCTTTCCAGCGTTGCTTTCGTTCTGTGGAAATAAATCGCCCGACTTGGGCTTGAGCTATTGCTGTCCGTGATACCGGATGAAGGAAGGGTAATTGAGGTCGTAATATCGGTTGAGTTACTCGGAGTAGGGACGGCTTCTGGGCAAACGACCGGGACTGCGGATATTTCGAAGAGAAGAAATCAAGTCTATTCCGGCGTTGGAGGGTTCGCCAGCTTCGACGTGAAGATATGACTGACAGATTGGGATGAACCATCTTGCTCTCTGAGCTTCAGTTTGCGCCACGCCCAACAAGGACGAGGCGAAAGAAACGAATAGGTCAGCAAGAGAGAAATGCTGAAAGATGAGCTCGAGTTATCTGAACATCTCAATGAGGAGTCGTCCTTTACGGGGGGGCGATTGCCAAGATCGCGCAGATTTATGTACGGTAGATCATTCAGGAGAGTATGGATGGCTTCGCCAAAATTCAAGTGGATTTTGCTCTGCATGAGCTTGGAACTGTCTTGGACCTTTACGTACACTCAGGCGACGGTCAGGGTAAGATCCCTAAGATGAACACGAGCAGATCTGGGAGTGTATCGACAGCCATCACGGTCGAACAGACTTCGACATGGTCTAGTGCAGAGTGTTTCAGTGAGTTTTGTTTCTCAAATGCAAGCATCAGGATGCTCAAGTGATGCAACGGCTACTATTTCCGATAACTATGCAACGAGGCAACCAGGTATGCATAATCCAGACTAGCCTCCCATGAGACACGGTCCGTATGAAAGAAAGACACCTCTCATGCTCCTAGTCTATCTGTCCCTGGATTTTCTCAAGGATGTGCTTCTTCAACCCTCTCATTTGATCTGAGAAGGGAGGCCAATCCTTCTGGCCCTGATATGACTCATCGGCTTGACCAGATCCTCCATCATGGGTGTTGAAGGCCTGTGGCCGGTGGTAAGCCATTTTGCTTGGGCGTTCCACCGTGCCAACAACTGATTTCTTTCAAGTGGGAGGTGGTCGAGTTTAAGAACCGGCAAATGCAAGACCAATCTGAAAGTCGATCCATTTGCTTCTTGAACCAATTCCCTAAAATTTGAAAAAGACCCAAAAAAAAAAGGTGTGGAAAAAATTTGGTCCCTCAGGATAATGTAAAAATGCTCATGATCAAGATTATCATTACTGTGAGCCTGAGCTGATTAAGGAAAGTCGGGATTTTTGTCGTGGTCGCAGCATTAGTGGTAGTTTGTTGCAATGTTGAATCTTCCACGACTTTTAGACAAGAAAGGCGCGCCTCAGGAAGGTTCGATGGCTGAGACCCTGACCCAACTGGATTGTAAAGTACTGTCAAAATTGGTGCGATGCTGTAATAGAACGGTGCCGGGTCGCTAGACACAGATTCAGATGTCACTGTTTGACTTTCTATCAAGGCAACCTTATAGTTGGGCCCACCGGTCGATGGATGGCATGAGGTTTGCGAGAGGGGGCTGAGCGTTGCTTCTGGACCGGTTATCTCTGGAGATCGACGTTAATGAAGATTTGAAGGGCCGGAGTTGCGAATTTAAGGATACATACCCTTTGCAATGATAGACCCCCAGGTTACTTGGGCAATTGATTGACATGAAGGTGGCGGCGATCTTTCAATCACTGGCTGCAATGAAGCACAGACAGTGGTGCTGTTGGTTCCATCCGCAGTACGAAGTGTCTGTACCTGCTGCTGAGCCTGAGACACGAGGTCGTTCACACAGGCATCCTGCAGTGTCTCACCACAAGTGACCGTGCCATACTGAGTTATGCTGTTCAGGGGGAGACTTTTGGCGATGCCTTCGAAGATTAAGGCACACCCGGAGAAATCAGATGCGCTGGCAAGATCTAACGAAGGTGGGTATCCCAGGTAAAAGTTTTTGGTGAAGAGGGCCTGGGTGGCATTATTCGAGGGCTCTTCTGTCGAGACACCCACCGTCCATGTGAGCGGGCCATCGGGCGAGATGCTGGTGTTGAAAGACGCCGTTCCCAGCAAGGCATTGGTAGTGTTGCCTAAGGTACACCCGTCGGTCTGACAGCCAAGCACATCGCAGCCAACCAGCTGCTGCTGTTGCTGCTGTGAAGAAGCTCTCCTGATCAGAATTAACAGACATGTTACAAGCAGCAGCTTATTGCCGAGGACAGGAGAAGAATCGGGGAACATTCTGGGAGGGTGAGGGCGAGAAACCAGGGGATTCGAGATGGAAGACCATTCTTCTAGCCATGCCAACCGATCAAGAGGGATCAAGGTTTATGTGCTTTCTTTGCCTTGATAGCAACCATACGCTCTGAGGGAGTTTTCAACGTCTAGGCAATTCGAATTATTATTAGCATCCTGATGTGGGTCGGTCAGCGCTTACTGCATGCGGTATCCTAGTGGTAATGATGCCTTTGGTCCGCTTGCGTCTGCCATTGGCCCGAAACATGCGTGCTCTGTGTATAAAAAGCAGTAGCATATTTTACCCGGGCGCTAAAGCGCGTATACTGTACAGCAGAGGGCCACGACGTGTCAATCTGCTTGCCACTCCACTCCTCTGCCGCCGAGAGGCTCCTCTAACTTGGCCTTCCCCACCAGATCATGAAACGCCGGCGTAATGACTTGAATGTCGGGCGTGAACGGGCTCGGCTGTACTTCCCGAATACCTTTCCGAGGCGGTTAAGCTCCCTGATAGGAGGTTGGCAGGCGGCCTTGCATGACTTTGTCTTCATTCCTTGTCGAGCCTATCTTCTCCGAAGAGTTGTCCAATGTACCTGATTTGCGGGATCGAAATCAGAACAAGTAACCCCCTTGCTGGCCGAGAACAAGCTGAGGTTCGTCGCGTGACATTGTGGTAATGTGGTAATGTCTACTCTTTCACCAAATATCTAGTGTATTCTGAAAGCGCCTTAACTGGGATCGTCCTGGGCAAATATACCCCGGTCTGCCATGTCAATCCGATGTCGTTCTTGGCGTACGAGGCGCTGGAGATTCGGATGCGAAGCGGTGGCATTCTCTTAAGTGTTGGTGCTCTTGCTGAATTTACGTAGGTGAGATGAGAAGAAAGCATCCCCGGAGTACACTGCAAATCTCTCATTGTTGCACGATATTCTGATTCTTGATCTTGATGCGAAGAAACATCCAGTTCGCCAGTTTAGCTTTCGGTTGCAGCCAGGATGAGAACAAAAAGCAGGTTTCATTCTTTCAATACACACGCCTTGCTCGGGAATTCAACAGCATTGGATTCCAGTTTCCATTCGTGTCAGTGCGTTCGTCAGGCCCACCAAACCAAATAGACGTTGATCAACTTCTTTGTTCTTGAGTATCGTCAAAAAAGTCTTCTAGTCTCAAGAAGTGCCAACCCTTCCTCGAAATCCCAGTCCACGTCGGCTTCCAGATAAGCCCCTGAAGGCCAGACTGATTGAAACTGGTACGCTTTTTGACGAGAACCGATACAGTTTCTGCTAGTCTAACGGCCAGTTGAAGTGGTGTCTTCCCTTCAGAATCTTCTGCTTCTATATCGGCGCCATTACCCTGGAGGATCTTTGCAATCTCAATATGGCACGATTGAACTGCTTCACGAAGGTGTCTCGTCGTTTCGGAACCCTTTACGTTCCCATTAGCACTTCTCTCCAGAAGAATCTTCGTAGTTTTAGCCAGGCGGCCAGAAGTTCCTGCGGGGTGTACTGGCCACAATATCGTCGAATCGGATGTCAACGCCTCTCAAGAGATGAGGAATGCCGCCGCCGACTCCAACCCACCAAGCCCAAGCGGTGGCTGCGGCTGCAGTTCCCATCAATAACTTCTGGCAAACACGCTATAACCGTATTTATGGCAATAACCAAGGATCTGTTGCATGCTACGGCCCACTGGTTCATAATAGGAGTCCATCCGAAAATGAGCAATGAAGCATTCAAGGGCTTCATAGAAAAAAAAGGCTGGGGACCCCGGAGCTCTCTGGGCGATGCTTGGTCTGTAGGTGCTAGCTGGTAGAGGGCTTGTTTGCTATGCCCTCTAAGATTCGTTCCTTGATTGGCATCTTTTACTTTGTCAAATTCTAGTGGCCGAGTCTCTCTTGGGATTCTTTGAGCTCTTGCTGGCTCAGGCATTGCCTTGAAATTTCGGGTAGCTGAAATGTCAGGACACTCTTATCGAGAGCGAGAAACTGTGATTGTCTGACCGTAAGAAATAACGGCAGCACGTTTGCGTTTCGCCAATTGATGATACAAGTCATCTTTCCAAACTTTTTATAGAAAGCGCCCTCCGCTAACTTTTCCAAAGTCGAAATATTCGAAAGGTCCTTCAAACCCTGCCTTTTTGGCGGTCGCATTCTTGAGAACATTAACGTGGTGCTTCACGGTATGCTGTAGGAGTTTCTGAGACTCATTTCACAGCCACCGGCGCATGGTTGGAACAAACAAGTGATCATGGGTGAATCTCGTGGGTAGTAATGCGCATATTCCATGGGCGACCGACGAATCCGACAGTGGACCTTTTGGTTTGGAAGGACGGACGAAGTTCCGACAGAAAAGTGATTTGCCAACTATGAGCGAGAACGCACGAAATAGGAGTGTATGGAGGGAACTTGGCACAAGGCACCAACCGCCTGGAGTCTTTTGCATGACTATAGAGAGCCATCTCGGTCGCGTGGATTCTTTACCTCATGGATGTGATCGTAATCGAAGTGAGACGTTGACTATGAACCTGCATAAGAGGCCTGATGCGTTGACAATATCGCTCAGAGTAAATATTCGCTGACATGCTATGCGACGCTAAACAAACCATATCCTGTGACCATTTCGGGTTTCCATTCGAGTTAGATGGTTCCGTCTGAAGAGGGCTGAAACAATGCTCCGGATTTGAAAGTCGTCGACTTTCATTCCTCCATGCCCTCAACTCCCTGCTTGCTTGAAAAGATCCTGCCCGTCAATGTTGTTGCAGCCAAATAGTTCTAATTCGTGCTCTTGAGCAACGAACAACGATGCCCGTCCAAGTTGTATCCTTTTACTCGGCAAGCTAATAAAAGATTGTTTTCATCGCCGTGTCATCCCGATCCATGTCGCTCGTATTCAATGGGTTTCCCTTTCCTTCTTCGAGAATATTGTTTCATCCTGTTTATTATGTCATGGTGACATCGTGATCGGGATCCTCAGCAGGTGCGGTCTCGCCAACGGCAAAGCGCGAGTCTGCTGAAGGTATAGCCGGAGTAGCTGGACTTGCTGTCACTCGCTCTATTAGTTCCGGGGGTAAAAAAGGCAATTCAATTTGCCGATCTGAGTCAGTTCGAGGTAAGTCTGGCCGTAATTGCTGTGCCGCATCGGCTTCGGCCAGTGCCCGCAACACGGCCTCCCGATGGGCCTCTTCTTCCATTCGCGACCTTTCTCGGCTTCGCCCAGCCCTACTACTTCGTCCTGCAGCTTCTCCCTGGCTGAGTGGAGTTGCCGAGTAGCTCCGTGGTGGCGCTAGAAGATTGCTCAATCTGGAGCGACTGTCCACCCGAGATATGTGTGGACTGTTGGATCTTGAAGGATGACGGCTTCCCGACCGACTGCCCGGAATAGTGGACATTATTGCCTCGTGATTTGCATCAAACGCGCTGAACCCAGGTTCTGGTCGGAGATAGGGATGCCGTACATCGCCCGGGTTTCTGAGAGCTGGGCCCGGCATCTGTCTTCTTGGATGCTCTGACGCCAACAAATTCGTGTTTGACCAGCCTGGAAAGTGTCTCATATCGTCAACACCAAAGTAGCTTCTGGGATCATGGGAGTAATGTCCTAATTCGAGAGGTCTGGAACTGCTCTCGCTAAACCCATGCATCGGAACTGGAGAAGGGCCAAAGAGACTGGATGCCGATTCCAAAGTGTGTCTGCGAGATGGAGTGCGGGATGAGCTCCTCGCACGCTCACCATATTCTCCAGCCACATCAAACCCTGGTGGTATTCCTGGACTTCGAGATCGGCGTTCATAGCCTTCCTGTGGGTATAGACTGCTCGAATTCATGAGATTGAGATGTGCCGGTGCCAGCGCGGCGCGACCGTCGTGGGTGAACGGTGCCCCTGGTGTCCACGGGCCCCCTTGTTGAACCTGATCAAACGGCAATAGAGGCATTTCGACATGGTAGCTTGGGAGTTCGTGCAAGCTTCGACGGCGAGGTCGGGATCGGGAAGTGCCGGCAAAGGACAGGCCATGGCGGTGTGGGTTCAACACAGGATCCATGAGGTGATCGTTTCCGTCGATTGTGCCATCATCGGACATGGTATCTGCGCTGGGGCTATCGACTCCGTCGAGCAGACTTTCGTCAATGGCTTCACGACCTTCACGTTGTGCCTCGTCCAGAGCCAGACGCGTCAGATAGTCTCGAAGACGTTGAACGCCTTCTCCGGAAAAGACACAGAATACATCTCGTTGTGGATGAGTGAACTCGGCGGGTGCATCACGACAGAATCGAGTCAAGTCTTCCCGGAGGAATGCTTGAACACCGGTCAATGAGAGGTGTGTCAGTCGAGGGCAGTTGTGAAGCAGCGCGGTAATCCCCTATTATTTTTGTGAGCGGTCACAATTGCGACATGAATGATCGTCATACCTTAAGAGTCAAATTCACGCAGTAACTGAGGTGAACTCGTTCAAGCGACACAAATTGTGAAGGAACACCAATTTTCCCGGTCGGGCTGAACAGAAGGGGACCATGGGCCAGAGCCATTATACTGGAATCGGTCAAATTTTGGCATTTGACCAGACCGATTCTCCGCAACTTGGGTAGTTGTGCTAAATGACGAACACTTGCATCCGTCAATCGAGAACAGCATGCCAGGTCGATATATCTAATTCGATTGCAGGCTTTCACCAGCTGAATGACGGCATTGTCCGTCAAGTTTATGCAATGACCAAGGTGAATGTAATGCAAGTTTTTGGTCAATTTGCAGATGGATGTAACTGCTCGATCTGTGATATGCCTGCATTTCGCCAATACCAGGTTTCTCAATCGCGGCGCCGCCGGAATAATCCTCGCAATCGCCTCGTCTCGAACTTGCTCGCAGGCAGTGAGGTCCAAAATGCGCAGAGCGTCAAAGGATAGTCTTGGAGGAAGGTTGGTGAAAGCCGAATTGTTGATGTCAATGCAATGCGCCAGGCGGAGCTCCCGAAGATGAGACAGATGCGAGAGAAGGGCGGTCACGGATTCCGAAGTGATCGCGTGGCAGCCAGCCAGGTCAATCTCCAATATTGAGCGGCAGCTTTTGGCGACAGCAGTGACGGAAACATCGGTGGCCCGTACCACACCGTTGAGTTTGAGTCGTTTTAGTTGTCGGCAGTGTTCCGCAATCTCCACCAAGGATTCGTCGGTCACGTTGGAGCAGTTGGTAATGTTGAGACCTTGGAGTTTGGCACAGTTTTCCGCCACCACATGCAATGTTCGATCAGTCAGAGCATCCAAATCCGTGACGTCCAATGCCTGCAGTTTCTTACTTCCGTCAACCAGTCCGGCGACACCGAAATCCGTCAAGCTTGAGCAGTTGGTCAGGGTGAGGCGTTCGATGCCTTTGCAATTCATAAACGGCTGAACCGTTCCGTCACTGATCTTGTCTGCGAGGGCCGATAGGTTCAATCTCTTGACCATCTCGTGGTACGGAAAATAGCTCTTGTCTCCTTTCCCCAATGCTTCCACGACGTTCAGTAAATTCGACCATTTATTGCAAAGAGGTCTGTGCCACAGTATCCCAACCGTGTACAAAGCCCAGTGATAGGATACCAACATGCAACTTCGAAGGTCTGCCGTGGTTGTTAATTTGGTGAGAATCGCGATAAGGATTTCGGGAGGTAACTTGGATATCGGGGAGAGGCGGTGGACTTGTTCCAGGTCAACATCATCGTCGCAATCCCGAATGGCTGTGATGGCACCGATTGAGGACTGCGAGTCGTTGGCATGCGCCATAAAATAATCCGTATCTTCATCATCCCCGGGGCCGGGAGAACTATCTGAACTGTCCGAATCGACGGTGACGGTGCTGAGGTTTCGAGTGTGAATAGGTGAGAGTCGGGGTCGAGGTTCGTCCGCCATGTTTCACCGATCAGGCTGCGCCTTGAGAGAAGTCGATCCTGGCAAGTGCGATGATGCGTTCCCAGGTCTAAAGAAGTATCTGGTCTGTGGATGTCACATAGAACCCCAACTCTTTAACAAATGCCTTCAAATGCGAGTGTATGGAATGAGAATATTCATCGCGTGGCGGATGGGCAAACAAGTTGGTTGTGCTCGGCAACCCCGTTGCGGAGCCAGTGCTAAGTGAGTGAAAACAAGGGTGTCGCTAATTCAGGCGGATGAAAATGGTGAAGTAACAAGCGTATCCTCTAGCGAGACGCGATATTCGGGCGCCTAAGGTTGTGGGAGAGGAATCAGTTGATGCTGTGCAGCGTAGATAGTGGTGGGTGAAGTAGAAAGGAGGCCAGGAGATCGGCCGGTGGTGACAAGGAGGTGGCAGTACGGAAACCGAAGCTGTCAAACCCTCTCTGGTCGCTACGGTAGAGTTCTCTCTTAATGCCGTTGTGAATGGGACGGAGAATCCTCCAGCTCTGGCGGAGGATTCGACTGCAGAACAGTCGACCACTTGTTCTGGGAGGTAAGTGAGGCGGAGGGAAAGGTGAGTGAATTAATGAGTCTTCAGGCGCAGGAGCAGGCTGGATGTAATTAAGTCAGAGGGCGACCTCAGATGTACGTACTGCAAGTGGCGGTGGAGTCAGCACCGCGACAGAGCGAGATGTACCTGAGGGTACAACCCTAGAGGGCTACGAGTCACTACAATTTAGGTACTTTGAGGGGTAGTCCTCTGGTTCTTGCCATTCTCATGGGAGAGGCATTGCAGCCAAACGTGCAATGTAGCAGTGGCTCAACTTCAATCCACTCGTGACTTTGTATTTCTCGACTTGAACCCAACCTGATCTCTTGATTCGGCATCTTGGGGCCTGAAGCCCGCGGGAGGATTATGATGGGCCGATCACATTGACCACCTAATATTGTTATTATTGGTACTCTGCCCTTCCATCTCACATCCACAATGCTGTCAAGGCCCAACATCCAGTCTGTCGCTGCAACTGAGCATCCTTTTCCTCTTCCAGGCCGCCTTGGACACCAATCAACCACGCAGAAATGCATATCAAAAGCGGCATGCATAAATCGGGCTGTGACAACTAGTACAGATCACTAGTTCTATCGATACAGAGAAAGGAGTTGGCTACATATTTGATCCATGATTGGACACACAAATTTCAGGTAACAAGAAAGGATGGCGCACTCTGACTAGCGTTTTTGGCCGAATGCATACTCGTTCCCATCTAAACATGTTACTTATCTGTAGCAGGTTCGAAACACAAACTTAAGGACAAAAGTATTCTACGCTGCGCTAGCTGTTACATACCCCCAACTCAAGTCTCCTTGACAACGGTCCAGGCATTCGACCTCGTCGCCTTTGATGTTCATCGACTCCCAGGAGGTAACACACTAAACTTCCGTCCTGCAGATGGGTCTTGCCTTCTTCCTGGATTTAAGAGTCCAACAACTTCATCTTTTGCTGTAAGGCGCTGACGGTTTCCTACCATTGGCAGCCTCTTGTTCACTATCGTCTGCCATGACGTGCTGGGGCCTCCAGCAGCCGGCACCTGCAAACTCCGCGTCGCCGACAAGCTTGCGACGTTTTGGGCCTGTGAAGCAGTTAGGCTCGTCATTGTGCAGCCTTGGCAGCAACCATCAAGCCATGAATAAAAACAATGCTGTCCTAGCTTGTCATCGACAGTGACATTCTATCTTCGGTGGGACTTCGGAGTAAGGCTTTCTCCAAGGGTTGCAGCATCCATAGATCACCATTTCCCCGACATTGTACTTTTGATGCTCTCTCTCTCTTTTTTTTTTGTTTTATTTCCATATCTAGGTCGTCGACATTGCATCTAGTTGCTGATCGTGATCTCGGCCAGATCTCTGTTATGTGGATCGAAAGAAATTCTGGCCGAACCTGATGAAGTACACTCGTCCCTTTCGTTTTTACCTTGGTCAAACATCTTACAGTCGACTTGCTTTGTCATGATACAGATTGTGGTTCGCAAGGCTTGACATTATATAGTAATCCGTAGCCACGGCGCATAAATGGGTGTTCTTTTGGGGAAGAAAAAAATGGCTGTATCGGCTCTCGGAACATAACGGGCATATATTAACGGCGCTGGCTATTGACGAGAATTGGTGGGATATCGTTCTGTTTATATCCAATGATTTAAAGAGGTCACTTTCGACGTCTCAAATGGCCGCTGTCTATCCTTCTTCGCTGATACCCTCACTCCCCCCCTCTTTTGCCGCCCTTGGCCCATTCTCTCAGTACATTTTTTCTGATTTTCCCAGTGCTGGTCTTGGGCAGTTCTGGGACGATCTCGACTTCTCGAGGTACCATGAATCTGCTGATCCCGGGATGGTCACGGGACCATTTGATGATATCTTCGCCCGTCACGTTGGCGTTTGGCTTGACGGTGATGAACGCCTTGGGTCGCTCACCCCAATGGCTGTCACTGACAGCGGCCACACCACATTCAAGAATATCCGGATGTGTCACGAGCATAGACTCGAGTGCAACGGAAGAAATATTTTCGCCGCCTGGTCTCGAGGTCAGAGAATCAACGGTCCCCCCATATGTAGAGGTTGTTCACAACTCACCAGAGATAATAATGTCTTTTGCACGATCCAAAATTTGAATGGCTCCATCTTCATGCCACACAGCCAAATCACCCGAGTGCAAAACGCCGCCTAGAAACAGCTTCCTTGTTGCACCTTCGTCTTTGTAATAACCTCTCGCACAAATGTTTCCGTTGAACACAATCTCACCAATCTCCTTGCCGTTCATTTCAACGTTCACGATCGTACCTTCGGGAACATCTGTCTTGATCACCCTGACCGGCAAAGATGTGGCGAACCCGTGACCTTGTCGAGCCATTTTGGCATATTTATCCTTCACGTTCGGGAAGCTATTCCATTCGGGCAGAACGTATCCCTTGGTGATTGGGCCATATGTCTCGGTCATCCCGTAGACATGTACTGGATGCAGGTTCAGATTCGTCATTTGTTCAAACAGGTGTGCTGTTGGTGGACTTGCCGCCACTGTCACCCTCACTGGGTTGGGGAGTTTGACCGCATTGGAATCAGCGCACAGTAACGTATTCACCGTTGGTGCGGCGCAGTAATGTGTGATTCCTTCATCCTTCAGCAAGCGCCATATTTCAGGGTAGTCGATCTTGCGCAGGCAATAATGTGTCCCTCTCGCAGCTGTCACAGCCCATGGAAACGTCCAGCCCATGGCGTGGAACATGGGAAGCGTCCATAAATACTTGCAACGTTCACCATCGTGATAAGCGAGTCCAGATTCAATGACATTGCCCAATGCCCCTAGGTAGGAGCCTCGATGGGTATATTCGACGCCTTTGGGACGAGCGGTGGTGCCAGATGTGTATGCTAGGGCATTCACGGCGAGTTCGTCGGGTGCCTGTGCTTCAAGACCATTCCAGCCGTGAGAGCCTCGGGTGTGGTCGTACCGGAGGCCTTCAAGAACGGCCTCGTCGAATGGCCCGCACAATTGGCCCTCCATAGCATCCGTGTCTGTGTCGATGATCAGAGGCACATTGGGATGCATTTGTTTGTAGTCGTCGAGAAGAGGAAGGAACTCGGCATCGACCACAATGGCATCGGCATCGGCATGGTCGAAAATGTACGCTATATCATCCTTTTTAAGCCGATAATTGATGGCAATGTTGATGGCACCAGCTCCGCCGATCCCATAGACAGCCTCGAGGAAGGCCGGGGTGTTGGTGCACAGTATTCCCACTCTTTTGTACCCTTTCTTCCTGAGGTAGTATGCGAATCCTCTCGCACGATCAGCGAACTCAATGTATGTGCGACGGAGGATCTTGTTGTTAGCGGTACGGTGGTAGATGGCCGGCGCATTTGGCTCGATGGCCGCGGCGCGGGGAAGAAAGAATGTGGGGGAGAGCGTATGGTTATTGAACCACGATGAGGTGCCAACTTTATGGTGGTCGATGCTGAGATTGTCGATTGGTTTGTTCTGAGAGGTCGTGCCGGGACCGGAGGAGAGGAAGTGTGCTGCCAAACCGGACAGGCGAGATTTGGCGGAAGACATGCCAGGCGTAGAGGTTGTGGTCGTTGCTCAAAGGCCGAACTATAATGACATAACGAGAAGAGAAAGACGGGGAAGTGCTCAGGGCATCAGTATCCAAGCTGTAAAAGAAGGATACAGATATTGGCTTTCAACCCACTAGAGCATAACATTGGATAGAGATGGAGAACTTCCACAGTCCGAGGTTCCTGCAGTCCGGGGTAACGCATCTCTGAAACCCTGGTCTCTGATCCGTTGGACGACCCAGGATTCGCTTCCGAAGCCGGCAGGGCTTCGGTTCGTGGATTAGGTTCCGAGGTTACGAGGCTCTTTCGGTCGCGTCTCGGGAATAGGGCCACCTCAACCCTTCTCGGCATCTTGAACCTCACCGATTTTGCTTGATACAGCAACATTTCATTGCCCTTGAAACCGCCGGAAGATATCCGCACCTCGAGTTTACAAATAATCTGTGAACAGATAAGGGACGCGTTTCCTCACGCGATCGCGTGATTAGAGACGCCAATCTGACCAATGGGCCTCAAACGACTCTACATGTTCTTCTTGTTTCTCTCCAGCTGAACACAGCATGTCGATATGCCCTGACAACTCGACCGAATGTCTTCTCCGTGCCCTCCTCAATGACAATTCCACCCAAGCCCTGCTCCGGGAAATTCTCGACTCCACCAACAGGTTCAATTGGGATCCTCTGAATTTCGCCTTCACTGCTGCGATTGGTGCGTTGGCCCTTCTGATCGCCTGTGTCACAGTATTCCAGGGCCTTCTGGCCGCTGGACCTGGTCGAATCAAGGCGAGTAAAGTGGCCATTGGGCCTTTCGCCGAGAGATCCCAGTCACGGTTTGATTTCACCGAACTTGGTCTGCGAACTCTTGCCTTTGTTCCTTCCATCAATGGCATGAACCAGATCCATCGAATCGAGCGAGACTTTCGTAATCACCCTTGTTGCAGCAAATATGACCCGGCTGTGGGGAGAAGTGAGTCCGGGGCGTCTTGGCTCCGACTTCTGATCGAACTGGGCGTTTCGGATCCCAATTTGTGGTCTCATGTCGGTCGACAAACAGACAATTTACCGACCGATATATCTGCGGCCCCGGCGGCAGGCTCGGTCAGCTTTCTTGCTCATTTAGCTGCCGTCGCTGATGATGATTGTATCATTGAGCGTCGTCCTGGCAGTCGATTCGTTACTGTGATTGGGAAGTCTTCCCAGCTTACTTTCCGGGATCACCCTGTTCTGGGCTCCGTTGCGATGTATGAGACGTATCGAGAAAGTCCGAAGTACCGCGGAAGTCATCCCACGAAGAAGGTTCAATTTGAGCTCAGCGGCCCGCATAGTATCGGCTACACGGAGACGGCCAATATGATCGATCTCTCTCATGGCCTGTTGAAATGCCGCTATCTTGGTTGTGCAGTCTCTGACGGCTCCGTGCAACTGAGCTTTGGATTCTTCCTTCAGAAGCTGACCTCGCATTGCAAACACGGGCATCTGAATAGCAATCTCTCATCTGTGCTTTTTGGTGGCCGGGGCTCACATGGTGCTCGATTTACAGTGGGATACATCTATTCCATACTGTTCTTTACTTCTGTTCCTTCGCTGGTGAGAGCTTTTCCGTCAACCCTTCTCGGCCTTCAAACTGCCATGACACAGCTTAGCACCTTGGTCTCGACATGGAGTACAACTTCCGATGAAGCCATCTCCGGTCTGGAAAATGTGGTGAAAAGATTTGGTGGATCATTTCTCCCTGCCCCAAGGGCTGCCTATCCCTTCTACATCATTGGCGCACGGGCTCGACACCATTCAAGCACTTCATGGCTTGAAGATCCACCCGGTGCAGGCTGGTGTACGAACAAGATCCAGAGCGACTTTCGAAAAGGCCAGCATGATCTTGTTTATGGTACAGAGATCATTGATCTTTGTTGCGATTGGTTAGCGGAGCTCAAACAAAGGGGGAAGAGCTTGAAACAGCTTCTGGTCGAGGACACCACGAAAGTCAAAGAGAAGCTTCTGACAGCGATATACCTTGTCGACGATTGGATTCGGGGCCATAGCAGGAATGAATGTATATGTGCGGCGTTGTTTTTGATCATGGACGTTGAGGCTGATCTTGGGATTCATCCACCACAGAGGGTCGCTGATGACTCCCAGTCAAATCATACTACGACAGAGCTTGAACCGACCGAGCTAAATGATCTCCAGGTGATACTGGTATATCGCGCTGTTATGTTCGGGGCTTTACTCGAGCTGAGTGCAGATACCAGCTGTCTTGTCGACAAATCTTTCTTGGATTCGATTGTCAAGGTACTCTAGTCCGTGAATCTCGAGCTATGTGCGGTGGTGGTCGGCCATATTCCAAGTAGCAACTCCCTCGGCTTCAGCAACACATGTCACCGACTTGCCAGATAAACACAGTCTGATGATTTTGAAATCTCATCCAACCAGCGACCGATCTTTTTACGCATACCCCAAGGTCCAGAAGGTCTCGATGTTTTTGCCAGTGTCTTCATCAACATATGGCGGTGGTTGACTTAACGTTACATTTTCACCATGAATCTCAGCAATTTGTCCGGTCAGAGAGGGATTAGACACCAGCTGTTGGACTCCTCTTGTGAGCGTCGACATCGGCGTGAGTATCATCGGTTTGAATAGGTCTTTACTTGGGGCAATATTGGTTTCTTCAATTGAACGTTAATCGCCATGACCGGATATTCTGGGTCTGAACGTACCTAGCACAGCCGGTGCCAAAGCGTTGATCTGAATTCCTTCCTGTGCCAGTGGCCGGGCGAGCGATCTGACGAGTCCAACGACACCAAATTTGGAGGCGGCATAAATTGGTGCCACAGGGAAAGGGTACAGACCGGCATTCGACGCGGTACAGATGATTGTGCCTTTGGAAGCAGTTGCGGCATCACCCGTTGCCGCGTTTTTCTTAACGTAATGGATACCCAATTTGACCGCTATTCGTCACCATCAGCAACGACGCCACCGACCCGAGAGTGGCTTTTCCTCACTGTATATCGTCCCCGTCAAGTTCACGTTCAGGGTACGCAGGATCGGTTCGGACGGCTTCTCCTCGTCCATGATGAGTTTGCCTTCCCTCGAAATGCCAGCGTTGGCCATGACCACGTCAATTCGACCTTGTTCTTGATAAATCTGCTCGAACATAGCCGCCAGTTCATCCCATTTCGAAATATCGGCTTTCTTGAACGAAAAGCTCGCCGCAGGAAATTCGGTCGATAATGCCTGTACAATACTTGCTCCCTCGTTGTTGACGTCCAGTATGGATACGTGTGCTCCCTGTCCTGCAAATGATCGAGTAATACCTAGACCGATCCCAGAAGCGCCGCCTATAGAACTTTCAGTCATCTGGAAGGAGAGTCATGACCAGATTCCCAAGCGCATACCGGTCACCACAACGCTTTTCTTGCCAACGGCCATGATTGGTATTCTTCAATCGACGACAGTATTGATATGAATGCAATACTGTCGAAAGGGCGTTATTTCTCAATCTTCTCGCAAGCCTGTCTGAATGGTTACCTTACTTCCTGAATGTATCGACTTGAAGACAACGTCCGGGGAACTTCTTTCCAAGCCTCTGGACGCTGTACCGACTTTTCTCGGAATTGCCCCACGTCGTGACAGCCATTTTCCAGGTGGGGCCTGGGGATTTCCACAGCCTCGACACCTTTTTGGCCCCTTGGCCCCCACGAAGCTGGTTCATCAATTGCAGAATCCCCCCTCCCTCGGATCTGGCACATCCACTTTTCGCAGCCATGTGTTTTGTGCGAGTCCACCAGATTCCGTCGCGTGGAGTTCAAATCCAATTTATACCACCACAAAGGCCATTGTGCTTGGGTGGCCTGGTCCATTGAGAACAGGCCGTCAGATCCCGGACTCTGAGTGTTAACCTCAAAGGACATTGGATGCTAGCCTCTTCTCTGACCAAACCAGAAGGAATGGCGGAGATCATCGTTGACCAGGCGACTCTCGACTCCGTGAAGGGCAAGGTGGTGGTTCTTGCGGGTAAGGCCGCTCAATCTTCAAATCATTCGAGCAGCAGTTTAACCCTTTTTCCACCGTTACAGGCGGCGCTCAAGGTATTGGGGCCGCAACAGTTGGGCTATTCTATGAATCTGGAGCTCACGTCTTTTTCGGTGACTGGGATGAAACCAAGGGCACAAAACATGCAGAGGAACTTCGCGCTTCGGTATCGTCGTCGGGGAGCGTGACGTATCTCAAAGTCAACGTACGCGAATATCAATCCCTTCTCTCGCTGTTTGATGCGGCGTACAATAAGCACGGCCAAATCGACATGGCCATCTGCTGCGCCGCGGTGACAGAACGGCCTGGATACTGGGAACCAGACAAGCTGAACCTGGAAAGCGTGAGGGAGGCGAGTGACTTTTGACATTCTAGATCTCCTCGCCGCCTTACTGATTGAACCAACTAGACCCCGACCGGCATCACGGACGTGATCGACATCAACCTGAATGGCACGATATACTTTGCTCGCCTCGCGGTCGCGTTTCTCAAGGAGAGGCACACAGTGGATCCGAACCCAAGCAGCCCAGAATCCATTCTGTCGTCAAAGTGCATCACGCTCGTCTCCTCCGTTGCCGGCTTCAAGGAATCCCCCGGTCTCTTCGCTTATTCGGCAGCCAAGCACGGCGTGATGGGGTTGATGCGAGCCTTGCGCCCATTCCTTCCGCCTGTTTACGGGTTGAGGGTCAATGCCATTTGTACGCTTTCCCCTCCCCATCTTTTTTCCATGCCTTCGCGATCACGCCTCTAATCACCATCACCAGGCCCCTGGGCAACCGACACTCAGCTCCTCTCTGGCGTACGGACCGCCTGGGTGAAGAACCTGATGCCGATGAACACACCTGGTGATGTCGCGCGATATATAATCCAAGTCACCGCGGAGCCATCGACGCACGGAAAAGCACTGTTCGTGACTGGCGGTAACGCTGTGGATATCGAGGAGGGAATCAATCGCACTGAGCCCCAGTGGTTGGGGGAGAAGAATAGCAAAGATCTCAACGCCGGTCAAGTGATTTTGGGGTTGGTGAGTGGTTTTCCATTTTAATCAGGTTCAGCTTCACATTCAGATTCAGATGGGGTTGTGATGTGTCATTGGATTACCCATCTGACTTTTCGTTGTAGGGCATGGACTGGGGACATAACAAGTCATGAGAGGCGGGGGATATGTCGATCCGATATCCGTATCCAGAACGACACTTTCAACTTCGCTTAGAGGTCAAAGACCGAGTTACTCGGATGGAGGACTCCGTTTTCTAATTTATCATACACACGCCACCACTTCTATATGCTATATACCAAATATGCATCAGCTATGAGAAAAATTCACACCCTGCCTCCTCGAAACTGGTCGTGTATGAAAAATAAAAGATATATCTATGTACAATGCCGCCCTCTAAAATGTTTGAATATTCCAGGACCTCATCGCGCCATCTATATGCTTCTATCTCATCTATCGGTTTTCCAAGGATTTCGCCAAAGGCATTGTGCCTTTTTTTTGGGGGGGGGGGTTTCGGTGCATCATAACAAAAGCTTCTACGAAGTTGATTTATTTCTCCTCGTCGATTCTCGATTCCACGAGGGCTATAGGAACAGCATTTGACGCTGGAGCAGGAGCCGGAGCTGGTCCACTGGTGGCTTCGGCGAGATTCTTCTTGCGCAAGTCCCAGCCGCCGCTCCAACCGATCCAGCCTTCCTCATAAGGTCCGCGGGCAATGCAGATGAGGAACGTCAATCCGACCAGCGCAACACTCAAGCTGCCGCTGGCCATCCAGCCGCCGCGCTCGTAGAGCTTGGCACCAGCGCTGGTCCCTGTCAGCTGGCCCGTGAAGGTCATGAGCATGAAGGCGGTGTTGACCCTGTTGCGGCCGTTGGGTTCGATGGCGTGGATGGCGCTGCGATTGGCAACCTGTGTAATCTGCAAACCCATGTCCAGCGTGAAAGCTTGGATGATGGGCCCCGCAACAGTGTGGGGACCGGTGTATGTGCCGATGACGATGCCCACGAGATTCGCGAAGCAGCCCATCATGCAGCTGAAGAGCGGCGCAAAGGGTTGGATCAAGTACTTGGCGTACAAGGGGCCGAGCAAGATGCCGGCGATGCCAATCAGGGCGAACAGCCCAATGATCACGGGTGGATAGTTGTATGGCGGATCCGCGAGCAGGAAGGTCAACGTCGTCCAGTAGCTTGTGAAGGCAGCGGAGATGCAGAAACTCACCAGTCCGGCTTGTACCAGGACGGCGTGCTTCTTGTACAGAAAGATGATGCCGCCGATCATCTTGAAGTAGTTGAGTCCATCTGGGTTGGAAGATGGATAGTCGGGCATGAACAGCCACAGCGCGCAGAGAATCATGTACTGCAAGGCCAGGGCGATCCAGTAGATATTGCGCCAGGAGGTGAAGTTCGTGACGACGCCGGATAGGATACGCGCAATCACGATACCGAGCAAGTTGCCGGACGTGGTAATGCTAAGAGCCAATGCGCGTTGATTTGGTGGAGCTAGCTCCGAGACCAGCGGCAGCATCACTTGTGGGATGACGGTGGTGACGGCGCAGACGTAGGAGATGGCGCAAAAGGCTGCGAATGAAGGGGTGATGCAAAGGCCGATCCTGTAGAAGCCAATCGGTGAGCATTTGATCCAAAAAAAAAAAAAAAAGGATTATTAATTCGGCGCTCGGAAATAGGGGATAGAGCGGGATGAAGATATGATGATCCCATTTTGGGGGAGGGCTTACCACATGGTCGCGGTGAAGAAAATGAGCACCAGTGTCAGTGGGCGTCGTTTGAGTAGGTCTCCCAGAGGACATACCAACAGTAGGCCCGTCGCATAGCCGGCCTGCATCAAAGTCGGAATGCGTGAAACCGTCACGTACGGCACATCGAAGTCGTGGGCCAGGATATTTAATATGGGATGGTTGTAGTAGAGATTGCCTACGGTGAAGGCGCCCGCGAAAGCGAAAAGGACATTATGCCATATGGAAAATGTTGGTGGTGTGTTTGGATTGTAGCGGCACCACGGCGGCATCCATGTCACGATGTCGACGACTTTTTTCCATTTGGATATCTGTGTGGGGAGAGTGTGTTTCTGGTTGTCGTCGAGAGCTTCGACATCATGTTCACCATCAGTGGTGACCCATGCTGGTGCTTGATCGACCGTTTTCTGGTCCAGCATGCCCGGATAGATGGTTTTCTCGGAGAACGAGTGACCGTGAGTGATGCTGGGGAGGAATGGAAATAAGAAGCCCAATTCTCGGTAATTCTCGGGTTTCCTTTCCTGTTCTAGCAGGTGAGCAGAGCCGCTCTAACGTGGCCCTAGCTCCCCCTAGCTCGTCACGGCCCACCTTTGATTCGCCCAAATTTCGGGCGCTAGAGGCGCACTCGGAGCAGATTCTGATTGGCTAACACTATGTGGGCCCATAGTTGACAACTTCAGCAGCCTCATTTCAAAGTTGTCCTCAGGTGCTGCAGCACACGCACATCGAAGACAACCTTCAACCCATGCGGCCTCCCGTGTGCCTCTTGTAATGGTCCAAGGTGTAAAGAACGCACATTCACCGGTTTCCAACCTGCCAAAATGTCTCGACTCACTATCGCATCATCGATTTGCGGCGAACGCTACAAACGGGATATGTTATCTGCTCCGGCTCGTCCTCTTCGAACACGACGAGAAGATATGACATACGCTCCTCGCTAAGAACTAGCTGTGTGCTGTGAGCGAGATGGGATAAACGTTGGCACTACGTGTTTTGCGTTAGAATAAGGTTTGCTCTTCACAGGACAAGCCAAAGGATGCAAAAGTGAGGATGAGGAGTCGAAATCCGAAGAGATGATCCGTCACGCCGCCATTCGCATTCAGATATATCGCGGTGACTTTTGGGAAATGACAATTGAGCTTCACAGAAAGTATGGTGATGTTGTCCGAGTCGCTCCGAATGCTGTCAGCATCACAGTCGAATCCTTCTTTACTACACAAAATATGGCGTGGCACCTGGCTATCTAACGTCCCGTGACCTTAACCCTTTCAATGGCAAGAATAACGGACTACGAGCCACAGATTGATAACATCATAAAACGACTGGTCGAGCGTCTTGGGAGCAAATACTCTTCAGACTCTTGATCAGCCACAAGTTTGTGATATTGAGGAATGGGTATATTTCTGTAAATCGCCTCGAACTTTCACTTTCAACCGTACTAACCTCTTATGCGGTCTCAGTCGACGCCGTCGTGACCAGCCTCGTCGCAAGCAGCGATACTACGGCCATCTCTATCTGAGCAGTTCTTTACTATCTCTTGACGAATCCAGCCGCATGCCAAACGCTTACGCCAAGAGATTGACCAGGCAGGTCTTTCTGATGACCCTATCGGCTGGACCAACTCTCAAAATTTGCGTACTTGAGTGATTGTGTCAAGGAGTCATCCCGCACGCACACCGCCGCGAGCGTACCGCTGGACACATCACCAGATTACGCACTGCCAAAATGTCAAGAGTACCAAATGGAACAATCGTAGGGATAAATGCCAGTCAATACGTTCTTCATCCCAAGGCCTTTGGCGGGAAGGTTGACCAGTGTATATCGGAGAAGCAACTGCAACGACCAGGCGAAGACACCGATTTGTTCGAAGAAAGAACGAAGAAGGCGAAGCGAGCAGATATGACATTTTCGATACGGATTGAGAACTTGTCTAGGCAAGGACGTCGGTTTGGCCGAGACAAATAAGACTATTCCGACATCGCCTAAGTATGTCGATATTTCGTTGTTGGAGACGAGGAAAGAGTGAAAACTCCAGAATGCATGGTCTGTACGACGAGATGGTTTCGAGGTTCAATTGAAGACAAGGTCTTGGAAGGTTACGCAATCAAACAAGAATTCGAATTGCGTTGCAATTTCTCGATGCATTTTCCCATTCGCCCAGTTTTCAAATCGGACTGAGACTGCTTGGTTTGAGATGTCCTATGATCGTTTGAACTCAGCTGGATACTTTTCATGTCCTGCTCGTCGTGGATCATGACGGCAGATTTGAGGTCATTGTGCATTGTGATTATGCGCCTGACTTTAGTTCCGACGTTGATGCCCATTTTGAGTTGACTGTTCTTGTCTGCTTGAATCGGGAAGAATAACGATGCATGCTTAGATATTGTGTCCCTGAGGATGGCCTTCCGGTTATTGTAGGGGCTGACAAGTCGTGCGAGTGGATATCGATAACTATGGAGCGACTTGCTAAAAAGTATCCGCCTCTAATAAGAATGTTCAAGATTTGCTCTTCTTCCTGTTCGGTGTGCACCGAAGGCCATGAATGAACGGTCGGCCTGATGCTTTGGATATCATCGCGTTTGCAGCTCTGGACTGATGCTGCAATTCTAACATCCTGGATATCACAATATACGTATGGCACAAATGGTTTGGAACATTCTATATCGTCCTTGACCGTGTGGGGATGTCATATACCCTGCACTGCATGACAAAGCCGATTTGTGGAAAGGGATAACCTCTGGCAACGAATGCTTATCTGGATTGTGCAACCGATTGCATTGCTGCATACGCCAACGGTTGTCTGACTCTGTTGGAACGTCCACTACCCACAGTTGCATACTAGAACGCCAAATACGCTCTACCAAACTCTTGCGGTTCCGCTTACGCTCGACATATCTCCTGCAGCTCAGGCTGCCGTCGTCGTGGTTGAGATCTTATTGGCAGACTGAATCAAATCCCATTGGATATGAGGACCCTGGAATGTCTTTCCGACTGTGAACCAGCAAAGAATAATCTGCGCGAAGAGTCCGACGATAATGGGGCTTGTATAGTTCATCGCTGCCACCGAGACGGGCAGGTGAGGTGGGAAGCAAATCATTGTACCCAAGACTATGATCCATAACATGGAGAACCCGTTGCAGAAGTATCCCGGTTTTGAGATATCGTGGCGGAAGGCTCTTGCTTCTGCCATTGAAGAGCACGATCGCTTGCGGAACGGCGTATGTGATGTTGAGGAAAAGGACGGCGGCAGTGACGATCGAATTAAATGCGGTTGTCGACGCCAGGAAGAGCAAACCGTAGCAGCAGCAGAAGAGGAAGGCCGCGATTGTCGTGCGGACAGGGAAGCCAAACCGGGCATCGACCTTGGAGAAGTAATGCGAGAATGGTACGCCGCCCTGCGTGGAAACGTGTTGGTACCGAGGGATGAATCAAGTCCTGGACGGTGAGACACTTACGTCGCGAGCAAATGCCCAAGCGATTCGTCCGGATGTCACCCATTGGGATGAGATTGCCACTGTGAACGACGGATTAGTCAGAGCCTCGAGTGAATGGCCGGTCGAGTCGAGTCGATGGTGACTTACGGATATAGATCGCGACAATCCATATGATGACGAATGCGGTGGCTGCCTTGCTCCCCGTGCTAGACCCAGCCGTTAGCATTCGTTTGTTGATCGTTTCAAATCAGAGAGGAAACTCACGCCTGATAAACAATCTCCAGACTCGGCAAAGAAGAGCTGATGACAGCATCGAGGTCGTTCATGCAGAACATCAGCACCAAGAACAGAGACAGTGTGGTTAAAAGTCCAATGAACATGGTTCCGCTCATGACTTGTGGCACTCTCCGTCCGGGCTGTGCCATCTCTTCGCTGATGTGGATGACTCCGTCAGTACCGCCAAAGGCATACATGGCGTTTGTCACACCAAGGAGCCAGGCAGTGCCGTCGCTCCATCCACTGGTTCCAAGACGATCTTGGACAATCCACGATGCCGGCTGAGTCTGCTGCCGTGTTGCAAGGGTGATGATGAACGCCAATAGGACTCCAAGAATGGACAAGAAGAGCGTTGCTTGGACCGTGACTGAAATTTTGCTAGGTGCGAAGAAGAGCGGGAGGACTGTGCGTGGAGAAAAGAGATCTGGTCAGCGAGAACTGCCGAAGGGGTGGAGGAGGGGACTCACTGGTGATGAAGGCAACCGCAACAAAAGCCAGCCAGACATGGTATGATTGAATTTCGTAAGAAGGATGGAAGAGACGTGCCACCCAACAGACAGAAACGGCGGCCAGGGAAAGTCCCGAGGACGTGACAATCCACCAAGCGAGTATTGACATCCACCCGATAACGAAAGCAGCGAAGCGTTTCGTCTTCTCTGGAGCAAGAATGTAGCAAAAGTGGTATTGTCCTCCGGACTCACTAAGGCCCAGTGTGATGATGAATTGCGCGGCGAATGCAACGATGAGACCGAAGATGACGACCTGTGAGCCGCCATAGATGAGATTCTGACCGAAGTTGCTCTGTACCGCGCCGTTGGTCACTCGTGTTATAGAGTCTGTCATCAGCACTTACCAAATATCCAACCCAGGAGTTGGTGATGGAGAAGGCCAGTCCCAGGGCAGAGATTCATTTGAACTGGGGTTGCATTGCAGTCTCGTGGTCATATGCTCGAAGAATAACCTCGTCAAGGTCTTCGATGCTTTTCATAGACCCAATACGAACAAGCTCATCCTCAGGGAGGTCGGCCGTACTTTTAGTATCAAACTTCTGCTTGATGATATCTCTAGTTGCGTCTGCCATGTTGTCAACTCGTGCAAGCAAAAGATGATGTGATCAGTCATGGAATTTGTAGATTGAAGCATAACAATATCAAAGAGATAGATGCTTTGTTTATACACCTCCTCGGTATCAGTCTTCCCAGCATCTCGACAAGGTAGACAGATCCGGCATTCCAGAGATAAGACTCTCTTCTTTTCGACAAGCGATCATAGTGTTGTCTCTGAGTTTCGAATTTGAGATATAAGGGAATGATAGAGCTGGAAAATTACCCAAACAGGCTGGGTCCTCCATTGGCTGCCAGAGGAACGATGATATTGGTCCCACCATTATCTTCAACTACCAATGGGAAATGAAGCCTTGCATACGCGCTCTCCTGATATACGATCAGCTGGCTATACGGCTCATGTGATCCAGCTGGACTCTTCAGCCGTTGAAGTTGGATATGGCAAGGCTACTCACGAGAGGTCCACCGTAAGTCGAGTAGTGATGATCTCTGGCCGAGAACAATGCTACGCACAATCCATCCGTATAGTCTGGGGGGAAAGAACCCATGAGTATCGACACGTTCTAAATGAAGGCTGCGTTCTCCTGCTGGTATCGAAGTGTATGTCAAGTGCAGGGATTTTAAGGAGTCAAGCTAGGTGGTGTTAGGTCTGCGAAGAAAGGGTAGGCCGAATATCCTCATGTGGAAATTCCACTTGGACGGCTTACTGGGCACTTTCCACGGGCCCCTCCGCCAAAAAAAAGAAGTAAGCAAGTAACGTAGTTTGAGAGCATAAATCCAGTTTCTTATCCCTCGAGACCACATCTAGGGTGCTTCAATCATAATCGATGTCAATAAGTAAACCATAGCTGTTATCAATCCTATCTTATGTATATTTCACCATTCCAATCACCATGCCGACTGCAACAAGAACATACGACCTGGGAGTGCAAAAGGTGTCAGCCAATATTCCCGTCGAAGATATGATCTACCTCTTGAAACGAGATGGAGGTGTTTTCATCCAAGGCCTCATAGCAGAAGGGGACGTTGATCAAGCATACGAGGACTGCAGAAAACGAGGCAACTTCTTTTCCAGTAAGTCGACGTTGTCACTAATGGTTTCCTCGATCACATGCTTATATGGTATATCAATAGAGGAGACGCAACGAGCCCCAAGCCTTCTTGCTCTGAGCTCAACATATGCAAAGACACAAAAGTGCGTGATCATTTCTTGACGACACGAAGCTGGTTCTGGTGGGGCGATGAGTGGAAGGAGTCTGTGTCGAGGCTTAATGTCCATTCTTGCATAGCAATGAGAATTGGACCGGGGGGGAAAGGCCCAACCACCTCATCGAGACGACTACATCGGACACAACATCCATACTGAAATCGACTCTTGGGATGACGATCGAGATATGAATCGTGAGAGTGCCGTGAGCCTATTCGTTGCAGGAAACAAGGTTACAAAAAACCAATGGCGGTACGCGATTTATTCCTGGAAGTCATCTGCGGTACGTTTCATGCTCCTCCGTCAACGAGGCTTTGCTAATACTAATGTCTCGCTTAGGGGGAGCTTCCGCAAAACTCCACCAGATGTCAATTTGTGCGAGTATGCCGAGATGGAGAAGGGAGATGCATTTATCATGCTAGCATTCTGCTTCACGGCGGTGGTTACAACCAGACCGAAAATGAGAAGCGTCTGGTGTTCGCTACCTTCGTCACCCGTGGGTATTTGAGACAGGAAGAAAACCAGCTCCTTGCCGCTCCCGCGGAAGTAGCTCGGAAATATCCTCGTGAGATCCAAGAGTACATGGGCTATGAACTGGAGTTGTTGCTTGATGTCTTCTCCAGCTATTCTGAGTGGTTTTCATTTCATGCTTACAAGGGGACTTGAGAAGTTCTAAGGTTGGATACATTATTGACTTCTGGCGGGACTCTTTGACTAGGACGTGTCAAACTTCTTGTGGAGCTGAAATTGAAGGAGTGCTCTGGCTTTCCAAATGAGTATAGGATAGAGCCCATCTATATATCTATGTAGACAGTGTGTGTCAACTCTGTTGCCTGTCAATAGTGATACTGTCGCGAACGATAGGTCACCATCTGTTCATCAGAACGATATTTGTGACTTCATGATTGCCTTTATCTCTTTCTAGACAAGTCGCGGAGGTCGACAGTGTGATTTTGTCATCTTACCTACCCTTATCCAATAAGGATCGTTGTAAACTCCTCGTGAGGCAAGGATGTGAGTTGTTCTTCCTATCGGACGGGATGTATTTTACGTTCTCACTGGCCAAAATTATCGCGGAAGCTCTCTTTTTTCTACTTAGCTCATTGATATTGCTTTGTGGTTCTGTCATCTCGACAGTGATCATAATTCAAGTCTATGCGGAAGACCTTCGTTCAACCATGTCCGAGTATGGACGAGACATTGCACCCTAGAAAATAGTATCAAACTCCTCGAACCTCCCAAGCGAGACCTGCAACATTTCGCATCAGTGCCACTAGAACTGGCCATTCCAAAACCTTTAGAACGTTGATCTAGCGTCGACTTGTTCTGTTTCTGGTTTGACCGAGGAACGTCATTCGATGGGTGGGATTCGAAGAAGTTCGTCGGCTTGAGGGATATCATCATCTTTTCGTTGGGCATCACTGGGAAATCTGTAAACCAAGCTCGGTTAGTATGATGGTTCGATTATGCTACGTGCGGACTGAAAGGCCATCATTGAACTCACCTTCAGGCCTTGTGATATGCGTGACGCCAAATGTATGCCAAAGCACGACATCCTCGTCTTCCACATTCTCATTCCGATTGCCCAGATCGCAAGTCCCGTATCTTCACGGCTTTGGTTCGTAAATTCCCCAGCAGCCCAAAGCTCTTCGTCACCATATTTGGTCACCCATATCGGCTTACTGGCAAAAACACCACGCTTGTAATTGAATGTGTGCTTGCCCATCATCATCATTTGCGATGGTACAGTGTTCAGTTTGTACCCAACCGGCTTACCAGAGGCCGAGTTCACAACGGAGGGATTGATGATCTTGTAAGTCCGAAAGGCTCCAAGATCGATGTCGTAGCCACCTGGCTTCTTGATCGTCGTGGTCTCTACTTTAAACGCGCAGCCGAAGGGATCGAGCGTCGGATCATCGACTACCGGGACGCAATCGTCGTAGATGATACTGTTCTTCTGACCATCCAGAGCAGGGTCGAGGCGAACGTTGAACAGGTGCTGATGATTCACGGCCATGACTCCAGGAACAACGACGCTGCCCCAAGGAGTATGCACTCCTTTTGCCACGGGCATTGTTGAGACTATGCCAGTCGCTCTGACTTCGATGTGTAGATTCGCGGCTTGATCAAGAATAAAGGCAAGGATATATTCGTAGTTGGTAACAGTAGCTGTGCATTGGATGACCAGTTGGCGGTCACGGACCACTGACGACATGCCATTACGGAAATTTGTGTGTTTCCAACCAATGCCTTGATCGACTTCGTGCATGCAGACAACACTAGGCATGAGAACGGCTTTACCGTCGCTGGAAGTGCGGTAGCCGTCGAAGTAGCGGATATGCCCGAGACAATCACAGCCGAAAGTCAATGTGTTTGATGTCAAGCCAAAGCCGGAATCTCCCAGGTCGAATGTCTGCTTCCGGTGGAAAGGGGTGCGCGGATCGCCATAAGGCACTGTCATTTCGCTCATGGAGACGCGATAGAACAAGGATCGGTTGTCGTAGAACACATTATGAAGGACTGGGCCTTCGCGGACATTCCATCCAAGTTGAAAATTCCATTTCTGCCAGGTAATGTTTCGGCATCGCACGGTGAACGAGGCTCCGTCCGGCTGAACCTTGCAACTCGGGAAGTTCCTCAATGCTTTCGACCTGATTTTGTAAGAGGTTGACACGAGCTTTTCCGAGGTGATGTGATCCATTGGCATGACAGTTTATCCTCGCTTTTCGGTCTAAGGATTTTGATCGGTCATTCAGAGATGCGAGACCCGATGCTTTCGGTGCTTCGATCAGGTCGATCGTCTTAAAATGGATCTTGGAAGTCTGCAGCCGCTGCCGAAGAATGTTGGCCGCACGAGCGATCTCAGCAGCTGTTATCGGATCGAGAGGGTGGGCGTAAGAAGCTATGATTGTCATGTGACCTCTGCAAATCTTCTCTTGGTCGGTAGCAACATCGAGAAGCTGTCGGTTCTGAGTCTAGATATAGTATCAGACACGGGAGCCTCATGAAGCATGACTAGGCCGTCACACCACACGTCTGAAGATGTGCCATGATACAGCCGAATCAGTGTCTTGCATGATCAACCGTTGTCGCTGTGAGGCTCCTTGCCAAAGACCAAATAGAAGTAATAAAGAGCTGAGAAAATTGCCGAATTTGGAAATTGCATGTTGAATGATGTTTCTATTTCGAATGCCGCGACTCACCACGTCTCGACCAAATCAATTTAGGTTCGGAGGTAGCAAAATTGGCGGGTTTGATTTGGAAAAGGATATCGGAACGAGCGGATGAGGCTTGCTGGGCGGGCCCGATACCGCAAATGGCAGTTTCACCAGGAAGAGCCCTCGCCGTCGCAAGGAATTGTGCTGCTCAACGAGTGCAATTGACAGTTTCCTTTCATCGCAATACAGATGAAGATAGAAAAGAAATCCCCGCCACCACATTTGCGGCATCAGGATAGTCGAGATCATCAGGAGCAATATGGCAAGCCCCAGCAAGATCACCGTCACATTGACGCAGATATCGAAATTGATCGATCATTCGCTCCTTCATCCAACAATGACCGATCAAGAAATTCAAGCAGGCCTAGAGATCGCCCGCCAGTATAACACCGCCACAGCCTGCGTGAAGCCATACTCCATCCCACACGCAAAAAAAGTGCTTCAGGGGAGCGACGTCGCCGTATGTCCCGTCATTGGCTTCCCGGCGGGCAATAGCACCACCGAAGTAAAAGTGTTTGAGGCAGAGAAGGCCGTGGAAGCGGGTGGTATCGAGATCGATATGGTCGTGAATATTGGCAAAGTCCTTGGTGGCGATTGGGACTATGTGACCGAAGAAATTCGCGCTATCAACGACGTAATCACGAGAAGGGGGGCCATTCTCAAGGTCATCTTCGAGAACGACTATCTCCAGGACGAGCATATAATCCGCCTTTGCCAGATCTGTTCCGATTTGGACGTTTCATTCGTCAAGACTTCCACTGGATACGGATTTGTCAAGCAGCCGAACGGAATGTATACATACAAGGGCGCCACGGTTCCGCATTTGAAGATGATGCAAAAGTATTGCAAGCCCAGCGTCCAAATTAAGGCTGCTGGTGGCGTTCGAACCCTCGATGACTTGCTCTATGTGATGTCGATTGGTGTCACCAGGATAGGAGCGACGGCTACGGTTGCAATCATAGAGGAAGCAAAGAAACGGGGCATCGGAGAAACACCAGTGGAGATCGAGGTGAAGCCAATGGCAGCGACGAATGGCACAACATATTGAGCGAAGGGCAGACAGTGCAACATGACAAAGCTGGCTGTATGCTTGGTTCTTGCACATGAACGTGCAGTCGCAAGAAAGAGGATTGATTGACATAAAGGAATATATAATAGTGCATGAATTATGTTCTCTCTGTTTCGGATCATACGCACGCTATAGATAATGTTCAATAAGTTTGACAAAATATATCTAGCTCATTCTCTACCGACGCTCGTTGTGATTCCTTCGATATGACTATTCTATCCAAAGACAAAAAAAAAAAATGCATCGTGGTGTGCGAGTTAACTATCAGCTCAATCGTCATCAACCCATCCTCTCCAGTGTAGTGAACAGTGTTTTCTCCATAAGCAGAGGCGGCAGAGCTTCGACCTTTTTTACAACTCTCGTTGGATTTCCAACGGCGACACTCCAGGCCGGAATATCCTTAGTCACAACACTTCCAGCCCCAACGGTAGTACCTTCGCCAATGGTAACTCCAGGCAAAATGACACAATGGCCGCCGATCCAACGGTCATCACCGATGACAATCGGACGAGCATACTCGACATTGTCGCGACGACTTTGGACATCGGTTTCGTGAGTTGCGGTAAAGATGCTTACGTTTGGTCCAAACATGACTCGATTTCCAATAGTCACCGGCGAGCAGTCGAGGATGGTGAGGTTGAAATTGGAATATATACGGTCGCCAAGTTTGACATTATATCCATAGTCCAGGTAAACGGGAGGTTCCAGATACCGGAGATCGTCTTCTCGTCCTCCTCACTTGAGGGAACATTCCCGTTCAGAGTTTTGGCGATCTGAATTATTTCGTTATTTTTTGAAGTCGCCGCCATTGGGGATGTTTTCGCAATAACTGAGTAAAAATGAAAGACTTCAATAGAAACTAATCGACACGCGATTTGGAGGTGCAACCCGTTGGTAGAAAACAGAGCATTCAATACGTCTCAAGTAAATTCTTCGGTTACTTGGCCATGAAGCAGAATATGCCGCATTATAAGGGTCTCTGGTACTTTCCTTCTGTATAAAAAGGTCCTCTTCTAAGAGTGATTGTGCGTCGCAGGCTTCTTCTCTTCTAACGCCGCAGTGTGCTCCTTGAGCCTGTGAATAAATTGACCGGCACATACCCTGCTTGACGCGATGCCTCTTGTTAGTAGTGCGAGCTTGATCAACGCAGTCGGCATTTTTGAGTCTTGTGCCTGCAGCTCACAGAGAAGGAGGACCGAGCATCTGCTCAAGAGTCTCCGGATTGATGGACAGTCGCTAACAGCGACAATAGGACATAGCTAAGTCATGGTTGGGAAGCATTCATCACCCAAGCCAGATACGTTTGCGTCATACCTCCTGAGAGCTCCGCCGCACTTGGTCCTCTCGTAGATCAGAACGCCGCCCCGAAAACACGCTTCTATACAGTCCAGAGGAGAGGAGCGCAGTTTGCCTCGGATGACCGATTCAATCCGAAGCCAGAGCGCAGTCCCTTAAAATACCCATGGACTAAGCATCGGTGCTTTTTGTGGAAGACAAAGAGATCGAGGCCGTTCATCCTATTTTTGGCAAGCTAGATAGGACTAAGGGGTGACAAGAGCCTCGAGACTGTATAGTGGAGTTCAGCTGGCGGCATGAGTGGAAGTTTGAGATCTCCGAAACTGGATAGGCTACCAGTTCGACATTAGAAAAACAGATAATCATGCTGTCTTCGGAGCGAAGTAGAACACGCCTATGAACGAAATGTCAGCATCGTAACGCGTCGTGAGAAAGTTGGATCGGTCCTACATATTCCATCCAAGGTATATTGGCGGGCCCGCTTTTGGATTGAGTGGTCTTAGCTCGTTCGCTCCAAACCGTGTTAAGTATCTGCATCACCGTTGGTTTGGTGAATTTGGTGTTTCGTTTGATTTTGGCGATACATAGCTTTACATAATGTTGTTGGTGACGTGAGGTGGTATCTGCTCCTGCCATGAAAAGGGGAAACAGGAAACGTTTGTACAGTGTAGATGACCTGGGAACCTGGGCACACGCTCCAAGGATGCTGTTGATGGATTCCTTGATTCTGGGTTCTGAGCATGGCGTTTGAAAAGTGTCTGGAAATCTCAAAACTCGTAAGATGCAGGCATGTCGATATGCATCGGCCAGTAACTTCCATTCGGGATCAGAAGTCGGGTAGAGATTTGATTCAGATCCCAATCCCGCAAAAAGCCCTCGGCTTCTTTAAGAGTCTTGAAAATTGTTCACGCTTAACTTTTTCACGAGGTATGACTTTCCGGCTTCCAGGGCCGCGCCGATGCGTTGAAAAAGTCCTGCCGGACAACCCACAATGGTCTCGAGACTGAAGTCATCGGCATCAAAAACGTATTGGCGAACGTCATTAGTTAATGCCGACTTCTCGGCCCCGCTGAAGCCCTCTCAGGGTGTCCAACCTGATCAGAGTGAGCAAGCTCCGCTTCTGAAGATTGTCTGGGGCCAAATACCATGAAAGCGCAGCCAACAAGAAGTCTTTGAATGGAGTATGACCAGTCGGTCTGGCAACAATTCGGGAACAAAAGGAAGACAACGCCGTTGAGATGGGTGCCATGCAATGACTTTCCGGACTCGCAGATCTGGCCATGTCAGCAATCGTGATTGGTCACTGGATGGATAGAGATCGACTTACATCGTGTAGGACGAGAATGAGAACCATGGCCAAGGTCAATTCTTCTTCAGCATCATTCAAGCCAAAGTATTCTTCTTTTAGAAGTAGTGCGCCCAGGGATTGGATGGCTTGAACCTCATGCTCGATGGCGGTTGTCAGCATTGTCTGGTTATTATCAATTTCTGAGGTACCCATGTGACAAGCGGCAAGGCTGAGGGTGGCATGAAGAAGACCGACATGTTGGTAGGAAAGCGGAAGAATATAGATGCGGATGGGACTGGGATGGATCGATGTGAACGTGCTGAGAATCTCACATAATGCGACGTCAACTAGTTGCTGTTAGCCGGGCGGACAGATTCCCCGTGATGCTGTGGCGTACAATGAGTTAAGTATTCTTCAGTTCGCTGTTGAGATAAGATGTCATCAAGTTGATTCGACTGGTTCGGGGAACTGAACGGAGAGCTGATCGGAATTTGGGCTGAATCGTTTGGCGTCCAGGACGGATCTGACGGAGTAGTTATTGCTCGACTGCTTTCTGGAGAAGATATGGGAGACAGCCCGCTCGGTCGCGGTTGAAAATGTTTGGTTCCAGTAGTGGCAGATTCGCGTCGGGTGATGCATGTATCAACCGCTCGGGACTTTGCCCGAGGCTTTTTAGGGTCTGATAGCTGATTGTAGAGCTTGAATTAAGTGGGATAGCCTTCACAGACCAGGCCTTTATCCAAGCACTTCTTGCAGTGTGGTCGTGTTCGGTCACACCTTCGACATTTTTTGCGACACGTACCACAAGTGGGATCTCATTCAATGAGCGGATGTCTCATAAAGGTCCAGAGGGAGAACCATAGGGCTTACCAGCTCGGTTACGCGCGAATTGGGGTGCCATGACTCAGACGAGAATGTTCGCAACGTGCGTCACAGATGGCAGGGCCTGCATGCCGTGTCTCTTCAGGACAGGAGCCGTCGAGGATGAATCAGTTCAACGAGTGTAGAAATGCGCAAAGTTTACTGTAGATACTAATTGTGGGCCGAGGAGCGCAGTCATGGTGAAGCCGATTTTGCAAACGACTGTACTATTTCCGATGTATCTGGAAGGGACTTTTACCTCCTCTTTTCCGAAAACGAGAACAATGGGAGCAGACATGTTGAACAGTAGCCAGCGCTCCGTTATTGGAAAAGGAGGAGGAATAGGAGTAGAAAAGGGGCCAACGAAACGAGTATAAACTGGCAATCCGCCGGTTCAGTTGCAAAACAGAGAGAGCACACTCGTTCAATTCAAGTTGTACAAGAAGTTTGACAAGATACTTCTCAGTGCTTCCCATGCTTCTACTCATATTCGGCGAGATCGATCATGGAGACCCAAGATGAGGTGTGGGAAACACAAGAAACAAGTCCACGACTCAAACCAGATCTCTGATGGACAAGTCACGTGGAGTGAGATGCCCGAGGATGATGCCCAGCGGTGGGCAGACGGACGGTGGCTTACAGACACTTACTCGCGCAATGGGGATCCTTAAGGGAACCCCGTCATCCAAATTGTTTAAGATAAAACACGACAGTGGAGCAGTGGAGTCACAATATAAAGAGCACATCAGCACTTTTGCTCAATTATGCTTGTGGCAAGGCTGTCTCCACTAAATTTGGCCCCTTCCGGGGTGACCAGCTGTCAGCCGATTGAAGAACTAATACTAATGAGTGTGTTTGACAACGGTTATGTTAACGAGATCAGTGTGGTACATCAGACAGTTGATGGTGCCAAATAGTTCTGCTATCACGTATGGCCTGTCGAAAGGATGAAGAAATGACAGCAATCGTATGGAGATCGAACACACGGCAACTCCCTTTTTCCTAAGATAGGAGCTAAGGACAACTACTCCCCTCAAAGAGGGGCAGCATGGTACGTGTGGGAGCATAGGACTTTGACATTGGACTACTTCTACCACAGTTAAGACCCTCTCAGGCTCTCACCTTTATTGAGAGTTATACATCTTGCCAGGCGCCCAAAGTACTTGCTATCGCTGCATGAAACTTTCATCTTCTTGCTCCATTTGCCCCCCAGGTATAGAAAAAGCCTCCAAGTACATCAGCTCACAATATTTTGTCATGGGCTTACTCCTTGCGAATCGTTTGTTGGTTGTTCGGTTGGAGATCTTTCAGTCTTATAACCTGAATTGTTTCCCATTTCAGTCATCAAGACAGGTATCTATTTCGAAAGAAAAGAGGGAGCAAGTAGGACTTACATTTCCATGCACTCATTGGTATTCCTGCGGCATACATCTCATCAATCTCCGCCATGGTCCTTCCTCTCGTCTCGGGGCTTTTGATAACTCATGTCAGCGCAACAAACTTTATGAAATTCCCAAACGCGACAGGTCTTTGCATGACTTACAGATAGAAGTATGTCAGCGTTATTGTGATCAATTGACACCCGGCAAATATCAGGGCAGCCTTGGCTCCGAGGTTGCCACTATGTCCAAGAATCAGTTCGCGCTCTAATAGTCGGGAGATGAGGCTTGTAGTTCGACTAACGCATCAGGGTTTGTTATTTGAGGGACCGCAAAAGTGGTAGCGGTGGCAGTGACCATTCCCCAGAGGGAGGTATCTTCCATTGAGTTAGCCCAACGTGAAGGGGATGATGGTTTTAACTTGTTTTCCACTTACAAGCTGCTGTTGGTTCTCGTAGCTTTGCAGGTGGAATTTCGGCATATACGAGATAGCAGCTAACGTATCGTAAGCCAACAGGACAAGAACATGGTTGAAGTGAGGGAAATATCCTCACTAACATGGATTGAAAAGATGCCGCATTAATAAATGAAAAGATAATGAAGAGTGCCGCTATGGCCTGAGAACGAGCTGGTGATTCAAGGCCAGCACAGGCAAGACCGCCCGCTGCGACGTCCAAGAAGAATAATATCGTGAATCCTACAAGGCAGGTGGGGCGTCGACCCAGTCGGTCCATCAAGTATGGACCAACGACCATTCCTAGGAACTGGACCATGAAGATCAAGATTGTGATCCTGAACGGATCGCTCACTCCGCTTTGAACCAAGATGACGGTCGAGTATTGAAGTGTCAATACCTGCCCCCCTATTTGGCTCAGGCAGATGTACATACTCGTCGTCAGGGTGCGCTTGAGGTTTTGACGACGGAGGATGTACCACCACTTCAGGTCGGCCCTTTGACTCTGATTGGAGGTAATTGCTTGGATGAGTGAAGATATCTCCGCCTCGACAAGCTCGTGGTTATTCTTCCGTAAAGAGAGGAGAACTCGCCTAGCATTTTCCACGTCACCGCGGAGAACCAGCCAGGTCGGTGATTCCACGAGGAAACAAGACGTCAGGAAGAATAGGGCGGGTAAACAGGCTTGGAGTGTTAGAGGGATCTTGTATTGCCAGTCGCTCTGAACTCGCTGAGAGCCCCATACGGTGACTGTTCCCAAGACAGCAACACCGGCCATGTAACACGTTAGCACTCCGACGGCTCGGCCTCGGAGATGGGGAGGGACGAGGTCGGCGAGATAAATTGGGCAAACACACATGAGGATGGCCACACCGAAATCTGAGAACTTGGTCAGCCCGTGCTTGTTTTCAGTACCGACTGGGGGAAAGGGAATCTAACAGTTCCAAGTACGTCCAAAGACCAGAGCTCCAATGTTGGGAGCGAAAAGTTGTAAGACGGATCCCGGGACACAACAAAGAGTATAAGCGACTAAACAGGTATACTTCCTACCAATCTTTCTTTGTAATGGCAGGCCGGCCAACAGGCCTCCAAGTGCCGAACCCACCAATGGCACAGAGAAAATCAGGCTCAGGTTATTGGCCTGCGGATTTGTAAGACGGCTTTGCGCTCGGGATGTGGAATAGAAAGACCTCATACCGTGAATGCTTCTCCGTGTCCTTGGTACTTTTGGACAAAGTGTGGAAGGGAAACCAGCGGCGCGGCAAACGCGTTATCGTAACCAAACAGCCCACTGCCGAGCCCGACGACAAGTACTATACATTGTGAGGATGGTCAGTATGGGGTCCTTGAAGAGGAGGCAAGATTGACTCGCTGTTGAAGATGACTCTCCAGTTCCACCAATTTTTGGGAATGTGCACATCTTGGACTGGAACAGTTTCGCAATCTGGCTTAATGTGCTCAATGTGACCTGTGAGTTGCTTCGACATCATCGTCTCAAATCTTGCCAGCATCAAGAGTCGAAATTTGGAGCATTCGTGTTGGTGAAAATCGCTTCGTCTTTAGTCGGCGAGCAAACACTTACCCGCGCAATAAAGTGATGCGAGGCCCCTCCACGATGTTATATACTTGGTCTCCAACCATGGGGGCAGAAGCAAACCAAATGTCCAGAAATATGTGATAATCTGTGCGGCGAACAAACGGACGATGAGATCGCGGGGTACAATGGCGCTTGTCCCCCAGCGCGGCCCGCATTTTCCGGATTGGGAAATGTGAGGCCGCTGATGACCAAAAAGCGGGCCGAAAGTGGGACAGGACAACATCGTTCAACGTTCTTTTGCAGGCTATTTTGATGATATTGTGGCTGTTTGAAGTCCAGGATATTTGTCGGTACAAGAGCACTGATCGCTTTTGTCTTCGCACGTCTACCTAGGAGAGTATATGTGTACTGATTGCCAATTTCATGGGATAGACTTGAAATTTCTGTGCGAGATGGACAGTTACTCGCTAGACAATCGGGCATGCCGCAGTCCTCGAACTCGAGGAACCTCAGCTATTCGAGAATACTTCGGGCTTACAGGATATGGAACCAATATGATCGAATGCGCGGACGATAATTTTTTCGAGGTACCTCCGTCCGGCCATATATTTTCAAGATCCGACCAAACTGACACACCTGTGAGGAATTGGGTCGCTTGAACATCAATTGGAACAAAATACCACCAGGGACAGATGTTGAGCGGATGCGACATTGGATTTCAACTGATTATACCGCGATACCCAAGACGAGTTTCCTCCATCGACATATACGAGAGCGGGTTCCAATTGAACAGCAGGACGTTAAGGTCTGCTACGGAGAGACATTCGACTTCACCATGCGTATCTACACGCCCCTTCGCGGTCGGTGCCAGCCTCGACCGGCTGTGATAATGTACCATGGAGGAGGATGGGTACGTTTCTCTGTTCGGGTTTTCCGTAGTCCGAGGCTGATCACTTTACAACAAGATTCATGGGGATGCGACAAGCGATGAGGACTTTGCTCTTCTCTTCGCTAGTGAGCTTGATGCCCTCATTGTCAGCGTTAATTATAGTTTGGCTCCCGAGAATCCATATCCCAGGCCGCATGAGGATTGTTACGAAGCACTTAACTGGGTCAGTCGTGGTGTTCCTCCTCATTGTGCATGTTTGATGAGTTGACTTCTGGTCAGACAGTGAGTAACGCTGAACGACTTGGGATCAACCCAGCGAGAATTGCCCTCTGGGGATGTTCAGCAGGCGCAAACCTTGCGGCGGGAGTTGCTCTCCGCGATAGCGAAGAGCACGCGCCTACACGTATCAGACAAATTCACCTTGTTGTTCCCGCCACCTGCTCTCCGGAGGTTCACGAAGGACCTCTCAAGAAAGTGTACGAAGCCCAAGAGGGGGTCGCCAAGTGGGAACTCTCTCTCGGAGATGTCGCTACCCTCATGAGTGAGTGTCATTGACTTGAAACGTTAAGGTACGATGGAAATAATTCGCCATAGGATACTATGCTCCTCAAAATCTCACTCATCCTTTTGTATCTCCCATGCACTCGCATCCCTCTGCGAACCATCCTGCTACTCATATCACTGTCGCTGGTCTCGATGTGTTACGGGACCAGGGCATAGCGTATGCTCTTCATCTTCGAAATGTAGGAGTTTCAGTACAGTTGGAAGTCCTTCCGGGAGTTCCTCATGGATTCACTTGGGCAAAGAATTCCCAGTGTACAAGGCAATGGACACAGAATCAGATTCGATGGTTGAACCTGGCTTTGCACACAGACTTCTAGCGAGACTCCAGAACACACAATTTAGCTTTCATTGGGCTGCCTTCCCCTTTGATTCTGATGGACACGACCCATGATGGATTGAAATTTTCATCTCAGAAGTTACTCGTCTTTTCTTGTTGTAGAGTATAAGTGACCCTAGGCGAACACGTCGAGGGATCCCCACATTTGAAGACGGCGAAGATTATATGGTAGTACATGGCAAAAGGATTTGAGAAATCGGGGCTACTGAGAGCGCTCTTCACCGGGAGCAATGCAGTAAGCCGAATCCCTCTGTAGATAGACTACGAAACAATTTGGGGATGAACCAGGTAGGGCGACGAATACGAGGGAGTCTTGAGGGGCTAACGATCACCAAGTCCCATCGTCTCCGCGACACAAAATTGCCCAGAACTCGGGGTTCAGGACGCTCCCCCACGAATCTTTCCCCCAACGCCAAAGTCCTCAGAAGTTTCACTCCTGCTCATGAATCCCATCTTTTCACTCTTGGAACAGAGATGTACTCAATCCTCCCACTAGGTCAACGACGTCTAAGCAAGGCCCGTCATCAGGCTTGTAATGCATGCCGGAGCCGAAAAATTCGGGTACGGATATCAGTCGGAGTTTGTGGTCAGAGACTGACAATACACAGTGTTTCAATGCCCCCCAAATAAGCCCTCAGTCGGGATCGAATTACCATGCACCTTGCTCCAGGTGCGCTCGTCTTGGGAAACCATGCATATACGAGAAGGCGCATCGCAGCAATATTCAGAGCTCCAGACAAGACAGTGTTCATTCAATAGATGTCCACGATGAGTTGCGAGAAACCTCTTCGACTTTCCAAGATGATCACATCATAAGCCAGGAAGCAAATCGACAGCATTGCGAAAATGAGTTTTCATCCACCAATTCCGTCGGTCTTGAAAATTTGTTTGATATTGTTGCTGATGAACCGGTCAATTGGCTGGAGCCCCGTCTGGAGGCTGAACAGTCCATCAACGATGGGCTGGATTGGCCATCGATTATCGACTTCTCTCTCGAGATGACAGGCAATAACACCATGCAGAGTATTACTCCATCAGTCATGCCCTCCACATCTTTGCACCAGAAATACGGCCACGACGTGGAAAAATTTCTTCAAGATACCTACGTAATCCTCCCAGTAGTGGATAAAGGACAGCTCTGGGATCAAATTCTGACAAACGGCACTGATCATGGCCTGAGGACTCTCCTGGAAGCGATTCGGATGGTGAACCTTGGAACCCTCTTCAGGAAAACCCCCAAGAAGGAGACAGAAGACGCTCTGGTCGCTCAGGTCAAACATGTGGAGACGTTACGATCCGAGGAAGACTTTAGCGAATCTCCAAATCTTGACACGGTTGCAGTGTCTCTCTTTTTGTTCTGTATGTACAACGTGCTGTGGCGTCATAACCGAGCATTTCTTTACCTAGGAGAGGCTTGCGACCTGTTCGGCTTGGTCTCTCAGAATCTTGAAGAAGATGGAGCCTCGGACATTCGTCTGCTTCGCCGTCTAGCGAGACTTGACCTAGTCCTGTTCAACACCGAAGTGGCCACATACTCACTCTACTCCAAAGCCTCACATAGACGCCGAAAGCGGGCATGTGAAAGTGGTGCTGCTCTGATTCGGGGCGACCGTGGCGAGGATACGCTTGAACGGGTGGCAGACGATCTCCTTCTTCACCTTACAGAAATCCACGAGATTTCTAATTCAGATCTTGATGTCACTCGCAACAACCAAGATGATCACGATGGTTACGAACCGATCGACCTTTCCTGCTTTGCCGAAGAGCAAAGCTCCCCCTCGATTCGAATGCAGACCGCGGACGTCATTATTTCTGACCACTGGCGCGCATTGGAAAGCCTTGTCACTGAAACGGATAACGTCTCAACAAGCGCCGTTATTCCGTTGATTTCTCTGCGGGAGGCTTCTCGAAGATTGACAGAAATGGTCTGTCACAGAGCTTCAGCAACTCTGGCTTGTATCTGCGCTCTAGATGAGGGCAGTCTCCGAGTCATCGGCCTCGGGAAGCTTACCAGCATAGTTAAGAGTATTAAACATCTGACTATGGAGCGTAGGAGGCGGGCTGAGCCCACCCAATGCAAGAACTTAATGAGTGGACTGGTATTGACCATAGCCAAAGCCGACTACGAGCGGAACTTTGTGGCGGAACTTTCCGGTTGTATTGACCTCATCAAAAGTACCGGCTTGTACTCGGGCCCTCGGTTCGTATCTCGAAAGGGCAGAGGCCTGGCGAAGCACGACGAAAATTCAGATACCGGTCACAGATATCCCATGTCCCTTGGGAGCGATGTGGTCGAAGGATAGTTGACCTAGCAGATGGGTGTGAAAGGGTGTGTCTGTTATCCATGGAAATAAATCGTCCATCCTATCTGTCTGTATAACTCACAGTTGCTCATAATTCGGCTTGCAATTTTGGTTTACGCTATTGTCGGCCTCTCTATACCATAAAAATTCGCCAACGATCTAGAATCCTGTCACAGGCTCTGAAGTGTGGCGCAAAATACGACGGGAGTTCTTTTGACTTGAACCGAAACTCAGATTGATCGCATCGCAGTTCCCAGAGCCAATGCAACGATGTTGATGGTCCCTTCAGTCAGTACAGGAGCGTCGGGTGGCCGTTCAAGGACGTGTCATAATTTATAACCCCTATAACCTAATTCGGTTGATGCACGTTCGCGAAGAGCATTTCGAAGAATTTTCCCAGACTGACAAAATGTCAACCATGAATCGCAATTTCTGTGGCAGAGGGAGATACCGGGGTTTTGGGAATGGTGTCGGTAAAAACCACACCTCCTGTAATCCATTTAATCTTGGAGACTTTTCCGTTGACGAACTTCAGGATATCTTGCTGAGTGAGAGAAACTCCCTTCTTTGGAACAACGTATGCTCGCGGCCGTTCATCGTCATCACTATATCATGAGCTGAGGAAGTCAATAACAGTGGCCGACTCACATTTTGGCACCAATTACAGCCGCGTCGGCCACGTGGGGATGCTCTAGGATCAGGGCTTCCAGTTCTGCTGGCGCGACCTGATTTCCCTTGACTTTTATCAGTTCCTGTCTCCGTTAGCCTGGCCTGGTGCGATGGACGCCGCCAAAATTGTACCTTTATCCGGTCGACAATATAATACTTGCCCTGATCAGTGTAGGCGATGTCACCAGTCTTCAGCCAACCATCCGGAGTCAAGACTTCCTCAGTCGATTTCGGGTTCCTCCAGTATCCGTTCATGATGTTGGGTGCTCGAATCCATAGTTCTCCTTTCCGCCCTTCCTCGACACCATCCATGAGCTTGGCCTCGCAATTTGGCATCAACTGGCCGTTACCAATGGTCAGAGAAGCTGCTCTTCGCCATTGTTAGCATGACTCTTGTTGGATGCGGGCGGTAAAACCGACTCTGTCATGCCCCAAGCTTGTTCAACCTTGACCGGCCACAACTTCTCGAGTTGCTCGCAGACCTCCCTTGACAACGGCGCTGCTGCGCTGATAATCCGCCGGACAGGGAGATCCTTGACCGGGTATTTCACCAAAGAAATGGCGATTGGAGGGACCAGCAGGAGCTCTGTGATACGGAACTTTCGGGTATTTTCCACCATTTTGGGAAGATTGTATCTTTTCATGATATATACCGGGATCTTCAGATAAGGTGCAAGGGTGGTAAAATGCAGAAGAGCCAAGCCATGATACAGGGGAAGAAAACATAACCATCGCTGAGGTGTCTGGACGTTGTGTTCCAACTGGCAACAATTTGCCACGAGATTGTAATGTGACAGCTCTACGCCTTTGGGAAATCCAGTGGTCCCGGACGAGTATAAAAGTAAGATTGTCCGGCGTGGATTCTCTTCTTCAGAAGAGGGAAATAAATTGTTGTCTTCCGCACCGAGAAACTTCTTCCAATCATCGAGCGAAACAACCTCACACTTCAGACCAGCCAATCCCACCGCCTCCAGCGCCACGCTGGGGTCCGCAGCAAGTACAAATTGAGGTTGGCAATCCCGTAGCTGCTGAGCAAGCTCTCGAGCGGTGAATGACGGGTTGGATGTGGAGAAGATTCCGCCGGCCATCACGACTCCCATGAAGATGACGGGAAAGTACATATCGTTACCGGAGAAGAGAAGAACTCGACCACTTGGTTGGAGACCATTGGCACGAAGCCCCGCGGCGAATTTTAGAGAATATTCACGGAAATCGTGAAAAGAGAGCGTTTCCTGGCTGTCACAGTCGATGTACGCTGGGTCGTGGGAGACATCGCCATGATCTGAGCCGAAGATGAATGATGGAAGGGAGGTGTAGGGGATCGGGACGGTGCAATGAGATTTTTCTGGCATAGAGGGCGAATTTTCGTGGGCTGGGAAGGGTATTCGACACCAAAGGGACCTTTTGGGAACTAGGATTGATGTTGTCTATCCGGGAGCGTTTGCGATATCATCGTTCTAGTCGTATGGTCGAGGTCCGATAACTTATGGAAGACGATCCACGTAGCCCCCTCGGCAGTTAGGAGAACGCTCCATGGTACTGGTGTGAAGGAGGTACGTTTTGGGTAATGGCGGCCCGATGCGCTTGGCGGTTTCCATGAAAAAGATCTCGAGGCCATCCATAGCAAGGCGGCGAGTGCCGTAACGACATCAACATGGCGTCCAGCGACAACACTGAGAAATGCACGTCGATCATCCAATTCCCCGACCCAGAATTTTTCAAGGTATGTCGAAACCGCAGCAGTCATGCAAATCGCTGACCTCCATAGGAGCTCGAGGCCCTCCACATCGACCATGCTGGTATGCCACCGGGAATAGACTTGCGAATGCGGGAATGGATCCGCGGGTTATTTGCATCGCTCCCAAAGCAGCCTTACCTTCGCCCGCGAATACCGGTTGAAATCGAGGACAAACAGGTTGGTAGATTCTCGGTGCGTCTGTACCGGCCGCCTCAGCCGCAAGCTGCAATTCTCATGTTCCATGGTGGAGGCTGGGTAAGTATTGCAATCCCTGACTTATAATCTTCATATGTCTGACCATGCAGATCCATGGAGACGTGACGAATGACGAGGAATTTGCCATCTTCTTTGCCAGCGAACTGGAAGCGTTGGTTATGGGCGTCAACTACAGCCTCGCACCCGAACACCCCTTCCCCAGTGCTCTCGATGACTGCTACGAGGCCCTGAGTCAGATAGGCACATTTAACAGAGTGGCTTTGTGGGGTACCTCGGCAGGCGGGAATCTGGCAGCGGCTCTTGCGCTACGTGTTAGTCAGGAGGAACACCCCTCACCTGTCAGGCAGTTGAACCTTGTGGTGCCCGTTACTAAGCCTCACCCTATCCTCGAGGAAGTTATCGGTGAGTGAATGGAGTGTGGAATCTTTATTGGCGCTTTTCTGACCGCCATAGGATTGTATACTAAGGATGCCTCGAATGTGACTTTGCCACCGCCCCCCGAACACCATTGTCCAACGCACATTACCGTCGCTGGCATGGATCCACTTTGTAATCAAGGGATCGAGTATGCTGTACGTTTGCAGGAAGTCGGCGTGGATGCACAGTTGGAAATCGTGCCCGGCGTTCCTCACGATTTTACCATGGTGAGGAATGCGAGGGCTACGAAGCAATGGGTGAGAAATCAAGTCAGGGTATTGAGAGACGCTTTATATCCTCGGATTGGTTAGGACACGATATGAAAGAGTGATGTTTACTTTGAGAAACAGAAGACAGACCGAGCCATCGTCGCCGTATTTTCCACCTCTCGAAGACTGTCTGGGTGAGGTAGGTCCCGCCTTTGTGGATAAATTGGCTCAACTTCTGTGTACTGTCAAGAGGAGAGATGTAGCTCGACGAAAAGGCAAAGAGCTAAGTGGAGGCCACGATGTTAGATTCAACTTCAGTTACGAAGGCCATCATTCCAGGATATTTGCCGAGATCTGTCAATACGCGTAAGCCGCCAGTATGTTCATTCCCAGAGTTTCGATACGCACTGATCTGCGTGACTTGGTCAGGTAAAGCATTGCCGGATGAAGCCAGCACAAACAAGAGAATACAATTCAACATATTCCCTCGATATCTCCACCTCCTGATGACCTAGAGTAACATGCTTCAATGGGATCGACAAACTCTTTTCTCTCTTTTTACCGTCCGCATCTTTGGCAGATGGCGAAATGGTTTTGCTCTTTCAGTGGTAATGTAAGCAACGTTGGCGGAGATCCGTCATTCACTCCAATGCTGCTCCATATTTACTGTCAATGACATTCGGAATGGTGCATTAGAATTTATTGGGCACGCACAATCGTTGATTCGATCAATGGCAGGCAAAGTTGCCTTTGGAAACGGCTCGGCCTACGTCCTAGGCATCATCTCAAATTCGAGAACGACCAACATATATAGCGAGGCAAGCTATACGGGCTCTATAGAAGGCATTATCTTCTACAACATGGAGATTTCGGCATGGTAGAATCAAAGTATGGCGAGTTTTGCTCCGATAGGTGGTACGAGGGCGAACATGAATGGCAACCCAAAGCTCAGTGCTGGCGCTGTGCGAATTAAGCACGAGATGATAGGCCCGATGCCGAGTATGAACTGCCTGCAGGAACTGACAGGAGAGGTCTATCAATCGACTCTATCCTCTGCAAGTGATCCAAATGTCGGCATCAGCATCGGCATCGAATGGCACTCAAGGCGGCTATGACGACTTCGTCGACGAACAAAGAGGGGCAGGATGGAAGTTTGAAGGTCCATAAGACTCTTGAATTGAGCGGAAGAGGTGCAATAAATCCTTCAGAGTCAGATTGTGCTTCCTCACTGGACACAGTTGTCGACAACGAAGACGAACGGCGAGGTTTGCCAAAATGTGTTGCAATCTGTTGGAAATCACCATCTTGAGCCAGCCCTGGTGCCCATTTCTTTAGTAGGTCCATTCCGACAGCTGCCCATTCATTCCATTTGGTAGCCTTCCGGGTGAGTGCGCACCCCAATCTTACGAACGTCGCGAGCGGACTCGCGCGAGCATACAGTGGCCTCATCTCGATATTCCAGCCCTTGGTGGTTGGCATGCTGAACTGCACAGACGAGGTAGGAAATGAAAATCGCCGGGGAAACCCTTTGACAACCACGGCGGACATCACACAAAACTGTGGTCAACGCCTCTTGATTTCGAATGCCTCCTCTGACATGCCGCTGCGTTTTGCAGATTTCGCCTCGCCAATTTCGATGGTCGGCACCACACCACATTTTTTGTCGACAAGGAACCCAAGTCAAGGAACCGCACAATGAAGAGTGGTGGCAAGTGGAGGGCCCGTGTTCAGGACTTCCAATATAATACGCTGATGTCACTGTCGAGAAACCGCAGGGCTCTGGAGGTGAAATCGCTACCCAAATTCCCGGAATCCCGGGTGGATGGTGTAAGGATAGTACGCGGCAAGGATGAGAATGCGTATAACGAGCACAGGTATCATGTATCTCACCAGGAGTGACAGGACATTGTGACCTAAACAAATCAATCGGCTTTAGTGCAAGAGGAGTATTGGCCCGTCGCCAGCAGTTGTATCTAGAACAGCGGTTGGAGTAGACCATAGATCTACTTCTGGATCGGCAATTATTCGTCCGTACATATACTCTCGCAGATTGACGCAGGTTACATACTTCCATGTGATTTCATACTAGGTCCTGATTGAAACTCGTTGTCAAACCTTGGATGTTTGTTGTCAGTAGATTTCGGTCCCTGCTCCTAGCTCTTCTAAAATCCAATCTCGAAAAGGCTCCATCTCGCTTCGAAAATAACCGTTCTGCTCATTGAAAATTTCATTTATCGATTCAATATTAGTGGTCTGGTTTCCCAAGGGCTCTACCGTGTCTGGTCTGCTGAGGGTGGTAGGTAAAACTCCGTCGGGACGGGATTCTGTTATTGCATGAGAATTTCTCGGTGCTAAATGGTTCGAGCGCGTTTGCGGTGACAGCAGGTCCCAATCATTATGCAGTGATCCTGTTTGATTTGACAAACCCACCTCTTGACCAACCAGATTCCACATCCTACAAATCTCTGGCCCAAAATCGTCAAAGAAGGCCACAAAGCCTTGTGGGATACTGCCTGGAGTGTAACCCAAACTGGAACTTTGCAAAGTCAGATTTTTGACCTCCGCTAATGCTTTTGAAATGCTCTCAGCGGAGCCCCATCTTTGCTTAAGTTCTGTCAGCGAGTTGAGGATAATGTCAAGAGATTCCTCAGTCTCCAATTTCAAAGAACGGTACCGATATCCAGACAGGTGTGCTAGTCCTGCGGCAAGAGCATAAAAGGTAAAAGCTGGACCGAGGTAGCGAATCTCATCTCGGTTGAGGAAATCCTCATAAATCCCGGCCACGAAAGATGATGCAACTAAGGGAACACTTGGCGCGGAGTCTTTGGTGGGGGAATGCTTGGACATTATGATGAGAAGGACGAAATAGGGCACAAGCAGCTGTCGAGCTTCGAAGTTGTAGGGGCCGAGTTTCCTCGGAGATTTTAAAAACAGACGAAAGCCGTCGGGCAGCTCTTTGATCCATCGATAAACAGCGTTCTCAAAGTCCTTTAGCCGTGTGGAGGACAACGTCTTCCGACGAATGCATTCAGTGACGTCTCCCAGTAACCGTGTAATGCTGCAAAACGCCACGAACAAATGAGCATGGGCGTCATGAAGTGGAAAGTCTTGGACAGTTAGCGGAGCGACATCACTGTCTTTCAGGTTGAGGGCCCGTGGTCTTCCAACACCCACAGAAATGATGTTATCTCGACACTGATGGTGGTAGGTCAGCAAGTCTAGAAAAATTGCCTGATTCGGTGTTTCTCCCTCACCACGAGCGTCCACCAAAGCCTTCTCCGAAGCATTTTCTGCGGTCCTTCTTGGGGTTCCTTATGTAGTCCTATCTGGTGCGCCAGGGATGTCGCTGCTCGGACCCAGAATCCGCTCGTGCTTGTCGAAATTTGCTCTGGACCGGTTGGGTTCCACCAATTTAAAAGACACAGAGCAACGATGGACGTCAATACGTCCTTTTCATGTCCTAAAATAAATAACAATCTGGCCCTACGATAGAACTCCTCGGATGGAATGGCCCGCAGCCGAGTTGAGGACACGCGGCTCCCTGCAAGGAAAACTGCATTTAGCAATAACAACGACAGGTTGTCTACTCTGCCTTCGTCGAGCCACGAGCGATCGACGATCGGCGTCCATTGCGAGCAGAATGTGAAGAAGCCGTCAATCAGACTGGCGCGTACCGATCTTTGAGGCAAGTCGAATGCTTTTTGAAGCTCGAGAATTTGATAGTCCACTTCAGACAACCCAGAGAGCATAGTCAAACTCCTCCTGGATGTCAGCTGCTCACGAAAGGAAAATGGGCCATCACCAAGGTAGTCACCTCTCTCAAGATGGCTCTCGGTTGTTGCCACGTATTCGTTCGGCAACTCATCTTGACCGTCTTGACCACAGCTGGTAGAAGCGACGTCAACAATGCTTCTATTCAGACCCGATTGGTATTCGGTTCCCTCCTTATCAGTAATGCCAGGGGTGAATCGACCGATGGGTGTTCCTCCGCCTCCCATTTGAAGGCTAGGAGAAGCCACAACTCTGGGCGAGAAGGGGTTTGGGTTGGACACAGTCTCATTTATGTCATGATATTTCGGTCGTTTCCTTTGGTGTGGTACACAGCGGAGGCTCGCTGACTTACAATTGCTACATGGTGTATTGATACTGAAATCGCATCTGATCTGTATCCCGTGTTAGGTCAACACCGAAGTATGAGCTGTGCGGACAATGGAAACGCCGAACCTTCCTCCGATGGCAAAGATCACAAGCTCTTCGTTTTGTTACAGGAATTGGCATACTTCAAGGTCCTGGTATTAAGAAGCATCCATTGGCATCTGCTGATCTGGGGCCCGCTCTTGAGTTCTGCAGTGTGCAGGACTTCATTTATTCAGTACTTGGAGAAACTGATACAGAAGCACGTTTACGTGGCTCATTCGTTTCGGAAGTGGCCTTATTCAAATTTCTCTCAACTTTTCAACATGGGGGAGGTTCGCAGAGTCAACTCACCCTGCCCCCTCTTACCCCGCCCCCGGCGGGAGTCTAATTGAATGAATGGGGCACCGGAGAAACTCGGCGATGTTTACATAATTCCAATATTGATAATATCAGTCCTCCAGCTCATGGTGCGATCGTCATAGTAGCTCTTGATCTGTTCAGAACAGAGGTATCATCTCTTGAACATCACTGTCCACTGAAAGAGGGCAGCTTAAGACTCACATAATTGGAAAATTCATTACTTCCATTACGAGTCTACCGGGCTGACCCCTGCTACGAATCAAAGGACTGGTCCACAAAGGGCAGCTCAATGTTTCCCTAAATGATCCTTGGGACAGTTCTCGACTTGCCATTGTCGAAATGCGCCGAAAATTCCGTGATGCAAGTTCCCATTTCAGGCTGGAAACGCTCAAGATGAGAGACTATATTAACCACCTACTTGAGTTTCCATCCGTTACTTCTTCCGCACGGAACCTTATGCCGAAAAGATGGGACCTTTTGCACAATCTCGACGTGATCTAGAAAGAGAATGAATGTACATTGGTGGTTGGAGCTTTCGCAACGACTTTACACCACAAAAGAATATACACGGCTGCCATCTAGTTGCTAACTCTTGCCGAGGCATTATCTACGTCCTTGCGTACCTGGACCGCTCGAACCTTGCTAATGTGAAAATACTCCAAGAGGGTAGACCAGATTCTCTTGAAGAAAGTTTGGACCTTAAAGGGACTGACTTCAACTGGGTAGGTCAAATGATGTAAATTTGACGGGCCGGCTAATCTTGTTGTAGGCCGTTTCAATCGCCTATTTCACAATTGACTTTCATGCTCATCCCGTCATCTCTGTTTATGAAAAGAGTATCTGCCAAAATATATTTCCCACTATGCATGCTTCTGTGTGAGTAATCCAGGGATTGTGCGTCAATATAGGGAATAATTCGTGTAAAAGGGGGGACCATTGTCATGTCTACGGCAGCCTGCAAAAATGCTTCGGGGGTATTTGCGGCGAGGTTCTTTCTGGGCATTCCAGAATCTGGTGTCTGGCCGTGTGGAATCATGTACTTTTCTTTCTGGGTTCGTGGTTTCTCTTGACCCACTGTCTCGACAGGTTTTCATAACCAATCCTGCTGCAGTACGAGCCACATGAGAGAGCTCATCGAATTGGTGTGTTTTACAGTTCCAATTCTATGGCCTAAGCTGTCTCGGGATTTCTGGCTGTTGGAGTCGACCACATGAGCTACGACAAAATTGCATTGTTGTTTTGCCCACTACTATTCCTATCCAGCTGAATGGCCATCTAGGTCTCAAATCATGGCAATGGGTTTTCATCACCGAGGGTGCAATACCGATTGTTCTCTGCATTCCAATATACTGTCTTCTCTTCACCTTCCCCGAAGATTCGAAGGGCTTGACTGAGCGAGGTAAGGTGCCTTGGTACTTCTGGGCTTCTCCAGGCTTTCTAACTACAAAGAGAACGACACATTGCCATTAACAGATTCGGACGAGGAAGCACCCGGAAGACAGTTGTTACGTGGGACACGAAGGCCTTCATCCGGTAGGACTCTACGTCCCTCACATATTTGTCATTGGAGAAGGAATGGTAACTAACATCAAGCTACTTAGTATTATGGTACGCCCCTCGACGTATGCGTTCTTCCTCAGTTATATTTGTATTGGAATTGCCGACGTAGCGCAGGCTACGTTCCTTCCCGCTATTCTATTCTCCGTCAGTGGTACTCAATGAAGTTGATGACACTATGATGACTGGTCTTAGTTGATGAAATTCTCGGTTCTGGAGGCCAACCTCTACAGCGCCATCGTAAATTTAGTGGCAGTCCCATTGTATTGGACTTTCCCATTGCACTCCGATTGGACAAGGGAGCGGATGTGGCACTTCATCATTCCCGTCATGGCATCAATTCCTTGTTACACGGTGTGGACCTATGCCGGATCACATCCTAAGACAAGGTCATTAAGCAACTTGTCGCTATATGGAATGGCATTCCCCAGACAATTGCTTCTTCTGGCACAGCCAGTGATGTTGTCATATCGCAGCTCGACTTTATACGGAGCCACAGAACAGGCAGTAGGGACGTCCACCACCGTAGCGGCTTTGTCCATTACCAGTATTATTGCTCCTCAGGTAATTACAACCAGCTTCACCGTTATTCTTGTTGGGTTGACTGATTGAATAGATGTACCCGAATCGAGACGCGCCTGATTATGTTGCCGGCTTCTCAGCCACGGTCGGACTGCTAGTCATCAGCATACTAGCATACAGCACTATCCATTTCCTGTTAAAAACGCGAAGCCCAACGCCGCAAAGAAAGGACAGGCCACGCATTGCCTCTGCGCAGTCTAGAAGATTCCAAACACAGCGTCTCATCTGCATCAAACACGGAAAGACTTCGTGAGCTCAATCGCCAGGAAGCAGCAAGGAGCCAAGAGTTAAAAGGCAGTGGTCACACATCAAACAGCGTTGTAGAGGTTGAAAATGTTTGCAGCAAAACAGTTTAAGCCGTCTATCCGGCAACACTGGAGGCAGATTTCGGGGGTTGACGGAAAAGTTTACCCGTATGAGAGGCTCGTCGCGACACATCTTGTATATCATTTTCATGTATGTTTGGGTGTTTAGCTCTCTGTGAGCTCATATTTATGCTTTGTCAATTCAACGAGACCGGGACATGACCGTCAAAACCACAACATACTATAAGGTGAAGCGACACACTGAGCGCGAAAGGCTTGTCAACAATGAGATCTCACGAGAGGATTGATAAGAAACCACTGTCATTCAAGAACGCAGCTGACTTCATCCTCTTTCTAGCCAGGAATCAAAAACATTTGATAACCCGTCGTGCATGCTCCTTTCTTCTCACTGGGTGAGATCACAATTTTGGGCCGCCAGCCACGATCCGGTATCCAACAGAAGCATTTTCTGGTAAGTCCATGCCCCAGACCAATCGACAATCCCAATTTCTTTTTTCCTTATCGCTGATGAGTGCTCGTGGCTCGGAAGCCCGGACGACATTGCGGAGGTGAAACTCGCCTATGCCCCCTTCACCCTCCAGAACCCATCTCTTTGCAATCTCCATGGCAATGTGGTTGTTATCTCTTTCTGCATCAAGGACGAGAAGAACCCCCGCCACAATCCAGGCCAGTGAGAACATGAGTTGGCGACCGACCCCAAGTGCCGATGATAAGTCGTGACGTTTGCTCATCATGATGCGGCGGAATTCGGTCCAAGCACGATCCAATGTCTCTTTGAGACGTCTTTCCTGCACTGTTGCAATTGCCCTTTTAAGCCAGTCGCCGAAAATTTCTAAGTGATTCATATCGTTATTCATGAGATGTCGCACTACCTCGCTGCTTAAGACATTTGTTGTACCTTCCCAGGTCATGTTGGCGGCTGTGTCTCGCATCAGTCGACTAATATTCGTCTCAGGCTCGTCTGCTTCGTCCATATAGCCGACTCCTCCCATGGCTTCCTGGCATTCTTGTAGTGATAGAGTTGCTGTTTTACATATCACAGCTTTTGCGGTTGCCGTCAGCGTGCGCAAAACAACCTCGGTCTGCTTGCCTGGAGCTGGAAGTGGAACATAACGGTTTCTTCGGACATTATCAGGAGGGAATCCATAATCAGCAAAGCTGAGCACTGCAGTGGTGAAGAATGCCAATTGAAGAGCTCCTCGATGTTTGACTTCCATATTTGCCAGCAGATGAAGATGCATAGGAAACATCCATAGAGGCTGGTTGATTGTAGTCCTCGCCTTAGCAAACGATTTGGCGATGGCCATTCCACGTCGCCAGCATGACAATGCAGTGATGAAGTTGTGAGTCCTGGTAACATTCAAAAGCAGTGCAATAGTAGCAATTCCACGGTCAAGGGGACCGATTAGCCAGGCTCTCACATTGTGAAGCTCAATTTCAGCCGTAGGAAGCTCCTTGGTTCCCATTTTATTTTTTAGTCGATGGATTCGGATCCCATTTGTGACCTGCTGTTGCCTGCCATCGATGATCAAAGTCTTCCGAACTGGTGCAACAAACAGGCTTAGTTGCCCTGAGTCAGTTTTCGCCAATATAAGAGCCATATTGCAGTCCGTGGCAGACGAGAAAAACTTGAAGCCAGAGACAAGGTAGTCACCTTCCTCAATCGTTCCATGAGGGCCAGTCTTTTGAGGCAAAGGAGCGTAGATGGCTACTGTTTCGGAGTTCTGGAGGTCGCTACCACCTGGTCTCTCGGTCATCCACTGGCTTGATATCCAATTGTTCTGGCGACTTATGAGGAGTCGATAAACTTCGTGAAAGGGGTGGTTTGGGGGCACAGAGGGTAGCTGTTTGGCCACAAGCCGTGCGGCACCACTTGTCATCGAGACAGGACACGAGAACACAGCCGAGGATGCTGAATATGTATAATTACTATCGATTGTGTGAGTAGACTTTTACCATACAACCGTCCTAACTTACAAAGCGTGCTGCACAATCCTTCGGTATTCTTGGAACTCGTCCTCATACCCCAGTGATATGACCCTGTTGTCAAGTAATTCTGTGAGCCTCTCTAAGGATTCCATAGGGAGCAATGCCAAAATAATTCAAGGATGTACCCATTCTTAGCACCCCATCTACCTAATTCCTTCCATCCATGGCTTGTGATCAAACGATCGTACGGGAACCGTTTGCCCCAGACATCGCTCGTCTTTACGTACGGTTGCTGTTTTTCGGCGTTGGAGATCCATTCATTGATTTCATCGGATACCGCTTCCTCCGCAAATCGAGTCAGACGAGGTTTGACAATTTCAAAAACACCAGGCGGGAGATACGCCTTGACGATACGCTGGTACGAATTGTCGGAGGTAAAGGGATTCTCCAGTCGTGGTAGTGACAGCACAAACCCCTTGTCGACCATCGAACTGCGCAAGGTGCAGTTGGAGTCCATGGAGTACGATGTTAAAGTCAACTACTTTTCGATGGGTAGGATCATGTAGTCTTCGCCTGCTATGCGAAGTATTTAGAAATTATATCAGAAGGTGGACTTGAGGAGCGCCATCAAATTTTGTTCAAACGCCGACGCCGTTCATCGCCGCTGTTGGCCGACGACGCCGGTGCCATACATTTTGGTGGGGCCGAATTGCTCCTCGCGTCTTTCCGGATAGAGGTCCCAAGAATATCTAAATCAACGAAAGTTGGTACAAATTTGGAGACCTGTTGGGTTTTGAAGCCTAACTAGGAAGCGGAAAATTGTATATCACGCGTCTTTTGGGTCAAATTGCGGCCAGTTCCCACTCTCTCCCTCTCTGCACAATGACGGCAATCTCTACGAACTCTTCAGCATGCTCTGAACTACGTGGCAAAACTCATACTTTTCTACCGAAGCCTGCTTGGCAACCGCAAGAGAGTGAAGGAAAGATACCGATGAATGTGTACAGAGAACATATCAATAAGAAATTCAATCTCCGTCTCAGCAATTCTCACGAATTACACACATGGAGCGTCACCGATCCGCAAGCATTTTGGATTGATCTCTGGACGTATGTTGGCCTGATACCTGCTCTCCCCCCCGGCCTTGACCGAGCGTATAATCCCCAAGTGCCAATCTCGGAGATCCCACCCTTCTTTGAAAATGTCACCCTTAACTATGCGGAGAACGTCCTCACGCAACCTTTAGTCGATGGTCAAAGCACGGCTTTGATTGGTTTGAGAGAAGGTCAAAATTTAGATGGTGAGAAGTGGACATGGTCCACACTTTGCGAAAATGTCCGCAAAGTTAGAAGCGCTCTGCTGAGAAGTGGAATCCAACAAGGCGATCGGGTTGCTGCGCTCGTGTCCACTTCAGTTTGGTCCGTTGCGCTCTTCTTGGGAGCAGCCAGCATTGGTGCTATTTTCACATCTATAGCAGCAGATCTTGGACTTGATGTATATCCTTGTCCCTCCTGATGGGTGTCGAACTAACTGCTTCAAGGGATGTATCTCAAGGCTCCAGCAAGTACGCCCGTCAATTTTATTCGTCGACAGCCATTGTGTTTACAAAGGCCGTCAAAGCTCTAACCAGGACAAAATTTCACACCTTCTTGTCGTCCTCAAGCCTGCTCCAGAAATATTTTTGATTCCTACTGGTTCATCCGAAGTCTCGCAGCCCTCCCTAGAGCAATTTCTGAAAAGATCGCGATGCTCTGACGCTCTGGAATATGTACGACTTCCTTTCACCACGCCTCTATACATACTGTACTCCAGTGGAACGTCCGGACCCCCTAAATGCCTTGTCCACAGCCATGGAGTAATTATTCAGCACAAGAAGATTGGAATGCTTCATAATTCCCTGAAGCCAGGAGAAATCGTTTTCCAGTACTCGAGTACCTCATGGGTTCTCTGGAACATAATGATCGGTCATCTTTCTATGGGGACGACTCTCATATTGTATGATGGGTCGCCTACTTGGCCACAGCCTCAAAGAATGCTGGAGATCGTGGAACGCCATAAGGTGGCGTATTGGGGTACCTCACCGAAGTATCTAAAAGAGCTTGAATCTACTGGTTGTAAACCGAAAACGGAGTTTAATCTCTCCCGGTTGCGGATGGTCCAGACTGGAGGCTCTCATCTAGCCGCAGACCAATACCATTGGTTCTACCAAGTGTTCCCTCCCTGTGTACATTTGACAAGCGTAACTGGAGGCACTGACCTTGTCACATCGTGGTGTGGAACTGATCCAGCAGGGCCGCTTTATCCCGGTGAAATCCAGATGCCTATCCTGGGACACGACGTGGACATTGTTGATCCCGCGAGTGGCGCCTCACTAAAATCGACTGGTACAGCTGGAGAATTTGTCTGTCGAAAACCATTTCCATCGATGCCTGTCTTTATGTGGGGTGATTCAAACAAAGAAAAATATCGAAGCTCTTATTTCGATTTACCCTTTCCCGTCTGGGCACAGCATGACTTTGCAAGTGTGAATCCGGTAACAAGAGGCTGGGTAGTGCATGGGAGAAGGTAGGGATGCTTTTTTTTTTTTTTTTTCTGGCGGGAAAAAAATTGCAAACCACGTTGCTAACATCCTTAATAGCGATGGAGTTCTCAATCCTCAAGGCATAAGATATGGGTCTGCAGAGATTTACTCAATCACCGAAGCCGCACCATTTAGCAGCTTTATTTCGTCCACGCTATGTGTAGGGCGGAAAAGAAAAGACATCGACTCCGATGAGTCCGTCTTCCTGTTTGTTGTCATGCGAGATGGTAACCGTTTCACAACTGCACTGAGCCAGCAACTCAAAGATACTATTCGCCAACGCTTGAGTGCGAGACATGTTCCTCGATTTGTAGTCGAGGTAACACAGATCCCAATGACTTCTAATGGAAAGAAGGTGGAAACTCTTGTGCGAGACGTTATTTCGACCGGACAGATGCCGAAGAAAATCAGCTCCACCATCGTCAATCCAGAGTGTTTGGAGAAGTTTCAACACTATTATGGCTTGGAACCGGAAAGTCAAGCCAGGTTGTAAATAGAGTTCAATATCGACCACTAAAGGATCGAACGATCACAGCCTGTCCTCGAGAACCCAGGGAATTCTGCCAGATTGACTGAGAGAAGTAGGGGACTCACTTTCACCCAAACGGTAGACTCCAGAAGTCACTAACCTTGCCTCTGCATCACCGACCGTGGACCAAGATCGATTGGAGCCGTAGATATGTCGTTGGACCGCTGGAAAAAGACGGAGTTGTTAGAAAGAATTTCAAAAAAGACAGAATTGTGGGCAGCGTGGTGAACAAGCCAATTGAGGGGGGAAAGAATGAGTAGATTAAATACTTCAAAGGGCGAGACGGGTATAATGCAATTGTATGATTTTATCTCCAGAGATGGTCTCTCCGTCCGAATGAAGCTTCCCAAGAGATCGGACTGTTTCTCTACTCTGGCAGGCTCTCAAAAATCCACGTTGTGTGGAAAAACTATGCACGGTGTCTTGAATCGCTCCACTGGTACGTGTCACGAGTCACTGGATTTCCTGACAAGTGGAAGTAAGATCAAAGTAGGTAAAGGGAACACGGTACAAAGCGTGTCGATAAACTGGAGCGATACTATTGCTAGGCTGGAAGGCCGGCGATAAAGACGAAGTAGATTACGTCCTGTTCTCGTAGGCTGTCGCTGGTATGTATAATGAGACGGACTCTACTGGCCCTGCCAACTCCCTTTGACCCAGCTGAACCGCCAGGTCCTTTCCCAGCCTTACTTCCGACGAGGCTGCCAATCGCTATGCCTCCCGATGCGACCTTCAGCAGGTCGCCGTAAACGGTCAGGTCGTAATACACGGCTTTTTCCATGTTGTTTGAACTTTTGTACTATGCCTGAGGTTGCCCTTAAAGAGGGCTACCTGAAGGCCCGACGAGATGAATAAAGCGCGGCCCCATCCCGTTCAACCAGCAGCATTTAATATACAAAATCATTGTCCATGCCTTCGACTCGACAGCTGAGGCTCGGAGCGCTCAGTGCGGACCGTGAGACCGAGTTTCCAATCATGCCCAGAATCAACTCCACTTCACCGAGCTCCGTCCGAGATCTTGTTGTACAGTGCCTCCTCACCCATCTCGCAGGATGTTTTTAAAGTATATGACATACCTCCGGTCACCGCATCTAGCCTTTGATGAGACGGCCGACAAGAAACAAAAAAAATGGCTGCCAAAAAACTTTCGGTATCCCATCGTCGATGTTTGGGCCAACCATCCCAGGGTAAGAAGTCTTTAAGAACGTCGGGCACAGTTGCGTACTGATATGCTTTCAAGTTAGGTGCCGCCATCCCAGAAGTTGCTCGACTTTTCGCGTACAGCCATTCAGACCCTGAGATTGCTGACCGCAAGCGTACGCCCGACGAGGTCATTGCCCTGACAGATGAGGCGGGCTTCGTGGGTTTGAGAGTTGTTCCTTGGCTGTGGAACCTCCCTCCGACTGACTCTCACTGCTGGCCACTCTACGTTAATTGCATCGAGCTCGACATTCCATTTTTTACACAAGTTGGCCACACGGCGCCCGCTTGTCCTAGTGAGGTTGGCCGACATCGACACTATTGCCCTTCAATTTCCTGATCGGAAGATTATCATGGGCCATATTGGATACCCCTGGGCTGCAGAAACCGTGGCAGTTGCGTGGAAGCATAAGAATGTATACATTGACAGGGTCAACGAATACCTTGTCAAAGACGAGAGTACTCTTGAAGAATTTATGGGGGGAAATGCACTTCGCCTCCTGAGGCTGCCTCCTGTCAGCTTAGTCAAAATAAAACCCAAGATGTAGCTTTTCGTCGCATAAGTCATAAGTGCGAAGACTCTTGTTTTACCACGGTTTTCCTTTCGGCCGATAAAGTTACATCCTGTCATTTCAGGATATCTCGCAGCTAGATGATGATACTAACGACTAAATAAACCCTCCATGTGGGAACTGTGGGCAATTTGAATAGCGTTCGCAGTCAACGTACGTTGTCCACCATATGTACCGGTTGACCGGCGATATGCAGAGTGGCAAATTAATCCACCAACTTCAACCAGACTTCGATTGAGTGGAATTGCCAAGAGAATTAAGAAGGACCGGTTGATTCCGAAATGCACGTCCACCGTTGAAGCCATATCCTTCGTGATTGGCCAATATCGCGGACGCGCAGGGTACGGGAGATCGGTTCTGGTCCACGGACTGAAATACCACGACTCATCGGATCTGATCCATGGGCCACCTCGATATCGAATAGGGTTCCACCACCAGCCCACTTGGTCCACAGACTGGATCCGATGCGTGGATCACGTCGAAATCCAGAATATCGACATCTATCGAGTAGGGTGCCCCCCGGCCACATGGTCCACGGATTGGATCCGATGACAGTGCGGCAAGGGGAGTGCCACGTGATAACGCCAAGCTATAGGCTTACATTATTGGCTAGCACGTCGTTCTTGGCGTCGCCACACAACGCCAGGCCCTAACCAGGCGATTCCAAAATTTTAAAAAAAAAAAATAAAAAATAAAAAATTCAGGTTTATATTTTATTCCGCCAAAAACTGCTTCAAAATTGACACCAAATCGTGGTTGACCTATCAAGGACGTAACCGAGTGGTAAAATACTCGGCTTGCAGTCGAACCGATAGAATTGAGGGGCCTACACTAGTGTTTGATCATAGGTGTAGGTAAGAGGGTTGTCCGGCCTAGCTCCATTGAGTCTAGGTGCCCTAGATGGGTAAACGTAATGCTCCAGCCAGTGATTGTTGATGATGTCGTCTTGTTTACACCGTTGGGAGGTCACTGATTCAAACTCTTCTGCAGTTAAACTTGTGTGGCTGAAGCTTTCACTGGCTGCGGCGCCCCATCAATGAGTTCGTCAGAGATGGACAATAGGAGGGGGCCTTTTATTTTCTTAATAATTTTTTGTTTGCGTATATGTGGACCGCCTCCTTGTAGAGTTTATATTTGTCAAACTTCTTGAATTGAAAGAGTGCTCTGGCTCTCCTAATGAGTGTAAGATAGAGCCCATCTATATATCTACCCAACGAGCGTACGTCACCATTGTTGCCTGTTAAAAGTGATACAGCCTATTGAGCGAGCGTTGCAAAATATCCTAGTCTATCACAAATGATTGGCTAGCATTTGTTCAATACTGCTGTTCAATAGCAATCAATCGGTTGAAATGGTGGATTGACTTGCCACCCTGTAAATATGGGACTGTCGGGGGGACCTTAATCTTGATCGCCAGTCAGCGCTCCAACGAGGATAAAACGCCTCGGGGTGGAATTGTAATGATATGAAGGCACGGGAGCTAGATCTAAATGACAGCGAGCCAGTCCATATAACACCGACTAATCGCGCTTTGAGGAGGCATGATGGCAACATGTTCCTTGCAAGCGATTCGAAGAATACCAGCTTGCTGAATTGGCATGTTTGTCCTAATGTTGTAGGGTACCGTGGAGGGTCAAGGGGTTGAATTTTGGTTAGGTGCTACATAGCGGTAGAGAATGTCTATCCGCAGTGGCAGCATTGGTCATATCAATCCTGCCATGCACTTAGTTGCTTGATGTATCGCCGCGACATCAATCGTAGCTCGGCATGATGTTCGCTTCGCTGTTTTTGCTAGAAATTAGAGCGATCTCGTCTCCATTAAAATTTGTCAAACTTCTCGTGCAACTTGAGGGGAAGGAGTGCTCTGTTCTCTGTCTACTTGTCGAGATGCTGAGGGTTTCTTTATAGACGTGCGAATACCTCGTCGTCGCGCAGAGTAACCGCCAGCAACGTCGTCGTCTATGGTAGCCTCCCACCAGCGTTTCAATAGTGCAGCCTATACATTATAGCCCCTTGTTCAACAAAAATTCACTTGCGTGGCCTGTCCTGCTGCGACCAGGCGGTCACGAAAAGCTGATGAAGAAATCATGTAGATGTATGCATTGTGCGGTGTTGAAAGCTGTACAAGAGTAGGCTTGAGAACACTCGGGAGTAAGGGTGCTAGCATTTGTAATGTAGCTAGATGCGCCTGAGTATTGAATGAGTTTAGCATCGCCGTCACCAGATTGCCGGGGTCATGTGTCGGCGTCTGTACCAGGGCCACAGCGGCGCCGGCGGTTACTTCCAAGTATGCTTGCGGTGGCCCATTCGTCAGGGAGCCCGGTGAGCCTCTGACTTCTGCAGGACTGATCGATGGCTCTGGAGATATTGCGTAGGAGTCACAAACTGCCCTCAGGCTTTCATTTTCCGCAAGAAGCGCTTGATTCTCGAGACATAGACGTTCCACTTTCTCGCCTTTCAAGGCAGATGGTTCTCGCTGCCCAGCCTCAAGTTTGCTCAAATGCTCTTTCCGCCGTTGACCGACCCGTTATCGAAATAATCTACCTCTTTGAATCCAGATTCTTTGATCTTCCTCCGTATCAGGTTCGTGATCGATCATCCATACCAACCGTTGCAACATTCGGAGGAAAGGTTCGGGTGCATCGCCTTGTATACCAAGGTCTGTTTTGACTATGGAGAGTCCAGATCAATATGTGCTCAATCGAATGCATCTAAACGATGCGAGTTAGCTCAGCGCTGGTAATTTCATACCGTAAAACGCACCCTACAGTAAGGTCGTGTGTGCCACTGTCGTCCTGGGCAAATAAGTGTCATTTGGCGTAGCGGTATTCCGGAACAAATCTCTAAAGGCTGCGTTGGATTCATCTCTTATTATTGTAGTTGATTTTCCAGATAATCACGTCTTCAAAGGATTGAGGAGTTGTCGTGGGTTGTTTGGGGTCGGTTTGTCTGCAGGAAAAGCTTCGTCATTCCCCTCTCCGGCGAGTAGTTCTGTTCTCTAAAGCACATGAGTGATTCTCTTCTAACTACAGACAGCCAGACAGCCGCCTCACGTCCTTCTCGCAAAAATTGCTTTTGTCAAAATCACCCTTGTTCGCTTTGCCTTCGAGTCTGCGATAACTCTCGACAATCTGTCATTATGGCGATTGTTAAAATATGAACAATAACCCTCTCCCGTGGACGCCCGTATGGCTCTCTGATTGGCTGACTTCTGTGATTAATTATCACTAGTGAACGGAGGGCTTGAGCGTCTTGACAAGATTGAGAACGCGGTCCTTGGTCGATTTGCGAGGTGTCTCGATATCGCCCGTTGGATTGTTCAACATCCATCGCACCATCATTTTGTAGCCACTAGCCGACCCTTCCTCGAACAGAAAGTGTTTCGTTTTCCGGACGATAAAATGTGGATGCTCGTAATGTGCTTGGATTATACGACCTTGGGATCCAGAGACAGAGTAAATGAAGACCTGTCGAGCATTAATTAGCATCAATTCGGCCATCAAAATAGATACCTACAGGGAAATGGCGTTCATGAGGTTTTTTGGTCCAGCGCAGCTTATCACCGATCAAAAGAGCAGCACAGTACACTTCACTCCGTCGCAAAAACCGCTCGTCCGAAACGGCCCCGTCAAGCAGAATACATCCTCGATGTGGAATGCGCTTGTCGTATGCTTCGAAAATCAACCTGGTATGAAAGTCAGGCTCCTTATCGCGCGAACTGCCGTAGAATCCGAGTCGATCCTCAACTGTCGAATATCTCTTCTTCCTATTTGAAGCCAAGTGTGTAAGTATGGATAATTTTGGTCAGACTCGGAAGACATTACAACACTCACTCTCGAGCGTAGTATGCACCAATAGGTTTTGGCTCAACCCCTAAACCAAATAGCCCCATCTCATCGAAACTGTTCTTAATGGTAGTTGCAATTCCACACCCTGTACAGAACAAGTCCCCCTGATCTAATCCCCCAAAGTCGTCCGATACCTCCTCAAAGAGCTTGTCGACTTCTTGGCTTGGATACGGTGTGCCAAACTGCAGTCCAGGGTCTTCTGGCTTCCCAGTTTCGAGATCCATCTCAAACACTCGGATATTAAGAGCGTCGAGATACTTCGCGCTAAGATAGGATCCTCGTGGACGGCGCGTCTCCTGGTACACTTTGAGGACGTGGTTGAAGGGAGAGTCTTTGTCCATGATCACGGATTTGCGCTTACCGCCGACTTTGGCAAGTGAGGAGTCGATTGGATGCTTCAGCCAGCGTGAACGGTTCTTCATTGTTGCGGATGGGGAGAGATTCATTTGTCTGATCAGACGTAGGTCAATGTTTGTTTGGCGTAAATTGTTTTGGGCAACGCTTTTGCTACTTGGCGTGAAATTTAATTGGTAGAGCGTCGCATTTGGGAGAAGCAATCGCGTGGGCGTGTCACGTGAGTAGAGGCTTGGCTGCCACCTGTTGTTACTCTTTGAATCGCCAAAATCTCAACGAGCATTTTTATTGTCCTGTAATTTCTGCCATATATACTATGTGGCTCTCTTGATCGAATTCTTCAATTGTTACTAAAGTTTCCTATCGGACAAGGGAGTTACCATACACAGGGCTCTACTACCGAAACACTGGTAGAAGGCTTTCATAAACAATGGTATTCCTGATGGTTACTCTGTGCGACGACGAGATATTCACACGTCTATAAAGGAGACGTCAGGAATGCAACAAGTAGATAGAGAACAGATCGTTCAATACATCTTAAGTTGCACCCTATTCGACATTTTCTGCTATTGTCGTCGGGTAAATTGAGTTTTGGAAGAGTTGCGTTTCGCTGGCTGAAGGTTGCGACGGACCTTATCGTAGAGCGGATCACTACGTCAGAGTAGCACTAATTTCTACCACCGTTCTGTGGAGCGATTTAAAGGCCGAAAAGTTGTAATTGAGTGGATTTTTGCATGACGCAAAAAATACTGGATCTCTTACGTAATGTTTGTAGCATCCTCGAGGGGTCTTGGCGCTGATGTAAAAAGGTCCGCCGCATCAGCCACCAGTACCCAGTACATAGTGTAGTGGGGCATGGGTTAGGTAAGGGAAGGAAAGCCGACACGGGTGTGCAGAGAGCGTACACGATACGATTCTGTCAATATTTCCGCCCGCAGACGGTCACGTGCTTGGCACGTGTCTAAGTGTCTTGGTAGTTGAACCCCTTTTTATTCTGCGGGCTTCGAGGCAGCCTGGAAGTCCTCTCTTCGTACAGCAATTTCAGTCTTTTGTATGCATGCAGCGCGGCTCATGGTGTGATATTTTGCTATACCAACTTATCCATGCGTTTTTAGAGTGATCAGAAAACCCAGCTCTCATCTTGTTTGTTTCTGTGTCTTCAGAGTGATCGGAAAACCCGGCTCTCAGTAGACGCGCCCCCCCAAGTCCCGACCAGACCTCAGCACCCGTTTGGAAACCCCAACTAGTATGGGATTCAATCGAAACTCCCCCTACCAACACGTCGATTGACCTTCACGAGAATCAAACGCGCCGCGCTGGAAGCCCTAGGCAGCAGATAGAAATGAAGCCTTGGGACAACGAACCTCCCACCGCTCCTCAAAACACCTTCAAGAGATTGGGACCGGTCCATGCACGTGCCTTCATCGTGACAGATCAAAAAATGAAAGCGCCGGACACCTCTGGCGATATGGGCGCCCCACGATACAGCTTGAGATCAACTCGTGCTAGATCATAGAGCATGGGTCCCCTAAATCGTCCGTTGAGCGATTCACTTCTTAACCCAAGCTACCGTTCGCAACCCAGTACTCAGTCTACAGTGACGGTCAGTCGGGACATATCCGCAAATGGTCCAATTACTACCATTGAGACGGACTCCATTGATCGACACTCACCACCTTCGTGACGAACGCATACCACTATGGGAACACCAGTGATGGCTAGAAACTTTGACACGTTTCTCCTTGAACCGGGAATCACTCCGCTGGGCTCGCCGACCGAACGTACCGGTGCCGGAAATGCCTCACGACGAGACGGTTCATCGCGTGTTACCAGAGCTGCAACTCCACAAACCCCTCCTCCGTTTCAGGAGAATCCGCACGCACTCAAGGCTTCAATGTTTGAGAATGGCTTCGATCTCAAGTTCCTGGTTAAGCACAAATTGGATGAGAAACTGGGCGGCTTTTTGTTATTCCGAATAAAGCGAAGAATCTATGCCTTAACTCTGAGACTAGCTACCGCTTTCTCGACGCGAGCGAATGGTCGCGTTTACTACAGAACACCCGACATTCTCGTTCATACTAATCAATCGATTAGTCAATCGTTGGATCCATTTGAAAGAAGATGTTGATACCCTCAGAACCAAATACAGAAACGCAAAGATAGATATCCTGGACCTTCAAACTGATATCGAACTCCTCAATGACGGTGTCCCTCAAGAAGACGCTGACGAGCTTCGCCTGAAAATTCAAGAACAGTCAACTACCATTGCCAACCAACGAATGATATGAACAGGCTCCGTGATGACAGGCGAAGAGTATTCCAAGCGGTGAATACATGGGCCGCGAAGGTCGCCCGACGAGACAAGACCATCTCGCAACTCAAACAAGAGATTAGTGCTCTCGAAAAGGAAGCTGGACAATCATCCCGCCCAGTTTGATGACCGTCAACCAGGTACTACTATGAAAATCTCCACCCAGGATGGTCGGTTGAACCCGTCAGTCACCCCCAAAGGGGCGCCGAGAGTCCGGACACACTCGAGAACACATACCTCGTGACTCAGAGACGGGAGCCTGAATACCGATGGAGATCTCCCACTCGACACACTCATCATACGGAAGCCAACAATGCTACCGCCGCTCCATATACGTACCGAAGTCGCCGACCCTATCAAGTATGATCAATGGAAAGCCGAGATGTTGTCCAAGATGAATGCGGAGTAAGAGTATTTCTCCGTTCATGGCGAAAGAACTGCCATTGAGTACATCGCTTCTCGTCTGAAAGGGGATGTTTTTCAGGCAGTCCGAGCTGAGTTGCCCGCTTTTGCCCCCGCTCGTCTCGCATTCTCCACTGTCAAAGAAATGTGGAAAGCCCTGGACTAAAACTTCGAAGAACATGATCGAGAGAAGATAGCTCAGGTGGAATTTGATCAACCCAAGCAAGGAGGAAAACGAAGACTTCGACGCGCGTTCATTTCCAAATTCAAGAGATTCGCGAATCGATTAGACATGACTGACAAAACGATGATGAATGAATCGAATAGGAAGATCAATTCCCGTCTATCCCGACGAATAAACAATGGGATTGAAGTCAAGCCATTTACGCGTCTTGTTGAAAAGTGCCGAGACATGGAGCGCACTATTCGAAATAAGAACCTACGTCGTGACGATGACTCACACTCGAAGTTGGAATCTAAGCCCAACGCTTCTTCTTCAGAAAAGGAATCGCTATTGTCAACAGCCAAAATCTCCTCTCCCTTCTTCAATAAAGGGCCTACCCAAACTCACGCCACAGCTCAAGAAGCAATTACGAAGGAAGACCGTTGCTATGCATGTAGAAAGAAAGGATGTCGTCCGAATAAACCAGAATGTGACTACAGGAAGTGGAAGGACGCTCATGTCCAATCAATGAATCGTATGCTCGACTCGACCATGTCGCTTTCAGACGAAAGAACGGACGAATCTGGTTCTGATGTTACTATATCTTCCGGAGATCAAGGTGGCTCTGATTGTGAAGGAGATTCGGAAAACTAAATGTCCTGAATCAAGTACGCTTTATTGATGCAGGACGTCCTCCACCAGGGCGAGACAAACAACTTTCTTCCTTGAAAGCGTCATGCATAGACGAATACGACCATTCGACATTAGATTGCGCGGTAGAAGAATCGTCCAAAGTTATCCCAGGCCAGACTACCAGTGCTGTCTCGGTCGCGAGAATTTTCTATCGAGATGTGATTGTCCAACACGGTATTCTGGAGAGTGTGGTGTCCGACCGTGGTTCTCAATTCACTGCCGTGTTCTGGAAACACTTGTGTGAGGGATTGGGAATCAAGCCAATAATGTCGACCGCGTTTCCCCCCAAACGGATGGCCAGTCTGGGAACTCCAATCAAGCCGTCAACAGAAGCCAACCGGGAAGGCTGCACATGGGTTCATTTGAGACGCATCAGTAAACCGGTGTGAATTGTTCGCTGGCGAGTACTCCGAGTGGCCTCCTCCCGTGGAAATTGTGGAACCTGAAGGAAGGTATCAGAAAAGATACCTGGATCTGTATGTGTATCCCTGGGGAAAAAGAATGTACCATTGCTGGAGGTCTGGAGGACCAAACAACCATTTTGAGGGGGAGTATTGTCACATTTCCGCTCGTCGGTGGTCACGCGCGCAGCACGTGACCATGTGTCTTGGCAGTTGAACCTCCTTTTATTCTGCACTCTCGAGGCAACCTAGTTAGCCCTCTCTTCGTACAGCAATTCCAGTCTTTATATGCATGTAGCGCGGCTCATAGCGTGACAGGACTCAAACGACAAAGATGAATGAACCAGAAAGACCTGTTACTCCTGTCGCCGGCCCGGCTGGCCCTCCCGACGATTCTTCTGACGATGCCATTACCCCAGCACCCAGGAATGAACCAGAAAGAACTGTTACCCCTGTCACTGATCTGGCCGGCCTTCCCGACGATTCTTCCTACGATGCTACTACCTCAGCACCCGGTCCAACAGTATCTTCAACAGGCTCCAATCACTTAGGAGACCCATATCGGAAGGATAAAATCTCCAAGGAAGAAGACCTACCGAGTAACCCTGCACAGTGGAATCGGTGTGCCACATCCGAGAAAGTCGGAAGGTTTATTTTCGACTTTGGCAAGTTTCAGTCGGGGTCAAATGTCACTTATACCCAATTTCTACACTTAAGGGTTATATGGATCGAACACAAGGCAGAGATCCTTGCAAAAGACACAACGCGAGGCATTTGGCTTAGGGACGAATACTACACAAGAGCCAGACAACTTCTTGCGTCTTGGATTGACTGGAGGGTCTATCTGGATTCCTTTCAGGTGCCTAAGAACAATCTCCACACTCTGTTTGTTGCTAACAATGCTTTTTGGTTGACCCGACACCGTCAGTTGAAGGTAAACGGGAACCTTAAAAATCCAGATATGACACCAAAGGTTTGGATGCGATCTCCAATAAGGACTCGAGGGTTCCTTAAGAGGGCACGAGAGCTATACAGTACTCTGAATCGGAAGACTCGAAGCCAGGCAAACACACAGGATTCCCCCAAGACGCCATTGACCGGACTCAAATCCCCCTCTCTTCTCGACGATGATTCGCCCCCCTAGTACGACCAGGACAGACATACCAGAGTCTATCTCTCCGATCACAAAAGACAGGAGGCGCGAATACCCTCCTACCAATGACGAACAAACTGTGAACAGCGCATTGGTTGACTTTTTAGAAGCGCTCACAATACGCCATGTCGAAAATGCTAGCTGGAATATTGAGAGAAAGGCATTTGAGCTGGGTGATAAAAAGGACGAGGGATATGAAGCTCGAGTTGACGGACTTCTTCGTCGCCAATCTGACGGTCGAGTGCTGGCCATCCTGGAGGTGAAGCCATGCGTCCGGTGCCATCACCAGGTGGATATCCGAATGCAAGAATCTGCCCAGATGGCTGCTTGGATTAGCAGCTATCCGGATAACTCATCCACGCAAACCTCTGCAAACTTCACGTTAGTGCCCATAATTCATTCAAAGGCACTCAGATGCTAACTTTCCAGTTAGGCGCCTCCTCGTATCCCAGGACAGGCACCAAATTTTCTTGACGTTTGCGACATTCGATAAGAGCTACGTCGCTTATGTGTCAGGAAATTTGAAAGCCAAGGTGAGACAATCCAACGGGTCGGACTCTAACCCGTTTCTCAAAATGAACGAATTTGGGCCGTTCGACACGAAGTCCGAGTCTCATATGAGATGCTTGGGATATTATATCCTTGCATTTACCCTCCAGGAGTGCGGTGAGAGGGACGGGGCAGACGTCGCGGAGTAAGAAGAAACGGGTAGAAAAGGAGAAGGCGTGGTGAGGTAAGGGAGTATGAGCTTGACAAGAGAATCACCAAGTATGGCAAAGGCGTGATGAGATAAGGAAGTACGAGCTTGACAAGAGAATCATCAAGTACGGCAAAGGCGTGGTGAAGTAATGGAGTATGAGCTTGACAAGAGAATCGTCAACTACGGCAAAGGTGTGACGAGGTAATAGAGTATGAGCTTGACAAGAGAATCATCAAGTATAGCAAGACAGTGGGGAGCTGGTCACCTTTCTTCCGAGCTCGCTTTGGGACTTGCCCTTAATTTAGCCCTTAATTTGTCTCTCCGCGTGACTAGTTGCTAACATGCTCCGGTCAGAAAACGTAGCCATTTTGGCTAATTTTTCCCCCAAGGCCGACCCTGCAGTTAGAACTCCTAATATAGATGACGAGGCGGTATCGGATGTGCCGTCTTCTCCGCCCCTTCGAGAGCTATAAAGATATCCCAATCGGCAGAATGAGGGCCGAGGTCGTGATTCTCTACTGTGTTGTAAAAGCCTGGCCTTCCCTCTACTTAGGCTTGTGAAGCCAATCTCCTCCAGCTTTGATCCAGGCTCCATTTTTTTACACTTCCCAATCAGAGAGGGCTAAGTTCATCACTTAATTGTACGTGTTGAACAGTAGCCAGTAACCCGTTATGGGAAAGTGGTTATCATTCCTATTCAGTATATAGGGGTAGAAACAAGAGATGGGTCAATCAAATGTGTATATATACTAGCAATCTGGCAGGACCAGGCAGACCACTCAACAACAATCAATGTACACACACTGATTGTTTGACAGTATGGAGCAGCTCCCCGGCGGTAGTAACCATGCTATCACCATCTCTTCCTAGAGAAGACGAGATTCAATCAGACTCGACACCATGCGAGGACGAACATCTGATTGTTGTTTTCTATGAGACACACCGCGTTCGGTGGCGGCTGTGGGGTCACGGTCCGTCATATTCTCTAGATTCGAGGCAGGCGACCACGAATGTTCGAGGCTGTGAAAGCTTTGGTTATCAAGATTGCGAAAGCCACCTCCTAGCCGACCCTAATCTTTGTGCCTTTCTACCACATCTACTTCGAAAAGGGTGGGAATTACCCAACAAAGGCCCTGCCGCATGAATCCCAGGCAAGCAGCTGACGCCGGACTAGCCTGCAATAAGAGGCTTAGCCGGCCCGTGCGCGAAGCTTCCACCTGTCGTAAGCTGAAAAGCCATTAGAAGTACAAGACAGTATTTTCAAAAAGATAAGCTACGCCGAAAAAATGACATAAGGGTGTCATATGTAGGTTGCCGAGAAGCACTCTGAATTTACGTCTTTCCCATCCCTTTGTGCTCCTCAATAAGAGTCATCATCCTGTCCAACCTTTCCTCATATTTTTGCATACGCTCTTCATAATTCTCCATTTTCCGACGCAATCGCTGATTTTCTTGCTCCGCTGATAGGCGCAATCTCCGCTCTTCTGCGAACTCCTCGAAGAGCTCGACTCTGCCGTGGTGGCCCGAATTCCTCTTCGCTTTCGCTCTTGCGCTTCTTAGATTGTACAATAGCTCCTGTGGTTTCATTCGTGGCGGTGGCCTTGCAAGCGTTTGATGCAGCCCCCGATTCTACACGCGGTCTGGGAACCAAATTCTGTTTGTGCAGTCCACGAAGATGTTGGTTCAGGTGATCTTTGCGGTAGAAGCCTGAACCCGGTTGAGAACGGCTGCAGTCTGAAAAGCTGCAGAAGTATTTTTCAGTTTGGCCATGCTTGGAGTTTCGAGAGCGTACATTCTGCTCATCTCGAGCCTGTCCATGGACAATGAGTGTGTTGATGGGTAAAAACTGTCCAGAATCTGCTGTTTGTAGCCTTTCATTTTCCGTGACTTGTTGAATTGTGCTAGTGGCTCGAGCGAATCCAGGAGCGACAACGATCTCACTAAAATCTCCGTGGTTGGTGATTGATGGGTTGACAGCGTCAGTAGGGTTCACTACCGACGAAGTCAGTACGGAGCCCGGGGTTGTCGCCATAGCACAATTGGTAGCGAGCTCAGGTACGTATAGTTGTAGTCGCTGTTCGGGGTTTGGTGGGGCGAAATGAACATCACTCCATGTAGACATAACGCGGCTAACGTCATCGAGATTGGATAAAAAGGAAGAGGGAGAATCACCTTGAAATGGATCGGCGGGTTCAATGCCCTCGAATAGTTCAGTTGTGTTACTGGTTGTCGGAAGGTCGCCTTGGTCTCCCCAATTCCACTTAGGCTCGTCATAGAACATCCAACAAACACCCCACAGCACCACCAGAGCGGGCCAGATCGTCCAAGGCATTGTTGTGCATGGAGGTCGAAGCCTGTTGGGGAACCCAGAGAATGGAAAATACAGAAGAATGAGGTACAGAATCTTCTCCCGCAACACGACAATCTCTCCTAATTTAAGGAGGTGAAGTAGTCCACGAAGGAATGTGTGAAAGTCCTACCAGAGACCCATTAAGAAATCCTTATTCAAATTGCCACTGAGTTGACCAAACAGTTGATACACTCCAATCCAACCGAGGTTAAGATAGCGCTGGACGACATCAATATTCGAGTTTTGGACTTCTTTTCGTAGAGTGCTCTTCATTTCATATTCTATTGCTGTAGAACATGCATTAGAAGTAGCATCCACGGGATCCACGAAACCTACCTATATCCACCATCTCCGTTATCAAGTGCATCAAGCCTACTACCGAGGAAGCGAGACTCAATTCCATCATCTTAAGAGTGCTATTGCTTTGTACAGTGATCTGAGAAACGGAAAGGAAAAGTAGAGGACCGTGAATTGGCTTTGGTAGTGCGGGGCCACGCTTTTTGCTTATATCCTCGCTAAATCACTAGGGCGTTAAGACGGTAGGGCGGTAGGGCGGTAGAGTGGCGGGGCGGTAGGGCGTAATGGTGTGGGCGATAGTCGTTGGGAGAACAAAAGTTTGCTGCATGCTGGTTGAGTCGTCGAATAATACGCTGCACTAAGCGCCGCAGAGAGGTTCGTACGCAGAAATTTGCGTGCACCCAATCGCGGTGGGCTCTAGAAGGACTATGTTACAGGAGGCGCAGGAAAGTGTGAATTGGTTTTGTTTTGTGTTCATGTCGAACTGGTGGTAACCTATCGCTCGTGATAAGCCGACTCATTCTGCAACACTCACCCACTAGGCTGTATCACCACTGATAGGTAAGGAGTGTGATTTTACGGACTTCAAAAGGGTCCAAGAGACCATCAGTTGCGAAGCGTGTATGAAGCGTACGACAACTGCGAGGGTCTTTACAATCCTTGGCGTCGCGACTTGTCACAGGGGCTTCAGCCTGATTACGCCATCGAACCGGAAGAGCATTTTCTTTCGCGTTTTACATTTTGGCAGCCTCGAGCATGCAGCTCTATTCGTCTCGATGGTGCACAATGTTCTCGAGCGGAGTTGGCGGAGTCAAGGCTCAGATTCAAAATCCAAATCGGACACAACCAACCCATTCAATGTGACCAATAATATTGGGAGGCAGACGAAAAGTTTGATGGAACCGTTTCAACCCCACTGAGGACCTAAGATCAGCCTTTTCGGTCGTTCGGTTCGAAAGTTGGACCATTTGGTCCAAAACAATGAAGATTTTTTACCATGGGCCGATCGATCATCTGTCTCTGATGGATGAGGATAGAAGTACGCCATGGTTGAGCAATCCTGAGCGAGCAACAGCGGGCCCAGCGCGACTTTGTTTTTCTGAGCAAACATCATGCCTGGCCATGTAATGCGAAAAGAGTTGAAACCACGTGGTAAGGCCATCAACGCCGTGGTAGAGGTGGATCCCTAGGTTTCAGCCTGCATCCTCAATATGCTATGTGGCTCTACGAAAGCAATTTACTATGCTCATCCAGGTACCGGAAAACCCAACACATCAGCTAGAAGGACGACTTGATTCCCCAAATTTAGTTCAATGGAATCATCAATATTATAAACGCAGTGAAGGGGTTCACAACGTAGATGAGTCATTTCACTGTTTCACACCACTTTCTTCTCCCACCAACGGGAACCTCACCGTCTCCTATACTACGAATGAAGTGGACCTCTACGAAAGGGCAAGCAACAAGTGTCGGGGAGCTCGGTGTTGCAACAAAACTCGAGGCAATGGAAAGTAATGGCACTGACTGGGACGGCAGACAAAGGGCGGTATAGCTACTGGAATGGGGCGACGTTGAACGGGAACCGATAATATCATTGTAGCAGCCAGACGTTGCTCTGGGAGAAAGTTCACTGTTTCTCTTCACATGGCGCAAACTTGCATAGGACGTATCCTATCATATGTGACCGGATGGGGCAAAGCTCAGGATCAATGTCCCATCGTAATTAGGCGCCATCATCCTTAGGTTCGTTGCATCGTCTCCATAGGCGTGAAGTCCCTGATCCAAATAACTGACTGAATGTTGGTCCTTCATGATTGGCTGTTTGTTCGCCGCCAAGTTATCGCTCCACTGAGTTTCAAAACTTCATCGGCTCCGCAAAAGACTTTCGACTCTGGCCTCTGAGTGCGAGCCACACTTCTACCTTTTTTTGCTTGCTATAGAAAGCAGGCTTGTTCCTCAACTGTCGGTCGATATGGCAGCAAGAGTTGCAAAGCAAGACACCGGCAGAGCAGGAAGAGGTTGTAACCAAGTTGGCCAACCATGGATCAAGCCTGATCGCTCGAGCCGTAGGAAACACCTGTTTATGACTTGGAACTCAACTTGACTGAATGACTACAGGAAAACGGCACCGTTCTGCCAAAGGCGAAGACAAAACTGACCACCAGCGAAAAAGTCAAAGAATACAGGAGAGCCGTCAGTCCCTTTCCCCTCTATACCATAGTTCTCGTTATCCACTTGCCATATTACTGACCGCGTGCAGCTAACCACCAGCGTCAGGAAAGCGCCCAAGGAGTGAGCTCGAAGCCGTCTCGCAAGAGCCCACGACTACAAGAGAAACAAGCCGCGAACCAACAACGAACCGCGAGAGGAAGAGGACAGACGAGGTTATCACCTCATCAAAGAGCTGCGGTGAAGCAACACTATTGCTGGAAAGAGAAGGACGAAGGCCGGCTTCCGACCTTACCGGCGAACGTAGGAGTACCTAGGAGCAGTCAGTCATTTTGCCTCTCACATCAATGAATCACGTCGCTGATACAAACAGTCAAACGGCGATGCTGTGTGAATGACGAAGACGAATCGAACCACGAAGCGAAACGTCCGAGATACACGTTAGCGTCGCACAGTGAGGTAATAACCAGACTAGACAAGGAAGGCTTTATCAAGAATTGGTTGAGCGAGTCCTCTTGGACTCGTAGAGCCTCGACAGAAAACGAAGCACCACTTCCCGAGGCACTAGTAAACATGCCTCGCAAACCTATCCCCTTCCCTCCATCCCTCGCGAACGGTTTAGGGAGCAGCACGATATCCACGTCCAATAAGTCTGAGAAATATGCTGCAAATGTTCATGATACGGATTATCGGCAGTCCTTGGGTTTCCGGAACATTTATATCCGTCGCAATGATCCCCCGGTAAAACTGATACAGCGAGCAAACAGAATAATTTCCCGTTCACGAGCATCTCCGGAAATGGATGACGATACAGCTCAACAGCTGGTAGTCAAAGCACGCAAGGCTGAGAATGAGAGTGAAGATGTCATTATCCAACAATTAGTCCCTGGTATCATTCCTGCTATGAGTATGGTTCCCGATTCAAGATTAATATCGAATGTTAATCAAACGTGGTTCAATTCTGTCCCCGTCCCAGTGGACCGAGACCTCCTAACCAACCCGCTCCCCTTACCTAAACCGAAACCTGATGTCGCATTTGGATATTCTGAGACAGCCTTCAATCATAAACAGCTTAGGACAATTGAACTTCTTGTCGACCAGTTCGGCCGAAGCTACGCCGCCCCGGACCAGAAAGTTCGATTTCCGTTTCTGGAGATCGAATTCAAATCACAGGTCAAGAATGGAACTCACTATATCGCAACAAATCAAGCCGCTGGTGCTGGCGCTGTCGCCTTAAACGGCAACATAGAACTGATACAACGCAGCTTCGGAATGGAAAACTTCGATTACGACGAGCCACAATATTTCTCCATCAGTATGGACCATCAACTAGTTTGTGTTAACGTACACTGGCTAAAAGCTCCGGCTGAAGGAGGGCAACATAGCTTTCATGTCGAAGGACTGTCACAACATCTCTTGAACGACGCCAATGGCATACGAGCAGTTTCCCGAGCCATTAAGAACATCCTTGACTACGGTGCGGATACACGGCTACGGACACTTCGTAGCGCACTGGATGCATATCGGGAGACGGTCATCCACAACAGGGAAGTAGCAAATTCTCAGAGGAAGCAGGGAGACGAGTTTCTACCCAAACCACAAACTCCACCGCCGACGAGGGGAACCATGCCACCACCTGAAGATCAAGTGGAAGGTGGCGAATCATACGAGAGGGAAGACACAATTAGCCGGCCATCAGATAAGCCAGTCGAGCCTTTACAAACCGATCAGCAGTTACGGCGCGCACAGACAACAGCGCTTCGACAAGAGCAAAGTCAGGTGGATGTGTTCTCCAAACCAGACGTGCCTCGTCCAGACGAACTTCGAGACTGATAGAATGCGACTAAGGATCTATCGGATCTGAAGGAATTTATGAGCCGGGACCAAGGGTGAGGCTCCTGCCGTCTTCATTCGAGACAATCGACTCCCTTTTCCCCGTTCCCGCCCGTTGTCCTACACTCCGTCTACCAGAGAGAAAGGAGGGATGGCGCGAGGAACGGGAAGTCGATAAAGTTTTGGTATCAGCAGGAGCTTCGTCAGGAGTGTGTTCAACAGTAGTGCTTGACGGGAGTCGAGAGGGCAGTGGAGGAGAGCTTTTTGATGTGGTTGAGCCGGATAGATTGGGTTTGGCAGAGCTTGGAAGATTGTGGTAGCTAGTGACCTGATTGATTCGTGATGGGATATTTCTGGCGTCCAGAACGGTACTACCCCGTTACACCGGAATGAGCGTGGGATGGACGGCTAGGGTTGATATAGCGAAGGTGAATAGGGCGATGACACTCCGGGCGGGAAATAGGGTCGTACGCTAGTGGCAACCTCGAAAACTACCGCATCTACTTCTATGTCGTTGCGGCTTTCTATGCAGCTTCAGCGATCGGATGTGCGCTTTGCTACAATCCACTCCCACGAGAGCTCCAAATATCTCTGAAGGCGTCTGAAAAGCTCCTGAGACTAGACTGGGTCGGCTATTTTCTCTTTACCCCAGGGTTGTTGCTGTTCTGTATTGCCTTGTCCTGGTCTCAAAACCCGTATGGGTGGACAAATGCCCACATACTAGCCCCCTTCATCTTTGGCATCCTTCTCATGCTGGCTTTCGGACTCTACGAATGGCGCTTCAAGAAAGACGGCATTCTACACCATGGACTTTTCACAGACGGAATTTTCCTATTGCTTTATTCACCATCTTCACAGAGGGACTTGCTTTCTTCGCCGCCAACGCATATTTTGCGTACAAAGTCAGCGTCTTCACGCAGTCTGACCTGCTAATCACCGCACTGCATTTCGGTATAACTTTTCTGAGTGCCATCGTGGCTGCCTATCTCGCCGGCTTATACTCAGTCCGACGAAAAGCGGTGCGGGGTCTGGCTCTCTAGTTAGCAGCATACCCCGCAAGGCAGCTGCAGCAACTCTGTCTTTGGGTCTGCCGGCATCCTCCCTGGGATTGTTGATCAGCGCTTTGACTACCCAAGATCAACCTGCTTTGGAAAAAGTCCCGGGAATCTCACAGCAGATCATCCAGGCAGCTGGTATCGCGCTGGTGGAAGCATACGGAATTGCATTCCGCAATGCATGGATTGCAAGCGGGTGGTTTTGCTCGTCGCCATCATTGGTAGGTTCTTCTAGCTCAACAAGACACAACTTCAGATTTCTTTTTCGAACGGAACTAACACACATTTATAGCAAGCATGTTCTTCAAGGACCCGGGCGCCGGGTTCGGTGGACACATCGATGCTCCTGTAGAGATCAGGGTAATGGAAGATCAGGCTCGGCTGGAGGCAGCGCAGGACACAGAGGCAACAGATACCAGTAAAGGGAATGACGACGAGAAAAGATGAGCAGATTGCGTGAGAAGGCGGTCCTTCACCGAGTGCAGAGCAGCGAATATACTACCGCAGAGTGCTTTTGGCGTATGGGTACCTGTTATAATCACATCACTACGCTCTAAGCCGCTAAGTTGAATGAACATAACCACACTTGCCCTACCCACAGCCTTCTTCAGAAAACAGTGTCAGATACCAGGGTGTTCTAGTTCCTAGTCAGTCATTCGACGATATGAGGCCTCTGTAGTTACAAATAGGTCGTGGCATCAAAGTGGAGGAAGGCTGGCATCGGTCTTCGACAATCCTGCCACCCATAAGACATGGATTTAGTTGAACCGTGCCCCAATAACTAGGATGGATGGTCAACCGATTCATTCAACTTGCTTGACAAAGGGAAATTCGCCAAGACAATCCACCGTGCTTGCTTCATGTGAGACCTTTTTCTGGAGATATGCTCTCAAATTTCAACATGCGTCCCGACAATTTTGGATGCAATCTGTGATGCTATTGAGCTAATCGCCTCAAACGCACGCGAAGGTCTTTCTGCTTGACGAACCACCGGTTGGTATACCTCATCTCTTCAGACAGAAGCTCGAAATCATATCTTCTGACCAGCTCCGGAATGACTTTGGACATCTCTAGGATCGATATGTTCTTTCCAAGACATGTTCGTGTCCCAGCCCCAAAGGGAATATGGTACCGCTCCATCTCTGCCAGCTTTTCCGGGGCAGTCTTGTCCGGAAGCCACCTCTCGAGCCGACACCGGGCTGGGTCAGGACCAAATATATTCGTATTCCTGTGCGCAACCCAGGTGTTGATTTCCACCATTGACTACAACCGAAAGGGTTCAGCACTCCCCTCGAAAGCGAGTCGTAGTGGTAACACTTACTCCTTCGGGAAAGAAAGTCCCCAAAATCATCACACCTCCCTTTGGAACCACTCTCCACATGGGCAGGCCCGTCGCAGGGTGTAGTCTCATACCTTCTTTGATCGCCGCCTGAAGGTAGGGCAGTTTCTGGGCCTGGTCAAAAGTGATTGGATTGCTCACTTCACCTGATGCCATAGCATCGAAAATCTCCGCCCTGAGCTTCGCAAAGGTGTGAGGTTCTTTCAAGAGGTAGTACATGATTCCCGTCAGCGAATACTCGTGGCGTCGCTTCCTACTGTAACATTAGCTACTTTAGCATTGTCACCACGATAAGTGTTGTAAGTTAGGGGATCTTCCTCCCGGCTCTTTTCCAGCTTCGTGCAGAAATCCTCGACAGTATTCGTTGCATTCTGGACCTCTTCAGTTGAGATTTTACGAAGGTTTTCGAGCTTTGTGACCCAGTTCAGTAAGCCGAAAATTGGGTTTCCGTATCTTGCAGCCAGCAAAGGCAGTAGCCGAGAGTCCAAGCCTAGAAGGAGTGAAAAGTCCGTGCCGACGTCTAAGCTGTTCACGATGCCGTCAATATCGGTCCCGCCAGAGTCCAAGAAACCAATGCGTTTCCCATACTGTTTTGATAAAGATCAGCATATCCTGTAGAGGAGACAAGAAAGACGCCAAACTCACGGCTAACTGCCCGATGACATCAAATGCGTAGCACTGCATCCAGAACTGTAAGTCCATCGAGTCTCCTTGAGCAGCCATTGCATCAAAATGTCGCAGTAATGTGGAGATGCAGTCCTCTATGTAAGGCTCGTAAGACTTTATGGCCGTCATGGAATACATATTGGCCACCAATCGCCGCATTCCGGCGTGAAATTTGTTGTCTCGTGCCGAAAATAGATTATAGTTAGGAACCCTAGGATCGCCCCAAGCTTCGTACCACTTGGACTTGATCATTGGGTTGCTGATGCCGTAGATTATTTGGCCGCCTCTGGATCATCGACACTATACATGTTGGGTGCGACTCGGAGGATTTTGCCTATGTCATTCTCAGCTTGGATCCTTTCATTACTCTGCTGAGAAGCAGACCGTGCTCGGCATGCTGTTCGATGTCCCATTTCTCAAAATTCCCCTGCCAAGTCTTCCAAACATGCCACCAGTGAGCGAAGTTCGCTATCTTGGGACCGGGTACGGAAGGATATCGTTGGGAGAAAACGATTGCGCGCGGATTGTCAAGACCACCACTGCAAATGCGACACCAACCAGCAGTTTGACTGAAGTGGAATGACCTAGAAGAGTGAAATCTATTATGATCATTTGGAAGCAGCAAGTGCAGCTGGCGGAAGATGGTTGTCGTTGTCCCTTCATTGTCAGCCCTCGCTTTTTCTTTGAGCATTTTTGTGACAATCTTTCTCGGCCCCACATAATGCTAGACAGTTCCCCGGCAGCTATACGATCGTGGAGCACTCAAGTGCCGACTCGGTATCAGTTTACGGCTGTCGTAGGTGCGGTTTGACCTCAAGGCCTCCAGGTTCCTCCCTCCTGTTGCCTCCGAAATTGTGAATATGGAGCCGAACCACACAGATTTAATTTTTCCCTGGTCCTGGAACCCGTTTGATTGATCACCTAGTGTCAAACTTCTTTGATTGAAAGAGTGCTTTGATCGGCAATTTGGAGCCTGGTCTACGCACACCGCGAGAGGCTCTCGACCGTACGGGCACAGACGACTTTACACGGCCATAAAGATGCCCTCGTCACGAACTCTCAGTATCAAGACGCCACTACCTTGCTCCACCACCTCTAGTCGGATGCCGCCACTTTGACTACGACTTGGACCCAATGCCCTTGTTGGCCTTTGAACGTTGTTCCATGCATTTACATGCCTCGTTGGAAGATGTACAAGTCCTAGCAGAGAGAGAAGGCGCAGAAGAAGCCCGAAAAATGTTCCATTCGTTTCGGCGATGGTCCACTCAGGCTGAGTCGCGTGAGCCGTTGTGGCATGCTGGGCAAATACTTGGTACGACGAAGAAATTTGCGATAGGCCACCTCCGAGAGTCACCAGCGGTTGGCCTCTATCATACCAGTCTAGTGTTCTGGGCCTATGCGATTATCGCGGCGTGTAATAGGAGGGTGTCCGGCTGCATCGACCGCAGTCAGAACGCCACTCACAATGGCAGATTGGTCGCCACTGACCAGGGCCAGACGTTGAAAGTGCAACGCTTTCTCCATGCTGGCATTGGACAGGCCGCCATTACGCCGATCAGGAAATTGGTGGAAGGGATGACGGGGCGAAGTCTCAATGACACAGAGGCGGACCTTGTGGCCCTTCGGTACGGTAACGCTGTGGTGCAGAACCTGGTGGTCGTTCTGCGGGCTCGAGCTGCTGGGAATCTGGAGAATTCTCCACCGCCGATAGAGAAATTGATAGAGTGTTTTGTTCGTTGGGAGCTGCTGTTCGGAACATGGCTTGTATATAGGAGTACCTTTCTCTCTTCCTCTTCGTTCAATGCCAATGGGACTAGTTTGATTTCGCTGGCAGATCACAATGAGCTCTCGATGTCTACGGGCTCTCAGGCCACGGTGCCTCCACTCGGAATTCACGCCGGTGCGTGGGGAGGGGGAAAGGCCGGTAGTGAGGGTTGCCAATTCATGGGCCGGCTGCACCCTTTTCTGCAGCCCGTACTGTCGTACTCCTGGGGGATGAATGAAGCGCGGCACATATATTTCTGTCAAACAGGGTGCAACTTGAGATGTATTGAATGCTCTGTTCTACCTATCTCCTTGCTGCGTTCCTGACGACCTTCCCGTAGACGTTGCGAAGGCTCGTCGTTGTGCAGATGTCAAACTTCTTGAATTGTAAAAGTGCTCTGATCGAATTCGGTCAGAGGGTGGCATGGAGCCCTTCTATATATCTGTCTAATGAGTGCACGTCAACGCTGTTGCCTGTCAATGGTGATTAGGCCTTGACATGACCCGGACCATCAAGGCCTAATTACGGCCAGCCACTTCAAGGATTTTGACATCTGCAACCGCCGTTTGAAAATCATGACCTAGCTAATGCCATCCTGTCCAAGAGTGAGGAGAGAGGCTTGAAACTATTTTTCTGAACAATGACATGATTGGTGGGACATGTGTGCAGATTAGACATTCAGCAGGGCTAGCAACGAATAAGTGCCTCCAGCACTTGTGTACGCACTACTTGTTGAGACAACTGACGGTCCCCAGCTTCGCCAGGCCGTGGTCGATTCTAACTCCAGAAAGCCTGCCACAACCTGCTCGCCCAGGGTCTATCTCTCGTTTCTGGGTGTTCGACTTTCGAATTTCGATGCTCCACTTCCGGCTGCGTTTGCTCGGTTGCCAGTTTCGGGTCCCGCAAGAAAACAGCGGCAATGAACACGGGAACTGTAAGTCCCGCGGCCGTAATTGTCAGGAGGCGCTGAATATATCTGTAGCTGACGATGATGGCGTCTCGCTCCGGAGAGCCGATAGGGTATTCGGGCACGACGTAGAAAGGAGCCGCGTAAAGGGCTGGAGCCAGAGTGGCGTTGTTGAATGGTGCTAGATTTTTGTTGAGTTCCTTGTACAAAGTCTGTGTCCAGATGGCGCCTGACACACAGCTTCCAAGGGCCACACCCAAGTTGTTGACGGTAAACATGAGACCTATCAAAACGCCGATGTGCTGGTGCTTCGCAACAGTTTGAATAAGAATCAAACTCGGATACGGGAAGAACCCCCCTGCAAGGCCAACGAAAACTTCTCCGGCAATGACACCGGCTTTAGAATCAGGACCGCCTCGATATCTGATCAGCAGACCGATTCCTATGAATGAAGCCACCACTCCGCAGAGAACAAACGCTTTAAGCCGGCGCACTTTCATGATGATCAAACCCAAGATAGCGGCTGAGAGGACCGCGCAGAACCCATAGACAGACGCAATGCGAGTAGCAGCTCCAATACTGAAATCGTAGGATACAACAAGCAGGGTGAACAAGTAGTTGGCATGAGTCGTGTATGCAAAAGTGCAGAAGCAACCTAACGCCAAGCAAGCCCAAACCATACGGTCCTTGAAAAAGTAGAACGGCAGTAATGGGTGAGATGTTTTGCTTTCCCAGAGTAGGAAAGCAGGCAGCAACGCAATGCCGATGATCAGAGGAGCCAATATCCCAGCATTGTCCCATTTTTCGCCAACCCCACCAGCCAGGGTCAAAGGAATCATGATCATGGCCAGGGAAGCGGTCAGCAACACCACGCCTGTAATGTCAAGCTCCCAGAAGAGGCCCTTGAGTGACTGGAGCAATGGAGGGTATCGTCTCTCAGGAGTGGATTTGCGAGCTTGACGCCCGAGAAGAACCATGAGCACAATGAGGGGTGCAGCGCACACGGGATAGATGATGCAGAACATCCCAATGCCCCATTTCCAGGACATTGTCGATAGGGTTGCTGCAGTAACGTTCCCGCTAATCCAGGTATTGACTAAGTAGGGGAAGTTGGGCATGAAGGCGAAGAAGAGTCGATTCTTCACCGACGTAACATCCGCAATCATAATCTCTATCATCAAGAGTGACGTTGTATACCCTAGCTGGTATAGAAGTGCTCCAGCTGCGAAACTTTGCACATTGTTGGCACAAGCCTCAACGATGCTGCCCACAGTGTAGATAACCACACCGAAGCCAAAGACTTCGACACGGCCAAAAACGTCGGCCAGCTTTGCCAGCGAGGGTTGGAGGGCAGCAACGATGACTCCCCGGACAACGTTGACGGTGGCCAACAAAGAGTGTTGTTGATAAGACGCCGTGGCGTACGCTAGATAGGTGTTGCGGACGAGATAGTCCAATCCAAATGCATAGCCGGCCAGGAAGATACTCACAAAGAAAGACACTCGTTTCGGTGTGGTCACGACTTTTGCAATGGCCGCCATGCGCGCGACGCCTGGAGATTCTTTAGCATGTTCCGCATGCTTGCGTTGCACGTGAGATTCTTCATATTCGCCACTGTTAGATGTCTGAACTCGGTCGTCGAAGAAGCCCTTCTCATCCATCGCCTGAGCTCCGCCTCGTCCGGGCTGTATTGGTGGGTCGCTGATGCCCATTCCTGGAATTCCAGATGTTGCGCTCGAAGCTGGATGATGTATCGACGAAGCATATATTTCGGAGTAAGAATTATGACTGCGCCAGCTTCAGTAGTTTGTGTAGATTCATCGACCAGCAAGATTAGAGTAGGTGGAAAACTTCGGAGCAGAAGACGCACAATTTGTAGCAATTGCTTGACACGGCACGGAAGGTTCAGTAGCAGCAGCACCATCACCACCACCACCACTCCCAGCATGTACTAAAAAGTGATCAGACCACACGAGAAACATGTTGATCTCGCTAAAGTGCTTCTTAGCCTTCCGATCTCGCACAGAATCGATCTGGTGAAGAGAGATGTAGTCTCCTATGAACTTACAATCTAGCGTCTTCAGAGCTGGATTCAACCTTAGACTGAGAATTGTCGGATATTCTTTTAGACTCGTATGAGGCCGCAAGGTCGACATTCGATAAAGCTCGATCTAGATGTGTCTCCTTGTACTTCTAAAGGCTGCGGCACAGTGGGACTGGCTCATGCCACGAGGATACTGGACCAGCGCAACCTTCACCTCCTCAACTAGTTACCAATACGATCTCCTTTCTCTATTATCATCTGACCAGATAAGATAAGATAAGATTAGATAACTTTTTTTATCAAATCTGGAATACACTTGGCACCATGTCTCCGACATCGGGGGGTTGTTCCGTATTCGTATTTGGGGTACCTAGTCTCAACACACTCATTGTCGCAGGTGATCAATGACAGTGGAAGCCGTAAATGATGCCCCGTCAGGATTATGCGCTTGGGATGGCGAGTGGAAGTATGCGATGCGTCTCGGCAGAGCTGCACTTAAAATCCATACGTGGGAGTCATCGGCGACTGCGTTCATCATCCATTATAATATCTAGCTGTCCTCAATTGGCTTCCTCAAGTTACTTCCTGTGATATTATAACCGTTCCCACTTGCAGACCATGGGTGTCGAAGCTGCTACATTGGAAGAACATGCACAGTCGGACAATAACGTCGACTGAGACGGTGATGATGACCCAGCAAATCCGTTTGAACTGGCCATCATTAACTAAAGCGTTGAACCTGTCTCTTATGTCAACAACGTCTTTCATCACGTATACTGTCAAACTGTGTGCAACTCGAGATGTATTGACTGCTCTGGGCTCTCCAAATGAGTGTGGGATAGAGCCCATCTATATATCTATCTACGAGGTGTATGCTGGTGCTGTTGCTTGTCAATGGAGTTGCACGCCAGGAGGTGAATGTTACAAAATGAGTAGGTTTGCCATGAACGATAGGTTATCGTTTGTTCAACATATACTCTGTTCGGTTTTCAAAGGCTCTTTCGAGAATGCTGATCGGCGTATCTAGACCTCTTGCATCATCGATGTTTGCCCCGAGCATACCGCGAGTAATGGCCGATTTTCAGCAGTGCCAGCGAATTCTTCACCACGTTTTCTGTCTCGATATTTTTGATCGGCTACTTCTTTGGGCCGCTCTTGTTTGCTCCATTATCAGAGACCTACGGTCGGGTAATCATCTACCACACATCACCAACGTTCTGTACCTGGTCTTCACGGTGGCTTGCGCAGTTGCACCTTCGTTGGATAGCCTTTTCGGGATTCGCTTTCTCGCCGGCTCAGCAGGTTCGGCATGTCTTGTCCTGGGTGCAGGAAGTGTGGCCGACATGTATCCCCGCGAACAGCGAGGCTCTAAAATGACAGCCTTTGTCCTAGGCCCGCTAATGGGTCCTGTTGTGGGCATGTGTCTGTAGCTCGGCATGTTGCAAGATTGGAACTAACGTACTGGAAACAGGGCCAATTGCTGGCGCATTTATCTTGCAAGATTTAGATTGGCGATGGGTTTCCTGGATTCTTACCATAACAGTCAGTGTCTTAGAATGAGCAATGGCCCGTTGCTGATCATTTTCTGGACCGGTCTTGTCACTGTGGCATGTCTGATCTGGTTAAGAGAATCATGTGCCCTGGCCTTCCTGGCGAAAAAAGCTTCAAAGCTCGGAACATACGCCGACAGTCCGCAGCACGTTGCTGTCGACCGCAAGCCTGGTGCAGCTCTGCTGAACGCCTTAAGGCGGCCGGCTAAGATGTTCTTCCTATCCCCCATTGTTTTTGTTTTGGTGGTATGTATAACTGTTGAACAATGTGTGGCGACATTTTCAGCATGCAAGGATCTCATCTAAGGAGCTGACCATGGAGACGCCGAAAGGTGGCAACAATCTTTCTCTATATATAGGTACGAGGCAGGACCCCAACTTGATAGAAATCAGAGCACTCCTTTAACTCAAGTTGTACAAGGAGTTTGACACAATACTTTAGCTAACCTGAAAGCAAGAAATTAATCCAGGTATGAATTCGTCTTAATTAACTACCTAGACTTCCCCTATAATATAAACAATTAATGGGCAGACGGCAAACGCTAAGTCTTCTCCTGTGGTAGAGGTGCGCTGGCTTTATCACTATATGTAGCGTAGTGCTAGACACGACAAATAGATTGGCTGTAACAATCGCAACCCCCGGGGTGCGATTGTCATCAAGTAGAAAAAACATAATCGTAATCCTTCTACTTATCCCCCATTTTATAGATCCAGCGTCTTCTAGATCTGTGAAATAAATTATGGCTCGCGCGATCCTTCATCGATATAGGACTTAAAGCGGAAATACTAAAAAAGAAAGGGGCCCCCCTCCTATAGTCCATTTTTAACGAACTCATAGATGGGGCGCCGCAGCCAGTGAAAGCTTCAGCCACACAAGTTCAACTGCGGAAGAGTGAATTAGTGACCTCCCAACGGTATGAACAAGACGACATCATCAACAATCACTGGCTGGAGCATTACGTTTACCCATCTAGGGCACCTAGAAAGCTAGGCCGGACAACCCTCTTACCTTACCTATGATCGAACACTAGTAAGGCCCCTCAATTCTATCGGTTCGACTGCAAGCCGAGTGTTTTACCACTCGGTTACGTCCTTGATAGGTCAACCACGATTTGGTGTCAATTTTGAAGCAATTTTTGGCATTATAAAATATAAACTTGAATTTTTCTTTTTTTTTTTTTTTTTTTTTTGATTTTTTAATTTTGGAATCGCCTGGTTAAGGCTTGGCGCTGTGTGGCAACGCCAAGACCGCCTTGTTAACCAATCACGTTGGTTAATGGCTTGGCGGTGTCACGTGATCACGTGGCATTCTCCCTTACCTCAACCGTCATCGGATCCAATCCGTGGACCATGTGGCCGAGGTGGCACCCTACTCGATAGAAGTCGATGTCGAGATGGACCGCGTATCGGATCCAGTCTGTGGACCACCCACACAGACACTCGAGATGGTTCGTAACCGAGCGCTAACGAACGAGCCCCGATGTCGAGATGTTGGATAGAGACGAGAGGTTAGTAACATTGTCCAGACTGCACTCATGCCTGTGCTGTAGCCTGCCGCTGCCTAGACGAGTAACTGTGTATTTAAAGTCGTTCATTATCCTTAGATAGTCAGACAGGCAAGCCTCCATAGCCCAATGTGCATGCATTCCTGCATCCATTCTCTCAACAGAGGTTACCATAGGCGACGACGTTACAGATGGTTGCTCTGTGCAACGATGTAGCATTTGTGTGTCTATAAAAGGAGCCTTAGCGCCTCGATAAGTAGATAGAAAACAGAGCGCTCCTTCATCTCAAGTTGCACAAGAAGTTTGACACGAGATGATCCATGGATTGGATCCGACGGGTCGTGGTATTTCATCGGATCCAGTCTGTGAACCACCCAGACAGGTCCTACTGATCACACTCGAGATGGTTCGTAACCGAGAGCGAACGGACGAGCCTCGATATCATGAATCTGACCCCATGATGCCAGGACTTTAGCATGTGATACTGCATCTGTAGCCCAGGAATTACACGTGACGAAACGCGACACTACTAGTCTAACTATTAGTGTATTACTCTTGGTCAGTCTGGTAAAGTCAGACTGGACTACTCGTCTGATATAAGAGTAGCAAACTGAACTGATAGTCTATAGACTATTAGTGTAGACTGCAGTCTGCACTAATAGTCCTCCTAATAGTCTGGACTATTAGGAGCGCTGACGTCGAGATGATCCATGAATTGGATCCGACGGAGGGGGTCTTTTATCGGATCCAGTCTGTGGACTACCCACACAAGCTCTACTAATCGCACTCGAGATGCTTCGTAACCGAGCGTGAACGGACAAGCCGCGATATCGAGATGATTCATGGATTGGATCCGATTATCTTTGGAAAAGAGGGGCTATTCAAATATTCAAATGAGATCCAAATCGATTCAAATCAAATCGATCCTTTTCGAATCCAAATCAAATCAAATTCGAGGCTCGATTTGATTTGATTTATTTCTTTACAAGCCTAAGCCCCCCTTCCATGGACGGCCGCATAACTCTCTGATTGGCTGACTTCTGTGATTATTTACCACTAGTGAACGGAGGGCTTGAGCGCCTTGACAAGATTAAGAACGCGGTCCTTGGTCGATTTGCGAGGCGTCCCCATATCGCCCGTTGGATTGTTCAACATCCATCGCACCATCATTTTGTAGCCACTAGCCGACCCTTCCTCGAACAGAAAGTGTTTCGTTTTCCGGACAATAAAATGTGGGTGCTCGTAATGTGCTTGGATTATACGACCTTGGGATTCGGAGATCGAGTAAATGAAGACCTGTCGAGCATTAATTAGCATTAATTAGCATCAATTCGACAATCAAAGATGGATACCTACAGGGAAATGGCGTTCATGAGGCTTTTTGGCCCAGCGTAGCTTATCACCGATCAAAAGAGCAGCACAGTACACTTCACTCCGTCGCAAAAACCGCTCGTCCGAAACGGCTCCGTCAAGCAGAATACATCCTCGATGTGGAATGCGCTTGTCGTATGCTCCAAAAATCAACCTGGTATGAAAGTCAGGCTCCTTATCGCGCGAACTGCTGTGGAATCCGAGTCGATTCTCAACTGTCGAAGAGCTATTCTTTCTGTTTGAAGCGAAGTGTGTAAGTATGGATAATTTGGTCAGACTTGGAAGACATTACAACACTCACTCTCGAGCGTAGTATGCACCAATCGATTTTGGCTTATCCCCGAAACCAAATAACCCCATCTCGTGAAAACTGTTCTTAATGGTAGTTGTAATTCCATACCCTGTACAGTACAAGTCCCCCTGATCTAATCCCCCAAAGTCGTCCGATACCTCCTCAAAGAGCTTGTCGACTTCTTGGCTTGGACACGGTGTGCCAAACTGCAGTCCAGGGTCTTCTGGCTTCCCAGTTTCGAGGTCCATCTCAAACACTCGAATATTAAGAGCGTCGAGATACTCCGTGCTAAGATAGGATCCGCGTGGACGGCGTGTCTCCTGGTACACTTTGAGGACGTGGTTGAAGGGAGAGTCTTTGTCCATGATCACGGACTTGCGGTTACCACCAACTTTGGCAAGTGAGGAGATGGCAGAGTCGATTGGATGCTTCAGCCAGCGTGAACGGTTCTTCATTGTTGCGGATGGGAAGAGGTTCGTATGATAAATTTTAATCTCATCAGACATGTCAAACTTCTTGTGCAACTTGAGATGAAGGAGCGCTCTGTTCCCTATTGTCATGACACAACCTGGAAGCCCCTCGAACGGTCTTGGCAGGCCCACTGTGGCTGTCGAATAGCCTCGTGTGCCTGCCCATAGCCTCGTGTGCCTGCTCATAGCCTTGTGTGCCTGCGTGGTAGCCTTGCGGTATAACTGTACCGCTGGCTATAAGTATCTGGGATAGGTTTGCATTGCTTTCATGCTCCTTGTCTCTCGTCTTGTACTTTATAGTGCATTGGATAGTAATATCATTGTCGAATCTCCACTCTCGTTCCCTCGTACGCCCCCACCTTGACACCTATCTACTTGTCGAGGTGTTGAAGCTCCTTTTATAGACACACGAATGCTACATTGTTGCACAGAGCAACCATCTGTAACGTCGTTGTCTATAGAAACCTCTCGTCAATGTTTCTATAGTGGGGTATACATACAACACCCCTGTTCAACATGTAGGAGTGCGCGTGTACGCATCGCGAGATCATGTGATTGGCCATTTTTCTAGCCAATCAGAGACGGTTTTGGTCACGTGAACAAAATCGATCCCTAGGTCGCGGGCGGGGCTTCGCTATGCATCGGCAGCGCCTATTCTGTACACCCCCTTGGCTAGTCTGTACACCTTGATTAGTAAGCGAAAATACTATTGTGATTTTACGGAGGACTTGTTCTATTTCGAAGGGGTCCAAGGGACCGTCAGACTATATACTTTCGAAGCGTGTACGAAGCGTACAACGCTTCCGAAGGTCTTTACAAGCCTTGGCGTCGCCACATATCACACTATTTAGTACACTAATCACGTTGATAAGTCTTATTCTGTACACCGGCCTCTGATTGGCTAGAAGTTGACGTCATCTCTAATTACGTAATGCAACTTTTCCCGTCCACCCTTAACGGATTAAATATTTTCCGCGCCGGCTCCCGTCGGATCCAGTCCGTGG